GCGACGGTGGGCGCGTCGCGGCGGGCCGGGCGGGCGCCCGCCGCGAGGGCGAGGCAGCCGGCCGTCGTGGCCGTGCCGGCCGCGTCGTAGCTGTCCTTGAGCAGGACGGGGACGCAGAAGAGCGGGCTGCTGCCCGTGACGTTGCCGGTGGCCAGCAGCTGGGCGTCGAGGGCGTCGGCGGCGTCGAGGGCCGCCGGGTCGAGGCTGACGACGGCGTTGATGGTCGGGTTGTAGGCCTCTATGCGGGCCAGGAAGGCGGAGACGACGTCCCGGCAGCTCGCGGAGCCGGAGAAGAGGGCGCTGTGCACGTCATCTATGGTGGCCTCGAGAGCGTCAAAGGGCGCTGCTGGCAAAGAGGCTCGAGAGCCGTGGATGAGAAGCGCGAGGCCGGCGGCTGCGATCAGTCTTCGAGGTGTTAACCTCGGCCATGTGGTCCTCATGCTGGCCGCGAGAGACACAACCAGAGTTGCGTTGCCCTATGCCGATGCTCGAATCCGTCGTGACAAGGGCTGCATGATGCAACAAAGCCCTACCCTACAGCACCTTGCGGCCAGAGTAGGCCGGATAGTCACTCGAGAGGCACCCCTTATTCTTAGCAACCTAGATCGGATCCGGTCTCGGTACCGTTTTTTTTTTTTTTTGCGGGGTAAGTCACAACTGTGACCGGCCGCCGATAGCGCGACAGGGGTTTGATCCGCCGAGTCGCCGACCCGGACCAACGACTTCCGGCGCTGCGTACATAGCGGCGAATGCAAAGGCGGAGGTGAAATTTCCACATAAGAAGTAGAGGCAGCAGAGATCCAGCACTCCGGAAAAGAGACTCTGGCTTTTGTCGATACTTTTAGTATATGCATAACGCCTGGTGTCTGATCTTGATCATATGCATCAATCAACCGACTTCTTGCAGGATCCTTTCTTCTGCTTTTCTTGAGATAATTTGGGGAAAGAATTGGTCAAGAATCTCAGGAATAACAATCATTCCAGGAATAACAATCATTCCAAGGTTGAAAATACCATAGGGGACAAAGACCAACAGTAGCAAGACTCGGGTCGGGTTTACTACAAGCTCATCATGACTGAAGGTGTTGAGAAATCATCAAGAGCCGACAAGAACAAATAGGAGCAGCGCTGGAAAAAAGGAGCAAAAAAAAGGGATCGGTCAGCCAAGCCGGGATTCGAACCCGAGTCCCCGCCTGACTCTGAGAAAAGCTCGGAGGGCGATAAGTTACCACTACTACACATGGCCGTGTGTGTGACCACTTGACCAAAGAGGTCGTCTTAGTTGGGATGATGGGTGGTTGAAAAGGGAATATAAGGGCTGTTCCCAGAAGTTTGTGCCTTCCCGGGGAGAAAGAGCTGGCTGCAATCCAAGTGGACCTGCCCGTATCTGAGGAAGGAAGCAAAGAGGATAGATACATGGCCTGTGAGAGGGGCAACTGCCGACGACATGGCTGCCCTGGCTACCTAGGTACCCTGGCTGCTTCACAGAGGTCTCATGGAGAGCAGCACGTTGACCAAGAGGCCTCATCAGTAGGAGAGGTATGCTCTGGATATAATAGGTGTCTGGTAGGGTGGCTACAGGAAGCAAACATTCTTCATTGCCTTCTCCTTTTCTTTTCGGTCCCTTTAATAAAGCAAATATGTTGTTTATCAAAACACTACACAATATACAAGGTGACCAATACTCTTTTAGATCTTTTACACCACAGCCTACCGTGATGCTGTTGATAGCCTTAGAAAAGGATTATACACCGCCATCTTGAACAATGTCGCCGAGCTGTGTAAGCAACTCAAAAAGAAAAAAGAAAAAAGAAAAAAGAAAAAAGAAAAAAGAAAAAAAGAGAAAAAGAAAAAGAAAAAGAAGAAAAAGAAAAAGAAGAAAAAAAGAGGAGTTGACAGACTGCAAACAGAAGTACTTGACTATCTATCGAGCTCATCGGATTTAGGTAGTGGGATAACCCTCTCAAGGCAGCCAAAACAAACGCATATTTTGCTCTCTATCTCAATGCCCTTCACACCTTCGTGCCTGAGGTACCACCTACCTACCTAGGTATTTAAAGGCCATTATCTCCCACCGGCAATGTTAGTTTTCTATTTCTCCCTCTCACAATTCCAATTTTCTCCCGCCTGCCACTGCATCATGGAGAATCTGCTGGCAAAGCTGGGAGTAGATGGAGTGAGAAAACTCCAGGCTGCTTCTGCAGCCGATCTCAACGCCATGGTTCTCTTTGCAGGAGACATTTCCCCTCCGACCGAGGAGGTCCTCGACTACGTCACAGAGCTGGATACTCGCTGCATCCTCTATGACCAGCTTCGGGCTTTTGGCAACGAAACTGGGTTGGTGTATCCGGCGCTATTTGCCGTGACTATGGTCGCCCCTGTCTCGGAACTTCGTAGTCTTCTACAAGTTCTCCATGGTTCTACCCCGAACGATCGCCGTATGCTCTTCCGCAATCTCACTTTGGCTTCACATATGGGAATAAAAGACTGTAAGTTACTATCTGTTGAACAACGTTTATCCGCTCTGTAGAAGCCTACCTAAGACTCCTCCCACCTCTATTGCTTAGCCACAGACCTTTAATCAGCCAACCTCTGAAGTCAACTACCTTACCTACTTGCTGCTCTTCCTCATGCAATACTATCTTCCCTTGGATTTCTGATTTTCTTTCCCTACAAATGTTTAGATTAATACTAATCAAGCTAGATCTCTCTAAACCACGCTCTCCCGACGCCCGGCGACTTCTGGCACGGCCACCTGGAATCCATATTGAGCCAGGTGGGTGTCTGAATAGTTGACAGAAGTTCATCAGGAGCTACCTCAATCTTAACAACTAATATCCTTGTCACATCCTTGCCCTAGAACTCGGAAGGGCTATCCCACTACCTAAATCCGATGGGCTTCTGTTAGCAGTCTGTCAACTAATCTGACCATCACTTGCGAGCCAGGAATGCCGATCCCTCCTGTATCAGTGTCAAGGAGTGGATTCTCTGAGAGAGTAAGTTTCTAATCTCTTTTTTGTTAGGCCACATGGCGATGCTTGTTGCAAGTTGTTGATGTGCGCTGTTGCGCACGGACACTGATGGATGACCATTGATGACAGCTGCTGACAGCTCTCAAAGGCTGTGTCATCACCCATCTACACGTTCATACCATCGCATAAAGACCTGTCCTTGCACCTATCATTTTTCTAAATCTACTTTGTGAGGTAGTTATTAATCTTCATATTAGGTTAAAAATCGAGATGGATATCGATGCATCTTTACTGGAACATCTGATCCTGAGGCCGCACCTATCTTTCCCTTCTCAGCAAGCAGCAAGAGGATGTTCGTAAACATCAACGACACGCTTTTACGCTTTTGGGGACCGGAGAAGTCTACAGCATGGCGTCGGGCATATGAGGACACAGAATTGACCCAGTCTGCTAAGAATGGTATCTCGATGAATCGCCAGTTATATTTCTGGTTCGACCAGGCAAGGTTTGCCCTCAAGCCCCTTCGAGAAACCCCGGAGGGAATTATTGTCCAATGGCACTGGCTTAAGGAAACTTTCTTTAAGCCACGTGCTCTAATTGAGCCTGAAGAAACTGTCCAACAGACTGTTCGTTACTCTGGGGTAGAAGATGGAAGCTGGGGCAATAGTTTAGCACATCGACCGAGCGGTGTGGCTATCCAAACTGGCCAGACATTTCTCCTCCCAGCACATGAGCAGATGCCCAGCTGGGATCTTCTGCAGATGCAATGGAATCTTCTTCGTGTTGCAGCTCTTTGTGGAGCAGCTGGTATCACGGATGACTACTACGACTATGAAGATTTGGATGAGCATGAGTATGATATAGCTGTGTGGGCCAAAAAGCGAGCCATCGATGCCGAATGTTGCAATTGCAAGGCTAAGAAAGGTGTTAGTTAGCTTTATAGAATAAGCTACTAGTCATCACTTAGAGAGAGTACTTCATTTATCTCGTTCAGAAACGATCTATCTCTTGTCTGTCTGATGTCTGACAACATATCCGCCTAAGCCGACAAATCACCAAGGCACACAGTCCTCGGTCGAGCCAAGAATTTGTAGACGTCAAGCGGCATTACAAGGTAAGACTAATTTCATCCATTTCTGGTGCTATCCTACTCTCGGGACTTGCTGCCTGTGGGACCGATAAGGGGCGAGTGTCTTCTAAGTGAGCAGCAAGAAGCACTACGTATAGCTACGCAGCTTGGTGATTCGGAGATGTGCCGCCTTTTCGACCATGCTGGCCCCCAAGGGTTGGTAGTGTCCTGCAGTCACGGAGCTACCGGCAGACACACGGCCATCTAATGGACTGACTGTCTGGTTTTGTATCTTCTTCAGGGTTAATTGACTTTGGCGTTTTCCCAACTCCTGATTCACAAACGTGCTCATATTGAGAGTCGTCTTCTCAACATGAAGTGGTAGCTCAGCCAGCCACAAGCTGCAGAAGACTTCGAAGAAACGAGGCCTGTATTTGTCTTGTGCTAGGCGACCTAGGTCAGATCATATTGATTCCCGTTCGTCCTGTCCTACTTACCGACTTGATGGGACCATGAAGCGAATGTATTTGTCGATGATCCGTCTCTTGACGTTATGTGTGATGGTCGTGCCACTGGTAAATTTCATCGCTTTTATTTCGACCCGTATATGCACGCTATGGGAGAATCCAACTCTTTCGCTGAACGCGCCTTGCCTATGTCTGTCCCAGATGCACATATTCTACAACAGGGCCCTTGAGGCCCCTACCTACCACTTTCGAACAATCCTCTGTGCCGCCGTCTTCTTCCCAATCTTCTTCTTTCCAGCCTTCTTCTTTGCGCCCTCCTCCTTTGTAGCCGGCCCCTATGCAGCCTTCTTCTCTGCAGCCTGCTTGCTTCCCTTTTCTGACCCCGGCGGAGACTTCAGCCCCAAGAACACAGCAAGACTGACACATGCAATGCCGACGGCGCCCATCCCGTACGCCGCCCCTCTTCCAGCCCACCAGTAGACACTCGTGAACAACACGGGACCCAGGCCGCGGCCAAGCTGGCCCCAGCTCCGGAGCATTCCGAGCTTGCCTCCTCGCTCGTCTTCGCTCGCCTCAAAGCTGCTAAGAGCGTTGAGATGTGTCACCACCGTGGCGGACGTCGTCGCCAGGAAGGCGGCGGCCACGTAGAGAAGATAGACGTTGTTCAAAAACCCGAGCATTATGAATGCAATCAAGCATGACACAACCCCGATCTTGACGTTCAACAAGGGTGAAAGCCGCCGAGTGACACCTCCTTGGAGAACAGCAGACACGATGCCGACAAACCCCAGAAGCCTGCCATTGTTGGCCGAGGTGTACTGAAAAAGATCGTACGTCATAAACGGCAGAGAGAACTCCATGCCGGAGAAGAAAAGAAGAAAAGATAGATGAATTGCGTTGAGAAGAAAATGCGAATTGGTACGCGGCACCGGTACGGATCGAGTAGTTTTCGCTTTTCCATTCCCCGTGTCAGACGCCCGTTTCGAGGGAAGAGTCTCGGGCAAATAAAAGTAGAGATAGATCGTCTCGGTCACAATAAGGAACAGCGAGAACCCAGCAGCCGTCGCAAACGGGTTGGCCGCAATGGTAGCGAACGAGCTTAGCCAGGCGCCTAGCGCTGGGCCAATGGTGAAGGCAATCGAGAAGCAGGCTCCGATCATCGCCATTGTCGCCGACCGGTTCGCCTCGTCAGAGATGTCGGTTGCCATGGCTGTCGTCAACTGTATGTTGCCCTCAGATAAGCCCCCTACAACTCGCGAGAGGAGGAACGTGCGGAAGTCGACGGCCATGACCCAGAGGAGCACCGAGAGGATGTTGCCGGCCATGCTAGCGAGCAATGCTGTTCGTCGTCCATGGCGGTCAGACAGATGGCCAATCACTGGCGATGCGAACGCTTGCAGAAGCCTAAAGCATTGTGTTCACGAGCAAATTAGGGGCTTGTTCCATCTTGCGGTCGTCTTGGGGCGTGCGCGACTCACGAGAACATGCTGCCGAGAGCACCTCCTAGCAAGACGATGTCATATCGAGTGTCGATGGGCCGAGCAAAGGCTGCCTTGTACGCGTTCAGATATCCCAGTATACGAGAGAGCACGGTCGGGGATGCACCGGGGGTTGACTCGGCGGGAGCTTCGATATTTCGGTAGAACTCCAGGAGCCTGGGAAAGAGAGGAAGGATAAAGGTGAACGATATCTAGCACACCGTTAGCAATGCTGCAGCTTCTCCGCCACGTCGAGCCAGGAGGGATGGAGCTGTACCAGATCCAGCAGCAAAGAAACTATAATGACCCTGACCACCTTTTTGCGCGTGGCGGGATCAATGTCGAGCGCCGCCATTGGAGTTGCAGCTCGCGATATGCGCTGTGTGGTTTGCTGTATGCTGTTTGCGGTTTGCGACCTGCGCTGGTTGCGATGACATAAATGATGAAACTAAAAACAGCTGGCTTGTCCGTGGCGCGTGGTGGGATGAAACGGAAGCCTCGCCTTTATGATGGAGACAGCATTCAAACGTCGCTGGAACATGGAGACTCCATACCTGAGCAATGCAGCCGGAAGAAGAAGAGCAAGATCTACCCAGACTGGAAGGACTGATTTGTAAAGGAGAGGTGTTGTGTCGCCAGATCATCAACATCCCATTCCCGGTCTGGACGGAAGTCGCATTGGTCCACTGTTTGAGAGCCACAGGAGCGAGCTTCCCACGCACAGCGGCGGCTGATTTGACGCACTACGGAGGGGTGACATGCGTTTCTGGAACCATTCGAGCCCACTAATACCGACCCATGGGCATGTTAGCGCTCCCCTCCAGCTCTTTCGGGAACCCACTTTCATTGGCGGCGGCTAAACCAACGGAGCACACCCACGGCAAGTGATCTTCAGGTACCGTGTCTTCAACTGAACCTCCCTACGGTACGTCCATTACCTATTTCGTTAGGTATGATGGGACGCTCTCTGTCAAAAACGTGGCAGGGATGCCAGGTGCTCAGGATTCAAGTCTTTTTATTGTCTGTGCGACCATGTTCTTCATCTGTGTCCACCTCGTGCTGAGAAGCTCCCGTTGGCTGGCGTCGCCGACATGACTGCCGCCGATCCTGTCCAGGGTTTGATTGATGGAGCTGGTCAGCTTCAGGAGAAGCTCCTCCAGCAAGGCGTCTACTTTCGCTTGCGATGCCTCGCCGTCGTCTTCGGCATTGACAAAGCTGTTGAACTGCCCGGGAGTACAGCACAGAAGGCGCAGGGCGACCTGAGTCCGGTGACACCCGGCCGTCTCTGCGTCGAGCATGTACTGCCCCAGGAAACCCACCTCTTCCAATTCTACTTTCTGCTTCTTGGTCAGACGCGGCAGGATGACCTCGTCCAGGCACACCTCGTCCCACCGGTTGTCGTCCAGCACGAAGCCGTACTCGACAAAGAGAAAGTCGTTGGAGTGAGCCCCATAACTTATGTGAATCTCCTCTCCAGCATGGTACTCCCGGTTGGCGGTGATGGCGAAGCCGTCAGTCGAGAAAGACACATTGCAGCCTTGATCGGCGTGGTTGAGAAGGTCGGCAACAGGCTGCAGGGCCATCCGGTCTTCCCGGGCCCGTTTCTCCAATGCCGGGGTGGTGTAATAAAAAGTACGTGTGTTCACGAGGAGCCAGTTGTACAGGTAATGCTCCCTCTCGACCTCGGGATAGGCTGCTACTACCATGTCCCAGTCCCGTTGGAACTTTGTCTGCTGCTTCCTTAGTAGATCCGCCGCCCGCTGGGGCAGCATGGCCTGAAGCTCCTCCGGCCACAGGATGGGCACGCCGGCCTCAAAATCAGCCTTGGTGGGAAGTGCGGCGTTCCAGACATCGTATACAGAGCTCTGGTCCAGGGCTAGATCTGCAGCGAGGAGGCCGTGGAGTGTGATGTCACGAGGCAAGCTCTTGGATATCGCCTTGGGAACCGTGTGTAGTGACCGAAGGACCGGAGTGGGCACGCTGAGGACCGTATCTCCCGCCTAGGTGGAAGTCAATATGTGCTCAAAGAATCATGCGTTTGGGAGGGTGGAGGCCAGGCGCGCCGGCTAGTTTTACCGTGACAGTGTGGGTTGCGATGACGCCGGTGCCACGGCCGGCGATCCGCTCCGGCCTGATGCCGTTGAGCACGACTCCCTTGGCTTCGGCCCAGTTGATTAGGTTCTCAAGGGTCTCCATGGTTCGAGGGAGGCGCCTCGGCCGAATATGGTCGCGTGGTGGGTTGAGTGTGCAGAGTAATCTGGTGCTCTCCCACTCGCAGTCGCGCACCAGACTCCCAGTCCCAGGGATGTCTTGGCCTGCACCGGGATAGTCGAGTCCGATGGATCGGGAGGCGTGGTTACCTAAGAGGATGGACCCGGAAAGATGTTCCCTCGCGACGATATTGCCGTAGGATGGATAGCTCGGACCAGATTGCACCTATCCAGTACGGTACTGGCCTGGAGACTGGTGGCTGTTCTCGCCAAGCAGTGATCCAATCCACGGGATGACTGGCTCGTGGTGGGACAACCTTACTTACCTAGGGACGCTAGTCAGCCGTGGCATTTGCGCGCCGCAGCAGCAGTAAGGATGTACGCATCGAGCACGGCAAACAACGGCCCCCCAAGATATTCTGACGATACCTACCCCTCCATTGCCGATCCACGCTCGAAATCCCGGCCCAGCCCGACCTCTTTCCGCGACAAAACCCGACCTCACGATCTGACTTGCGGAGAAATGGACATGATGGAAGCGCTAGCGAGATGGTGGAAGATGGAGAAAGGATCCAATAGGCATTTCACTGCTGCACCTCTACGGCAATTGGCTGTTGTTAGCCGGAGCATCATGACATTGCTACCTGTAGGTAGCTGATTCGAATGTACAGTGCCCGTCTCCCCTAACAGCCGCCTAACTTTCGGGAAAACCCCCACCCTACCCAGGTTCTGCACCAGATGGACGCCCTGGTGCCCAGGTGCTTCTTTTCAGCTCCCTAGAAAATATTATACAAGTCCTTTACGACATAGGGCTTCGTCCCAATCGCCAATCTACCGAGTAAGTAGCAGAAAAGAACGCAGATCGCTTATCGCTCACCTCTCTTCATGTTGTATTGTATAAGAATATATGGGTACACACACATGCACACACAAAACGCCTCAAGTATCCCCTAACACCTCTCAACATGAGGAAAAGCGCTTAAACCGAAAGCGGTAGTGTAGCCTGCCAGTTTGTACGGATGCCAGTGGCAGTCTAGGCGATTCTGGGTAGTAGTCGGGCTAGCTTGGTAGGCTGGACGATAGGCCCAGGATACTGACTAAGAGAAAATACCTCAGAGGCCTGGCATGACGTTTCTCTCAGGTAACCCCTCAGCATATCGGCCAGCTTCCACCCCACCTTGTGTAATATCTGCGTTCGATCTGTTGGCGTGCTCTTCTCAACACACGATCTCTCGCAACACACAAAACATACCATACCTCCCTAAACCTAATTTTCCCTCTTCCTCGATCGGGCACTCTGAAGCATCTTTCCTTGCTCTTCACTGCCAATTCCGCACATCTTGTGTAGACACAGATCTTGATTGCTACTTCTCAGTCCTTATCAAACCGCCACAATGGGTCTTATGAGCGAGCTCAACCTGAAGCCGGGTGTCATCTACGGCGAGGACGTCCGGAAGGTATGCAAATAGCTTCAGATAGACTGATTTGTTGTGAGTTATAATTCTTGCTGACAATCCCGAAAGGTCTTCCAGTACGCCAAGGACAAGGGCTTCGCCATCCCGGCCATCAACGTCACCTCCTCCTCCACTGTGTAAGTGGGCGAATGCGATACCTCCGGACTGCCGTTAGCCGGATCCCTTGACTGACAAAATTTCCTCTCCTCTACAGTGTCGCTGCCCTCGAAGCCGCCAGGGATTCCAAGTCTCCCATCATCCTCCAGACCTCCCAGGGAGGTGCTGCCTACTTCGCCGGAAAGGGCATTGCCAACAGCGCCGAAAAGCAGGAGGCTTCCGTGGCCGGTGCCATTGCTGCCGCCCACTACGTCCGTTCCGTTGCCCCCGTCTACGGCATCCCCGTCATCCTGCACACCGACCACTGCGCCAAGAAGCTCCTGCCATGGCTCGACGGCATGCTCGACGAGGACGAGCGCTTCTTCAAGGAGCACGGCACCCCGCTGTTCTCCTCTCACATGATCGACCTGTCGGAGGAGGAAGTCAAGTACAACATTGACACCACTGCCAAGTACCTCAAGCGCGCTGCCCCCATGAAGCAGTGGCTCGAGATGGAGATCGGTATCACTGGTGGTGAGGAGGATGTAAGTCTGACCAGGACTGCCCGGCCGTTCAGCGCGGATACGTGACTCTGACATTACTTACTAGGGTGTCAACAACGAGGACGTTGACAACAACTCGCTCTACACCCAGCCCGAGGACATCTGGTCCGTCGTTGAGGCTCTGCAGGCCATCTCCCCCTACTTCAGCATTGCTGCCGGTTTCGGCAACGTCCACGTATGTTGACCCTCAAACCTTCGGAGGGTCCGTCTTTAGCTAACGATCTGTAGGGTGTCTACAAGCCCGGCAACGTCAAGCTTCACCCTGAGCTGCTTGGCAAGCACCAGGAGTATGCCGTCAAGAAGCTGGGCTCCAAGGACAACAAGCCTGGTAAGTGTGCTCTGGCGCAACTGCATTCAGTCTTTGTGTGCAACACCAGCAATCCTTGCTAATCTCAGCACCATAGTCTTCTTCGTTTTCCACGGTGGCTCCGGCTCCTCCGTCCAGGAGTTCCGCACCGCCATCTCCTTTGGTGTCGTCAAGGTCAACCTCGACACCGATCTCCAGTGGGCTTACCTCTGCGGTATCCGGGACTACGTCACCAAGAACATCGACTACCTCAAGACCCAGGTTGGCAACCCCGAGGGTGCCGACAAGCCCAACAAGAAGAAGTACGACCCCAGAGTCTGGGTTCGCGAGGGTGAGAAGACCATGAAGGCTCGCGTTGTGCAGGCCCTCGATGACTTCAACGCTGCCAACGTCCTGTAAGCAGGTGGGCATGCACGTAGCCGGCAGGCTATGAATTCGACATGATATCACTGTCGAACATAAGCGCCATTCGTGTCGTTGAATTGCATTGTTCTCATGATTTCGAGTGTCCGAATGCCGAGGAGTTGGTGGGAGGAACTCGGGTATCAGGGGATGACATGAAAGGAGATAGATACCCTGGGGTCAGAAAAAAAAACACAATTACTTCTGCTCAAATAGGCTCAAAATAAAAGATTGTACATATCTGTTTTTGTTCTCCTTCCTTTGCGGTACATCCACACGACGAGCATGGGTTTGGAACTTGCCCTCGTCAAGGCCAACATGGCCATTGCGGTGCTTTCAAACCCTTTACACCGAAAGCACATATCCCTCCCAGCACTTACACCTTTGGCAGACGACGGCGTCTGATAGCTCATTTTCACGGCCCTAGGTCAATGACATCGAGGCCAGGCGGTTGATGAGTGTCAGTGTGGCCCGTTGTCCTCAACAGGCAATGTGACGTCTGCTGCCCACCAAGACGAGCATTTCGCTGTGGTGCTCAGGGACGGTCTGCGGTTGATGAGAGTGAATCTGGTTTGCCGGTAGGAGTCTGCACGACTCTGCGGTCCTGTAAGCACGGTTGATCATTGTGTCATGCTCATGTTTTGCATAAATCCTGCCCAGTCCGAGCGTGCTGCTTCTCCTCGGAAGATTATTGCTTAACTGCATATCTTATGAACGAGGGCCGCCCGGGAAAACTTGGTAGGGAGCCTGGTTCTCTCCGCATCCTCTTCCCTCACACCACAGCGAATTCAAACACAATCGGGGGTGGTGTGTTGAAACATATTGATGATCATGATGGCCGAGCGATGCTTAGAGAGTGTGAGATTTTCGATTTTGACACGAGTTACCACAACACCATCAGTCGCTTAGCTTCCTGCAGGGACACAGTCGACCTTCGGGAAACCGGTAGTATTCATCGAGGCTATCGTCAATGGTCAGACGCAGGTACCGATCCGATGCGACGTGAGTGCGCACACGATCCAAGGCACGCAAGCAAAGGTTACATCAGCCAGCTCAACGGCATAGCCAAGTGTGACGACCCTGGGTGGCTGCATCATCCGCGACCCGGCATCGTGGTGGTTGAGCCGAGCTGTCCTCGAGTCTCCTGGAAGCTGTGCTTTTGATCTACAGGTTTTCCCCCTTCCCTTTCTCCTCTCTCGCATCAGTCTTTCAGGCCCCAGGCCCGAGAAACGAACACTCTCCCGTCTCGTGCGCTGATGATGATGACCGGCAAGAGCGGCTCGATATGAGGCCAAGCAAGGACTCACTTAATTGCCAAAAGGGTTTTGGACCGAGGAGCAGTTTAGCCGTCGAGAGAGACGGGCAAGCCTCGACCAACCACCACTTTCCATGTCTCATCACCTACTTTATTTTTGGGTCTTGCTTTGTCCGACCTCGACGACTGGGATGCTCAGGCAATTGCCTAGGCCGGGCAGGGCAGGGCAGACCAGCCCAGACCAGACCTGGCCTTACGAGCTCTTCCTGCCCTCTACCCGCGTCATGCTACTACTGAGCCGGCAGGCATGACCATCCACCAACAAAGAGGATGATTCAGCCTGTTGCTGTTATTGAGAGTAAACAGCGTCATTTCGTCTCTGGTCAAGCCTGCTGCTCCTGCCCCTGACCCTGACCCTGCCCAATCTGACCTGTTCGCCTGCCTTGCTTGCCCTGCCTTCACCAGCCAGGAAACTTCATAAGGCGCCGCATCCTCGCCCTGTTCTGCTCTCAATCCTTCTCTCCTCCTCTTTTCTCCATGTCTTCTTCCTCCTAAGAAAACACCATCAGACACTCGCTCTCGTCACTCGCTACTATCCTTGCTCCCCATCTCCTTAGGCATACAGTTGTGTCTACGCAGGAATCTCTCGCTCAGCTCCTCAGGATACTCTGCCCATCATGAAGACTTCTGCTCTCGCTCTCCTCGCCGCCGTCAGCTATGCTGTGGCCGACGAGGATACCTGGCCGCACAAGCCTCCACCGGAGGACTGGAGCACCACCATCCGGCTGCCCAAGCCCACCTGGCCTGCTCCTCCTCAGAAGTGGACCACGAGCACGGTCTACACCACGTCGACCAAGACCATCACGAGCTGCAGCGCCATCGTCACCAACTGCCCTGCTCACAGCACGGTCGTGACCACCGTCGTCATCCCCGTGAGCACCACGGTCTGCCCCGTCACCGAGGTTCCGCCGCCTCCCCCCGCAACCGAGATGCCTCCTCCACCGCCTGCCACCTCGGTCCCTGTGGCCAAGCCTCCTCCGGCAAGCCCTCCTGCGGCCAGCCCCCCGGCGGCCAGCCCACCACCCGCGGGCATCAGCATCGGCACTCCCGTGGCTCCTCCGCCGGCGCCGGCCACCTCTGAGGCTGTCGTGCCTCCGGCTCCCAAGCCGACCCCGCCCGTTGTTGTCGGCACCGTCACTCCTCAGGTCCCCAAGCCGACTCCCTCGGTTGTCATCGCCGGTGCTTCCAACCTCAAGCGTACCGGTGCCGCTCTTGCCGCCGTCGCAGTTGCTGCCGCGCTCATCTGAGCGTCTTGCCGTTTCTCAATCTTGGAACGCTGCCCAATCACGACGCCGAGGCGGACAAAGACTGTTCATGGCTGCATGGTGGATAACGGACTTTTTTCTTCTTCTTTCATTTCACACCCTGCTACATCTTACCATTTTTGTACGAGAAGCTCGAAAATCTTGAGAGTTGATCAGGGCATCATGACGCTGTAATTTTTGATTCTCTTTTGTTACTTCTCTGTGGAAATCATATTTGGTGTACGGAAGCCATGCATGGAAGCGGCTTGCGTCATGGGTTTTAATCTGCCTTGTTTGGGCCTTAGCAATATACACAACCTAACAATACACACAACGAGGTCATCGCTCCTGCAGCTAGGTAGCAAATGAAAGCCATCTTGCCCATAGGTGTCGTCTGTCGGACATCAGACAGACAAGAGACAGATCGTTTCTGAATGAGATAAAGGAAGTACTCTCTCCAAGTGATGGTCAGATTAGTTGCGCGGACTGTTAACAGAAGTACTCGACTATCCATCGAGCTCATCGGATTTAGGTAGTGGGATAGCCCTTCCGAGTAGGATGTGACAAGGATAAGATTGAGGAGATTGAGGTAGCTCCTGATGAACTTCCGCCAACTATTCAAACACCCACTTGTCTCTCTTAGGTGGCAGCCTAAGACTCTTAAAGTAGTGGGCTCCGGTATTCCGAGATGATCAATGTTCTAGTATGCCATGAAATGGGAATTTGAATTCATTTTAGTTTTCTAGAACGTTCGCTGTAGTCCATACAATACCTACTCCTTAAGGTAGTAAGATACCTAGGTACCTAATAAGCAGATGATTGTAACGGACCAGGCTCAAGTGCCCTCAAAGCGCCTTCTGCCATCAGCCCGACACAGCAATTCTTTATGGGTGAGAATGCAATCAGTCAGGCTGCTCCAAGGATGGGTGTTTGTGCTTCTTTTTCTTTGGTTGCACTGCTTGGAGGGGCTTGAGGCACCCCTGGTGCCAACCAACGTCGGCTGCGTGGAGGTTGACCTGGACCAACACCCACTTGGCGCCGCAACAAGCACGCGAGCCAAAATTCGGATCCCATCTGTTTGCGAGAAAACAAACGCACCCACATCGCGAGTATCGATCCCGGCCGAGCCTGCTAGCGTGGCGACAGCAGTGGAGTTGCTTTTGATACCATGTCAGCTTCAGCTGTGCCAGGCGACAGCTTCCGTCAGAGGCTTCGAGAGAGAGTCAACCGATTCCGCCGCAAATCCAATAGTTCGTCGAAAAACGCCGAGAGTAGCTCAAGGTCAAGGAACCCAGGCAGTGGAGACGGTAGCTCAAATGCGCTCGCAGTTACGGCCAAGTGAGTACATGATCCTGTGCGGCCCTATCGTGCTGACCAGATCGGCAGCTACCTAGCCTACCGTCAAAACCTTGATGGCCCTGGACAAACAACCGTGGCCGGGGGAGATGTCGTTGAGCCCGAAGTTGAGGGGGAGACGCCTATTCCGCTGCCGCCTTCATTGGACCTTCAAGTGAACGTCTCTGTCGATGGATCGAATCTTGACATTGCTGTTGAGGCGACCAAGGTCCCATCGGATCTTTGGACCGCAGCATACCGCGACGCAGTCGACAGCCTTGGAAAAGATATAGACATTGCCATTTTGAAGGGACACAATGTCGCCGAGCTGTTCAAGCAACTCGAAAAGATGGACAAAGACACCACCCAGGAGTCTGTCTTTCTGAGGGGCGTGAAGTACTTGCAGTCTCTACGAGTGCCACTGGAGCGATTCAAGCTCGCGCTGGATCTAGCGAGTCCACTAACAAGCATCGAGCCCACCACCGCAACCGTCTTTGGCGTGGTCAAAGGTGTAACAGCGGTAAGTTCATGGGCCAAATGACAGAGGTGTTACGATGTACTCACTCGAGCCTGTCATAGCTTGCCATCAGCTTATCGACCGCCGATCTCGAACTGGCCAAAAAGATAGGGGAAATGCTCGAGCAGCTGGCCTACATTGATGATTGCGACACGCTTGGACAAAGAACGAACAAGGAGGACATACATAAGGTAGAACCTCGCCTAGAACTGTCTGGATATGCTCCCTTACATGACACAGGCGCTCGTACTTGTCTATCGGAAGCTCTTGGAGTTCTACAACACTGCGTTCGAAATATTGACCAGTAGCAGCGTGAAGCTGGCCATGAAGATGGTTCTGAGTGACGGGCGTCTACCAGACATTGTCAGCGACTTTTTGCGACATGCCGACCTTCTTCGAAAGCTTGTGGAGAAAGCGACCTGGGAGATTGTTGAGGATGTCAGAGCCATGTTATATGACCATGAGAGTATGTATCATCATCCTTCATTATGGTGTCTATTTGTGTCTCAGTTCATGTATATGATGAGAAAGGAAAGAGGGAAGAGAGTGTGTATGCTAACATGCTCCTTAGTTGCAAGTTGGTTAGGCAATGGGAAGATGAGCCGACAGAGCCATCACCATGCTTATCTGCAAGAGATTCGAGTCGACAAGGCTTGCGAATTCTTGCTCGCGGATGCCGCCTTCATTAAATGGTACCACGGAGTCGATTCTCAACAGCTAGCAATTCTGGGAGACATGGGGTCGGGGAAATCAATTGCCATGTCTTTTCTTATAGACGAGCTGCGTCGACGCAACGAGCATGAACTCCCTCAGCCAAAGATCTGCTACCACTATTGCCAGAATGACGGGACTGGTCAGCCAATTTACGTGTTCTCCGTCCTCATCCTATCACTCCTCGAGCAACTTCCCGGCTTGAAGAAGACCTTCTTCGAATGGTACAAACGAACTATGGCCTCCGGAACCGAGCCTGCGACGAATTTCAAGACCTTGGAAGAGTGGCTGCAAAACACCCTAGCAACACTCGACCGTCCCCTGATTTTCGTCATTGACGGTCTGGACGAATGCGACAGACTGTCGCGGAATCGCCTTGTGAAATCGATGAGAAACATGACAGAAAATGCCCCGAGGCTGAAGATTCTACTCTCTTCCCGTCCTGAAGAGGAGATCCTAGAACAATTGAACGGCCTTGATAAGATTGCTATGGGATCTGATCCCGCCCGGGATCGCCTCATTGTGGAAAGGACAGTCGAGACTCGATTGTGCTATTTGTCCGACGACGTCAAAGAGCTCGTTATACACATCTTGTCCCGTTCGGCACAGGGAAGCCCAATATGGACGAGGATGATAGTCGAAGTCATCGAAGTCCGTGCAATCAAGGCGATTGGGCCGATGCGCGCCTTCTTGAAGCGAATACCCCAACCTAGGCAGCTTTCGGAGCTTTACGCCAACTTGTTTTCGCGCTACACCTCGGACGATCCCGAAAACCAAAGGCTGGCTTCTACGGCATTGGGGATACTCGCCGTCACCAGAAGGCCGCTGAGCATACTAGAACTTGCATGGGCTGTGGCCTTGGGCGCCTCGCACGACACAGCTTCTACTGTGGACGCTCTTGCCGATCTGGTGGATCACCAAAGAATCATGAGTTTAATCCAGCCTTTTGTCGCTCACGTCGACTTTGGTGACATGACGAAGCGCCAGGTGAAACTTGCTCACCAGTCGGTGAAGGAGTTCATCATTGCGTCGTGGGCACCAGATTGGTCCAGCAAGCCAAGTCTAGTCACCTCAACGCCGCCTCCAGCCCTTGAGACAGTCGCGCAGCAGCATACTCAGAGTCTAGAGGGACACCTATTGGCGACATGCATCCGATATCTTCTATTGCCTGAAATTAACCAGATCAATCTGTTCTCTGAAGAGCGCTTAGCAATTGAGGAACTACCCCAGGATCCTGAACTGTTCAAGGAAAATCGCGAGCCGAACGACTATGATCATTACTGCTCTTGGGAAGTGTGGGAAGCAAGCATGGTGCACTACGACCCGACCGAACGCGGTTTCGGTGGGCTGTTTGTATACGCTTCTTGCCATTGGATCGAGCATTTCAGTATCGTCACGAGTGAATCCCACCTACCAAGACTGAACGACGTGGAGCTCTTGTGCCAGGCCGGCTCGACTCGGCTGCACAACTGGACCGCGCAAAACTGTCGCCCGGATTGTGCAATCAAGCCCAGGTTCGAATTCGACAGCGCCCTGTATGATCCACTCAGCATTGCTTGTCTCTACGGCTCAGAGGCCATTATCCAGCGTATACTTGAAAACTCAGACCTGGACGGCCATGCGTTCCTCCCTCGCCCACTCCTGGGTGCCGCAGATCAGATTATCAAGTACGGTGATTTGCCCAGACTCAGACTGCTCTGGGCGAGCAGGGCCGGCCACCAGCTTTACACCATGGACTTTTTCCAATCCGTTTTAAGACAATGGTCGAGAAGCCCCTCTGAGAAGCGTCGCGGGGGGTGGGAAATGGTGTTCAGCTTCCTTGATGATGTATACGAGACGATGATCAAGGAGCGATGGGGCCATACGCTCTTGCGCCTGGCCGCCACGACGGGCTGCATGCCAATGATCCGGCGGCTAATGGAGGCCGCTCAGCACCAGCCGCAGCTCAGAGCCGAGCTGCTCGAGGTGTCCCAATCTGATCATGGCTTGATTGGAGCGGCCGTTTTGGGTAACCACGCCGATGTTGTGGGATATCTTTTAGAGCAACGAGGTATCGAAGCGCACCTCCAGTGCCGCAACGCGAGCGGAGAAAATGTACTGCACCTGGCATCTCGGCACTGCAATCCTGCCATTTTCCAACAGCTGGTGCCCCTTCTCAAGGATAGCTTGTATCAGAAGGACCAACAGGGTGACACGGCCCTAATCCGGATTGTTGTGAGCTCCTCGGCCTCGCAGAACCGATGGGAGTCGGCGCGGATCCTGCTCTCGGGACTTGCTGCCTGTGGGGCCGATAAGGGCGAGTGTCTTCTAAGCGAGCAGCAAGAAGCTCTACGCATAGCTACGCGGCTTGGTGATTCGGAGATGTGCCGCCTCTTCGACCATGCTAGCCCGTAGGGGTCGTTAGTGTCCTGACTGCGAGGAGCTACGGGCAAACACATAGCTATTGAATGGACTGACTGTTTGGTTTAGTATCTTCTTCTGGGCTACTTAGCTTTGGTGTTTTTACAATTCTTATCATGGTTACCTCCTGGTATATAAATGTGCTCATATTCAAGCTGTCTTTCCAACATAAAGTGGTAGCTCAGATTAAGCTCTTAGTTTGACAACACAGCGGCGCCCTCAAGAAAGGGCCCGGAGCCTAACATTATACCTCAAACACAGCCCAGAATCTTCTTTCTTAGAACTGCACGATTGACATGGTTTAACCCCCCCCTCCCAACCTGGCTGCCAGGACTCCTGCCACAATGCCGTGCTATCACGAAGTCTACCGTATTGGGACTTGAGCCCCAAAATGGCACTGCAAGGCAAAAACAGATGTGGCAGCTTTACGGATCTGCCCAGCTGCCTTCCACCGTCATTCATCGGCCAGTCGAGACGACCCAAGCAAAACTCTGGATCAACTCTGCTACCTCTGGTGCCAGAGGCCCGCTATAAAGTCTGACGTGGATATGACGAAGTGAGGGTATATCTCCGAGCCGGGCGTCTATTTGCGACAACGCCTCCCGAACGCACTGTGAATTCTTCGAGTCGTGGCTTGTCGCAACCAGGCCCCGAGAATTCTGACCGTACATAAACATCTCGAGCGTTGTCAGGTTCGAACACCTCTCTTGGAGAAGACGGAGCACACATGAGTCATCTTCTTGAAGTGCGGCACCCTCTGCGATCGGAAAATTGATGCATATGTGAGTCAGATAACTTGCATTCACTGATCCGATACGGTCGAGGAAAGACCGTAAGAGATTGGACTGGTTCTGGGCGGTATCGACCAAGACAAACTGATGCGACTCGTACAGCGTTACGCTGGCCTCAGAGTATAGCTGCCGGTTGGTGCGCAGCAGCGCCAGCCATCGAGCTGGTCTCCCCGGTGCAAACAGCTCGATCTTGTCGGAAGCGCCCTCTGAGAAAAGGTAGAGCGGATGGGGCACGACGAGCACTCTTCGGTAGATGTCACGACGGACCTTCAGAGGCAAGCTGAGGAGTCTGCTTGTCTCGGAAGACTCCATGGCATGCTTCTGAGAGTGCCTGTGGCTGGAGGGAATCGCCTGTGCGTTTGGATGGTGATATTTGGGAGCTAAGAGCCAAGAACATGGGCCACAATGGCTCCGTATTCTGCTTGGCGCGCCAGGCAAAAGAAAAAGGACCAAAAAAAGAGAGTGCGACGTTAGTCACATGAAAAAAGCCGACAGAATGTCGGCAGTCCCCGAAGAAAGGCACCTGCCGCCATCACGTGCCATCAGATAAAAATGCAACATTTGCCATTGTGAGGCGGGTTGCCGCTCATTGGAGCCTTTCGGACAGCCAGTTTTGCTGCGCCACAACCCAAAAAAGCTCAAGGATAACTCCAGTACAGCAGTCGTGTGGCAAAGCTGGCGAGCTGATTGGATAAGAAGGTAAGTAGCCGGTCTGATTGGGCCAGCGGTCTCAGGATCCGATGTTTTCTGCGCCACAATGAACTCTCCCCCATCCTTAAAGGCATTTTCTCCTCCGCAAAAGACCCTTTCGTTCCGAAAGGCATAAGTTATCCGGTACTGAAAGGCCACGAGAGATTTCTCTTTTGGTCCAACAGCCATACTCACAAGGCTCTCCCGTTATCTCTCAAGATCTCAAACGCTTTGTTATCTTCTCTACCCAGGATTGGGAAGCGACGAGGAAGGACCTGCTTGTCTCGCAATTTTTGGCCTTTGTAGAGCAGGTATTATTGATTGTCTTTGACTGAAACTTGCCATGCTCGCTGGGAGGCTCCGAATGTGTCACCTCCTTGATTTACTTGGGCCCCCCGGACCAGATGGCAACCATCAGACGAGGTATAGCACAGTTGATATGGCGATAGGTAGGACAAGGTTAATGGGGACCAATTTGAATCGACTCAAGTCGCCTAGCACAAGACAAATACAGGCCTCGTTTCTTAGAAGTCTTCTGCAGATTGTGGCTGGCTGGTTACGTGCGTCTCGCCTGTCCGTTCCGCTTTTTCAAAAATAGCCGCACAGCGATGGGCTCCACGCTTCGGATCTCGCAACCCCAGATTCAGCCGGGCTACCCTCTCCCTTCGCACCAGTCCTGGGGCCCAGGCCGTGGGCCCCATGTTCCTCTCCCATGTTCCCAGCCAACCCAGCGTCCTGGACAGAGCGTGCCTGAGTGCACCTTGACGGGGCTGCGGCAAGGAGGGGGGGGACGGCCAGATCCCCGGATGTATTTCGCATGAACGTCGATGTTGGCGCCAGTTTGTGCAACTGGGTTCATGATTCGAGCAGGCTGCGGTCCCCGCGTTCAAGCCATCTCGGCTCACTCCGCGAAGAAAGGGGAAGAACTAAGCTGGGAAACGACCGTTCCGTACAGAATCTGGGGTACGGACAGTTGGGGAGCGCTTCCGTGTTCCGCTTCGCTTTACCACAGACTACGGCCATGGTCGTCTTTGTCCGGTTTTTGGTTCTTAATGGTGCCATACTACGCTTCCGTAGTGATCTTTTGACGTAAAGGTGACCAGCGAATGAGCGCGTATATACTCTCTGTGCCAATATAGGCACAGATAATTGTCGCCAGGGGAGACCTAAAGGGCTAATGAGACGTTGCCCATTGCCCTTTTGGGTACAGTTCCCAAGTACAGTAGCAAGCCGGCCAATTCGACTTGGAAGATTCCAAACGAGCAGTCATGAAGCATAGGAAGTATCCAATGTGCTGCACAATCTGCTCGAAATGCTCAACTGCTGGCGCTGCGAACAAGCTACCCGCCCAGTGATGAATAAGTAGGCCGGGCACAGAGCTGAGCCGAGGCAACGAGCTGAAGGCTGAGATAGAGAGGTATTTCAGACGGTGCCCAGTCGCTTTGCAAGATCCTCTAGCCGGTGCGACGGATCCCCGAGAAGTTCTCGCGCCACGGAGCGGTCTCGACCATTCTCGCCAATCACGACCAAATTGAGTACTCTGCCGTCATCTCCGATCACCAGGCGGCCAGTGCGGCCATCAGCCCATTCGATCTTGACATGCTTGACCTCGGCGTCGGCGGCACTGATGTCGACTACACGTTTGTCGGTCTCGGTCTCGGCCTCGGCACCACCAGAGGTGTCCTCCCGGTCTTCTTCTTCCCGGCGCTTCTTGTCCAGCCCGACGGCCCTGCGCAGATCCGCGACGACGCCGGCGCGGTTGTGGTAGCGCACGAGCTCGCGGCGCAGGACGCGCACAAACTTGGCGAGATCCTGGTGCCGGCCGCGAGCTGCCCCGCTACTGCCGCTCCCCTCTTCAAAAGAGGACCCGAGGACAGGCGACAGGGCGCGCGCCGGGGGCGCAGGGAGATGGCGTGCGGCCAGGCCGGCGAGGGGCACGCAGGGCGGTATGGTGTGCCTGTGCACCCGCAGGAAGTCGGAGGCGGAGGGCCCCGCGCGCCAGGGCCGGTTGAGCAGGACGTAGTAGGGGCGCAGGAAGCGCGCGCGGGTCATGACCTCGACGCGGAGGCCGAGGACGCGGCCGGCGTCGACGGCGCTGGGGTCCGGGTCCTGCGCGACGAAGGAGGTGACCGAGGCGCAGGCGCGGTAGAGGCACTGCTGGTTGTGGGCCGCCTGGGCGGCGAGCTTCCCACGCAACGGCGTGTTTTCGTCGCTGGTGCTTGGCAGGGGCAGCGCGGACGCCTCCTGGGGCGAGACGAGAAGCTGTGCGGTCGAGGGCGAGGAGAGCAACGTCGAGGCCTGGACGCGGAGCTGCCGCTTGAGGGAGGCGGCTGGAGCTTGGGTGGTTAGAAGCGAGAAAGGATACTCGTCGTGAATAATAGGACTCACCTCGCGCCTTGAGCGTCTCAATCTCGTCGTCAATGTCGGCCGCCGACATGGTGTCAATGGCTGCTTGTTATGGGACGAAGGGCATGAGAATCCAATGCGATGAGTGCATGTGTGGTTTGGAGGAGGGGAGACGCGTTGGTCTACTGATAAGCTGTGCTGGGCGCGCCTTATCAAAACACCTGGGGGATACGATCTCACGTGGGTGGTGCAGTGGTTAACTGGGTATTTACAGTGCTTATTTACAGTGGCGTTGCGCCATCGACTCCACGCCTGGGCGGTTCGGTTTCACATCCCTCCATCAGAGAAGAACCTTGGAAGCTGGAGGCAGACAGCCAAGCTATTCCATGACGCAGGAAAAAAGGCGTGCCTGTACCTACTCCAAGAACCGATAGATGTCCGAAGCACGGAGGATGCATGGACACTCCTGACATGACAAGAACCAGACCTGATCGAGGGCCCTGGAAGTATCAATATAGGTACATGCACCCCTGAAAGAATGGGGCGGGTTTTCGTTTGTCCCAGCGATTTCCCAGTATGAATCCAGATGCCAATTCCCCGGAATTGCTTGAATCTCCACTAGGCCAGGCCAGATTTGATCTTATCGCACACATTTGAGCCCCCTGTACTAGGTGTCAAACTCGGGACTAGTGAGCGGCGTAGGATGAATTAGGTAGGTTTGGCATGGCAGGTTGGTAATTAACGCCGCCCACGAGATTACCATCAATCCTCAAGACTTCGTCGAGGACAAGAGGCGCCCGTCCATTCCACGTCCGGCAGCGCTCTCTGTCGTCCCCTTCCATTCGTTCGCTTCTCTTCCGATCTCATTCGCATTTCGCCTGGGTTCTTTGCAGAGGGAAATCTGTCCAGAAAGATCCAAGCTGTCGTTCCTTTACATTTTTTGCCACTTTCTTCACATCCATCCACCCATCGTTGAAAGGCCACGGTTGCGATTCCACACCCGGGTCTAACCCGGAACAAGGCAGCAACAGTTCGGAGCGAGCCCGACCATACGGATCATTCGAACAAAGAGTCTTAGGGGGCTTTGTGATTTGTGATTCATCCGGGTTGCTCTTATTCGGTACGGCACAGTGCTCGAGAGGGTTCGTTGGTCTTTCGTGTCAACTCCCGCTGCCTGTCTCCAGCCGAGCTCGTCGCATAGCTACTTTCTTCCGCAACACACACTTTTGAAGACGAAACATTTGCTTTCCAAGCAGCACATTCCATATCGAAACACACGACACGGGCCTCCATCTCTCGTCCTACAGCGAACAGACCGCGGGACGAATCGAAAGCGTTGCCACAGCGCGAGACATCTCTTGTGTAACAATCTAATGGGTGCCCGGAGCCGTCAAGGGAAACCGTCCAAGCAGAACGGTCTGACTGTCGACACCTCAAAACGGTCGCCGACCAGCAGCCAACCCAACGCCAACGGCAACGGCAACGGCAACGGCATGAACAACAACCTCGAGTACCGGCGCAAAGGCGCGCATCAGGACTCCGACACCGTCACTGCCAACCTCATGGCGCGAGAGGCCTTCACCCTCGACGACCATGTCCCCGCGACCCCCACCGTCAACAACCACGGCTTCTGGGAGCTGCCCCTGTCCGACCAGCGCAACTTCGGCCTGCTCGTCCTCCTATACTTTTTGCAAGGAATACCCATGGGCCTGGCCGGCGGCTCCGTCCCCTTCCTGCTCAAGGACCACATGTCCTACAGCGAGATTGGCGTCTTCAGTCTCGCTTCCTACCCCTACTCCCTGAAGCTGCTGTGGAGTCCTATCGTCGATGCGGTCTGGAGCCCCAACGTGGGGCGGAGAAAGAGCTGGATCCTTCCTATCCAGGTGCTGTCGGGCATGGGCATGCTGTGGCTCGGGTCCCACATCGAGAGCATGATGACCATGACCGGCAAGCCAGGCGGCCCGACCGTCTGGGGTTTCACCGGGTGGTGGTTCTTCCTGGTCCTCATGTGCGCCACGCAGGACATCGCCGTCGACGGCTGGGCCCTGACGCTCTTGACGCCCGGCAACGTCTCGTACGCCTCCACCGCGCAGACCGTGGGGCTGACCGCCGGCCAATTCCTGTCTTATACCGTCTTCTTGGCATTCAACTCGAAGGACTTTGCCAACAAGTACTTCCGATCCGAGCCTCTGGACCACGGTCTGTTGAGCCTTTCCGGCTATCTCACCTTCTGGGGCTGGGCCTTCATCGCCGTCACCGTCGGACTGGCCCTCATGAAGAGGGAGGAGAAGACGAAGAACGAGGACGGCGTCTGGGACGTGTACAAGATCATGTGGGGCGTCCTGAAGCTGAAGAACGTCCAGACCATCATCCTCGTCCACCTGATCGCCAAGATCGGCTTCCAGGCCAACGACGGCGTCACCAACCTCAAGCTCCTGGACAAGGGCTTCGGCACCGACAACATGGCCCTCACCGTCCTCATCGACTTCCCCTTCGAGATCGGTCTGGGCTACTACGTCGGCAAGTGGTCGCAAAAGTACACGCCCATGCGCATCTGGTGCTGGGGCTTCGTCGGCCGCCTCGCCGCCGCCGTCTTTGCCCAGTTCACCGTCGTCATCTTCCCCGCCGGCGGCGTCAAGCCCTGGTACCTCCTCGTCGTCATCGCCGAGCACGTCCTCTCCACCTTTATGAACACGGTCATGTTCGTCGCCGTCTCGGCCTTTCACGCGCGCATCGCCGACCCCGTCATCGGCGGCACCTACATGACCCTCCTCGCCACGTAAGTAGTTTGTTTATTCTCTGATCAAAGCAAGAGAGGCCCTCTCTCCAGACGCGCTGTTTCTAACCACTCTTTTTTGACACAACAACAGAGTCTCCAACCTCGGAGGGACCTTCCCGCGCTACTTTGTCCTCCGGCTCGTCGACGCCTTCACCAGCGCCACCTGCCACCCGGGCCGGCCCGACCCCGCGGCCCACCTCAAGGGCCTGCCCGTCACCGAGCCCTTCTCCTGCGCCATCCAGTCCGAGAAGGAGCGCTGCCTGGCCGGCGGCGGCATCTGCGAGATGGTCCGCGACGGCTACTACATCGTCAACATCCTCTGCGTGCTGTTTGGCCTCTTCACCTTCTTCTCCTTCATCAGGCCGCGCGTCCTGCACCTGCAGAGCCTGCCCATGCGGGCGTGGCGGCTGGCGACCGCTCCCGTCAAGGCGTAGAGAGAGAGAGAGAGAGAGACAGAGAGAGGAACCAGAGGGGAGACTTACGGGGGGTTGATTGTGTGTGTACTCTGAGATCCACCCACCTCTTCCGCGGACGATATGAAGATATATATATGTATCATTTACTGCCAAGGAGCTGGTTGGTTCGATGTATAAAAAGAATTAGATGATGCCCCCTCTGGCTTCCAATTTTAGAAATGTAAAACTTTGTTGAAAAAAGAACTACAGGATCCATCTATCCAATGTTTTTACTAATCTGACTGCATCAAGGGACTACTTTGCGGGTCAAGTAGAGTAAGGAGTAGTCATATTATGTATGTCTGAACTATCTAGAGGTATATGCAACAGCCCTCGGAAATATGAGAGCGAGGAAAACAAGGGCGCACGGCGAACGAGCGATCTTTGTGAAGAGCAGATCATCCCTCCCCCTCCCCTTAAACCCCTTCCCCCCCTTGTCCCCGTCATCCTCGAGCTGTGTGTGCTTCGCTATGCAACTATGTATTCGTAACGAGTGACTGACAAAGGGAATTAAAAATGAAAATCAAAGAAACGAGGCTTAATATGTTTCAAATTCCAATCTCGGGGGTTTGTCGAAGAGAAGGCAAAAAGAAAATGCAAAAGATTCATTGCTGAAATCGGGGGGTATCATTCTAGGTCCAGATCCTTTCGATAGGTACTTGTATGTTCTGTTTTCCGTTCTGTCCGTACCGCTGGCGAGCCATTTCAGAATGGGCTGCACAGGTTTGTCTTGACGAGAACAAATTTGTTCGCAGCTTCCCTCTTCTCCTCCTTCTCTTCTGTGGTGTTTGATTAAAACAAAGTGTGGTATAGTTGACAAAGGAAAAAATAAATAATCTTGATAAAAACTTCGCCGGGAATGCATCTGGCTATCCTCCAGGCTTAGTAAACGGCCAACAACGCCTTTCGTCCAAGTCAGAGACGGTCGTCATGAGAGAGAGAGAGAGAAATAAGAGTCTCGTCTAGTCGTCTTCAAAGAAGCCCGCGTCGTCAAAGTCCCCGGTGTGAGCGTCGGAATCGTAACCGCTCGTCCCCATCATGGGAGGCGTCATCGGCTGCGGCGCCCGGCTCTGCTTCCGAGGCGGCGTCGAGCGCATGACGGGCATCTTCTCCTCTCGCCTCGGGGTCATCGACGAGCCGCGAGGGCCAGTCGACTGGCTCGCCAGCGGCTGGCTGCTGTGTCGGCGGCCGGTGGCGCCAAAGGCCGTTGGCTGATGGACCTGCCCAGAGGGAGGGGTCTGGCGCACTCCCGATGTGGGCGGCGTCAGCAGGCCCCAGAGACCTTGTTGTCCCGACGCACTGCTCTTAGACGGCGTGGACTGGTGGTGGTGCCCTGAAGCGGGAGAGTTGAGGACGCTCGAGATGCTCCCCATGGTGCCGTTGGGATCGCGAGACTTTCGCCAGTTGCCCCACGCGGCAGCCAGAGGGCCGACAGCCTGGGCGACCCTGGGCGTTGCAGCATCGCGAATAGTGGCGGCGATGTTGGGCAGGTTGATGGCCGAGCCACCGTTCATGGCCCTCTCGCGCTCCTGCTCCTCCATTTGCAAGTTCGCATTTAGGCGAATGGCCGCGTCCTTGACTGCATTCCTGTCGTAGTCGTCACGCCCAAGAGCGGCGATGATATCTTGGAGATCAGAGTGTCTGACAGCAAGAAGCTCACGCAACCAGACAATCTCATCGTCACGCTTAGCGATCTTGGTGGGTGCGTCTGCATCGAGCAGAGAATTTTCATGCTCGAGCTCCTCGATACGCTGCTCACGGGCCTGTAGCTGCTCCTGAAGAACCATGATTGACTCCCGGAGGGCTTGCGGCGAGATCTTCTCGGGCAGCTCCATAGCGCGGGATACGGCTGGCTTGGATTGAACAACGGGGGCCGGCTGGAGAGGTAGTTCTGATACAGGCGACTTGGCGGCCTTGGCGGCAGCCAAAGCGGCCTCCTTGGCGATCTCGAGCTTCTCCTCGAGGTGAGCAACACGGTCCTGCAGGTGTTCCGTCTTGGAGGTAGAGATGCTCAGGCGCTCCAAAAGATTCTGCTCCGACCGCTGGGCATCCTCCGTAAGATTGTTGACTTGACGGTCGTAGCGGGCCTGTATGTCCTCCATTTCATTCTGGTGTCTGCGAGCAAGCTCCTCGAGATCATTCTTCTTGGACGACTCCGCGTCCTCGAGAAGCATTTCGTGACGAGCCTTGGCAGTGTCAGCGTCAAGCTTGACTTGGTCGAGCTGCGAGCGAAGTCTCGCAAGTTGGTCCTCGTAGTCATCACGAACCACATTGACCTGATGGTTCGCGTCCTCGATCTCGCTTTGCATCGCATCACGCGTACGCTGCACCTCACGAGCGCCAGACTCCCGGGCCTGCTCAAACTCGGCTTGGTAGCGAAGGCTGCTCTGCTGCAGCTTGTGGTTCTCGGTGCGAAGCTCGCCGATGAGCGCCTCAAGACGCTTGCACTCGTTGACGGCACGCATTCCTTGCCTCTCGCCGCCCTCGAGTCTCTCGAGCTCCTCCTCCAGACGCTCACGGGTCTTAGCCTCGGCCTGGAGTTTGGCGTCGAGGACCTCTTGTCGGGCAACAAGCGCCTGCTCCTTCTTAATTCTGCGGGCGCTCTCCTCGGCAACCTCACGAGCCGCCCTCGACATGTCTTCCTGGAGAGCGACAAACTTCTGGCGCCAACTGTCCCGGAGGCGCTCGTTCTCCTCCAACTGGGTACCGAGGGTGTCGATAACCTTCTTGAGATGCTTGTTCTCGCCGGTAACCTGAACAATGTCGTCGCCCTGTCTTTGGGAGAGGTCGATAGCACGTTCGGCCTCAGACTTCCAGTGGCGGGCCTCTTGGCGAGTGTCCCGAAGGTCAACCTCTGCGACATTGAGCCGGTTCTGCAGGTCGCTCTGGGTCTTCTGGTTGTTGGTCTGCGCCTGCTCCAGGAGCGTCAGCCGCATGCTGCTCTTGCCACGGTTCTCCTCAATCGTCTTGAGCTTCTGATCCTTCTCCTCCAGGATCTCCCGAAGACGCGTCTCCTCCTCGGACGATATCCGGAGCAGCCGCTGGTTCTCAGCGAGTCTGTCTTCGGCAACGCGGCGACCATTGACCTCCTCTTCAGTCCTGGACTCCTGTTGCTTCAGTCGATCCTCGAGGTCAGCCACGCGCTGGTCAAAGGCACTGCGATTCATGATCTCGACCTCGATCTTGGTCTCGGCGAGCTCAAGCTTCCGGCACATTTCCGCCGTTTCATCCTCAGCTGCTCGCCTCGACCTGGTCTCGGCTTCCACCTTCTCCTGCGCAAGGTGTAGTTGATGCTCCTGGTCGGCGAACTTGGTCATCAACTCATTGTATTTCTCGGCAAGCTCGTCTTGGCCTGGGACAACAACGGGTTGCGGTGTCGGGGGCATCCGGCGCTCTACTGCCTCCTCGACAATGTTTCTGAGATCCTCGCCACGGAAGTCGAGGTGCAAAGATTGGCTGAATTGATCTCTCATCTCGTTCATTGTCTTCAGGAGAGACTCAACTGTCTCACCAGGAGCAGATTCCTGAGTAGTGGGGGCAACGTTGCGCTGCTGCTGCTGCTGCTGCTGGGAGGCAAGCGCCTCGAGGACGACGTTCCGCATCTGCTCCATTCTCTTGTCTCTCCGTGGGCTCATAGAGCGGCGGGCAGGAACCTCGTCATCCTCATCATCCGCATCGCTTTCCTGGACTTCAGCCGACACACTACGCGCATCTCGTCTGCTAGATAGAGGTCGCCGCGACATGTTGCCGACTGCATTCAGGACAAGGCTCAGTGACTTTTCGAGAGGGTCCAGCCTGGCAGCCAAAAGATTGCCAACGACCTCATTAACGTGCCCATCGAAAAAGTTGACCCTTGACTCGAGCTTAAGCTGCTCATCGTCAGTGAAAGTGCCTTCCCAGTCACTAGCTGGTACGCTTTCAGAGCCGTTGAGCTGCGTGACAGGGGCGTCAAAGGACCGGGCGCTCTGGGGCGGGTCGACGAAAGGGTCTTCCAGCTCAGCTGAAACGATAGGTTGCTGTGGTTCACCCGGCAGGTGGCGATATTGCCTGGGGCTGGGGCTGGGAGCGTCACTTCGGAAAAGGTTGGGCTGAGGAGCCAAATGATGAGGCGAGGCGTTTGTAACGGCCGCGATGTCGATGTGCCTTGTGGGGCTGGGTTGATGCCATTGCGGCTGCTCAATAGTCTTGTTGACTCCCTTGGTGGGATCAGTCTCATTCAAATGCCTCATGATATCGTCGATCTCCTCGAAAGTCACCTCACCCTCCTCGCCAAGTTCAGGCTGACGGACATCTGCCGTGTCCTCAACCTCGGGCGATACAGATCGCTCGACTTGCACCTCGGGAGACGGTTCCCGTTCGGGAGATGGCGACAGAGCTGCGTACCGGGATGCTGCGAGGCCGCGCGGCTTGGGAGGCTCGACTGGTTCAGCCGGCTCGGCGTAACGGGAGCCAGACAGGCCCTTGCCCGCCGGAGGAGGCGAGGCAAAGCGTGAGGTACCCAATCCTTTCGCGGGCGCCGCTGGTATCGACATTGCTTCCGGCTCCACCTCGATAGACTCCGCAATCTCAGGATCTTGGACAAATTCGTCGAACACTTTGTCGTCTTCCCCAGTCTCATCCTGAGTTTCGTCTGCAGCGTCGTCCACCTCGGCGCTACCAAAGATTGATGAACCAGGTACGAATGGCTTCGCCGTGGCAGAAAGCGACTTCTTGTGCTTACGGAAAACATCATCACCCATAGGCCGAGCAGAGTCAAAATTCGCAATGTCGAGCTGTGACTTGAACTCAAACGGTGCCCATGTCATCGAGCTCTGGTTAGGGGATGTCTCCGATGGGCTTGTCACAGCCTTTGCGTCTGTGGTTTCCGAGACCATGGTCGACGACATGGTAGCGTCTTCGCCAGTCGCATCCTCGTGCTCCTCGTCTTGAGCAGTAGGGTCCTCAGCATCCAGCAGCTCTGCCTCCAAGGAAGCAGCGGTTGGCTGTTCGGCGAACAAAGGAATATCATTGTCCGGCTCGACGGAAGCTCTGGCCCTCTTGGTCCGGGTTTCGTCCGTGAGGCGGCCCTCCTGGTCGAACTGCTCGGCCTTCTCCTCTGCTGGAGGGGACTTGCGGCTGGACGGCGGCCGAACAATTGGAATGGCCTTGGATCTCTTGGCTGGCTTGACAATCTCGGACACACTTAGATCAATATTGCCGAAAATCGAGCTGCCCTGGTTGCTCGGGCTTTCAGCGCCAGATTGTAGGGCACTGGAAACCGAGTTGGAGAATGAATGCGGAGTGAACGCGGGGGCATCGGGTCTGAACTTGGGTCCCGAAGCCGAGAAGCTGAACTCGCTCTGGCCAGGCGAGAATACTGGCGCATTGACGTTGATCTTGGACGTGGCGGTTGGGAAGCTGAACTGGCTCGAGTTGGCAGATAGCGGGGGGTTGGAGGAAGGTTCAGCCTGGAAGGCGGCAGGCTGGAATGAGTTGGAGCCAAACACAAATTGGCCAGGCTTGAAGCTTGTTGAGCTGGCCGGGTTGAACTTGAACTCTGGGGCCTCGACGTTCAGCTTGGATAGTGAAGCCTTGCTGCCGTGGCTTAGCTTGCGTCCATTTTGCTTGCTCGACATGGACACCGCATCGCTCCAAGGATTGCTTGCTGTGGAAAAGGAGCGTTGGTGCTGGTCTAGCACATTGCCGAAGTCCACGTTGTGCAGAGGCGTACCGAGATTGCTTGGGTTGGTCTCAATTTCGAAAGCATCGTCTGACTTGACAAGGGACTCGGAGCTTTGACCGGCCTTTTGTTTGCCGAGGCTGCACTCGTCAGTACTGTCCCGATGCTCCTCGGGCTCGGTGTAGTAGTTATTCGCCAAGGAGTGGCCGCGGCTATGGGGACGAGGATGGTGGAGGACCGGGCCATTCTCCGCGTCGTCTCGGAATCTCTGCAGTGGAGGAGCAAACTGGACCGAGGGCTCGCGAGCATGATTCTCCCGCTCTGCGGCGTTTTCGCCTGCCTCCTTCTCGTCGTGAGGGTTGTAATCCGTATCATGTTCAAGTTGGGACCTGAATTGCTCTTCCAGGTGGTACTCAGCCTCATCGATCTCCTTCTGGAGACTGGCACTAGCATTGTGCCGAATGAACGTCTTGGCCTCCGGAGTCTTGGACGGGCTCTTGCTTTGAGCCTCTTCCTCGTCTTCGTGAACATCTTGAAGGCGTGGAGATGCTCGAGGCGGAGGTTGAAAGTGCTGGTGAGGAAGCAGCGGATACTGCAAAGACTGGTGCCGCTGGTGCATCGGGGGTTGGAAGCCATCAGGGGAGAAGGGTGAAGATGGCGACATCATCGCACTGAGATTAGCAAGCGACGGTGATCCGCCTCGGGCCAATCCCTGATGGAGAAGCACAGCTTGCGGCGAGATACCGTGGGGCGAAGGTTGCTGTTGGTGCAGCTGGAATGCGCCGGCCGGGATCGAGATGGACTGCCGGGGGTTGTACTTCCCGTTGAAAGAAGCCGGCGATGCGATGGAGGGAATCCCAGGGCTTTGAGTGCCGGAGGAGGCTCCGAGTGGGAGAGGGAAGGGGAATTGCTGCGCTCCATGAACGCTCGACGCCGAAGACGTGGGAATGGGAGGTGAGAAGGGCAGAGGCGGGTACTGTGTCACCGACGGCTGTCGGCTGATCGAGGAAGCACCCGGAGAGACTGATGGCAGAGGCGGTTCTTCGTCACCGAACGAAACGCCCAGTGCGCGCAGCTTCGCCTCCGTCTGTTCCTCAATGAACCTCTTCCACGCATTCAAATCAGGCAATGTAACCTGGTATTTCCGTCGAGCGCGCTCTCTATCCATGTCCTCAAAGCTCGGGAATGGGCCCCTGCTCTGCGAAGGGCCCGATGACTCGGTCTGGATGTCATACTCGCCCAGGTCGAACCCACGTGTGTCATATCCAAGTTCCTCCCAAGAGCGGAACATGCCCTGAACATCATCTTGGGTCAGAGGCTTGGGTGCATTGCCGGGTTGGCCGCGCTGGTTGTCCAGAGGGAGGAGAATCAAGATGTTCTTGCCCTTCCACGGAACCTTTTTCTTCAGACGCGGCGTCATCGCTGGTTCCTTCTTCTTGGGGGATCGCGAAGGTGTCCTAGGCAAGTCGAAGTCGACTTTGCTTGCCCCGCGGGGGGTACCATTCTGTAGAGGCTGTGTGGGCTTCTTGGGCGTCGAAGGCCTCCCAATGGTGTTGCCGTGAGAATGCTCGTCGCCTGCGGCCGGAGCCACATTCTCAGCATCAGAATTCGACATCTTGGCTGGTTGGTGGGATGGCAGACGGAAGATGTCTGACTGCCGCAATGTCTCGCTGCTGGAAGCTTTGCGCAGGTATCGCCGAGCTGGTCGATGAATATCTCCAAACACAGTCTGACTGGCTCTTGGTGTTTTCAGAGCCTTGTCTTCTTGCGAGAAGGCGTCGTCGCCGCAGAATGATCCACTCAATGAAGAGGGCTCGCTCTCACCCGCGCCGTCGCTCAACCAGTGCTGAGCTTCAGAATCCAAATCGCCAGCTGTGTGCTGACGGATCCAGTCCTCGGTCAGACCCCTCGTAGGACGCTTCGCCCTCTTCACGAGTACTGCGGCGCTGATGTGCGAGGCTGGGTGCTCGCCAGACTCGTCGATAAAAGGCGCAGGGCGGAGGAAGGGAGTGTGGATGTCCAAGTGATGGATCGGCGAGTCCTCGGACGCCCCGCTGCTCAGGCTCGAGCGCCGGAATGCCTTATCAGACTGGGGATAGGGTGATCCCCAGCTGGCGGTCACGTACCGACTGTCCTCTGCTTCAGGGTCCCTCGGCGGTGTCTTCAAGAGCTGCTTGATCCGGTCCGGAAGCTTGGGAGCCGGTAGAGAAGGAAGGACGGGTGAAGCTTCGCCGTCGGCAGTCGATGTGGTGGACAGCGCAGGAGACCTCGGGGATTGTGAAGTGCGAGACTGCCAGTCTCTAGTGCCGTCCTGAGGGGAGGCACAAGGTCGTGGAGGTGTAGACGATGGTAGAGGAGACGTCTTTGAGGAACCTAGGAGCGGGCGCCGCAGGTGAGATTAGTCGAGGTTGTGGAAGCTCGAAAGAACGACATGATAGCAGGGCGAGCCTGTTTAACTCCTGATGGGCCAAGCGCAAACTCACCACTGCGAGATCAGCGCAGACGAAATGGAAATCGTCTGCTACTAGATCTCTTTTGATTTTCGCGCGTGTCGGCAAGCTCCCAGAAGCCCCTGTTAATATCTCAACAGGAGATCTGTCTGGCTGGGAGGTGCGGTTTGGCTGTCGCGACGCGTTTTGGGCAGTTTGGTCTAGGTAGGTTCTGTCCCCAGGGGAGCAGGTAGAGAAGAAAAAAAACGTAGGAAATTAAAAAAGGAGTGACATCAGAACAGAACACCAAATGGTTGCGTTTGCTGTACACATCGAAGCAACGGTCGCTACCAGGTACTCCGGGGCCCTTGATGGGAGTGATTTGGCAAGGGGGGGGGACACGGTCCTGGTTCGAGGCGCACGGGGTTGCGGACGAGGGCAGAGGACGCGCGAGAATCGGTTTAGGGGCAAGGAAAGGCTGGTCGTGGTCGTGGTCGTGAAGGAAAAGACAGAGTTGTCATGGGGGGCACAAGCCTGAATGGACCGAATAATTTCCTTACGGCTGCTGGGGGCAAAAGCACATGGGACAGGACTGAGTCTTTTCTCTTTTGATCGATGAACAAATGAGCGAGTCTGGCCGGACAGGGTTTCCTACATTGGCCGCTTCCCAAGTAATCTCGCTCATTTGTCAAGATGGGAAATACCCGGCCCACGCGCACCTCAGGGGTAAATGACACACCAGAGACGGCGCGGGGCAGTACTTGGTCCCCGTGTATCTGCTATCCAAGTGCTACCTCTCAGGGAGCCGTTGGAAGGACCCCCGCTGAAGATTCACAGGAAATAAAATACAAAGTAAAAAAGACGGCCGTTTCGACCGCGACTTTACCCAGCCGTTTCTTTCCAGACCGTTCAGTCCACACAAAACACACAGCACAAAGTGTAGCCTACCTGATCAATAAGGAATGATACGTCTGCTGTCTCCAAGCAGACAGACGGAATAGATACAAATGCGGGTTTGACGCGACAGCGCTAGCATCCGTCGACGTGTAGTTTCCCACGTTCCACGCCTGGCCGTGTCCGCCATCAACAAAAGTCAAAGTGTTCCTAATCAAGACGGGCTCGGTTCCTAAACGTGCTAAACCAGCGGCGCGCGCCTTGGTAGCGCAACCAAGCAGGTAGCGCCATGGGCTCATCCGAGACGGCACCTCAATCCGGCTAGTGCCAGGACCCTTTTGCGGGGACGCCCCTGAATAAGCGTATCCGTCAATTTTGAGACTCCGTCTGCTCTGTCCAGGCAGGCTGTCTGTCCTCCCACTTCGCGAGTAGTCAAGCCCATTTGTCGAGACGGGCAGCAAGGAAGAATCGTCAAGTTGTCTACGAAGTACGCGGATTGGAAGAGGGAGATAGGAAGAGGAAGTAGTAACAAAGCAGAGAAGATAAAAAAGAATATGAAAGGAGAAGAGTCCATGAGAAGTCAAAGAAGTCAGCAAAAAACCGAAGAGCATCATGGGATCAGACCATGGACCTTGGGACGGAATGCATTTACCACACCCCCACCCTCCACCACTACATCTCATCCACATGGAAAGCAAACACTCCATCACTGACCAAGAGCATCGTCAATATCAGCTCTCAAAGCCTTCGATTCGTCGCTTAAAGTACTGCCTTGCGGGCCCTGAAAACCCCAACGCTGAACCAGCGCAAACTCCCAAAACTCCATCCATAACCATCCCCAGTCTGCCCGAGAACCCAACCGAAAAGCGATTCCCAAGAACATGATCATCTGCCGGATAGCCCACCCTTTCAGAGGTCACAGATGATATCGAAGTCGGCCGTCGAGCTCACCACGGCTTGGAAGGCCTGCTGCGTCGACGAATTCGCAGCGGCCTTGCACTTGTCTGTATAGCAAGATCGAATGGTCAGCTCGACTCTCCGACTCTTTTGTTCCGGCGAAACAATAACTCACTTGTCTGCTGGTCACAGTCGCTGACCTTCAGCCCCCCTCCCTGCTTGCTGTTGGCCACCTCGGCGCACTTGTTGTGCTGGTTGTCGCAAGCCCTGTTGGCCGCAGTCGCGAAGTCAGGCTATGTCGGGGAGACCAACAACGTGTTAGTCGTGGCTCGGTGCTCTGTCCGTATGGCCCCCCCCCTCCAGCAATGACAACTGCTCCCTCCCTCTCTTCTCAAGAACCTGAAGAGAACTTACAAAGGTATCGCCGTCAACCTCAAACGGCCTCTCCTTGTTGCTCGACTGCGTAATCTGTCCCATAGCCCTGTCAGTCAACCAATCTCCCTTCCACGCCGGTGGCAGATAATGGACGGTCAAATTCCGGAGGAAAATCGTACAGCAGAGGCGGCAACGCCACCGAGAGCACCGCTGAAGGCTTGCAAGTTGTTCGTTGCCCGTGGGTACACCCCCATCTTGAAGTCCCGGCGGACATCGTCGACGATATCCATGGGCTGCGAGGCAGCCGCCCCCGTGGCCATGAGCAGTGCCACGCAGGCGGTGAGTCCGTGGTGCAGCATTGCGTGCAAATCTGTTTCGACAGCCAACAACAAAAAATACCTGGGACTTGTTGTCCAAGTGCAAATCGCCCTAGTGTCCGTATTCCGTTGTTGAAGCTTGTAATGACGAAGTTGACTGCAGTGCGCCACCGGAAAGAAATGAAGGCCTGTCAACTGTTTGCTTTCTGAAATAGACGAGAAATGTAAGTGTGGCAGTTGCTTTCGAGATGCCTCACAACCAACGGCCGCTATCTCCCCCGGATTTGAGCTGAAACGCACGGCGTCAAGCAAGCATCAGGCGCAGCTCTCGACCTGAAACGAATCTGAGACATCACCACCCACCATCTCACCTCAGTAAGCAAGCGAGTGATGAATATTTAACAACAGCACGCAAACTCAGAAAAGACTTCTCTGAAGAGCCAGCAGATCAAGAATCATTTTTTTTTCGACATAGGGAATCCACGGGTGACATGGCGGGCTTTACCGCCCTGTTTTTGGAATCTATTAAATCTGTCTTTGAGAAATTCAAAACATGACCCATGACACAGATGCCTGCAGGAATCCTCCGCTGGTCAGAGATACTATAACTACAAATTCGATGAGGCGCCTGGCTCGTAGTGCCCGGCCTGCGTCATCTGCAGTACCTCCCCTCTCATCCTCATCACCGATGTTGCACGCGCATCGGGTCTATCATTAAAGGACCCAAATGCGATCCTGAAGGCTCGTCAACCTAGCATGGCTTATAAAAGCCAGCTCGCGTAGTTCCGCCCTTGAAATTCTATCGAGTTTCGTCGTTCCATCAATGGTGGTAATCGACAGTCAACGCCAAATGCAATTTTTATCAAAGGAAAATGAAACGCCCATCGCGATGAGATTATGTATCGGGAGGTATGAACAGGTGAGATAGATCGACAAGGAGCAAGGCGTGGCCAGCTCAGAAGTTGGAAGAGGCGTTGACCTGGGTGGGTGCGTGATAGCTCTCGAGCGTGCTCTGGAATGGAGAACGTCCACTGACGGAGCCGCCGTTGTCTGACTTTTCCAGTGGGGCGTAACCAGTGCCGACCAAGTTGTCAGGCTCCTCGACAGGCTTCTTGCGACCCCAAATCCTCCAGGCGACTAGGCCGATAACGGCGAGGACGATAGCACCGCCGACGCCAACAACGACACCGATGATTGTATTGCGGGTCTGGGAGGACATGCCCGACTGCTTGTTGCCTGAGTTGTCCTGTGCCAAGCCCGGGGTCGAGGTGGAAGTCGACGCGCTGGTGATCTCGGTAGGCGACCCATCAGGGTTGGTAGTCGTGATAACCTTTGTGATGGTAGACTTGACAACAGAGGTGTTGCTCGTCGGGGTGCTCTTCTCACTAGTGGTGCTGCTCTCCTTCTCCTCCGTGGAAGTCGTGGACTTGCTAGTCGGCTGAGTCGGCTTGGATGAGGTCGGTGTAGGCGTGGCTGACGGAGACGTCGTCGGCGTGGTCGATACATCCGTGTTGGAAGTCGGCGTTGGGTCCGAGGTGGGTTTCGAGGAGGAGCTGGTCAACGAGGGCGATGAAGAGGTCTTGGGCGGACCGGCTGAGCTGGACTTGTCATCGGATTCGCCCGACTTCTGCCTCCTGGCGAGGTCGTAACTGTCCTCGACATTTGCGTTGACTTGGAGAGCCTGGGCAATCGAGAGTATGGACAGTGCTGCGAGGAGCAGTCCAAGTAATCGGCTCGTGTACATGGTGAATCCGTGCCGTGTGTTAGGCTGAGGGAAAGGAGATGCGAATCGGAAAAGGATTAGAAAGACTAATTAAAAGCCGCTCAGCGCTCTCTGTATTGACGATGCGATAAGCGAGGACGGTTCGGTCGAGTTGGTCGAAGCGCGTCCCTGTGCTCGGGGCAAATGTTTCAAACAAAGGACAGGCCGTGGGACTCGCGTGACAGTGATGGTATCACGTCGAGAGACCGGACCAAGGTGAGCGCTGCAGACCAGGACAAGCCGCGTCGGACGAGTGAGTAATCGAAATGGACGAGGCAAGAAAATGGCCAGAAGACGAGGCACTACTCGATGAGTGAACCGGGGAGAAGGTGGTATTTAGAAGCGGAAAGCCAAGAGGCAAGGAGACATGAACGAATGAAGAATAGACGTGAGAGGGGGGAAGGAGGAAGAAACAGGTACTATGTGTTGAGATGGAGCGAGTGTGGGATTGAGAGAGGGTGAGGGTGAGGGTGAGTGGGCAATGCTTGGATCTTTTTGGGGCGGAGCAGCAAACGTAGGAGATGCAGGAGATGCAGAGTGGAAGGGAAAAGAAGTGGAGTGGACAAAGACCTCTCGACGTTGCCCCTTTGGGGATGGGGCCGGGACCCATGGGAGGGAAAGGGGAACCACTGGGATCACTGGGCCCGCCATATGGTGGGGTCCATTTTGTGCAAGTTTGGCGTCCGAAAACGGTGGTGGGCGGGCCGCCGTGAGTACCTCTAGCTCACTGGCCCGATGCATACAGCGGCGGGCACCTGCTGACGACTGTTTCTTGGACTTCTGAGACAGTCGGTCCGGGAGGGAAGGGGGCAAGAGAAGGACGATCAGCGTCTGTTTTAGGGCATGGTCTGGACCAGGAACCGCTGGAGACCAACTGTCAGGCAGCACCTCTCTGGGGGTCAGACAGCGTTGATTGGGCCCTGTTGTCCCACACTGTGAGCCTGAGGGTGGTGGCCTCGTATTCCAATCGTCCTGGCGCCTCCTCCGGCCTCCCGGCAGATGCGACAATTGTGCAGTAGGACAGTGAAGATTCAGGACGTGGCCGTCTCCCTGTCAACAGAATCGAGCTCATCTCATTAGGCTTGTTTCATCTTTTCAATTCTGCTTGCCCGGTGCTACTGTCCCAACACCCGTCATCCCCAGGAAGCTCCAGCGCTCCTTGATTCCCACGACTACAAGTAACCACACTCTCGGCTGTCGGCCCATTGGAGGTTTTTGTCTGTTCAGGGATGACGAGAGCGTGGGCCACTCACTGACAACGCCACTGGTGCATGCATGCCATCTGTCGATGGGACGATCTCCTTGTACCTGCACGCGCGAGGCTTATGCAAACCGTTGCAAAAAATTTACATTGGCCAAGTTAGGTACTTACAGCGCGGAAAACAAGAAAAGACAACAACACCCCCATCACCACCACTATTACTTCCCAGTCCGGAACCTCTCAGCTCGTCGACTGGGCAAGTCGTGCGTTCCTAAAGGAAGCAATTCAAGATACCCGGCTTCTGTACCCTGAGCAAGTCAGTACAGGTTGCACAACCTGCCGCCGGCCGGCATGCCGAGGGAAAAGGTACCTACTCCGATGCAAGCGGCTTTGGCTGCACTTCTTGTACCAAAAATAACTCTTGGGCGCGGTGCATTGGAATGCGATCTTCACGTAGCCGTGCGCTAAAGGCATGGAAGGCCCCATTCGCGTTCTCGAAAACCTTTTCAGTCAACACTCTACCCAACCTCGCCAAGCTTGCCAACCCCACGGCGATAGCTCTCATGTTCATGCGCTTTTCCCGGTCCTGAAGATCTGTATCAATCTTCCCAAAGGACCCTGATATTACAAGGAGCGGCTGATCTACTTGTACAAGGAGTAGTTACCACAACAGTATTGTGACGACATGCAGAACCCGGGTTTCTCGATGCCTGTCGCTGTTCCTGTTTTTACATCCACTGGGGGCCTGCTTTCCACACGCTACATGTACCAATCGTCACTCGGGACCAATTGAGGACGGAGAGACGAAAACGGCAAGCGAGTGGAGAGCGACGACGGTCTAATGGACGCCATAGTCCTGCGCTATCGCAGACCTAGCGACAGCTTGGACTTGACTCCGAGCCGGTTCTTGCACAGGTACGATAAGAAGTTACCTGACTGAAGATGCATAATTCATCGGCACTCGCCTGTGTAGCTCTGCGAGGGTGTCCTGGCCTCAGAAACCCTGGAAATCTGAATATGGCGTCATGCTTCAAGACCCCATGCCTGGGGTGCCTGCGGCGGTACTGACAATCACAAGATCACCTCGACGGGGTATTGTACTTGTAGAAGCTGCGCATGTAACATGCCGGGGTGCTGACCCAAGATCTGACGGAGACACCAACTCAGGAACGTGGGTTTTGCACAGCCTCGATTTGGGAGTCCTCTTTGTCGACGCCAGAAATAAGCTTAGACATGCTGTCCCACTTCCCTACTCGGTAAGTGAAGTCGACGGACAACTTCTTAGTAGCCCCAGTAGCCTACTACGTACAAAGTAGGACTCTATCTGCCCATATACGAGGGTCTAGCAAAGATCCATTTCCTGGTCGTCTCTACTCTGGCACCTGGTCGTCCCAAAGCTTGGCACAGGGTCAATCCCGGGAAAACAGGAATGCTGTGTGTGACCTGCATCTCTGCCAGTCTACTTGTAAAGTAGCGTCACATCGCGGCAAGTGTACCCAAACCCTCACTTGCGTCATTGTGCTTCTGCCGGGGGTCGGTGCAGAGACAACGACATGATAGATTACCGAGCATCTATTGGCATTCGAATCCTGCTTGTGAACCAGCAACAACATTGAAACGAGGCACAGACGTCATGGGGGGAAGAAAGATACTGTTGGCAGACTTCGACATTGATCTCGCACAATGGCCTACCATGGCATTCACCAGGATGCCTACTTCAAGGCCTTGTACCCGATAGGCGCCAGAGCCTTCTGACCATCTCTAGTCTGTCCGAGTTCCTTCTTACAGTCTGCACACTCTCTTTAAATCTGGACAACTATCGCCGCCCCAGCAAGAGAAGGGCCAGCAGGAGGAAGAGGTCTCGTTCTCACCTGTGCAACACTTGTCTGTTTTGTTTATACTGAACCAGCTGTTGTTTCCCATCTTGTTCTCTCCGTGGTAAAAACCACTCAAGCATCTATCGGCTCTGATACTTGGCAACTCACTCACCCCTTAAGCCATAACATTGAACTTTACCTCGCAACTACGAGCTAGACATATTGCATTTCAAGGGCTGGATGGACATCGAAGCTGAAGGCCTCCCAGCGAGTCTCGCCACTTCAGCTCCTCTTTGTGTGGACAATGTCTATGTTCTGGTTATCCTTTGTTCTCGCGTAGCTGTTGTTCTCGCAGAGCTTCTCATTGTTTGAAGGAATGCTATAATACTGACAAAAAGCACAAGTCGACCTGGGCCGGATGTGAATTGTAAAAAAATGAAAGGAAGCCATGATTGTATTAATCGTGTTTCCTTTGGCCGCTCAACAATGCTTCTCCATCCAGCCTCCCAACGCTCAATATTGACTAACTAACTACCACAGTTTCGTAGCACACATATATATTAAAGACAAAGCACTGACCTGTAGCCTTTCTCCCCTTTTCCCATACCTGCCCATCGCATCGTTATCATCGCCATCCGGAGCCCAGTTGGACTACGGATACGGTCCCTCGCCACCTCCAGCCGAACGAAGCCTCTCACGATCTACGGCAATGATAGACACCCCCCTGTCCACCTCCCGACCAGGTCTTCTCTCGCTAACCAAGAGCCTCCTGTTCACTCTCCTCTGCGGGATCGTCGTTCTGATCTTTGAAGTCTGTGACAGAATGGGCGAGCGGCTACCCGAGAGAGTTCCTGCCGGCGACGACTCGACACGCAACCCCCCATCCTCTCCTTGCAGCACAGCTGCCGCCTTCGAGCTGAGATCCTCGAAGAGAAAAGCGAAATCGGGGTCCCCAAGGACACCAAGGCCATGGGCGACGATGCCTTCCCCGAGACCAAGACTCAGTTCACTGCTACAAGCGCCGCCGGTCAAGCTAGACCTGTCGTTCTCGTGCCTCAAGTCCGCCCACATGTCACCGCCGAGCCCCACGGACAGTCAACAGGCAAGGCCGACAATAAAGAGAATCGTGACCTTGGTCAGAAGGCCAAAGACGCGAGCCACCGAACCGCTTAGGGAGGATCCGGACGGCGGTCCACCGCCCTCAAAGGACGACGCGGTAGCTTGGTTTCAACTCTCCAGCCGAGAAGCGAAGCAAGAGGATACGACAACCATCCCGGAGACAAGCAACAACAATAACAATACGAAGGATACTCTCAGCGGCGAAAATGAGGTAAAGAGCATCAAGCAGACAAAACGGAAACGCAAAGGTAGAGGCAAAAGCAAAAGCAAAGGCAAGAAGCGGCTTGCGATCTGCAAATGGTCCCTCACAATCACGCACCCGCTTGCCTCAAAGCACTCGTCGCATATGAAGAAGCAGGGCCAGAATGACCACCGGTGGGTTGCCTCCCAAGACACTGCTTTCCCGACGCTGGCGGTCACCAGCCCGGAAGGCAAAACGTCGTACCTGGTTGACAGACAGACCTACGGGCCGGCTGGGCTGCAAGAGTCGTGGGATGCCATTACCAACCGGAACTGGCGCCATAGCCTCCTAGAATCTTGTCGATGCAAGAGATGCGAGGCATACTGGAAGCTCCGGCGGGAGATTGAAGCCATGGCTTGGTCGAAAGCGACGTCAGGGCCGCAACATGTAGAATGGTGAGAATAGCCAATGACCTCGCGAACTCGGTCTCGGACTTCAACATACACGACAAGAATCGCTTAGGCGAGACAAAGAAGGATACATTTTTGGATGTAGGTGATGCTGATAGAGACTGGCTGCGTCGGTGGCACAAGGATCATAGAAGATGCAAGATACCAGGTTGAAAGGAGCCAATTCTGGTGTGCTAGCTAATGCTATCCTTTCTCATCAAGACGCCAATTTTCTGAGCCTTCTGTATCAACCATAAGAATAGGAAATCCAATACCATTTATCATAACGAAAGACTATATCTTGGGAACCACCCAGACTCCATCCAGACTATCCAAAAGAATGCTCCGACGCTCTGCTAACACACGAACAAGGGCATGTAAAACGTATATGACAAAGGGAACATGATGTGTGGCGAGTTGCCGCCCGGTGGCAGAGCACGGAATCAAGAGACCAAAAAAAAAAACCATGTTTCCAACAGTGATCGAGAATGAGTGTTGTATCCCAAGCTAGACCCCTTCAATACTCAGCCTACTAGACCCGACAATGTGCCGCAGCAACGGCTCAAGCGTGTCCAGCTCCCCAAGGCTCCCATCCCTGGGCTCCTTCTCCTCCTCACCAGGCTTGGTAGACGACCCACCACTCTTCACCGGCGGCCCCGGGACCGCAATCCCACCAACCCCAGGATCTGACTGGGCCGTCTTCGTCGTCATCGTCTCGCCCTGCTTGCCCGCGCCGGCCCCCTCCTCCGGCGCCGACCACCGCCGAAAGCACGCTCCGTCGCCGCCGCCGCTGCCGGTGCCCTCGCAGATCCGGCCCAGCGTCCTGTTCAGCCCGTCGAGCAGCGGCACCACGGCCCGCAGCCACGTGTCGCCGTCGGCCTCGAGCCGGCCGAGCCGGCGCTCCAGGTCCGACACGTGCCGCGCCCAGAGCATCCTGTACCGCCGCGCGAGCTCGTCGTAGGGGATGCGCTGCGCCGCCGTCGCCATGTCCGGGTCTGAGAGCACGACCGAGCTCGCGGCCCTGCGGAGGCGCTGCGCCTCGGCCAGGGACCAGCGGTGCTCGAGGCGCCGGGAGAGCGAGGTGCGGTCCAGCGGCGGTGTCGAGCGGGTCGGGATGGCGATGGGAGATTCGAGCGGCGGCGCTGTGGATTCGGCGTTGCCCTCCTCGCGAGAAAATTGTAAGAGAGGATGAGACTTTGAATGTGGGATGGGTTTCGGAGCTTGAATGGTTGTAGTAGGACCCTCGGCCGAGATGTGTGACTCTGCGCGAGCGACTTCGGGTGATTGCTTGGGGTTGACATCAGCGACGACCATGATGGGCGACATAGAAACACGGCGCTCTTCTTCGATGGACTCCTTCGGCAAAAACTCGGACCTCGACGCAGACATCATCATCTCGAAGATGGGCAAGGTCTGAGAGTCCTTCCTGCCAGGGTCGTAGCCATCAGGAAGATGAAAGTCCTCCACCGCCACCTGCTTTACAGACTCGGCGCTCTGCTTCGCCCGGAGGCGCGCGGCATCGATGTCCTTGCGCTTCTTGTCGCCGACCCTTTTCTGCCGGAGCTTCCTCCTCTCCTCCAGCGTCTTCTGCGTCGTAAAGCTACCGTCGTCCGAGTTCGGCGTGTCATGCGGCGACGAGCGCGCCTTTTCTACGGAGCACTCCTTGTCCGCGTCGTCGCGGAGAACCGTCACAAAGGAGTCTCTATTGTCGCGCTGCAGGATTGGTATGCTCGAGTAGCTACTCATGGTCTGCCGGTCGCGGTTGTCCCCAGCGCAGGTGGTGGGATCAGTGTCACTAAGCGCTGGGCTGTCGGGTATAGACAACACAGGAGTTTGCGACCGACTTGTGTCGTCGTGCAGCCAGCTCATCGGGGGCGAATTAGTGTGCATCACTTCCGCGATAGAATCACACGGTGCCGATCCGACTCTCGCATGATGCTTGCTTGACTTGCGCGCCGGCGGTGAGATGGTCGGCGCAGACGATGAGAAGGCCTGGTGTGGCAGGGAGGCTCTGGGATGCATCAGTATGGTGCTGCCCGCCACAGTCTTGGTCACGATGCCGTTCTGCGACATGACGTTGCGGCGCGCCGCAGCGCGAGAGCTGGCAGGCTTGTAGCTGGCAGGTTTAGGTGGGACGGGTGGTGCGCACGACGGCGGGGGCTCGAGAGGCAAAGACAAAATGTTCCCATGCCCGTTGATCTGGAAGCTATCGGCCCTCCGCGGTCGCGCAGCTATGCGTGATGTCGTGGTGACAGACAGCGTCCGGTCCGAGGGGTCTTTCTCGATGGTGTATGTCCTCACAGACCCTCCTCTCGTGACGATGGTCCTGGTAAATGTGTTGGGCTCCGGCCCCTTGCTTTCCAAGATGGACGGCTGCGTCCTCGGCCTGGCAGCGAGGCTGATGTACTCTTTGGGTATCGATATGGCGATGTGAGGTGTTCCCTCGCGCGTCCGGCAAGCGATGGCAGGGGCTGCCGGCGACACCTCTTCGGGATCCGAACGGCGGCGCAGTGACCTGCGCTGCCGCCTGATGGCCTTTATCGGATCCCACTTCTTGCTTCTGAAGGACGAGCTTCTTGATGATGGCAGATCTGGGAGGCACATGTTGTTGTTTGGTGGTGGGCTTGTACGCCTCAGAAAGTCGGCCAGTTCATACACGGCGATCCTGTCTCGCTGCAGACTGAGGAACTCCTTGAGCTTCTCCTGGGGCAGGTCCGGGTGACGGGTGATGTGACCAAGGACGCTGGTTGAGCCTGACACGGACTTGTACGGCGTCTGTGACTGCGGCCGTCTGACAACGACGGCGCTCGAAGTCTTGCGCGGCCGTTGCCTCCCCATACTATCAGTAGATGTCGAGCCGGGCCTCGAGGCCCGGCGACGCTGGACCAGGCCAGCCTCCATGCTTTTGGTCTGCAAGAGCCCTGTCCGTGTCCACGTGTCCGAGACACGCTCTTCGCCTATGCAAACGTGAGCAATGAGAGGGATGTAGGCTTTGCTTCTTGTGATAAACTCTGATGGTTGGCGTTTCAGCGCCGCATGGCCTGGCAGACGAGAAGAAACGTTTGCTGCTGCTGGCCACGCCGCAGAATGGGGGAGCTGAGCCAAGTGGCAAGAGATTTACCTCAGGAGGATCCACGGCAGGTAGTTTCTAGAGTCGGGGACCCAAGAAGATCATAAGGTGCCCACTTGGAAAAAGACAATCGGCGTCACGGTTGCGGGAACGGTTGGCACGGGTGGATATGCAAGAGGGTGACGAGCAGATCAGAGCTCACTAGTCGCAGGTGCCAGATCTAAGAAGGGTTTAGGAGAAGATAGGTCATATTACAGATTCCCATGTACACTTGTAGGAGAGGAGCAGAAAACAGACGGCGTGGTGATCGGCAGAGCGGAGGAAGAAAAAGGAAACGACTGGGACACTTGTTTGCCTCTGCTCTCGACTCCCACACCCCCTCCAGTACGTGCACTCGAAGGTCGGAAGGCTGGTCAAAGCTAGCTTTCGGTCGTCACCTACCTCCTGCCGACATCAGCTTCGAACATGATGACCCATTGCCAGAACGAGAGAGAGGTGGCGGCATGGCAGGCCGAAGGACGCCATCCGTCCCGCGGATGAGAATAGCGTCATTTGCACCCCACAGGGTGGTGTCGATCCGCATCGAACCAGGCGGCGTTGGCTCGGGAGATTAGCGTCGCGTTGGACGGCCGGTGCTGGCCCGCACCCGCGGCTGGGGCTACACTAACTTCAAACTGCGTTGGCGCCATCGTGAAGGCGTGTACCGCTAGCTGGTGGGCGGCCTGGCTGGCCTGGCTAGGTACAAGAGCTCTCTCTCAAGCTTGAGGAGACGGGGGTTTGGTGGGTTGGTGGCTCGCTCAAGGACCGCGACCGCTGAGGTAGCCGAGCAAGCTCGACCACAGATAGGCCAGAGCTTCTCGGATCAGCAGTCGGATGGCCTGGTCCTGTCATGGCAATGCTGCTTGGTGAACCACTAGGAGCCAGAGAGCAGGTCATCGGCCCACAAGAATCCATCCACAGCTCTCAAAGCCTTTGTCACCGGGAGGGGCCTGTCAGCCCAGCAAAGAAAGGAAAGGTCTCCCAATTCGGGTTAAAAGCAATGATGCGAACGCCGGAAGCAAGCCGGGCCTCTGACCAGCAGTTCAGACGAGAGGGAAGAAGGAAGGACGAGAAAAGCAAAACAGTCTTGGGGCTTGTGGTGGTGAGCTAGAACAGAAAAAGCTGGAGTTGGCTGGGGACTTTACATCATCAGCTCAGCAAGGAGGGGGGGAGGGGGAGAAAAAGAAAAAGAAAAGCGGCCTTAGGAAGGAGGGCTGGGCCAACTGGCACAACGGCACACCACCATCCGTCTCCAAGTCTCGGGGTGTGTGTGTGTGTGTGCTGGCTGAGACTCTGCTCGGCCACAGGAGACAGGTTGTCTCTTGTATACGAATCACGGCGTCATGTAAGGGGTAAGAGAGAAAACGGATGCTTTGAGGCTCTCGCAGTGCCGATCAACCAACCTCTTACAACCTTTTTTTGTCCAGTCATATGCATGTACGTAGTTAACTACCTAGGTACCTAGGTAGCGAGGAGACAGCACAAACACCCAACCCATAATAAAACACAAAAAATCACTTCCTCCGTAAATTGTGCCCAATCCCAAGCAACAATAATCTCCGCCTCCTCCGCACAAGGGAGCCTCTCTCTCTCTCTCTCTCTCTCTCTCTGTCCCGGCTGGCTGGGGGGCAGGTAGGATTATTAGTCGGACCCCTGTACTTAGGCGCCGTTGTCGGGTCGTCGGCCATTATTCCAAACGGGAAAAAGACCGCACCCACAGCTGGGACCGCAATGTGTGGAGATATTTTGTATTACGCGCGATGAGCTCCGTACCGACTTACTTGTACCTTCAATCCAAGTGAGATGTGACAGAAACCCTGCGCAGACCAGGGAGCAAAAGCAAACATCAACACCGGGCGGCTTGGCTTCCCTTTTCACTGGGCACCGGAGTTGTCCTTTTCGTTCCGCTCCCCCCAAATGTCCGACACAAGGAAAATGGGCAGCAAGAACCAGCCACGCCACGTATTTGTGTCAGTCCTTTTCTTCCAGCTCGGAGGCAAAGAAAAAAGAATATAGCTTGGACCAATGACATGGGCCGAGTATGAGACGCGCAGACGACACACACACACACTCTCTCTCTTATTGTACACGAGCAGCCAATATTCGACCCAACGACGGAACGGCTCCAGCTCTAATTTGGCGCATCGTCGAGGCTTGCCCTTAGCTTAACCGTCGCCTCTTGGGCGACCCTCAACTCGGTCTGCGTTCCAAGCACAACGGTCTCCCAGGCTGAGCCTATGGTCCCTTGGCCTCAATCTTGCTAAAAAGCCCGCCAGCCAGCCACCCGCCACCCGCCGTCACCGCCATAATTAGGGGACCAGCTCAAGATTCTCGACGAGTGGCGCCGTCCCTAATATCGTGTGGCACGTCATTGTACACAAGAGCCAAACTCTTTTGTGCACAAGCAGTCTACGTGGAGAGGTTTGTGTGTGTAGGCTCACACAGACACACAGACGTTCTCACTTGCACATGGACACCGAGCAGTTTTCCTTCTCTTCTTGACCTAACGCAACTCTTTGTCCACCACATGACGATGCTGGATCGTCAAAATGATTCCCACTCTGCTGTTTCCCTGGTACTAGTGACAAGGCCTTCCGTTCAACGCCGTAGGTAAGATGCAATGCTTCTCGTCGACCCTGTCGTCTATCTCGACGGGTCACAACCTGAACGCCTATCGCAATGATGCACCGCCACATGTAAAAAATCAACGAGGTATGATACAAAACCAGTCGAGTGACACATAATTGCGTGCGTCGACTGGAACGCCTCTCTCTCTCTCTCAGTCCGGTCCACCTGGACAAGGCCACATCTCCCGAAACTCTCCTCTTATCGTCTTGGTGGCTTCCTCTTCACGAAAGGATCGACTGGCGCCTTCTTCCGCGGCGGCACCATTCCTCCCTATTGTAGAACCCTTCAGTTAGCAAGACCCTGATCTACAGGCCGTTCATCCACACACTTACCTTGGCAAGATCCGACTTCTTCGGCGGTGGTGGTGGTGGCCGGCCACCTCCGCGCGGTGGCGGCGGCGCTCCACCCCTGGCATCTGACGTAGACCGACCCGGCCCAGACGATGTCTGCGCAGCAGGCGAGGGCTTGTTCAGGCCCAGCACGTCCATTGCAGAAGGGTCAGTTGGTCGCGGTGGAGGGGGAACGGGCCTGCCCTGCATCGCTCTAGGGCCAGTGGGTATCTGCACCTTCTGCGCACTCGGCCCTTGGTGTAACTGTGTGTGCCTGATGTTAGCATGATTCCCATGGTCGTAGGATTACGTGACAAATGTCAAGCCTACCTTCTTCGATGGCGGAGTCACGCCGTCGTCTTCTGCAGGTCGCTTCTTCGGTACACTAGCACTCGTGTGGACTACTGGTTTGTGTCCTGACCGCGGCGCCAACGGCACCGCTTCTCCCTTCTCATTGAGGCCATCGATGCGCTTGTCAGGGCCAGGCGGAACAAAAGGGGTGGAATAAGGATTCGAGGCTTGAGGTTGTGGCTGTGGCTTGCGCGATGGGATAGACTGAGGAGTCGACGGCGCTGTAGTTCCGCTACCGACATTTTTCATCTCAATGTCGCCGTCCTTGTCGACCGTGCCCAAAGGCTTGATCTGCTCCTTCTTGACAGCGCCGTTGAAGCCTGGCTGCGGTGCTCCCTTGACACCCGGCCTTCGAAGCAACGTAAGGATGTCACCGCTGGTGTAGCGATCGCGGGACTTGGCGTTATCGATGAGCTGATGCCAGAACGGTCCTTGCCTCAGAGCTCGAGAGTCGCCGAGAATCCAGAGTGAAGACTTGGCACGCGTCAGACCAACGTTCATACGGCGAATGTCCGTCATGAAACCAATACCGCCTTTCGGACTGGCACGAACGCAAGAGAAGATGATGATCTCGCACTCGCGTCCTTGGAAAGCATCCGTCGTGTTGAACTCGATCTCCTGCAGGATCTCTTCGCCGTACTTGTCGGTGAAGCGCGATCGCAGAGCGAACAGCTGTGCTTTGTAGGGCGTGATGATGCCGATCTTGCCCTTCAGGTCCAGGTTGCTATAGTCGGTGCGGAACCGCTGGTACAGCTGCATCGCGACCTGGAGCTCGTTGACGTTGACGAGTGATTGACCCTTGTGCCCTCGCTCTTGGACACCCTCCACATCGAAGAATCGATACGGGCCCAGCAGAGCACTGTCGTGCCACGGCTGGCGCCTCACCGTGGCCATGCCATCGCCATCGACGAGCTTCTTATCGTAGAATACCTCGCTGGGGAACAGACTGATTTCAGGATGCATACGGTACTGAATTTCTAGGAGATGCACATCGTTCGGATGATTCTGCTGCATGCGGACAAACAAGCTTTGATCGTAGCCGTACCGAGCAGCAGATTGAGACAGCACCGTTGGCGGCAGCTGCTTTGGATCACCGACAAGCACGCACTTGGAGCAGCCATACTTGAGCGGTATCAGAGCACCGAGTTCAACACACTGCGCCGCTTCGTCAATGATGACTGTCTCGAACTCAACGTTGAGGTTCTTGAACATCTCGTGTCCACTTCCACTCAGGGTTGCGCACAGAACGTGGGCATCGTTGAGAATCCTCTGCTGGATCTGTCTTCGCTTGATGTCGGCCTCACGGGCAAAAGTGTTACCGCTGTCTTTGTCGCGGTCAATCTGTGCGCCAATCTGGCGCTGGCGAGCCCTTAGCTGGTCGATTTCGCGCTGAAGAGCATTCGCATGCTCTCGGTTGTCCGTCTCGAAGGACGCAGCTTCAAGTGCAGGTCGCAGCTCTGCCAACTTTGCTTTGATCTCCCCAGCCTCCTGGTGCAGCTTCTCCTTGTCGCTGGGTCCGGAGTTCTGGTTGACCTGAGCATCGAACTCGGCCTTGACCAATTCGTCGAGGGTAACATCTTTCACGCCAGCATTGATGGCATCACTGCGTCCAAGACGCAGGACGTTGATTTTACGCCGCGTGCCGTTCTCCTCTACAACACCCGCCTTGAGACGCAGCACCAACTCGTCCACAGCAGCGTTACTGGGCGCACAAACCAGGAGTTTCTTTGGCATTGCTTGTTGCCCATTCTGTCCGGGGATAGGACGGGAAATTGCAACCGCGGAAGAGTTGTTTTTGATGAGACCGGACAAGAGAACTCCAACCATCGCCACGATAGTCTTCGTCTTACCTGTTCCGGGAGGACCCTGAACTAGAGTGAACCCATCGTTCTCCTTGGCGTTGATGATAGCCTTCGCCTGACCTGGGTTCAGCTGGTAGGTCTCCTGAATCGTGCTGATGCGCTGTGGGCTAAACACCAACGCCGGCGACGGCTCAGCGCTCAGGACTTCGTCCATGAGGTCATAGTACTGCAAGCTCTCGAGCGCAGCGTACTCGCGCTCGATCGTAGTCATGTTGGTGATCTTCACGGCCTGGAACTCCGCAGATGGGAGCAACACAGGCAGGATCTGATTACCCTTGGCGCTCAGGCGATAGGCCACCTCAAGAACATCACGTTTATAGGTCGTTTTCCAAATGCGCGCCAGGCAGTGCGGTTCGTTCGGCTGATTCAGAGGATCCTGGGCCTTCGAGAGAATGACGATGTCGCCCTCAGTCAGGTTACGATCCTTGTTCAGCGCCTTGGGCATCGAAGTCGTCACTTCGAGGAAATTGTCTACAGTCATGCGAGTAAGGACCTTGACGCCAAAGGGCTTGGCTGTCGTCTCGTCCTTGGAAGTGACAAACGACCGCCATGCCTCATAGACGAGCAGAGGGAAAAAGGTCTCCTTGTACGCTTTTGGCGTGAGGTAGTTATCAGCTACCTTCTCGCACTTGTAGCCGTTGGGCGGATCGTTTCCTTGATGAAAGATGTCCCACTCGAGAATGGCCTGGTGAAGCTTGGCCATGTCCGGAATGAGACGAGCTCGCATGTCCTTGGCGGATCGTTGGACCTTGACTTTCTTGACCGGGCCGCGAGCCTTTGCGGCGAGTAATTTTTGCCTCCGCAGCTCGGCTTCGGCAAGTGACTTTTCGCCCGAGGCACTGTGCTCTAGGAGGGCAGCCATGTCGTCCTCGTCCTCGTCTTCAGACTCTTCCTCCGACTCGCTGTTGACTAGGATTTCACTCTTCATAGGAGCGTGATCCTTTCCAATGACCCCCGCCACGCCTTGAAGTCCAGATCCTTCGCCAGGAACGATGCTCTGGCGCAACGCCCGTGCTTTGGCAATGGCTGCGTCCTTGTTCTTCTGCCGCTCAGCTGCATCGCGTGCCCGTGCTTCTTTGATGGCCGCTGCATTCGCGACTAGAGTCTTCTGTTCCTTCACGGCGTGCTTGGTCTTTATCTTGTCCAGGGTCGCCTTGTGCTTGTTGGTATTTGCCGTCATGTCAGCCATATAGTCTTTCATGGTGCGAGCCGCTGGAGTCTGCTTCGGCGTGGTCGAGCCAGATGGGGTGGGCTTCGGGGTCCCCGAAGACGACCATTGCTCGAGCAGCGTCTGCTTCTTAGGCTTGACCTGTAATCTGTCTCCTAGTCTTCTGGTGACTGCCACAATTTCCACATCTGCATCGTTATCGTCACCAAGCGCCTTTTGCAACTCGGCACGTTGTTGGTTGTCCATGATCGTGTTGATCAAGTACTTCCCAGGCACTGTAGGATTCGGTGTGCATGCATTCCGGATGAGTTCAAGAGCCTTGCCGAGCGGCTCAATGTTGTTGTCTTTCAAACGACCCAGGAGTTTTGTCAAGATGCCGACAATGACGCGCACGAGATAAGGGTCTCTCAGTTGGAGCATTTCCACTAAACCGACACACCAGAGGCGCGGAGCGTCAAGAACTTCTTTGAGCGCCCGAGCCGCCATAATCCCATCAGAAGGGTCTCCTAGAGCAGATGCAATGACACCATCCTGGATCAAGAGACCAGATGCCAGCTCCATAACATCGCGGCAGTAGTCCTCCATGACGGCTTTGGGCACAATAAAGCTCCAGGTCAACTTCGTAGTCTTGAACGAGTGGTCAACGTACTGCCATTGTAACGACCACCACTCCTTCACAGCAACCTTCTCCTGCCTTGACAGGGTCTTGGACCGTAGAAGCCCGTCCATTGTATCGCACAGACCGGCCAGTACGTCACGGCTACAGGCCAGCACCGCTGGCATGGGTGGCCATGGTGTGAAAGATTGCCTCTGTTGTCGGTCAACAGTGATTCGGTCGACCGTGTCGGAAAAAGAAGCCAAAAAGGTGTCAGGATAGTCGTGGAGCAGCTTGGTAATGGCGATCCGGCGTTCCTCCTCCTCGGTCAGCGTCTTGATGAAGAGGACCCCCGCCTCTCTAATTGCGTCTTCTGCATGGACCAACGACGCCACGATGGGGTCGATGATGCCGGGTCGACCGGCAGCGAAGAGATTTTTCAAGGTGTGAATGTCAAAGTCGCTAACTCTGTCGATTACACGACCAATGACTTCGACAGTCGGCTCGAAGGAGACGTTGAACTGCTTTTTCTCGTCTTCTTTCACCTCGAGGTCCTTCTTACCGGGGCGGAAGAGGTGAACGCCTCGATAGTACAAGGTGGGCATCAAAAGAGCCTTGGCCAGCTCGATCTTGCCTGGCAAGAGAGCTTGACGGAAACCGTCCCACAATTGGGATGATTGTCTCTCTACAACCCGGCTGGGTGTGCTTCTGTGCTGCGCAGCCCTCCACTCTTGCCGTGTAGCCAGTGCATCCAGTGTCAAGGATGACTGGACGATGGACAGGGCCACATCTGACAAGCCGACATTATATCGATCTGTTTTCTGCAGCTCTGCGGCACCGACGATGACATCCTTGTACTTCTTGGTGCTGTTGATGAGAGGATTGATGTAGAGGTAGGACGTCGTGGGGAGGATCTTGTACTTTGGATCCAGAAAGCCATCCAGTGTCAGCTGCAGGGCCTTGAGCCCAGCAAGGATGCAGACGGCCTTGCTCTCCTTGCTGCCGTTATGATCGAGCATGTAAGTCTCGAGAAATTGACGAAGGAGAAAGTCACAAACGTCGTGCCGTTGTTCCGTTTGCAACGACTCCATAAGGACTGTGATAAACGATACTAGGATAGGAGTCCTGCCCTCGCCCTCATTAACCATCATGCTATCCTCGAGCGAGCGGTCAAGGAGACTCTTGAAGGCAGGGCTGTTGAAGATTTGCATCGACAATTGTGGTGGCGGGAGCAGAGCAAGAGCGGACCAGAAGGCCCGGGAGGACTTCTGCATCAAGGCGACGATGGCCTTGATCACGGTAGCAAGAACCTCGTCAGAGTTACATACCAAATGCTGGATGGCGAGGTTGTAGACATCAGCATCCTGCATGCCGCGAAGAGAATGGAGAACGAGCTCCTCGCTCATGGCGTCCAAGAGGACCGGGATGGCATCCCAGAACCGACGGATTTGCTCCAGGGTAGCGCCTGGTGAGTTTACATTATTGGCCGCATTGGCCAAATGTTCACTTACCGCCCACTCAAACTGCTCGGCCGTGAGGGACTGGGATGGCAACCTCTCCCAAGCAGTCCTAGCAAACCTTGTTCGGTATGGATCATCGTCAAAGAGGAAAATGGTCATTGTGGGTATGACTCCCTCGCCCATCTTCAACGGTTTCTTCTCCTGTGTCTTCCGGAAGACGTGATTGAAGGTGGTCCGGTTCTCTGGCAAACTGAGATACGGCACACAGCACAAGGCTTCATAGAGCGCCAACACCGCCGTTTCATCGTAGCCGAGCAATTTTGCGGTGCTCATAGGACCCTCCTCGTCCAGGATGGTAGCTGCCGCTTTCAAACCGCGATCTATCCGAGCCTTGTCGAACGCATTCAGCCGCTGCTCCATGATGTATGTTGTGTCGTCGTCAAATTCCCTAGGGTCTCGTCAGCAGCTGCTCAAACCACATGATGTTCACCAGCTCAAATCGAGTCGTCATACTTCAGTAGTCGGGCAAGGAGATCTTTCCGATGCATATGCCAACCGCGAATACAAGCATCGCAGTTGGTGAGAAACTTCTCGACCCGTTGTTTCCAGCCAACCAGCCATGAACCGGCCTTCTCTGCATCGACTCCAAGAATAAGAGAAGCCCAGCAAGCCAGCTTCGCGCGCTGGTTCGCGTCAGATATGCGCTGCTGCTTCTCCTCCGCGCTGACGGTATCCCCGGCCACCTTGGGGGCGCTGTAGAGCTCTTCGTCGTCATCGCTGATTTTGGGGCAGAAAAGATGCGGCCCCTCGGGCAACTTTTCCAGGTCTTGATATGAGGTAATGATCTCCTGATAGACCTCATCTGCGCTCTTCATGGCCATGGTGAGTGGTCGCTCATGTCGTAAGAGGAACGAAATCTAGAGGTGAAGTGGCAGCTTGTTCGAGTCGTGGATTTGAGGGTTGAGAAAAGATGTGGACGTGTTGAAATTGTCGGATGAAGAAAACGAGGAGATTCGAAAAGAGAACAGAGGGTAATCAACCGCCTGCCTGGCGCGCGAAGTCAGCAGGTCATATCAAGGGAAGTCGGAATGGAAGGGAAGGGGAGGGAAGGGAAGAGAAGAGAAGCTTGCGGTGCGATGCCACAATGCTGGAAACCTACCAGGCCTTTGCCGACAATGCAGATAACTAATGACTGCTCTCTGAATTGCAGAACAGGGGATGCTACAAAAGAAAGTCAAAGAATCGCGCACCTTGTCGCCAGGTTGGTGTTGGCAAAGAAGCGAGCAAGCACGCTTCAAAAGAGGTGACAAAGGCGATGTTGGACTACTGAGAAAAAGGCAGTTGTCGCAAGACTTCAAGTTTGATGGCCCGAGCCGAATCGTCACGCGCTTTGGTGTTGAAAGCGCGCTCAAGCACTTTACACCCCTGTTTTAGGCGATGATGACCCGTGGCGCCCCACCATCTTGCAGGGGGGCTCGAGGTCCCGATACCCAAGCGATCTACAATTAACTAACTGGAGCACTTGTAGGGAACAGACAGCCCAGCTCCCCCAGCGATTTGTCTTGTTTCCAGCCTCAATCAGTCAATCAGAGGCATCAAAGCAGTACTGGATGTCCATCTATTCTCACTCTTTGTCTTGACTGTTTAGAAGCGCGTATATCGCATTTATGATCCCTAGCTACCTAGCATTGCAATCCTGGTCGTATTCCTTCGACGGAGTTTGATTCTCCAGGGTAAAGTTAAGTACTCCAGATACCGTACTTTTTTGACCAAACATCTCGATTGAATAAGCCCCCAAAGTACCAAAATATCCGAACCGTCAAATAGGAAAGCTTGTGGTATGGTAAATTGTGAAACCTCTCCGTCCCCCATGCCAGCCCTTTGTCGTATGTGTACTTAACGACAAATCGTGCTAATCACTCGGACCCTGTGTCGACGAGGTCGCGTCAGACGAGGCTTGGTCGTCGCCCGCCTCTGTCTGAGGCTGCTCCTCGGATCCGGAGGCAGTCCTATCCTTGAGGGGGAAAAAGGTGGTTATGGGCGCCATACCGGCCTCGACCTTGACCTTGACGCTCTGAGGCTTGCCTCGTTCTAGGAGGTGTTCCAAAGGGCAAACACATTCGTTCCATTCCTTGGTGCCGCTTAGCGTATTGGCCTTGCACCGGTGACACTCCTGCCCGTGGATGATGAAGAGCTGGTGCAGGGCGTACTTGATATCCTCAGGCACGTGTAGCTCGCAGTGGTTGAAGGTCTGGATCTCTGTGGCTTTGGGTGGCACCCAACCCAACCACTTGCAGAAGCGGTGGACATGAGTATCCACGGCAAAGCATGGCATTCGGAGACAAAAGAGAGTCACGCAAGCCGCTGTCTTGACGCCAATGCCCTTGAACTTGACCATCTCCGTGATAGCCTCGTTCTTAGTCATGGAACGGAGGTGCTCGAGAGAGAGAACGGAGTGCTCGATCCGTTTGATTTCCTTGTCCTTCTCGGCCGGGGGTTCCGTGGCTGCACCCGGGATGTCTGGCTTGATCCCGTTCAACCTCTCGCCAAGAAGCTCCTCTACCCGAGTGAGATTCTCCTGCTGCACAAGATCAAGAATCTCTTTGATGTGGCCGCTCTTGATCTTGCCAAGGCCGGCCGATTGGATGGCGCCCATCAGATCGGCATGAGAAGCAAGACGCACCTCGTTCCAGTCGATGCTACCTTTTCCAAGCCCCTCTGTGACCTTGCCGAACTTCTGGTAGAGACCTTGGATTGCTTGGTTGGCATTCTTCATGGTGGTAGCACCGCTGAGATAGGTTCGCAAGAGGGCGTCGAGGACCGACTCTACCTCACCACATCCAGCTACGTCGAGGGAAGGGGCAGGGATTCTCTCGGGCTGTTTGTGTTTGACTTCGCCCTCATGATGCTTGTCGAGAAGTCGGAACACCTCCTGACAAGCACTGTTGGCCGGGCCCTCCCATTCCGGGAAGGGCGATTCATCTGGGGTGAATCCTTTGTGCGAGCCTTTCTTTTGCTGATTGGCATGTTAGACTCAGTCATTAGAGGCGTCAAAGAATATCTTGAGAGGGCGCACCTTCTTGGTAGCTGTGGCAGGAGGCTCATCGCCTTGCTTGACGGGCTGCGAACTTGCCTCGCCGTCTTGTGTGGGATGCAGCAAGTCAATCTTGTCCAGTGACTTGGCTGCATCAATCTCGGTCTTCTGCACGACCGTGGCAGCATGTGATGCTTTGGGACCCACGGTATCGACAACCTGATTTTGACTATCCGCGGAATTGGGCTCCAAACCATGGAACACGCGAGCCTTCTTCGTTGTTGGTAGGTCAAGCTGGGCCTGTGCTCCATCCTTGTCATCACCGTTCTGCCTTCGCTTCTTTTGGTTCTTGACACTGGCTACGACTTTGGGAGTCGATTCATGTTTCGCCTTCGTGGTCGATCTGGTGTTGTATTTGTGCATCATGGTCAAGCGGTTGATGACTGCTTATGAGGCTGAGGAAAGGCCAAAGATAGGAAGGGTCAAGGTGAGGAACGGCCAAGATGAGGAATGGTCCAGCTGTGACACGGTCGAGATCAAAGATCTGGTGAGTGAGGACTGCAGGAAGAGAGTGCCTAGTATTGAGTCTGAGCCCGTGAGGAAGCGCCCTTTTATGTCGATGCACTGAGTAGGGCCATTGATGGTGGATCACTGGGTGGTGGTGAATCACTGGGTAGAGTGTAGAGGGGACAGGGCGAGAGATAGGGAGAGGAAGGGACGGGTCGAGAGGTAGGGCAAGGGGCAGGGTGAGGAAGGAACAGACTTCAAGACCACGTTGTCTGAAGTTGATCGGTTTCTGATGGCATTTGTGAAGCTAAAAGTGAGCCCTGATAGTGTCAGATATCAGGCATCCCTACCCACGGTTCCGCTGCTTCTGGGAAGGAGCCATCTACCACTCTTTCAGCCACATATGAGAATATTAAGGAGAGCCCAATTCATTATATAAGCTATGTGATCCGATCATTCACAAAAGTCATTGCAAGATGAAATCCGGGGGCAAAAAAATGAGAACGTTTTGATACCAGCTAGCCACGGATACCTGCTTGCAACAACAATTGATCTGGTAAAAAGACAACAGACAGAATGACCAAGCACCTGAAAGTCAGATGTGCAAACAGACAAAGACAAGACCTGTAAGCAGAATGGATATGTTAGCCAATTTTGCTCGCGAAAAGTCAGTTGTGGTGTTTGTCAGAGAACAGAAACTCGACGAAGATCAGAAACAAAACCAGATTTCTCCGCATTGAAAACTCAGAAGTCAAGCATTAAAGAAGATGTGGTCATCATATCGAATTTGAAAACTGTCACTAGGAAGTGATCAAGCAGGAATATTACTTACTACGCTTTCGTTGGTAGCAGGGATTGGAATCTTTCCTCTGGTTCAGATTTTTGAGAAAGACAACAGGGCAGGACAAGTTAGGATAAAGTTTTTTGCAAAGCAGATGAGAAAAGGGGCCGGAGGAACTGGTGGAGATTCCACAGCACTGTATTACCTAAGCGACAACCTCCCTGGATCTTGAAGAAGCTCACAGTCACCATCACCACCTCCTCTGGCACAATTGAGAATGGCAGAAAGATAATGCGCTAATTATGGTCTGTCCTCTCTGGATTTTCTTCCGGATCTATCCCAATGGGCTATTTAGGAAGGCACTATTGAAAGGTGAACAAAATACATTTCTAATAATGGGATTTGTCCCTAACATCAATTAATGCAACCGATATCCTGTCTTCTAGCAAGTGTCCTAGAAAGAATCAATATCAAAGAGGAGGAGGAGAGGATAATACCCCTGAGTCATTCTTATAATCAGAAATGTCATGTTCTAGTTGATAGCATTAGTTTGCCTGGCTTCCATCTGAATCGGCTCAAGCAATCCTGCCTTCTGCTCAGTGCAAGCTTCTCACCTGTCAGGGGACTCGTTCTTCATTTCAATCCCCAAAACTTCATCAAATCGTTCTCGTTCTTCTTGTGTCTCGTATAGGACACTGGGATTCTAGATTTCTCTTCATCTCTGACCGATAATCCTTTCCTGATCCAAAACGATCATCATTTCTACTTCTCTTCCAGCGAGACGACCGCCAGGTCTCTGCTGTTTGTAATTCTTTTACCTCGAGTTTTCCGTCATCTCCAAGTTCCATCAGTATCACGGGTACCGACTGTCTCAAAGCGTGTGGCATTCTCCCAGCTTGTCCAACTGAACCGCAGCCGCAACGCCATCCCTGCATTATTTCCTCACAGTTCCATCATGGACAACAGGATCGTCGAAGGCATAGACGATGACGCACCCGCCGCAGTCGAGGAAATCATTCAGCGGCGGGAGGAAATGAGGAGGGTCCGTAAAAGATCTGCAGCCGAAGTTATCACCATCCCCGATGACGACAGCGACGAGATCATTGCCGTTGAGCAAGAGCTTGAGCACGGCAAGGACATCCTGATAGACTTGACCTCAGATGATGAAGAGCCTCTACAGGGTAGACGCACCGATTCGGGCCCTGCAAGAAATCGCCCGATCGCGCCTCGACAGATTCTCTCCGACTACAACCACAAGGGTCTACTTTTGAAAGAGGGAATCATGATCGAGCTGCCAGAACGGATAGGCCAATACAAGATCCAGTTTCTCCGCATACAGGCCATCTTCTGCGACGAGATTACAGGCCGTGTATACATACGAGGCTTCGGGTACACCAGGACCAAGCATCTCCGGGGTCTTCTCATCAAAAAGCTCAATGAAGTCTGCCGAGTCGATGAGATTGACGAGGATGACCCTCGTCCCGCGGAAGACCAAGCTCTGCTGGAGATTGAAGTCACACCTGACTCCATCCTGATGCAGCGACACCTCACGATCACAAATGCCGAGTTCCCAGCATTCCGGTCTCCTAGGATTTCCAAAGTGCCCGACGAGGATATCGAGGAGCAGGACGTTCTCGTCTGTCGTTGGACGTTCACATTGTCCTACAGAAACTCGCGTTTGCGTAAGCTCGGCAAAGCGCATGGGTATTCTCTGGCGCATCTCCTGGAGAGTGATCTCACAAAGCTGAAAAAGCAGCGATTCCGTTGCAGCGACAGTATGCGGTTTGATGCCTGGAGGGAGGGAAGCCTGGATCCAACCAAAACTCCCGTCCAGTGGTCGCAGTACCAGGGCGAGCACTACACGGCTGTCGATGCCTTCTCGGGAGCTGGAGGCTGTTCTTGTGGCCAAGCCAGGGCAGGCTTCAAGGTCATCACCGCGATTGATCATTGGCAGCATGCTTGCCGGAGCTATCAATCGAACTTCCCTGCCGTCCCTATGCGCCACATGGACATTGCCGACTTCATATACGACGACGACCTGATTGTGCGAGCAGACGTCCTGCACCTATCCCCACCATGTCAGTTCTGGTCTCCGGCGCATACTGTCGAAGGACGGAACGACGAAGCCAATATCTTTGCCCTGTTCTCTTGCCAGCAAATGATAGACAAGATCAGGCCTCGGCTTTTCACTCTCGAGCAGACATTCGGCATTCTCCATGGGAGATTTGAGAACTACTTCAACGCTCTTGTCCAGGGGTTCACGTCGCAGGGATATTCAGTGCGATGGACGGTCGTCCCCTTGGCAAGCTGGGGCCTGCCCCAGACTCGGAAACGACTGATCATGATCGGTGCATGCCCAGGAGAGAAGCTCCCGCCGTTCCCCAAGCCAACCCATGGGGATCGAGAGGGACTCAAGCCCTTTGTCACTGTCCGGCAGGCCCTAGCCAAGATCAATCGCGCCGTCGATCTTCACAACCCACGCGCGATGACTAGACTCAGGCGGCCATCCTGGGACGGCGACCGGCCCTTGCACCGGACAATCACATGCTCCGGCGGTCAGAACTACCACTACAAGGGCCATAGGGACTTCACCCTCCGCGAGTATGCGTGTCTTCAGGGCTTCCCGACGGCCTACAAGTTCGCCGAACCTTGTGTGAAGAAACAGATCGGCAATGCCTTCCCCCCGGTATGCGTCAAGGTTCTGTACGATCATCTACGGCAATGGCTCGAGAAGAATGACGGCAAGGCTCCTCGAGTCCCCGCGATGATACCGGGCCTGGAGGATCTGCCTGCACCCGCGTTGGGGCGGCCTGCCGTTCAAGACATCATCTTGATTGATGATGTGGAGATGGTCGATATAGGAGCGAGCCCTGTCGTATGTATATCAGACAGTAGCGACAGCGACTCGGAAACTATTGGCCGAAGCATGTTTGAGTCGAAATCGAGGAAGCGAAGAGCAAGTCCGCGCCGGATGCTGATGGCTGCATTGGAACGACCTTTTGAACGCGCAAGGCCAAGGCCAGTGGCCATTGATCTGACGTGATCTTGCTACAGCCGTAACTTAACGTGAATCGGGGGAGCAAAGGTCTCTCGGAGGGATTGCCGTGTAATTGCTAGTTACAGTTCAACGATGTACAGTATCATTACCTGGGCTGCTCATTCTGAATTCGGAGCAGCAGGGAGGACGCGAAAGGGACACAGTATCTTGAGCACTGCGAGCATATTTGAGTAGTTTGACGGATAGAACATTGCATGTTATTGCTTCTAGGGCTGATATGTGGTCGAATTCAACTGGCATTCATCGGTCGTGCATACCTGAAACCGACTCGTGGGAAGTCAAAAGGGTGATAGACTCTAGGATTGTGAGTCACCAATCTCTTGCTTGACGCTGACAAGCGGTATCACCAAAACCTCAGACTTCCCCCTGGTACTGCCTAGGTATTCTTCTCAAAGTACCGCAAGTACTCGATGATACAACCAACCCACTTTGGATATAAAACCACAGCTTTGTCAATAATTTCTTCAGTCCTCTCCCAGAAACATCACCAGTCATGAAGATTATCCCACTACCTAAATACCATTAAGTCTTCTTTCGTCCCTTTTGAGCCATCAACAGCGACTAGAAAACACAAGCTATCATGGGAGGAGCACCTAGCTCCCATCGAAATACACAAGACAGTCAGCCAACCTCCCTCTTCGACGAGCCACCACCACCAGTTTCGTTCGGCGATATGCAAGATAGCCGCATCCCCTCTGGGGAGACACCTTCATCGATGAACGGTAGCACGGCTAGGAGCACCAATGGAAACTCCTACCTTGCCAGCGACCACCCACTGGCCTTGTACTTTGGTCTCTTGCCAGACCGTTGTAAGCCGTGGCACTCCCAAGACTGGCTCGGAGAGTTGGTCGTCAAATGCGACGATGTGGCATCGCTAATGAGAAACGGGCTTTTCTGGACAACAAAAAATGTACAGTGGGAGCAAGGGTATGCTGACGAAGCGGTCGAGTTCAATGTATACCACAAGGAAGGGTTCTTCCGGACATCACGTTGGTTCTTGAGAGATATGGACAATGAACCCCCGCAATGGACTGCAAGTCTCATAGTCTGGGCCCGGCATGGCGTTCTGGATGCTTTCAAGCTGGAAGATTTGTCGGTGAACAATGCCAATTATTGCTGGGCTTGGAACAGTGAGGCTTCTCTGGTCTACGAGTATTACGACATGTTCCCCGAGCGCAATGTCAACGTCATATACGGGGCCATGCCGATGAAGGGCTGGTGGCCGTGGCCGAGAGAGGAACAAGCGAGCGTTGAGGAAGTTGATTGAGTTTGATACTCCCAAGATGCATCATCGATCAAGTACACCGCACTGGCTGCTTGTCTCAATGGATTTCGGCTTCGAGCCTTGATCAAGGGCCGATCTTGGGGGGGGGGGGTGCTAGAGGTTCTAGTTATCTGGCCAGATGAGCCCCATTGGAGATTCCTTCAGAACTTAGACTAGGTAGCCAAAATTCTCCGTTTACGGCCAAATCACTGCTTTCAGACCTCTGATATGTGATCAATTTCAAGTGGTATTCATCTGGTATGATTACCCGAGGCGTAGACACACCTACTGTCCGCCCTTCAGCACACTGCTATCGATCCAGCCAATGTTCCCGGGCTCTCCATCCTCAGTGATGAATACATCAACAGGATACCTAAACGGCATCACAGCGGCATTGTCCAACACCTTTGTCAGGTTACTGGCTATCTGTGCAGGCACGTTATTGCCGGGGCCACGGTCGTCCCAGACAGCCATGAAGGTCTTGGGCCCAACATTCTGCGGCGCACCGCCCCAGGGGGTATATCCCTGGGGCAAAATACTAGTGTCAAAGTAGCTCTCCATGAAAACGGACCTGTGCTGCCAGTTCCACGGCCTGCCGAGCGAGCACTTGCCAGCGATGACGGGGGCGATGGTCGAGTTGGCAGCGACGACACGGGTATCGGAGATGTAGACACCGTATTTGTTCTCAAATGTGGTGTTCGTGCCTAAATACTCTTTACTGTTAGCTTTCAAACTTCATTTCCATCTTGAGGAAACGCAGTTGGGCCCGACCTTTCCACGCGGTGATGCCACCGCCACAGTTCCGCAACGACAGCGTAGAAGACTCGAGGTAGGCTGTGCCAAAGCCATACAGAAAGTCCGTCTGCCCTCCGACAATATTGTCGTAGAAGTAAGCGTTGCCCTTCTTCCCAACATACACCTGCCCAGACCCTTGTTAGTGTGGACTTCATGGCCAGTCTGTGTGATAATAAACATACCGTATCCTGATAACTGTAAAATCCACACGAGTAGAAGCCTGCATTGGCATAGGCAACGGCTACGGCATGAGCCGGGCCGTTGGAGCGAGGGAACTCGTTGTTCCGAAAGTCGACGTTGTAGGCACGGAAATCTACACAACCGAAAGGTGTGGCCGGATCCACGGGGTAGCCGTTCGGTCCCGCGCCTGTGTACGTAGCGTTGAGCGAAGGGCCGACGACTAGGGTACTGGTGAAGACGTTGTCGGCGAAGCGATGATCATGGTTGGCGGCGTTCCAGAAGACCTGCACATCGTTCTCGTTCTCGACAAAGGCGGCCTCGTCGCTAGCCAGGGCATCCTCCACGTTGGAGTATCTGATGCCTTTGTAGGGCTTGGCAGACTGCCCGAGGAGCGTCAGAGGACCTTGGCGAGTCACATTGAGCTGCTCCGTATAGATTCCCTTGCCGATGAGGATATATGCTGGCGCGGTGTGGTTGCCAAGAAAGTCGATGGCGTCCTGGATCTTGGTGAAATTCGCCGACTTGTCGGTCTGGCTCACGTACAAGGTCCCGGGAGGACACCCCAATAGCGGGTTGCCGCAGGAGTGCCTCTGGCACTTGGCATAGGTCTGAGCCGGCCCAGGTGCCGGCTTGGCAGCCGATACCAAGGCCGATGCTGTGGCAATGGCAAAAAGAGAGGCCTGGCCGAGCATGTTGGGTAGAGTTACGCACAGCTACTGTCAGGAATGGATCTCTCACGAGGAAGTGGAGAGGCGAACAGCCTTATACTGAAGATCACTGTCCACTTCTTACTTCCAAGATGTCGGATATGGCATGGTAAACAGGATGGTGCAATTCGAATATCGGACAATTTCATTCATTTCCAGGCCGACCTGAGATCGAAGTCCTGGCAGAGAGACAGCTAACAGCCCCGTGGTGTGGATTGCGGTTAACATCGACCTGGAGTTGGAGTGCTACTGGATAGTCAATCTATTGGCCAATTGCTAATCCCTGGAGGCGTGGGCGGAGATCTTCCACCAAGGAGAGGCCTTGCCGTTGGACTAGGATGAAGCCGAGTGCCGAATGACGAGGCTGGCGAGGTTGCTGCATAGAAAAGGTCCTTGCCATCAAGGGTGATGACGAATCCCATTCGAGGGGCCCATAGGCTCTAGCGAGGAGCAGGATCTATCTTCTATGTGCATAGGCATTGGGTCAGAGGGAAGTTGGTGGACACTGGGGGTGAAATGGACTCGGGTAAGATTTCTGCGGATGAGCATTGGACGAGATCTACGGTTTTCTCCGCATATCGTCAAGCTACTCCTCATAACCCCAACTTCTCCCCACAAATGGATTTATCCGTAGCACTAACCATGGCACTTTACACCATTTCAGGCATCGCTCTTGATGCTAATTGCGATGGCTTGGTGCTTGACAGGAGCTTGGCTGGGCAGATCCTTGCTCTGTCGTCTCTGACTGGAGGGAAAATTACCGTCTTTCCAACCTCGAAGCAAAGGGCCCCAGGTCTCCAGGAACCACAATATCATCTCCACAGCCATGTGGACATGATCTCTGATAGAGGATATTGTACGGCGATATAAGTCGCCAGCAGTCAGTGATGATTGGAGTAGCATTTGGAGAGCCTCAGCTGCGAAAGAGCCGCAGTACGGTCCCGTGTGCAATCTGAAGCTGAAGCTCAAGCCCAAGAAAGCCAGGTTGTTCGGAACAGCAACACGCAATGGTCTCCAGATCCTTCGCCTTCACGATTCTGGCCGGCGCCCTCGCCGTCGAGGCCGCCAAGAACCCTCACACCGGCAAGGCGGTTCTCGAGCGCCCGTCCCTCAAGGTCGGCCCGCTGGGCACAGGCAAGCCCTTTCCCGAATCTCCGGCGCGAGAGGCCGGACGGTACTGCTTCGTCAAGCCGTCCTGCACCAAGGGCCGTGACGACGCGCCCAAGATCCTCCGGGCCTTCCATGACTGCAACAACGGAGGCACCGTCGTGCTCGACGCCGAGTACCTCATCGCCTCGCCGCTCGACCTGACGTTCCTCGAGCACGTCGACGTGGCCATCTCCGGCACGATCAAGTTCAGCGATGACATTGACTATTGGCTGCCTCGCACTTTCAAGTACCCGTTCCAGGACAGCTCGTCCATGTGGCGCTTCGGCGGCAAGGACGTCAACATCTACGGAGGCGGCGTGGGCCTCATTGATGGCAACGGCCAGGCTTGGTACGACCGGTTCGCTTCGAACAAGACCCTGATGAGACCGATCGCTCTGGTCACCGATGGCTTGTACGGTGGTAGTATTACTGGTCTGCGCATGATCAATTCACCGAGTGTATGTGGACTCTCATCGTGAACCCCGAGCAAGGACCTTTTACTGACCATAGCAATGGTAGTGGTTCAACCTGATCGCCAACGGCTCGGACATTCTCGTGTCCAACTTTGACATCCGCGTCGGCAGCACCTCCAAGAACCCTGCCAAGAACACCGACGGCTGGGACACGTTCCGCGTCGACAACGTCGTCATCCAGAACTCTCACATCGACAACGGCGACGACTGCGTCTCCTTCAAGCCCAACAGCACCAACGTGCTTGTCCAGGGCCTAGAATGCAATGGCAGCCACGGTATGAGCTCTGGCACCTGTTTGGAGAAGTTGAACCCAGAAACATTCTGACTGTGTTTAATAGGTATCAGTGTCGGGTCTCTTGGCCAGTACGTCGAGGAGTTTGACATCGTCGAGAATGTCTACGTCTACAACATCAGCATGTCGAACGCCTCGGACGGCGCGCGCATCAAGGTCTGGCCCGGCATCCAGACGCCGTTCCAGCCCTCGCTCAGCGGCGGAGGCGGCTCGGGATACGTCCGCAATGTGACATATGACAACTACCGCAATCAGAACAACGACTGGATCATCGAGTTGACGCAATGCTATGGCAGCAAGAACCAGACTCTGTGCAATATGTATCCGGTAAGAACGCCTAGCCTAGCAAACAATCTTCACCGGGGCCAACGAGTTCCATGAAGAATACTAATGTGTCTTTAAATAGGCCAATATGACCATCAGCGATGTCGTCTTCAAGAACTTCTATGGCACATCATCCAAGAAGTACGACCCCAAAGCTGGCACTTTGATATGCAGTGCTCCGGATGTCAGTAGCCTCCCCCAAAGATCTATTTATCAAGCACCATGGCGTAGGAGACTGACCATGTCCCAGAAATGCAACAATATCCGTGCTGAGAATATCACAATCACCACCCCCAGCGGCGCCAACCCCCAGTGGATCTGTAACAACATGCAGAATAATCTGCTGGATATCAACTGCGTTTCCTCTTAAAAGCAGTCTCTAACACAGGGGTTATCTGTATATATTAGGTTATTAAACAATAAGAAAATATTTAATAGAACTGATTGCTCCATGTTGTTTACTGCTGAAGCCAGATGCCCTTCACAGAACGTTGTTATCTCTGAAATGGAGCAGGTGAGGCTTCGCAGTCCTGCGATGTGTCTGAAGAGAAGCGATGCGAATATTGAAATAGGACGTTGGTAGGACTGCTCCATTAGTAGGGAAAACACATGACCTGATCACGAGCGTAGACACTGTTCTGGCAAAAATATACTTTTGAATTTGTGACCTAGATGGATGGCTCTCCAAGCAAGTCCTCCGTATCTGAAAAGGGCTTCTGTCCTTAGACGAGAAGTGGCGGTCAATGACAAGTTCCAATGTGTGCTCAAAATGCAGTCGCCTAGAACTCCTTTGACCCTCTAATATTTGACGCCGGGGATCTCAACTCCAACCCTGATGTATGGAATGCGAAGAACGGGTGTATAAAAGAATAAGCCAAACTCAGTCCTCCTCGCTGACTTCACTCTCCGACTCTGCGGCCCGCAACTCGGCCTCTAATTCGGCCTCGAGATCCTCAAAGTCAGGCTCTGTGTAGCCTGTGTTGCCCATCGTCGTGTCTTCTTCCTCGGCCGCGTGTCTTGCCGGACTGGGTGACCTGGCTTGTGTCTGTTGGTTGTCGTCATCGTCGTCCTCTTCCATGGCAGCCAACAGGTCGTATTCGTCGCCTGCGTCGTTGTCCTCCTCCTCTCGCTGCTCCTCTTCCTGGCGTCGCTCATTGTAGAACTCGGAGAACCTGCGCATCGGAGGCGGGAACGCCGGCGCATCGTTGGCCCTGTTGTAATGGCTCGGCGGCGGGTCACCCCAGACCACTTCCAGCCCGCCGTCGCCGTCCGACTCATCCTCGTCTTCGGACTCGACCTGCTTCTTCTTTTTCTTCTCCGGCTTGGGCGGCTCCGGTTGGGCGGCAGGAACCGGAGGCAGCGTGAGATTGACCGGCGCCTTTTCCTTCGGCGGCTTCTTTTTAGTGTCTCTTGTTGTGTTCTTGAGAGCGGACGAGGTTTTGGGTTTGGGTTTGGGCTCAGCCTTCTTGCGATCAGGCTGTGATGAGCCTGACTTCAGGTGTGGGTGTTGTTTCCGGAGACTCTCGGCATCGGAGTTTGTCGGCGTCTGGACGAGGTTCATGTTGAAAGTAGAGTCCACGCGGTGAAGAACAAGGACTTTCCGCTTAGGGTCAAAGACGAGGACAAACTGTCCATCGCCGGTGGAGCGGTTGCCATTGTACGCATATTTGCCGCCCTTGTCCTGGAATGACAAGTCGTAGGAGCCGTCAGACGCAGGCTTGATCTTGGCGCTGTTCGGAGCAGTTGTGGAGGAGAGTCTCGGCTTGTGGTTGTCTAAAAGCAATTAAAACGCATTAGCAACTGAGGACCGCCAAGAGGACCCAGAGAGCACCAGATAGCCGTTACTCACACTTGACACCGGTGAAGGTCTCGTGGGACGTCTTGCCCAAGAGCGCATCGCTCAGGACGATGGGATACTCGCGGGGCTTGGTAGGATCCAAGACCCCGGGAATGACAGAGGATGCCATCTGGGGCCTGGTGCGACCTCGCGACAATCGTCGTCGAGAGCAATCGCTTCAGGAGGTCGAGGTAGCGCCTTGAAGAGGTTATACTCCCCAAACCGATGTTGAGAACTGTAGGGCAGAGAGTTCAGGTGAGGCGTGATGGGGTGTTGCCCGCTGTTGATCACCTGAAGCGGGGCGGCTAGGGATGCAAGAGTGGCAGGTTTCTGGGGCGGGAAATTCGCTAAAACTGAAGAGGAGAGGTCCCACAATAGCCCGGCCTAGGCGGGTTGCTATTGTTAGGGCACTATTGACAAATTGGGAGTCGCCCCAGATTAGAATGGAAGAAGACTGCTTGCTTGCTGAGCGCTCTTGAAAGATTGAAAGACAGTTTATAATAGGAAGACCAAGACAGAACAATGCTGGTGTACACTGCAAGTAAGTGAACAGCCGGTGCTAAAAAAGAAACCCTTTTCAGGTTCAAAGAAGCAAGGACCGATCAGTTGGCTCCAGCTGCTTACGGGGGTACTCTGGCCGGCTGTAATCATACGAAGTACAATTAGGTTGACATGTTCCTGGGTGATGATGAACACTGACCGAGGCGACGAGGCGTTCCGCAATATGCGCGCGCGCAACCTCTCAAGATCGGGGCGGATTCAGATCGAGAAGCAAGTGACTAAGCCTGGCATGCGACAACCCCCTCCCGTTGCTGACACGTAACAGTCCGTACCGGCTGATTTGACAGCTGGGTCGTGACACGAGAGTTGCGGAAGACATGTACATGCACAAGTGCCGCCCATACTCAGCCGGTCAGGTGCCCTTGTTCCTGTACATGCCTTCAGGAGTCGCCGAATTACCTACATATACAAGTGAGAGTGAGTACAAAGCGCAGTACCACTCTTTGACAGACTTGGGTTGTTGGGTTGTTCGGTTGTTCGGTCAGGCAATGTACGGAGAAGAGAAGGCTCCTTCTAGCCTGGTTCTAGGGCGCAGTTTTGCTTTGGCTTGCGAGTATGGAGTAGATCAGAAGGTGCGTCGGGCAAGTGGGTGTCTGAATAGTTGACGGAAGTTCATCAGGAGCTACCTCGATCTTAACAATCAATACCCTTGTCACATCCTTGCCCTGGAACTCGGAAGGGCTATCCCACTACCTAAATCCGATGGGCTTGATGGGTAGATAAGTACTTCTGTTAGCAGTCCGTCAACTAATCTGACCCTCACTTGGTCGGGCTACCTCGCTAGTAGGAACCGTGGATTGTCGTTGCGTTTACCTTTGATCAGTTGTAGGACAACATACCAGCGCGAAGAGTGGAATCACTCGGCGGCTCTCCACTTGCGTCCCAGTCCTGAGTATGCAGAGCACATCCGGAGTACGGACTTGACGGAGTACATACAGTCAGTCTTCACACAGGGTAATCTAATATTGTTCCTTGTGATGCCTACCTAGTTACTCCTGAATCAGAGAAATCAGGTGTTCCTGCCCTGGTCCTCTTTAATGGTCGGAGATTGTTGTTCAACAGCCCATGCCTGGGGCCCACAGACTTGACAGGCATGGGAATGCTCTCGGCCTTCTAAGGAGTTCCGAAAGCTCTGCGGCGAGGAAGAGACTACGGCGCCTAAGGAGGCAATCACCTAGGTTTTCTGCAGCAGCATAAGCTTATCCACAGGGAGAAACGATGTCTTGGGAGGAACTCCGAGGAGGAGGCCAGCTGGGTGGATTTCAGGTGCGAAGAGGGCCATCAATGTCAATGTCTCACCCCCAGCAGCTGAGTGAACCATCGTTATTGAGGTAGTTACTCCGTAAGGGCCGCCCTGTTGTTGCCCTGACAGCTCTGGGAGCCACACCACTTGCATGCTTGATGAGGCGGTGCACCCTGGACTCTCACAAATCACGTAAAGCTGCCCCATTCGGCTTATTGGTGTACACCTGCTACTACCTGTATGTGTTTTGAGATACGACGTCCAGGACGGGCTTACTGGCGCCCTGCAGGTCGAGATCGAACCCAAAACGTTCCGTCAATCGTTCTAATGAATCTAGCGCAAACCACATTTTCCAGGCTGCAGTGAAAACAAAAAGACCATGTTGTTTAGCGTGTGGGATCATGGTTTGAGACGACTCGGGGATCGGCAGGTCAATTGGGCCTGCCCCCCTGGACGGGACGGCGTGTCTCTCAAGTGGGTTGGCTGGGGGAAAAGGTTGGCAAACGACGTCAACGCAGGCCAAGAACACTCGGCCTAGGGATTGTGGTGCGGGAGGAGGAAGCGAGGAGGAGAATAATATGCACGACCAAGGCACAGTTGTGAGGGGTTTCGCTCGCCAGGTCCTAGCAGCCCACGCGTCCCTTGCGCCCTCCAATTATGCTTGAACTACTTGTACTCCGTAATGATGCACGTCACAGACGATGTCATCAATGTGTGTGTGTTCGTGCACGGAGTAACTAAGGCGATATACGGAGTCCGAATAGCAGAGGGGCCTGCGCCTTGGTACCGACTGCAAAGTAGCACAGTACTGGCGATCGTGGTGGCCATTAATTGTCTCGAGACTGTCTGACCGTAGTTGAGTGAGTAGGTACAAGTATCTAGTCGTTGTTGTCCTCTGTTTGCTCTGGCCCTTTCCCTCTTGAAGCACTCTCGCATCTATTGGGTTTGTTTGTTCGGTCCTATTCGTACTTATACATAAGCTTTTTCTTCTCGAACCCGAGTCAGGCTCAGTCCACACCCACGGTGTGAGCACTGACCGACAGCTTCCTTCTCTCACGAGGCGGACGGATGTAACTCGTGCGAGAGAGCGTGTAAAGGAGGGAGCAAAGCCGACTCTTGTGGTCGCCCATCCCAACGCACTGGCATCCCAGCATTGCATTGTCCTGTCACGAAATGGGATGTTCTCTTTAAGACATCGGCAAGCCCATCCTCCTCTCGAATTCTCGTATTCTATTGTTAGCTTGCGCGTTTCCCCCCTAAACCCCAGCGAAGACGCTAGGCCCGACGTGGCGGACTTGGAGGTGCCTAGCCTGCTAAACCCGGCGCAACTCACCACTGAGTCGGCACCATCGGAACCCACTACTGCGGGGCAGCCGTTCAGCGCCAGACCTCACTCCACCGCGACCGTAGCGGCCCCCATAACGGGCCCAAAGTACGAACACAGCAACCGGTAGTCTGACCTGGCCAGGTCCGAGGATCCTTCTCGCTGTTTGTTCTCTTCTTTTGCCTTTTTTTCCTCATCGCTGATCGAAACGGGTCTCTCCTCGATTTTGATTTTGGGACTCGCTATAATACTTACTTATACGATCTGCCAGCGCGCGCCGGCCGCCGACTTACATGCTGTTGTCTACTCCTTTCTCGGCATCCAGGTATCCCGTCTGGCCAGTCTCCTACCTCGCACTACGTCAGATATAAGTGAACATGCGGGGATGGCGCAACGCTGGATCCTGCTTGGCGGCTCTGCTGCTGGGCGCCGGGCAGTTTGTGAACGCATATGACCTCGATATCAACTCTCCAGGTAAGTCCCTGCCGGTTGCACTGCGCATGCCGTGCTTTCTGACCATTTGCGCCTACAGCCAGCATCAAGCAAGTCGCAGCGAGTCTGACCCAAGACTTGGCATCCTTCTACAATGGAGACAAGCCCGGCGGAACTCCTGGGCTTCTCCCAGACCCGTACTACTGGTGGGAAGCCGGTGCCCTGATGGGTACCTTTGTTGATTATTACTACTATACAGGGGACACCAAAGTACGTTGTTACTGTCTCGATCGGCGCATACATATATACAGTCGTAGTCGTGAAGGACAGATGCACTAACTATTCGATAGTACAACGCCCTCACCACACAAGGGCTGCTCTTCCAAGTAGGGCCGAACAATGATTACATGCCCCCTAACCAGACCTGGACCGAAGGAAACGACGATCAAGGGTTTTGGGGAATGGCTGTCATGTCCGCCGCCGAGTACAAGTTTCCCGATCCGCCTCCGGGCAAGCCGGGATGGCTTGCCCTCGCCCAGGCCGTTTTCAACACCCAGGTTGCTCGCTGGGAATCCCAGGACTGCGGCGGCGGTCTGCGGTGGCAAATTTTCACCTGGAACAAGGGCTTTACCTACAAGAACTCGATCTCGCAGGCCTGTTTCTTCAACGTTGCCGCGCGCCTCGCACTGTATACCGGCAATCAGACGTACGCCGACTGGGCCGAGAAGACATGGGACTGGATGTGGGCGGTCAAATTCATAGAACACAAGACCTATTATGTCTATGACGGCGCAGACATTTCCAACAATTGCACCGACATCGTGCCCTACCAGTTCAGCTACAATGCAGGAGCCTTCCTGCTCGGCGCTGCCGCCATGTACAACTTCACCGAGGACGCCGCGAAGAAGGAGGTCTGGCGGGAGCGGACCAGCGGTCTTCTCAACGGTACCGCGGTGTTTTTCACCGGGCCCAAGAAGGACATCATGACCGAGGTTGCCTGCGAGCCCGTCAACAGGTGCAACGTCGATCAGCAGTCGTTCAAAGCTTATTTGAGCCGCTGGCTTGCTGCCACTACCAAATGGGCCCCCTGGAGCTACGACACCATCAAGCCTTGGCTCGAGGCGTCTGCCCAGGCCTGCGTTGCACAGTGCACGGGAGGCGATAATGGCCGCATGTGCGGGCTGAGATGGACCGACAACGGCAAATGGGATGGCTCGACTGGCGTTGGGCAGCAGATGGCCGCAGTTGAGGTCGTTCTCGCCAACCTGATCAAGGACAGCGGCACACCTGTGACCGACAACTCGGGTGGCACGTCACAGGGCGACCCCAGTGCGGGAGGCTCTGATATTGGACGGAATGATCCTTTCGGCACGCACACAGACTGGGCACCGATCACGGCAGGCGACCAGGCCGGCGCCTACATACTAACGATCGCGGTATTGGTGTTCCTCATCGCTTTTGTCATCTTCATGATGCTGGACGAGACGTCGGACAAGACGACCAAGGAACGCTGGGGCGACTTCAAGCACGCCATCGGCGCAGCGCCTGGTGCCGGCGCCGCGGTCCTGTCACGAAGGGACAAACGAGGGGTGGTCGCGGAGAAAGCAGCAGCGGTGGAGCGGACCGACAGCGACACTAGCTCGAACGGAAAGCAGCGCGCCTCGCAGGTGGTCACGTTTGCGCCAGCGGCCGTAGCGACGCCCCCGGTCGCGGCGGCGAGGAATAGCACTAGCCTGCACAAGAAGCACAGGCCGACGGCGTCGGATCCGGGACTCTTGTCCATGTCTGGTGGCGCGAGCGCGAGCGCGGGTGCGGGATACCGCAGGTCGGCAGATATGCAGATGGGGCATAGCAGGGCGCAGTCGATGGGCATGCCCAAGCGGAAGCCCCTGCGGAAGAGCATGCGCGGGTCGGAGTACTACGGTCCCGCCGAGGGCGCAACATCCGGGTCGAGCGCAGGCGGCGCATAGAGTGCAGTCCTGTCTGCGCTTCGACTCTGCGGTGCGACGAAGCAGCCAGACGGCGGAGGGCGAGAGACGTAAGAGCAAGAGCTGTGTGGGGGACGCGGGCGAGAAAAACGAAACCTTGCATCAATCGGCGTTTGGGATATATTCACATCGGGCTCGAGGGAGTGCCACGGCATGACCTCGTGGCTTCAACTGTTTTTGCATCATAGCAGACCTGGACATTGGGCACGCACACAACGGTCTTGGAGTTGGGATATCTGACTTGTCAACAAATACGAAACCGGGACCTTTGCTTTGGCCACCCTCTTGGCAAACCACAAAACGTGCCCTGACGCACGTTGGTGAGGCCAATCCGTTGGGGCCATGTAGTTCTGAGGATGGCTCTGAAGCTAGTTTGCACATACGGGACATTCAAAGGGAGTCAGGTTTTGACGAAGTATATGTAGATACTCTTTCGGCACTGCGTATATTTGTACCACATGAGCCATAGGCTCGATACATAGCTGCAATCGTATTCCAACCAGCATATGGAACTTTGCGTTTTCTCGGTCTGGCCGAGTATTCGATGACATCTTACACTTCCAGTCACCGATCACACGCAGTAGCTCTGCAAGTAACAGGTAGTTAAGCGCTGGTTGGCTCACCCTTGACCAGGACCTCGCGCATCTTGTTTCTTGAAGCGGGCATGGAGATGAGCAAAGCCAACAAATGTTTCACATGCATGTGATCTGCATGAATGCATACCGTCCTTTGCGGCCGCGCCCAGTACCCCAATGGGGGAAAACTCGTCGGATGCTTGTCAAGATCTTACTTCTTATTGATCCTCCCACCCCTTGCCAGCCGCTAGCTACCCCAGTGATTGTTGGCCCCGTGTGGGGAAGATCAGCCACTTACACTCCGCTTCACCTACTCGCTGCCCGAGGTTCTCAACTGTTCTGGCCGCATGACCTTGCCTGAAGAGGGGCAATGGTGCAGGAGGGATGGCCGTTGGGGGAAGGCATGGCGATACCTCGGCACACCCAGGTGGCTTGTTGGTCCTGTTTTGAGCAGTTCCGCTTTGACTTGTTCGAGGGGGGTTGCTTCGAGACATAGGCTATTGCCTGGAGGCGCTAGAACTATCATCTCACTCGATGGAACTTTGTACGGATTAGGAGGAATCTGTCATGACAGTCGAATAACAAACCACTTAAACCGATTCAGCATCGCTCCAAAAGCGGTTCAAAAACGAGTAATCGGCGATCAAAAGAAGGGGTACTCGGTTGAGGGAGGGAAAAGGCCCCGTCGCTGCTTCCTTTTGCAATGGGTTGTACAGCTCTGCAAGCCTACTCACAGCCCACCCAGACTCGACGGTGACGACGTACCTAGAGGTAGGTATAATATCAGCCTCTGACCCATGCACTTGTCACCTACTCACTAGTAGAGCAGAAGAAGGACCTTTATTGTTATAAAGGGCCGGCATGTCTGCGTGAGAGTCTCTGGAAGTATTTTACTACTCACTACTCGTGGACAAACGCAGACGCTTTTCTTGAGCGGGCATCACGCCAGACTTCGGCACTGATATGACCCGCGGCATTCACAATGGGTAACATATTGCGCGCTACCTTCTTCGCGGCTGTTCTCTCACCTTTCACTGCATGGGTTTGCCTGGAGGCCACAAAGCACCGGAACGCAAGCGGCCCGTACATGAGCTGGCCCACGAGGTGGTACATACTACTGGCTATCGGCACCGTGATCCTCCAGATCAGCCTCATCGAGCGTCTCCGGTATCACCTGCGTGCCCGTGCCAAAGGCTGCCTCAGTGCCCCGTGCTATCCGCACAAGGATCCGTTCCTCGGCCTCGACCTCCTTATTCCCGTCATCCGCGCCTTCAAGGAGAACACGGTCATCTACAACTTCCAGAGGAGGTTTGAGAAATATGGCCACACCCATTGGAGTATCGCATTCACTGACTGGACCATCAACACCGAGGACCCTGAGAACATCAAGGCTATCCTCACCAACATTGACGACTTTCCCATCGCCGGACCGAGACTGCACACGGTGCTCCCGCTGTTGGGATCCGAGAGCATCTTCGCGAGCAATGGACAAGCGTGGCACAATGCCAGGTCCATGTTGCGGCCGACCTTTGTGCGAGACCAGATTGCTGATCTGGAGTGCTTCGACCGCCATATCAGCAACCTATTGCGAGCCATCCCGAGGGACGGAAGTACCTTTGACATGCAAAAGCTTCTCTTGGATATGACTATGGATTCTTCGACGGACTTCATGTACGTGTAGTGCCCCAGCTTTGCCCTGTGGTCTACCCTCTGCTGACCGGACCCAGGTTGGGCTACTCTACCAACTTGTTGATAAAGCCGCTGCCCGAGGCGAGGAAGTTTATCCAGGCTTTCGAGTACGTGTCTGCGACCATGGGACGTCGGGGATCGACGGGGACGGCCTTCCTCCCGAGTCGGGAGCTTGACGACCAGATCAAGATCATTCAGAGCTTCGTGGAATCTTACATGGTAAAGGCCCTCGCGGACGGGAGAAAACATGCTAGGGAGCGAAAGTATGTGTTTCTAGATGCCATGGCCGACTCGGGCGCATCCATGGAGTACATCCGTGATCAAGTGCTCTCCATCATCATTGCTGGCCGCGACACGACAGCTGGAGCCATCAGCAGCACCATCTACTTTCTCGCTCGACACCCGGAGGTCGTCGCCAAGGTTAGGGAAGAGGTCCTCGAGCTAAATGAAAAGAATCCATCATGGGAGCAGTTGAAGAACATGAGCTATCTTTCCAACACCATCAAAGAAGGTAGCGTCAATATTGCCCCCTTAAACTCTCCCCCCTCACATGTCTGACTTGACTGACTGTTCCCCGAATCTCTCCTTCAGCTCTGCGTCTCTTCCCGCCGATAGCTGTCAACTCGCGCACTTCTAGCAGAGAGGTCACCTTGCCCCGTGGGGGCGGGCCGGATGGGAGGTCGCCCATACTTGTGCCCAAAGGGACGCCGGCTCGATGGTCAGCCTTTTGCATGCAGCGCAGACAAGACTTGTACGGACCGGATGCTGAAGAGTTCCGGCCAGAACGCTGGGAGAAGCTACGACCTGGGTTCGTCCATCCCTTTAGTTATCTTTGCCTCTTTTCTCTTTGATGCTTTTCTTCTTTCTTTCCCTTCCCCTTTGCTCCTCAACGCTTCGGTGGATAGAATATCTGACACGGCACTTTCGCAGCTGGGAATATCTTCCGTTCAGCGGCGGGCCACGCATCTGCGTTGGCCAGCAGTTCGCCACGACCCAGGTGATCTTCACTATCTATAGACTGCTGCAGAACTTCAAATCAATACAGGCCAGAGAATCAGGCATGATGTTGGTCAAGACTACAACCACCTCGATATTGGCGAATGGATGCCAGATAAGCATGGAGCCAGCGTAAGACGAGTGACATACCTAGGTATGTTTGCACAAACTGCATATACAGCTTTTTGGAGGGAGATGTCATAGGAGTCAAATAAATAACACGATTGCGTTGAACTATCTGACCACCATATTCTGAGAATTTACATCTTCACCAATGTACAAGAACCTATGTCCGTACCAGACCGGACAGGGGGCCCTTACGTACGATTTAGGAGCAAGTGTCTGTAATACAAGCCATTAGTGAATCATACTAGTCCATTAAAGAGAGCCTTGTGCCACTGTTGTGTTGCCCCATTTCAGACCACAAACTGAATCGACAAACATCAACAATTGCCGGGCCTATGAAAATTCTCCGAGCCATCACTTCTTAGCCGTTTGTACTCGATGATCTTGCGTTCTTAGTGTGACCCTTGAGAAACTGAACCGATGGGGAAAGGGGGGCCAGCTATCAGGCTGGATCCCCCTTGTCTTTGATGCAAGCGTCCAGTCTACCTGTCAGTCTGTGAAGTCGTCACTGGGCCACCAATCGAAATGGGATGAACATTGAAGTGTGACTATGAAAGAAATGCAGGCTGTATCACAAGCCACCGTCTCTGGTAGGCTGGCTATCCTCTTGGAGTGTTTGGGATTGTGAGAACAACATCTCTGGCAGAGACTGTGGCAGGGTGCCACTCTATCCCATGTTTGTTAAATGCCCCGATACAATCAATCATGAGTTTGTCAGACTGTGCTTGACAGTATCGCGCCTGTGATTTTCTCTGAACTTCTTTTGGGCGTTGGACATCACACATCGACGTCCACAAAAGGGGCAAGTGCGAAGGAAGGGTACTACCTAAAAGGCGACAGCCCGAGTGCGCACAAAGTGACGAGAGGCTCAAAGATCTGGGGCTTTCTCAAAATTCCTTGTCTTCAAGTACTTTAGTATATCAACTCAAACTCCCATTACGAACTAAGTAGGCGACGCGTGCCTCTCTCCCCTACACGTCACGCCCACCTCCCCCCAACTCCGCCTTCTAATCACCAGGGAGACTAATATTTCCCCATCATTATCGACCAAGTCGTTTCCTCTACCTACTCATCCAAGAGGTCGTTGCACTTTCCCCAAGACTTAACGTCAGTGCGACCTGACTCCCATCGTACTGCATTTTCCATCTTGAAACTGACAGCCTGCAGGCAGCCCTGAGACTTTCACAGCCTCCCTCTCCACCGCCCTCACTTCACCGTTCAGGCCTCACTAGCCAGAAAGAAAAGGGATCTGGTCCGCTGCGTTTACCGAGACTTATCTGACACCCTTTCACGTCAAGCGGGTGTGGAAAGAAAGCTGAGGAGGATCTGAGCGTCTGGTGACTGTTGGTAAGTCGAACCTGGGGATGGATGACAAGAAACTATCAGCACATTGAACACAAGACGCTGACAAGAGTGACCGCAGAAAACAACTCTGAGGATATCTCATCATCGTCGACATGGCCTACTACGGAGACGGCGGCAGCACCCCTAGCAGCCCCTACATGAACGTTACAGCCGGTATGGGTGACTCCCTCGGTCCCAAGGACCCCCTGACCCCTGGCGAAATCGCCGGCATCGTCTGTGCAGCCATCATGGTGGCCACCCTCATCGGAGTCGCCTTCTACATGAGATACCGCCGCGGCAAGCACATGCCTCCCAAGCCTCGCAGCGCATACCACGGTGCCTACAAGGCCGACGATCCTCGGTACTGGAACCCGGAGGGACAGCACTCGACGATCCTGAACTGGATCGAGTTCAAGCCCGACGCGCCGGGAAGCGCGAGCGGATCTACGCTGCATGGCCACGCTGCCACCAACGCTGGTCACGGTGATGGAGAGGGCGTCACTGCCCAGAGCCAGGCACGCAAGAAGACCTGGGCTCCGTGGACTCATCCCAAGGCCAAGCTGTGTATGTAGTCCCCTCCCCCGAACAACAGAAAATGTACTAACGCCCCCCTCCTACACAGTCCTGAACTCCCAGGCGCACCTTGCGCACGGCATGGTCTGAAGGACTTTACGAAACTGACCTGATTGTGAGAGACTCCCAAGAGGCATTTAGGGCCGTGCGAGACTGAGGGAGCAGTGGATCTTGCGGTTCGAGCGTCGACAGGTCTAGGGCTGTGGAGGAGGTCATGTTGTGTGGATTTGTTTTCTGACACTACGACATCCATCTGATGTGATGCATTTGTTTGTGTTTTTCGTCTAGTATCTCTCACTCCGAACTCGTGAGCTATGGTTGAAAGTTGGAAGTTTCTAACAGGAAATTGGCCTGTTGTTGAAAGTTGGCAGGGTGTGCATGTCTACTGCCATGGACCCTTATCTCGGGGATCAGTGTAGGGAGGAGAGCACACAAGATAACTCATAATCATAACAGTGCCTACTACACAACAATGTCATACTCCGTGATGTGTATTGAAGCAGAGATTATCAAAAGGAAAAAAAGACCCAGTAAAAGAGGAGATAGATACTAAGGACTCGACCTCAGGAACGCCATGACCAATGCAGCTGCTAATACGCTCCCTACAACGTATTGCCTGTATCATTTCTTGAACGAGTACCTGCTCCGAAGGGCCTGGCTGATGGTGCTCATCCTGCTCGCCATCCCGCCGTCCCTCATGTTGCTCGCGAGCGCTTCCTCGAGCGCCGACTGTGTGACCGAGGCATCTGTTGTACAATATTAGCTTCCGGGGCCTTCTTGCACGAAGAAAATGTTAGAAACCACTCGCCATCTAGATCACTGAAACTGCTGCCCATGCTCGGCGTCCCGTCGCTGCCATCGCGAGACACGCCCTTGCCCTTAGCAGCCGGGCTGCGTCCTGACAGCTCCGCAGTGCGACGGGGTGAAAGCGGCCCACTCGGCCCGGCGGTGCCGCTCTTGCGCGCCGGTGCCGGCGCTGCCGAGCTGGATGAGGAGTCCGAGGTCTGAGACTGGTGGACCCGTTCATGGGTGGGATCCTTGCGGCTCCGTACGCTGTGAGGTTCCCCTTTTAGTGTGGCTCCCGGGTCTTGGTAGCTCCCGCCGGCGTGCGCGGACGGTGGCAGGAAAGCAGGCTCGGCTTCGTCATCTCCAAGTCCGGGCGAGGCGCCCTCATCCTGGTGGGGTTGATAGCGAGGCGGGCGTCGGATGATGCGCGACTCCGCGACGCTCGACGAAGAGGACGACTCTTCGCCCGAGTCCGAGTCCGCCGGTCCCGGCGACATCGGGCCCGACGCTTCCCCGGCCGTCGTCGTGATAGGCAATGACGAGAGTCGGCGCCTGTGGGTATCTGTCCGTGGCGAGTTCGGTCCTACGGAAGCCCTGTCCGGCCTCGGGGACGAGCCGCTGGCGACCCTCTGCGTCATGGTATTCGTCGACGAGTTCCTAGACACCTGAGGCCGGGCGAAGCTCGATTTGCTCCCCGTGGATCCGGTTCCGGCGACGGTCAAGTCGCTCTTTGGCAGCGGGGAGTCCCGCCGGACGGACAGAGAGGATGGCGCTCGCCCGCCGCCACCCGAGCCCGTGCGCCTCATGGCCTCCGACGCGACGGTCCCCGAGTCGGAGCCCGGGTTCGGCGAGTGTGCGGCGGACGAGGTCGAGCCCTTGGCGGCCGTGGCTCGCCGCATCTGGGCGCGGACTTGCGAGGCATGGCGCTCGGTGAGGTACGTTGCCTGTTGGACGAGGAAGTCAACGGTGACTTGGAACCTTGAGGCCCTGGAAAGGATGAGTCGGGTCAGTTGGCTCGAATCATGGGGAGAAGCACCCGCAGGCAGGCTTACAGCTCGCTCCCTGGGAATTCAAACAAGTTAGCTTTTGGTACGGCAGAGGAAAATGCTCGATGAATCTCACAGTTGATGTCTGTTTGGGCAGCCCCAGACAATGTGTTCCACAAAGCGTCGTCCTTTGAGGCGTCCCAGTTCACCTGCGCGAAAGTCAGCAACGCTCAGCCTCGACCGAGAGAGCCAGTGGCATGACAAGGCTCCATCTCGAAGAAGGATGTCATAGCAAAGGTGTCACCGTACCGGAGGAGGATCGACAAAGTCTCCCCGCGGGAAGGGGAGGCGGATAAACACCGTAAAAGCCGGCTCCGGATCCATCTGATCGGCAGCGTCACATCGCGATCGGTGCGCCGTTGTTTCTCAAGGAGTCGGGAGTTGAGGAGCTGGCGAGCTTTCCCCACGATTTGGAGATCCATGGATGGGGGGCTTATCGGCGCTGATAGCGCTTGATAGGCATCAATGATGCGCACGAGCCACGCTGCGCGGGCGGTACAAGGGTCCAGCGCAAGGCACAAAGGCGCTAAGGAATTGGGGCATCTTAGGGGGAGCACGGGCTCCTACAGTGCCAAAACCCGTCCGCGTTCTCCGCCCAGCCGCGTTGCTGGGGCAGTTGAGCAAAGCTAGGCTGGCAGAATTTCCCGAATTCTTTGGTTCGCGCAAACGCTGCTCGAACCTGCTCACCACCAAGGAGACAAAGAAGCTATCACAGAGACCGCATCATCTCTTTGTGCGTCGGAAGACCCCAATTATATTTCCCTGACACAGTATCTTTCTCATTCCGCGCAAATCCTGGCTGGTCCTTAACAGCTCACCAAGATGGCGCCCTTGATCCTACACAACGTTCCGGACGAGGAACGATATATAGGCGATGATGGCGTCGTTCGCCCCTATGCCATGCTATTTCCCACGTAAGTCACAATGTCTTTCTCGCCATACTCGGTCAAAAACTCACCTTGGTTCTGGTCTAGTCAGGATCAGGCGCCTCTTCGCGCCCGCAGAGCCGCTGCCGAAAAGGGGTCCTTCGGCAAGTCAACAAGGAGATCGCGCTCCAAGACCGGCACGCCTGCGCGTCGGGAAGATCCGACCGTGGCCGCAGCCGATGCAGTATTCGGCGCCTGGAAAGAGCAGCAGTCGAAAGATGGGGGGAAGAGCACAGCTACAACGCCTCAGCGCTCGTCAAGCATGCTTCCCACATCACAGTCGCAACCCATCCTGCCGACCCAGGGCCTCGACGACTCCAGTACGACAGCACCAACCCGCGCGCCGCATAAGGAGCCGACGGAGGTTTTGCTGCGGGGATACCGGTCATCGAAGCAGCAGTATGCTGCCATCAACCACTACGAGGAACTCGCGGGGCGCATCTGCGAAGACTACGCGCGCGATCCCCCAATCGAGAACCGGCGGTACAAGTCTGAGCTGCGGGACCCAGCGTACACGCGACGCAAGCCGCTGACGCCGGAGGAGAGGGTCAAGGTCAACAGGGCAGATGGCGGCGAGCACTGGGTCAAGGTCACGTTTGAATCGGTGCAAGCAGCAGACGCGGCTATATTTTCGTCGCCTCAGAAGATCTTGGGACATCTGGTGTACGCTGACCCATATCACGGCCTGCCCCCCGTTCGCGATGAAGCGATCCCGGACCCAGTCACTGCTGCTGGCGAGATATTTGCCGCTGCATTCAGATCGGAAGATTCGCACCAGTCCCGCTCCCTGCGCGGTCTTCCACCGCGCGGACCCCCGCGACCTGCGGAGGGACGTGGACAGCCCGCCACTCTGCCCAAGTCCTTCACCACGACATCGCTGCCAACAGACCTGGACATGTCGCCTCCTCAGTCGCAAACTTCGTCATACACCCTTGACACTGCCACCGCAACCATGGGTACCGACTCATTGACTGCGTCCTCGGCTACCATCACAGGCACGGCCGTCAAACAGTCCACTCCTCAAGACGATGACATCTATTGCAAGACCATCCCGACGGTCCGGAGAGCCAAGCTGATCTCGGCTGAGCAAGCGCTTCTGCCGCAGACATCCTACACCCAGCGGATACTGAACATGATCCCGTTCCTCAAATGGTTCAGTGGCTCCATGATTGGCGATCAAGTGCCCAGGAACGATAACGGCGAGTTTGACTGGGACAAGGCGAGTCTGTACTGGAAGTTCATCTGCTGGCTCGACTCGACCTTCGGACTCTTTGGTGGAGAGATCCTGAACGCGGACAAGGAGGATTAATGACCGCGCGGACTCGGGGAGGGGGGAATGGAAGTTTCGATACCGGATAACACGGCGGCGTTGGGGATAACTGCACAGCATACAGGCCAGAGTCAAGGAGTTATGTTTGCATAGAACATTGTACTTTTATGTCATGAGTACTATCGGACCCTTCAGGGGTACACTAGCCTTGGATGCTACCTATACAAAAACAGATGTGCTGATAAATGACAACCATAAACGCCTCCCATGAGGGGGTATAACTGTACAAAAAACCTTCTTCAGTTCAACGTGACACTGTCCCGCCTTGCTCTCTGACTCGAAGCTACCGAGCTAGTTCTCGATACATCATGTTCGTCGTCGTCATCGCGCCGCCATGGATCGTCGTCGTCCTCGTATCCGTCATTGCTGGCTATATCTCGCGCAATTTTGGATGCCGTCGGCCGCGGCGTATTGTCCGGGTCTTCAAAGGCGGATGACTGACTTGGAGGTTCGAGCCTCGGCCCCATGACCTCATCTGGATCAACCGCTACGGGTTGTGGTGAAAACGGCCGGATGATGCCCCGTCCTCGTATAGGTTCCGAGAAGACACTGTCCGTCTCGCCGCCGCCGCCTCCGCCACTGCCCTTGACTGGCGAAAGGGCACCCTCCAGGCTCTGATATCGGTCCGTCCCGTCAACCGTCAGGCTATCCGACCTCCCGTGTGTACTGTGCAGGGCCGCCGAATCGCTTGCCGAGTCCGCCAATATGCTCTTCGGCGGCAGTATGCTGAAGATCTTGCTCCCGGGGTCGCCCCCGCCGGCCCCGAACTGCTCCTCCTCGGCCGCCGCGGCAAAGAGGTCGTGCCCCTTCTCCAGGACGTCGTCGAGCCCGCCGCCGGACCAGCCCTTGCGCGCGAGGCTCTCGAATATGTCGACCTCGGCCCGCACGAGGCTGCAGCTGGCGTCGGCGATGCGCGCGCTGGTTTCCTGGCACTCGCGCAGCAGGGCGCGCGCGTGGTCGGCGTGCAGGCTCGTCAGGCCGTCGAGCTTGGCCGTCAGCTCGACGAGGTGCTCGCGGAAGCGCGCGACGTCGCGGCGCTTCTGCTGGCGGTGCAGCTTGAGCCCTTCCTTCTCGAGGCGGCGGATCTCGCGCGACTGCTCGCGCGCGCGGGACTCGTACCCCTCGTTCTCGTCGTCGACCTCGCGGCGCCACTTGTCGAGCTCGTGCAGCAGGGGCACCTCGAAGGAGCGGTAGACGGTCTCGGACAGGATCTGCTGGTGGTTGGCGACGAGGTGGTGCACGCCGCTGATGGCCAGCAGCGGGTCGGCCGTGCACGAGGTCCCCGCCCCCGCGACGAAGGAGCTCGACATGGTGGCCGCCGCGGCCGTGGGCCCGCCGCCGTCGTGGCTGCCGAGGCCCGTCGTGGGGAGGGGCCCGATGGCCTCGGCGCGGGCCTCCTTGAGGCGCGCGCAGGTCTCGAGGGCGGAGCCGAAGCTCGAGGCGGCGGTGCCGAGGGCGGCGAGCGCGACGCGGTAGGCCTTGGCGCTGGCGAGCAGGTCCGCGTAGGCGGCGTGCGAGAGGTCGAGGTCCGCGCGGGACAGCACGGCGTGGGCCGGCCGCGGAGGCGGCGGCAGGGGCAGGTTGAACTGGGATATCGGGTTCGCGGTCGAGGCGTACGAGTACGTCGGCGAGGACGGGACGGGCGGGAGCTGCGACGGCGAAGGGGTCGGCGGCGTGGCCGGCCGGCGCGGGGGTGCCATCGCACAGTAGTTTTTGGTGTGTGTGTGCGCGCGCGCGTTTGCGATCGTAAAAAAAGGTTGGATTGCGCGTGCTATGCTGAGAGATCCGTCCCCTCCAGTCCCCCTCTTCTTTTGCGGGCGGCGGGTTATCTCGGTCCTGCGCGCTTTTGTTGACTTTGGCTGTTGCCTCGTTGGCGATTACGCAAGCTGGCTTATACGCGATCTGAGGTCTATGAGCGTGGGCCGGGCTGCGGCATGGTGGCACGACAGATTACCGGATCTCGGGAGCCTTGGTTTTGCGCAATGTGTTCAGTCCGATTGTAACCTCCTGGCAGCTTGATCAGCTTCCCTGGCCTCTTTGTCAAGTGGTTGATTCGACAGGTGATCCACCATAGCAACTATCTGGACCCCTGTCTCCGGGACCCCTTGTGATCCGAATTCCCACACCACCGGCTCCGTAAAATTGGCCGATAAGCCGCCTGCAGATAAGAATGTCCTTACATTGTAACTATGTACCCCTCCGCCTCCAACAATGAGCAAGGAATCACGAGAAACGGCCGAATCTGAAAGATTTCAAGATAGTGCTTTAAAACTTCGAGATGATGGCGCGATGATTATTCCCTCAGTGATGCTAAAGTCAATGATGGACTCTGCGGCCGAATTGGTCTTGTTGTATGTTGTAAAAGAACAGTATCCACAGGTCCAAATCATCACTTAAACTTCCAGTTTTTATTTCTGGCCAACGACTTATACACAAAAGCCAATCAACAGTGCAATTTCAGATTGCTGATCAGACATGGCCGACTTACCAGACTCACCACCTCAATTCTCCTCAAGAAAAGCCAAGATCCTCGAGCAGCTTCAACTCCCAGACACCGACTACACCGACGCCTCGCCCAAGGGCTCAGTAGATGAGGGTATCAAAGAGCTCATCGCCGAGATCAACGCATACGATGGTTTTGTGACGACCAGCAGCTGCGCTGGCCGAGTCAGCGTGTTTCTCGAGGGCGTCAAGGCAGACTCGGGCCCTTCAAGCGACCCGGATGAGGAACCGGAGTCTCGAGTGCCCAACCAGGTCGCCAGCTCCGGAGGCAAAGGAGGCGGCGGCAAATGGTTATTCGTCTCCCACGACCCTTTGGACAGGTCGGAAGGCTCCTCAGATGCAACATCTAGCGGAAACCATTGGCGAGATCAGTTTGCTCTCCCGGCCGTCGATGGGGCCGCGATGGAATCAATGTGCAGTATCAGTGCCGGGTCTTGTCGTCCACGTCTGATACATTTCAAATTTGAACCTATGGTAGGCCTTGCAGCAACGTCTCGCGGCAGAAGAATGACCAGCTAACACTCGACAGATCCTTCATATTCTTACCGCATCACTAGCACACGCCCAGCTCGCTATCAAATGCGGTCTGCAGGGCGGCTTCCGCGAGAGCGGTGCTCTCAACTTGGTCCCCGGCTCTTCAAGTCACGCGGTGACCCCTATGGTGGCTATTCGATCCATGGGGCTGGGATTTGAATCTATGATCGGTATCGAGCAAGTCGATGGCCAACGGTACTGCACTGTTGCGCCGGAATACATCGCAGCATTGGTAACCCTAGCCAATGAGCATTTCGCGGAGAACCAGAGAAGGATACAGAGGTTCAGGGAGGCCCTCAAAGAATCGATGCAAGGGCAAGTAAAGCTGAACAAGGACGGTATGGCGTGGGAAGATGCTGCAGCACGGAGAGAACGCAAGAGGGCAGAAGGTCTGAGGAGGAGGGAACAGCTCAGGCAGTCGCAAAGGCCAGCAACAGAAGACCCCGATACTTGAGCTTATCTCCAGGCAGCCTCTGGTAGTTTCGACTTCAGTCTATTGCGTTTCTATGCAGGCTTTTCTTGCTCCCAGCGCCTTTCTTGCTGTGAGGTCCGTATAATACATAACAATGATGTCGATGGCGACGCATCGTGGCGGTTGTGATATGTCGCTTAGCATGTCCAACTCGTAACATCCCCCTGTGCTCCTCTTCATGATACAACCTTGTCAACCCAGACCTTTTCAAGCCTGCGGACCTCCTCCTTGAAGTTCTCCACCTCCTGCCAGCAGTCGAGCGGCCGCCTGTCGTGCTCCCGCAGGCACCGGATGACATCTGAGCGCGCGGTCTCGACGGACTCCGGCAGCTGCCGTACTTGCTTGCGCTCCTCGAGCTTTTTGCGTAGTGCCTCGACCTCCTTGGACACAGCCGGGCTGGACAGCTGGCCCTTTACGTCCTTCTCGGATAGCTCTGATAGTTTCTCCTGCGCCTTCTTAAAGGCCTCTGCCTCTTTGGCCTGTAGTTTCTTCAGCTCCTCGGCCACGCGGGCTTGGATATGAAGCTCAAGGGTCTGCGCTCGGGATGCGTCGGTCTGGTGGATGGGAAGTCGCTTGTTAGCCTGCAGGGCCCTCGTGATCGCATCGCCTACCGATGATTGGTGACCTTACCTCTGTGCTGGATTGTAGAGACTCGACGATGTTCTGGGACACGCTGGTAGGGCCGGAGCTAATTGAGGAATCGTTTTGTCAGTAATGGTCGGTCTCATCGATCGTGGGCCGGGACGGAACGGAGCCGGCAGGATCAGAGTAGGGACAAGGGAAGAACATCAAACGCACCCTTTCCAGACGTGTGGAGATGCACCAGTCTCCGGCTTGGATGCGGACGAACCCATGGCGGCAGAGAATCGTCAATTGGCTCCGTTCGGGGGTCGTGTGTCAGTCTTTATGACGTTGTGCTTGCGGGTGGCCGAGAGCTGCTTCTGCGCGCAACTGACGATGGGGAAATATGCGCAATTCTGCCGAGGGCCTGTCGAAGCCAATGGCAGGTGCCGGACAGGTGCGAGAGAAGGCGGTCGCGGGACCAGGAAAAGTTTATGCCTGAGGCTAGTATCCATGGACCCCTTGACTGTTAGGAAGCCACTGAAAAGCCACCTGTGTAGCTGGGCATGCCCAGTTTCAGGCGCTAGAAGAAAACAAAAATCCACTAACGGGAACGATCTTTAGGGGATTCCTCAGCTGGTGGCTTTGGCACGCGATTAATAGTACCCGAAGCCACAGCGCTCCCAGCCCACGATCTTCACTCCCGTCAACAACGTCAAAGCTCAGCGCCAAGTCGGATGCAATGACGACATGGATCAATCCTTCCCACGTGCAATCTATTCGAGAATCACTAGCCTGGGGACGCCTTGTAAGAGGAAATGTTTATCATCTTGGTCCCTGGAAATGAACACCGGGTTGGATTTTGTGAGACAAAGAGCTATTGCTACAGGCTGTGCAGCTTCTTCAGCTTTGCTTCATCCAGAGGCGGTCAAAGGGGAGATCAAGTAACGAGCATGTTCTGGTATACTGGTCACGACCGTTGACGTATGGAGGACAAGAGTCCAGTCTGTATAGTCGTCCCATAAGTCTCAGTAGAAATCTCTGGTGAGCGTACGAAATATGTGCAATATCTAGCATGCCCTGTTGCTCGTACGACTGCATCAGGCACAGTCCTTTGAAGAGGCACAGGAACCCGGATACCTACATCATCAGCGAGACTGAGGCACAGTCAGATGCAGCAAGCATTCGTGCAGATGGTTGGAGTGGTCGAGTCGGAGTCCTTGGATCCATCAATGATCCCTCTCATTCCTGGTCAAGCGTTCCTGGTGGCTGGATCTGCGCCGTAAGCAGTCTAGCCCCGCAGGTCCCCTGCGTTAACCTCTGGGCATTCCCCCTTGCTCCCCTGAAGCCTGCCACTAGGCTAGAACGGGAGGCGCCGTAAGAAACGCTGGACCAGTCATCTTGCAGGCCTTCATGCCAGGTCCGGATGTTTGAATCATAGCTCTGCGTTCTTGGTGAAACGGAGGCGATTGATAGGCTGGCGCCGGGTCAGCTTCGACTTTCGCCGCCTTAGCTGCTGCGGATGCCACCACTTCGTCCGGTTCCCTCTGGTCAACCCCTTGATAGCCCTGGACTCCAGATGGCCAGTTCGCCAGTGATTCCGAGTGAATGCCAGCCTCTAGATCCTCTAGGATTCCCTCAGGGCCCTCGTATGCTGAGCAACCGATAGGCTGGTAGGGATCCGCCCCCCGCTGGCGACCTCGAGATGTCTGCGCGGCTTGGCGCTGGATCAGCCCAGGCTTGAAGGGGCGTGGGTCGATGTTGGTATGTACATGCGTTTTCCAGGCTCTGCATGTCGGTGAAAGGCATGCAGTCAACCTCATCGTGTACCTGAGCCAAGTTGGTAGGTGAGATTGATGTCAGGGGTGCACGAGGCCACCACCTCTTGGCCGTGTACCCACAAGATCGCCACTGCGCTCTTAAAAGGGTTGTGATGCTCTTCATTCCCCGTCCCGGCGGTCGTCCTTTGGGTCATCCTGATCAACAGTCTCTTTTTTTCCTATTCTGGCCTCCAGCGCTGGGTGCTGGTGAGCCAAGACCTCTTTCAGATATCGGTCTGTGTCGATCCGGAAACACCATCATCACCGTGCTCAACATCGTCACTGCGATCTGTCTTCCATTCTTGCCTCACTACTCAGAAAGCCAGGCTTTCCCGGGTCTTTATACCATTCCTTACTTCCGCTCCGTACAGGCCTTTCTCGCATCCGGAGTCATTGTTCTTGACTGTTCAGTCTTTGGACAAACATCACAGCGGGAGCGGCTGAGCTTTCATTCTCTTCGGTCTTTGACAACACTAACGCAATCGCTCTTTGGCTTCTCGAAGAACAACCCTCAAAAAGTCCAGAATTCCATCTCACTGTCGCTTCACACGAGCATATGTTGGATTGGGTGACAAGTCGACTGCCAAAAAGCTACCGCGTGTCTCCTGCCCCGGCTATTGATAAGGCAGTGAAGACCTGTTGTGAATCACTGCATCGCAAATCTATTGTGCTACTGGACTCATCCAATTCATTACAGTGAATGGAAGTGGCCCCCCCAGGCAGCCGCAGCAGCTCGTTACATAAAGAAGGTTGCCTTATTGTTCTCTCGTACACAATGAGACTGTTCTCTTGATCTTCCCAACAACGACAATAGACGCTTTATTTGTCGCGACAAAGCCTTCTTCGAACCCTTTATTACGAACCTTGTCGCCAACAAATCTCAAGAAGGTCACTCCAGATTCACAAACATTTTGTCAACTATACAACGGCTTTTTTTTTTATCACACCCCTTACACCACACGATGCATTCACTTCAACCGCGGCGGCTGGCCGCTGCCGAGCCATCCATACTGCTCCAGTCCTTCCAACTGAGAGATGCCACATCAACAGCTTCAATATCAACGACGACAGCATCGGCGCCCGCAGCCAACCCGACCATAGCCCCGTATCACACCGGGCTCAATGGAGTCAGCCAGCACCTCAATCTTGTCTTCAAGGATGCGCTTTGGTGGAGTCTGGGGGTCGTCGCCTTGATCATTTTGGGCATCCGGCTGGGCGAAATTGCGTGGTCAAAACTACGACTTGTTTCTGCCATGTCCGTTGCTGGAGAGAAGCAGGCCTACTGGAGGGTATCTCAGTGGAGCAGGATGCCATCTTTGAAGAAGAACCTCATCTATGCGCCTTTGTGGAAGAAGCGACACAACAGAGAGTTCCGGCTCTCATCGGCCATCAACATGGGCACGCTTCCGACAAGGTTGCAAGCCATTCTCCTAGGCCTCTACCTGGGCAGCAACGTGGTTTACATGTTTGTTCTTAACTGGGCGAACGAGAATCGTTACTCCTTCTGCGCCGAGCTTCGCGGACGCTCGGGCACCCTCGCAGCAGTCAACATGGTACCCTTGATCATATTGGCCAGCAGGAACAACCCTCTGATCGGCATGCTGAAGATCAGCTTTGACACATACAATCTCATTCATCGATGGATGGGTCGGACCGTTGCGATCGAGGTGATCATCCATACCGTTGCCTGGGCTGTCGTCCAGCTGGCGGACGGTGGCTGGCCGGCGTTATTCAATCGTGTACTTCATGACCGATTCATCGCCTCTGGCACCGCAGGCACAATTGCCTTTGTCATTCTGGTCATCCTCTCCATCTCGCCCTTGCGTCACGCATTCTACGAGACATTTCTGAACACGCATATCATCCTCGCCTTCATCATTGTCGTCTGCACCTGGGTCCACTGTGCAACAGCAGAGATCCCTGGCGGTCTTCCTCAGCTCCCCTGGGTCATTGCTATCGTGCTGCTCTGGATCGCTGAGCGCCTGGCCCGCATGATCCGCCTTGCATTCTGCAACTGGTCAGACCGAGGCTTCACCGAGGCAATCGTCGAGCCTCTCCCTGGTGACACCTGCCGTGTCACGATGCATCTCGCCCGCTATGTCGACGTCAAGCCCGGCCAGCATGCTTACTTGCGGTTCGGAGGTGTCAATCCGTGGGAAAACCACCCCTTCTCCATCGCATGTTGGGAGCACAAATCGGTGGAGCGGACCTTGCCAATCAACGAGAAGCAGATCTCTACCGCCACTGACAAGAGCAACATGGTCACTTCGGTCTCATTTCTCATCGGCGCACAGACAGGTTTCACCCGCAAGCTGTACAACAAGGCACGTCAGGAGAGCCAAATGCGTCCGGACGGCAGGTTTGCGGTCGCCCTGCGGGCCGCCTTTGAGGGCCCGTATGCAGGCCACCACTCGCTCGACAGTTACGGCCACGCGGTTCTGATCGCCGGTGCCACTGGTATCACCCATCAGATGAGCTACCTTAGGCACTTGATCCAGGGCTACAACGACGGCATCGTAGCAACCCGCAGAGTAACCCTGATATGGGTTATGCGCGACCACGAATCATTGGAGTGGGTGAGGGGGTGGATGGACGAGGTTCTTCGACTGCCGGGGAGGAAGCACCTCTTGCGGATACACCTCTTCATCACCAGGCCAAAGAACCCGGCCCAGATCAACTCCCAATCCAACACGGTCCGCATATCACCTGGGCGGCCTAACATTCCTCTCATCATCAGGAAGGAGGTCTCGGAGCAGGTGGGCGCCATGTGTGTCACGGTCTGCGGGCCTGGCGCTCTGGCAGACGATGTCCGGAGCGCAGTCAGAGAGGTTCAAAGTCAGGGCAACGTTGTAAGCCTCCATGAGGAAGCATTTACGTGGTGAGCCGGGGGGAAAGAACGAAGAAAACCACTTGCATCATTGCATTTATTGTCGTCTCATTTCTTGTTGGGCTGTTCCCGCTCAACTCTGTTCCAATATTTCGATTCGTTGCCATTCCAAATGGTCTTTTTTTTTCTTGCAGCAAGCTGTATTCGATGATGAGCCAGGCTATTATTATTTTTCAGGGGAAGCATGAAGAGTAATGCATTAGAGGCATGGCGTTTTTTGATAATTCGACATTTCATAGCAGCAAGCACCAAATGCATATATTCCCGGAGGGGCATGGAGACCCGGGAAGAACAATTTCGAGCAATCATTCAAACAATGACATCTCATTTCCCTTTGTGATCTGCAATATTGAGAGTAATTTACTGACCCTTTCGTTCGGCATCTGCTATCCGGAGTTGCCATGGAATCCGAGTGCAAGGAGCCTTGTTGAAATGATCAATTGAGTCATCCAAGTGAAACCCCAGCCCAAATGATGTCTTGTATGGAATTGCTGTCATAGAAAGCTGGGGGACTGTGGGATCGGGACACACCCATGCTTTCCTAGGGTCTTGCATCCCAATCACTATGTAGACGTACTTGTACAGCCTCATATAAGAGCCCAAGCCCTGCCGACAACGGCATTCCATCTCGCACATTAACGTTCTTATTGGCAACTTAACAACCTGTCGGATACAGTTGATGCTTCTCCCACTGCAGCATCTCTGATTGGTCGAGAGGAGCGGTTTGCGGCGGCAAGGTGCGGCTCTGTTCCCCAATTGGCGGATCCTGGCTGGCCACTGCATGCGCTGTGCTTCCCCACTACCGAACGTAGCGGCCATGATCCTGACTGCGGGGCATTTTTGGGCGATCATCGGACGGGACCCTAACGAAGATTGATGCTAGGCCTGTGAGTGGTGTGGTATTACCGGTGGTGGAAGGGCGCGCGACGTTCAAAGTGTGACTCAAAAAGTCTTTTGACTCGGCATCGAGCTTTTTGTATTTAACTCCAGCCTCGAATTGCCTGTCCCTGTGTCATTGTTGGACAGATTCTCCTTCCCCAGGCACAGCACACTTTAAAAGACATCACCTGAACACGAACAAGGGCTCCATCGTGTTCTTCAAACTTCCAATCAACCATCGCTGCAGAACAAAACCAGACTTTACCGGAGCACGCTGGTCAGACATAAAAAATACACCCCGCACTGCCGGCACCACCCAACGATAGCGATAACAAGATGCCTATGTAAGACAGCAATGCTCTGCAAGGAAGATACAAGAAGCACGCAAAACTGATCAATCCTTTCTGCAGGCTGAAGGATCCTTCCAAGAAGTACCGGGCTTTTCCGCCTGTGCATCTGCCCGACCGGCAATGGCCCTCCAAGACCATCACCAAAGCCCCGCGATGGCTGTCGACCGATCTCAGAGATGGCAACCAGAGCCTGGTCGACCCCATGGTGGGCGAACTCCCTTTGATTCTTGGAGACTACCGTCTGGAATTCCAAACTGACTGATTCGGCCCCTCTGGGGCTTTTCTAGAACGGCGATGAGAAGTGGCAATACTTCAAGATGCTCTGCGAGCTCGGCTACAAGGAGATCGAGGTATCCTTCCCCTCGGCCTCTCAAACCGATTTCGACTTCACGAGGCGCCTGATCGAGACCCCTGGTGTCGTTCCCGACGATGTCTACCTCCAAGTCCTGTCCCCCTGCCGCGAGGACCTCATCCGGCGCACCGTCGAGTCCGTCAAGGGCGCAAAGAACGCCATTATCCACATCTACCTTGCCACCAGCGAGTGCTTCAGGAGGATAGTCTTTGGCTTCACCGAGGAGGAGAGCATCGAGCTCGCCACTAAGTGTGCCAAGCTGGTGCGCTCCCTGACCAAGGACGACCCGTCCCAGCAGGGCACCAACTGGTCCTTCGAGTTCAGCCCCGAGACCTTTTCCGACACAGGCACCGACTTCGCCATCAAGATCTGCGAGGCCGTCAAGGCCGCCTGGGAGCCGACTGCCGAGAACCCCATCATCTTCAACCTGCCCGCCACCGTCGAGATGGCAACGCCCAACGTATACGCCGACCAGATCGAGTACTTCTCCCGCAACATCTCGGAGAGGGAGAAGATCTGCATCTCGCTGCACCCTCACAACGACCGAGGCTGCGCTGTAGCCGCGGCAGAGCTGGCCCAGATGGCTGGAGCAGACCGAGTCGAGGGCTGCCTGTTCGGCAATGGAGAGCGCACAGGGAACGTCGACCTGGTCACTCTGGCCCTGAACCTCTACACCCAGGGCATCACGCCAAACATCGACTTCTCCGACCTGCAAAGGGTCATCGGGGTTGTCGAGATCTGCAACAAGATCCCGGTCCACCCTCGTGCCCCCTATGGTGGTTCCCTGGTCGTTTGCGCCTTCAGCGGTTCCCACCAGGACGCTATCAAGAAGGGCTTTCAGCTGCGGCAGCAGGAGAACAAGGAGTACGACGACTACTGGCAGGTGCCATACCTGCCTCTGGATCCCAAGGATATCGGACGAGACTACCAGGCGGTCATCCGTGTCAACTCCCAGAGCGGCAAGGGCGGTGCTGCCTGGATCATTCAGCAGTACCTCTACCTCGACCTGCCTCGTGGTCTGCAGGTCGAGTTCAGCCGGACCGTGCAAAAGGTGGCCGACGAGCGCAGCCGCGAACTCCTGCCCGTGGAGATCACGGATCTGTTCGAGCAGACATACTTCCTCAAGGAGAACCCACGGTTCAGCCTGGTCGACTACGAGATCAAGCCTGATCGCTCGCAGAGCCCTGCCCCGCCGGCCGCGGGCAAGACTCAAGACACCAGGAATCTGAGGCGTGTATTTGATGGTGTCATCTCCGTCGGCGGCAAGGAGTACAAGCTGTCGGGCCGTGGCAACGGTCCCATCTCGTCTCTGGCCAACGCCCTGCGGTCCGTTGGCGTCGACCTCGAGGTCAACGACTACAAGGAGCACTCCATTGGTCGTGGTCGGGACGTCAAGGCTGCTACGTACATCGAGTGCACGGCGGCGGGAAGCAACCAGAAGGTGTGGGGTGTGGGTATCCACGAGGATGTTGTCCTCAGTTCCCTGCACGCTATGCTGAGTGCTGCTAGCAACGTAAGTTACTTCACCTTTGATGTGGCACGTATTCCTCTCTCAAGCACCTGCTGATGTTGCCCTGTCTAGTTTGTCGTCAGCCGACCCGGCAGCCCTCAGCTGTCTCGCCCATCGGCGCCTGCCGCTGATGGCCAGGGCGAGGTCAACCCCGAGCTGCAGCCGAGCACCAATGGGACTGCCAAGAAGGGCGATCTGATTAGCGCTCTGGACGCCCAGGCCGACGAGATGTAAACAGCGCATGTTTTTTTTTCGAGTCCGAAAAGTTCTGTGGTTCATGTTGAGGGCGTTGTGACGATCAAAGCATCAAAGGGGTGCATGCGGGTGGGAAGCGAGGAGCATGGGTTGAGACCAATCCCGCTCTCATCTGCGCACTGCACTGCCCGCATCTCCGGTTCCTACCTGAAATCCAAGCACATTCTGCCATCACTCTAGCTCGAGATCGTTAAGTCACGCCGTCATCGGTTGTATGAACTCGCTAGCAATATGCCGGAAACTCTGCCTGCAAGTGCTCCTCGAACTCTTTAAACTGTCTTTCTTTTTTCTTCATTTTCTCAGTATGTAACCATTCAATTGACCAACTGTAGAACCCCACCATACCCCAAGCTGTTGCAAACCAACAACTTCCAGTTGACAACATGTCTCTCCGCGATATCAGGAAATCAATGAAGGACGATCCAAACGGAAAGTGCATAACCATGTTAGGCTGGGACGGCGTGCTTCGCATCTTTGACGCAGAACGGAATATTCTCGATGCAGTTGGCCTCAACCCGGCCCAGATCAGAGAATACTACGATGGTCTACCGATGCATGAGAGATTTCTCACCGCCGACGGCCGCAACGTTTCGCATTGGAAAATGTTCCACCCTGATGCGGAAAATATTCCTAGGAAGCCGACAGAGGAGGAAATTGCTGAGACGAACGCCAGGTTCGAGGAGTTGAGAAGGCGCGGACTCACATGCTGTGGATCAGGCAAGTCAGCAGACGAAGGGGAATCGAAGCCGTAGGGCACAACCAGTCATTGGTTGCAAGCCTCGCCAGACTCATAAAAGTAAATGACTGGTACACTATCCTCCAGCCGTTTGTTGCTTAACCCGTTCGGTTCTTTGAACGAATTCGGGCCTGTCTCTTCAGATGACCAGTTCTGGGGTGACGTCCTCTCCTGCAGACTCTCCACTCCCAAAACCGAGCCCTAGCACTATTGGGCGAACCGTGTGTTTTTCCCTTCCAGATTGGGTTTCGCACCTGAGCAGCCTCAAAACCCCACGCTCGCGGTTTGTAGTGACCCAGGTCCCTAATTTCCCAGTCAAATTAGGACCTTGTTTACATAGTTACTCCGTATTCCCGTGATGAGAGGTGAATGAGCTCTTCGTCTGATCAGGTAGGTAACTTTGGAAGCCTGGTTTTTAAGATTGAATCTACTCCTCAACTATCAGCATCCTGACTATTATTGCACGGTACCATCATTCATCCCGAGTTGAGTGAGGAGTGACGAAGATCAGAATTGGGTTTGTGATCTGGCAAGGTACTTGTTTCTCCTCAGCCTGTCAGCTTGGTTTTACTGGTCATTTCGACATTCGGTAGCGGGGTGGAATGCCGTCTTTGCAGAGGAGTCCCCACTGAACACATGCTAAACAGTTACTTGAGGTTCGCTCATTCTTCCAAACATCCCACCTGAATGACCGCCTTGACTCGCTCATACCAGCGCTATCTGCCTCTTCAGCTTTGGCTTAGGTAAAGTAGGGGACTGACCCAGGAATTCCACGTGAATCCATCGCCGCCGTGACTGCCCACTCGCAGTGCTGCCTTCCCACTCACCCACCCACTGTGCCTTCCTCCTCAGCACCAAAAGAGGCCCCCAAAAAAGCCGACCTACCATCTTCCCGCATTCCTCCTGCCGCAAATCCGCAAATCCAAATCCACACGAAAGTGCAGACCGCGATTCTCTGAACACTACACCTCATTTTTCGCTTTTCCCCTCCTCCAATCTGGTCTCCTCCATCCCATCTCCCTCCAAACCTGCAATCACGACAACAACACAGCATGGAGGCCAACTCAGACATCAACACCGTTCTCACAAACTCGTTGTCTCCGGGTATGTTCACCTCAGCCTGGTCCCTCTGCTACCCCCCTTAGCTGCCTCCCTTTTCCTTCGCGTGGGGCACGACAAACCAAAATATTGATACAGTCATGCTAACAACGACTCACCTCCAGACAACGAGCTTCGCCATGCCGCCGAGCAACAGCTCGCTCAGGCTGCTGAGAACAACTTTGTGAGTCTCTGCTCCATCTTCTACTCTACTGATTCGCAACCCCTCTGGCGCGCCTGGTGTTGTTGCATGTTTACTGACCGACTGCCTCTTTGGCTTGCCTAGTCCCTGTACCTCGCCACCCTCGTCCAAGAACTAGCAAACGAGAGCGCCCAAGGTCATATCCGAGCAGCCGCCGGTATCGCCCTCAAGAACGCCTTCACAGCCCGCGAGTTCTCTCGCCAAGCCGCGCTACAAGCAAAATGGCTACAACAAACAGATCAAGACACGAAGAACCGCGTCAAGGAGCTTGCCTTGCAAACGCTCTCGTCGTCGAACGCGCAGGCCGGCCAAGCTGCCGCCCAAGTTATTGCGTCGATTGCCGGGATTGAGTTGCCTCGTGGTCAATGGCAGGAGTTGATGGCATCCCTGGTTCGAAATGTCAGCGAAGGTCAGCCCCACCAGAAGCAGGCTTCTTTGACGACCATCGGTTTCATTTGCGAGATCCAAGACGCAGAGCTGAGGGCCGCCCTCGTTGCCCAGTCAAATGCTATCCTCACAGCTGTCGTGCAGGGAGCTCGAAAGGAAGAGGAGAACCTCGAGGTCCGGCTTGCCGCCATCACCGCCCTGGGTGACTCGCTCGAGTTCGTCGGCAACAACTTTAAGCACGAGGGAGAGCGCAACTACATCATGCAGGTCGTGTGTGAGGCCACTCAGGCGCAGGACTCTCGGATACAACAAGGCGCCTTTGGCTGCCTCAACAGGATCATGGGTCTTTACTACGAGAACATGCGCTTCTACATGGAGAAGGCCCTCTTCGGCCTCACCATTTTGGGCATGAAGTCGGATGATGAGGATGTTGCCAAGCTTGCTGTTGAATTCTGGAGCACCGTGTGCGAGGAGGAGATCGCTATCGAGGATGACAATGCCCAGGTAAGACCACACCCGTGCACGCGCCTCTGACGAAATCAAGCAGCGTTGCTGACCCACTTCTTTCCCAGGTTGAGAGCTCCGACCAGATGCGCCCGTTCTACAACTTCAGCCGCGTCGCAACTAACGAGGTCGTACCTGTCCTCCTCACCCTGCTCACGAAGCAGGATGAGGATGCGTCGGACGACGAGTATAACATCTCACGTGCCGCGTACCAATGCCTGCAGCTCTATGCCCAGGCCGTTGGCGCTACCATCATTCCTCCCGTCATTCAATTTGTCGAGGCAAACCTCCGGTCTGAAGACTGGCATAGCCGTGATGCTGCCGTCTCTGCATTTGGCGCAGTTATGGAAGGTCCTGATGAGAAGGTTCTCGAACCAATCGTCAAGTCTGCTCTGCAGATCCTCATCACCATGATGGATGATCCTTCTCTCCATGTCAAGGACTCGACCGCCTTTACCCTTGGTCGGATCACCGAGAACTGCTCTGAGGCTATAGATCCGTCTCAGCACCTGGACCCTCTGATCCGCTCGCTGTTTGCCGGACTCACCAGCAACCCCAAGATGGCACCTTCTTGCTGCTGGGCCCTCATGAACCTGGCGGAGCGCTTTTCAGGAGACATGGGCGCCCAGGCTAACCCTCTTACCCAGCACTTCAACTCTGCCGTTTCTGACCTCCTGGCCCTCACTGCCCGACATGACTGCGAGTCGTCGGTCCGTACCGCAGCATATGAGGTGCTGAACGCGTTCGTCACTTACTCGGCCCAGGAGAGCCTGCCAGCCATCGCCTCGCTGTCTGATGTCATTATCAAGCGTCTTGAGGAGACCGTGCCGATGCAAAACCAGGTCGTGAGTGTTGAAGACAAGATCACCCTCGAGGATATGCAGACCAGTCTGTGCAGTGTCCTGCAGGGTATCGTTACTCGCTTGGACAAGGAGATTCTGCCCCAGGGCGACCGCATCATGCAGGTCTTGCTTGCTATCCTCGGCTCTGTTGGTGGCAAGTCCAGCGTTCCCGAGGGTGTCTTCGCAGCTATCAGCAGCCTAGCCAACGCCATCGAGGAAGAGTTTATTAAGTACATGGAGGCATTTGCACCCTTCTTGTACAACGCCTTGGGTAACCAGGAAGAGCCAAGTCTGTGCTCCATGGCTATCGGCCTGGTGAGCGACATCACTCGCTCTATGGGAGAGCGTAGCCAACCGTTCTGTGACAACTTCATGAACTACCTGCTCAACAATCTCAGGGTTCGTATAGAGCAATCATCCACACTCAGCTTGAAGGCTTTTCTAACATATTGTTTGCAGAGCACTACTCTTTCCAACCAGTTCAAGCCGGCTATTCTTCAATGCTTCGGAGATATTGCTGGTGCCATTGGCGGCCATTTTGAGACGTACCTCTCAGTCGTGGCTCAGGTTCTGCAGCAGGCTGCTACTGTCACTGCTGCAGCTGAGGGCTCATACGAGATGTTTGATTACGTCGTCTCTCTGCGAGAGGGTATTATGGACGCCTGGGGTGGCATTATTGGTGCCATGAAGGGCAGCGGCAAGAGTAAGACGGCCTGTCCCTCCTTCGCGGTGAACGTGTCCCGCTGACTTTTTCCATGTAGCTCAAATCCTTCAACCTTTCGTGCCGTTCATCTTCCAGCTCCTCAACATCATTGCAGGCGATGCCAACCGTAGCGAGTCTCTGATGAGGGCTGCTATGGGCGTCATTGGGTAAGTCGGGCTCGGATACGTGTCTGCCTTGGGGGCTCTGTACTGACTTGTAGTAGTGATCTTGCTGATGCTTACCCCAACGGGGAGCTTGCCGATGTCTTCCGCCAAGAGTGGGTCACGGCCATGATCAAGGAGACGCGTAGCAACCGCGACTTCCAGCCGAGGACCATCGATACCGCTCGCTGGGCACGCGAGCAGGTTAAGCGCCAGATTGGTGGTACCGTCAACGTCATGCAGCAGACTTGAGCTAGTTGACCTGTGGCAGGACACTGAGTCCTGCCCTGCCTCCCATCCCCTTCCACATTTCACAGCAGGTCGCTCGTCACATCAATTGTTGAGTAAGACGCGGGCTGTGTTGCTTGACAAGGCTTCACCCCCTACATACTCATCAACAGCAAAAGAGCAGACCAAATAATACACTTCACCTAGCAGCAACCCCATCACCCTTTCCCATCACCCAAGCCATATCTCATGGCTCACACGATTACGAGACCCCATGTACATAAGCCCCCCTTTGTTGGCATTTTCTAATTCGGACTACCCTGGACACTACACATGATACACACTACATCTGTTGCGGATTCCCCCATCTCTTGTGTTACACACTTCTTCCTCAGGTCTTGTCACCTATTTACCCCTTGGAAGGCTTTTACCTTTTTTTTCAATCTCTTTCTTGGGACTCGGAGCAAAATAGAGGGAGAGATCAGTCATGTATGGCCCTTACGCTTCGGCAGGCGCCAAACCACACGTCATGTATAGATGGACCACGATGGATGAGACATACGGGTTCACGGAGGACGACGAGACATGGAGGGGTCCTGTTCGTTGCTACTGTTCAAGTGAGCAGAGCACTGAATCAGGAGCGAGCGGATGAAGCGGCGCCGGTGCCATTGGTGTTGGCGAGCCTACAGTCCGCAGACTTGACGTGGTTGGTAACACTTCGATTCATGAATATGACGGAGGGTCACCACCTCGTTGAGCCGGACGCGGATGATGAGACGATGCAAACGTGGCTGGCAAGGTCGAGTGACCACAGTTTACGGTACATGCATCGGCGTAGCTGAATTAAAATTATTCCCCTAAACCTTGGCATGTGTCCGGTTCAAGTGCTTTGAGAAATGTTTCGAGACATCTGAGTGAAAACCGTCGTGCATACCGGGAATTATGTCTTCTTCCGTTACGGAACCGACTATGAATTACCATCTGAGGCTTATGCTAAGTAGACCCTTCATACCACTTGAGGCTCCCTGCCTGGGACGCCGTCCCCTTTTTCCAGAGTCTCTCCAGAATCCCCTCGAATCAACTAAAGAGAAATCCAGAAATAAAGACAATGACAACATAATACAGACCTAGGCAACCTGACAGACGCAGAAAGGGAAAAGGAAAAGAAAGGAAGAGAATCACGGCCAAGCCGATTGAAAGGAACGGTGTTTGAGAAAGAGACAAGACTTTCCAGCTTCGAGTAAGGAACACTTCTCGATTACACGATCTCGAGGTTCGAGAAATGAAGGAGACGAAGCAATAATGGGAGGAATGAAAAAGAAAAAGAGAAAAAGAAGAAAATATAAGGAAATGAAAGGAAAACAAAGAAAGGGCGTGACCTGACGACAAAAAAAAATGAAAGATGTCAGAACGTATGATGATGATCTTGGAGAAGCATTAACCCAGTCAACAATCAGAAAAGAGCCTGCCCCAGGAAGGGGTGGTCACGGCCGGCGGAGCGCTGTTGTTGACGAAGAACTGCAGCTCGTGCTCGAAGCCGTCGTTGCTGACCAGGGTCAGCAACGACGTGGGCGCCCGCGGCTGTGTGAAGGATGAAGGAAGCTGCAGCTGGCGTGGTAGTCGGTGCTGCTGGTGCGTCGTCGCCATGCCGGCCGGCTCGGCGCAGGAAGGCGAAGGGCTCGGCAGCGGACTGGACGCAAGGTGTCGAGACCGGTGGGGGAGGGCGGCGGCACCGCCGGAACCGGCCGACGAGGGCGCTGGGGAGCACGGTGCCGGGATGCAGGCGCTCTCGGTGGAGAAGGAGGCGCGCGGCGTCGGCGGGAGGGCCGTGAGTTGCTGCGGTGGCTGGGGCTGGTACCCGGACAGCGCGGGCAGGATCGGCCTGCCCTGAGGCGAGGCTAGCCCGAAGGACGAAGAGGACGACGACTGCGGCATAAAAGGGTCGAGGCGGATCATGATGTTAAAGCCCGGTAGCGGCTGCGGGTGTCGCAAGGTGGGCGCCGCCGGGGCGATGGGCGGTAGCGAGGGAAGCGTCTGGGTAGAAGTGTGCTCCTGGTATCCCTACGATGCTCTTTTATCAGCAAATCTTTATTCCGGGTGTTTGAGATCAGGGGGCTCATCATCATCATCACCACGACGATGGGAAACTTACACTGGATGAGATACTGCTCGTACGGCTATGGGCTACGCGCTTCTGCTCGCCATTGGCAAACCTCGAGAGTTCCTCATGCCACCTACCCGCAAGGGGCCAGATGGACTGGCACGCGTCTAGGATGGCCAGTGTGCGCCTGACCATGGACGGGCCCTCTCGTGCGATGGCAGGTTCAGGGCAGACTGTGCATCACGTCAGCTTCGTGACACCCCAAGTTGACACTGGTTTGGGTACGTCCAAACAGACCTTCAGGGAGATTAGACAAGTACACGGCCATGGCGCCGCAAGTGTAGACTGCAAAAGCCTAGAGAGCATACATGGTAAGTCTATATCGCCACGTCGCCCCTGGAGGCCATATAGAATAAGTTGACTTACCGACAAGTCAGACATAAAGCCTGCACCCTCGCAACTGCGGTTCGAGAATTGTAGGTCGACCAGCTCGTAGAGCTCTCGGGTGCTTTCAAAGAGTTTCGTGATTTGGGACCAATCTTCAGTGGTGTTTGGACTAGGGTTCATCAATCTATTGCGAAGTCTATGTTAGAGAAGATGGTTTCTATTACAAGACCTAGTATGGAAAATGGAGATACATACTTCTTGAGATATGGCCTGCGGACCAGGATTTTGCAAATGCGGGTGAACATGAAGATAGCTGTATATGCCTTTCGTTCGAAATCAGGATATGAAACTCGTCACGAGATGGATCAGCTCTAGACTTACAATATCCCTTTTCTCCTTCTGGTACTGTCTCAGCAGAGCTGGGCTCCACTGGTGCTCATGGTGCAATGTTCTCTCCCAGTGGTCAAGCTTCTGAGCCAGTCTGATGTGGTCGCTCTCTGGTTCCCAGGAAGGGGTATGTCCCTCCTCGGCGAGTGACCACCGAGAAATGGTTACCCATAGTTGGGTGGCCTGAAGAAGTGTCGCAAACAGTGATCTGCGAGGGTCGTGAACGGACTGCTTGCGGACTGCCGCTGTACCTTCGAGTGCCCCTCGAGAAGCGGGCTCCCAGCCTTCAGCGAAGTCATACTCGCTCGATGGAAGCAGAGCAGTGATATATTTGGGATCAAGGGAGCCAGGTGATGAAGGTCCAGAGAGGAGACTCTCTTGACTGTAAATCATCCAGAAGGTCCGGCGGGCGGACTCTCGTGCAATGACCAAGTCTTTCGTAGGGGCCGTCAAGCGGTAAGTGTCTTCCCGGTGAAGATCCATCTCCAAAGCCATTCGAATGGCGATTCCCAGGCTCTGATGGGCTCCAGATTTGTTTCCGCTGTATAACTGGGCTTTGCTGATGAAATAGAACGCCTGGCACTTGTCCAAGCAAGGGCCTCCCCAAATGGCATCCTGTGCAATGCTTTGTGCATGCGCCAAGTATACCTCGGTAGCAGCGTTGGGTGAGCCGTGCCTCTGGGCCAGAGACGGTGTATAGCGTGCAGATAGACAGAGGATGCCGAGAAGCAGAAAGGCGCTGGGAGCTCGCCCGCCAGTGAGGCTAAGCAGGAGGTGGGCTTTCGGGATGAAGCTCAGTTGAAATTCATGGCCGATGAGATAGTGCACTGCATCCACGATCTCTCGGAAAGGGGGTAAAACATCCATGATTTCGTTCTGGTCTGAAAACGGCCGAAGGGTGAGAGGAGGCGACTCAATTGCCTCTCGTCTGGGCCTGGCCGCAGCACCACCACGTCGAAGGGGGTTCTGACTCTTCTTTCTTGGGTGACGGAACTGGCGGTCTTCGTCCGGATCACCTCTCATAGGAAAAATGCTTTCCAAGGGTTAGCCAACTACCATGGAGAGGAAGAGTTGGATCAGGAGTAGATCTCAGGTGCTTACCATTCTGCCCTGTCAATGCCGGCTTCCCGGCAACTCTCACAAGGCCCTACTCCATTGTTATGGACGCACTTGCTCCTCTGCCGCCGGCATCTGCCCATAAGGAAACGTCAGTTGCAGAATTGACCATGGTACGTCGTTGCATATGTCTCTTTTCTAGAACGAAGCTTTGCGTGAGCAGTGGTAACACACCTCTTACAAGCGACAGATGCTCGACGCCTGGTGACACCTTGGGGCTGAGCATTAGGAATGTGGGAAAGAGCCATAGTTCAGCGATGCCGAGGTCGCACAACTCTAACAACAAGCTTATTTAATATAATGCGGGATTCAACCTCCACGACAAGTGAGGTGGCAAACACGAGAACGATTATCTCGAAGAGCCACGGTTCAATGGTGTGAACAGGGTGTGTGTGTGTGTGTCTGTGTGTGTGTGTGTGAGCAGAAGAAGGGCCACAAGCGAAATCTCTTTGTGGTGTATCGACATGGAAGAAGAAGGCATGGAAGAGCAGCAGGGGGGTTGCAGAGAGTCGGGGAGGCGCCCTCCTTAAAGCCTTTGTGCAATCCCCCGCCGTCACCAGCTAGAATGACGGCCAGGATCTGGACTTGACTTGTCTTCTTAGGATGCCCTCAGGGCACAAGAGGATGTGTGACCCGATGGGTTGGATGCCCCAGCGAAGAATGGAGTTGTCGAAGATTGGCCAGGTCCTGCACATTCTCGTCATGTCTAGCGTGTCTATCTGGATGAGTGGAGATATCGAGGCGGAAAGCAGCAACAGGTGAGACAAGGGAAGCGAGGAGGCCAGCGAGATTGTCATGAAGACGGAAGCACAGTGTAAAGGTGACATGGTACATTGATACCAACGCCTCACAAGGTGGGTGGGCTTGCCGAGATGCCAACCGGGGACCCTAGGGGACCTCGAGGCGGCTGGCTGCTCAACACTTGGAAGTGTGGCCGTCGAGGAAAGCAAACGTTGCATGTTTCCGACTATTCCTTCCCAGAACCGGGTCCATGCTCAGGAAGTTTGAACAACAGGCAAACTCGGGGCAATCTCGACGTTGTTGCGCCATGTCCTCGGGGTAACCATCACCTTGGGACGTGAAGTGAAAGAGATATGGCCATCCACCCCTTCATTTGAGACATGAACAATGAAGAGGTCACCTACATGTATGCTTCCTACAAACCAGTGTTTCAAACCGCCGCTCCCTCTGCAGGTGGTTGATTGCCTTGCTTGCCTAGCTATGGGAAGCAAGTGACCCCTGCCCTGTGAGACTGCGGCGGCCATAGGCTGAGCAATCCTCCAACGTTCATATTCATTGGGAATCGGTGTCCCTAGGGAGCCCAAGGAGAGATAAGGACCAGCACAGCAGAATCGTGTAAGCCATGTGCAATAAGGTTTCTGTCACCAACAACAGTGACCGAACTTCTAGGCCGTGGCACAACCACTGTGCTCCAGCATGCTCCTGTCAATAGTATCACGGAGAAGCCCAGCCTGTCCGTTGCCTGGAGAATGGGGTGCCCAAGGTGATGGCTTGTTCCGGGGCTATCGACCCCCAGCTGCATGTCCTGGCCTTGTCAAGGCGCGCTGGTTCGCAAAAATGGGTCGACAGGCTGGATGTTTTCTTTTCCAACGTCAGAAGAAAAGTTTATCTGCTAATGCTGTCATGTTCGCCTCTTTGCCCAGGAATGGGTTAGTGAAACGCCATTTCCTGCAGAAGAAATTGCCCTGCGGAAGACATTGCTCTGAGCGGCTGTCAGCTCGTACTGATCGCCGCCGGCAGCCTATGACAATACCCATGCACGCAGGAGGAGCAAGGGACACTGGGCGGTCTGCCAAGAGTCGTTAAGCTGCAAACTTTCAAATCGAGGCCGCCGTGGCAACGTTGGTTTGCCTGACGGTCCGTGAAAGCCCAAAACGGGGGCATCCGTGATGGCCCTTCCTCACTGATGACTGGGTACCAATCTCGTACACGTTCTTGAGGATTGGAGGCTTGAACGGGCTGGTCTCGATTGCCCACACGGTACACAGTTGCCAAGCTCGTCCTGGACGGTTCTTCATCCTTCGTAACGGTGTGTCGGAGCGTGATGCACAACGATTGTCCAAGTCTCTAGCAGGCACTCTCTAGCCGGGTGATCCCGTGTGTGGGACTGGTGACTCGGTAGACTGTTGGCAGGTTTCCCCGTATTTGCTCTGGGGGTGGAGTCTGTGTACAAGCTCGACACGTTCAGGTAAGGTTGGCCGGCGATCTTGTTGGCGTTAACCTTATCCCAAGAGTTCGCGTGCCCTGTACAGGGTCGTCAGAGCCGCACCCATTCCTCTCTCGCCCGCAATACATCAAATAAGCTCTGTGCGCTTGTCCTTAGCCTTGGGTTTGAGCCAATCACTTCTCTGAGAACTCCAGCCAGGCGTTTGGCTATTGAGCGTTGGTGGTTTGTTTGCGGGCTAGGTTGTCTTAGAACTCGCAAAGGTCAGAGTGACTCGTGGGCGTAGACTGACAGGACGATTGACACACGCGACGCCCGAGGCGTACACCCTCAACAGAGGGCCAGACCCCAGTGACTGAAGCATAGTATACGCCACTTCGTCCGCAGCCTGGCGCAGCAGTGGACTACTCAATCGGCTCAACCAGGCCTGTGGGAGGGAGTGTTCGTGCGCTACTGGAGCTGCTCTTGGAAGACTTCTGATCCCAAAACTAGACACTTACGCGTTAGCCAAACATTGAAATGGAGCAAGGAGCATTCCCTCCCGGCTCCTAGAGATTCCGGGAAGCGCCAAGTCCTGGGGTGCCAACATGAAGACGGTCGAGAGTGACCTATCAAAAAAGACATTGCAATCAACACACACCCACACCAGCCGTAACCCGTGTTCCTCCAAGGTACCTACCTCACTTTTGGTGTGAGCCAGCCCGAATACTGACACGCATCCTTTCATAGACCCTGGCTACGGAAGAAGCCGTTGAGTCAGTCTTCCAGGATCGGACAAACAGACATGCCCCCAGAGCAGTCGCCCCCGACGGACTCTACTGGCACGCTAGAGGTCATCCAGACCCTACTTCACACGTCTCCAAGGAACAGTGTATTGTATGCTCCCCAAGCGACTCAGGTAGTAGTCTGGTGAGCCTTGCAAGGCTACAGTCCGAGTCTGCAATGAGAGAAGCTCGTGTTTGAATGGCTTCCAACAAGCGCACTATTTGCTCGCTTGTCTGCCAATAGGGTGTTTGCCGGTGATGGCCTAGGACAAACAAGGCGTTGCAAGCGAAGATGTGCCTGGTTTTCTGCACATGGCTGATGAGAAGTGATGTCAGGAGGTGTGTCGATGCCGACAGAACCCTTATTCGACAAACCCCTCACGGACAGGACCAGACTAGCACCGAGCCCATGAGTTGTTTGCGCGGAGATCCCTGGCAGATCGTTGGGGATCCCCCCTCGCTGACAGGGGGTGGAGGGACATTTGCAGGACGGCACGCTTCGAGACATCATGTTTTGTGTCGTACGTACGTACGTAGCAGGGCCCGATCATGCACATTACTCAAGGTGTGTGTTTGAGTGTCTTGCCATTGGAACGCGCATCTCTGGAATAAAAGGAGGAAAGGGGACGTGATATTGTCTCAGAAGGAGGAATTGAGCCAGAGCTCTGCCGAGGCTGGAACAGAGGGAAGGGATGCCAGTCGGCGAGGAGGGTGCACACCCAGACAGGACAGCACTCACTGTCACCTGAAAGGATCAGGGCATACGCAGATCAAGAATGCATCAGTCTGTCTAGCCCTATTGAAAACAGGTTAGCAACGCCACACCGTAAAAGGAGGATCCTGGTGGATCAAACATGCCTCTTGCCTGTGAGACATAGCTTACTTTTACTTCGTACACCGTGCCGCTGAGATGTCTGCCAGGGGCTGTTGCTCTCTCGTTGCAGCGAGCTGCAATGCGGCGTGGTCGAGTGACATATCTCGGGGGCAAGCCACCAGGATGACCCCAGGGGACAAGTCCCGATTACTCTCAGACAGAGGCTTTCCGCTAGGCATCTCGATACATTGTTACATAACAGAAAACGGCTTGATGGTTCCTTTTGATCTGACGTGGTCGAGGGGGGGGAGAATGCAAAGGCTGAGATGGACAAGGCTCAGGGATCGCGATGGCCTTTTCCGGAAAGGGCTGCATCGATGTGTATCACGGTCTGGTGCCGATGCATGCAGACGCGGTATCACGGCAGGCTCGAGGGGGGGAAATAGCGGCAAGATCCCTGATGGAAGTAGCTGCCTGATGTGCAACCTGCTCACCGACTCTTCTATTCCTTCCTTCTCTCAGAACGTGCACTACCTAACTTTCCCTTTTTGAATTATCGGTGCTGTGTTCTTTCTTCTTTTCTTTTGTTCGAAAACGGAACGCGCTCGAGCAGTCGCCCGTTTCAGCCAGCGTTTCCCTCCGTTCCGGTCTCAGAAGATACAAGTACGGGGGAGACAAAGAAGAAGAAAGGAACGCAGACCACACACGCAAAAGAGACCTGCACTTTGACACGTCAGGAGCGGTACATCTGCCGCAGAAAAAAAATGACATGTTCGTATTCCAGCGGCCGAGGACTGGCAGAGAACCCAAGTCGGTCGGCCTGTCAAGGGCCAGATTTCTCAGACATGGGCTTGTAAGCCAGCCACAGCGACGGACGGCACGACGCCTCCGAATGCCTGCCAAGCAAATACCATTCCCTGATTTCTCTGCCTCCCGCATGTCACCTCTTGGGGGCCGTGATGAGGAGACAAGATCGGCCGGACCACCGCCCTCCCCCCTCCCACCCAATGCTCCCTCCCCCTAGTCTGTCTGGCAAGAGCCGGGACACTCGATCTGCCAGCCTTTGTTCTTTCACGGTTCCTCTCGCTTGGCAAGATCTGCCACTCGACCTCTGATGGAGATTTCTTCCCCACACGCTGGAGATCGATCTTGAAGTGCGGCCCTGGCTGGTTGGTGGGAAAGGGGCTGCTCCGACTCCATCAGATCTGGGGGGGCAAACGTGGACAGCACATGCACACAGTCACATAACCCCACCGACCAGATACAGCAATTGATCCGGCCTTATGACCGCATAGGGCAGGTAGGCTCAGGAATATGTGTTTGCCCCAAGACCAGCGGAGGGAGGGAGAAGAAGAAGAAAAAAGCAAGCCCCCTGTGCTCAGAAATGCAGAGGGCGGGCGGTGTTGCGCCCGGGCACTCTCTCTGCCAGGGTCTAAGATGGATCAGCAGTCTCATTAATCAGGAGACTACTCCGAATCCAGACCGATGTGCGTCGAAAGCCGGCCACCAGCCAAGGGGAGGCCGTACCGACCTCGGGAGTGACTGCCGGCGCAGGAAGCGCATTCGTCGGCAGTGCGGCTCACTGGCCAATGGCCGCCGGACATCAGGGGTGTAAAGCCACCGGATTGCTTTTTGCCTTTCGTGGCGTCTGCTGAACCGCTCGCCTGCCATCCATTCCTTGATTTCTCCTCACCGTAGGCCGGCAGGGCTGCGAGCTCACTAAGCTCACTAATGCAGTGGAAATCACCCTGTCTCGGGGCTTATGTTCCCCTCGAAACACTGGCATGAAGCCCTCCTGCAGACGGGTGCCAGGCTCGGATACAGCGGCATCGAGAGAAAACCAAAAAAAAAAAAAAAAAAAAAAAAAAAAAAAAAAAAAAAAAAAAAAAATATTCAGACAAGAGACTGTAGAGGGAGACCTTGCAAGTCTAGACTTGTTTTGACTCGGAATGGTTGCGCACCACCATCACCGATCTTAACTCAATGTGCTTGATTCATGCCTGGCCAATTGTCTGTGATCAGCCCCCCTTTTCGGTCCCGGCGGTACGGTTCAGTCTCCTCAGCTGTGGCGCCCGTCTCCTCTCCAGCAGACCAATCGGTCAACCGTAAAGTAAGCAGGCATGGACAGGGATGAATGAGCAAACCGGTCAAGGAAACCGGTCAAGCAAGGCAAACGGAGGTTCTCCGCCGGCTCTCTCGACACCCTGTATTTGCTTATCCATCCAGCCCCCTCGTTGCTTGGTGTGCACTCTTGTGACACACCAACGAGGCGATCGCCAGCCTGTCCTTGCCATAAACTCCCAGCTGCATAATTAATTGCTTGGTCAAAACGGGTAACCTGATCGTCACATCTATTTGCTAGATATGTGTCCGCCTTTGGCGAGACTAGACGACTGGGCTAGCCAGAGACTTGCAGGATGTTTGTCAGACCGATCAATGTGTGTTTGGCCACAGATGACGCATGGTGGTTGATCCCTTTCGGTCTCAGCAAACAAGCTAGAATTACTAGAATGGATCGTCATGCTCATCCGTCTCTATGACTTCACTCCCGCTTTCACGCAACTTCAACGGGCGATCTTGGCCCGTCCTTCGGTCGAACATAGGTACATGTAGACATAAATGAAAATGTAGAGACAGAGTGATCTCGTTGTGAGGAATACGAACGCCCGTGGTATCTCCAAGTACCGCCCCGGTCCCAGAAACTCCCGCAAAAAAACAATAACACATTGTGCATGTGAATAGATGTTAGCCTTTTTTACACACGTCCTCTCATAGAGCGTAGTTCTCGGTATGCAAGAAGATCTCTTCGAGCATCTCGTCGCCCCAGATCTCCGCCTGCAGCCGGGCAACAGTGTTGGCAACGCCGACACGCATTGCCGGGGGCCCGCACACAAACACAGCCGTCCTCCGGCCCAGGATGCCGCGCCCGTCCGACCCGCCAGTCGCCCACTCGCGCAGCATGTAGCCCAGGTCCGGCCGGCCGTACTCGACGCTCCACCCGCCGTCGATCTGGTGCGGCACGGGGAAGGCGAAGCGCATCAGGCTCTTCTGGAACTCGGTCGGCGTCTCGGGGAAGCCAAAGTCGAACCCGGACGGCGGGCCGAACGTTGACGTCGGCCGCGGGCGTTGCTGCCCAGAGTTGAGGTGGCCCACGTCCGTTCGCAGGTGCGCCAGCTCGGGCGGCCGCGGTCCCTCGCTCGAAGGCCCGTGACTGCCGGGCTGCGAGTTCTCCGGGCTGCTGCTGCGGCCGGCACCATCGAAGCTCGGCGGGGCAAGATACTGTTGGCTAAAACGCTGCTTGGCGGGCGAGTTGGCCGGCGCGTTGTTGAAGTACGGAGGATCCGTGCGCGGCTGGAGAGGTGGGAAGTGGAATTCCCGCTTCTTACCATCCTTGCCGTCCTTGCCATCCTTTGTGTCTTTACTGTCATTGATGTCCTCCTGATCCCTGCCTTCTAACCTCCGCAGAGAGTCCTCGGTATGGGACTGGCGATCCTGAGGCGGATTGGGCGGAGGCGGCGGAATCTTGTGTGGCTGCAGATACTTCTGCTGAGGGAGGGCAGTAATCCTGTCCTCGTCCTCTGCTCGCAGCTCCCTCTCGCGAGCCGGATCGCCCTGCGCCTCGGACATGATGAGGGCCGAGTTGCGCTTCGAGGCGATCCCGGCAACAAAGCCGTCTAGTTTGTCGTGAAACATGTTGCTCAGGGGCCGTGGTGCTCGTTGGTGCAAGCCATGTGCCATCTGCTGTTGGCGTGTCGTCGCTGTGACGAAGAACTTGCAGGTCACCGACTCTGGCGGAGCTGCTTCACGACAGATGCGGAGCTCCTCTCGGAACCAGTCCATGGCCTCGAGTCGTTTGAGCGCCCAGACTACAACAATCTTCTTGGTGATTGCCTTGCCATCTCGCATCCGCTTAATCAGGTTCAGTAGCTGTGACATCAGTGATGTAATACCGCTACCTCCCGCAATTAGAATGCACGTATCAAACGCGGCCAGTTCTCGACGCATTCCACCGTATGGTCCGTCCAGAAAGGCGCGATACGTATGGAAGGGGCCCTTCTCAATAGCCGTTTCCAGTACCTTGCGAGTGAAGCCGCCATAAGGCCGGAAGACCAGTACACAGTCGCGGTACTGCTCACCGTACTCGGAGGGGAAATCCTCGCTGCAGAGTGACGAGATCGTGAACGGGTGGTTCTCGAACAATGAAATGCCAGGCATGCGGAGATAGACATATTGACCAGGCTTCCATCTCATCTGCGTGGGGATCGTGATCTTGATGGCATTCTCGGTCATGAGCGTGATGGCTGCCTCATCTCCCACCATGAACGACATCCTCCCTGGCTTGGTCCAGTTCAGGTTGAACAGGCGCAGGAAGTAGCAAAAGACCAAAATAGCCACAGTCGCGTACAGGTAGTTCCACGACGCAAGGAAGTTCTTCGTATGCCAGAACAGAAGGCCGACATAGGCAAGACCGACTGGCCAGTGCATCATAACGAAGACCTCGTAGGCTGTTCTCCGGATGATTGGGAGAGAAGCAACGCACAGCCAGCAGAGTGGCACAAGACAAGCGATACCAGTGCCGTAGATGACACCACTGCCTTCTGGAAAGAGTCTTTGGAAGATGTTCATGCCGCCGTCATCCCAGACTGGCTGGATGTAGAACGGAATCGTATGGACAAGCGAGAGGAACAGGCACAGATAGCCAGCCCAGCGATGCAAGACATTGAGTCTCTCCGGCCCAATGCCTGTGATGAGGGTGAGGACGTTGGCCTTGGTGCTCGTAGCGATGATCCACGGTGTCATGGCCACCGCGATCATACCAGCACGGATGGCTACTGGTGGCGACCCGAATTGTATGCTTTGCCAGTAGAGTGGCTGCTGAAGGAAGCAGTACAGGGTGACGAACGCCAGCGCAACAAAGCCACAGGTGAGCACCGAGAGGGAGGAGAAGGTAAATCGATGTTTCCTCCAGACAATGTCGGGGATTGGGCGATAGAAGATCCATCTAAACAGGGCCAACGTGTCGTTGACGGCGCCAATAGATGAGAAATGAGCCTTTGGTCGGAATGCTGTTTCGGCCTTGGCCTCCTCCGGGAAGAAGTGTCGCCCCGATGTCTGCCCAGTATGCATGGCCGCTGAGTGATCCCACTCCGGCTCGAGACTGTAGAGGTTCTGGTAGTGCTCCTCTACTTCTTGTTTGTAGATGGCCTGTCGGATCTTGTCTTGCCAGTAGTGCCATATCCTGACAACCATCACCATGCCCATCAATGCCAAGGAGAAGTACGTCCATCCCAGAGCGTACTTGCCCGACTTCTTCCAGGGATCCACTGTCTGCGCCTCGACCAAACCTGGTGGGCTTGTCGGCGTAAGTGGAATGTCAATACGCTTGACTAAGTCAGGGACATTTCTTGAAACCCCTTCTGCCACAACCCGGGCCGCTAAGTGAAAACGGGTAGCCATCGTGAAGGGTATCTACTGTCAGCCGTGTTGTTGGACAGTTTTGCTGAGATACAATCGCTCAACGCGACAATGCCCAATGGCGCGCGCGCCACTCTTCAACATGAAATATCAAGCTCTGCCGTATTCTTAAGCAATGGGGATGATGCCTCGATATCTGGACCAGTCTTTGTCAGAGAAATTCTCTGCGGCTAGAGGTCCTTCCTGATACGGAAGCGGTGACCGGATAAAGACGAATCGGCGTCGACAGGAGGAATACCAGACTCCTCAGATTAAGAAGCGTATAGTGAACGACGGTCGGCTCCGGTAGCCATCAAAGATCTTCAAAGGTCCGGGCGGGAATTTGGGAGAAGCAACGATGGAGATGGGGCGGTCTGTGGGCTCAGGCGCACCGGTGTATATATGGGGACGGCGATAGCTCGATGGGGAGGTCAAGATGCGGTGGGCCAGTATGCGGGACTGTCAATGACCGTGTGCGTTGACCGGGGTCTATGATGTCTTGCTGTGATAGATCTGATTTCGAGCACCGCAAGTTCGCTTCCGAGTCGGGCAGCCGCCGAAGCAAGCGAAGACAGGTTGACGACAAGACTCGATCTCGAAGACTTGGTGAGAGAGCTAGCAGGAATGCGGTCTTTGCAACCCTCGGATCACAAAGATGATCAAATCAGAGGCCCAGCAGGGTCTGAGCCAAGTCTTAGTTCAAGGGAACAGGATGCAGCAGCGCACAGGCTCAGCGGCTGCGCGGGCTTTAATATTGGCTGGTCGGGTTCAGTGGCCGCTCCCCGCTTCGCATGTCACACAGGGCCAGGCGAGGTGATGATATGCAGAAGCACTCAATGGGGGCCCCTCGTTCGTCAGCGATGGAAATCCTACGGTGTGCCTGGCAGGGGGAGCTCTTGCAGGGCTCGGCAGGTGTGCTCCGCTAGTGTGCGGGAATCTGCTGCTTGCCGGGAGTGAAAAGGGAATGTCGATAAGCCGGGTTGGGCGTTGCCACAGACCAACAGCGAGCCAACAACGGCGATATTGCAACAGTGTGATAGCAGCAGTCGATCTGGCCACCAACAGCGACGTTCGCGGAGAACAAGAGGTAGAGTATAAGCCTCAAGAGGGAGCACGACAGACTCGAGGTGGAGAAGATTGATGCTCTTCTACCTTTTTGATGAACACATGTTCTCGGAAGGATGCTCTGGAAGGATGAAGACGGTGGTCCCAGAGCCAGTAACGGAATGTCACTGGCTGAATGCTTGTGATATCGAAGATAGGATGCAATCTGAGCTGGCCAGTTGGCGCACGGGAACACCGAGTCCCCGAGAACAAGAGGAACTCGAGAGACACAAGGAGCAGAAAACGTGGGCGGCCACCTTGTTCAACCTTCACCTGGTGGTGCAGAGGCAGAGGATGGACCAGCCAGACGGGGGCCTCGGGGCCATGCCAGACCCCACGATGCTGCGGGCCACCTGCAGATTTGCACAGGGCAGACCCCGGCCTGGTGGCCTGCTGGCTCGATGCTCCAGCGCACAGCACGCCATGGATTCAGATGCGGTCGTCGAATAGCCGTTGAGCGATGCAATGCGGCCGGCGAGTTATCACAGGCAAACAGGGGATCTGTGATGAGGTGGAGGCGGGGCCGAGCACAAACACCCCCTGACAAGCTCACTGATTTGACGGGATCCAGCGGGAAGGGTGGAGCCCATAGCGGTGGCCCGGCGGTAAAACAGTGGGCCTGATTCGCTGGAACCGCTGGGCCCGCTGGAACCCCAGGCAGGTGTCCACTTCGAAGCGAGTGGATGGACGGTTCTCCTCCTGGCATTGGATGCTCACCTGCCATTTTCCTGTTCGGGTGTCTCTCATGGTCTTGTGTTTCTTGTTCAATCACGCACTTGAACTAGGTACTTGCTTGCTGTGCTGGTGCATACGTCGTGAAAACCGCTCTCAAGGGGCCTTTTTTGTCCACGGCAAGAATTGCTGCCAGGTCACTCTCTGAACGACATGGAACTCCCGATCAGGGGAGTCATGTTTTCACTACTCTTCCTGTCCTAACTACCATGAGCAAAGTAGAAGTAGGTGAACAGCAAGAAGTAAACGACCAGACATCGCCGAGATGGGACGACAATGCAGCTAAAGGTGCATGAATCACAGCAAGATTGCAACTTGGCGATGGTCACGTCGAGGCCCCGGTTACCGACCGCCTGGTTCCCTCCGTGCTTCCGTGATTGCCCATTTCCCGTAACCGCTATTGCTCCAGGATAAATGAAATCTCAAGACAGACAGTACTTGTACGGGGTAGTCAGGTCACCTCATTGCGAGCCGCTGTCCAGCGCAACTTACAAGCTTTGCCAAGGTCATTATCCGCTTTCGATGGGACGATCGGCATTCGTATATGTTCGAAAAGGTAAGATTGATCCTGTAAGTAGGCGCTCTGGCGCTTAATGCGAGGATCACCTTGCGGTCATCTCATGTGACGAGGCATGGCTCGATACCCCTATTATCACTCCAATATGATCCTAGAGCTAGTTGAGCAGGTAGGCATGTTTGAGCCAAACTGTTTGTCTACTGTCGCAGCCCCAGATGGCTAATGTCGGCACTCGGCTCCCTGCCCTGCACCAGCTCAGCCAGCACCTTACCCGTCCCTAGACTCATGCTAATCCCCCACGGCCCGTGCCCGGCTGCCACAAACACGCCGCCCTCCTCACCGGGACGGGTACCCATCGCAATGCCGAGGTGCTCGTCCGGTATCCCCGCGATGATGGGCAGCCCCCAAGGCGTCACGGGCCGGAAGCACAGGCTCTGTCGGACGATCTCGTAGTCGGTGTGCCCCGTTTCCGAAGCCAACAGCTCTGCGGCGATCTGCTTCAGCTCCTCGACGGACGGGCCGAGAACCTTGCTCTGGGTAGCCAGCGCCGGCAGAGGGATTTCGGCCGAGTTTACGCCGCCGAGGAAGAGCCGTCCTCCCTTCCAGGCGAGGATCTCCGGCGAGTGCCCGGCGGAGCTGGTCGTGTAGACCGAGTGGAGGCCCTTCTCTTCCATCGCCTCCACCCACCGCGGTGACTTGATGACGAGAGAGTGTCCAGCCAAGCTGGCTATGGGCAGTGTGATGTCCGAGGTGCGAAAGAGCGCCTTGAATACAAGAGCGGACCATGCGCCGGCCGTGATAATAATCCTCGTGCACGGGATGTCAGTTTCCGTAGACGACGTGAGGTCGGCGACGCGGACGCTAGAGAGCTCATTCCTCATATCCTTTCCGACGAAGATAGCCTTGGCCGGGTGGTGGAGGTGAACGCCACGCTCCAGACACTGCTTCAACAGGAACTCTGCCAACCGCTTGGGCTCATTGTATGCAGACATCTTGTTAGTAAGCGTAGGCCTTTTCACGGAGTGATCACGAGTACTCATATCTGAGCCGTCGTCCCCTCCCCTCCGATGAGCTCCATGCGGTCACCCGCCTGCCTCCGCAGCCAAGGCGGCGTCGGCCCTAGGTTGTCGTCAGCGGGAGCATCGGGAGCTGCCTCGGCCCGGCTGGTGCCCTCAAACAGCCAGTCCGTAGCCTTCTTTCCAGACTTGGGCCCGGCCGACGGGCCGGTGTAGTTGAAGGTAGTCGTCGCCGCATATCCCCACTGGGCCCTGCCGTCGCACTTCTCGGCAAGCTTCCGGTGAAGGTCAAAGCTCAGGGCACCGAGCGAGGAGTCGGCGGGGCCGAACCAGTCCCTGGCTAGGAAACCTCCCGCAAAGCCCGATGCTGACGCGAATAGCTCCGGAGAGGGTTCTACCAGATGGATGGATGAAGCCGGCTGGTGGTCGGACAGATAGTAGGCTGCGGATACGCCGATGATGCCTGACCCGAGGATCACGGTGGTGGCCATCGCGAGAGCTAACCATCTGCAGTCCTTGCAAGAACGAGGCCTGGATTGAGTTGATCACTTACAAGTTGAATTAGCTGTCGGAATTGCCGATTGCGGGATACATTGACGTGGCCGGCCTGAACCCCACTTCGTCAACAATGATCTAATTGATACGTGAGAGTGCGCCAGATTTTGTTATCATCTTCAACCACACACATCCTTCCAGTTTGAAGCTTTGCCAACAAGCATATTGATTTATCCACAATCGAAAAGTATGGCGTCCAAGGTCATCATCGTCACAGGCGCAAGCCGCGGCATAGGACTGGCAGTCGCCAAGTACCTGATTGATGCTTCACACAAGGTTCTCCTGGTATCGAGAACCGACTCTCAGATGGCAGCTTTGAAGAAGCAATACCCCTCCCAGGTCGAGTACATGACTGCAGATCTGAGCAATCTCGAGGTGAGCCCATACGTGAAAATTCACGTGTTATGTACAAGCAGACAAGATCGTCCGCGTTGAGGTTCACCTGCATTACATGCTAACATTTCGCTCCTAGACGGCCCCGAAAGTCACAGAGCTGGCCGTCAAAGCATTTGGGCGTCTCGACGGGCTTGTCATCAACCATGGCGTTCTCAGCCCCATGACAACCATCGCAGATGCTAATCTCGCCGACTGGCAGCAGATCTACGCAGCAAACTTGTTCAGCGCGGTGGCCTTGGTACGTCACGTTGGAGGAATGCAGAATGGTTTTTAACCAAGATTGATTTGATTGACAATATTTCTATGTAGAGCAAAGCGGCCATACCTCTGCTTCGCCAGACCAAGGGACGGATCATCTTCACGTCTTCAGGAGCTGCACTCCATGCCTATCAATCGTGGGGAGCATATGGGTCATCCAAGGCCGCTATGAACTCTCTCGCACAACACCTGGGAGCAGAGGAGAAGGACATTGTCACTGTGGCCATTGGACCCGGCAGATGCGATACAGACATGCAAGTCGAGGTCCGAGACGCTGGCAAGAGCGCCATGGCGACCGATGCCCACCAAGATTTCGTCAAAGCCTTCGAGGCTGGAAAGCTGAACAAGCCAGAATGGCCCGGTCACGTCATCGCCCAACTGGCTCTTACCGCGAGTCCCGACCTCAGCGGAAAATATTTCTCGTACGTAACATTTCCATTACGTGGCCCAAGCTCTACTGACCATCATGGCAGATGGAACGCGCCGGAGATGGCGGCATATCGTTCAGACTCAAAATGAGATTAGAAGGAGGAATTGGCACCTAGAATTCAACTGTTAGCCCTGTGATCCAAGCCAGAGTGTGCTGCAGTTGCAAAGAAAAGCATAATAGAACGACCTCATTCGAAAGATGAAAAGCTCTGGATTTACTCCACATGTGTAATTCGGTATTAGCATGGAATATCAGTTTTTTAATCATCGGCCGGTACCAGTTTCGCAAAACGAAGAAAAAACGACATACCCTACCTATCAGGTGGCGAGCTGCTATGTGCCACCACAAACTTCCCTGATGTTCGAATCCAATGTCAGTAGGGGAACGAGACGGGTATCTTGCGGCGAAAGCGGCCTGGCTTTGGCGATTCAGGCTTCGAAAATGGCTCGTCAAACATCGAGTCGGGATTTGATAGTACATTGAACAAAGGCATCATGCAACACAGAGTGAGCAAGTCGGGGTGCCTTGGGGTTCATTACCTAGATGATCTAGCAGTCCATGTCAGCAAGGCGCTCCGTCTGGCTTGGCTTGATAACAAAGACAGGGATGTCAAAACGATCAGTGTGTCCGTTTGGAAAGACGTGTCAATCACCATTGTGTTGTATGCCTGGGGCGACAAGAATAACTCATCATTGTACGTTGTGGAAGTGAAAGGAACGAAGAAAGGAAAGACAGACATACCTCTACCGAGAGAGACCGTGGCTTGAATATCGACAAAGATCATGGCACAGAAAAACTCTTTTCGAGAGAACAAGGCAGAAGGGGCAAAGCAATGAATACGTCGTCCAGCGGCGTCGGAAGCTTGGGAGACAAATGAAGAAAGAATTGTTGATTGAGCTTGAGCTCAAAAAAATATTTCGAGATAAAATAGACTGGGAAAAAAAAGCTTGGGTCACTTGTGGCTGACACGAGCCACAGGTTCGCCAGGAGGGATCTAGCGCCCCATGCGCCTCTACAAGTAATTCGTCGGTGATGGTGGGTTCACGCCACAGGCTTTGGTGGGGTGGGTGCCGTCGAGCTGTGAGGGTGCGATGATCGAGGTACCGTTGGATTTTGGTGTGGCCACAGCAAAACTCTGGTGCTGATTCAGGTACCTCAACCCTGTGGCCCTCTGGTTTTGGGGCTGAATGCCAGCATTGGAGAAAAGAAATGGAGCCAGCCCTCCCGCCGCCAGTGCAACTCGCGAAGGAGGTCATCACTATTAAAAAGCCACCATCCGCCCCGGCCCCCATGCCAGTCTTTGTAGTGTCGTCGAACTCGTCGAACATGCTGCCCTCGCCTGCTACGATCCGGTATCGTAAAGTCCCTTAGCTGTGTGGCATCGCCTCGAAGGAACGGCATACGCTCTCATTAGCATTTTGCTCGCATCTCTGGAAAGGCGCGCCAGTGATATCTGGCTGCTAGCGACATTGACGACGCGCTCCCGGGCATCATCATGTCTGACCATGAGTTTGGAGGTGAGTGAACAGTCGACATTTCCTTCATGTTCGCCTTGTTGGTTTCTTTGTCCTCACTTTCCCGACACAATACGACTCACTATTGTGAGTCCTACTGTCAAGAAGTGCCTCTTGTATGATAAATACATGCCCACCTCGCGGACGAGTCTACCCTGCCAAGCCGGCATATTCAAGTGAAAGACACAAACCAGGGCCACGCACTTATCCATACATCGTCACCCTTGTGGAAGCCCTGCCTCACTCGCGGCAGTGACACTTGGTTCTTGATAATTCTCCCTCCCTACCCACCTCTGTATTGCTCTCTTCACCTAGCAAGCACGCACTGATCATGGATGATTATGTGCGCTATCGCAAAGGTCGAGATCTCATGAGTTTATTTTTCGACAATTCCGTTCATATGCTAACTGTGAGTGTCTAGGAACCGATGACCTTTCATTGCCAAAGGGTAAGCAAGACTCGAACCACATGAACCCTGCCTGGAAGATCTATTGACCCACAGTGTCTCTTCCCCCTTGAACCTTCATACTGACACCATGGCTTTCTAGCTACCGTCCAGAAGATAGTGACTGAAATTCTGCCTCCCGCGACAGGTGTTTCTTTCTCCAAGGAGGCTCGTGACCTGCTCATAGAATGCTGTGTCGAGTTCATCACCTTGATATCCTCAGAAGCGAATGAGATATCCGAAAAGGAGGCAAAGAAGACCATCGCTTGCGATCACATCACCAAGGCTCTTGAGACACTTGGTTTCTCCGAGTACGTCCCGGCGGTCTTGGAGGCTGCGGCAGAGCATAAAGAGGTCCAGAAGGTAAGCACGCAGACCACCTCCCTTTGGGCTTGTTCTAGGGATAACTAACGTTAGAGCACAGGGACGAGAGAAGAAGGCCAACAAGTTTGAGCAGAGTGGAATGAGCCTCGAGGAGTTGGAGCGGCTGCAGGCCGAGCAATTCGCTCAGGCCGCCGCCAGACATTCCTAGATGTCTCTTCCAAACCGCTGCTCTTACTCACGCATCACACATCATATACATAGGCCGGTGTTCATCGTTTACTGTCGGGTCTGGGAACGAGTCTATAGCAGTCTACCACTTGCAGCGATGGGAATATAGAGGAGCGATGATTTGTGTTGATTGATTCAATTCTAGTCCGCTTCCGCGAGACTTGCCCATGTCCCTAACCTGCCCGCGCAATGCTATGTAATAGGAAAGTAAATTAATGTCCGCAGCTCCTACCGCGAAATCCAAGGCCGGGTTCATGCAGGCACATTACCGAAGCGGTATTGTGCCCAGGCCATGCTGCCCTCCGGCATGGTCCACGTCTGCTTGCCATTGTCCTGCCCGGCAGCTCCGGCAGCGATGTGGACCGGAAGAAGGTGGTCCATCGTAGGATGTGCTTGTCTGGCATCCGGACGCTTGAGAAGATCCGACATGGTCTTCTGCCTCTGGGCTGGGTCGACCTCGACGGCTTCCTTGAGCGCGTTATCGAAGGAGACGGCATATGGCATGGGCTTCTTGCTGCCCATCGTGAAGCGGAAGTCCCGGAGATTGTGGACGCTCATGCCAGCCCCGACGATGACGATGCCCTCATCCCGGAGACTGGCCACCGCCTGTCCGAGCCGATAGTGAGCATCCGGGTCCTCGTTGCCAAAGAGTGAAACTTGGACAATGGGCACATTGAGAGGGTTGCGCTCCGGGTGGAAGGCTATCTCGATGTTCAGCGGCGAATGGCGAGGGAAGGGGCAAAAGAAATCAAGGGTGCATTGCGACTCACCAGCATGGAAACCGCACCAAACACCGTGGTCAAGGCCGCGCTTCACCCCTTCGGCTTTGATACCGGCTTCGGTCAAGAGACCAAGAATCTTCATGGCGAGCTCGGGACTGCCTTTGTTGGGGTACTCTGCTTTGTAGTACTCGTCCGGGAAGCCATAGAAACTGGGAGCAGTTCAGTAAGCTGTCTCCAACGCCTCACGCCAGGAAAGAGGGCTTACTCGTAAATCAGATCCGTCTTTTCTGCCGCATTTACCTGGATGGTATCGCGGCCAGCCTGCCAGTGTGCGGAGAAGACGACAATGGCCTTGGGCTTGACCTTTTGGGTGATCTCCTTGCCGATATTTTGGAGGACGGGGTAAACGGGATGGTCCACGTCATACATGACATTGGGCTTGGCTTTCGGTCAATTAAAGCTCTCTGGAAGATCATGGTTCAATACGGGATGCAACTTACGCCTCCATGGCTGAGATAATATACGGGTGTTCTAGCGGGCATCGTGGAATAGCTGCGCTTGGTGAATCGGGCCAATGTCGATGTCCAGCTCATGAGCTCGTTAGAGTACAGAAAGGCTGCTGCCGCTATCAAAAGAGCGAACAAGAGTGCAATCCTTGAGAAAGAGATACCTGCCATCTGCTCGTCACATTACAACAATTACAGACTCGTCGAAGACAAAAGACAGTGTGGGATACGATCACCTTATTTATATATCTCTAGCTGCTTACCCCGGAAACTGTGGCCATTTGCCGCTAAAAGGTCCCCGAGCTTCAGCGTTCTTTACTGTGAGTTGCCCGCTGAGAGAAGCCGCGCGGGAGAACTGACGATTGATAATCCTCACTAAGCGGGCAAGCTGGACCTTTCCCGCCTCTTGACACACAACCCGCGCGCGGAGCCCCACATTTTATCGCACCTCACTTGTGGAACACTGCCGAAAGCCTCGGGACTGCCAACACCGACGATATATCTGCTGGTTCCTGCTTGTGCTCTCTCGGTCTGGCGTGGGATAAGCCCTTTGAGTCATCATACTCCTCGCTCTTACGTTCTCGAGCCGCAGGTCCATCAAGGAAGAAAGCAATGGCTTTGAGCCGGGCTCCTCCCCTGATCTTCCCGGCCACGGCCCGGCACACGGCCACCGTCATCTTCGTCCACGGCCTCGGCGACTCGGGCGCCGGATGGGCCTCCGCGGCGGAGAACTGGCGCCGGCGCCAGAGGCTCGACGAGGTCAAGTTCATCCTGCCTAACGCGCCCAACATCCCCATCACTTGCAACATGGTAAGCCAGAGCTCGGATTGTCGCCAAGGGAGGGCGAGGGAGGACCCGAGAATGACTGACGTTTTCGAACCCACTCACAGGGCTACCGCATGCCGGGCTGGTACGATATTGTAAGTCTGACAAGACAGCGGACATCATTGGTATGGGCTTTCCCGCTGACCATTTGCAAGGCTGCTATTGACGGTACCGTGGAGGCTCTGAGGATGAATGAGGACGAGCCTGGCATTATGGTCAGCCAGCAGTACTTCCACGGTCTCATTCAGCAGGAGATAGATTCCGGGATCTCGTCAGAGCGCATCGTGCTGGGTGGTTTCTCTCAAGGAGGCGCCATCTCCATCTTTGCTGGCCTCACTGCCAAAGTCAAGCTCGCTGGCATCGTGGGCCTCTCCTCGTATCTGCTCCTGTCACCAAAGTTCAAGGACCTCCTTCCCAAGCCGGAATTCAACAAGGAGACCCCGATCTTCATGGGTCATGGCAGTGCCGACCAGGTCGTCAGAACAGAGCTCGGCAAGCATTCGTATACGATACTGAAGGATCTGGGCTACAACGTGTCTTGGTCTGAATATGAGTTAGTTTTACGGCATTCTTTTTGTGACAAGAAAGATTGACTAACATACTTTTTGCAGGGGCATGGGACACTCTGCCTGCTTGGAGGAGCTTGATGAGGTTGAGGCTTTCCTCAGGAAACAACTACCAGCTCTTGGTGGCAAGTCCGAGGAGAAGTCAGAGTTGTAATGAAACAATGTACACAGGAATGGGGAAAGTCCGGAGGCCAGTCAGGAAGCTTGTTGCGCGATAGAGTTGACTAACTGCTTCCTCATACCACTGGGATGGTGCTTCCATCGTTCATTGTCATGTGAAGTTTCAGAAGCACCCACAAGCATAAATAGGCCCGCTATCCCACTCGTAGCAGAACTTCAAAAGATCCTCACAACCATCATGGCAACCTCTCTGGTTCTTCGCAACCAGCTAGTCAACGTGAAGTCTCAACAATATCTTAACGCATAGTCACATTCTCTCCAGCATTCTCATTGCGCAAACACTCGACAACTGTTTCTCTCTCACTGCTTCCTCTTCTCTCACTGCTTCCTCTTCTCTTCTCTTCTCTTCTCTTCTCACGAATCTCAGAGACTTCTCAGCGACCCCAGCGTATTTGCTTCTCCATCAACACTCATGGCACTAGGTCGCGAAAACGCAACGGCCGGAATCTCGTGCGAGGTAGCTGCCTGCCAGGGGACGGCGAGACATTCCGAAAAGCGACTCGGTGATTCGAGGCACGGAGGAACCAACAGAGACCAGCAAGCACAAGTCGCAAGGGGCCCACACAAGGAGAAACAGAGCGACAGTTCTGCACCCAAGCCTGTCAGTGGCGGGTATGCCCTCAGGTGACTGCAGTCTTGCTGCGAGATACACCACCGGAACTGGATATCTCGCCGGCCCGGTGCTCAAGCTTGGGTTCTCCGACAGCATCATATCTTTCGGGTTCGCCAGGCCCTTCACGTCATGCGTTGGGTGGCTCTTGACGCCCTTGAACTTGGGGGCTGGGACGTCTTATCGTTCTTTAACGAAAAGTCGAAAACCTCTGAGAGCGCCTGAAGGACACATGCACTCTTCTCGGTCCAGGAATATTATCATTCAGTCATTGGGGGCCATCCACACGCTGGTTTCCGAAGCCGTGCCTCTGGCGGTAGATGGAAAAGCCATGGCACCGTCTCGCCTGGCTGCTTCACGCCGTGCTCTCGCCTCTTCTCGATCTCCAGACTGGCCAGCCGATTCAACACTGTCCTGGCACCTCTGCTGAGATCAACTCACTCTCCGGACCGGAAGCCTCAGCGGCGGGGATCAACAAGTTTTGGTCAAGAAACAACTCTTTCCTCCCCCACCTAATCCTGGCTTTCTGGCGTAGCAGCAGAGTTAGGCGCACGATATCTTCCGATGCCATGCCTCGAAAAGATAGGGATAGTCGACTTGAAGCCGGCTATTCTTGCTTCTCAAAGCTGGGGCCAGATGGCGTTCGAAAAACTAGCCGCTGCTTCTACGGCCGACATCGACGCCGTGATTCGCTTCGCAGAAGACATTCCCCCTCCAACCGAGCCGGTCCTTGACTACATCACTGAGGTGGATACTCGACGTGCCCTCTTCGACGACTTTCGAGCGCTTTTGCCCACCTGGGATCAAGGTGTATGCGGTGGTATTCGCCATCTTTATGGTCGCCCCTGTCTCGGAACTTCGGAGTTATCTACCCACCCTCACAATCCTGTTCTCTTCGCAGGTGTCATTGCTTGTGTAGAGGAAGGAATTCGATCCGATCCTGTAGGTTATTAGCTTTCCTGGGGTTCCTGGCCCCCTTGCATATACTCATGCTCTCTCGACATTCCACAGCTCTTCAGGGATAAGTCCTCAAGGCAGCAAACACTATTGGTCTTTTTCTTTTATCGTCTCATCATGGAATAGGGTTGATTTTGTATTTATCTGAGAGTTTCTGCGGATAGAAATTCACTCCTTGACCATCAAGTCTCATAGCTAGCTAGACAAGGCTCGAGGAGCACAACGTTGATCATCTCAAGACGCTTTCCCATGAGTCTAAACACTGCTTCTCCTTTCTCATCTCTGTGCTGTCTGTCCATTATTTCCAGTCATCGTGTCACCCTTTGCCCCTTCCCTCCAGGTCTTGGATAGAGAAATCCTCCATTTGCGCATTACTCAACGGATGACAACAGCAACATGATCATCCATGAACTCGCTGATGTCCTCGAGGAAGAGGCTCGACACGATGGCGAGGCCCCCAAACGCGATGCTGCAGTAGTACACCCAGGGGTAAGCCTCGGCGAAGCCCGTCTGGCCCGCGACGACCAGCCTCTCGAACAGTCCCGGCTCGGCGGCGACGGCGGGCAGAGCGCCGATCTCGTCGATCATGGCCTGCCCGGTCATCCGGACGACCGCCTCGACGAGCGGGTCGCGCGGGCCGAAGCCGGCGCGGACCATGGCGCCGCCGACGTGGCGCGCGAGCAGCGGGACGACCTTGCTGTAGAAGACGTTGTAGTAGACGGTGTAGCCGACGGCGCCGCCGACGACGCGGACGGCCAGCGTCAGGGACGTGACGGTGGCGATGAGGTCGTCCGGGCAGATGATGGTGCTGGCGATGGCGGCGGGGAGCACGACGCCGCCGACGCCGACGCCCGCGAGGAAGAGGAAGGCGTACACGGCGCCGATGTTGTCGCGCGTGGCGGCGGCCAGGGCGCCGCAGCCGGCGGTCATGACGCACGAGGCGCTGAGCGTGAGCCACCGGATGCCGACGCGGGACCAGGTCAGGAGGAGCAGGTTGACGACGCAGCCGGCCAGCACGCCGAAGGCGAAGGGCAGGCCGCGGACGCCGACGCCGACGGGGTCGTGGCCGTAGACGTTGTACGCCTGGGAGGGCCAGAGCATGATGACGGCGAAGAAGTTGGCGCCAGCGACGAAGGTGATGACCAGGAGGAGGACCAGGGTCCGGGGCTTCTTGCCGAGGCGGCGGGGGAACATTGGGTACTTGGCGCCCCAGATCTCCCAGCACGCGAAGGCGACCACCATGGCGGCGCCGATTATGAGCGTTGCTAGGACGTGAGCGTCGTTCCATGCATACTGTAGGAAGCGTCAGTCACAATGCAGGAGAAATAATGCCTAGAACACGAACCTGATACCCGCCCCAGAGGAGGCCAGCGTTGAAGAGAGTTATGCCGCCGATAGATAGTAGACCTCCGAGGAAGTCGACTCGGGCGACTACACCCTTGACAGAGAGACCCTGGGAGTTGATACGTGGAGGAGGGAAGTACGAGCAAGCGACGATGACCAGTCCCACAAAAGCCCAGAGGGCAGACAGCAGGCCGACATAGCGCCAGGACGAACTTGCAGTGATGAGTTGAGCCCACAAGACCGAGGGACACCAGGGAATAATGCTCAGGATCAGAGCCGCAATGTAGATGCCGCGCTTGGAGGTCGGCGCCAGCTCCGCAGTGCCAGCCAGCGCAGTCAACTCGTTGATACCCGCGCCAACACCAGAGGCAACCATTCCGCCTGGAGTTCGCAATGTCAGCATTGGTCTTCATCAGACTAGAGAGATCTAGTGACAGTCCTGCTTCGTTCCTTACCGATGAAGACATTCATGTTCTTTGCAACGCTGCAGACAATCTGTCCGACCATGACAAGGAGGGCGCCGAGGATCGCAACGTAGCGGCGGCCCAGCAGGTCCGAGAGGGCACCGACGAAAGGGCAGATGGCAGCGGAACCGAGGAGGTTGCCGCTAATGAACCAGATCCAGTTGTCGCCGCCGCCAATGTCCTTGACAAGAAGCAGAGGAATGCCGCCTAGCCAGGAAAGGAGTGTCAGTTGTGGACTTTGAGACAGAACAGCACTGAGAAAACGTACCAAAAAGATATGGCGGAACTTGGGCACTGGTCCACAGAAAAGCCATGGAGACGAAGGACATGAAGCGTCGGGCTGACATCTGTTCATCGCTACGAGTTAGCTTCCGGGTGTGCATACCGTTCGCCGGAGCCAGTCTTTACATGGGTGTTCTCCTCTGGTACAGGGCCATGAGATCCGGAGAGGCTGCTTGCCGTCGAGGCTGGGCCACTAAAGCCATCGTTCTTCGTCTCCTGAACCCGTTCCTTTGTATGGGAGAACGATGGAGTACCGGATGGCAGGTCATCCACGGAGCTCTCCATGGTTTGGGGCAGTGTAGAGGCCATTGTTTGTCTGTATGGACTCGATGTTGATGTTTGATGTTTGAGTTGAAAAGGAGAAAACAGTAAAGGAATCACAATGAAGGTGTGCTTGTCCAGGTGCTCCGCAAAAAAGTAGGCGGATCACCTCCAAGGCATGCTGTAGAAAAAAAAAAGAAGGTTGAGGCACAACAGTCACTTAGATCGCCGTGGCGACCAAAGAAGTGATCAGAGCTATTATTTACCCACTGAGAATGGCAACCTTGGACCCGCTCTCCCCGGTGGGATGGCAGTGAAGAAGGATGTTTGCTTCATGAACCTGGAGCACGGGAAAGGACATGAAGTGCCCAGGTGCCGTGTGAGCCAGCCATGGCAGCCCGGGCCGAACCTGAATGCTGGGAAACCCATGAGCTCTCCATGCTACCCTACATATCACACATCAGCGAACCTCACCACTAATACCGGTATCCGTTCAGGCATGCATGCGCATAGGTACTCAGCAGTGACGTGTCTGCAAGTACCAATGCTGGAGTGAAAGCTCCCTTCACGGCCAGGGACGCGAGGGCTTGTGGTGCCACTGGGTAATGGGACTTGGTGCTGCCCATCCCCAGCCTGGAACCGTGTGGGTGTGAAATACACTCTCACAGAGAGGCAGCCGGGACATGTCTTGATCTGCCCATAGAAGATGATCAAGGAACCTTGTGTTCATCGCACAATTGCCATGTTGGGATGGTTGCCCCTGGGTTTGTTTGCTAGCCCTTTGTTCCGCTAGATCTCGGTATCAACGCAGGGAAAGGGTGCCACATCAGAGTTCCTACCTACCTATCCGTAGATGGCTTGTCACTCCAGTCTTGCTCCGCAGAGACGTGCGTGCCTGAGCCGCGCGTGCGCCCATGCCGAAGTGCAGAGTAAGACAAGGCAACACGCCAGGTGACTGGACTGGCTCAAGGTCTCCCTCGAGGTGACACAACAGGGAGAGGCATGGATGGGCTGTGTGTGGACCGAGATTCCCGGGCGGGACCGCCGCTGGCTGGCTGACGGGCCATTTGACACAGGCGAGCGGCATCCCACCGTTACGCACCACGGCATACGGAGAAAACGGGGACGGGCATACGTGCGAAAAGTGAGAGAGAGAGAGAGAGAGAGAGGAGACCAAGTGGGCATGAGGGAAACAAACGGACCTGCATGGAGAAAAGCAACACGGCTCCCTAGGATAGGCTCCATTGAGCAAGGTGCAGGGTTCGGATGACAGGGCTCGTATGCAGTCCAGGCTGACTATCGGGATGGTCGCCATCCTTCTCCCGGCCTGAAGCTTGGCTTCTCGTAAGATACACTGTCGAGTATTGAAGCCTCTGCCGGAAGGGTGGCGGCTTGCGTAGCGAGGGTCAAGGGACTGCTGGCCACTCAGCATCTGGGGTGGCGTCCGAGAATGTTTGCTTGCTCTGCAGCTAACAGATGCACCACCCAGCACCCCTTCCAAGCCATACGTCCATGGAGGTTCACCGCAATTCTTTGGAAACGAAGGCAAGAGCTGTTGAGAGTCTGTGTCCCTGCAACGAGAGCCAGTCCCAGATCTCGGTATTTTCCGCATGGTAAGAGGAAGAAGCGAGCCTGGGCGAGGGCAAGAGGAACAGAATTACAGTCGACCTTGCACGGCAAATGAATTGCATTATGAACACCGCTGATGGCATCTACCCATCCACACAAATCCCCCTCGGGAGGTGGGACATGTTGAGAGACAGGCGAATTATGGTAACACAAACCTTGGAAAGATTGGGTGCAAGCCATGCAGCTGTGCCATCCAGCCTTCGGACGGAAAGCAGCATAGACAGGAAATTGATCAGCAATCACGTACCTCGATAGCAACTTTGGGGCCCAGTTTACTGCACCTTGTCATGCAGCAGATTCCTGCAGTTCGTTGGGCTGTTCTTCTTCAGCCATTCCTAGCTGAATGAATGATATTGTCTCCACGAGGTGGTCTCAGACATCTTTCCTGATGAGAGCATCGTCTCCATCACAGGGAGGGTACAAGTCAGCTGGTTCATCTCAGATATTGTCTGCCAGTTCAAGACCTGGAAGCACCGTTGAGATTCAGACTGTTGGGGATGGCTTAACCGAGAGCGTGGTGACCTCTGATCAGGGATGCAGTGGGCTCGCATCTCCAGATCCGCAGTGCGACTAATCGAGTTAAGCTCGGAGTACCGGGTTCGGGGCGAGACATCTCACCATTTGCTGGGTCACCTGGCAGGAGGGTGCCTGTTTCGGAACCCGGGGGCCGATGTGAGTGCCCTTGCTGACCGTCATACAGATCAATGTCTTGCAGATGAGACTTTCATCAATAGTACCCCAAGACACAAGGCACTCTCTTGTAAGCAAGTGTGATGTGAGGTATACTCGTCATAATACTCTTCGAATTAACTTGGATATGTCCATTTGGAGCGGATCTAACTTCCTTAAACATGTGTACAAACGTGGTCGTGTAAAGGGGGGACCGTGGTAGAACGCCGGGGTAGGGGGGGTATAAAAGCGGATACATTATGTACATACAACCGGCATCCGTCCCTATGTCCTTTCATCAGATTAAAAAAAAGAATATGTGCAGATGTCAAAACGCTATGAGACAGTGGAAGAAGAATTTTCAAAGGATCGGAGGGGGTGACATGTAGGAAAACGGCAGTAGATCAAGCCGATGTGGGCGCGGATTCGCGCAGGGCGACTGGACCCTGGAAGCCTTGCTGGGCAGGTTTGACGTCCTGCATTTCGAGGCCTTCCTTTGAGTCGACCTTGCGCTGAGGTCTCCGGTCCCTCGCGAGTCGCTGGTCGCCCTTGGTGTACGACTGCTTGAAGCGATAATAGGTTGGCGGGCGAGGTCTGCAAAGGACGACGATCCAGTTCTTGACCCAGTTGCCTTGGGAGAAGGCGCGGTAGCGATCCTTCTTCAAGAACTTGTGCGAATTGAGGAACTCCCTCGTCGTCTCGCCACGGCCCATCAGGAAGAGATGGTACCCCATCAATGCGGCGGGGTACAAAAGACCGATGATGCAGTAGAATACCAGGGCGAAGGGAACACGGAAATGGTCGATAGCGGCTCCGAAGGAGATGTTCTCGCGGTTTTGGTAGACAAGGATTTGCGCAAGGCAAGCCGCAATGACGTAGAGAGCCATGAGGAACAAGGAGGTGACAAAAGCAAAGAAGTAGCGGTAATTGCGTCGGCCCATGCAGTTGTTGAGCCAAACACAGTGATGGTCTGCATTCTCGATGCAGTTATCGCACATGCGGCAGTGATGAGCCCTCGGAGGACGCCAGATGTTGCAGGTTTTGCAATACTTGGTAGGCACTTCCATGGCTGCTGTGGACGACTGGGCCGACTTGATCAGGACCCAGTCATTTGTGGGCGGCGCGAGCCTAAGGGGGTCCTCGTTCTCATCCGCAGGAGGAAACTGATGCAAGTTTCGCGGTAGGATCTGTGCCAGAGACGTTAGCTGATGTTGCGTTACTGCCCGATGATAGAATTGACTTACCCCTGGATCGGAGCCGGATGCGTGGAAGAATGAGGATATGCATATATAAAAGATATACGCAAAGACCAACGGAATGGCCGGCGAGACATTGGCCCAGAGCCAAGGCGCGGAACACGCGAAGAAGAGGACGGCAGGAATCACGGTGAGCAGGCCTGTCGCAACATTGACGGGCTTGAACTTGGTGTTTTGGAATCGACCGCCCATGAAGAAGACGGTGTTGCCTTCGAAATACTCGAAGTTCCTCCCCACCTTGAGGCCGATACTGTCTGCCTTGCCATGGCGCTCCTCGCCATGGGTTACAGAGTGGCTCATGCGCGGTGTCGAGGCTACCGAGTCGAGCTTCTCGCCGCCTTGGATGTCCCTATTCTCCCCGGCGTGGGCGGAGCCGCTCTTGGACGGCAACAGAAAACTTGACCGGAAGGACCTGGGAGACTTGATGGGCGTGGGCAAGTTCCCGGCTCCCTTGTAATCCTTGTCCACTCTGACCGTGAGATTCTTGCCCTCGGGCCTCTTGTTCTGCAGTGGGCGCGTGCTCTCGGACACACTCGCCGTGGGATAGTGACCGTGGGTGGGGCTCGTGTTGGCAGTGATGCGGTCGAATGTTTCTTGTTCCGTCATCTCGGTTCCCCTCGATGGCGGTGGCCGAAATTCACCGTCGTCACTCGTCGGTTGCATTATGCGGGCGCCGGGGTGAGAGTTGGAGACGAGGCTGTGCCTGTTGGTGTCGCCAATGATATCGGTCGAGTCGTCGGCCGTGAGTGCCTGCTGGGGGGCCATGTTGGTCGGGCGTGCTACTCCTCGTTGCGCCTGCAGCCTCTGCGAGCTCATAGGGTGGAAGAAGGCGTGAGACGTAAGCGAAGGTACATGACTCCTGCTGGCAGAGCTCTGGGGCCTGCCGCTCTTTGTCGAACCGGCAACGCTGCTCCCGATACTGGTGCGCTTGCCTGAAAGTCCTCTGCGAAGATGCTGGCCTTGTGGGAAAGGGTGGCGCAGAGAGGACATGCCGGTGCGCGCAGTGCCGGGGCGAGAGACGGTTTCAGAAGCCATCAGGCTTTTCCTCTGGCTAGTTGTCGTCTTGGGTGGCGCGGTATCATTCCCATCGTCTGAGGCGATATCGGTCATGCGCGATGATATAATACTCGGAGGCCCGGCCGCGCCGGAACGAGGGTACTGAGGGAGGCCCAGCTCGTCATCTCCACGGGATGGAGGTCCCGGTGCTGCGTCATGGGAAGACATGTTGATATCATGTGCGCTGGTCGTAGTCTGAGCACTGGTGTTCTGGTCCTAGGATGCTATGTGCAAGCGATCGATTCAAAGCATCACGTCGTTCGTTTTCGGAATCGAGAGAGGAACCGCGGGGATGACGAAAGCCTTGAGGAGAGGTTGTGACAACGGGGTGGTCGTGACGTCCGCTAGGGTTGATCCGAAACGGCGATCCAAAACGGGGACTGCACGGCCAGAACACTACTGCAGCACGCACAGGTGGTGATTCGAAGCACGGAGGGTACGAAGTTATGTAGGGAGAAGAGAAGCAAAGCTTGAGAGAAAAGGAGAAGAATTGGTAAAGGAGAGACTAGGTCGGTCACAATGCGCCGCCGGGAGGTGAGAAAGACAAAGGACCTGCAGAAGGACGGACAATGAATGGGCTGGCGATGGGTGCACACCACGAGAAGAGTTGAGGCAGACCAGACCAGACCAGACCAGACCAGACGAAGGACGAGACGAGGACCACAACCCGGGAAAGTGGGCAGGATGCTTTTCTGCTCGTGCTTTGGTTGAAGGCAGCGCACCAGCACCAGCGCGTGTCTTCCGCTTCGGTACTGGTCAATCAGCGCTCATGCCCCCCATGCAATCCATGTAAGGGGTCGCTTCAGCCAATCTTGGTGAGCAGGGATGCTGCAGCACAGGGCCCCAGAGATGGTTGTTTTTTCCTGGTGGTGGACCGTGGCACCCGAGGGTTCACGCTCGGAACTGGAAGTTGGTGCTGCAATGCTGCAAATTTGGGGGGCACCCGAGCCAACCTGAACCAAGGATTGGGTGGTCCATGCCCGCCGTGACAGGGCACTCGCTGGTGCATTGCACGTCTGATTGGGCGCATTGCCCCTGCGGGTTCTCATCACAGGGGAGGGGGAAGGGCACTCGAGTCCGCACTTGCAGCCCAGATCACATGTCTGTTGCGCCTGGACCTGAACACAGAGCGTGCCGTGTAATTTTGAGATTTGAGAGTGCTGTCGAAGTCGTATGTAAATAAGGTATATATGATCCGGATGGAAGAGATATCCTTGGAATAGTTATGCGAATGCTGTATAATAGGTAGACTAGGTAGACAAGACGATGCGGAGCCAACAGCAGCGCTCATAAAACTGTCTGCCGCGCGTACTCATGAATTACACATCTATCCCAATTTGCAAAGAAAGACACATCCTCTCGAATACCATCATCGAACAACTTACACGGCGATGAATAAGGCTGTGTCCATTGTTTGAAGGTGGTAGCTGGGCAGACAAAGAAGATACTTCAGTACCTTATGACATGTCTTACCTAAGGTAACTCAGTTATTGAACCTCCGAGTATGAGGTAATCCCCACCAAATCGAAGCACCGACCTGCCCCCCAAGCAGTCCCCACCTTTTTCAGCCAATCACGGCTACGGCAAGCCAAGGTCACCTCAATTCCGAAGAGCTTGACAATCGATCATACGAGAGAGGAGCCCGAGGAACTTCCAACGTCTGTCGACGCAAAATCCAAACAACAACGCCTCTTATCTCCCAATTGGCAGCCCAACCACCCCAACAACAGAGTCGCACTCCCCTTCCAATCCACCGACCTTTTCGCCGTCCACAAACTCCAGACGCAATGGCCTCCTTCATCACCCGCCGCGCCTTCTCGACCACCGTCCGCCGGTTGGCCCACGACGAGCAGCTCCTCAAGCAGGAGACCAAGCGCAACCCCGAGCTTATGGTGCGTCGTCTCAACTCTCTCCCCACACACTCCCCGGTCCAGCGGACGGATTCGAGTTGGGAGGACGCTGTCTATACGAGAGCAATTGGGATGCTGGAGACGCCCAGGGAAAAGGAAAAGCACTCTTGGCTAACGGGAAAATGACTCTCTTGAACAGATCCTCGGTGGCGTCATGGTCGCTGCTCTCGCCGGTGCCGGTTTCTACTTCGGTATGTTCTCTCGAGGAGCTTCCGTGACCCCGATTCTCGTCAGAAGATGGACGTTCACCACTGACCAACCCTTGCGTTCTACCAAAACAGGCCGAAGCCCGACCTCCTCCACCTCCGAGAAGACCGTCCCCATGGCCAAGGACGCCATGCCCTGGGAGTCCGGCTCCGGCTCGGGCAAGTACCAGTACCACCCCGGTGGCGACAAGAACGCCGCCCCCAAGGACGCCCCCAGCGCCGTCAACGTCGTCGTCGTCCCCAATGTCGAGCTTCCCAAGGTGAGCGAGCACCCCCGACTTCTTCCATCCCAGGCGGTGTCATAGCACATATAACTGACTCTATATCTCTCCTAACAGCACCTGCACGACAAGTACAACAAGTGGGGCAAGGACGGCTACTAAACTGCTGGCATCCGAGATTGATTTGAGCGCAAGCATGGAGATGGGGGGCTGTATGAGATGCTACCACATTGTGTAGATAGATTGGTTAGAGACGGCGGGTCTCCCTGCCTGCCAACAGGAGAAAGGGATGTAACACGTTTCTTTTGTTCTTGCAACCCTTGCAGTCCAGTCCCTCTTTTGGTGACTTGTCCATTGTCGAAGCAGTCTACAACATATACCGTGCACGGCGAGTCAACCATTAATTACTTGCGAATATCATGCGCAGTGTTGGGGTCGAGAGTCTTCAGATTGTCTTTCATATGCCAGGCATGTATTGAACAACGGGATATCTCGTTTCTTTTCCTCATCCCCGTGGTTCTAAGCGTGTGATAGAGAGAAAGAAGGTATCAAATTTCCACTGTATCCCCCCCAAGGACAAGTATAGACAAGAAAGATATGCAAGACGAGGACCAGATCTCCAATCCAAAAGATGGCTCCAGATATCAAGAAGGATCCGCGCTGGGCTATACGACGGTGCTCCCACATGCGCCTCTGTGTCTTGCGCCCCTAAAAGTCTACCCAACACACACAACCCAAGACTCCGCCTTGCTCCCTACAATGCTTGAAAGCGTTTCATGATTTTGTTATCCAAGAAAGAAAGAAAAAAAGCAGAAAAAAAACCCGTCTACCTTTTTTCGTTTTGCTCTTTTTTTTCTCTTTCCGTTTACGCCGAAAGCTCCTCGATCTCCTCCCTGGTGAAGCCAAACAGGTACAGCAGGTCGAGCAGGCTGCCGCCGTTGAGCCGGGCGCCGGCCTCCATCTGCACGCGGGGCTTGGCGTGCCAGGCGACGCCGAGCCGCGCCGACTCCATCATGAGGAGGTCGTTGGCGCCGTCGCCGACGGCGATGACCTGCCGCGGGTCGACGCCCTCGCGGGCCGCGATCTCGAGCAGCAGCTCCTGCTTGCGCTCCCTGCCGACGATCCGGCCCTTGACCTCGCCCGTCAGGCGGCCGGCGTCGTCGACGTACACCTCGTTGGCGTGCGCGTGGTCGATGCCCAGCTCGCCCGCCAGCCAGCTCGTCAGCGGCAGGAAGCCGCCGCTGAGCACGGCCGTCTTGACGCCCAGCCGCTTGAGCGCCCTGACGAGCTGCGGCACCCCCTTGGTCACGTCGAGCACGGGCCGGAGGTCCTCGAAGATGGTGGCCGGCAGGCCCTTGAGCAGGGCGACGCGCTCGCGGAAGGCGCTGTCGAATTCCAGCTCGCCCAGCATGGCGCGGTGGGTGATGTCGGCCACGCGCGCCGCCAGGTCGGGGGGGTTGGTGATCGTAGCGGCAAGCAGGTCAATGACCTCCTGCGTGATGAGAGTGCTGTCCATGTCGAAGACGACGAGGCGGGGATGCCGGCGCCAGAGAGTGTCGGGCTGCAGCACCACGTCAACATTCCACTCGCGCTCGAAGCGGTAGATGAGCTCGTGCTTGCGCATGTCATTGAGGCTCAGGTACGTCGGGGCAGGGGCCGGGCTCAGAGTGAGCTCGACAACCAGTGGGTGATCAGAATTGTCGAGACACCTATGGGAGCTGCTGAGGTCATTTGAGCCCGGCGGCAGCGGAAAGGTGGACATGAGGTGGAGGAACGAGGTGATGCAGAGGGGCGAGATGTAGGAGCCGTAGAGGTGGTCGAGCGGCTCCGGGTCGGCGATCGGGGGCTCCATGGGGAACTCGGCGAGGTCGGTGGTGGGCGCCATGTTGGCAGGGATATCGGACGACTCGCCGTCCAGGCCCGGAGAGGGGGCAAGGCGGGGTGAGGGGACGGCGTTTGACACACGCGGACTGGTGGCCTTGTAGATGAGCGTAGCAATGAGACGATCCGTTCGAGGGGTGCCAGGAGCCGCAGCACAGTTCGGATGGGAGAAGTCATGGCTCACGCCGCTCTCGACCACCTTGTGATTGTCGGGCGAGGGAATGCCATTGAAGGGGATGATCTGGGGCGGGGACGGGCTGATCTGGGTGTTCTGCACACCCTCGACGACGGTGTCAATGCCATAGTGGTTGTCCGGCTTGGTCGGCGGGCGGTACTGCTGGTGATCGCTCAGGTACGAGCTGCTGCGCATGCTCGAGGTGAGCTGCGGACGGCTGGTACCGTTCTTGGTGCTGTCGGCTTCGGACATGGTGTGTTTGGCGGGGGGTGGAGGAAGTCGAGGTTTTTCCGACTCTCGTCTTTCTTGGAATGCAGAGGCAGCGGAGGAGTACCCGGGTAGCAGACAGCACACGATCACCAAACAGCGACGCCGGTCCTGCCAACTCGCTCGGAAAGTGCTATCTCGACTTGCAAGTCAACAAAGCCCGAGAATGACCGCCCGATGAAGTCGTGAGAAGTCGGCGTTGACAGCCCTGACGGAGGGGCGGCATCGTGCCCTGTTAGTGGGGCACCTGACACTCCAGCCACAGCATGTCCCCAAAAAATCCCGGTTAGGGACCACTGTGACGTGTATGGACAGGGGTTCTGATTCGCTGAAGCCCGCTAACTTGAGACGGAAGAAACGGCAGCCCAGCGACCCCTGCAGGACTGACAGGAGCTTCTGCTCCTACGGCGCGCCCAATGGTGCTGAGCAGTTAGGCGCTGAATGGTTGACTGATCGGTACCCGCACATCTAACATTTCATCACTTCAGCCTCTGCCAATCGTGTTAGGTATGTGAGTACCGATCCGTCAACCATTCTTGACCTTGTCCATCCCACTCAGTGATCAACTTCAACTCCTTACCAGCGCTTTAATAAAGGAAAGACAACATGGCGATACAATTCTGCCCAGACTGTGGAAACCTGCTGCCAATCTCAGGCAACCCCGAGGTCATGTGCAATTGCTGTGGCCTGACGAGCAAGAGTTTGTCCACCGTCCCCCTCTCACCTGCATCTGACTGCCAAACTTGAAGCTTGGCGAAGCTAATAAAGCCGTTTATTATCAGACGAGATGCTCAAGGCTGTGACAATCACCTCGACGGACAAGTTTGATTCTGAGCTTCGCAAATCTGTGGCCAACAAGGCAGCAGTCCCTGCAAGGCCAGAGCTCAACTGGGCCACGATCGACGAGGCGTGTGAGAAGTGTGGCGTCAAGGAGACGAGGTACATGGCTATGCAGACTCGGGGCGCAGACGAGGGCGCGACAATCATGCTCTACTGCGTGGCCTGCGGTCATCGGTTCGTGCAAACTTTCAAACATGCCGCTCTTAAGTATCACAACCAGTCAGCTGACATCGCCTTAGGACGACGTACAACAACTGAGTTGAGGAAGGACAGCAACTACTTGTAGTTGAAAACCCCGTGTAGAAGCAAGCCAGTTCTCATTGATCGAGCTTGATAACGACTAGTTATCACCTGGAGAAATGGATTCTGACGGCCCCACCCGGACCACAGCCAGTGAAGGGAAGTCCTGCCCTGCCATTCGACGACCAAGCTTCGATGGCTATGGTACGCTGCTTGTACGTGGTGGCCAGTGGCACTCCCTTCAGCCCCCTTAAATATTGGCGACTGGCCGTGCGATAGTGTATCTATCGCAAAGGATTTTCAATTTCGTCTTTCGGCGTTGAAATGGTGCGATAAGATCGAATGCATTTCTGGAAACATTCACGTCAGCCTCGGCAGAGCTGGTCTGCGATGCTGACAGGATGGACTGCCCATTGGGCACAACAAAAGAGGACTTTCCAAGTCTTACCACATCTAAGCCATCTCACGATCCCATCTGACTGGGACACGAAGCAGATGACACACAAGCTACCTAAGAAGCTCACCTTCAGCCAGAGTCTCGGTGCGTCCACACTGCGATCGGACAACGGCAGTCGTCGTGGCGTTCTTCTGGGTAATGACAGGTGGACTACGCATCCCAAGGCCATGTCACGAGAAGAAGACAAGACGTCTGTTGCAAGTCAAACGTCCACTACTACTCGTGACATCATTGTACGCGAGACCGCTAAAGAAACAGCAGATCTGTGTGTTTCATCAGGTCCGAATCGCCGAAGGCCAGTTCTGACGGCACCTCTGGCCCCTCGATGTATCATATCGACTTTCCAGACAGCCCCAGCTGACAAAGCAGTGTCCGAGGGTCGAATGTTTGTCAGGGAAACAAGCTCATGCTCCTATTATATCGGGTACATCATGTAGGGACAAGATGGAAGCTGGCGAGACGCTGCTGTGCTCGTCCGGTTACATTAGTAACGCACGACGCATGAAGCGTATGCAGTCACCTCCTGGCACGACTCTCGGCACTTGTGGTTCTGACTGAACCTCCGGCAAGACAGCAGGGGCGCGGGCGCGTGTTGACAAGGGGAGAAGCCATTCGGAATATCTATGATGGCCATGATTGGTCTTTTGACATCACGCACAGGCATCTCCGTTTCGAGGGCGCGGGAAGACGTCGTTCGGGAGCGGCTGTCGAGGCTGTCGTTGATGCGGCTGTCGGTCGCCCATATAACAGACCGGGTAGTCCTCAGATTAAGATTCAATTGCGTGCCCCAGCGATCCGGGCTCATCGACAGCCCCGCCTGCAGCACGACATGGGCACTCGAATGAGAAGCGGGCATTCCAGGCATTCCCAGCCATGAAACCAGGTTCGGGGTCCAGGAGAGGAGAGATACTTTGGATTGCGCAGGGACTGCAACCGAGTCCCGAAGTATCTCGAGCTGATTGTGCTGTTGCGTGCTAAGTATATTTTTCTTGCGGCGAACCCCAGCGGGCCAATCAGGTAACACGGTTCCGCAATCGCGACAGGCATAGCGCGGATGTCGTGATCGCTCGCCCTGATGAAACCATCGCCCGCGCAGAGCTTGCTGCCCGGATTGCGCCATCGCTGCTATGGTGTCAATATCGCCAAAATGCATGCTGCTTGGCTGCGAATAGTCTAGATGTGCTCCAGACGGAACGCACGCAATATCGGGCGGGTCCCTGCCCGGAGTGACTTCTGTCTCCCAGCATTCCGCCCGCAAAGAGGCTGGTACCTCCGACCTCATTTGTGTCCCCCCCCAGCGTCTAAGACAGAAAGATGAGTGAAGACGCAAGAGGAAATTAGTAATTCTGCCTTCTCCCTCGTTCGAAGATGTCAAGAAGAAACGCACACCAGACAACTGTACATCGCTTGATGTGACTTGCTGCGTACTCTCCCCTCTTCTCTTCGTGTTGACCCGCGGTACCACTGCATTTCAAATCCTCGTTGCCGGATACCTGGAAGTAAAGGACGCTCGCTGCCTTACCTGATCCATATCCCCTCCTCCCTACTCCCCCAGACGCAAGAGAATCCATCCCTCTTATTTCAGACAAGAACACCTTCTTTCTGAAATCTTGGCTCCTCTCCAGCCATTTGTTCGTCACTCAACTCCTGCCATCACACGACACAAAGACATATATCGCCGTCGTCTCGGACCCAGAAGCCAGTCCTTTCCCATCCACGACTCAAGGTACTCGCCGCCCAGGATCACGACATCGACGTACTGAGTGGTATTGCGGGACTTCGGCTTCCTTAACCCCTCTCACCCCCTGTTTTCACCGTTCACCACGATACTCCATCCAGTGACCGTGTTCGAAGGATCCCTCATCATGGAGCACCCCATCACCCTCACTCAGACCTCCTCCATGGAGTCCTCGCCGCGCTTGCGGCCTGTCGACTCGAAGCAGGACAACTCGGACGCCGAGTCAGGATACGGCTCGGCCGCCTCCTCGACGGCCGCCCTTCCCGAGATCACCCTGACCCCCGCACACCTGAAGCACCTCAACAAGCAGCTGGAGTCCATGCACCCCATGGACATCCTCCGCTTCGTCAAGATCCTCTTCCCCAACCTGTACCAGACCACGGCCTTCGGCCTGACGGGCCTCGTCACCCTCGACATGCTCTCCAAGATCCAGGCCGAGAACCCCTCGGGGGCCGCCGTGGACCTCATCTTCCTCGACACGCTGTACCACTTCCAGGAGACCTACGACCTGGTCGAGCGGGTCAAGGCCCGGTACTCCAACGTCAAGGTGCACACCTTCAAGCCCGAAGGGTTCGAGACGGCCGCCGACTTCGAGGCCACGTACGGCAAGCTCTACGAGCTGTCCGAGGAGATGTACGACTGGGTCGCCAAGGTCGAGCCGCAGCAGAAGGCGTACGAGACGCTCGGCGTCGCCGCCGTGCTGACGGGCCGCCGGCGGTCGCAGGGCGGCGCCCGCGACCAGATCCCCGTCATCGAGATCGACCAGGAGCGCGGCATCATCAAGATCAACCCCATGGTCTGCTGGTCCTTCGCGCAGGTCCAGGCCTACGTCCGGGAGAACGACGTGCCCTACAACGCCCTGCTCGACCGGGGGTACAAGTCGGTCGGCGACTGGCACTCGACCAGCCCCGTCGGCGAGGGCGAGGACGAGCGCGCCGGCCGGTGGAAGGGCAAGACCAAGACCGAGTGCGGCATCCACAACAACAAGTCTCGGTACGCCCAGTTCGCGGAGCAGCTGCCTCCCCCGGCGAGCCAGATCGATGCCGCCCTGCAGAGCGTACAGCAAGCCGAGGCCCTCAAGGGCGAGACCACGGTCGTCGAGACCACCACCGTCTCTGTTGCCGAGCCCACCAGCCAAGAGGCACAAGCCGCATCCGTCAATGAGGTCGCCGCCCAAGCGGTGGCGCAAGTATCTTCGCCTTCTCTAGAGGCACAGTCATCTGTCGTCGAGGTCTCGTCTTGAAGGCAATGAAACTGGCGAGAGGGGTAAAAGATTCTTGGTCATTATTGGATGCATAGCTCTGGATATCATTGGCGGCGACGGCGTTTTCCCTTGGTCCTTCATTCTTTTTTCTCAATTGTGCAGCGGCACTGGCGTTCTTATCAGGCATTTGGAGGATTTGTCGGCATTTGCACCGGGGTTTGGTGTGCACTGCTGTTAGATGGCGACTTGCATTGAAGACCATGCATAGAGTAGTTAAAAAGGAGGTAGCCAATCGGCATGAGATGATAATAGCTCAATACGCATGATAAATTACGATATGAAGCCTCCTCGGACGCGGAGACTGTGAGCATGTGGTTGTTGAGAGATGCCAATACTTGGGTGAGGGGAAGTCGAGTGCCCATCTGACTTAATGCGATGATAACGGCGCCCATCGCAAATCGTTGTCCCGTGACTATCCAATTGGGGTCATTAAACTACGCTCGTTGACAACCACTACTAGCTAACCACCATTGGACATAAGTTACAAGGAATCATAATGTAATTAAACAAACGCCTCGTAAGCCATTGAAGCAGCCAAGAGATATGTTTTGTCAGAAGTACAGATCCAAACCGCTTCCAGGTCCTATTCCTTACTCTCGGCATTCTCATCCTTCTCGCCCTCGGTGTGCGAGGTTTCTGGGGCAGCCAAGGGCTCCCCCGTTATTGGAGGCGCACTTTCACCCGCGGGTTCGTCCGTGGGAACGGGCGCAGCCTCTTCGGGCCCGCTGATCTTACTTGCTTCTTGGCGGTCCAGCTCTGCTTCTAGGCTACTGAGCAAGTTAGGCCCATCCTCGTCCTCTCCTACTGCAGCGGACTGTTGATCCGGAATCGTTGCAGCTTCAGTTGTGGGCTCGGCTTCAGGAGCTGGGACATCTGGTATCGGTGACTTTGGCGGGACTACGTCTGCCTCTGGCCGCTCCTCCGGCACGGGCACCACGCCGGCTGCTTGGGTCGGTTCTTCATCCGTCGGCACTGTCGCCGCCGCAGTAGGGTCCTGGCTTGCTTCAGTTGGCGCCGTTTCCTCAGTATTTTCAAGTTCGGAAATAGCAGGTGTTTCTTTCGGCACGGCGTCCGAGAGCTCTGAAGGAAGAGTCGCTGGCGGTTTGCTTTCGACATTGCTTTCGACATCCGTCTCCGCTGGCGCTTCCTTGTCTTCAAGAATCAAGTCCGCGCCCTCGGCGACTGGCTTTTCGGGCTCAGGTTCGCCTCGGAGAGATGGTAAAACGCTCGACACACTGCTCGACTGAGCAACAGTCTCGACTGTGCTAGCCGGCGGCTGTGCTGGCTCGGGTTCGGCTGCTGCACTGGCTAATGAGGCAGAAAGCATCTCTACGTCCACTGCTTCTGGGGCAGGTGCTGCGACTGGCTCTGCAGGCTCGGGCACTACAGTCGGAACGGTTGCTGCGGCGGAAGGCGAGAGAATAGGCGATGGTTCGGTGGGAGACTGTAGCACCATATTCTTGAGAGGTGACCCTTCGAGAGCTATGGTAGATTCTGGAGGCGCCAGGGCTGCCGGATCGGGAGTGGTCTCAGCAGCGGATAGTCCTTCTTGTACTTGACGTGCCTGCTCTGATTCCTGCTCTTGCTCCTGTTTCTGGTCGGACTTCGGCTCGGTCTGAAGCGGAGCCGGCGAGTCCTCCATCTCCTGGTCCTTGTCTTGGTCTTGTTCGTTCTCACGGTCAGGTGTTTCATCCTCCTGGTCGTCATCATCGCCTTCCTCACCATCCTCGCCCTCTTCGTCCTCGGAAGGAACTTGCGAAGTGTCTGCCATTTCGCTGTCTTGGTTCGTAGAACCGTCCTGGCCGTTCTCTGGCTTGATAGCCTGTGAGACGATTAGTACATAGAGCAATAAAGCGGGGTATCGTAATAACTTACTCCTCCCTCTGCGGTAGCTGCCTGAGCTCCAGCCGGAGGCGGCACATGCGACAACTGTTCCCCAGCAGCGGGCATGAGCTTCTTCTTTCTACCTCGGCCAGGGCCCTTAGCCTTCCTTCTTGGAGGAGGGGGCTTTCTCCTGACCGGCGCTGGCTGCTGTAGCCTGGCATCACCATTGCCAGCCGTGGGTGCGGGCACCACACTGGTAGAAATGATCTCGCCATCAACATGTTGGCCCTCCGTCAGTGTGATGGTCTGCTCATAAGGGTTGCCGGCAGCGTCGATCTTGCGGATCGTCGCTCGGGTTATCGTAGCGCCGGCAGTTTGGATAGCGACAGCCATCGAGGGCAGCGTCACTGTCGACTTGTGTCGCTTAGCAAGGTGTGAAACGGTCGCGCTCTCAACATTTCGAGGAACTGGCCGCCATATCTTAACCATCACGCCGTTGACAACCGGTTCTTCCTTCTTCTCTTGCTTCTCCCCAGATGCGGCCTTATCCTCTGCGTTTTCTGCATTTTCTTCCTCCTCAGGTGGTGCAGGGCGCTTGTATAAGCGGCCGGACCGGGCTGCTCGCAGAAGCTCCTGGCTATGCGGCGGCAGAAGGTTCCAATCCTTAGGCATTCCCCAAGGAAGTTCGTGGGCCCAGCGATCGTTCAACTGCATGAGCTCTTGGGGTGGTGGGGGGGCGATATTCACGTGTTCTTGTCGCCATTGTCGGACCGGAAGACCTAGTAGATCGCCGGTGTCAGCTCATCACAGGCCGCGCACGTGAAATCTACACTTGAAGAACCGTTGCTCACCCTCGAAGTCATCATGCTCCGGATAGCCGCTCCGGTTACCTCTGCGCGTCTGCATTCGCCGTTAGCAATGGGTGCGCCTCCATGCGCCAGTCTGGACCTATACTTACTCCGGGCGCCATTCGGGCGACTTAGGGCACACGCTCGGATATTGGTAGTCCCAACGGGATTTGCAACAGAGATTTGAGATGCGCAATGTCTTCTGGGTCTCTGGAGCGCTTGAATTGTTCGTCGGGGGGTCGGTGTCCAAAGAACCGTCAATTGAGAAATGCGACGATTGTCACTTGAAAACAACTGTTTGGCGGTGTCATGCGACTTCAAAGTGATGATTACCACTAATCCAGGTATGGCGGTAATGTGCGATGGGGTGGTGGTTCTTGATGATGATGCCGTGTTCAACGCCGGATCGCCAGCCTCATCGCAGATGTTGCTTGGGAAAGATGCGACTTGCATAAGTTCAGGTCGCGTCAAGTGGTGCTAATAGCGCTAAATCCACCTGGACTTTCCAGTCCAGTGCAGCCGCCGGGCTGAGATTTGGTCGGAAATATCTTTCCCCACTCCGATCGGTCTAGACTGGGCCAATCAAATCATTGATGCATGTGAACTTGGATCAATCTTGATCAGCCACAGTTGAGGCTGGACCGTGCGGCGCTGGCTTAAGGGATCAATGATGTGGATCCACCGCATCGACGAGCCGCTACATTGAGAGCTCATGTCAAGCATTCTCATCTTAAGGTCTACCAACAATCATAATCATCACCGCCGACGAGCGCATTCTTCCGACGTCCACAAGCAACCCGGTCCTGACGCCAGATTACCGCCTTGTAGACAAGGAACTCATACCAGACCTCATCAAGCCGATCCGTATCTTCGTCCGCTCCAGGGCGTAGATTCGCTCAAGGAGCACTCGGCCATGGCCGAACTTTGGGACCTGGTTGCCTCGTCTCAGAAGCAACAGCAAGCTCTTGGCGAACGGGTGAAAGAGCTCGATGGTTCCTGCAAAGCATCCAACCATGGCGCGAGGCATCTACTGGAATGCGAATCGTGTTACGGCAAGCTGGTCGACTTGATGCGACGTCGTTATCTCGAGTCGACAGAGGAAGAATGGTTCTCGGGACGCAAAGCGTTCTTGCGCGAGTTAGATCGCATGTTCACAGATGCAAAAGACTTGAAAGTCACGCTCAAGGACGTTGATGCACGCATCGTCAAGGAGCGAGATCAGTGGCTACGCCTGCGGATCAAGGCCTCTACAACGATACCCGTCCTCGCAGAAGCATCGATGAGCCAGGCCGAATTCAAGTCAAAGCTTATTGATCCGAACGTCCAGCCTAGGAAATTGCTGGAAGAGATATTGAATGCCGCATCGGTACAACAGCTACGGTCGGATAATGCAGAGAAGCTGCAAAAAGCGGTGGACGCCTCGGATGGTGATCGATCTCAGCTGCTAAAGGAGCTGATCATTCCCGCCGAGCTATCTGAGAAGTCTGACATTGCAGATGTCTCAAGCCAGCTAGGTGACGACGTCCCCATATCCTCAGCATTTAAGAGTGTGCTCTCTAGAAGAGAGGCAGCGTCACGCAAAGGGAATGAGATGAAGAAATGGCAGAGACGCCTCGACGAGCTTCGCAGGGCCCAAGGTGCGCATCACGCCCAGCAAAAGAGGATGTCAGACGCACGACAGGGCGTTCCGCCGCGACCGGAACTCCTACAAAAGTCGGTCAAGTGCGAAACCTGTTCCAAAGAAATCGACCCAGCCGACTCAGCACTGGTCTGCCGTCCATGTCTCTTCTTCATGGAAGCACACGTCCGGGACAAAGCCGCTATCTATTGCTCGCGAGAATGCGCCGAAAAAGGCCAGGTAAGTTGGGAGTCCGTCCGCACATGGCTTCATGCAGCACTAACAGGCCTCTAGGATGAGCACTGTGCGGTTTCCCATCAATGCATCTCCGATGATACGTGTGTGCAAGCCTCTGACGGAGAAGATGTTGTGATGAGTGGAGTGGACGATGAGCCAGTCCTCTGCAGAGAATGCACGCAGACGCTCAAGCTAGAAGCTATGTTCTGTTCCAGGGACTGCGCTAGTGCCAACTTCCAACGTCATAGGGAGAGTTCTCATCTGCCGATGCGCAAGGAGAAGAATCTTAAGGTTGATGATGGCAGAGACTTGGTGTACGACAAGGATGATCAAACACGGTACCATGTTAAAGATATTGGAGACCATATCATGGGGTTTGATGATGAGAACATCGTGACCGGGGAGGGCGCCAACTCGGAAATACGAGTGAAGACTTAGGGATTCTTCAGGGATAAGGAGAGCAGTAAACTTCAAAGTTACCCAGCGCGGCCTTTCATCTATAGACGATGAGAAGAAAGAATCGGAGCCTTCTGGGCTAACTGTCAACGCTGTAAGATACTGGCCTGTGAATGATGTTGTGTGATTGCAACTTATTCTACACCACATAGTCGAGATTATCACCACGGGTCGAGACTATATTATACAAGATTGGGTCGATGTGGCGCACGAGAAGCTTGTCACAGACAAAAGCAAGCCTACGAGGAATGGACCTTATGTGTCCGATGTAGAGGTCAAACACTGTAAACAATGAGCGGAATGACAAATAGTAACCCCCTACTATGACCCAAGTAGACCACAGGCATCGAAAGACGTCGACAATCATTGAAGAGTCTTTACATGCTAACCTTGAGGTTGGTGGAGATTATGGCGGAGTGCTCAAAGGGGAAAAAAAGTCTCGGCTTATGCGGTCATAGTGATAGTGCTTATCAGTTATCACCGACCGATACCTATCAATTTAGCTTGAGCTCGGTCTTTTCGCGCAACGGTCCGCCGCAGGTTGCATCACCAATAAATACTTTTGCGCAGTGAGCGAAGCCGCACCCTCCCTCATTCGTACCCTTTGACGTACGAAGCACCAGCCCCGCAAGCTTTCTAGACATAAACGCACTCGCGATGGCTTCCATAACGACGGCGGTCAAGGGCAACTCACCCCAGCAGGTTATCTCATTAGTATGTGGTATTTGAGGTCTTTGCCCCCCAGGGCTGTGACTGTTTGGCGTCCTTTGATGCCTGCATTACTCCCTAAGCAGACATCTTATGCTTGATCAGAGGGCTAATTGTTCTCCTCTCTATCAGTACCGCCAACTATTACGGCAAAGCAATCAGTTCGCCGCCTACAACTTCCGAGAATATGCGAAGCGCCGGACGAGAGATGCCTTTAGGGAGAACCGGGGCGTAGAGGATCCAAGGAAGATCCAAGAGCTGGTGCAGAAGGGGCTGAAGGAGCTTCAAGTGTTGAAGGTACGCATCAAACACAAGACTCGATGTTTTGGCCTACATGTGCCACACAGTGGGCTCGGGGCGATTGCGTTCGATGAAGGCAACTGAGCGTCTCGGAGCTATGTCAGGAACCAGGAAGCTGACTTGGGTGATTATGCAGCGGCAAACTGTCATGAGTCAATTTTACCAGGTCGACAGATTGGTTGTCGAGGGTGGAATTTCTGTGAGTACCCGCCATCTCGCATTTGCTGGGACAGGACTAACCCTGGCGGCGCTTCTAGGGGAAACAAAAGGGGTCGGAAGGAGACGTTGTGAGACAGAAGGACACCGGGTAAGCTGCCTCGCGCCTTTCCTAAAGTATTTGTCTCTCGATGCTGACCCGCATGCCGTAGCTGGGACTGAATTGCCCTGCAAAGAATTCCAAGGGTAACAGATCAAGACTCGCAAACGGGCCTTGACGATTCTACTCGTAGCTAGAGCGGAATGTGGCCCTGATTGACAATGTGTATTATACCCCTCTTTCTTCTCATGATGAGGTCCTGTAATAAAATGGAACGAGCGAGGCATAACCAGTTCACACCAGGAGGAGGTGTGGAAACTGGTGGAACAGGTTGTTTGGAGTCACTGTGTGCGATCTCAATTCTCATCTTGGCTGAACAGGGCAACCACAAATCCATTTCGCGATTTAGAAGTCACGACAGAGATACCGCTTGTTTCATTCCGAATCCTACTTTCTCAACTTCGACTTTGATCCTGTCCTGCTTGCTTTTTGAAAGTCTCCGTGTTCTCGCCCATGTCCAGAGAAAGCCGATCACGTGACCCACTTGAGCATCTCAAACTCTCGCGCGAGCTTCGCAAAAGAGAAGATTCAACACCACACCTATCAACCGTACTGCAAATTTTCTAGAAAACGGCGCCCTGTTCAAACCATGGTGAGTGACTACCCGTGTAAAGGGACATAGCATCCAGTTTTCCGGAAACCACTAACAATCCGTAACCCTACAGGCCGACAAACTTCGTACCCAGCAGGAGCTCGAGCGGCTCCAGGCCAAATACATCGGCACCGGCCACCCAGACACGACCAGTTGGGAGTGGAAGACCAACGTCTTCCGTGACACGTACTCGAGCCTGGCGGGCCACCCGCCCCAGCTTGCCTACATCGCGCTCGCCCAGAACGAGCCGGTCTCCAAGGTGCGGGCGCAGCTGATCAGGGTAAGTTGGCTGGGCGCAGTTTGAAAGCGCGCTCTGCGGTAAAGACGCACGCTCATAGCTGACAATTATCTATCTTGCGTCTACAGAAGATGGTACAGCCATGCGGACCCCCTCCGCCTCGTGAAGGGGAAGAGCCTGTGGTCCGGAGACAGCAGGACGACTCATGAACACCCAACCCGATGCCCCGACCGCGACCACCACGACGGCCCCGACCAAGGCCACGACTAGCCGATGATCCTCCGCACTGCCGACGCGCACTGCCGACGCTTGTAGAGCGTACCTGGCAATCAGCTCAATACTCGGGCCGCTATTGAATGCGATGCATATAACTACTTGAGCGGCCATGGGTGACGAGGCAGGGATGACTTTGGACGGGGCGAGCAAAGCTATGCGTGTTTAGCTTTCTGATGCAGCCCCTGTGGCAACACCAACAGGCTTTGGAGTGTTGCTCACCTCACCAGGTTGACGATGGCACTCTGGCGACCACAGCGTCAAGCAGACGTTCTTTAGTAAAAAGTTCCAGACGAAAGACAAAACTCAGATCCTGGTTCATCCATCATCTTCATCTCCCCTGTGCCGGCGGCTCCTGCGTCGCGAACCCTCTCCTGCTCCGCTGATTTCTTTTGGTTCGGGTGCTGCATCCGGAAGGTCTGTGTCCTCTCCGTCTTCCTCGTCGCCGCTTCCATCCGCCGGCTTGATTCGAAGGCTTGCCTGTAGCTTCCTCTCTAGATCATCTGTCGTGCTCCCATATACTTCTCGAACCATGCCAGCGACCGCCTCTGGTCCAACCTCCATCTTGCCTCGTGGACCGACATGCCACGTAATAGTTTCCTCGTCTCCTTCGTTGCGTCGCTCCGTTGTCTTCACAATGTATCCCTGCCGCACGAGCCTTTGTAGAACAGTCTCGGTCTTATCGATGGGCATATTTTCGCTCGCATTCATGCGGTTCAGGTATCGCCGCAGCTTAGCATCGCTCAAATCGCCGCCATTGAGGGTGATGATCGTCACAATCATCGTGTATATGCCAATGTAGGCAGCTTCGTCATCGGCACTCTGTACTTTGGATGGGGCCAGGATTTCTGCGGCCCGGTACTTTTCGGGAAGTCGTGTCATGAGGATATATGAGTTGGAGCCTGTGGTTGCTTTGGACTGGGACTTTGCAGCTACAGATATGACGGGTCAGACAGACGTTTCCAGTCTCGTTCTCCAATGGTACGTGACTGCTGCTTACCTCTTCGCTTCTCCTCGAGCGACAAGTGGTCCTTATCCCGAGCGGGCAGCTCTACCATCTCGACTCCAAAGACGGCACGGAGCTGCTTCTGAGCACCGTCGAACACCTTGCGGAACGCTCTGCCGTGGCTCCCGAGGACCCTGTCCTTGATGCCGTCTCTCCGGATCGGCGTTCTCGAATACTCGCAGGCCAGCGCGTAGCGCACGAGCTTCTTGATCAGTTGCGTTTCGAGTGACTCGTCTCGGGAGTAGCTCTCGTCGTGCTCTCCGCCCTGTCCAGACACTTGGCTCTCTGCGTCATCGTCCGAGTCGTCACGTCTCACCCTCCGACGGGGCGGTTGCGAAGGTTCATCGTCATCGTCGACACGCTGGGCCATGGTTCGTTAGTTCTGTTATTCCAATCCAGTGATGGCAAGTGCAAGAGAGCTTACGTTGCGCGGCCTTCTTTGGAGGACGGGCATGGTGATGGTAGTAAGGAAAGTATGAGCAGCCGGGATACTGGAGATAGAAGGAGAATAATGCACAGTATTTTGTGTGAATAATCTTCGACGAACACAACCCCGCTGTTGAGACTTGAAGAACAAGCCGGAGCTTATGATACAACGCGACTTTTAATGGGATGAGCGGAGGTGAACGCGTCGTGCGGGAGCGCAAGTTTAGCTCCAAGGCCCCCCTGTCTTTTTGAAATTAGCGGCGCATGTTAGTGCTCGACCCTTGCAAGCATTGGCAAAATTTCTGGGAGCTCGAGCTTCCGTATTTTTTCAAACGACAGCGATATTCGTGGAGACTTTTTCCCTCGAAATTTGAAATTGCACGCCGACCATCACTGCCACGAGTGCAGTAACAGGCAGTCGATGTTCTCTAGAGCCGTCTCGGGCGGATTTGTCTGCCTGCGATGCCAGTTGCAACGGTCTAGACCTGTCCATGCAACGCGGATCCTGCCTCTTGCTTCGCATTCACAACTCAGGCGCAATGGGACCGAGTCGGACTCAGGGGATGGAGGCGCCGATCAGGATGCCGAAAGGGCCATTCCGATCGAAAAGGAGCCCGTCGGTCGTGTGAGCCGAAAGGACGCACCCACGAACAGAAGCAAGGACCGCGTGCTCTACCGGTCCAAGGGCCGTCGGGTGACGATGAAAGGCGAGACACTTGGGATCGACATATTAGGGAAACCGGCCGAGGCTATTGTCATGAAAGAGCATAGCAAGATCAGGCGTCGAGACTCGCCGTTGGGCCTCGACAATTATTCCAGTCTCGACAATGCCATCCGCCAAATCGATGCGGAAAACCTATTCAGCGAGGAAGGCGTCCTCGTTACCCCTGAACGAGTCCAAGAGCACATTGAAGAGCTGAGGCCGGTCGAAGACACTATACTTTCAAAGGCCGAGTTTGATCGTATTCGTGACGTTCTGATTCAGGGCTTCACGACGGCGCAATTGCAGCAATACATCCGAGAAAACGGGGGTCAAGCCGTACCTGGAGCAGCAGAGAGCACCGTGCCGAATGCGCCATGGATCGTGCACTATACACCTTGGACCCCAGAAGCCGACGCACGTATGCCGGCCAATCTCCGAGGATATATCAGTTCTTCCCTGAGTCCCAAGCAGAAGGTGGCCACACGGCTAATGCGACTGTCTTGGGATCTGTCGATACTGGAGCTGACAAGTGCCATGGGCCATGTCGACGTCCAGCTCAGAGAGCCGGAGTTCTCCCTACTCGTTCTTGGGGGGCAGTCTTGGCTGGCGGACATCTCCCGTCACTACTTGCGAGAGGGCATGCACATCGAGCTGTTCCGGACGCAGAAAACAATGCGCGTCATTGCTCCCCGCGCGGTCGCTGATACCGTATTTCAAGAGGTCGATACTCGACTGCACAACGCCGTGACCGAGAAAATTAAGGTCACCGACATTACAAACAGCATCCCCTCCCAGTTGTTGCAAGAAGTCGGCCGGATCACCAACTCAATTGTGTCCCTGAGCTCATCGGGGAAGGAAGTAGAGGTCACCTTCCTTCAGAATGAGGTCCAGGACGCCTACGCGCAAAGCCCCAAGGACGTGGTATTCAGGCTCCTCTTGACGGCATGCAGCCCTAGTAGCAGCCAGTCACAGCTGCATCAGCTCGACTCCGACGATACGGAGAGCGCGAGGTTCATTGAGGACTATGGCAACAGCGGCAAGTGGGCATGGAGGCATCGATTATCGAAATGGGCCAGGTGGACCTCAGCTACGACCATGACTTGGACGGATCATAACAAATCCCATGTCATACCTCCAGCGGCATTGAAATGGAATATCCAGCCGAGCCCGAAAGGTGATGACCTTGCAACGCAAGACGGCTGGCCTGGCCAACTGACTACCGCGACAAGTGCGACCTTCGGCCACGTCCTCCACAAGTTGCCTCCAAACGGTACTCGTCTCGAATTAGCCAACGGCAAAAACAAGCGGATCATGTCTCCCATCATCCCACCTCTGACCACCATCTCCCTCCCCTCTGAGCCTGTCCCAGGGTCCAAGAACGTCACCATCGTCATGCACTTCGTCCCTCGGCCCTCCTCCACCCGCTCCGCGGCCGCAGCGCCACATCTCGAGCTCCGCCTCGACGCCGCAGACGCCAGAATCCTCACTACATCATCCCTCCGCGCCATCACAGCAAAGCACGTCTCCGATGTCGTCCTACCGCACAACCGTGTTGATATCCGCCTCAATCAGACGCGGTACGCCGAGCTGATCGGCAGCGACGCCGTAGTCGCCGCTGTCCCAACCATCCACAGTTACATAAGCCACAGCCGCCTCGAATTGGGTATGGGCAGCCTCGAGACGCCGGCACTGTTGGGCGCTGTCAAGATCCCTCGCCGGCTACTCGGGGAGACTGGACGGGGCCGCAAGTCAGGGCCGCCGCGTAATGGTCATGTAGAGCTGGACTACATGTTTGCAGGACTAGAATTCCACCGCTCCGTGGCTGCCTCCTTCGAGAGATGGGTATTGTGCTATACCAGTATCGAGGCAGGACAGGGTGGAGGCAGACGAGCTGAGCTGAGCCTCCAGGCGGTTCAGGCTGGGGAGGACTCTTCGGCGTCTGCCGACGAGGCCAACAGTGCAGCGTTTCTGAGAGCTGCGCTCAAGGCAAGCGGATGCAAAGAGTTGACTTGGGTTGGGGAGAACTGGAAGGACAAATAGAAATAAGCCATCCTCACTCTCTTGTACGATATCAACATGTAGCAAATAAATCATCACCACGCAGGGTGTCCTCGTCTGCGAGATCCCAACGAGACGATCTTGTACAATCCCTAGATCATACAAACTACCGTCACCCGGAGGAGAGCAGAACTTTGGGCTTGAAAGTGTGAACCGGTCGAAGTATTAGTCTGTCACGTACTGGGAAACATTACACAGGCACACAGGTTGGGACATCAAGTCTAAGAGAACTCTATTTTTGTACTACTTAAGCACACAACGAGATTTTTCCGAATCGCAGCAAAACCCAGACCCGTTCCTCTCCGTGATGTGCCGTAAAACAAAGGGGGAGTGCTCTTAATGCAACTGCAAAAGGGAATTCGTGTAGATTGTCGTGACCCCCTGAAGAGCGGCAGGTGGAAGTGATGGGCGAGTGTGATTGGCTCACTCATCACGAAGTGATGATCATTGTGTCGGCAAGCTGTTTATTTCTTGCCAGCCTTGGCAGCGGACTTGGTGACCTTGCCGGTACCACCAACGGACTTCTCGACGGACTTGATGACACCGACAGCGACGGTCTGACGCATGTCACGGACGGCGAAACGACCCAGGGGAGGGTAGTCAGTGAAAGCCTCAACGCACATGGGCTTGGAGGGAATCATCTTGACGATGGCAGCGTCACCGGACTTGACGAACTTGGGGTTGGCCTCAACAGACTTGCCGGTACGGCGGTCGATCTTCTCGAGGAGCTCGGAGAACTTGCAGGCAATGTGGGCAGTGTGGCAGTCCAGAACGGGGGCGTAACCAGCACCAACCTGGCCAGGGTGGTTGAGGACAATGACCTGGGCAGTGAAGGAAGCGGCGCCCATGGGGGGGTCGTTCTTGGAGTCACCGGCGACGTTGCCACGGCGAATCTCCTTGACGGAGACGTTCTTGACGTTGAAGCCAACGTTGTCACCGGGGACACCCTCGGTAAGCTGCTCGTGGTGCATCTCAACGGACTTGACTTCAGTGGTGACGTTGGAGGGGGCAAAGGTGACGACCATACCGGGCTTCAGGACACCAGTCTCGATACGGCCGACGGGAACAGTGCCAATACCGCCGATCTTGTAGACATCCTGAAGGGGCAGGCGGAGGGGCTTGTCGGTGGGACGCTTGGGGGGCTCAATGGCGTCGATGGCCTCGAGGAGGGTCTTGCCAGTGGCCTCGCCACCCTTGACCTCCTTCTTCCAGCCCTTGTACCAGGGGCAGTTGGTGGAGGGGGCAAGCATGTTGTCGCCGTTGAAACCGGAGATGGGGACGAAGGGGACGGTCTTGGGGTTGTAGCCGACCTTCTTGATGAAGTTGGAGGTCTCCTTGATAATCTCCTGGTAACGGTCCTCGGACCACTTGGTGGTGTCCATCTTGTTGATGGCGACGATGAGCTGGCGGACACCAAGGGTGAAGGCGAGCAGAGCGTGCTCACGAGTCTGGCCATCCTTGGAGATACCAGCCTCGAACTCACCAGTGCCAGCGGCAATGATGAGAATGGCGCAGTCGGCCTGGGAAGTACCAGTAATCATGTTCTTGATGAAGTCACGGTGACCGGGGGCATCAATGACAGTGACGTAGTACTTGGGGGTCTCGAACTTCCAGAGAGCGATATCAATGGTGATACCACGCTCACGCTCGGCCTTGAGCTTGTCAAGAACCCAGGCATACTTGAAGGAACCCTTGCCGAGCTCAGCGGCTTCCTGTAAGGGTTGTTAGCAGGGATGCTTGACTATGGCTGGTCTGTGCGGGCAAGGATTTTTTTCTTATCATGCAAAGCGGGGGAGGGGTTGATTTGGCGGCGATAAGCCAGGAGCGACGAGTCTCCAGAAGCAAGCTTCCAGGCTTTTGATGATAGAAGGTGCGAGGGAAGATCGAGAACTCCAAAAGAAGCTCTCGAGAGCGATGAGGGGGGAAATGAAAGATGACTGACCTTCTCGAACTTCTCGATGGTACGCTTGTCAATACCACCGCACTGGTAGATCAAGTGACCAGTCTGTATATGCCAGTCAGCAAAGCTCAAAAACAGCGAGTCCTTTCCCAACACGCCGCAGGAGGGCGACGGAGGAAGGTAGGCTCGCATGGAGGAAGGTTGCAACTTACGGTGGTCGACTTGCCAGAGTCGACGTGGCTGTCCCAGATGTCAGTATATTGTGAGAATCGCGAGATGTCAAGATGGATAGACGAACCCGATGACGACCAGCTGTAGATGGAAAAGTTAGCTATGCTGTACCTTGTGATGATGATGCTAGTAGAGCTGGAGATGGGGATGCGGTTGGTGAACTTACGTTGATGTGCTGCTTCTCCTCCTTACCCATTTTGACGGTGTTCAAGTGTTGTTTGGGGGAAACGGTTCTGAAAGAGCTGAAACAGCTAGAATTTGACTGCCGCGAGTGTTAGATGTTGATGACAGGATCAAGAGGAGGATGCTCGAGATGCTCGAGATGATGAACGTACAAGTTTGGCAGGATGGAATGCTTGATTCGAGGTGTGCCGGACGAGGGAGAAAGGAGGGAAAGTGAGAGAAGAGTGCAGCGGACAAAAACGCTTTTAAAGTTGGCGGCAAGAGTTTGAGGGCTTGGTCTGGCTCTTGCCTAGCGCACTAAAAATTTTGCGAATTTGCCCCTCCTTCGCGACTGCCCCTCCATTTTTTTCGAGAAAGCACCAGGACCCACCTTTTGGGTCCGTCACCAGCGGGGCGTTGAGTGCATTAACTTGATGACTCGATTTGGACAACCTCAAGGAAGCTCAGGTTTGGTGACGCCGTCTCTTTCAATGAATGTCCCCACGTGACCTGCACAAGGCGCTCCACTCTTCAGGTCATCGACCAAAAATGACCATGATAGCTACCTAGGTACCAAATTCTTCCCTTGAAAACCAAGGCATTGGACTCAGCCCCTGGAAGATAAGCACGCAATCTGCGCACCATGGCATCTGGAAAGAAACCTGCGGAAAACATGCTTTGGGGTGGACGCTTCAGAGGTCGGTTCTCCATGCATGGATGTTCAAGTGCAATATGCTGACCTCGGAATTGACAGGCGGCCTCGATCCCCTCATGCTCAAATACAATGCAAGCATTGAGTACGACAAGCTCCTGTACAAGGAAGACATCCTCGGCAGTATTGCATTTGCACGCGCAAACGCCAAGTCTGGCATCATATCCAACAGCGAGTTCACTGAAATCGAGAGAGGTCTCCGGGAGATCCAGAAGGAGTGGGAAGCAGATACCTTTGTTCTCATGCCCAACGATGAGGACATCCATACTGCCAATGAGCGCCGGCTCGGTGAGATTATTGGCCAGGACATCGCTGGCAAACTCCATACGGGCCGCAGTCGCAATGAGCAGGTCGTCTGTGATATGCGTATGTGGCTGCGCAACCAGATCCAGGAGATCGAGAGCCACCTAGTTGCCTTCATTGAGGTTATTGCCTGCCGCGCTGAGGCCGAGTGGTAGGTCTAACTATGCCCCAAAGCTAATGGCCCTCCTGACCTTAATAGTGGCATCATCATGCCTGGATATACCCATCTGCAGCGTGCCATGCCGGTTTTGTGGTCGCAGCATATGTTATCATATGGCTTCTCCTTTGCGAACGATCTTGAGCGGCTGCGCGAGACCTCGAAGCGTGTGAACAGGAGCCCACTTGGTTGTGGTGCTCTCGCCGGCAATGGCTTCAATATCGATCGCGACATGATGGCTGAGGAGCTGGGTTTCGAAGGCCTTATGTGGAACTCCATGAATGCTGTTGGTGACAGAGATTTCGTCACCGAATTCCTACAGTGGGGTAGTATGTTCATGCAACATATTTCTCGGTGGGCTGAGGATCTCATTCTCTATTCCTCTACAGAGTTCGGCTTCATTTCTATTGCCGATGCTTATGCAACTGGAAGTTCTTTAATGCCCCAAAAAAAGAACCCCGATGGCCTGGAACTCTTGCGAGGAAAGGCTGGTCGGGCATTTGGCCATATGGCTGGCCTTATGATGACCCAGAAGGGCCTACCCAGCACATATCAAAAGGACTTGCAGGAAAGCTGGGAACCTATGTTGGATCATGTGAAGACTATCTCTGATAGCCTTCAGATCGCAAACGGTATCCTTGAGACCCTCACTGTTAAGCCAGAGCGGATGAGGGCTGCTCTCGATCCGTTCATGCTGGCTACTGATCTTGCTGATTATCTCGTTCGAAAGGGCGTCCCCTTCCGTGAGACACACCATATCTCCGGGCGATGTGTCGCCAAGAGTGAGGAGCTGGGTATCCCGATGAACGAACTCTCACTGGAGCAACTACAGGCTATTGATAGCCGATTTGAGGAGGATGTGTCGCACACATTTGACTACGAGAGAAGTGTCGAGCTGAGATCTGTCAAGGGTGGTACTAGTCGGGCACGTGTCCTGGAACAGGTCAAGGTTCTCAAAGCCACACTGGCTTAGAGAGGCCAGGGGAGGGCTATCCCACGAAATCCTACACAGTGTTCGACATGAGCATCGAGCCACGCGAGCTTAGAGCCAACTCAGGTGTTACCGTCATACCGTTCGGAGGACACCAGCTGTCTGGATTTTGTAAGATCAGCCCGGGCAGACATTGAGTCAGGCATCACGGTTGAAGGAAGGATGTTCTGTCGCGGAGAGGTGGTATCGGGGGCGGAAAGTAGAAAGAGAACGAGGGCGGGAGCCAGTATGGGTCGACGACCTACATGCCACAGCTTCCACATTAGTAGAAGCTGCTTGCCCCTTCGAAAACGAACCTTGGGTTTTCTCGACTGTCGCCCTGACAATTGAGCCATGTTGGTAGTCAACTCCACAGTTTTTTCACAATCTGCCCTCGAATCCAGGGCCCAAAAGCTTCGTTTTAGCACCATAGGGGAAACTTTACATGGGCAGTTTCATTCATAGACAGGCAAGACAGGTCGTCCGATCAGCGGCTTTGCCATCCATTCCACCAGTGCTTCTGGGACCGAGAATGCCCTCGAGCACCTTCGAGAGAGTTTTGGCATCCATAGATGGTACAATACATGCATGTGCTACTGTACAATAATAAACGCAGACCTTCTGGGGGGTCTGGTTGCGAGGTACTCGGAACGTCCCACAGTGCCCTCTCCCCCCCTGTTGGTCTCGTCATAGCTGCTGGGGTACTTCCTACCTACCCCCTCAGCTATCTCGATTTTCATGCTGATATGCCTAATGTGGGGCCGCCTCTCGTCAGGCGTCAAAGAAAATGCTCCCAATGGTACTTGACGTGGGATCTGTGGACAGGGATCTGTCCACCCGCAGTCTGGGCAAGCAAGGACAGGGCCTCCTTGCTCCAGATGAACCCAATACGGCGTGAGTCATTGGTCAAAAGATGCGCTCCGATCCATCGTTATGCTAGATAGACGCCTCTAATTGATGCACAAGGTTATTTGACATCAGAGAATACGGGCCGTCCGTGGGGATCTCAGTCGCCCACAGTGATGAAGTGCCCTATTTCCAACCAAGTATTGGGCTTGGCTTGAACAGGGAGTGCTTTTATCGTTACCAAGTTCTTCAATACATGTGGTAAAGAAGGACAATGAAATCCTCGGTTGCTGAGCTACGAATCCAGCTAGTGCAGCTTCTTTCAGACAGCGTCCAAAGCTCACCTAAGCAAGATTCAAAGGCTGTCAAGTCTATTTAATATGAACGCAAGACATTTGTCGGGCATTCATTCGAATCGGGCTAGACTTGTTTAGGGTTCAGGATTTATATCACAACCCAACGAGCCGTTGAGCTGCCTTGGAAAGGGTACTGGGTTTACTTTAGACCTCTGCTGAGTGATAGAGACGAGACGGCACCACTCTTCATACCTCTCGATGTCCCATCCAGTGTCCTAATTTTACGCCACTAGGGAGAGTTACTCCTTCGGCGAGGCAGGCACCCGGAGGGGACATCTACGATGAAACCTAGCAGGAGGATGGTGTCAATGGGGAGCCCGGTGCCACTCCAGAATCGGATGCCGCTGGGGAGGTAGGTGTTGTTGCTCGGGCTAGTCTGAAGTACATTGGTGCCCTTGGTCTCCGTTTCTTGGTCTCCGTTCCCTTGGTCTCCGGTCCCTTGGTCTCCTCAGTTCTGGAGGTGCTCGCAGTCACGGTAGTCGAACATTCGCCCCATAGGAACACCGTGTCAGCACCTCGCAGCCCATTCTTCGAGCCCAATAGGGTAGTATTGTACATGATCATACATATGGAACATCTCATCAAAGGCACCCTTTTCGAATCGTAATTGGGCTTGCCATCTTGGCCGTTCAGGCTTCGCCCCATCTAATCTTCTCGCCATGCTTATTTTTGAGCTCTCCCTCCTGCCCCTGGCCGTCCTCCACACGCGATCCTTCACTCGGGTCGTTCGTCGCCCATATCCTCTCTATACAGAGCTCAAAGGGCCCCGGTACTCGATCTGTAAGTCCCAGGCCGATTGATCGGACCTTTTGTCGCAGTATCTCGGTCTGTGGTTCAACGACGAAACCATGGTTCGTTCGGACAAAGTCGTTCCACTTGACAACGATTGTCTCCCATTCGCCTGGCCTCTTCGAAAATAATCTGTGTTGGTGCAAGTCCGTAGGGACCACAGACTCGGTCTGCACGTTGATAAAGTAGCTCCGGCCGTCGGATTTGATGCGTAGTGCGAGGTAGGCGTAAGGGTCGATATCCCATAGGCTTTTACCAAAGACCGTCCTTTTCCTATCCAGTGTGCGCCACGCAGCATATCCTGTACGCTGTATATCGGGTCGGTCTTTCGGCAGTTCGGTGGAGATGGTGCCGTGAAACCGAGCATATCCGCCAGTTGGAGAATTCGAGGGAGATGTTGTCGTTGTCTGGGCCGCCGGTACCCAGTCCAGGTGGGCTGTGGAGAAACCGCCGATGTCTACATCGGACATTGTTTTGCAGTCGTCCACGGAATCGGCTTCATGGAAGGAATGGAGTTCCCAAGGTCCCGAAGGTCCCTTGATGCCTTCGAGTTTGAAAGCTGCGTTCCCGAATGCGTTTAGTGACGGACAGTGCTATACACGGGGCACGGCATGTGGACGAACCGATATTGGAGAGCCTCTTGAACTCATCCACACTTCTCCCAATGAAGCCCTTGCTTAGGAGAGAGGGTGTCACGCGCATTTTGTCGCGGTGTCGTTCGTCGCAAGAACAGTCTTTGTAGAGGCGATGTCAGCGCCAATGGCCTCACAGAGCCATGTCACCTCCCAAAAAGCCCGATGACCGCTCGTACTCCGAGCGATGGCGCTATCTGGCGTCCTGAAATGTCGGCTGGCAACCAGTTAATTTCGATAGTTGTGGTTGGAAGGCGTTGGAGATGCAGGACGTCATCTGGATAAGTCGATTGAGTTCGTTGAAGGCACATAGCCCTGGAGGTGTGCACGGACCCTTGGCCAAAAATGTGCCAGTGTCTGCCAAGGGGCTCTTCCGGCGGATACCGTACCCGGGTTCCCAACTACATGTCCTACTTCACGTACTTTGAGCCTCCTCTTCCACTTACACACATCGAAACCGGCTACATGTCTTCCTAAACAAAGTCTCATATAGAGCTTACTGCACCAATTCGTCGATGTTTTAGTATGCATGCAGACTTGCTTGTGGTGCTTAGCTATGATTCCGTTCTTTCAGGCTCGAACTGCACTCTCGGCCAAAGACGAAGTACATTTCAATCTTCCCTTGAAGGCATGTATGCTTCTTGACAGCCTTATGAGATCGTGATTCTCTGGAAATATCATCAAAGGAGGGAAAATGCCAAGGGAAATGTATTTGATATACGTGACTACGATGTCGTTAGTCGTCACTCTCCTGAAGGAGGTCTCCAATCCTCCTGCTTGTCCCTTGACGCGCTTGATGCAAGCCTAAGTGTATTTGCTCCTTGTTTTGTTTTGTTTTATGTTCACAGGCTTACGGTAGGACATAGAAAAGGCTCTCGAAAACCTCAAGATCCATATTGCTCGATCCGGGCCTACTCATAGCACATGCTGCTTATCTTAACTGCCCCTCAAAGCGGTTTCGCGCAGGGTTCATTCCTCGCGACCCTCAATATCTTCTATTAGTCGTGCCCAAGGAAAAGCCGGCCAGTCAAGTGACGCCTGGAATTGGTCGTGGAGAGCAAGGGCGGCCATTTGGTGGGGGATCTCCGTGTTCTTCACCAGTGGGGGAGTTCATGATCATCAGGGTGACTAGGAATGCCTTGCTGAATTGTATTAACAGAGGTTGAACTCAAGCATCTGAGTTGAATCCCCATTAACAAGGTCAGGTCCTGAGCTAGAGTTAAGTCAAGACCAACAACCTAGGTAGGTAGCTAGTACACTCATGGCCCTCCCGTCTCTCGTCTCCTCGTCGAATCTCGAACTTGCATTACACCCGGAGCACAAACCCCGTGCCCGAGCAGACTCCTCGAATTTCTTCGCAGGCAGTCATCAAAGTGACAAGCTAATCACATCTTTATCAGACCATCGTCGCCCACCCCTTGATTTCCCTCCAGGATCGATTGGGAGGTAATCACGTTCTCGAGAGTAACGCGTCCCCTACGCGCTTTCCTTTTTCAACAACCTGAAAAAAAAACACGCTCTCCGCCCAGGCAGCTTCGCGAGGCCCCCTTGATTACCACCAACTTTCCGCCGCTTCTCCTTTTCAACCCCCCTTTTCTTCCTCTCTTCCACATTGGCGGATCTGGTTCCCTTCACTTGACCCAGCCTTGCCAGGTCCAGCACCCCTTACCATTCATTAATCAAGTCGCAGGACGACGAGCATTACTAACCAGCCTATCTTGACCACTTGACTTTGGCACAACCAAAGTCCTTCGTATTGAGGCTCGATCTCTTTTCTTTTTCAACACAGTCCCTCCTCCTCCACACCGGAAATCAGCCTTACCTCACTTTCAACTCAAGCCATTTCATCGAGACCAAAATGTCTTCCGTCACTGGAGACTCGGCTACGACGAGCAAGATACGCAAGCCAAGCGATGGTGTGAGCGTTGCCAGTGCTCCTGCCCCCGACCTTGGCCCCGACCTTGGCTGTTCTTCTCCCAGCGTTGTCTCTTCTATTGACACTGAGGAGGGTGAGTTGCTGCATGTTCTGGCTTTGAGTCACTGTTCTGGAGTTTAGTTCCTAAATTTGAATTCACTTTTTGTTTATCTTGAGTTCATTATTATTTGACAATCTTCCCACCCTGCTTCTGCGTTTCATATGTCCCGTCAACTCTTCCCTGTTGTAATCGATCACTCAGTCCACTTCAACCAAACTTTGCATCGTTTGCTTTACTTCGTCCTGCCGCAAACCTACGAACAAAAAGTGGAAAATGGCATCTTCTCGCAATTTTGCTGACCAGAACCTAGCTGGTGCCCGACTCAGCGCCGTCACTTTGGACGAATCTCCCTCGTCTGATCGGTAAGTCCACTCTATCTCATGAGCTGCGAAAACCCGAAAGTAACCTGAGAAATCTAGTGATGCATCCCCAAGACCCCGAATCGGTTTTGGCCAGTCCTACGACATCCCCTCGTCTCGTCCTACTGCCCTAGAGTGAGTATCGTATTTGATATTAGATCACTACCTGAGCTGACCATATCCCATAGCGCGTCCAGGTTCCAGGTTGGCGACACGCCTAGCGGAGATGTGTTCATCTCTCCGGTCAAGGAGTCTGTCCCTGGTCATTATGTTGGCCAGAGCCCGGCCAGAGGCAATGGAGTGGGCCATGGCCCTGCCACGCCTTCTCACCCTCTTCGCACTCGCTCATCCAACCTGAGTGGTCGTCATTTCATTGGTGGTGTTGATGCGCAGGGAATCTACCCTCCCAGTGCCTGTGTCTTCGTGGCTAAGTATACATCGCATTGTCCCACGCTTTTTGACTTCCATTGAGCTGACACGATACCAGTCTGCCCGAGCCCAAAGATGATCGCGCTCTCGAAGCTGCGGTCACTCGCGAGTTCAGCAAGTATGGTACGGTCTTTGTCAAGATTCGACGCGACAGCCACCATATGCCGTTTGCATTCTGTCAATACACTGTAGGAGACCCGCACGGTCCAAACGCACATTGAGCACTCTGACAGCCCTTGTATAGAAAGACGAGGATGCCCGCGAGGCCATGGTCCGTGGAAAGGGTGCCATGATTCTTGGTCGCGCTTGCCGTACCGAGATGGTTCGGGCTAACCGTACGTTGCACGGCCTTCAAACATCAGCATGACATACTAATTTATAGTTTTAGGAACCTTCATTGTTCACAAGCGATACGGTGGAGAGATCACTGTTGACGAGGCGCGCAGCCTTCTGGAGCCGTACGGCCCCATCAACAAGGCCGAGTTCTTGCACACCCAACTTCAAGAGATGCTTGGACTCCCTCTCACTGTCATCGCCGAGTTCGCGCTCTACGATCCTGGTCGTGATCTTCAGACTGTGAGTGACAAGAGATGAGATTTGGAAGCTTCCGGGATGCTGACATCCGTAGGCTTTCCGTCACAATGACGAGTACCGCGTGGATCTCTTTGACCTCAAGAAGACCATGCCATCTACTCGTGCGAACGCTGACGAGAACTACCTTGCCCAATACGAGATGGACCGACGATCTGTCTTCGTTTCAGGATTCGGCCCCCATGTCTCCCAAGCTGAACTGACTGCTCTGTTCTCCGAGTTTGGAGAGGTCGTCAATGTTCAGCTCATCCGGAAGTTTGCCAACAACTCTGGTATTTTCTCTCGCTCCGAAAATTAGGTCTTGGAATGAAACTGACACATCTGGTTTATAGTGATTCCTCGCGTCTTCGCTTTCATCGAGTATGAGCGCCCCGACCTTCCGGACGAAGCCATTGCGAACCTTGTAAGTCATTCCTGTTGTGTGTTGAATGGGCGAATCGCTAATTTTGTCAAAGCATGGCAAGGAGTTTGAAGGCGCTTGCCTTCGCGTCGAACGCAAGGTTATGAAGGAGCCCACTCCCAGACGAGTCCGGTCCCAGTACATGGCCAAGCCCAATATGGGATCCAACACTGGAGGTGTCCCGACGACCCCTGAGCGCCCCAACATGCGCGCTCCTTCTATGACGCAGCAACCGGGTACCGAGCAGACAGCCCCTGTTGTGACCGAAGCAGCCCCTCCTCCATGGGGTTGGCCATATGGCACGCAGCCTTTCACAAGCCCTACCTATGTGGCTCAGGCTTCGCCCCCCTACAGCATCCCAACCGGCGCCTCCTCCATGTCTATGTCGCCCCAGGCTACCGCCAACTCGATGCAGCCATATGCATACTATGGCAACTACTGGACAGGCATGCCCTTCGTTCAGGACCCCATGCTCCCTGCTGGCATGCCTTTCTATGGATTCAGTTCGCCCTCTGCGTATGAGGTTCCTCGCCAGAGCGATGACATTCTGACCACACCGACTCGTCCTCAACACACTCCGACTCCCCGAGTCAAGAAGGAGAATGTGTCCAAGACCGAGAAGGCTTGATCCATATCATGAGTCGTCTCAGTGGAATGATCCGCTGGTCACAAGTGTGATCCATGTTTTCACTGTAGTCTTTCATTCGTATTTTCATTGTGGATTTTTCCAAATTCGTTGTTTTTCTAATTCTCATTTTCTACCTCGATTGTTGTCCTCGTTTTAATATCATCATCTGTGTTGAGTTGTTTTCATTTGGGAGGATGTTTCTTGCGAACAGATTCTAATGACAGATTTGGACCATGGCAGATGGGATTGGCGGATGGGAAAGGCAACTCTCCTGGTCTGCTCGGGTCTGAGAAGTATTCAATGCATGCATGCATAGCATAGCATAGGATACATGGGCCTCTGTTGAGTGACTGGAGACATCAGGTTCTTGAGAAACATCTTATCTTGGCGGAGAATGTCAAAGGAGGCGTCTGATGGGTCAGGAACTGTATTCTTATTCAGTAGCTACTTATCAAGACTCGAGAGCTGTTTGCGCATCGACTAAACCGCAGTGATATACATCACAACTTAGGACTGCACGGCTCTGTATGAGTGAAATTGACCATGGCCGTACTCAGTGTTGGCGATACCATTCAACCGAAAGGGGGGGGGGGGTTTCATTTGACACAACACGTCCACCGTCAATCGATCTCCACAAGAGTTGTATAAAACCACAGACTGGACCTTGCCAAAGAGATTATGAACCTAGATTCGGATACCTACTTGTCATCGCCAAGGTGGGTGGTGCCTTTCGAGGTGGAAGTTTGCGTCCTGCAAAGCAGATCCTGTACTCGACCCCTGAGGCTCGCCATCTCGTATTACCATGGCAGGGGCGCAAGCCATCATGTAAGTACAATTGGAGTTGGGCGCCTGCCTCCAGCTTCGTCACAGTCCTTGAAGTTGGCGGTGTTGACAATCTATGTACCAAGCAGTGCTAGTAGTGAGTGTAGTGCAAGGTGAGGCTACTTCGGGGCTACGTCGGATGTTGCTGCCAATGGGGGCTTCTTGACAACGCCATTTTCACGAGACCAGAACACAGAACAGTGCACTCTGGCTAGCTAAATAGAAGCCATGACAGAAAGGAGCCAGCCGCTTTACGAATAACGACACCTCCGTAGAGCTCTGATGGGTCAGGGCTGTTTAACTACTCTTCTGACGCACTCTGGTGGCATCCAGCTGATCACCATGATCCGGGGAAGGTTGCAGACTGCATTGATGCGCTGCAACTGACCTTCATAGGTCGAGAGCCCGCTTATCGTCCATGGGCTGGCAGGTGATGCCTTCTCTCAGATTCAGTGGACAACACCTGTGTCTCTCGACTCGAGTGAACCCCCCACGGTGACACGATGAGGACCGAAGTGGACCGCAAATCGCCTCTGGGCTCTGCACGCTAACGCAAATGTCACTCATCTGGACCTTTCGCTGTAGCGCCGGACCCGCCAAAGCCCCGCTCCCAAATATCATGACCTAGGACTGACTTTTTTTCTCTTTGAAGTCTTGGGAGCCAGGAAATATTACATAAAGAGTGGGAGCTGCTGATCCTACGATAACTAGTGGTCTTGTCTTGATCTCTTTGATTGTGCCCAGCACTACATACACACTGACGTCGCCAGACCCCCTTCTTCCTGTGACCTCTTTGAGTGTCACCCAACGATTCGACATCTTCATTCTTACAACACAAGCTACAGACCATCATGGGACAGCCGTCTTTTCAGGCATCAAATGCCCTCATCTACGTGACCTATGGTCTATTTCTGTATGGATATCTTCATATGTTCAGCGTTCCTAGTTGTTATACTGGACATGAGCCTGTTCCACACCTAGAGGATGCACTAACAACATGGATGTACAGCATCATCGGTACAGGCATTGCCTGGCGGATGCGTAACCAGTCCAAGGGAGAGTTCCTGGCTGGTAACAGAACACAGAAGGGTTAGATTCTCACTCTCTGAGTTGGCGAGCTGCCACAGACTCAGCGCCGGCGTTATCAGCCTGGTATCCTGCCCCCTGAGAGAGTCTATATCACTAACGCCTCTTGCAGCATTGCCGCTTGCTCTGAATTTCATCGCCTCTGGTGAGTGGAGAACGCTTTGATGCGCTTTCTACGCGAGTCGGATCTCGCGGTCAGAGCGGTAGCAAAAACACGAACAGTCATCCGATACCTGGACTTGAGAGACAATGTCCAGGTCGATCTCGGGACTATCCACCAGCATTCGCCATCACGCGATGGCTAGCAGACAAGACGAGACTTGAGTCACACAATTGACAATAGGTTGGTACCTACAATTTACTTTCCCTGTCCTCTCAGGGGCTTCCATCCCTCGTCCTCATGGCTCGACTTGGCCTACGGGGATGAGAAAGAGCCCGTGGACAGAGGAGATAGCGTAGTCTCTGAGAGGATAGGGTAAGCGGCTCACTACGGGCGCTGAATCGAAACAGACCTCTGAGGGATCCAACCTTCGAGGCCCTTGCAAGGGGCTCGAGGAGATCATCTTGCGTGTTTGTGGAGAGGAAGCTGAGATTGTACCGTAATACTCGATCAAGTTAATGCTTGCGTGGGAAACGTGCTGCCGCTCAGATCACCCCTTTTTTGAAACCCCCCAAGCCGTGGAATGACAACTGACTTTGGTAGCGATGGGATCCGGTATCCTGTTCTCGTATCCTGAGCTGGCGACCATCTCTGGCGTTCAGGGCGTTGTCACCTATGCTCTCGCCTCGTCCCTGCCCCTATTCGTCTTCGCGACCCTGGGGCCTATCATCCGGAGAAAGTGCCCCGAGGGTTTCGTCCTCACCGAGTGGACGCGCCAGCGATATGGCCTCATCGCGTCCCTGTATCTGAGCTTCATGACCTTGGTGACCCTGTTCCTTTACATGGTCTCCGAGTTGTCTGCCATTGGCCAGGTAGTCTCGGCGCTCACCGGCCTGAAGGGCCTTCCGGTCATGATCGTGCAGTGCGTTGTTACAACCATTTACACCTGTACGTATTATCCAGACCACCTCTGGAGGATGGCCGTCCCCTTGTTGTCGACTCATTCGGCTAATGTATCCATTTCGTAGCGTTGGGTGGTTTCAAGATCTCCTTCATCACGGACAATCTGCAGGGAGCCCTGGTGCTTGGCCTCATCGTCATTGCCACCATCTGCGTCGGCGTCGAGACCAAGATTGACCGCTCCCTCATCGAGTCCTCGGGCCTGACCAAGGCCAACCTGCTCGGCTGGCAGCTGCTCTACATCCTCCCCGTCGCCATTCTGACTAACGACTTCTTCCTGTCGAGCTTCTGGCTGCGCACCTTTGCCTCCAAGACGGACAGGGACCTGCGGATCGGCATCTCGATCGCCTTCGTCGCCATCCTGATCATCCTGACTCTCGTCGGCTGCGCCGGCCTGGTCTCGGCCTGGGCGGGCACGTGGCCCGGCCCGGACAACGCGGCCGGCTCCGTCGCCTTCTTCCTGCTCCTCGAGCAGCTGCCGAGCTGGGTGGTCGGCATCGTCCTCGTCATGACCGTCACCCTGTCCACCGCCGCCTTCGACAGCCTCCAGAGCGCCATGGTGACCTCGGCGTCCAACGACCTGTTCCGCAACCGGCTCAACATCTGGTTCATCCGCGGCGGCGTCGTCCTCATCATCATCCCCGTCATCGTGCTCGCCCTCAAGGCCCCCTCGATCCTGCAGATCTTCCTCATCTCGGACCTCGTCTCGGCGGCGACCATCCCCGCGCTCATCGTGGGCCTCTCGGACCGCTTCTACTTCTGGCGCGGCTTCGAGGTCGTCGTCGGCGGGCTCGGCGGCATCCTCTGCGTCTTCATCTTCGGCACCGTCTACTACGGCGACGCCCTCAAGGGCGCCCAGCTCATCCTGCTCGAGCAGGGGCTCTACCAGAACGACTGGTCCGCCTTTGGCGCCTTCGTCGCCGCGCCCTTCGGCGGCCTGCTCTCGGGCTGCCTGGCGCTGGCCTTCCGCGTCGGCTTCACTTGGGCGCGCGCCCGGCTCACGGGCCGCCGGTTCGACGCCTTTGACAGGCCCGCCGACTACCTGGCGCGCCAGGCCAGCGACGACGACGAGGTCATCGTCGAGCCGACGGAGCACATGGAGCCCGGCATCGCCAAGAAGCACGGCAAGTTCTTCTAGACGCAGGTTATGCATCTTTTTTGCTCGTAGCGCCTGGTCTGCTTCCTTATGTGGCGGGGTGAGCGCAGCCTCATGGGTAGCTGTCTATGCGTATTGATCCGAAACGATACCGAATGGTAATCAAAGATAGGAGGTGTCAAGGGTGGTCTGACGGTGATGGAAGGAGAAAATTTGGTGTGATATCGTGCGATCTGAGTTTGCAGATAGAGAAGAATGTTGTCATTAAACGTGCTAGCACGCGGAATAATGCAAAGTTTGCTGTTACGACACAGATCGGTCCAAGGGGATACTTTTTGTGAGATGTACAATGCCATTGTTGTCTTACAGTGACTAATGCTACAAAAGATAACTTTTTGGTTTTACGTGTTGGTACAATATACAGAAGCTTTTACATGAGCTCACATCAACCTAGCCTTCTCGTCTCCTCCTCACGACTTGTACTTCTTGAGCCTGTCCTGCTCCATCTCCTCGATGCTGCGCATCTCCTCCTTCCACGACTCGGGCGTGGCCTCCTCGGCGTAGCCAAAGATGCGCCAGTCCCGGGTCTGGAAGGTGCGGCCGTCGACGCTGGCGACCATGATGAGGTACTCGAGCGAGTTGGTCTCGCGGGCGCTGCCGACGACCTCGACGCCGGCCAGGTTGTCGTCGTGCTCGACGAGGCGCTGCCGGCTCGAGATGGCGACGACGGCCTGGCGCCAGACGGCCGTGGGCCCGCCGCCGGGGTTCTGCATCATCATGATCTTGTGGTCGACGAGGCGCGGGTAGGCGTGGGAGCGCGTGTAGCCGACGAGCGACCACTCGAAGCGCTGGCCCTTCCTGCGGGCGTCGATGGAGGGCGCGAGCTGGTTGTAGAGGCGCTGGCAGACGACGGCGCGCAGGGCGTCCTTGTCGCCCCGGGCCAGGGCCTCGGACATGGCGACGTGCATGGCCTTGGCGGTGGGCACGATGCTCGAGCGGTGCAGCTTGAAGCGCGCGCCCTTCAGGTAGCCCGGCTTGGACGAGAACTTGTACATGGCCAGGTTGAAGGCGTCCTTGGCGTGCTGGACGAAGCGGGAGCGCAGGAGGCTGAGGAGGGTGCCGGGCCGGAGCAGGTATTTCGTCAGGGGAGGAGGCACGAATGTGTCTGCAAGACAAACGCGTTAGTATCATCAAAAAGAGAAGAGAAATGCAGGTGCCCGGGAGAGGTGAGGAGCATAAGAGGTCTCATCTTGACAGTGGTGTTCCGACATGGGTCAGAGCGATGTACTGCTGCTGCTGCGACTCCCGGTGATCCAACCTCTACGCCTGAGAGCTGCACAGTTTTGGACATCACGTACATGGCGCCCTCATGTAGATTGCCTCGGAAGGGAGGTGTTGCGCTTCGGGCCTCGCCATCGCCTGCGTCACGGGCGAAGGGCTTTCGAACTTCGACGCATTCGCTCTGTAGTCCTTGTTCGCCTTGTTTGATGTCCTGTTGCCTCCTGGCCTAGCGCATGTCCGGCTCGTCGTTGACAGGTGCCTCGAGGCAAGGTAAGAAGCTGTTATCCTCGTCGCCGGCGCCATGGCCGCTGCCGAGGGTCTCGACCGCAGGACCAATGGCATGATCCACGGCCTCGTTCGGAAGTTGGCCGCCATGGCTAGAAGTGCTTCGGCTGCAGATCGGGTCGCCAGTATTTCCGCAGCGACCTGTCTGTCGAAGAGTATTCACAAAGTCGCAGCACCCACGCCAAGCTCCTGGGGTTGTCAATCCCGTCGCAAAACTCGTCTGGGTGTTGGTGTTGAGCGGCTGGCGGTGCTGGCGAAAGCTCCCAGAAATTTTGAAGATCAGCGCCAGGGACCGGGGCCACTAACACAAAACGGAGAAACAGCGTCTCCGTATATTATTTTCTGCGCTGTGACGTCCGGGCCCAGAACCAGAACCATCGACAGAACGGTGGGCGGGAACGCTGACAGGCGGCCAATCAGGCGGCACAATTGACCTCCAGGGCTGGCTTTCCCCTATGACAGCACCGACTGCCAAATCGAGACGCGGCCCCCTCTCTCGTACCTACCGCCCAGCTCGTCAAACCTGGGTCTGGAAGCCGCCAAGGTTCCCTGCCCGATCGTTTACAGGGCAAGCGCCCAATTTGCGCTCTGTCTTCTTTTCATTTCTCTGGATACGCACGCCAGCGAAGTGCAAACCACTGTCTGGCTTGTTTACGACTGCAGAAAAGGGGGGCATGTGCCGATTCTGAACACACTGTGCTTCTCTCGCTCCATCATCTCTAGCTGTCTTTCACTCTGAAACATATCCTCTCAGAGAGGGCTCTCGCTCCACACACAACCTCAGCTCGCTGCTTTCTGCACAGCCTCAGTCCCTCCCTGCGGCACCAAGCAGTCAAACCCCCCCTGCGCTGCGCGGCGGTACGTACCCCTCCTCGACTTTGCATGGCCGCCCGCCTCCGCCGCGGGCGGAACGCCGGTGGTACCAGCAACACCGGAAATGGCAACAGCGGCAACAGCAGCGACGCGGTAGCAGCCGGGGCGCGGCCGACGCTGCTGCAGCCCCGCGTCGCCGTCGTCCTCGGCGTGCCGGAGCGGTGGCACGCACCGCTCTTCGCCTGCCGCCTGCTCGCGTGCGCGCCGGCGATATGGTGGGGCCTCCCGAGCGCCGCCCGCCTGCTTCTGCAGCTCAAGCACCTCGTCGAGATGTCGCTGGCCGTGACGACGACCCCGTCCGTAGCGGCGGCGACGGCGACGACGACGACGACGACCCCGGGGCCTTCTTACCAGGACATGTCGTTTGAGAGCAGGTTGCGGCTGACGGAGACGTGCCTGGCAATCATGTGGGTATGTTGTGTGCCCCTTGGGAGTGTCTGACCTCGTCTGTTCAAGATCAAGGCGTGAGGGAACATGCTGATATGGCTTCCTTTCAACTACAGTGCGGCTCATCAGCCTACCTATCGTTCTTCTTCACAGACTGCCTCATGTCAAGATGGTATGCTCGCTCCACTTTGCTCACCACCCCTCCTTTACACATCTCCCACAGTCCACTAACCTGTCTCTCTTCCTCTCTACCAGGCTCCTGAACTACACCCCGCAGGCCTCCATAGTCCGCCTGCTGGCCATCAACGCGCTCAACGGCTACCTCACCTCCTGGGTCCTGTACCTGACGGGCGGCTCTGCCGACCCGCGCCTCCTGCTCCCCGCGTGGATATGCATCGCCACGACGCTGACGGCACTGTATCACATTACCCAGCGCAAGATCAACATCCGCAAGGAGACGTCCATCTCCATCTCGGTCTTCTCCATCGCCAGCTTCATCAGCATGGTCTCCCTGCTCGCGCAGCTGCACTCCAACCGTGCCGACTACCCGGACAACATACCGCTCACGTTGATCCTTCGTAGAGCCTGGGTGCAGACCGCGAGAGTGGCAGGGCGGCTGTTCGATTTGGGCAATGCCACGAGGGATCTGTAAATGGTCTAAGGATCGTCCAAGCTCCCTCAATTTGCTTCTTCACTGTTCTTCCTGTTGTGTTGTATTGTGTTGTGTTTGCAGATATACCCCCTCGAGTTTGATTGTATATTTTCACCCAGTTTTTATCACGAGCGTGTTGGCAAGGAATAGCTGCTTCGTTAGCAGAAGCACAAAGTACCAAGAAAAAGAAGCGAGTTCTCGTAACGAGTCTATTGATGAGATGCTATCTGCTATCGCCTGCGGGAGTATAATGAATGTAACGCAGGGTGCGGCATGGCCGTCTCTCGGTGCAAGGTAGCGGGCGTCGAGAGACGGCCGTCCACGAAAAGCGAAGACCGGATCCATCCACTGACTGAAGAAATCGCGCCAAGTCCAAAACCGGGTATCATGCTCATGTCCCACTCGCTCGACTCAAAGCTTCGGCTTATTGAAGGCTCAGTTGCCAAGCCGGTAGTACCTCTTGCGGAGATAGCATCTCCAAAGGCTACCCTCTAGCCAAGGCGACAGCTGGGACGAAGCGGCATGGCGGGTTTAGAAACCGTGGACCTGTACAAGGGGGACAAAGATGTTAGTCCGAATGTGTGCTGTGAGGTAATGTGTGCGTAGACATGAGAGTGTATGCAAGAGGTCAAAACTTGCCTTGATGGTCTTGGGGTCGAGCTCAAGGCCCTCTTCCTTGTCGACGAGGAATTCCTGCATATGCTTGCGCTGGTCGCCCTGGAGCTGAATCACCTCGCCCATGTCTTCATCGTGGACGATGGTGCCATTGCAGGCGAACTTCTTCTTGACGACAGAGAGGATCTTCTTGCGAGAGAATTTCTTGGGGATGCCCTGAACGGTAGTCAAGGTCTTACGTCCATTGCGCTCTGGAATGCGGGATGTCAGCCTACGTCACACAGACTTTTGGGAGAGGAGGGTTGGGTTTGGGTTTGGGATTGGGTTGGTTAGAGTGGGCGATTGGTAAGGGTGTGGCGCATTGACACATCGCAGCACGTGAGAGAGCCCGGCAATTTCGACGGAGTGGGTTGGTTGGGTGGCAGAGGGGGGGGGCTGGCGGCAATACGTACGCTGGATACGGATGTGGATGTAATCCTGAGGCTTTGCCTTTTCTCCGGTGTCCTCCTCGACGTCAGCGAAGGGGTCTGCAGGTGAGAGGAATGGCAAGTTAGCATTTGTTTCCCACGATGCGAAGAGGGTGCGCAACGGTGGGGCAGGCTTCAGAGGACGGCTGTGCTGTGCGAATGCGCGCAAAGCGAATCGCCCGAGTAATGGCATGACGACGACGACCATGGGGGCCAAAAACGGGCCATCGCCATCATCGTCATCGCCATCGCTGCTGAGGGGAGAGAGGGTCGAGAGAGGAATAGACAGGGGAGAGAGGCGTACCGAAAGACTTGAGATTTTCGATTGACATAAACCCTGGTGTTGCGGGGGTACTCTAGGTGAGGTTTCGGTATGGAGGGGCGGGGAGGCAGCGACCGACGACTGTAGAGTGTCTCGCTGGGCGTGTGATGTGTGCGATGTGTATCGACTTGATGGGTTTGAGTGGAGAGAGTGGTGTTTCCGGGTGGTGGTGGACTTTAAAAGAAGAAGCAGAATGTTCTGTTCTTTCTGTTGGATGTTGATGGAAGAGAACGGAGTGGGCGAAGTTTGTAGATAAAGAGGGAGTACCTAACGTTATTTGAATGTGGGAGAATTCGAGGGTGGAAAAGGTGGGGACCGAGCCTGCCCAGGTGGGAGGCACTACTGGAAGGGAAGGGTGGGAAAAAGTGGGGATCCGATTCAGTGGGTGACACATAGCGCATCGAGGCGGCAAAGCCAGGCATGAATGGCCTGGAACATGTGCCTGATGCCTCCTACTGCACCGCTGGGCGTCGGATCGTCAGTGCTCTCATGTGCTATCCCACTCCAGGTTTTCACAACTACAGGTGCCTACTGGCCAGGCTCTCGGTCACTGTCTGGTGGCGACATCTTGACCAGCTCGAATTACGTGACAGGTCTCCTCTTCTTTCCATGTTAATTATGCATGAAGTGTGCAAGTAGCTTACAAGTTACAAACCCCAATATCACGCCGTTCTCAGAGTTGAAATGCGATGTCTGACGATGCGAGGCTTGCGATGCATGGGGATGGATGGTGCTGCAGGACCCGACCCGTTGCAGCAGCCTCATGAGATGTACCAAGTACAATGACTATTGGCGATGCGAGGCCTGCCAGCTGTGTCCTGACGTGCAGATGAGGTTGTACAGATCAAAAGCAAGAAGCATTGTCTTATCTGGGCTCTTTTGGCTCTTCTGGCCCCAGCCCAGTACTTGTAGGCATGGTTAGCTGCAGCAGTAATGACCGTCAGTCTCTTCAGTCTCACCTTACCAGCCCACAACTCTTTACCAACCACTCGCTGCTCTGCTTTCAACATCGCATTGTCTTTGGGACCGCTCTCGAGTTCACACTCGAGGTGCCAAGTTGAATGCAGTCATAAGCAGGTCAATACTCACTGGCAGCTTCTCCAAGCCCATACCTGTCCCTTCTCTAACTTGACCCACTCAAAAATTCCCTTAATCTGCATGTAGCTGAGCATCTAGAACGATCCTTTGACTCAACCGTGGTTTTCGATTATACTACCCTGTTACTTGGCTTCTCATCCAGCTCGGCACGCCTTTGACAGAGCCAGAATCTCCGAGCCGATCACCGCTATCTGGACCATCCTGCCCTCAGGCCTCACCACAGAGGCGAGCCTGCACCGCTGCCTCCACAAGGCCCAGATCGAGCCAAGCTCTCGATGCAGAAGCCAAGGAGATGACTCTTACCCCAGAGGCCTTTGCCCAGGACGCAGCACCACTCATACGTCAGACCAACGACCAGAGTGCCCTCTTTTCTCCAATATGCCGTCATGGCTGTGCCTTCGACCCGGCCATCTTCAAGAAGGTCATGCTGAACCTGATTCAGAACCCAAACCTCCTGTCAAACTGGCTGTTCAGGGCGGACCTGATCGCCGAGCACGAAGGCTGCGACGATGAGGTTGTGCTTGAGGGCGTCCCGGAGTCTGAAGGGCTGCGGCCGGTCATTCCGCAGATCGACGGTTTCCAGCGTGGCAGGGTCATCGTCCGGCGGCTCATCCCAAGGAACGCCAAGCGAGACAGGCCCCTACTCCAAACGTGTATCTTCTACAACGACACTTCGGTCTTGGCGGATGCGGCACCCCAAAAGACGCTCGTTGTTTACTTGCCGCACATCGCTACCGTGGAAGAGATTCCCTTCTACCACCCCAAAGTGCGAGGCCTGGGCTACCTGCACGAGTGGAATCCGGCCGAGAGCAAGGGCACCGTTTCCATCCACTACCGCTTCCTGAGTGACGAGGACAGGATAGCAAGGCCCGTCAAGCTGGAGCGGACCGCGCTCATGATGATCAGTGTCATCCACAAGCACGGCGAGGGCAAGCGCACTGGCTATGTCAAACGGGTCCATCATGACCAGCTGGTGCCTCAAGCGACTGTCCAGGACTGCTATCACGATCTCAAGGACCGCTATGCTAGAGATCTGCTTGGCAGTTGGAGAGAGAATACCGACCCGGGGAAGCATGTGTTTGAAGATCTGTCTATTGCCGCATTCCTCATTGAGCTGTGGAGAGAAATGTACAAGGACCAGCCGTTTCCGGGGTTCGTGGACATTGGCTGTGGCAACGGGCTGCTGACCTACCTTTTGAACAAGGAGGGTTACAAAGGCTGGGGATTCGATGCAAGGGCGCGTAAATCCTGGGACATTTACAACGACGTCGTTGTCGATGCCGATGGCAAGAAGTCTAGCACCCTGCAAGAGCGTGTCCTCCTGCCCTCGATCGTTGCGATGCCTGCCACGGAAGAAAGCGACAAGGAATGTGTTGACAACGAAAGATTCCAGGATGGTCGATTCCCCAAAGGCACGTTCATCGTCTCCAATCATGCTGACGAGCTCACACCCTGGACACCGATTCTCGGCGCCATATCGGACTGCCCGTGGATCTCCATACCGTGCTGCAGCCACAATCTGACTGGCGCCAAGTTCAGAGCTGCTCCGCCAAAGGACAAGTCCAAAGGAGGTTCCGCGTATGCGTCCCTCACGGAATGGGTGGCGGACATTGCCGCTGACTGCGGGTGGGTAGTCGAGCGGGAGATGCTGAGGATACCAAGCACGAGGAACGCGGCTCTCGTTGGCCGGAAGCGAACACAACCTGTCGAGTCTGTCGACATTGACGAGATCATATTGAAGTACGGGGGAACTCAAGGCTACTTCGAGAACGCCATGAAACTTGTCAAGACCGGGCCCCGCTCCCATTGAGCACTGCTGGACTTAAAAGCAACCTTCGTTTTTGTCTCTAGGACCCCTAATCTATTCAAAGGGGGGTGCTATCGTACAAATGCCCCTGAACGGACTTCAGTCGAGGTCGGGCACGGGAAGATGGTCGACGAGCTTCATGTTGAGGCCCAGCTTCTTCAGCGCCTCGACCGCGTTCCGATCCCTCAGCTCCTCCGTCTCCTTCTGCGTCACCAGCACAAAGTCGTGCTTGAGCAGCAGGATGCCCTCGTCGACGCCGTACTCCTCGGCCGTCTTCTTGTCGACCTTGTCCAGATCGATGACCAGGCTCTTCTTGACGCCAAAGACGGCGTCGGACGTCTCGTACGGGTCGCCTCGGACATACAGCGCCCTATAAAACAAAGCATCAGCCACATTAAACCTCCTCACCACATCATCAAAGGGGAGAGAGTGAGAGGCGACAAAAAAAAACTTACGTGATGAGGTGGTCCCAGCCCTCCTTCTCAAACATAAAGTGCATGTGCGCTGGGCGCCAGCAGTGCCGGCCCAGGCGGTCCAGCAGCTTGCCCACGGGCCCGTCGTGCGGGATGGGGTAGCTGACGGGCTTGATGCCCTTGAACCAGAACCGGCCCTGCTCGTCGGTGACCATGACGCACCGCTCCGACGGCTCGCCGCGGTCCGAGTGCTGCACGTCGTAGTGGCCCGAGCTGTCCGTCTCCCAGATGTCGACCTTGACGCCCGCCACGGGCCGGCCCTGCGGGTCCCGCACCGTGCACACGGCCAGCAGCGGCTCGCCCTCCGGGTCCGACGTCATGGACGCGCCGTTGGGCAGCGTCGGCGCGTCGTGCGTGTGGAAGGGCCCCAGGACGGAGCCCTCGGTGCCCGCGGGCGGCTTGGGGTGGTTGATGCTGTCGACGAGCAGCGACAGGCCCAGGATGTCGGACAGCAGGATGAACTCGTTGCGCACGTCGCTGCAGATCTGGCCCGTGGCGATGAGGAACATGAGGCCCGTCATCCACTCGTCGCTGCTGAGGCGCGTCTCGCGCGCAAAGTCGTGCAGGTGCACGACGAGGCGCTCCATCAGGTACCGCAGGCGCGCGTCCTTGGCCTGCGAGTTGATGCGCACCGTGTTGGGCGTGATGTTGTCGATGGTCAGGTCCAGCAGCTCGGGGACCGAGGCCGCGCCGTTTCCGCCGGAAGCCATGATTCGTAGAGGACCCTTCTTTTTGGCTCTGCTTGAGCTCTATATGTGCTGTTTCTCTGTGGAGAGAAGAGTTGGCGTAGTGATTGTTCCTTTCAAGCTCCCGAGTTATCGCACTATCCGTTTCGAAGGCGAGGAGGGTGCTGCACGGAGCAAATTGGAGGAGGATGATGATGATGATGAAAGAAGCAAAGTCGCAAAAAGAAGATCCTCCCCAGAGGAAAAGCGAAAGAAATCTACTGTCCAGTATATACCTTTGCTCGCCCCGGGTGAATTATGGACTGACCGTTCGCTAGCTAGTCATTTATGTAATGCTCTGTCATCCACCAACCCCAGAGCTTCGCTATTCGGAAGTATCCCTCACACACAAATCTGGTCTCCGCCGAGACCCGTTAGTCTGGCCCCGGTGGGCGGTCGTCGACCCGACTGACTTGAATCCGGGGAGATAACACTACAAGGCCGATACACTGTGACCGGAATACTCTTTACAATGTGCCCTTCTCGCAAATGCTTATAAACACAAATAGAAGAAGCCTTGTCCAAGACACAAACGGAGAGCATGAAGACATTCTCGGAGCCCTGTAGAAAAGGCAACTTATACACCAGCTCACGCCCAGAAATTGGGGTGAGCGAATCAGAGAGCTCTCGTTCGTAAGGTAGTTATTACATTTACGGGAAAGATGGACTGGTACAGATACAGAGTGGACCACACACCCCTCCTTTTTGTCGCTTGCATCCTTCCAGAGCTCTCCTCCTACTACTAGTGAAGCTCTGTCGCATAGCGGGCGCGGCAGTTCGCAATGGGCGGCGGGGTTATCGTCCCGCCGCAAAAGGAGGGGCACGGCCTGGTCGTAACGTCGGGGATCGGCCTCGCAAGTTCCAGGGCCGGGCTGCTGCACCTTGCAGGGCGCACGCACGGTGCGGCAGCCCTGCATCCGTGTCAGACCACAACCATCCGATGGTCTGTCTCCTTTTAGCTTGTGCGAAACACACATGGCCATCCGAAATGTCATCCGAAATACATCGGTATCACTTTTCGGATCACAGGTGATCAATGGGAATTTATGTCCATTCCGCACAGCTACACTATACTATGTACAAGCGCTGGAACGGCCCTGCCGAATGCCGAGACTAAATGAAATATGCTAGACGAAAGCCGATACCCGTTGGCTGTTCCTGGATGCGTTCCGTGGTCTTAAAATGCGATCTCTCCTGTCTAATGAAGCCGTAAAGCAAAGATAAAAGCCCTCTCCAGCTCCAGGATAATAATAATAGCAACAAACGCCGCTTCCATGCAGGGTGAGGTATGCCAACAGGTATGTCGGAGCTCTCGGTGAGCTGTCGATGCAGATTCTTCTAAATACAGAGTGAAAGTTTGCGCTACTGAAAGCGTGTGTTGCATGGGAGCAAGTTCCCAGGGTATAAAGGAAATATTAGGTCTGTGTAAGGGGAGATGCCCTTTCGAAAGCGAAAAAAAGAGCTTTTAGTATTGTCGTAAAGTCATCAAATGATAGTCGTGGTAGACCCAATGCTATGGGGCCAACGGACGATCGGTTTTCTCTTCGTCCAATTTCTCCTCGGGGATATCGGTGATCGGAGACACCTCGCTGTCCTCTCCCTCTTCCTCTTCGGGGATCTCTTTGGTCGGGGAGCCGGGCGTCATCGAGTTTCGCAAGCTCGAGGGTGGCAACGGTGTGATGGATCGTCGGCCGTTGGTACCACTGCCTGGCCGACCGATAAGAGGAGTCGAGCTTCTATCAGAGTCCTTATATGCGTGGTTCAGGCTCGAGCTGCTGACCCTCCGAGAACGTGTCGGGTTGTTAATCTCTGACTTGGTGACAGAGGCATCCCACTCTGCAATGTCCTTTGAGCTCCACGAGGCACGGTGCTGGCGTCCAGACTTTGGCAACGTCGTCACCGAATTCGTCGAGGTTACTGAATTCACCGAGTATCGCGAGCCGGCACTATAGGCTCTGCTCCTCCGGTTAGTCGGTCGATAGTATTCGCGTGCGCCGCTCTGGCTTGCAATGGCCGCCATCTCGGCCAACTCATCGAGCGGCTCCTTCTCGTCCTCGATCTTCGGAGCACGACGGACAGTGTTGACCGAGAAGTATGGCTCTTTCGGTACTTCGGGCTCATCTGAACCGTCCTTCTCCTTCCCTTTGCCCTTCTTGTCCTTCTTTTCGCTTGCAGGCGTGGGGAGATCTGCAGCTTTCTTGTCGAGGTTCTCAAAGTACCGGAGTCGAAGTCCATCTAGCCACTCGGGCTCAAATTCTTCACGATTGCGTGTGAGCGACATCCAGGATGAGATGGCGCCTAGAACAATGAGAATCATCATAGCGATGACAAGGAACCCTTGCACTACGATGATGATGACTCCCAGCACAGTAGCGATGATCCTATTTAGGTTGAACGCGGGAAGGAATGCGATAGACAGGCCAGTTGTGACCACTTTGCTGATACTGAGCATCCACACCGCCAGCGCCGTATTCCGAGAGCCTTCGAAGGGGTCCAGTTTAGCAATGACGACGAATGCGACAATCTCGACCACCAGCAGGCCATAGACTTGCGCTAGAGGTGACGCGCCAGCGCCTCCAATGAACGCCGCCCGGATCAGTTGATAGGCAAGGTAGTAGACGAAGAACCACCACCTAGTCCGACGGTATCGAGCAGACAGCCAGCCAAACCTCTTCACGTAGGCTTGGTCCTTGTGAACGGTGGCCCTGTTTGGGTCTTGATCGTCGTAGTGGATCCTGAAGAAGGGCAGCGAGGCATTCGCGCGCGGTGTCAAGCCCCTTGCCGTCAGCGTGCTGGTCCGGGTCGGCAGCAAGCAAGGAATGACCTTGACGATGCGAGTCTGGTGAAACACAACCGTGTCGGGCCTGATGGAGAAATTTCCGAAACGGAGTCTGAAATGGCACGCATACCATGCGATCCCTCCAACGCCTGCCAAGAAGAGGATGAAAACGATTGCAGCAATAGCCGTCGCGCCGGTGGATCCGTGGATCGCAAATTGGAAAATTGCAAAAGTCGTCATTGCGGAGAAGGCGATAAAGAACGTCCTCAAGACAGCGAGGAGTGTGTAGTTCCAATAGTGAGAGCGGAAATACGCCAGGCGATCCTCTTTGATCCTCTTAAACCGCGCAAGCATCTCGAGGCTCCCTTTGAGAGCAAGCACTGAGATGATTACGAGCCCGAGCAAGACCAAGAACCAGATCAAGCTGATCAGAAAAGCGTCACCAGAAGGCACGCCGGCCATGGACAACGTGGCTGGGAAGCCGGTCCATGTTCCTGGAGCTGGCATACCGGGTGATACAGGGTCGCCTCCCCATTTGTAGTCGTACGGATCACTCTCGTTGAAGGTCTTGCGCTTCATCAGGTGCCCGACGGCTTCTCCAGTCTGCAGCGAACGTCCGTAGATCTTGCGGGCCATTCCGCCACCGCTGTTAATGACCGAGGATCCAGCACCGCCGGCTTGGCTGGCATTGCCGCTGATACCGGCAAACCCGTCAAGGGAATTCACCATGGATGAGCTGCGGATGATGCCTGCTGACCATGCAAAATTGCTCCAGAATGCTGGGAGGACGCTGGGCCAGTTTACAGAGAGCGCCCCGGAGAAGAATATGGCCTGAAGTGTTTCGAACATGACCAGAACCGAGATCGAATGAGCGTAGTGGGTTCTCATGTGAGGTATGCTGACACCGTATATGGCCGTAGCGAGAGAGGCTATGATGCCTACAAGAAGAAAGACACCCAGGACTGGGCCGACTGCCTCTGGATGGCTGAAGGTGTTGCCGTTGGTCATGACAGCTTGGAAACAGCCGATTTCGGTCTGGCTCGAGTTGGCGAAGATTTGGAACTTGATAGAGCCCTCGAAGTCGGGGATATCAAAAGCGATGGAAGGGATGGAACCGACTTGCTGAGGGCCTATTATGAACCCTGCATACGCACTGATCGGCTTGCTCGCGTTGAGCGGACACATGCTACAAACAACTGCATTAGCGGGAAGACCTTCACTTTGCGTGTCTCGACTTACGTATCCCGCATAAAGATGGCAGTACACGGGTCAATTGTCTGGCTGTATCTCTCTTCACCATCTGCGGAGGTCAGTACAAACGCCTTTTGACAACAACATGCGGAGGGAAGGCCTTACAAGCTTCCAACGTGATCACAACTGCCAGATCAGTTAGTTTGTTTTTTCCCCAATACGGCGCATGACCCGACTAGAAAGGGAGGATAACGCACCCATGAGTGATTCGTTTCGGAGATTTGAGGTGCCATCTAGGTGGAAGATGACGGAAGAGTTGTCGGTATAATATGCAGCGTCGAGCTTTGTAATGTTGAACAGACTTTGCCCCCCGAGACAATCGCCAAAATCGCCGGTATAGAGGGCAGGATAACGGTCAACGGCAAGCTGGCGCGTGATGCCCTGGGCGTCGGTGCCGGTGATGTATTTCGTCTCTCGAGCCTGGGAGAAGCCGATCAAGTAAAACACCCAGCACAATAACACCGCGCCGAACAACCGGCGCCGTGAATCGGCCATGGTGGTCAGAGATTTGAGGAATCCAGTCGCGTAGAATCGGTAGATGAGCCCTAGGGAAGCGTGCTAGATAAATCAGCTTCTGTGATCAAGGAGAGCTTGTGACAAGACCGCATCGCCCAAGCACTGCATTCGGCCGGCAAGAATCAGGAATATCGTGAAGGCATACCCAGAGGGCATCGAGGAGCCCAAAACGGCGAAATAGAGCGGCTTAAGCGCCTCGCGTCATAGGTGTCGGGGACACTGGTCGTCGGATGTTTGAGCACAGCATCAAAGGGTCTTGGATGGTTGTCGAGAAAGTTTGAAAGCCGCGCAAGACGACACACGGGTTGTGTGATAAGGCGACAGGGAGTGGTAGTTACAGACAGGGAACAAACAGGACCCTGCTTGCAGTGGGGGCCTTGTCGTCGATCACTGGGAGCGCCTGAAACGATGGAGCTTCCTTTCCTGGCACACAGAGGTCGCGGCACGCCCGGATCATGCGGGATGGACCATATATTAAAGAGCAACGGTCGGGTGTTTTGCGCTGGCAATTGGACGGGAGACGACCGGGATGAGAAGAGGAAGACGAAGGGGAAGACGAAGAGCGAGTTCACGTCGACTTACTCCGTACAAAGACTGGAGATAGATGTCTTGCATTTCCTGGTTGGCCCTATCCAGTTCTTGGCGAACTAAAAACCTACCAAGTCACTAGGTACACGGAGATCCATCAATGGCAGGTCCGACTCGTTGATTTTGAGGGTGCTAAATCGCTCCAACAGGACAGGCGGCGAGCTACCCAGGCTTCCAGCACTTACTCACCTGTAACTACAGTAAAGTACCTACAGTAAGTTGGGTACTTACTCGGCCACTCGCACCAAAAATCCCTCCACGGGGGTTTTTGGGACATCCATGGTTTGAATGATGCGAATGGGAACACCAGTCCAAGATCGAAAGGCGAACTAAGGTAGCGCCCGCCCAGCCGCTAAAATGTCGGCTGCCGTGGCTGACCAACCTTGGAAGTCTTCTTCTTCCTGGTGGTGCCAGTGTGTCCAGCAGGGCGCACTGGATTGGCCAGTGAAACACCGCCAGTTGGGCGAGAAAGCAGGGAAAGCAAGGGACAGCAGTGAGTACAGGCGACTGGCGCGATCAACGGCGTGTTGTCATTGAGTCACCATGCAGAACTAGGCCATGCTACTCGATAACTTGGCCAGTTCCTAGTGGAGTGTTGGGCCCCAAAAGGGCAGTATTTTATCAACTTGTCTGCCAGTCCGGCTGAGTGAGATGCCACCCCTTGTCCTCCAACTTGTCGTACAAGTACAACTCGGTATCCAGTCGAGATGGCTGGTTAAAACATGCGCTCGCTCTGACAAACCCACCCTCCGGGATAGATGCCATCGATGCCAACCTCTGGAAGGGAGGGTGATTGATTGGCAGGAAGAATTCGTGCAGGGGTGTGCTTGCTGGGGCAGGATGGAGCTGCATGTGCATACAGCCCGAGATGTGGCTTGATTACAGGTCCGTATATTCGGCCACAGTGGATAGCAGTGATTTCCCTTCTCGTATCTTCTCGCTTCTGCGTTTTGCCCGTGGATGCAAGGGGCAAGTCACCTCGACACACCTATCCAGCTGAGCAACACTGGGATTGTAAGAGTTCGAGAAACCCCTTGATAGAGCTACCTACTTATTCACTACCAATAATTGAATGTCATTTTGAAAAGAAAGCCACGGACTCTGTATTTGCCTACGTACACACAAGACAGACGGCTGAGGTCTGGTGTGAAGGGACCAGTCGGCTATTGCATTATTGACCATCGTGCCTTGCAGTAGAAATTGGCGCGTGAGGGGTCCATTATGCGCTCTTTTAAGCATCAACTCTTTCTGCCATCCAAACTTCTGGTCTGATTGATTCCGTCTCGCTCGGTTGAGATGCCGAGATAGGTCCATATCAGACACACAGCCCAGGTTGGGGCAACCCGCCCATCGCACCCACCGTGCGAGTTGTCACGGAGAGCACTTTGGGGTGTCCAGATCTTACAAGTACATTTCGAATACCGGAACCGTAGGCGTGAAACAGAAACCTTACCTGGATCCGACACGACGCTTGGAAACAGACCTGGCCGGCTTTGACATGTTTCAGTTTTGTCAAACAAACTTCAATCCCCTCAATCTTGTAGAGCAAGAGGATCTTGGCAGTGTGGTAGCCTTTTACGGCCGCGCTACTAGCCTTGAGGTAACACAGAACGGGTTCATGAACAGGCTCGATCTCCTAAATAAACTCATGTTGTCTTAGCCAGAGCACATCTTTTGATCTTGGTTAGGCGATTTGGGCGATCTGCTGGCGCACGACCCCGGCCACGCTGGAGTTGGCCATTGATGGATCCGCTTTCTTTCTAATCGATAAGAAATATGTCATGCGGGGTCTGAGCTTTATCACTCAATTTCGTGCCGCGATTCTTCAACTCTTTTTTCTTGGGGCTCAAAGAAGAAAATTGTCTCAAGACCACCTAGGAGGCTCGCGGCCACTATCCGTCTATGTCTGGACATCTGATCCCGTCATCGGCCACATTCAAGACGAGATCTCCAAGAACCTGGAAAGCCAAGCATTTGCTCAGACTGACGCCTTGTTCGGACGAGAGGGGCTTTGGGGGAACTGGTTCCGTCGGCGGGGTGTAACGGAGTAGCGCCTTGGTTACTGAAGTCACCACGGCGGACGGCCCTCCAAGAATAGCCGCATCAATTTGCCCGCCCCATGCCACCCAATGAAGCGGTAAATCTCGGTGTAAACAAGGCCAAATTATCCTAAGTACACCGGAGGACGAGCATTATGAAGATTGATACTGTAAGCAGCATTTGCGGAGCCGGGGGTGGAAACCTCCAAGCCGAGAGCCGCCGCGATCTCAAATCTCTGCTTGTGACGGAGCCCACGCAGGCCGCTAAAAACGCTGGTAAGGCGTGCGAGTTGGTTGGTGAACGAGCACGTCATTCAAGCTAGCTCTTGCGCATTCTCAGACCGTTCCTGGATCTGACGTTCTGGAAAGGCATGGAGCTTCTTTGCAACTCTGAAAGGGCTTCGTTGTAGATTTGCATAAATAGATTTTTTTGGGGAAATTCTCTCTTTTCTTCACCATTCTCTTTCCGCCTGATCCTGCTCTGCCGTCCTAGGTTGCTCTAGTCAAGGAATCCTTCTGCATATTCCCACGTTACGTTACCCTGTCACTGCAGCGGCGGGCTTATATATCCATCTTGGCCTGCTCTGTGCCTTGATCAACGTCATATTCCCACAGAAACTTCCAATCCGACCCGCGGCACGAGGACTAGACGAAAAGTCATTGGAACGAGTCGAAAAGCTCCTTTCTAGATATAAAAGTCCTTTGGTTTTGCTTTCGATTCTCCCGAGTGCAACTCCGTTTCCCACCTGCTTCCTACTTTCAAAGTCGTATAAGCGCACCACAGACTCGACGCTATGGCCAACCCTCCTCACGGCGGTATCCTCAAGGATCTGATCGCCCGCGATCTCCCCAGACATGCTGAGCTCTCCGCAGAGGCAGAGAAGCTCCCGGCTATTCTGCTGAGCGAGCGCCAGCTTTGCGACCTCGAATTGATCCTCAATGGCGGTTTCTCTCCCCTTGAAGGTAGGTGGCAGACAGACCCCGCCCGCCCTCGGCAGGGAACCCCCCACCGTGGCTGGTCTCGAGCCACGAACCACGAAGGCCAAGAGCTGACGCGATGTCGAATATGCAGGTTTCATGACCGAGAAGGACTACAATGGGTATGTCTTCGGGCGGGGGGCGTAGATGACCCAGTCCGGGCTAACTAACCATGCTTCTACAGAGTGGTCAAGGAGAACCGGCTCGCCGACGGTGCTCTCTTCAGCATGCCCATCACGCTGGACGTGTCGCAGGAGCTGATCAACGAGGTCGGCGTGAAGCCTGGTGCCCGCGTCACCCTCAGGGACTTCCGGGACGACCGCAACCTGGCTATTCTCACTGTCGAGGATGTCTACAAGCCCAACAAGTAAGCCACGAATATCCCCGGTCCACCATACTAGGTCTGGACAGACGGCTGACTTGGCGATCTGTTCAGGGAGCTCGAGGCCAAGGAAGTTTTCGGTGGTGACCCGGAGCACCCTGCTATCAAGTACCTCTTCAACACTGCCAACGAGTACTACGTCGGTGGCAAGCTCGAGGCAGTCAACCGCCTGCAGCACTACGACTTTGTCGATCTGCGATGTAAGGACTCCCTTCGGCTCCCTCGAGGAGCATTGCTGGGAGACACTTGTAGCTGACCCGACATGTAGATACCCCCGCGGAGATCCGCCTGCACTTCGACAAGCTCGGCTGGACCAAGGTTGTCGCCTTCCAGACTCGCAACCCCATGCACCGCGCCCACAGAGAGTTGACGGTCCGCGCCGCGCGCTCCCACCACGCCAACGTCCTCATCCACCCCGTCGTCGGCCTGACCAAGCCCGGCGACATCGACCACTTCACCCGTGTCCGTGTCTACAAGGCTCTTCTGCCCCGATACCCCAACGGCATGGCCGTCCTGGGTCTCCTGCCCCTTGCTATGCGCATGGGCGGTCCCCGCGAGGCCATCTGGCATGCCATCATCCGCAAGAACCACGGTGCCACCCACTTCATCGTCGGCCGTGACCACGCCGGTCCCGGCAAGAACAGCAAGGGCGTTGACTTCTACGGGCCCTACGACGCTCAGTACGCCGTCGAGAAGTACCGCGACGAGCTCGGCATCGAGGTCGTCCCCTTCCAGATGATGACGTACCTGCCCGACAGCGACGAGTATGCCCCCATCGACACGATCCCCAAGGAGACCCGCACCCTCAACATCTCCGGTACCGAGCTGCGCGCCCGCCTCCGCAGCGGCCGCGACATCCCGGAGTGGTTCTCGTACCCCGAGGTCGTCAAGGTCCTTCGGGAGTCGCACCCTCCCCGCTCCGCGCAGGGTTTCACCATCTTCCTGACCGGCTACCAGAACAGCGGCAAGGACCAGATCGCCCGCGCCCTGCAGGTCACCCTCAACCAGCAGGGCGGCCGCTCCGTCTCCATGCTGCTGGGCGAGACCGTCCGCAGCGAGCTGTCTTCCGAGCTGGGCTTCAGCCGCGAGGACCGCCACAAGAACATTGGCCGCATCGCCTTTGTCGCCTCGGAGCTGACCCGCTCCGGCGCCGCCGTCATCGCCGCCCCCATCGCTCCCTTTGAGGAGTCGAGGGCGCACGCCCGCGAGCTCGTCGAGAAGTACGGCGACTTCTACCTGGTGCACGTCGCCACGCCCCTCGAGTACTGCGAGAGGACAGACAAGCGCGGCATCTACAAGAAGGCCCGCGCCGGCGAGATCACGGGCTTCACCGGTGTCGACGACCCCTATGAGGCGCCGGCCCAGGCCGACCTGGTCGTCGACTGCGAGAAGCAGACCGTCCGGTCGATCGTGCACCAGATCGTGCTGCTGCTGGAGAGCAAGGGTCTCTTGGACAGGTTTTAAGATCAAGTCGTTTGGATAGCGAGTGATTGGATATTATCTTTGATATTTGTGTGTACTGGATCACGATATATGCACGAGCTGGTCCGGCGTGTTACAGCCGTCAGCCATAGAAGGCGTTGCGTACATCGGGGCATTACCCCAGTCGTAGAACATGGGTGTTTTTGACACTGGCGGCATCTGAATCTGCTTGCCCAGGCAGCACAGGAAAAGCGTTTACGGAGTAAGAATAGAGTTGTTTCTCGTCCTTCTTCTGTGCCACTAAAACACAACACCCGAGATCTCGCAAGAAGCCAGATGCACCATCCCGCCCGCCGGCCGCCTTTCTGGCCCGCGGCGTTGGTGCCGGCGCAGATCTGGTGATGGAGGGTACGTTGGTTGTGCATGTTTGTCCCGACCAAGGGTTGAGAGTGCAGTCCTCGAGCCTCATTGGCTTGGGTGGTGATGGAGAGCGCTTAGTCGCATCAGGTACCGGGGGACTTTGGTGCCCAACTGGTCTTGAGAAGGGGCTTTGGGTACCTAATACCTGAAGTCCAGGCCTGATCGATCCATCCGACTCGGATCTCGCTATTTTAGGATCGGACGGCGTTCCTTTACCAACGGCGCAGTGGTCCCTCACCGGATTCTACTGCTCGAGAGTTGTCGAGATGCGCAGAGTCCGCCCCGTCTTCCACTCGAGAGCCGGGATGATGGATGTGTTGGCAGTGCGTTTTGCATGAGCCAAGTATCCTAGCCAGTGGCAAGTGGGCGCTGTTTTACCTGAGACAGCGCGAGACTTGTTCCTGAGCAAGGGAGGCTATACGTCTGTCGAGATATAATCATCGAGAGATTGCCATAAGCATCATGAGAAAGCACGAATTATTAACACTGAAAGATGATGGCAGCCTGGAATCCACGCGTATCGAGTGCATGATGTCTGTGATAATGGATAACCTTAATGATTTGTTTGCACTGTAGCTCGAGGCTCGAGGCTCTGTAGGGGGGAGCTCAAACGCTAGAAACACCGCTAAAATGTGCCAGCACAACGTTGGGCACCACACCCCGCCGCGGTGGATGGTGTTAGCACTTGGCGGGTGGCCCACCGCCTAGCCACGCCCGACCCGTCCCTTGTCTTGCCGCTGTGGCACCCCCACCAGCTCGCCTATCGAATCACAATCGGGCTCCTCTCGTCAACAGCTGCAGCCGCTGAGCCTGTGAATTCCAGTCGCCTCTTCCCAGGTCTGCCTGGTGTGTATGTGTGTGCATACGTGTGTGTGTCTCTTGGAGCATCTCACCATTCTTTTTTTCCAGTCATGTCTTTAGATCCTTGAACCCATATTCTGTAACTCATCATCAATTTCCGAATCGTCGTGGAGACACCATCGCGGCGACCCTCCAGCAGCTTCCCCCAGAACGACGATCCAACCTTGCGCGGGCGAGCTTAGCGGGCGACAAAGTACCGAGACTCGAGTCGGGCTGGCATGGTGCGCCTGCCATGCCTTCCAAGGATCGTGATCGGGATGTGACCGAGGTGGAAGAGCGCCCCAAGGAGAAGCGGCGGAGCAGCAAGAGTGAGCGCTCGAGGAGGGAGGGCGAGAAAGACACAGACTCGACGACGCACCGTCACCGCCACCACAAGTCCTCGCGATCCTCCAAGTCGAGGCCGACCGACAGCGAGACCCACTCCCATTCTCACCGCCGACACAGGACCAAGGAAGACCGCTCACGGTCCTCGTCCATGGTCGACCTCGTGCCCGAGCTCAACAGGAGCGGCGAGCGAGTAAACATACCATACCCCTCCTTCAGCAAGGTGCACAGCAAGGAGAATGTCTTCAGTCGGGAGGACCTCTCCGCGACGTCGGCCCGGCGGACGGACCCGTTGACGCCTGAAGCTACGGACGTCGGCTCGGAGAAGATCAAGCGCTCTAAGTCAGTCGACTACTCTCCCACCCGAAGGACGTCATCGTCGAGAAAAAGCCGTCACAAGGATGACCGCCCGCCAAGCCCGCCAGAGACGAATCTCTCGGACCAGAAAGAGCGCAGGAGATCGGGGACACCCTCTTCCGGTAGGTCCAAGGACAAGGAACAAGACGGGGAGAGGCCTCGTTCTCGAACTTCGTGGCTGTCGCGATCCACTGCGAAGAACGATGACAAGTCGAAACTGTCGGTCAAGTCACGGACATCTAGCCAGGCGACGTACATAAAATCGCCCTCGTCAAAGCAGACCTTTGCCGAGACCAGGACGAACATATCATCAGCTGTGAGTGGGCAGACTGAAGGGCAAGAGTCGAATGCGACATCCATACCGCCGAGGCGCGATGTATCTGGCGAGACGGTGAAGCCCGACCACCTCGATGTGGACTTCTCACCAGAATCTGCGCAAGACTCATCGCCGAAGACACCAACCCAGCATCCCCAGTTTCCGCCTCACATACCTCCCTCAGATGATAAGCCCATGCCGCATCACATACGCTTCGAAGAACCAGACATTAGGTCAGAGACGCAAACGCCTGCAACTGACTTTGGCGCTGCACCCCCGCCTCCGCCGCCACCACCTCCTCCTCCGCCCCTAGACATACAAGAGGTACCGCGCGTGGACTACTTGATGATGAACGGGGGGCTGCAACAGCCGGTCCCAAAGAACTTCCTTGCAGTCCTTCCCAGACAGAATGGCACGCGACCATCAAATCCACCCCTCCGAGGTGCAGAGACGCTCTTTGCCCCTTTCTTTAACCTCCTCAACCAGTACCAGGAAGTCCTCAGCCACAGCGGCTCGGTTGCTGTTGCGACAGGACATCGCACGGTAGCCCGTCGCTTGCTCGATCGTCTGGAGAACGTCTTCTCAAGAGACTTGCCCCCTGAGGGATGCTCATGTGTCATCTGCGAAAGATCCGAGGAGACGCATCGAGGTCTCGGCTGGGGTGAGGTGTTGGAGAGGGTCAGCGGCAGAGTTGACCTGCCGGCATGGCCGCCGTTCGACCTTGCCGAGCTGGGCCAAAAGAACATGGTCGAGGTGGAAGTACCAGCAAGGCCAGCATCGCCGATCAAGATGGACCCGGACATCGGGGAGGAGTTCCGCGAACACTATCTGAGACAGAACAAGAGAGTCCGGTCAAGCGTGGACAAGTGGATGTCCAACTGTGCCGAGTCGGCTGTGGCACCTCAGGAGATCGACGACGAGACGCTCACCTTTGCCATCTTGACGAACCTGGACCAGGACGAGCGGCCGTTCTTCAACGCCCTGCTTTCTGGGACGAGGGATGTTCAGCCCGTCCTGAGGTCACCGACGCCGATGCGGAAACCGAGGCAGGACTTCCTGATAAAGACGGGCCTGTCCCTGCAAAGGTTGTACCGCTTGCAAATGACCCCTCGAGACGCCGAGGTTGCAGTCTACCTCGTACGGAACCCCTACATGCACGATCTACTGCACACGATCTGCGATATAAACCCGTCTGAATGGGAGATTCTCACATCGGGCCGCTTCGACGGGTTCCTCTGGTCGGGGGTCGATCCGGACGAGGCCATCACCCCGACCGCAGAATCGCGCGGCGCCACGCCCGCCAGCGGCTTCTTCTCCCCTCCTCCCCGCGGCGCGGCCTTCAGCCCTGGCAGCGCTGCCGGGCGTGTCTTCTCCCCGGCCATGGGGCCCATGGGAGGGCTCAACTCGCGCACCACGACGCCCTTCTCCCGCGGGCCCACGCCCGCCTCCTTCGTCTCGGGCATGTCGAGCCGCGTCTCGGCCGCGACGGGCGCGGGCAGGCACCAGGCCGTCTCCAACGACGAGGAGCAGGAGATGGCCGTCCTGGCCGAGGTCGAGCGCGAGATCTACGTCGGCATGGAGGCCCTCGAGGACGCCTTCGAGACGCTGCACCACAAGGCCGAGCAGGTGCGCACGGCCCTGCGCCGCCGCGGCGCGGGCCTCATGCTCAACCTGCAGCACCGCCGCGGCGGCGGCATCGACGTCTTCCCCAACTCGGGCGACTCGGCGCGCCCGGGCTACGAGAGGCCCGGCTGGGCCGCCGGCGCCGGCGCCGGGGGCGACGAGGAGTCCATGGCCAGCGAGAGCGACTGGGGCGGCGACGACTACTTTGAGATTGCGCCCGACGACTCGGCGAGCAACATCAGCAGCTCGCGCACCCGGCGGCCCAAGCGCCGCAACGAGCGGAGGACGCCGGCGCCCATCGAGGAGGAGGAGGATGAGTAAAAGGGAAACGCTTTTGGAGGAAAGGAGGTGGGGAGAAGGGAGGGGGGATCCAACAATGGAGTTTTTCAGTTGGTCACTTGTTTTTTTGGAGTTGTCATTTGGCTAGCTGACCTTACCTTGGAGGGAGGGAGGGAGGCTTTGTTTGCTCTTGCAGCGGCGACGCAATTCAATCACCTCTACATGAAAGTGATGTGCCGTTGGTTCAACCTACCTAGTCTCTTGTTTACTGTTTTTCTTGTTCCTTTTCCGCATTCCATTCTTGTACACGGTCTATGACGCCCATGACAGAGTATTGGCTGGCTACTGCTTCTCTCGTGTTTTTGCGACCACGATACCAAATCTGCTCAATCTGAAATTCTTGTTGACCATCTGTTTTGCCTTTCAAAGACATTTCACCGGTGGATTCATTGCCTCTCTTTCCACGCCAGTCTACTTCGCAAACAGGGGGATATGGAGATATACCACTTGTAACATCGTGTTTGACTTCCCCTTCGCGCGCGGATAACCATTCTTGAACATGCCTCACCCAAGAGCACTTCACATAGCCCATCAGAAACACAGTAATTGAATGAGGGAAACCGACATGAGACAAAGCAAACAAGATCTTGGCTACCTATGTGGTGGTACAAGACATAAATGAATGTGTCCGTCAAATGAGTGTACTGTTTAGACGTTGAATCTATCTCCCAAGATTGCACTCTCAACTACCCTCGACGATTTGGATATGGCACAACTGGAGCCAAAGATGAAGGATATCTCGATGCCTAAAAGCGGCACACAAGCCTAGTTGAATGCCTCCCAAAGCCAGTTTGTGGTCTCGTCAATCTCACCTAGTCGGCCGGTCCGTCAGGCTCTACAACTCTGACATCGTTTCCCTGGAGTGGCGGTGCACCGAACCACTGGCCCAAGCCTCTGGCCCATTTTGTGAGAAGCACTGTACCATCTCGAGATATCTTGCGCAACATCGACAAATCGTTTGTCCCGGTGTGATTGTGGCGGTGATCCATGGGTCCTAAACCAGCATTCATCGGGCTGCTACTCATTGGAATGATTGAAGGTTTTTCCGATTGGGCCTCTCCTGTGGATTCCTCGGAGTTGATCACTCCTGAGACGATCTGGGTCAAGAATGTGGACGGTGTATCTATCGACTGTTAGTGGTGTTGCGAGACGATTTGCAGGTCTCCTTACAATTTGACGGAGGAGTTATTGTAGAGGTCCACCGCGTAACACTTCCCCAATCAGTCATCAGGGACTCAATGGTGGACGGGGTTTCATGAGTGGCATAGGGTCTGCTTTCGTTGCACGTCGTCAGGGGGTATCCATAACGTGACTTCGTGGTTGTCTTGGACTCATGGCAAATGCTCGATGTTGTCTTGGGACTTGGATATCCGCCCGAACCTGACGTAGATACGGGACTAATCGAAGTCAAGCCTTTCGAAGGAGTATATGCCGTGCCGGGGGGGATGATCGATAATAGGCTCGAGTTAAACGTAATGACTGGCTGAATCGTTGAGCTATTCGCTGTCGGGACTGTGATGTTGGCTGGAGTAGAGCACGGCCCGCTCATGGCGCCTTCAATGCAGATAGGTAAAGTTGTGGGTACAGCAGACGTAGTGTTGGAAGGAGCTATCGTAGAGTTCAGGGGCAAGGTTGATGCAATGGCTCCAGTTCCAGAAGCAGAACATGGACCAGTCATGGAACCGACAATGCAGATTGGACCTCGTACTCCAGTGAGCTGAGCTGTAGTAGCTGAGCTGTTGGTGAGGGGAAGGGGAATGGACGTCGGTACTCCCGGAATTCTGGTTGAAGATGGAGCCACGCATGGTCCGGTCATGTTTCCGGTTGCACATGGTGAAGACGGTGTGGGACTTGATATAGCAAGAGCGCTCGAGTTGCTAGGAAACCGAGTGGCAGAGGCTGGTGAACCTGGAATGGGCTTCGCTCCCGATGCGGTGCACGGAGAAAGCATTGAGCCAACCAGACACAACGATCCTGTTCCGACGGGGGATGTGTGATTTGAAACGACCTGGCTCGGAGTTGTGGAATTAAAAGAGGATGTTGGCTTGAAGCATGGGCCAACCATAGAACCGGAAGTACACAGGCCCACGCCTCCAGATACGGGAAAGCCCGAGGTGCCTGTCAAGGGCTGAGTGACATTCGTGGAGTTGGGCGGAGGAAGTGGCGATACAGGTATTCCTGGGATAGGAGAAATGGTCGAGGTCATGCAAGGCCCAACCATAGAGCCACCCGTGCATATGGGCAGGCTGCTTGATAGATTCCTTGACGGACTCGGACTCATGATGGTCGAATTGGAGGGTAGCCATGAGGATGTGTTTAGAATGGTGCTGCCAGTGGAGTTTGTAGGAGCAGTTGGCCTGGTTGTGTTGACTGCCGGTAATGTCCTTGTAGGGCCAGTTGCAGCACACGGCCCTGACATCTCACCTCCAGTACAAGCTACAGGTATGGTTGATGAATTCGAAGTGCTGGTAGGCAAGATAGCAGTGTGATTCAGTGCGCTTGTGCCGTTGGTTTGTGGGATTGAAGTGAAGTTGGACGGAAGCGGAAGAGTCGTAGTCGAGATGTTGAAGCTGGGAATGAGTGTGGTGTTTCCAGTGGGTAATATGAGCAGGCTCGATGAGTTGGAGGCTGCCGATGGAACCAGGGTCGAGTTCACTATAGTTGGAGAAGTGCTTATGTTGGCAGACACAGCAAGAGCGGTAGTAGTGTTGCTCAAGATCCCTGTGGACGGAAGACTGGATGTTACATTCAAGGCTGATGTGATTGTCGCTGGTGGTAGAGAAGGGACCTCGGTCAAAGTGCCCGGGGACGAAGAGCTCGGAATTGGAGTAGCAGTGGCGTTGGGAGTACTGGACTGAGAGCTGCTCTCAGGTGTGCCCTGTACTGGCAATGCGGCCGAGGTTGCGAAGAAGAACGAACTGGTTGGGACAGCATTGCTCTGGGTGCTGGGAGTATCTGGCAAAGACGAAGTGGCTGAGCTGTAGTGGTCGGAGTCGCTCTCAATATCGGTAGTCAGCGAGGATGACTCCGAATTGGGCGAGGTCCCCCCATTCCCTGGTCTTGCTGAAGGTGTAGACGCGGACTCGGAGCTCTGCCCATAACCACGGGTTGCCGGATCTGCTCGAGAGGAACCAGGATATCCGACATCACTTGGGTCAGGCACTGCACGGTGGTCAGCATCCTGTTCAGACCTCTTTGTCTCTGAGACCTACCTGTGAGGGCAAGAGTGGCAGTTGTCGATGTCTCATAGCCGTACGGTTGAGTGTAGTCATTTTGGAGCCCCTGTGCGTCAGGGTTCTCGAAAAACTGGCGAAAACGAGCTGCGATCTTTCCACTAATTCCGTCACCCTCCTTCACGAGGGCCTTTGCAAGACCACCGTGGAGTAAGAGAGGCAAGATGCCAATGTAGACAGAAGACAACTTCATAATAATGGTCCTCTTGATCGAGTGGAACTAGGAAGGCGTGAGAGGGCCTGTGTAGAACAGTTTTGTGGCATAGAACGAAGAGCTTGTTCTGGGACAGGGAGAGCAATATCGTGAACGGAGCCGATATGTTGCCCTGGATCCTCGAGGCAGATATTGGCACGCAGTTCAGGCCTAAGGACGCCGTTGACAAATGTCAGAATGGCAAGAACGAATGGATATGAGGAGTGTATCCCCTGAGGCCTCGCACAGATCTTCAATCGACTCGCAGGCGACAGACGAGATGAGAAGACAAATGACGAAGAAGACAAGAAAGCAATACAGGTATCTGCGTCATATTTGAGATCCTCACAAGTCGGGCCTTCTCTGTGAGTAGTCAAGCTCTCAGGCAATCACCGGTGTCCCTCTCCTGTGAAGGTGCTTGCTTGAGGCGGGTGTGGCAACAGCATCCAAGAACTATCCCGAGGCCCCCACGTTGTTCCTTCCTGATCACTTAGATTGCTCGGCCTCCCATTCCGGCTCCTCATTCTGTACCTGCCCCTGATCTGTGGGATCGACATGGCTTGTCTCGACCAATGTTGAGTTTGATATCCTCAGTGAGATAATGAAGCCATAGATGCTTAGCAGACAGACCTACAAGCTTTCCCCTTGTTAATGCAAAGCCTGCCTTCCGGCTCGCGTGCTACAGTGGAGTTTCTCGAAGCTGGTCATACAAGTCAACCTGTAACAACTCCACGATATCCACTTGGTACTCTGAAGTAACGCGCCAATTGCGCACAGCAGACACTAGAACGGATAGAGAGCCCAAAAAGGAGATGTAAAGTGATTTCACCTTGGTTTGCCATCGGAATTATGCCTCGATTTGGAAGACATAGGCAGGTTGCTTCTCTGTGAACTCCTCCCTCTCTCGAACATTTGATTCTGGTGGCGAGGTCCTTTGCTTCTGTGATCCGTGAAATCGCCTGTTTGAGTCCGAAACAAGGAAGAAAAGCCTGTGCTCTACAATGATGGCTGCCGAGACAGTTGTGTGATTTGATGTTTGGTGGGAAGAGTTTCTTCTTTTACCAGCATGGTCTCGGTCCCAGCTTCTTCCGGCGTATTCTCGGTGTAAGGGCTCTCTTGGGACAGTCAGGGCGTGGTGATCAGTGTTCATCGACCGAGGGGGTTGACATTGGCACATCCCCAGTAATAGATCTCGTCGACCGAATACCCTCCCGGCATGTGGAATATCATGCCCCAATGCTCTGTGTGCTGTCTCTAAGAGTGTAAATATTTCCCCTTGATAGTCATAAGAGCCCATGTCTCGTAGATAGTCTGTATGTGCTGGCAGCTAAAAGGATAGGAAACAAGCTTTTTCGTCTCGCGCGGTAGAGCTGTCGTAGTGTACAGGCTCACTCCCCTTTCGGGACAAAGAGCAACATAGAAGCGTTGGTGCATCGCTGGTGGTTCGATCACAGCTGTCACTTGTCAACATGTTGGACAGGACAGGGTTCGAGGTAACCGTGCGGCAGTGCAACACGGCACAAGATCTAGCTACCATGATGGGAATTATGAGGCAACCCTGAGGGTTGCAGTAGTGAAAGCTACAGACCCAGTATCTTGCGTCCCGAATTCGATAATAAGATCGAAGACCAGGAACAGCTATGAGTTCAAGCCTCCCATGATGTACCACGCATTCTCTCCACGCCAATAGTCCGTTCCGTGAGAAGAAAATATTCCACAAAGTCACTGACTACACTGTCAAACACACACAGTGCCGTGGCAGAAACGTTTACTGCGCTTTCTTTGCCGTGTCACGCAACTCGGGGGCGGTTGTGCTCGTCATAGAGGTGTCTTTGGCCTCGATGTCGGCCGCCCACAGTGCAGCACCAACTACAAATTTTTGTTAGCCGAGTTTTTGCCATGTTGGTGGGGATTTAGTTGCACAAAACTGACCAGTATTTGTGAACGAAAAGAAGATCGACGCGAAGGGGATCATCTCGAGCAGTGTGGCAACCGTTCCGAAGCTAGGTCCGAAGCTGTTAGTAGACTGGCGATTGCTAGACTGTCCGGCTTGGGACCACTTACGCAGTGTATGGACCTCTGTGTTGGTGAAGCCAGGAGGAAATCTGGGAGGATGACCATTTCTTCAATTGAAAATAGCGTCCGTGAACCATATTACCCCGACCCCTGCCCTGCATCAGGATGAAAAGGACAGTTCCGACAACTGCAACCGAGCCCTGTGAGTGAGACGTCTTCCGGGAAGGCTTGCAAGGAGGGACTCACTTGGAATAAAGTTGAGGGGAAGATACATAATGTAGCGTATCAAAGCCTTGGGCGAGAACTTTTCAAAGGGCGACTTGAGGATTTTTCCCAGCCTCTGAATAGAATCGCCTCCAGACTTGAGCTGGCGCCCTTCACTGACGACGCCCGTCTCGTTCTTTGCGACGAGTGTGCCGTCAAACGTGTCCAGAAGGGCATCCTGAATCAGGAAGTTGCGCGAGATGATGTTCACAATGGTGGAGCTCTCGTTGAGCACAAGGAGTACCGTGGTGACGACGGCGACCGGCCCATTGACGAACACCAGGATGCTGAGCTGTGGGATGTATGTAAAGACGAACATTCCAGCGACCACGCTCACGGAGAGAGCGAGATGGGGCAGAAGCCGAGAGAGGAGAGGTTTCCATAGGTCTCTGTGGATAGCAAAATAGACGATGCCCTAGGTTCGCGTTAGAAAGCGAGGAGGTGGCCTGGAATGATACGATCGTACCTTGATGGGGTACAGCCAAGCGCGACTTGTTGCGGCATCCTTGACCAGAGTTCTGGCCTGGTCAAAGTCTTCCTTTCTACATGGTATCACGTTAGCTAGGTAGGCTATGCAAGGTTCAGCAACACGGCATTTCTTACGCGATCTCTCGGGCCTTTGCCTGGACTGACTGGGCAAAGCTCTGCTGGTCCGACATATCTGCAGTCTTGGGAACTCGTTTCAAGTAAAGTCCTAGTTGATAAAATTCAAGATGGAGTTGGTGTGCTGGTATATGAGACTTCTGTGAGAAAGAGGAAGGAAGAGAGTCCGTGGAGAGTGAAATGGGAAGCGTTGCGGCTTTGTGATATCGTGAAATGGTTTTGCTGGGGGATGCTGGCATCGATGTCGTCATTGGGCCTTCGTCATGGTGACGGGAGTGTTAGCGCTCGACGCATCAATAGGTACCTACCTAGTAGGTTGGCATGTGCTTGACGCTCCGGGTTGTCGATTTGCAGCTCCACAGGGAGTGCTCAGCTCCACCCCGGCCTGTAACTCGATTGCTCTACCGAGCTGGACGTCGTCAGTTGCCGTCCAACAGGCGGTGCTCTCCGTCTTTTCGCCTGGTAGAACCACGATGTTGGCGACAATTGTATCGCAATTAGAGTACATCTGCGCCTTGAATACTTGGTCTGCTCGTCCTTTCGATTATTTCGCGAACGTACAACGTACTGCGCATCTGTTCTGCAGAATTTCGCACTGGTGGCCGGACATAAAAATAAGCTTAATTAATATCTTGGGACGGTGCAGGAGGTAACTATGGCTTTATGGCTTAACCCATGTCGACGAAGTCAAATCTAGAACCCGAGCAATGAATGCGGGGAAGGCACCAGATCCATCGCACGCTTCTGACTTCTCGAGACAAGCAGGGATATGCAAACCATGCATCGCGCCATTGACACTCCTTGATGACTGAGCGAGGCACCCGAACCAATTCCATATTCCTTTTGATCGACCTGGCTATGGAATCTCGCTGCATAGCCAACGACTTCCCCACCCCGCTGTCATTGGCCGATACCGAGCCATACCTTCAACGGGCTCTGGAGGACATTGTGACCATTTACGGCCCTCGGGAAAGCTACGGCCCAGATGAGCTGCAGGGACTTCTATCCGGGCCCACGGGGCTTGCGTATCTGTTTCTTCATGTGTCTGCCTCACAGCCAAAACGACAGATTGCTGGCCAGCCCGCGATAAGATGGGCACGGCAGTACCTTCGCGGCTCGAGAGGCACCACGGTTCTCAGACCAGGCTGCTGCGGCGTGGCCAGCGAGAAGTTGGCATATTTGGCCGTGTGCGCCGCCGTGACCAAAGAGCTGCCATATGTACAGGAGTTTCTCAATGCCGTTAACCCTATCTTCACTGGCAATTTCCCCGACGAGCACCTCTATGGTCGCGCAGGCACTCTATATCTGCTCCGTCTAATACGGCATTGGGTACCCAACAGTTCGCCACTGGTCGAACGATACATCGTTCTGGTGTCTGATCTTCTGATCAAGAATGGACCGGACTGGCGCTGGCATGGCGCGCGGTATCTTGGTGCCGTACACGGCGATGTTGGTATCATTACGCAGCTTGTTCTCACCTCTCCGCCTCTGTCCTCCCAGCTTGAGGATCATCTATCAAGCCTATTGTCCATGCAGGACGCTGATGGAAACTGGCCTACCAAAGCCGAAAAGGAGTCATCAAGTCGCCTGGTCCAGTTTTGTCACGGGGCCCCGGGTATCTTACACTGCCTGCTATCTATCTACCCGTATTTTCCCAAGCAGGAAGATGCTCTAGATGCAGCAATAGAGAAGGCCCGAGACTGTGTTTGGAAGTTTGGTCTGCTGAGGAAGGAGCCGAGCCTTTGCCATGGGCTCTTCGGCAATGCTCTGTAAGTCCTCACCAATCCGGCTAGGATATCCTGGCTAGATCATGAGATGTCCTAACGACAATTCTAGGTCATTACCTCTAGGGAAGAGACGGGACCATTTCCTAGCATTTGCAGTGCCTGAAAAGGTGCGGGAGTTGAAAGAAAGCGACCCCGAGATCTTTCAGCCAGCGGATTACGGCAATGAATGGTCACCACTCATGAACTACCTCCCCAGCGCTGCGTGGACATGGCTGGTCTGCACTAGGAAAACGCCCAAGGTATTTGCTTTTAATGACATGTAAGATGAAGCGTCGATGTGGCGGCAGCCTTTGTAGGAAGTTATCGGTGAGCGAGTGTCATCAAGGGACGACGATGTGGGTAGCCGTCAATCAAGTGTCCATAGCTGAAGGCATTACGGAAATATAATTGAGAAGACCACCGTAATTGTAAGGCACACTTTACATACGTCACAGTCATGAATATGCAGTGACTACAACCGCCGAAGAAAGCAAAATCAGGTATGTTGCCTCGCTCACTCAATGATATGATAGAAATACCAAGCTCATGGAGGAACAAAAGGCGCCACATTGCTGTGGTTAGGGGGTGGCATGTGCGGGGTCATGTGATCGCCCTGGCTAGGCGGTGACCCCCTGCGTGGGGTGGAATTGGCGACGTCGCGAGTTCTCGAAATTCCACCGCTATGCTTTCGACAACGGGCCCTTGAGAGCTGTCGCACCACACATTGCCGTAATTTCGCCCATCATGAACTACGGCAAGAAGGACGAGGACGCCGATACGGGGCTCGTCAGAGTCGACCGGACCCAGGTCTTCCAAGAAGGTCTGCTCGCACAAACGCATCCCGTGTCCATACACGTAGCATCCCTTCACATTAGCTAACCCACCGTACAGCTCGCCTCTTCAACAGCTCCCCGATCCAGCCTCGACAATGCCGCATCCTCCTTACCAAGATTGCTCTCCTCCTCTACACGGGAGAGAAATTCCCTACCAATGAAGCTACGACCCTTTTCTTCGGCATCTCGAAGCTCTTCCAGAACAAAGATGCCAGCTTGCGGCAGATGGTGCACCTTGTCATCAAGGAGCTGGCACACTCCGCAGAGGACATTATCATGGTCACTAGCACGATCATGAAAGACACAGGCGGTAGCACAGACGCTATCTTCAGACCCAACGCTATCCGAGCTCTGTGTCGAATTATTGATGTATGTGGCATCGTTGGGCCGAAACCATGCCAAGGCGAATGTGCTAATACAAATGCTAGGCCACTACTGTTGCATCGATCGAGCGCGTCATGAAGACTGCCATTGTCGACAAGAACCCGTCCGTTTCCTCCGCTGCCCTTGTTTCGTCGTACCACCTGCTCCCGATCGCGAAAGATGTCGTCCGGCGGTGGCAGAGTGAGACGCAGGAAGCTGCCGCCAGTACCAAGTCCTCCGGCGGCTTCTCCCTGGGCTTCTCTTCCTCCTCCAACGCCCTGCCTGTCAACAACTCAACCATGACCCAGTATCATGCCATCGGCCTCCTATACCAGATGAGAATGCACGACAGGATGGCTCTTGTCAAGATGGTCCAGCAATTTGGAGCGGCTGGTGCTGTCAAGAACCCTGCTGCGATCGTCATGCTCGTCAGGCTCGCAGCCCAGCTGGCGGAGGAGGATCCTCACTTGAGAAAACCCATGATGCAGCTTCTTGATGGCTGGCTGAGGCATAAGAGTGAGATGGTCAACTTCGAGGCAGCGAAGGCCATCTGTGACATGAGGGATGTGACCGACGCGGAGGTCTCCCAGGCTGTCCACGTCCTGCAACTCTTCCTGACCTCGCCCCGAGCCGTGACCAAGTTTGCCGCCCTCCGCATCCTCCACAACTTCGCATCTTTCAAGCCGCAAGCAGTCAACGTCTGCAATCCCGACATCGAGCTTCTCATCTCCAACAGCAACCGGTCCATCGCCACGTTTGCAATCACCACCCTACTCAAGACTGGCAATGAGGCCAGCGTTGATCGCTTGATGAAGCAAATAACTGGCTTCATGTCCGAGATCACCGACGAGTTCAAGATCACGATCGTCGAGGCCATCCGGACCCTCTGCCTCAAGTTCCCCAGCAAGCAAGCTGGCATGCTTGCTTTCCTCAGTGGTATCCTTCGTGACGAAGGAGGGTATGAGTTCAAGCGTGCCGTGGTCGAGAGCATGTTTGATCTCATCAAGTTCGTCCCTGAATCTAAGGAGGACGCTTTGGCCCACCTTTGCGAGTTTATCGAGGACTGCGAGTTTACCAAGCTGGCTGTCCGTATTCTCCACCTGCTGGGTATGGAGGGACCCAAGACCTCGCAACCCACAAAGTACATCCGGTACATCTATAACCGTGTGGTCCTGGAAAATGCCATCGTCCGTGCTGCTGCGGTCACGGCGCTGGCCAAGTTCGGTGTTGGACAGCAGGATCCGGAGGTCAAGCGAAGTGTGGAGGTGCTTCTGACGCGCTGCCTCGACGATGTTGATGACGAAGTCCGTGACCGTGCGGCGCTTAACCTTCGGCTCATGTCCGAGACCGATGATATGGCACAGCGCTTTGTCAAGAATGGTAAGTCTTGTCCCAAGTCTCGAATTTTATTACTCAAATGACACTTGCTGATATAATCTAAAGACTCCATGTTCTCACTGCCGTACTTCGAGCACCAGCTGGTGATGTACGTTACGTCAGATGACAAGTCAACCTTCGCGTCATCTTTCGACATCTCCAAGATCCCGGTTGTCACGCGGGAGCAGGCAGATGCGGAAGACAGGACAAAGAAGCTCACTGCCACGGCTCCCACGCTCAAGGCTCCCAAGGTCGGCCCGACCAAGGCTGCGCCCACTGGCGCCGAAGCTGCCGCATCAGCTACTGCCCAGGCTCAGAAGTACGCTCAGGAGCTTATGCAGATCCCCGAGATGAAGGAGTTTGGCAGTGTTCTCAAGTCATCGCCTGTCGTTGAGTTGACGGAGGCCGAGACCGAGTATGTCGTCTCCGTGATCAAGCACATCTTCAAGGAGCATGTCGTTCTGCAGTACGAGATCAAGAACACCCTCCCCGCTACCGTACTGGAGAATGTGTCGGTAGTTGCCTCGCCTAGCGAGGACGAGGAGCTCGAGGAGGTCTTCATCATCCAGGCCGAGAGCTTGCCCACGGACGAACCTGGCAAGGTGTATGTTGCCTTCCAGAAGGTCGGAGGCGAGGGCTCGATGCCCATCAGCACCTTCTCCAACGTCCTCAAGTTTACCAGCAAGGAGATCGACCCTACCACGAACGAGCCCGAGGAGACGGGTTACGATGATGAGTACGAGGTGGCCGAGTTTGACCTCGCGGGCAGCGACTACGTCATCCCTACATTCGCCAGCAACTTCAATCACATTTGGGAGCAGGTCGGCGCGGCGGGCGAGGAGGCGGAGGAGACGCTGCAGCTCAGCGGTGTCAAGAGCATTGCGGGTAAGTTGAAGCTAGGGCCAGGGGGCCTGGGCGAGTATGCCGACGACGACGACGACGACGTGTGGTGTGCTGACAATGTACCTTGCAGATGCGACGGAACAGCTCGCCAAGACGCTGTCCCTGCAGCCGCTGGAGGGCACCGACGTGCCGATGAACCAGACGACACACACGCTCAAGCTCCTGGGCAAGACGGTCAACGGCGGCAAGGTCGTGGCCAACGTGCGGATGGCCTACTCGTCCAAGTCGGGCGTGACGACCAAGATCACGGTGAGGAGCGAGGAGGAAGGGGTTGCCGCTCTGGTTGTGGCCTCGGTTGCGTAATAATGGATATTGAAATGCACGGCGTTTATTGTCATGAACAGATTTTTAGAATCCTGCAAAAAAGAATGAGAGGATGGCTCACTCATGATGAGAAAGACGACTTGAAGACGTCTTGATCAGGGCACAGGCTCTTGTGACGTGCATGCATCTACGTATCGTGCTACTGAAGGGGGAGAAGAGATATGTTCGGGTTGTCAGGGCGTCTGCTCATGGAACTAAGGTATGGAAGGGGAAGGTGTTTCTGCTGACGCTCAATTTCATAGGACCTCCCTTGTAGATTGATGATGCACGGTCCTGGTCGCATGGTTCTCAGTTCTGGCGGGGAGGATCATCGATCGAGCTCACCTCGTCTCGCTCGCAGCAGATGGGTCGAGGAACACTACACTAGGGACGGCTGCGTGCGCTGTCCGAGAAAGAGTGTAGAGCGGCAGCATCCGATACGCCCGGGAAGGCGGAGAGCATGCCGCCGTGCAGCTGGAAAAACAAGCCCATGGCTGCGCAGCCTGTTCGTCCGTGGGGAGGGAGGAAGAGAGCAAACAGGGGCGGCGGGGGGGAGGTGGATTGGGTGGGTTGGACGCTTGGGAAGTCCTCCTATGCGCCATGTGATGCGTCCTGTAGGTACTTCGACCCGTGTCTTGGCTGATCCAGCCTTGCTAGACACTTTGCATCTGGGTTCAACGTTGCCCGGCCCCCTCACCCCGGAGCCGCTGTCTTCAGTTTGTCCGATCTGGCCATGGGTGTTATTTCGATTGATGAGGGGGGACCATTCGAAGGATCGGGCATGACGTGGTACTGAGAGATAGAGCGTTGCATTGACGAGTTGTGCTGGGTGAGGAGAGTGTTGGGATTGCATTTGGATTCCTCCTTGCGAGGTGTTGTTTCCTCTCGAGGTGTGTTATCCCTCTACCCAAGCTAAGGCACGCACATACTTTTGCAAACCTGCAGGCAAGACTGCAGGCAATTGAAGATTTGATTTGCTATTGCCAGCCACTGAAGGTATACACGGAGGATGGGCGACGAGGGGGTGGGAATTCTCCGACCTGGTAGCGCTCGCTCGACCATAAAGCCAGACGCAACCGCGTTGGGAGGGTTGGCCAACGCCGCCATCTGCTCTGCTCATCAATCTTACCTATTTTCCCGGGTTCTGTGATGTCGGGAGTGGTGGATGGTCAATTACTTGATTAATGAACGGTACGCACTTCCCCAGGGCTCGATCCCACGGATTCCATGGGGACTGCTGCTCTGTTGCTGCAGCTGCTGTGCTGCATGTGCGTGCTGTCGGTGTGCCAAGCGAGAGAGTTGGAGTGGGACTGTCTTGGCTGTTGTACGGAGAGTACCACACTCAGACACTCTCTCGACTCTCCAGGGTTGCCTGATCCCTGCCATGCCACGCCCGATGGCGGCACATACTTGTACTCGCTCGGTGGGGGGGGGACCTCCCTGTTTGCCTTGTCTGGAATTTCCAACCTGATCCGTTCCTCGAAGACCCCATCAAAGGGCATCCCATCCATGTAACCAACATTGAAGTACAAGTAGTAACCAGCGGCCTCGCCGGGGCGGCGGCACTGAGTGATGCAGGATGCGGCCGCTAGTATCGATGCAGCTTGCGCGCGCTACCTCGTCCAAAGTCGGTACCCAGGAACGGCTACTTCCAGCGTTGTTTTTCAGGGCCTCTTTTCGCCCCCCTGGTGGGCAAAACCCGTTGCGGTTGCGGTTGCGGAGGCAGCAGGTACCTACATACTTTCAGGCAAGGCATGGGCCCGGTCCCAGACGATTGAGCTTGGCAGCGAGGCCGTTGCCTGCTTTGCGATGCCCGTTGTGCAGAGCCTCCTTGACAATACCTCGGGTTTTCTACCAGTAGGAAACGTCCAAGTTGCCGGGCTGACTGCTCGCGTCAGCATGGCGAGAGGGGTTAAAGGGGGGAAAAGGAAGTTCATCAGTGACCGAGCATCATCCTCTGAGAGAGAAAAGGAAAAGCGCCCCCAACCAAGAGGACACCGATGAACTGCGCTCCGCCCTGTTCAGGCTTGACAGAAGTCGAGTCAAGTAGCCGGTGAAACTACGGGCGGTTTGGCAGAACAGAGACAGGGTCAGGCTATGTAGGTACATTATGCAGCACAGAGCAGCAGCAGTCAGTGTCCTGTCGACTTGCCTGCGGCACACGCATCCTGGACCCGGGGCTACGCAAGCCCATCCCAACCATCATCCAAGACACGCCCATCCTGCGACTCCAAAAAAACCCATGTGCTAACGTTAGCAGGCCCCCTCAGGCTAACGTGAAAGTTGGCTAGATCAATGGGGCTGGCCTCAACTCGCCTCGCCTGTCTCGTTCCCCGTCTCGCCCACACACTCACACTCGCACTGACGCACTGGCACTGACGCACTGGTCAGTGATCAGTGAGTGAATGACCTGGAAGACTCGCTTGTCGTCGCACACCTGCTTCGCTCGGAGCCCCCAGACCCCTCTCTCATGCTGATTCTCTCATCCTATTTGCTACCAGCCCTCCCGCCTGCCGCTTCCCATACTTTACCTACCTACCCCAAGCCTGCCCTTTCTCCCTCTTCGCCGTATTCTTGTCAAACTCGAAAAAGCAAGCCCGTGAACTGAACAAGAGATCACATCGCGTATTCGAACACTACCCTTGACAACGAGACGTGTTCGCATCCTGCGAGGCAGACGCCGCCATGGATTACTCCCACCCCGCCTATTTCAACGCTCAGCCGTATCAGTTTATGGGAATCCCGCCTCTGACGCCGTCCCATTCCAATTCTGCGCCCTCGGAGGAGTTCAACACGACTTCTCCTCCTGTAAGTCTCTGTCACTTCTCATTCCGCCCTGGCCCTCGAGATCCGTCGCCAGCTGGGCGCACCTCTGCTTCTTATATCTCGCCTTCAACCCGCGTCCCCATCCCCACTTCATGATTATCAAGCGCTTGGAAAGCGAGATCGTGCACCACAGGCTAGCGCAGGCCCTGTACACGTCGAACCACATCCAGCTTACGGACGAGCTGACACACCACTTACTCAGGAGATCTTTGGCGACCTGCCCAATGATCAGTTCCAGGGCTTCGACCAGTATGCTCCGTTCAACGCCCAGCATCAGGCATTCCCCAACCCGCCGACGCCGCCGAACCAGCACCATGCCGGCCATGCTGCCCAGCACCAGGTCCAGCCCGCCCTGAACGGTGCTGCATCCGTCGGACAGAATGTGGCCCTCAAGGCCCAGCCGCCCTCCATGGACGGCCTCCCCTCGGCCCAAGCCGACCCTTCCTCCCTCGACAATGGTCAGAGGGCCGGCTCCAATTCGGACGATGACGATCTCACCCCGGCCCAGTCGCGGAGGAAGGCCCAGAACCGTGCAGCGTACGTCCTGCCGCCTTGCTTGCCATACGGGCATGTCTTGTCCCGCTCTCGAGCATACTAAACTAACCTTCTCCTCAGTCAGCGAGCATTCCGAGAGCGCAAGGAGCGACATGTCAAGGACCTCGAGGCCAAGCTCGCTACCCTCGAGGCTAGCCAGCAGGAGACGGTGTCAGAAAATGAGCGATTGAAGCGCGATCTGCAAAAGGTCAACACCGAGAATGAGATCCTGCGAGCCACCTCTTCCATGGCTGCCGCCGTTTCTCCCGGAGCCGGCCATGGGATACATGCCACGACTACCGGCCCGTTGACTTACTGCCCGACCGATTTCTACGACGACCTGCTACAGAACCACGACAACAAGACGCCGAGCCACCGAGTCGCCTATTCGGAAAACGGACAACGGCTGCTGGGCGCCGGTGCCGCGTGGGATATCATCATCAGCCACGACCTGTTCAAGCGGGGTCTGGTCGACATCACGGACGTCAGCAACCGCCTCAAGAGCCAAGCCAAGTGCGATGGCCAAGGTCCCGTCTTCGAAGAGCGCGCTGTCATTGCTGCCGTCGAGCAGAGCGTGGCCAGCGGGAGTGACGAGCTATTATAAGCGTGTCGTAGCGCTCGTGATTTTTTTTTTTAATACTGATACCAGGAGGCATAAAGACTGTACTTCCGTATGCCGAGTTTGCGATGAGAAAACGGGATTTTCCCCGGAACGGCGTTATACGTGGCGAAAGTGGGAACAGGCGTACACGTTTGGCTATCATCGCTTTTTCTGCTCTTTTTTCTTCTTTTTGCGATTACATGACGAGATATGAGAGCGAGTGTCCACACAACCACTCCACGGAGCGAGTCTCTTGAGGGCTTCGCAAGGAAAGATACCAAACCCACTCTTTACAGCTTTGGAAACGCAAAAGGGAAGCGTGCGTGGTGTGCGTGCAACACAATGAATATGGGGAGGGCTGAAGGGCCAGAAAGGAGTCGGCGTCAAGGGGTTTTCTGCTAGGGGCGGGATCGAAACTTTTTGGGAAGGGATTGTATTCACAAGGGAGAACTAAAAGGGAGGGGCCTGGGCGGGAGAATCTCAACGGACTAGGCATGCATTTCAACATGGAGAGAGAGAGGAGCGGGGACTGGGCGGCCATTTTATCGAGCAAGGCGGATGGCAAGACTGCAGTGCGGTGTGTGCGATGGAGAGAGTGAATGCGTGCCTTGGCGTTTATATCGAGTTTATTGATCTTGTATACCTGATGAGAGTAACTGGCGCTCTTTGGGGGGGGGAATGCAGTTGTATCTCTTCTCCCACAAGTGGAAACAGGTTTAAGAGTTCTAATTGCCCGAGTCTTTGGACAGCCCGCTGGCTGTACATCTTCTGCGTTGGGGCGTTGGTATGTTGCGTCAACCAGCTTATCTTCTTCTACCTATAACGACTGCTACTAGGCACAGAGGGACATGTCCTCCGCGTCTCTCTGCTCTGTCTCCTCCTCTCCCTGCTTGTCTGAAAAGGAAGTGTTTTAATAAAAAAAAAAACGGTGGTATCTTAGCAAATAAAGTCTAGTATGTTAAACAAAAAGCGGACATGGAACCACCTCGTAGCGATGACCCGGCCGGCCCTCTCCCTTCCCATCTCATGTCTTCCCTCAAATGCGATTAATCATCAACGACCGACCCTCTTGTTCCGTCCCGGCCTGCCAGGCCTCCTGGGCGCCTTCAACCCCCGAACCGAATACTTCGCCCGGAGCCAAGTTGATCACCATCTACCCCCCCGTCGGGATCGACTACCCGCTTCGGTCCTGACGCCCTTGGGCTTTCCCACTTGCTCCATGACACAGTCGTCAACCCATGCATATATGTATACACCTCGGCCCATCACCATCACCCCCGCGGCATTATCGGGGCTTGGGCTCTCCAGATATCCACCCCGCCTGCCTGCGCGCATTCTCTCTCTTCAATTCGCCTTCTTCTTGCCGTCTTCCTTGCCCTCGACGTAAGGGTGCTTGATGGTCAGGCACCAGATGTCGAGGTAGTCGCAGATGGTGACGATGACGTCGACGACAAAGGAGCCGTAGACGCCGACGGCGAGGCCGAGCATGCTGAACATGAAGGCGACCTGGTAGACGCCGTCGCCGAGGGCGCTGGGCCAGCCGAGCCAGGGGAAGGGCGCGTGCTCGAGCAGCAGGGGGCCGAGGGAGTCGACGACGCCCCAGGCCAGCGGCAGGACGAGCACGTTGTGGTAGGGGAAGTCGAGCTTGACGAGGTGGGCCGTGATCATCTGGCCGACGCTGTAGGCGTTGACGACGCCGGCGAAGAGCACAAAGGGCACGAGGTGGCCGTGCAGGATGTTGGGCTGCAGCCAGAGGTAGGCGACGACGAGGGCCCAGGTGCCGAAGAAGGGCAGCAGGCCGACGAGGGCGTAGCGGGAGCGGTCGCCGCGGGCGCGCCGGGCGCGGATCACGTTGCGCGCCGACTCGACCGTGTTGAAGACGAGGACGAAGGTGCCCTGCACCATGTACCACTCGGTGAAGGAGAGTCTGTACAGCAGGTCCGGCAGCGGGCCCTGCGGCACGCGCAGGGTGGCCAGCATGGACTGCTGCCAGAAGGAGGCGCCGCCCATGTAGCCCGTCAGGGCGTAGACGCCGACCAGGATGAGCACGCCCTCGACGGGCCCGTTGACGATGCCGAGGGTGAGGGTCTTGGTGTGGTACTCGTCCCAGGTCTGGACGTAGAAGGTGAGGAGCGCTGGAGTCAGGTCAGGTCAGCGGAGGTGTACCACTCATATAGAAGGTTTGGTGGGACATGGCGGCTACGCACATGCGAAGAGAGTGGCAACGGTCTTCCAGCCCTGGCCCATGTTTTGCGACGCGGCGAAGATGAGGACCTCGAGGGAGGTGTTGAGGGCGTCGACGCCGTGGTCGAAGAGCTCGCCGAGTGGGCCGCTCTGGTGTGTTCGGCGCCTGTTGGATTGTAGAACATGTGTCAGTCGGCGAGGCTTTCTTTCCGTCGACCGCATGCGACTTCTCTCTCCCAAGAACAACTTACGCCTGGGACCCATCCACTGCGTCAAATGTCTGGTACAGGAACAGTCCTGCAGCCCAGCTGTAGTATACCCAGGGAGGGCAGTTCTGGTCGAGGGTCGGGTTGTACCACAGCATAGTCAAGAGGTTGATCACGACGAAGGAGAAGCCGGTCAAGGTGATCAGGTTCGGGGCCATGGACATGGGGAAGCACTTGATGACCACATTGGTGTAGAATGGCTTCAGGATGTACTTGCTGGTCAGGGAATGGTCGACGCCCGAGTACTTGTACTGCTTGAGGTTGGGCAGCTTGTCCTGCCGCACGTAGACCATGATGGGCAACTGTTGTCTCTGGTCGAGTCTACGGGTGTCGGTTGTCGTGAGAAACGGGTACACCGGAAGACTACTTGGAGATCGAAGACAAAGTCGAAGTCGTCCCGGCAAGGGCGGGCAATAAAAAGGGTCCGGACGAACAAAGCACTGGATATGTGGACCGCAGGTGCAGCGAAATCGAGCGAAGGGGCGGACTGCTGCGCACAACACACAACGGCAGTATCAAGAGAGAGAGAGACCGAGTGCAAAAGAAGATCACGAACCACGGGAAGAGGGTGGAGGTTGAAGAGGGAAGTTGGCGTCCGCGAGGGCGTCAGTCAGTCAGTCAGTCAGTCAATTAGTCCAGTCGCGTGGGTCGCGCGCATCACACACACTCTTCTTTTTTTTCCGCAGGAGGAGCCAATTTCTTGGAATTTGTTCCAGAGGAAAGCAGCATGCTCGCACACCCCAAAACGTCATAGGATCAGCGGGCCATCTGCCAGTTTTACAGGGCTAGCGGCCACTAATATGATCGATCCACACACCAAGTGGTGACACCAGTGGCCCTCCCCTGCCTCCCACACACTCTATTTTACCCCTGGTCAGGTCTGTTCTGTTCTGGTCTGGTGGTTACAGAGGAATCAAGGGGGGATATAAGTCACCGGGGCCGAGACCAAGCACACCTCGATCCGGCCCATCTCCAGGTGCTCTCTGAAGAGAGTGAATTTGATGTAGGTAGGTATGTAAAAACTCTATGCACTCCAAGTCGTACCTTTTACCACGTTTGATCTGCTGGTACAGCCACGATCGGGTGCTGCTTTTCTGAAAGACGCGCAATCTGATGGAGCGGGTTGAACCAGCTGGACTTGTTGATATCGGATCCCGAAGTTGGAGATCGCGAGGGCTGTCCAGTCGGGATCAGGTAAAGTGAAGTCTTCTCGACACAGACGGACTGTGAATGGTTTTAAAAAAGAAAAAGAAAAAGAAAAACGGACCTCCGAAAAAAATGAAGGTAGGAAGGAAGGATGCCTGACTATTTTCCCTGTCACTGGTGGTGCTCTTTCCCTGGCACGCGGATCTGAATCTGCGTTTTGTTTACAGCTCATAATCTCTCATTCACAATCACTTCACGATCACTTCACCTTCAATTCATCGACATTGTCACCCATAACTACCTATTGAGGTATCACTTGAGAAGCTTTGATCTCTCGATTCCTCCGAGTTCCCAGCTTTTTAAAAAAAAGGCGTCCCATCCCGGCTGCTCTGTCTTCTTACCACCAACATCCAACTGAGCAGCCTTCCTCATCATCTGATCGACCTTGCAGCTTTTCACTGAAATACTTTTTTGCCAGCTATTCCTTCTTCAAAAAAAGGGACGCTGCGATCTGGACGGGCTGGCTCTCTCTCCCATCCTTATCTCGCTCCCTCCTAAGATTGAGAGCTGATATTGATTTCGCCTTCCTTCAGCCCAGCACACGAGAGTTTCCTCACACCCTCCTCACCTCGGGGAAAAGCAAGGGGACGCCTGCATCAGTCATCTGGGCTCTGCCTTCCCGTCTCAACCTACCCACATCGAACATGGATCCTTCCTGTGATCCCTTCTCACCCTCGCCTGCCCCGAGAGCCCCCGGCGGCCAGCAACCCACCTACACCACCGTCGGCTCCGTCTACAAACCCCAGAGCGCTACCCCATTGCAGCCTCCGACTCGTCGAGCCAGGAGGGGACGTTGGCAGCCGCCACCTTCTGCCCATGAGTTTGGCCTACTCCAACCCGGCTCTGTTGTCGAGAACCTCGCTTTTCGAGCCACTTTCTCATCCCCACCGCCGACCTCGACCCCCGGAAGCGTCTTGGCTCGATACTCACCTCTGCGCCAGAACTACGATCGCGCAGTCAACCCAGAGACATCGGACCAAAGCTCTGAAGATCCCTTCGAAATCAGGGTGGCCCTCCCTCCATTCAAGCCACTAACCAAGCCAATGCCATCTGGCCCGTCCCTTCACCCATCAGCCATGGTTCAGGAGGCCACTGATGCTCCAGAGAATGACAATGGAGATACAGAGAGCTCGAGTCCCGCCGCGGCTGCCATCCACAAGAATCTGGCGACAATGTTCAATGCCAAGACATTGACGAACCTCGCGTCATACCCAAATCCCATGCAGATCGTGGCCCAAAAGACTTTGGCAAGAGCAAGGACCGCAAATCTTGATACCTTGAACGCACCACGGACTGTGGATCCCAGTTCTCCGACACCACACCAGTCTTTGTATGCTGCGTCAGATGTCAAGAGTCTGGGTCTCGATAAGCCGCTTCCGACGCCCACACTCCGGCCGTTCCAGTCCGATCCTAGTGGCTTTCCTGGCATCGCGGGCGTCCCTGAGGGTAGCAGCCATCAAGCTTAGGGGGCTGATGGCGACCTCAGGGCGCCGCTGTACCAACCACAAGCCCGTACTGTCCCAAACCAATTGTCATCCGTGGTAGACTCCTTTCAGACCGAGGTGGATAAGGAGAAGCTCACTCGAGATAGAGGGGTACCTCAGCCACTGGCTGCTGGACCTCCCGGCCGGCGACAATACAAGGCCTCAACCTTCGCAACAACGGTCAAGGCACTTCAAGAGAGCGCCAACAATGTGAAGAGTGAGTGGGTTGATGAACCAGCCCAACCAAGATCTTTCGGGCCTGTCGGTCAAGGCAGGCCATCCCCCCCATCCACTACAGCCGGCAGATCGGGAAGCTCCGAGTCGGCCTCGGATCTGAGTGTCTACGAGCCTAAGAGAGTCGCCCTTGCCTCGCTAGCATGTCCGCCATTGTTCGACGAGGGTGTGATGTGGAGGCGGAAGCGGATGGTCGAGACACTGCCACGAGAGGAGCGCGCCCGGTACTACAAGCCCCTTCCGGCTGACTCTGTTGATGCCTACATACACACCTCGGAGGATTGGACCGACAATTACCCCTTGTCCCGGCCTGGATCTTGCCAGAAGTCACCAGAGGAGCTTGCCGCCTACAACACCAGGCTGAACTGTGCCTTTTATTCTGGAACACAGGAGTATGGCAAGTCGACGTCCCGCATCATCGCCGATGCCGAGGTCCGCATCTACAACCAGACTGCCGGCAAGCTCGACCTGGAGGAGCGCCTACGTCGACTCCGCCGTGCCTCGGAGCTCTTTGGTCTGAGCCACTCCGCCAACACTACCACCACCGCCACCACCAGCCGTACCTCGGACGCTGCACCTGTATCTCTCGAGGACGGCCAGGTCTCGAGCGCGGCTGAGACTGCCGAGCCGCTGCTCAACAGGCTCTTTGCGACGCTGTTCCAGCTTGTCGAGGAGAAGGGAGCCATGATGGGCGCCGCAGGGTATCAGGAGCCTCCGGCCTGGCTGGTGGATACGACCAAGGGCGGGCAAAAGAGCTTCTTTGGCGATGCTGTTGTCGCTAAGGCCGGGCAGAGGAAGAAGAAGCCGGCCAGGCAGGTTCTCAACCTCGTCTGGTAGAGAGACGGATAGATGGATGGATGGATTGCTTTTGAGAGGAGTCGTACGGGGGAAGCGGACATTTGCTCTGTTTTTTTGCGGGCAGGACTTGTGTGGTGTATTTTTTATCGCCCGTCGACCAGTCAGAGACTCACCAGATGTCTTTTTTCTTCTTTCTCGTGTCGGTTACAGCTATCCCGCCCCTTGGCTGTGCATACCTGACACTGGACAAATGGTTGGCACGGGTGTAGCGACAGGTTAGGTACGACTAGCTATCATGCGTGTAGCAGTAAAGGGGGAAGCCTCCTCCTAATTGATCTTTGCATTCTGAAGTCCAAATTTGCAAAAGAATTCTCCAAGTTGTGTGACGGCCATGTTGATCTGTGGATGGAGACTACGAAAGGTGAGTGAGTAGGAACTTCCCTTCATTGAGCCTGGATAGAGAGTGTTTGGCAAAAGAAACGTCAAAATTCTCGATAACTACCCTAGGGATCGATATACCGGATCGAGTTCTCAACAACAACGAAGCGCGCTCCTTCTCTCACTCTGGGGGGGCTCCCTCCCGTCCCTCCCTTTTGCTTTTCTTCCATCCCAGGCTCTTCATTCTCTCTCTCTCTTACATCGCTTTTTCCTCTCCGCGAAAGCCAAACGATCTTTCCCGGGGAATACCCCGATATTTCCTCTCCCCCACCCGGAGTTGAGGAAGGAGGACAGGGTTTCGTCATGGATAGGGCGGACAGTTGAAAAAAAAGAAAACCAAAAGGGGGGGGGAGAAGATGAGAATGTGATTCTTGGGGTGGTGGGGGATATTGCGTCTTCAACGCAGGGTTTTCCCACCTCCTCATCAGGTAGGGCAAGTCGAAAAGGGGGGGAGGAGAAGAGATCAAGCGGCGGGAATGGGGCCTCGGAAACAGAATCAACCGCCGCCCAAAGCGCCGTCTTTTTATATATGCCCGCCCCCTAAGTGCCTCTCCCGAAGGCACCAAATGTCGGTGAATGATTTTCCCCCCTTCGGAAGTGGCCTGACTGATGAAGATAGATAATAGCTAACAGAAGAAGGGGGGGAATAATGAATGATTCTCTAACTCAAAGAAAAAAAAAGGCGCAGAAAAAAGTACAGCCGAACGAACATACAGTCTCACAAGAAACCGACACCAGACCAGATAAGAGAGCCTTGCCACTAAATTACGGAGCGGGATGATCTCAGTAACAGAGTAGTTATCAGATGTCATTCTCATTCGAGGAAAAACAACAAGAAAAGCCCAGACATAGACTCGAATGAATCTGGCTTCAAGTGTACATCAATAACGCAGGGGAAAAAAAGGAGTCAAGGAAATGGGGTATGCTGCTGCAGGTACGCTGTATAAAACAGGGATAGCTTTTGTTTGTTTGTTTTTTGTTTGAAATCTCTCCTTCCTGAGAGTGGTGACACGAGAGTTGAGTGAAGTGCAGCACCCGTCGAGAAGCTTCAGTCGCGATACGTGGGCGCTAAATGTAGATCACATGTAGATCGTTGGCCGTCCAGGGATGGAGGGAGGAGCCGTTGTGGAGGTTGCTTTTGTCTCGCGGATCGGAACCGGCCCCAAGAAATCCACATTCCAGAGGACAGTAGCGAAGTATAAAGTCAGGACGGCGCGCTCCTCTCATCTTATCGCCTCAGGGCGGCCTTTGGGCCGTCCCGCTGCTTGAGACGGCTGGTTCGCCAGCCCTCGTACCACTGTTCTCTGCTGGCCTCGCGCAGCTCACCGCGCCACTCAGTGAAGACGGCGTCCTTGAGACGCACAAAGTCGCAGTGCTCTTCGTCGTTGGGATCGGCAAAACCCCAGGGGAATTGGCGGCCAACAACACCAGGCTCATAGATGTCTGGGCTGATGATGGACATGGGAATGAACGGAGTCTCGTCCTCCTTGAGCTCCTCGGTCTTGTTGCGTCGGACCGAGTTGGTCGACAATCTCTTGGAGTGTTTTGAGGGAGATGAGTTTGCTGATTCGCGCCCCTGGATAGGTAGGTCGTGCTCGGGATTCTCTCCCTCTTCCACCTCCTCTTCACTACCGGCCTCAGCGTCGAGGTTGTCCTCGTCAGCCTCGTCGATCCTGTTTGAATTTGTTGTTGAGCTATCGCCATCATCGTCCAGGCCAAGGGCCTCAAGAGGATCGAGGTTCGCCTTCTTCAGGCTCTCCCAGACGGTCCTCTTCAGGACGTTCATGTGCTTGGTGGTAATCGTGTCGGCCTTGGAGATGACAGGGATGACGGTCGTCTTGCCCTGAAGCGTCCGGAGCACTTGGAGGTCGAGGTCTTCATCGAGGCCGCCGACGACGCGGACTGGAGGAGCGTACTTGCCATTGTGGCCATGGCCATTGGCGGTAGCAGCCTTGGCGGCTGCGATGTTGCGGTCGAGACGGGCAGGGTCGAGGATGAGGAAGACTGCGTGGATGTGGGTATCCTGTACGCCAGGCGATCTCACGACCTTCATCTCCTCTGTGAACGTCTCTTCGAACTTGCTCTCGAGGAAGGCGGACATCTCGCGGAGCTGCAAGTCGACGACATTCTTCTCCAGGCCCTCCGAGTCCCAGAGGGTCAGCCCGATCCTCTCGCCGTCGATCTCGCTCTCGAGGAAGTGGGGAATGAAGTTGCCAGATGGCGGAGACATGGCCATGTATTCCTCCTGCTCAATGGTGCTCTTGGAGCGCTTCTTGGGAGGCAGGGCCAGCGAGGTCTTCAGGAACTCGAGGAAAGAGGTCTTGCCTGCGTTGCGAGTTCCCACAATGAGAATGCTGCCACCGAACGATTAGCATGGCCATTACGGGCATTCACACTCTTTGAGGACGAAAGCATCCTGTCTGATAAGAGTCTTGCAAGGCATGGAGGAGTCGCTCACTTGAAAGGCGTGGGGTCCTTGCGTCTGCGGACACGCCGGGGGCTGTTGATGGTGCTGATGGCGCTGCTGGCGTAGCTGTACCGGCCGCGGTGGGTCATGCTCTCGGTGCGGGCATAGGGGTCCCAGGCACCGCCGTGGGGGATGGGCGGGACGGGGACGCTGACGACAGATCGGCCGGGCTCCATGGAAGGCCGGGGCGTCGAGTGTGAGTAGTGCTCCGGAGGGACGTCGAGAGAGTCCGGGCGAATGTCGCCGCCGAAGGAGCTCTGGAAGTTGGGGGCGGGGGCGCCATTGTAGAGGACGGGAAGGCGCGGAGGGTTCTTGGGGATGGAGGCGTCACGCTGACGCTGGAGCTCCTGCTCTCTAAGCGCTTGCCCCTTCTTGCCCCTCAGCTCGCCCGACTTGCTGCGTCGCAATAACATTCCGAGACTGGAGCGGCGAGGTGGTGCGCTCATTGCTGATCTCGAGACCAAGAGGGAAGGGTCTGGATTCGTGCGTGAGACGAAGGAGGGAGGGTTAAATCTGTCGCTGCCACCCACAGGGCCGCTCGAATTATGCCGGGAATAGACAGTGTTTCGTCGAGCGAAGGAACGATCTGCGCGGAAGGTGGAATCTAGCCTGCTTGGTGGTGTAGCCGGTTGCAGGCTGCAGATGGGCCGACCGATGGCGTTTCCCTTGGGAAGCTACTGTACGGTGAGGTACAAGTCGGATGCTTTTCTTGGACGGACACTGGTCAGTAACTTTGAGCTTGCGTATCCTTCGCTCGACCTTAGACCACCCGGCAGGCCCGAGCTAGTACGTCACCGGACGTGCTCGTAGATGGGCAAGAGAACATGGAGCAGACCGCAAAGGTACATACAGAATGCCGGGTCACAGATGGCCTTTCCGGAAGAAAGTCAGGTACCTGGTTGAAAAGGAGTGTCGGGTTGAAAGGGGGGAGGGGGGAAGGAAGGTCGATGAAGCAAATTTGGGCCTTGGTTGGAATCCAAAGGAGCGAACAAACGAGAAGGGCGCTGGCGCAATGCGCAGATTCGCTGGGTTTGGCGAACCAGGAATCGCAACGGGTGAAACGAACAAAGATTGGTGCGGCGAGACAGGCGCTGCAACGAGAGGGAGGAGAAGAGAAAGGCTGGTGCTGGACGAGCGATTGGATGCTTGAACCGGGTCGATCCTTTTGGGTTCACACGGCGGGCGGCGTGCGTTGGCGCTTCGACGGTCTGGTCGCGGGCTGTCGCAGGCTGGGAGAAGGAAAACCACAGGAGAAGAGAAATGATGGACAGCCAGTCGTGTCGTGTCAGAGGGTGACAGAAAGGGGAAGTGGATATTGTCTGTGGTGTTCGGGTAATAGTTAAAAATGGGAGAGGTGAGGTGAGCGACGCCGGGGTTGGAGACGCTGATGAACGAGTGCGTACGTGCAAATCAAGCTGAGCGAGCCGAGAGAATGCCCAACTGCCAGTCACACACCTTTTTTTTCTCGATCCACCGTCGACCAAGGTCCGAAGTAAACCTCACGACTCTGCCATGTTTCACTCGTTGCCAGTCGATGCGCCGTCGCTTGCTGATGGCTGCGATTTTACCCCTGAGCTACGACGGCGAGTTACCTGTTTTCCAGCTTGCTTCCCCCGCAAAGCTATCGACTTTTTTGATTAAGCTGCAGGGTCGCCGGCGCCGCAATACGCTAGGGGCCGTGGGACCCAGCACTAGCTAGTGTACTTGTAAGACTAGCCCGCATGCTAAAGAATTGACAACCAAAGAGGATTCGGCAGTGGGACCAGGCCTGTTTCTTGCAAGATGAACCAGCTGGCTGGAGGACAAAGACCAGCAAATGGATGCTATCGGGAAGGCTTTCCGCCACAGATGACGATGCCTTTGAAGAGAGTTATGCACTAAGCTGAGGCCGTTCTTTCCTGCAGCAATTGGGACACTGTAGAATCCTGCGGACGGTAGAGCAACAGTCAAAAACACCTACAGCACTTGTACACACAACGCGTGGCACATGCTTCGCAGCTCAGGACTGACTACCGTCTTAGTCGCCGAAGAAAAAAAAAGGGGTTCAGGAGCCGTTTGCGGAGAAGCGGCCGTTCCTGTTCCTGAGAGAAGCAGCCACGTTGGCGCAAGATGCTCCCAAATGGAACTGAAATCTCACAGGACAAGCCCGGCGCAGTGTCAAATGAGAACGGATGACATTCGACAAGCACCTTTCCTCGTGTGTTTATTAGAGAGGAACCAAGTTCGATTCTCATCTCGCTGTAGCTCCTGCGGCAGGCAGTACCTATAGGTAATCTTAGGGGGTGTATCAATCGCTCCAGGCACGAAGTACCTACCTAGGGAGCTAGGTCAGGTATCTAATGGGAATGGCGCCAAGTGGAACCCCCCTGTTGCGCCTGCACCCACTCTATCTCTGCCAGCTGCTTCCTCTCCACCGAGTGTGCAACTACAAGTCGTATTTGTCTCACTGAAAGCAGCTACCAGCTCGGGCTTTTGTATCGGCACAAAGCCAGAGAGACACAGCGAGGCATCACGGTCTTTTGGATCGAGCTTCTGGACAGTAAGGGATCTCGTGACAAATCCACACTTGTCTCTCCCTCTCTATCTCCCCCCGATTCGCATGGACAGCTAACCGCCCGGCAAAGTCTCCCAGCGCCAATGCCCGGCACATCTAGGTGTCACGCAACACGCCACACCACGAAAAGCCGTTATGGAACGGGCAATGGAAGGCTGCAGAACGCATGCCGTTCGGAGGGCTGCCGCGCAGGGTGCAGTCCGTGATAGGTCGTCGAATCGCCCGTTTCCGACCTGTGTTCCAGATCGACTGAGACCCGCCCCCCTTTAAATTGCAGGTACGGAGCGACCCCCAAAATATACTACCATCCAATCGGCCTCGATGACAGGGGAGGGGGGTGGCTGGTAGTAGTAACTACAAGTAGATGCAAGACTGGGAATGCCTAGCATGCGATATAAAAGAAAAAAAGACGTTCGAGGGAATGGCAGGGGGGTCCACGTCGCGTTGGGCCTGGATTTGCTGCACGCGTTTCTCGCGTGAACGTGCGCTCTCTCTCCGCCGGCGTGCGCAGTGGGGATCCATCGATAAGATGACGGGTAATGCTACTTGAGATTGCCCGTGTTTCATCTCAGCCTTGCCGTCATTTCCAATAAGGCTAGACAGGGACGAGTGTCTATGCGACCCGACTGGACCGACCGCAGAAGATCAGGTGAGGCTGAGGACGAGGACGAGGAGAAAGAAGGACGAAGCTTCTCACATGGTGACAACCACAACTCCTCGTGCAGGTTTGTGCTTTCGCTAGGTGTTCCAAGATGTGATTGATGTATTTGACTAAGTTTACAAGCGATGGTGAGCAGCGGTTGGGGGGATATCTCTTTCCTCTCTTGCCCAGATTCTCCTTTCAAAAACGCCGATATGCTTAGCAATGCTGGAGCAGCCAACTCCCTCCTCATCTAAATGCCCTTGCAGAGTCTATAGCGATGATGATCACACATAAAAAGAAGAAAAGATGCTTTAGTAGTACAACTCAACCCCGAACCCCCCTCCTTTCACCCTTCCTTTCACCCCTCAAAGACGTCGTGCTGCAGCTCCATGCCCCAGTCGGCCGCCATGTCCTTCATGCGCGCCTCCATGGCGTCCTCCATGCCGCCGCCGAACCCGAGCAGCTGGCGCGCGCGGAAGAAGTAGAAGAGCACGTCCGACGCCGCCAGCACGGCCTTGAACAGCGCGTGCCGCCACGCGTTGGCCAGGCGCTCGCGCCACGGCCGCGACGGGTCCGCGTAGAGGCTCGCGCTGGCCCACTCGCCCATCCGCTTGACGCGGTTGACGGGGCTGCCCATGTACTGGTTGTTGCCCTGCACGATGCGCATGTTGCGCCCGATGAAGACGAGCTCCTTGGGCCACTTGTCCTCGTCGGCCAGGATCTCGCGGATCCCCTGCTTCATGCGCCGCTGCATCTCGTAGTGCCGCTCCGAGGGCGTCATCCCTTCGAGGTCGGCCGTCATCATGCGCCGGAAGTCGCCGTCGCCGCCCTCGTACGGCCGCATCAGCGTCGCCGACGCGAACATGTCGGCGGCGCGGATGCCCCACTCCTCGCCGCAGATGCGCGCGATGGTCGCGTTGTCAAACGTCATGAGCGCCTTCCAGAACTGGCCGTACTCGCGCCGGAACTTGTCCGACATGTAGACGTAGAGGCCGTGGTCGATGAGCACGAGCTCCGGGCGGCCCGAGGGCAGCCGCCGGATGAAGATGTTGCCCGGGTGCGGGTCGCAGTGGACGACGCCCCACTTGAAGATCTGCGCCGAGAAGAGGTCGACCATGGTCGTCATGACGTCCCGCGTCGACACGCCGAGGCCGCCCCGGCCGCGGGGCCCGCGCCACTCGGCGCGCTCGGGCTTGAGCGTGGCGTCGGCCGGCGAGGACCGGAGCCGCGCGCGCAGAGCGTCCATGTCCGGGCTGGGCAGCTGCTCGCCGTGCACGCCCATCGAGCCCTTGCCGCGCCCGCCGAGCCACTGCTGCGTCAGGGCCGTCTTGTCCCACAGCCGCACGCCCTCGATCCACTCCGTCGTCAGCACCCGCTTCGACGAGAGCTCCGGGTAGACGGTCGGCACGTAGACCCGGCCGCGCAGGGACGGCTCCGCCATGACGAGCTCGCGCATCGTCTCCGAGTTCTTGGCCTCGTTGATGAAGTCCGTCTCGAGCATGAGGCGCTCGGTGATGAAGGGCACGAGGGTGTAGAGCGGCAGGTCGAACCAGTACGTGTAGATCTTTGTCACGACCCTGTAGAAAAGAGCAGACGGTTCAGCATCGAAACGGCGGCCCCCCAGCAGAGAGATAGGAGGGGAGAGAACTCACTTGAAGGCCCAGAGATCCCACCCGATCTGCTTGGCGATCTCGGGCTTCTGGATCTTGATGGCCACCTCGCGGCCGTCGGGCAGCCGGGCCCAGTGCACCTGCGCCACGCTGGCGCTCGCCCGCGCCGTCCTCTCCATGACGCCCTTCCCTTCCTCGCCCGCGAAGCTGACGCCAAACACCTCCTGCACGCTGCGGCCGCCAAAGTCGTCGCGGATGACGCGCTCGACGTCGCGCCACGAGTCCTGCGGCGCGTCGTCGAACATGCGGGCGAACATGCGCTGGAACTCGGGCGGCAGCACGGCGCTCTGCATGGCGATGGCCTGGCCGATCTTGAGGTAGAGCCCGCCGTTGTGCCGCAGCAGGTCGGACAGGCGCTCGGCGTTGCGGCGGTGCAGGTCCTCGACGCCGCCCCGTGCGCCGATCAGCGGCAGCGGCTCGGGCCGGAAGTTGACCTTGTAGTCGAGGGCGACGAGCAGGCCCGTGCCGAAGGTGCGCAGCGACCGGCCCACGCCCGAGGCGTACAGGTGCCGGTCGAGCAGCCAGCCCGTCAGGCCGAGGGCGGACAGGACGAGCAGGCGGCGGCCCCAGCGGCGCGTGCGGCGGAACTCGCGTGCGGCGCGCGGCGCGCCGAGGGAGGACGGCGGCGGCGGGCGCAGGGACTGGAAGGGGGCTTCGGTCTGGTAGGGGCGGGTGCGCTGGCGCGAAGAGGAGAGATGTTGTCGCGGGCGGGACCTCGGGGAGGCGGAGGCGGAGGAGGAGAGGGAGTGCGGCAGCGGCCGCGCGGTCGGTATCGCGTGAGGTCTCGTGCTAGGAGTCGTAGCCTGCACCGATAGCCATCTTGACGGCGGCGCCGCCTGCTTGTGCGCGCAGAGGCGCGGGACGCTCCTGCGTATCATGGCTTCTCCCGCGAGAGATGCGTCTACTGGCCTATCTAGAGGCGGAAGCGTGGCAGGACTTCCTTACACCTCGTTGCGCGCGGGATGGGCAGGGCGAAAGGGAAAGGAGATGTTGTGTGTTGTGTGTTGTTGTGTGTGGACGGACAAGCGAGGCTGACAACATTTTCTCTTTTCGATGACGCTCTGTGGTCTTTTGATTTAGATCCGATGGCCGCCGGGATTGCGGCGGAATTTTTGTGGCGCTTGAATGGCCGACTCGGCCGACACGACTCGGTATTTTCCACCACGGACTGTCCGCCCGCTAAACCCCGAGAACTGGCAAGCTGAGCAGAGCCCTCGGGCTTCTCTACAGAGAAGACTACCTGGGTAAGTCTACGATGTTTTCAATCCCATGCGTGCAAGGCTTGACGTTCAACTTGGATCGACCAACTCTATCTTGACAAGGCCCAATGAGGACGAGCTGCATCAGTACTTCAGTACTTGTAAACCTTTCCCACAATGGCTCACCAATCGGGCCTCACTACATGTATTCCAATGTTCATAATCTTGGAAGGATCTGCAACACTCCAACCAGGTGTTTCGTGCCCCAGATCATCGTCATGTATGACAGCATGGCCAACGACAGCATTCTGCAACAATGGCCTGTTACTGGCATTCGCTGCCAGTTGTCCTCGCAGCTTGCTTTTGTTCTTGTTCATCCCTGGCCCGGGTACGGGTAGATCACAGATGAGTTTAAAGCACGACGCATGACTGTGACAGCTCCGAGTGGCCAGTCGACAGGTGCTTGAAACCTGTTACAGACTGCAGGTGTACAGCCACATTGCCATGCTTGCCCACATTGCCATCCATCCAGCCAACCAACCAGCCAGTGCCTAGGTCGACGCCTCCTCGCCCCAGCATTCGTCAGCCAGCTCTGAACTGGCGACAGTCTGCACATCAGTCATCGTCATCGATGCTGCCAGCTTCGGCCAACCTTGTGCTTGATCTGTTTCAGGCTCTCGGCCGCTTGTTGGCCTGGCAGTTCCTGGACCTTGGTTAGTCGCCGCGATTGTGCGCGCGGCTTCTGGTCCGTCGGCTCTTTAGTTACAGACTATCTCCTATCTCTGACCGGGAACCTTGGACCAAAGGCCGCAGGATGGCGCCAGAGAGGGCCTGCTTGGCCTGCTAATTGCCCGCTATTGATCTTCCCAGGTCTTATTGGGATTGACGGCCCTTATTGGTGGGATGGCTCCGCCCAATCTCATTCTCGCAATGATCCAGACCCTTGAGCGCACTCTGTCGGAGAGTGGATGGCATTCATCCATCCCCCAGGGACAGAGATTCTCAACCAGGGAGGCCCTTGGGAATGCGCTTCATCCCTCGATACGCGGCATCGGGTGTCGCATGCTGCGGCGGCGCAACAGTCGCCATTGACGCGCAAGCGCCGCAAGACTGTTATCGTGAAATGCACAGAACGCAAGTAGGCACGCCGGAGCAGGATTCGATAGCGCCACCGTACTCCGTATATCCTCTGTCTCGTCGCCCATGGAAGCATTTCTGCCTGTCTAGCCTTATCTAAAATAGGGCACCACCTCCGCAAGAGACTTGGCTCCTAGCGTGGAGAGAGAGTGAGTGGCACGACTGGATTCGCCGAATACGGCAGGCCGCTGGTTGGGTAGACTGGCGTGACTGACACGGCGAATTGCGCTCTGCCTCTACGGAAGTACTCCGTACCTCTTTGTACGAAAGATGCCGTGGTTCCTGCAGTGCCCGCTCCCGTGGGTGGTGTGTGTGGGCTTACCTATTCCTTCGTCGTTGCTGGCAGGACGGCCTGCATATTCCGTCGGCCGGTCTCTTCTCTCAATGTGTTGGGCTGGAAGCGTGCTTTTTCTTTCTTTTTACCTTTAGCCTGCAGGGAGACGAAATAAGCTGCGGGAAGCCTTGGCTTTGCATGGTGTGCGGGTACGCGCTTGGTGGTTACTCGCACTCTGCATGCATTGCATTTGCATGGTGTGTGGGATCAAATCATCAATCAAAGAACAAAGCCGAGAGGGGCTCGCCGGTTCTGTTGCCCCGTCTGGTGCGTCTCTCCCCAGGCAGGCCGGAGAGGGCAAAAGAGGGATCGGGTCGAGGCAGATCCTGATCCGTTCCGCTGGCTAAGACGGCAGCTTTTAGAGTTTATTAGCTGACGCGGGACCTTTCTTGTTGCTGTTGCTAGACTGCCTGGGTCTCTTCTCTGCTCTTGTCTACCTAGTCTAGGTAGTCTTGCCGGGCCATGTGGTGTGTTGCCTGTCTGGTTCTGGCTCCGGTCGCTTCTCCAGACCCTTCCACTGGGGTAAATTCTTGGGTGTCGGTTCTTCAGGAATGAGAAAGCTGGTTGCGCCCCGAGAGATCGTCGCCCATTTCTCCTCTGCGCGGCCATTCCACAATGACGACACAGTGTCCCGGCCAGCTGAAAGGCCAGCTAGGTACCTAGCTCTTGTCATCGGCCTTGAATTGATCTCCTTGGAGTTCATCACTCTTTATTGAAATTGCGCGACATTAAGACCTGTCATGTACCTACCTAGATACCTACCTATCAGACAAAAGAAGTCCTTATTCTTGTACACAAGAGAGAAAGCAATGGCCCCAGTTAGTTACTAACAGTAGCCCCGGACAGTGGAAGAGTGGTCAGCTCCTTGGCCCTTATTTAGCTTGCCATATCGTGTCCGTCTCTGGTGGCTTCCAGTCTATTTTGCTCTGGTAGTTAGTTAGAGGACCGAAGAGTCGTAAAGCGAGGATACGATATCAAAAACTTGCTCTCTCCAGCACGCACACGCACCGATGGAGAATACCTAAGGTAGGTAACTAGTTACATGTACCTAACCTTCTAGAGTCTCCACTGTTACGGACCACCCTCCCCGTCTGGCCGTCGCTCCCCTGCAACCACAATCGCTGTCGCCTTCTGTTCGACCCGCTAACACTACTTGTACTTGTACAAGTACGGAGTAGACTGGAGCGTGCGCCAACCAGGGCTCAACCTTGCCGGCCTTTTGCCCCATCACCACAATTAATCCACACCCCCCCTCCCCTTTCCTCCCTGGTCCTCGACTGGCTCCTCACCTCACCCTTCCCTTGGGATCCAAGTTACAGAGAGATAAAATACCCCATTTCCAGAGGCAGCTAGCGAGCTCCACTGCTAGACTAGGTACCACTGCTGCTACTGCTGGCTCCTCCTGGCTGTGCATCGCCCACCACCACCACCACCACCATTCGACCTGCTTGCTGTGCCCTCCGCCCCCCCCATCCCAAGAGGGCATCACCCACTCTCCGCAAGCCCAGACAGGTTACTTACCCGTCGCAACTTCACGCGGGCTGCGCAAAGGATCCTTTTCGCAACCTCTGCCACGGCACTGACGATCGACGAGCCGGCCTTCTTCGACCTGCGACAGGATTGAACGTCTTTGCTCTTTGGAGCACGACTGAGCTGGAAAAGGAGTCTGCATTGGCGGCTGGCTGCTGGGCGCTGGGCGAACCCCGTCTTCACACCTCGTCTTGATCCTCGAGATCACGACGACAACTCCCCTCTTGTCTGTCGTATGACTGCCTCGAGACAATAGAGCGCCGGACCTCCAGCTGTTCTATTCAGCCGACATTCATCGCTCTTCACGATCAGCTTCGCCTTACTTCCATGCCGCGACAAAGTCAACCTGCACCCTTCGCTTCACGACCCTCCTTACCCGCTTCATATTCACGCCTCTGGCTGGGTGGACTTGGTCGCATGAGAACCTGCTAAACACCAAGGCGGTTACCCGTTCGCCCCCTCGCCGCGTCTTGACGACGTTGGCTTCGCCACCACACTCGCTCTTTCTCGGAACTTCTCCTTCTCGACTTCACCTTCTTCAATCGCCATGTTGCGGCCGGCGACACCCCTTGCGGTGTTGCTCGGCGTCGCGTTCGCTCTGCTGCTTATAGCAGTGTTGTCGACTCCCATTATCAAGCAGATCCCCCTCGGTGCCTTCCACGGCGTCACTTTTGGCGTCTTTGGAGTGTGCAAGGCGGATGGAACTTGCAGCAAGATTGAGATTGGCTATAACACTGGTGAGCATGCACATGCACTCAAACTCGCAGGCACTCGACGCCGCTCCACCGCGCAATGCTAACCCCTCTTCGCAGGTCAATTTCTCTCCTCCGACGACAATGCAGACTTCAACCTGCCCCCCGCGGCCAGGAATACCTTGTCTTCCATTCTAGTTGTCCACCCGGTCGCTGCACTCTTCACCCTCATCATGTTTGTCATGTCTATTGTCGCCCATTTCCACTCTCCCTCTCACTCGATCCGCTATCTGCTCTTTCTCTTCATCGTGAGCATCTTTGCTTTCCTCGCTTGTCTTCTGGCATTCCTCATCGACGTGCTGCTCTTCGTTCCCCATCTTGCTTGGGGATCTTACCTCGTTCTGGCCGCCACCATTCTCGTGGCCCTGAGCGGCATCATATCTTGCGCCATGCGGAGGACCCTGGTCAGCAGAAAGACCAGGAAGAAGCGCATCGCAGAGAATGCCGAAATGAGCGGAGAGAACTACTACAACAGGCAAGCTCAGCAGCAAGCTGCTGCTCCTGTACCCAGCACCGCCAGGCAGCCTACCGTTCCTGTTGTAAGCGGAGCAAATGGCGACGGCGAGAAGCTGCCCGCCTTTGCTACTTTCGAGAAGAAAGACGACAGGAGCAGCGACGAGCGCATCCCCCTCACGGCTCGGAGTCCAGCCGACATATCTCCTAATGCACAGTCGACTGACCTCGCGGTTGCTGGAGATATGGCCATGAACGGACCTCCTGGCCCGAGAAGGTCGCCCTCGATACCCCGGGACCAGTATGGAAACCCCATGCCCATGCAGGATGGGTACGGTGTTCGACGCGGGCCTTCCCAGGAGAGTATGAACTCGCGTGGCCGTGGGCGCATGCCTCCGGGAGGCTACAGGGGACGAGGAGGCTATGGCCCACCGGGCGGCCGGGGAGGATACGGACCGCCAGGACGAGGAGGATACGGCCCGGGCCCGGGTGGTAGGGGCGGTTACGGCCCACCGCCTCGGGGCTATGGCGGCCCAATGAGAGGAGGCCGGCCACCACCACCAGGGTACCAGTACGAGCGAGCTGGGCCCTATGGCATGAGGGGCCCCTCGCCTGGACCTCCAAACGGACCTTACAATTCTAACCCGTCCATGCCCAGCATGTCGACTGGAAGCTACGACCCCTACAACCCTGAAATCAGGGCTTCAGACCTGCCACGTGCCGAGTCGCCACCACCATTGCCTGGTACCAATGGACCCTCACAGATGGGGCAGGCAGTAGAGATGGATGCGGCAGCCAATGGCCCTAGGCCGGGACCGCCAGGCTACGGCCCCCAGTATGGCGGCCAGGTCAGGGATAGTGACTCAGACATCGCAGGAATGGTGGGACTACAGCAAGGCAGGGGCCCTACCAGCGCCAACCGTCATGACACCTACATGAGTGACAACTCGAGGTACAGTCAGGACGGAGGAGGGTAAGTTCACATTCGTATCTGACCTGAATGGAGAGTATATATGCTAATATTGTGTCAAAGTGACTACGTTCCTCCTCGCGCAGCTTGGAATCAGGGTGGAGGAGGCAGCGGCAGGAACTCACCTCGCATGGGCTCCCCCCTGGGCCGCCCGGCAGAGCTTCCCGCCACGAGGAGTCCGCCACCGCCAGCACCGTCAGGCGGTAGCAACTACTACGAGGATGTAGACCCTCGCTTTGCCGAGCCGCCGCAGCAGAGGCCGACCCCGCCACCCCCAATCCAGGTCAGCAACTCGTACGAGGACATCCCCCAAGGCGCCCGCAGCCCCGCTGAGTCGGAGCGGTCCAACTTCACCTCCATCTCCCAACGAGGGATCAACCCGCGCTGGAACCCACCGCCTCCAGCGCTGATGCCGGGCTATGGCGGCCCTCCTCCGCGGCGGCCCGTGAACCGCAGTGACGTGCTACTCAACAACAACCCGGACTTCCAGCTGCCCGGAAGAGCTGCCAACAACTCACCCCGCCCCGGAGGTCCCAACAACGGCATGGTTCCTGGCAGCGCATACCCGGCGATATAATCGTTTTCTACGGGCATGTTCTGCAGCCCAACCTCGCCAGCCCACGTTCTTCCATACCTGTACTCTCCATGATCGTCTTCCAATCCGGGGCCGCCTTGTCACATCTATCTATAGACTTTTCCTACCGACTGCATCTCCATGATCTTGTGTATTCATTTCATGGTGGAAATCTTGGGCCTGAGACCTTCCACTCACCCGTCTAATGCGGTCGACCGCCCTGCAGTGTGGCCGTTTTATTGCTTAATGATATAACCGACGAGGACTATTTTTTGTTACGTGGTTTTTCTCATCTCAAGCAACAATATTTCAAACCCGATCATTCCTTTTCGGATCTCTCCTCGCGAGAACTCCGGCTCTGTGGGATGGGCATACGATCAAAACTTCCTTCAAATATTCCGCCGACCGCCGACCTTGATTTTATCAACACACGACCGAAACAAATCTTGATTGTTCCCGCCATTCTTCCTCCCTTCCGACCTTCTTATTCTTTCTCTCACAAAAACCACACTCGACTTTGTATGTTCCTACTCTTTTGTTTTCGTTTTTTTTTTTTTTGGTATCGACGGTGGACCGTCTTATCTCGATGAACCTCGCGAGAATAAGTTCTTTGAAATCCACCAGGAGGAGCAGGGGTTCATCCCTTCTTGTTCTTGCCTCGAGCAACGCAATACGGCGTTTTTTTTTATTCAGGAAGGGTGGCAAGGAAAGTAGCCGCAGAATATGGCGAGCTTCATCAGGGGCTCCTGCAAGAAGAGGGTAGGATAGGGTTAGGTTAGCCGAGTCCAATGGGTTGGAGTAGTAGGCATTTATTTGCTAGGATAAATGCAAAGTGCTTTATCTGCATGTGTATTATCGTTGGCCAGACAGAGCAAGGCCGTCACCCAGTAGCCCGTCCAAGGCCGTTGGTTGTGATTTTGTACAAAAGCAACAAATCCCTGGTATAATACATAGCCCCCTTCCTCTGTGAAGAAACCCTCGAAAAGCAACTGCCTGTGAACTCCTTTGTTCGGTGGCTATAAGTTTTAGTAGTGACAAGTGAATAATATACTCCGGCTTCCAAGTTGAACAAAAAGATTCCCTGCTTCCTGCTCAACGCCCTATCTGCACCTTCACCATGAAGGCTGTCCGATTAGTCCGATGCAACAGTTCCAGAAGAGCTGTCCACAAGCAACAAAAGATCCGTTGAAGTCCCGCAAACACACATGTTACTCTTGCAAAGCTCTTACTCACGAAGCCAGAACTGATGGAGGCTTGCCAAAATGAGCACCCATACCGCGCCGCTCAATTCACTCCTGGGATGGCTGATACTCGGTATTCACGGGCCTCTTGAACTCATCGACGTCCATCTCCTTGCGGTCCGGGTTCTTGCCGACGGCCCTGACGGCCTCGGCCTCCTTCTTGCCCAGCACGACGAGGTCGAAACCCGGAGGGAGGAGCGTGTCAGTTCTAAGAAAGGGTACATCAAGAAAGTCAGCAAAGTCCTCTCTAGGTGCATATATATCAGGGGGAGCGTATACACGCACGTAGAAGAAGAAAAAAAAAAAGACAGCAAGAAAAAAAAAAGACAGCAAGAAAAAAAAAGAAACCTACTTGAGAAAGTCGACCTTGATCAGCCGCGCCTTGTCCCGCAGCCCCTGCTGGTCGCGCGGGTGCTCGAACGGCAGCCGGCCCTCGTCGATGGCCTTCTGCATCTTGCTCCACTTGGCCTCGAACGAGTGCACGGCGCGGATGAGCGTCCGGGTGTCGTTGCGCGACCAGGGCGTGCGCGTCTGCGGGCCCGCCCGGCGGCGCGACACGGCCGTCATGGCCCTGGCCTGCGACGACACGGCCTCGTGGTCGATCTCGTCGTCGTCGTCGTCCTCGTCGTCGGCTACGGCCGTGGCTCCCGTGGACACGGGCGGGTATGAGGAGGAGGGCGCCGGCGGCCGCGGGATCTTAGCTCGCGGAGCGGCGGAGGCGGAGGCGGAGGAGGAGGAGGGCGGGGCGCGGGGGCGCTCGCCGTAGGCGGGCCGGTGCTCGATGCGGACGCGCTTGTTGGGGAGGGAGGACTGCGGCGGGGGGGGCATGAGGCCGCGCTTCTGGCTGTCCGGGACGCGGGGGTCCGACTCGAACGGGTCGTCGTCCTCGAACGGGTCGTCCTGGCTGGATGCCTGGATCTGGTCGAAAAAGCGCTTCTGGCCCGGTGCGGGAGCGGCGGAGGACGAGGGCGAGGCGGCGACTGCTGTTGTCCGGGCTGTTGGCTGCGGCGACGACTGCTGCTGCTGCTGCTGGTCGAGGATGTGCTGCTGCGACCTCTTGATGATGGCCTCGTTGGAGAAGACGGGGTAGTCGCTGACGACGCTGCCGCGCTCGCTGGCCAGTTCCGGCTGGTTGATGTCCTGCTCCCGAGAGCGGAGGAATTTGATAGAGTCCTGGTTCCAGGGGATCCGTTGGCTAATACACGAGATTGTCAGTATCCATCCATACGTGCGCGTGTGTCCCGATGTGTGCTCGTCAGAAAGGAAGTACGTACGCTGAAGATGCCGGCGCAGCTCGCACTATCGGCTGGGACATAATCTCCGAGTCGTTCTGGGAGTCGAGCTGAGACTCTCCCTGCGATTCGAGGTCTTCCTGAGAGTCCATCACGGCCGGCGCATCGTGCTGCGCAGCTGCCGAAGCCTGCGAGGCAGCCTCCTGGGAGCCCGGGTTCTGGAGGGCGGCTTGGCAAGCCTTGATCCAATCCTTGAGGTTGTTCCAGAACTCCTGCAAATTGAAGTGCTCCTGCAGTTGAGCAACGTTGTACTCGTTTGCCTTTGGCGACAAGAGTGACCGGATGCTGGCGAGACGCGTCTTGTAGCGACCGCGGAGGTTCGAGTTCGCGTCGTCGTTGAGATCGACGCCGGCCAGAGGCTCGTAGGGGCCAAGGTCCAAGGCCCGCTTAAAGTCCTGGGACGCGGCCTCGCCGTCGCAGAAGACTCGCGCGAGGAGACCGAAGGGGTCTTCGTGCTGTCCTACATCCTGGATCGTGGCAATGAAGGTCTGCGTCCGAATCTCGAGCGCCTGCTCAAACGAGTACTCGTTGTCGTTGAGCGACTCGTCCGGATAGAACCTGGAAGGGAAGGCACTGTCCAGGGTCTGCAGCTCCGAGAGCCTGTCCTCGATATTGAGCTGGACCAGGGTGTACTGGAGGTCGGTCAGGTTTGCCGTGGAGATGATGCGCATGGCTCGCTGCCAGGCCGGCGAGTTCACCGGGCAGCCGATCCGCGAGAGGACCTCTTGGCCGTTGATGTAGGGCATGCCCGAGTCGGCGTAGTGCTGCTTGTAGCTGTCGAAGGCCTGGTAGTAGAACTCAAGCTGGGTGTCCCAGATTTCCTCGTCAACTGCGTCCTGCTGCTCCAGGTGGTTCTGGAGATCCCTGGTCGCAGCTGACAGGCGGGGGAAGAAGGACTTCATCAGGCCAGATCGGGCTTCACGCATGGCAGGCGTGCTGTCCGTCATTGTAGAAATAACAGAAGCAGCATCTGAGACGCGCTTCCGCACGCCTGGCGTGCTTGCACCTCTAGCGAGAGCAGCGAGGCCTGGAGTCGAGTGTCAGCCGAGCAGGGGCAAAGAGCAAGAGGGACAGGCAGGGCTCAAGAAGGGCTTCACTCACGGTGGAAACCAGGCGTCGGCATCTCATACACTGTGGCCGTGGCATTGGTGTGGGTACTTCTGACGCTCGCGATACTCTCTGCATCAGCGGGACGTCGTACATTTCGACGAGGATAGGGAATGATGGGTTTGATCTCTGGGGCCGGCATTGTGGCAGCTGGCTCAGCTGCTTGTTGTCGCGTCTTGCGTCGCGTCACAGCCGGAGATGGAGCTGATGCTGTCGCCTCTGCGGCCTTGGCTGCCCGGCGGGTTGCCATTATGGCTTGCTGTGAGACTCTCCGGGGTGATGGTGCAGTTTCTTGTTTTGCAATTGCTTGTTTCTTTTGGGTTCGCTTTGCCTCCAGGATGGGAGATGAGACTGACAATGGAGGGCATGTAAAGGCAAAAGGGATGCGAGGGTTGGGGTTAGGTGAGGGTAAAAGGCGCGTCTCACAGAAAAAGAGATCTGGCCCCATCTTTTTGGAGGGCTGTGATAGGTTGGGCAGCACCTATTGTCAACACCCGGACCCCTATTCTTCATGACAATAGCGTTAGGGATAGAAAAAAAACCTTAGGGATAGAAAAATGTTGAATTTGTTACCATGGAAAAGGCGCTTAGGGTTAGAAAATGTTGAGCTCGCTCTCAGCTCGGGCTGTTGTTCATCCGTCTCAAATGGCCTGCTGCAGGTCAACACATCAATGCTTACATGCACTCCGCGATGAAAGCGATGCCGAGAACGAGCAATAGAACCATGTGTGAAAGACTACGACAGTGTGATATGATTGCATTTTATCACATCAAGTATTACAGTAGTGAAGCTGTAGTCAGAGCTCTCCTACCTGAATCCCGGCCGTTGGTGCGAGAAAGGTCAACACACTCACATGCGTTAACATAGCTGCAAACCATCGACACGCTGAGATACTTCCAGCAGTCGGGGGAGCAGTTTATGATCTCCCTGTCAATCAAACCGGTTTATCCACATGGTGCAATGTTAATGTTTTCAGCCTTCGATTCGGCATGGGTGGAAAATGCCTTGCTGCGGCCAAGTCCATCTTGTCAGACCTCGTCGAGGAGCAACCACTTCAATCTTAATAGTGATTGGACAGTTCTGGCAAATTCTCCCCAGCCATGACAGGCTCCTTGGCGAGTAAGTCTCTGACCGTATCATTCCATGGATGGGTAAGGTCTTCAGTTCAGTTAGCCACAAGCAGCAGTCCTCAAGGGTTAACTTATGAAAGTTTCAGCATTCTTTCTGCTAATCGGAGATTTAGTTGTAATAGTCGAGGTGTAGCTCGTGCCAGATGTCGCATAGAATATATTGGATGTCGTCCATGACCATTACTGTACCTAGGGGCTGGGTCTCTGTGCCTGGGCTGCCGGCAGATTGGTACATCGTGTAGACTCTCGGAACTCGAATCTCGCTGGACCTGGCTACAAAGGGCATGTTCTCGCCCTCGGCCTGAGCACAGTAAAGTCCGCAGTTGACTATGTAGCACTGAGAACTGTTGGTAAGTAAGTATTATACAACTTGGAGACCCTATATGCCCTTGGTAATGTTCAAGATTGGCTTGAGATCACCTATGTTGATGGAATGGACCGTGTGGAGCATCCTATAAAAGGAGTTAGGAGGACGGTTGCAGAATAGTGAATAGGAACATAGACAATTTTCCTTTCCCCCCACAGTTATGTTCATTGTGTCTCTTCAGCTGTGTCGAGACAACATTGTAACTCAGCTTTTACCTGACTGTTCCAAGATCTAGGAAAACCGTCTCTTCTCTCTCTTCAAAAATGGTTCTGTCCTCGGCACGACTTCCAAATTTGGAGTTTTTGCGGTAAGTGGCCTTGATGTGTATTGTGGCTTGCTCTTTGATGTTCTTTTAACATTCCCTTGTGAACTCTCTGCATCATCAAAGGGACAAAGATAGCTAGCAGGCGTAGTGGAGATGCGGGTTGCTGGGAATCAAGATCTCGGGCACCACAGTGGGCCACGGATACGAAAGCTTCAGAGCCTGATCTTCGCGCACTCATTCAACTCAGGAGTGTAGGCCGAGTACAACGTCAAACACGATATTTTCCTTTAACTAATGTGCAACTGCATTTGATTTCTGGTATGCTGATCGCTGTCACTCGATCGCCCTGAGCCACCCACTCTTCCTATTTCATTGGCTCCAACATCACGAAGACAGTCGCAAAGATCTAACAGTCGTATAGTAAGAATGGGAAGTATACAATTATGAGTTGGAAAGGATCTCAATGAGAATTGATCCTCACAACCGTTGCAGATTAACATTCTGGAAGTGATACCTAGGTACGGTATATACACCTAGATATCACGTGATGCATCACGTGGTACGTCAATTTGGCGCGAGGCCGGCGCTTTTTTTTTTTGTCCTGGAAATATGTTTAGCAGAAATCGTATCATGAGCATGCGATTGTCCACATATGTGACTCACGCATGTGACTCAGGAACGAACATTGTTGACGACGTTGATAACTGGCAACAGTATATCATCATTGAATCCGATCTACGGCAATAGATCTGACAAGAAACGTTTTCCTGGACCATCTGGCTGCAGCAAACCACTAGCATAGCCCACCATGTCAACCTTTGGGCAGTTTTTGCGTGTGACGACATACGGCGAAAGGTGAATATTTTTTTCCCCGACTTAGCCAAGAATTGGCGGCTAACTCGCGCAGCCATTGTCCGAGTGTCGGATGTATTGTCGACAATTTCCCTCCTGGAATCCCGGTCTCGGAAGAGATCCTCCAGCCCCAGGTGAGGACTATATTGAACAGATGACACGTTTGGACTTTGCAACTAAGAATGCTAGATTTCTCGCCGCCGCCCCGGCCAAAGCTCTATTACGACACCCCGCAATGAGGCTGACATTGTGTCAATCCAATCCGGGGTAGAAGGAGGAGTCACGCTCGGTACCCCGATTGCCATGGTCGTCAAGAACCAGGATTTCCGCCCCGGCGACTACAAGGGCAGCACCATGAAGCAGTACCCTCGCCCCAGCCATGCCGACTTCACCTACCTTGAGAAGTATGGCGTTCGGGCTTCCTCAGGCGGTGGCCGGTCAAGTGCGCGAGAGACGATCGGCCGTGTGGCGGCAGGTGCTCTCTGCGAGCATTACCTGAAGCTTGCCCATGGAATTGAGATTGTTGCTTGGGTTTCATCCGTCGGCAGCATTCACCACATTTCACCCACTGCTGAATATCCTTGCACATCTCACAACCCGAAGTTTCTCCAGCTGCTTTCAGGGGTTACACGAGAAGACGTTGACAAGACGGTTGTCCGGTGTCCGGACCCGGAAGTGGCCGCTCAAATGGAGAAATCTATCGCCGACTTTCGAGACCGCCAGGACAGCATTGGAGGCACAGTTACGTGTGTGATTCGAAACGTCCCAACTGGACTTGGCGAACCGGTGTTTTCGAAGATGGAGGCGGCCCTTGCCCAGGGAATGCTCAGCATCCCGGCGACAAAGGGATTTGAAATCGGCTCTGGATTTGCAGGAACAGAAATCCCAGGTTCCGCGCACAACGACATGTTTATCCGCAACCCGGCTCCTGTCTCGGAGCCCAAGAATGGATTTGCAAAGCCCAAGCTCTCGACCTTGACGAACAACAGCGGCGGTATCCAGGGAGGAATTACAAACGGCGCCCCTATCTACTTCCGTGTTGCTTTCAAGCCGCCTGCAACGATCGGACTGCCTCAGCAAACGGTCACATTTGCAGGAGAGAGCGACGGACTTCTCGAGGCCAAAGGCCGTCACGACCCCTGCGTCGTTCCCCGTAAGTCACACACACTCAACGACAAAACTTGACCGTGCTAACCATGTTCAGGCGCTGTCCCGATCGTGGAATCTATGGCTGCTATTTGCATCATGGATGCTCTGATGACGCAGGGAGGCAGGAGGGCGGCGGCGCTTACGCTGTGAAACATAAAAGTGTAGCATTTGACAAGCAAGAAAAAACTCTGATCAGGGATCAGGGGCTGTATCATGACGTAAACCATGAAATAGACTAATGCACATTATGATAGTGTTGATAAGAGACCGCTTGTGAGCGACCCGCAGGACAATAAGTCTGGTAATGGTAGAGTTTCCCGGACTCCGAAAGGGCATGTGTAGTGGTACAGTTCCGGGGCGGTCTCACTATCTCCCCCCGGAGTAGCCGGTTCGATTCTGGCCATGTCCATTCTTTTTTCCCTGGTGTTCTTTCCAACTGTCTTTTGGTTATTTTTCCCAGTCAGGTTCTGTATGATCCTATCTGCAACAACTGCAGGATGGTCTGTCATGTTTAAACCTTTTCCGCAGAAGAGGTTTCTTACACGAGCCGCTTCCGGCTGGGGAAGGTCATGAGATATTAATAGTTCACGCGTTCTTGTTGAATAGGCTCGTCCAGTTTCTTCTCATTACTATGATTTGGATTGTTGAGAGCTGAGACTACTCGAACTAGCGAAGAACAGTCACAAGATATGATGCCTCCGTTCGACGAGCGGACATCCGGGGTCCAAGAATTCCGGGATAACCGACGCTTGAGTTCAGTGGCTGTCAAGGCTCGGCCTGCTCGACTCCATTTGGGTTGAGTTGAGAAATCGCCGTGACGCGGATCACCTTAGACAACGATGACCTTGAGGTATCAGACAGCGGTATATTACCGGTGGATGTCTTGATCTCTTGATCAAGAGCCTCAGAAACCCACGATGTGAACGTAGTGGAATGCGTAGGAGTGTGGAGGCCAAGGGTCTCTTCGTCTGGGCGAGAAGACTCACAATTATACTCGGTGAGATCGGAAAAACTCCCAAGAACTACTGTTTGAGAGAGGTCCGTGGAAAAATAAACATCTGAAAGGCATGGACACTAATATCCTGAAGTCCGGTATGCCATTCTCTTGTTCTGGATGCACGTACGAGTTCCGTCTTCATTGCGGAAGTGATGAGTTTCAGATGGCTGAGAAGCAAGGCTCCAAGCTCGAATTGGTGTGCAATCTCCATCTGTCTTGTCTTTATCAGTTCTGTCGATCTCGACTCCTATCTGGCACTGGAGCTGCACGACTGGTGAGAGCCATGGATGATGTGAAGTAGTACACAACGATATGCATGTCTTCACGTATCATCTTGCTTGCAGCCAGCCAGAATCTCGGGAGTCTTGAAGATTGATCTGGTCAGCCCCCCTGAACACTGCTGCTTTACGTGGTATGTACAATCAGTCGCATTGGGAGTCAGCGTCGAGCTTCAAGTTCTGGACGAGTTCCACCCTTGATAGTAGTGGGTCGGTCATCTCTCGGCTATGTTTTGTTGGGTGCCCCGCCAGGATCTACGGTGTACAAGTACTTGTACGTAGGACCCGGCCCCTCAAGCCACCGTTGACCGCCAAAACGGCCTCTCCTTTTCTGCTCTCGTCTCTGGGGCACACAGGCACACAGGTGCCGTCCGGCGGCCCAAGCTCCCTCTTGTTGGAATGGGGAGGCCCCTGTCCCAACCAACAGCGTAGCTTTCCGGTGCCGGGGCGATTGGACCCCACTGAGACAAGGGGTAAACGGAGGAGCTTTGGTTGGCTGATCTCCCTGTCTGAACACTCAATGGAATGGTTCGAGGCGGCATGGATGAGATGTGTTGAGTGCTAGGTACTGCTTGTACATAGGTGCCAGGGAATGGGGGGTTGCGCTGGAGAGGAGGGGAGACCCCAGCCCGCACAGCGAGCGTCGTACCTTATCATCACATGAATACATTGGGCAGTTCAGACGCAATCAAGAACAGCAAGGAAGCTGGAGAAAGCTACGAAATTGGCGACGGTTATGTTTCGGAATCGAGAAAGTTGAAAAAGAGTCACACCCAAGCCGAGAGATGTCGGAAAGCCGAGGAAGCAGCAGGAGAAGGAAGCACAAGCTCGAGGGATTGTCTTTCCGAGTCCCCCCCCCAAGTGGAGATCGAATTCCACCAGCCTCGACTCTCTGACTGGCACGACTGGCAAGACAAAAGACGCCTTCTGATCTGATCTGATCTGGCTGCATGTGCGACTGGGGTTGAGACGGCAGGAGTCTAGCGTGCCCTACCCGTCGGCCCCGGTAGTCCATCGGCCCTGGCAAAAGGGCAAAAGTGGTGGGCTCAATCAATTGAAGGTTGTGAGTCTACAAGTAGTTACTTGTAGCTACAGGCGAGCTGCACCTGGGGAGCTTTGCCGGGGTGCCCTCCCCACCCGATTCTCTCGTGTACCCTCTCGACCTGATCTTTCCGTCCCTCCGCATTGCGCGACGGCTGGAGCTTTGTTGGCACACCCTCACGGCTTCTTTACTTAAGAAGTAAGACCCGGGTCTCCGACACCGTCTCCTCCTCTGCTTCTTCTTCTCCCTCCCCTCCCGCACATGAGTCACTGTTTGCTGCTGTCTATTTGAGTAGCTTCCACTGTTCTGTTCTGTCTGTCAGAAGGAGACTTGTTTGTCCTCGTAGGATTGCATTCCCACTTACACACACGACCACCACTCGAGAGAGCCAGCCCATCAGACCACCACCGCCATCCCCCACAGCCAAAATGACCAGAGTCACCGCTCCTCTATCAAAGCTCACGCGATCTCTGACCTCGAGCCCTTCCATCTCGAGGCCAGCCTATCTCCACACTGCCTCCAAGGTCGCAGCCTCGACGCTTGCACACTCAGATGCTGCCGGTGAGGGCAGGAGTAGTGAATCGGATGTAAGTCTATCTCGAGCTGCCCCTAACAATGCCCCGAAAACATCCCGAACTGTCTTGCGGGAAACATATGGCATATCCATTTCACAACCAACCCGTGGGGACTTGCAGCACTCTCGCCCCCTATCTCTCGGGTCGTTACAATGCTAACTGACTTGCAACCAGTCTGCTCGACGATCCATCACTACTACCCACCGACCTGTCGCGCCAGCCGTCCCTTCACCCACCCGCGTGATCCCCCTCATGCAGACCTTCAACTTCCAGACCAGCGCCCGCAGCGAGGCGAGGTTAGACACCAGCACCATCGACTACGCCGTGCTGCCTTCCTCGACGAGCCTGTTCCCCGAGCCCTCGACCGACCCCTTCCTCGACGTGCGCGTGCCCCTGCTGCCGGACAACTACTCGGTCGACCGGACCCGGCTCCTCGGCCACGCCGCCGAGTCGTCGGACGCGCCCCTGGCGGCGCCCCAGATCTCGGTCGTGGCCGCCAACCCGGACAACGTCCTGCCCGCCGCGCTGACCGAGGTCGAGGGCATGGGCGTCGACGGCGTCGAGCTCAAGTTTGCGCACGACGCCGAGCCCGCGAGGGCCGAGGACAGCGAGCCGGGCATGCTGAGGGACCTCTGGAAGGGCCTTGTGGACGACGTCTTTGGCGAGAAGAAACCGATGCATGCCTGAAGCTTGCACTTTCTCTGCTGAGGATGCGGCTCCCACCGCACTCCCTGTGTGTGTTTTCACACCAAAACCCTGACCTGTCTTGTCTCCCTTTTTGCTGTTATTTATTGGATCATGGATAGTCCCTGACGATGGACACTGGTCTCGTGTAACTCGGGCATGACAACGATCGTTTGTACGCAATTGTAATGAATACCTATGACTGGCGCCAAGTCCAGGACCAAGACGAACTGTCCATCTTTTTGGCTTTCGCATTTAATCTAAGCAATCCATTGTTGACTCACAGGAGTCCTTCAAACATCTCTAAAGAAAGAACCATGTTGGTTAGAACGTGACTTGATGTATCATTCATAACGTCACTTGACGACAACCCGATATACATTCCTTCATCTTCATTATTACACTACGGACATGGAGTCCATAGGCTCAACTTTCCATACCCTTATTAGCACTGGATGCACTGTCTCTCCACTGCCTAAGTGCTCTAATGTCGATCTGCAGAGCGCAAGAGCGAGTGTATGTATATCTTGGTCCAGCCATCTCACTCCGAAATGGTGACTCTAGAGGGGCAGCCATCCGAGTTCAAAGACGAGGGTGTCTTGGAAGCACTGCAAGACAAAGGCTAGCTTGTAGACTTTTTCTTATACCCATCTGCTGTTGCACCGGCCTGTGCGCGAGAGTACCGCGCCCAAGACCGAACACAATTGGTTTCAGCTGCGTTGCTCCCGGCCGACCGCCACCAAGGCATTGGATCAAAGCTGCTGCAGAGCAAGGATCACCAGGGCCGTAGGGACCACGGCAGGTCTAGCACCGGTCTTGTTGTGCGCTGGAAGCACGGCACGAAACAGTAGATTGCCCTCGTGAGCCATGGTTTCGTCGGTATTAGGTTCGAAGCAAGTAGAAGCAGTCTCTCCCTTTTCCAGCCGCTGCGCATGAACATGAACAGTTTGACACCTATATCCCGATCCTGATATAGCTCGGTGCCCCATATGACAGCCTGGTGCGGTAGCTTCTTTGCCTGTTTCAATGGGACAATACTACACTGCTCTACCCGAGGGATTTTGCAACACCATTGAACCATCTCGTACTCTTTTTACTCTGCAATATTCTGTCGCTGATATCTTACAAGCCCGATGCTAAGCTGCTGGCCACGAGACGATCGCCTCGATCACTAAGGGTCCCCTATTTCTGATTAGCGCCCTCCCTGCTAGGGGTCCGGATTACTGGCATTCCCCGCTAGAGACGCACGCCAATCACCCTCCAGAGCGCTGGCGGTCGACGGCCCGACCAGCTGGGAACAGCACCAGGAACGCCCCTAGGCGCCCCTATAGCGTGAGGTGGGTGTGGGAAAAAAATAGAGAGGTGCGGGCAGTCATGTACCGCGGTGGACACAATGCCGCATCGTCCTTCTCCTTTTACTCCGCGGCCACGACGACCAACATCTCCTCGAACGGCTACGGCTACGGCTACGGCAACAGCAACAACAATAACGAGAGCAACGGCAGTACCAGCGGGCGCAGATCGTCGTCTCGCCCTCGAACGAGCTCCGCCGACCCCCAAGCCGGCCGCCCTTCGCTCGACTACCGCGCCACCACCGCCGACGACGTCCCCGTCCCCGTCCAGCAGCAGCAGCAGCAGCAGCAGCAACGCCCCAACGTCCTGACCAAGGAGCGCCGCCTGCTCAGCCGCCGCCCTTCCTTCTCCCGGCACCGGCGCAGCCGCTCCACCTCGTCCGCCGCGGCAGCCGACCAAGACGGCAGCAGCAGCAGCGCCGCCTTTGTCACCGACGACGCCGTCCCGCCGGCCCTCCCGCACTTTGCGCTCTCCCCGAACCTGAGCGGGCAGCAGCAGGCGGGCTTCCAGACCTCGGCGGCAGCAGGAGGCAGGAATAAGCAACAGCAACAGCAGCAGCAGCAGCAGCAGCAGCAGCCCTCCGCCTCGGTCGTCGTCTCGCCCCCGCCGCCGAGCACCGGGGCGATCGACTCGTTCTCCAGGATGCTCAGCCGCACGGCGCCCTCGCCGGGCGCCAGCTACGCGCCCTCGGCCGTCATGTACGGCGGGCAGCTGGCGCCGCCGCCGGCCATGATGGGGGGCGGCGCCGGGAACAGCGAGGGCTCGTACGTGTTCCAGCTCATACACGACACGGCGAACAAGAGGATATCCACGCTGGACTACCTGCGCAAGGCGTAAGTTTTATCTCTCTCTCTCTCTAATATTCCTCCCTCCCGCCAGACCAAGAACCATGTCCTCGCAAAAGCTAACCCTAGTCTTGTCACATAGCCACGAGGGCCGAGTCTACTGGTTCAACACGCTGCTCTTCGACAAGCCCGACCTCCAGCGCATGCCCTACTTCTCCGACCCGCGTAAGCTCGCCCGCCGCGCCACAAACTACCTCCTCCTGGGCCTGTCCCTCCCGGCCGTCGTGGACCTCAACTCGTCGAGCGCCGTGGAGCTCCTCCGGGCCCTCTCGGCGCTGCTCAGCGAGTTCGAGTCCTTCCAGCAGCTGCACTCGGAGGCCGGCGGCGCGCCCTCGTCCCTGTCCCGCGCCCGCCTGCCGCACATGTTCCGCCGCACCGCGCAGGGCGGCAAGGCGCGCCGCACGAGCGGCGCCGCCGAGATGGCGGGCCCCTCGTACTCGCTCGACGGCGGTGCCGACGATGGTAGCGGACCCAACGGCGCCGCCGCCGTGGGGGGCGCGTTGTTGTCTTCCGGCGTCGGCGTCGGCGTCGGCGGCGGCGCCTTCAGCCCCTCGGACGGCGGCCGCAGCAGCGTCATGAACTTTGCCGCCAGCGAGACGGACCTGCTGCCCGGCGAGGAGTACGCGCACCTGCTCACGCCGTCGCTGCCCTTCGACCCGGACTTCTTCGAGACGTTTGCGACGCTGTGCGACGTGCTGATCGACTGCGTGTACGCGCGCCTGCTGGCGCTCATGCCGACCCCCCGGGAGTGCGGGGGCCCCGCGGCGGAGCTGTTCACCAAGGTCGACGGCAAGATCCGCAAGCTCGTCGTGCAGAACGTGGTCAAGGAGTTTGAGGACGCGAGCCGGGGCGGGCTCAAGACCGAGGTGGCCAACGTGGGCAAGGTTGTGCTCGGGGGGTTGTTGTGAGAGAGAAGAAAGAGCTGCTGTGGTGTGGTGCCTCCGCCCCCCTTTCGTGTGGGTTTGGGGGGGGGACGTGGGTGCGCGTTTTTTGAGCGGAATTATTATCATCATCTTGAACCACGGCTTTGGCGTTTATGGGGTCGTCTGGGCCTCTTCTCTCTTTTCTGCAGCTTTACCATGGCATAGGCCCTTGCTCTCAGCATGCCGAGATTTACGAGTATTGGAGAATCATGACTATCTTGGGCATCGATAGGCATCTGTGTAGGGATAATAGAACATATTATATCTATCTAGTTCTCGCAAGATGCCAAACGATGGCGAGTGATGTATTGGACTAAAGAAAGAAGTGTAATAAAAAGCTCATCAGAAACCATAACGCATGTTGAATCATCAAGGTGGAGGTGTACTCCAATCAGTGCTTGACTCTAATATTTGGTATCATCACATGAACTTGCAGAGCCCCCAGATGGACAAAAGACTGACACGCATGATCCGGGACCAGCTGAGACGAAGGGGGAGCTTCCCACGAAGCTTAGAGTGTAAAAAGTGTCAAAGCTGAGCTCCCTTCACAGAGATATCAGACTGTGAAAGTCGTTGAAGCCGCCCTCGTGCCAAGAATAAGCCCCATCGAGTAACCCAGAGGCCGGTGAGGGCACATGGGCAATCGCATACCTATTGCATCTCGACGAAAAGCTCTCCAAACCCTGCCCTAGCGATCCAAGTCCGAAGCCACCTTGAGCGCCAGCGCGGTGGTCCCATGGAAAGGCAGAACCGTCGCCGGTCTGGAGCGCGGACTCGTATCTTCGTCCATGTGGTCTCCAGGCCCGGGTCAAGCCATGCCAGCCCAGCCCCCCCGCGAAGGGAGGCAGCGGGTACCGCAGAGGACAGGCAAGACTAGAAGGGAGCAAGTATCAGGCGGGGGAGATCAGCCGCAGTGCTTCTATGGCGGCGCGTTTCCGCAGCTTCTCCGCACAAAAGCGCGAAGAAATGTCCGGGGACTTTCTCCCAAAGCGAAATCTGGAGACGAGAGCTCTGCCCCCACGAGGTGGGAATCGAGATTGTCTCTGTGTGTGAGCTTCGATAGCGATTTGTTGGACGAGGGCGACTTGGGGGGAAAAAAAGAGAAGAGAGGGAGGAGGGAAGTGAAGTTTTGGAAGCTTGGTGATTTTTTTATGAACCAAAAATTACAGTGGGTCCAGGGCAGGCTGCCTGCTGAGTGGCTGGAAATAGGCGCGAGCTTAGCTTCCTTGTGCGCCTGCCTGCCTCGACATTGCCAACACTCATCTCATTGTTCCTTTCCACCACTCGCGACCAACTCGTCCGTTCACTGCTCTTGACTGGTGTTCTTTTCCAGGAAAGTTGCTTTGCTCTCAAGCTCACAAGGCCATAAATACAGACCGGCCTGCTCCCAGCCCGAGGCCGATTCCGCCCCAGAATACGATTACAGACTCGCATTTTTATCCATACAAGAAGAGCGATCGGATCCTGTCGACTGTCTTGCTCAGCGTTTCCTTCATTCGAACGCGACCATGTCGGGTCTCTTTGGCACCTCCTCTTCGGCGGCCACCAATACTGTTGGCGACCTCAAGCAGGACGTCGCCGTAGGCAACCCGCCCGAAGATAGTATCTCGGACCTGGCATTCAACCCAAACCCTGCCGACCAGAAAGACTTCCTCGCAGTGTCCAGCTGGGACAAGAAGGTCCGCATCTACGAAATCCTGCCCAACGGGCAAGCAGAGCCTCGCCACGCCTACGAGCACAGCCTGCCTGTTTTCGGCGTCGACTTCTTCAAGGTCAGCAGCACTCTTTCTCGACAGTGGGATTCCCACTGCGCCCACTTTGCTCGGCGAACGCTTGAGCTAACCAGGCCTCTCTGCTCTAGGATGGCCAAAAAGTGGTTTCCTGCGGTGCCGACAAGCAGGCCCTGGTCTGCGATCTAGCGACCCTCGAGACGGCCCAAGTGGCCCAACACGACCAGCCCGTGCGCTGCGTTCGATACTTTGACAACAGCGGCACGCCCATGGTGGTGACGGGCTCGTGGGACAAGACGGTCAAGTACTGGGACCTGCGCCAGCAGCAGCCTGCCGCGACGCTCCAGTGCCAGGAGCGTGTCTACACGATGGATGTCCGCGACAACCTCCTCGTCATTGGCACGGCGGATCGCTACATCAATGTCGTGAACCTGAAGGAGCCGACCAAGTTCTACAAGACGATCCAGAGCCCTCTCAAGTGGCAGACACGGGTGGTCAGCTGTTTCGCCGACTCTGCCGGATTTGCTATCGGCAGTATCGAGGGCAGGTGTGCGATCCAGTACGTGGAGGACAAGGACTCAAGGTATGTTCCTGTTGCGATAAACCCATTCATCTGTCCAGTCATGAGCAGCGACTGACGGGGCGGAAAGCTCCAACTTCTCCTTCAAGTGCCACCGAGACCCTCCCCAGGGCAGCGTCACCAACGTCTACTCTGTCAACGACATCTCCTTCCACCCTGTCCACGGCACGTTCTCGACAGCGGGCTCCGACGGCACCTTTCACTTCTGGGACAAGGACGCCAAGCATCGGCTTAAGGGCTACCCAAATGTTGGCGGCAGCATCACTGCGACGCAGTTCAACAAGACGGGCACCATCTTTGCCTATGCCGTCTCCTACGACTGGTCCAAGGGATACCAGGGCAACAGCCAACAGTACCCTAACAAGGTCATGCTGCACCCTGTGCAGGCAGATGAATGCAAGCCCAGACCTAGTGTCAAGAAGCGATAGAGCGCTCAGGCTGCTCCATCCAGAATGAAGATGCAGATTGATTAGTCGGCAAAGGACGAGCTCGCACGCCGCGCTACGGGCCGACCGGACAGGGCTACGGGGGAGCAAGGGGGAACCGGGGTGCTGTCCAGGAAAAGAAAGGGCAGTTGAGGTAGGGTTTGTGGCTTTTACGACGTGCTGTGCTGCTCGGGGGGTTCAGGTAAATCTTTCATGGCTATTGATACCAGCGTTGACTTTTCGGAATGAATGAAATACATAGATATTGACGAACCCGTGTGCCCCCCGAATCATCAAGTGTCGTTGTCCCTGGAGTAGAATCCAATTTGAGATGCGTAGTTGATAGGCAGTAGTTGACAAGGTTTTCTATTATTTCTTTATTCGCTTCTGTCAAAGAGGGCCTCGAAGTATTCTGGACCTACCTTAGGTACCTAGGTAGGCTCGTAGGTTAGCTGTGGCATTTGCACTTCCAGAAGCTCTCTTTTAGTGGGGTAGCTGTCCGCGACGGGTACCTCCAGCTGTCGAATGAGGGGCAGCTCGAGAGAAGCTGCATCCATGGAATCACTGGCGGCCATCCGTCAATCTAATTCGTTTGGCATGTGTCAAGAAGAGACTCCCTGTACTGTAGGTACTGTACTTGGCAGGCAGTGTGTCTTGTTTTCCCTCATTGACAGACCACACTGGACCTTGTAGTTACGTGTTTCCCGAGCACCTAAGATTAGCCATATCGGTCTCCAGATTGCTCGTGTTCAATTTCCCGCCTCCCTCGCTAAACCTCATCCATAACAACTCATTTGCTCTGGCTTTGGCTTTGGAGCAAAAGATACCCCGGAGCATCGTGTAGAGGAGAAAGCTATCCCCATCAGGCATACCCGCATCGCTCGAATCTTGTTCGCTTGTGATTTGGCCTCCGCAAAACGCCGAACCGACCATGACCGCCTCCGAGTCTCAGTTGCCGCCGGGAGACCCCGCACCGGAGCTCCTCGATGGCCGGCTGTGGGTTGACGGCTGCTTCGACTTCTTCCACCACGGTGAGCACACCCATCCGCGGCGTCTTCTTTGATCATGGGGTGCATCCGCTGTACCTCCTTTTCCAGTTAGGAAGATTCGTGGCTGACCAGCATCACACGTCAGGCCATGCCGGCGCCATCGTGCAAGCCCGCCAACTCGGCGATGAGCTGTACGTCGGCGTGCACTCCGACGAGGCGATCCTGGAGAACAAGGGCCCTTCGGTGATGACCATGCAAGAACGGTACGTCCCCTCTTATAGACACACACACACACACACACACACACACAAGATGCTCATTTCTAATCCTGGTGTAGTCTCGCCGCCGTCGACGCCTGCCGCTGGACGACCCGCTCCGTGCCCGACGCGCCGTACGTGACGCAGCTGGACTGGGTCAGCCACTTTGGCTGCCGGTACGTCGTGCACGGGGACGACATCACGTCGGACGGCTCGGGCGAGGACTGCTACCGCTTCGTCAAGGCCGCCAACCGCTTCAAGGTGGTCAAGCGCACGCCCAGCATCAGCACGACCGACCTCGTCGGCCGCATGCTGCTCTGCACGCGCACCCACTTCATCAAGTCGCTCGAGCGCACGCTCGCGGGGGCGGAGGAGGAGGGCGCCGCCGGCGACCCGGCCGACCGGCGGGCCGAGGCGCAGGCCATGCGCGAGCGGGCGCGGCTGTACGCCACGGACGAGACGGCCAAGGCGCCCGGCGTGGACGTCTGGTTCTGGGGCGCGAGCGAGGAGGCCAAGGCGGCCGACACGGCCGAGGAGCGGGGCAGCTTCCGGCAGCTGTTCGCGGGCAAGGGGCCCCGCCCCGGCCAGAGGGTCGTCTACGTCGACGGCGGGTTCGACCTGTTCTCGAGCGGGCACATCGAGTTCCTGCGGCTCGTCGCGCGGGCCGAGGAGGAGCTCGCGCGCGGGGACGGGTGGTACGAGCCGCAGGCCGTGGACGAGCGCAAGGGCAAGGGCGGCGACTACGGGCCCGTGTACGTCGTCGCCGGCGTGCACGACGACGAGGTGATCAACCGGTGGAAGGGGGTCAACTACCCCATCATGAACATCTACGAGCGCGGCCTCTGCGTTTTGCAGTGCAAGGTAAGAAAGAAAAAGAAAAAAAAAACGACCAGACCAACACGGGACACACTATCTTTTCCCTTCTTAATCATAAGGCGCAATACACTGACTTTTTTTTGCTTGTTTTGCAGTACATCAACGCCGTCATCTTTGGCGCGCCCTTCGCGCCGACAAAGTCGTACCTGACGCACATGCCCTGGGGCACGCCCGACGCCGTCTACCACGGCCCGACGGCCTTCATGCCGCTGACGTACGACCCCTACTCGGCGCCGCGCGAGATGGGCATCTACCGCGAGATCGCGCCGCACGACTTCCAGGACGTCAACGCGGGCACGATCGTGCAGCGCATCATGCGGAGCCGGGACCTGTACGAGGCGCGGCAGCGGGCCAAGGGCGTCAAGGCCGACATTGAGAAGGCGCACCGGGAGCGGGAGGTGCTCGAGGAGGAGCAGCGGCGGAAGGAGGCGGCGGCGGCTGCTGCTGCTGATGATGATACACAGTAGATGGATGGATGGATGGGATTCGCGTCTTGTGTGCGGCGCGATCAGTCAGTTGGATTCGATGGGGGGGGAGAAAAGGAGACGAGACCGTAGAAGGTCATGAGGGGAAAAAAGCACAATTCTTTTGATTGGATAGGACACTTTTTTCTTTCTAGAATTTCTGATAGAAGCAAGTGATATTCAGGTCCGTATTTGCGATTCGCCAATGTTGCATGAACCGTGATCTCGTGCAACGTCGTTCCATCGACCGGGTTGGTAGAGTTCATGCACCTGTTCCTACCTGCCAAGTCTCGATGAGGGGGGAAGGAGGGCGAGATAGCAGCTAGGTCGTTCATTGGAGCGTACGGGGTGAGGTGCCGGAGGCTTACCCATCACCAACACCCGTCCGATCCGTACTGGGTGACGTGCAGACCGGGTGGTGTGGCCAAGAGGGGGGGATTGCCACGTCCCTCGTAAGTCATCATTCAACCCGTTGTCGGCGCTCGCGTACTCATGCATCTCGTGAAGTAGCCTGATTCGAATCCAGAGTCGGAGTCATATCATACGAAGGATGAGTGCTGCTCCGAACCTGAGTAAAGACTCGGACCGGAGTGGGCTTCGGAGTGAGGTGCCATTTTTTCGGAGAAGAAATAGGAATGCGATCTCGTCGTCCTGCATTCTGGCCCACCGTGCCCCCCCGTACCGCGGCAAACAGTGGCTGTTTTTTTGTTACCCCAGTTTCTTGTTGTTGTCAATTCTCACGGCTACGCACGCTACGTTACCTACCACCTGACCGCAACTTTGTTTTCGACCAAACTCGCCAAGTCAAAGATCGAGATGATTTTTTTTTTGGCGAGTTATGTCCGATACAGATTCAGGCCGTGGAGGGCCCACCTTTTTTCACGGCCGCGCGGACGGTACGGACTTTTTCACCAACCAATCGCGACCGCCTAAAGCCGGCTACCTGCGGCCCGTAACACCCCATTGATTCCGCCCATTCGTTGGGGCGGGGGATTTTTTTTTGGCAACCTACATGTCATCAATCTCTGCACCAGAGCGGTCAGGCCCGGCTCATTGGCCTTTCGACATCGAGATGTCATATCTCAGCACAGACAATGCATGCTAACAATGGACGGAGGCGCATCGAGGCAAATGTTCACAGGGGGGGCACAATGGGTCTTTTGTATGCTGCCGCCCAGCAGTGCTGCGAGCAATCATGTTATGACTAGGTACCTACTGCCCGGAGAGCAGCGGTGTGGAGGACGGAAGTTCCCCGCCCTACTTGCAACAAGCCGCTTCCATGACTCCATTATCCACCGCCCACCAGCTCGGGTCGAGGCGCACTAAGACGGCGCGTTGTGCTCAGATGACACCCCTTCCATGGAGAATAGGGTAGGTAGGGGGAACAAGCCAAGACTGTCAGGTCCTAGACATGACACCTACCTACCTACCCTACCCCCGTGCCTTCGCGCTTCGCGCTGTTGAGTGAGGTCTGCAAGGTCCCACTGCGCCGGGGCCGGTCGACGGAGCGCGTGGAAGCGGCTGTCGTAGGCAAACCCGTCCGAGTCCTGCCATTGGCCAATGAGTCACCTGCTCAACCCCCTGGGACACTCACGCCCTTTCTCCGACCTACCGACATCATATCAACGATACCCAGTTTAATTTTTCTTTTATCTCTTGCCGTTCCCGTCACACCAGCACCTCTTCCTGCTACATTCCCTTTTAAACTTTGATTCTTCGGACGTTCAGGAAAGTTTCCTGGACTGTTTTGGAAACGTATTGGCCTATTCTCCCATCCACACACTTTGACACGCAAGTCGGCGTGGTACTAAGAAAGGATTCCCTTTATACTCTTCTCTACCGCTCTTATACACAACACCCCCCACATAGGGCAATTGTGACAAGCAATGGCTCCCGGCGCCCTGTCCCAAGACTCCCCGGCCATCTCGGCCGTCCACAAGGGCGACCAGGACATCGACCTGACCTCCTCGGCCCTCGAGCACAAGCTCAGCAATGGCGCCGCCGCCGCCGCCGCCCCGGCCAAGCCCCAGCAGCTGGACGCCTCCAAGCTCACCTACAACCTGACCAAGAGCCCGCGCCCCGTGCCGGACGAGGCCCACGCCTTCGCCGGCGACGAGACCATCTGCTCCGACCACATGATCACCGCCTCGTGGAGCGCGGCCGCGGGCTGGTCCGCGCCGGAGCTCAAGCCCTACGGCCCGCTGACGCTCATGCCCACGGCCTCGGTCCTGCACTACGCGACCGAGTGCTTCGAGGGGCTCAAGGTCTACCGCGGCCACGACGGCAAGCTGCGCCTCTTCCGCCCGGACTGCAACGCCGCCCGCATGCTCATGTCCTCGACCCGCATCTCCCTGCCCGCTTTTCCCCCCTCGGAGCTCGAGAAGCTCGTCATCGCGCTCATGGCCGTCGACGGCCCGCGCTGGCTGCCCCGCGACAGGCCGGGCGCCTACCTCTACCTGCGGCCGACCATCATCGGCACCAACGCGCAGCTCGGCGTCCAGGCGCCCAGCAAGGCCCTGCTCTTCGTCACGGCCTCCTTCATGCCCCGCATGGACGCGCCCCCCGGCGGCATGCGCCTGCACACGAGCCCCGAGGACATGGTGCGCGCGTGGGTCGGCGGCTTCGGCTACGCCAAGGTGGGCGCCAACTACGGGCCCTCGCTGCTGGCGACGGCCGAGGCGCGCTCCCGCGGGTTCGGCCAGATCCTGTGGCTGTACGGGCCCGAGGGCTACTGCACCGAGGCCGGCGCCAGCAACTTCTTCGTCGTCATGCGCAACGCCGCGACGGGCCGCGCCGAGATCGTCACGGCGCCGCTCGACGACCGGCTCATCCTCGACGGCGTCACGAGGCGCAGCGCCCTGCAGCTCGCGCGCGAGCGCCTCGCCGGCGAGGTCGACGTCGTCGAGCGCCGGTACACCATCGACGAGGTCCTCCAGGCCGACGCCGAGGGCCGGCTCATCGAGTCCTTTGCCTCTGGCACTGCTGTAAGTCAAAAAGATCACTAACCACACACACAAACGAAAGGAAAAGTTCGAAATGCTCATAGGAAAAATTTTTAGTACTTCATCTGCCCCATCTCCTTCATCCACCACCGCGGCAAGGACGTCAAGATCGGCATGGGCAAGGACGGCAAGGGCGGCGACATCACCCTGAAGCTCAAGGGCTGGATCGGCGACATCATGTACGGCAACGAGCAGCACCCCTGGGGCGTCGTCGTGCCCGAGGAGCAGTAAACGGCATTGTCGCTCCTGCGTACACACATGCTTTATGAGAGACGTGAAAAAGTGTGTTTTCGGGGCCACAGCAGTGATGTCACTGGCTGAGTCCATTTTTGGCGTTTGGCGCACGCATGCGATACGAGGGTGTGGCATCAGGTCTGCGAAAGGGATCATGATAGACCGGATCAGACGAGGTATTCTTTCTTCTTGAAAAGAGATAACGACTCTAAAGCTAGCATTAGACTTATTAATTTAACGAACATACTCAGCTAGGTGTCTGCGGGAAATTGTGGCCAGATGTGCTTCATGTTGCTAAGTGTCTTCTTTTCCCCCTCCAGTCTCATCGCAGGTATGACAACAAAAGCAAAAGGAGGACCGGCTCGAAAGGGTTCGGTGGTTAGTCAAACTCCGAGGGTAAGCTGGCAATGATCTGCGCGAGCTTGGTCTGCTCGTTCAAGATGAGCTTCTGGTACTTCTGCTGATGTGTCAGTCAACCACCAATCGAGCTTCGGATGGATACAAGTACATCGGCTGACCTTTTCACTATCTGTCATCTCCTGCAAAGCGTCTTCCGCGAGCTGGTTTAGCTCTCTGCGAAAGCCATCCATTTCCTTCTCAAATGCCGCCTGAGAGCCCTGCGTCAAGGACAGTCCAGCTGCACCACCACCACCACCACCACCACCAGAATCTTTGCTATTGCCGAGGATCTCGCGCAGAGCATCATCGACCCCGTCCTGGGCAGTCTCCTACTCTGTCCATAACTGATCGAGGTCTCGCTCGAGGGTGGCCAGCCGCTTGCTGATGGCGCCGACGTGCTTGCCGATGTGCACCTCCTCGGTGCGCGTCTGGCTGCTGGCACCCGAGCTGCTCCCGGGCAAGGCGAAGCGGACCTCGGTGCGAGTCTCGGACAGGGGCCGGCAGACGTGCTCGTACTGCGACTTCAACGACGCTACGAAGGCCTGGTCGGCATCTGTCAGCGCCGAGACCTGTTCCTCGAGGCTCGACTGTGCGTCTGAGAGCTGGGAAGCGGCTGTGACGTAGAGATTTTGGGCAAGAGTAATGTAGTTCTCTATTACGATATCAGCACGAATGAGTCGTTCGAAGCGGAGGAGTGAGCCGGCGGCGCTGTGTATCTTACCCTTGAGGGTGTCTACAGTCGTCAGCTCGGGTGTCACGCTCGAGGATGAAGCGTCCTTGTGACGCCGCTGTGGCAGGGACCCTGTCTCCTTGTCCGTGGACCGCCCCGCAGCCACGCCGCCGAATGAGGTCTTGAGCTTGTCAAAGAATGCCTTGTTCGGGTCGGCAAGCCTGACTTCGGGTGACGACGGCAGGACCTCCTGGGATGGCGGGGATGGCGGCTCGGTCTGCAGGCGCTCCAGGAAAGTCTGTCTCCGCACTATGGAGCTCGGCGTGAAGCCCTGCTTGGACGAGAGCCGGGCAGGGCTCTGCTGGCGGTCTGGCGTCTTCCGCTGCAACATGCTCTCGGGAATTCCAGATGGTGGGTGACACGGCAGATGCAGGAACGGGTTTCTGTTTGTCTCAGGATCGGCGGTGGAACGCGCGGGCTGGCATCTGCTTCTCCACGCCATGCAATTTGGCCCGTCCTTTTGAGTTTCGAATTCTATTTGCTAATTCTGTTGTCATACAATATTATTTTACTGTGCTGCCAATTTGTTTGCAGTTTTTCTTTCTATGGTGGGAGCCTGCGTAGCTGCCAGCGCTGTACAGGCAGAAGGAAGGTGCGGCCCCTCGAGTCACGATTCTGCGACCCGTGCAAACTGAGGCAGGATCAGGGATGGTGCCTGCCCTCTTTGCCTGGCAGTGGGTACAAGTATTTTGCAGGAAACTTGCCTTGGACATTCGGGGAAGGCCGAGATATCAAGCTGATGCAGATCATTCATTTGGAATGGGAAGCAAAGCGTAGACATGGCTGGCAGGACGTCTGACCCTTTCTGTTCATCCGCTCCTCTAGGCTGGCTGTCTTTTCCGCGGGAGGTTGGTTGAAGACATCGTGTAATTCGTTGCATACCTACGCCCCACGGCTTCGCAACCCTTTGGAGAGCTGAACACTGCCTGGCATCTTTGACCCAATCTTCACTGCTCTCGGGAAAATACAAGTACAGAATACACATTATCTCGAAGCAGCTAGACACAGCTAACCTACACAGGCAAGTGGGCGTTTGAGCTCGGTTGACAGGTCTTGTCCTTGCTACCATCTTTGAGCTAAATGACGATAGGCAGGGGTTGGTGACCAGGATGCTCCTCCTGCTTACCAGGGATGCTCGAGATCAAGTGGCCGCCGTTGGATATCAGCGGGGAATCGATGGTGAACCTGTGCCCCCGCCTCTTTGTTCCTCGGCGGCGGCAAGCTTAGCAAGTACAAGCTCTCTTGGCTGACAGCCCTAGGAGGACATGTACCGAAAGACACGCACCCCGTAGCTGGTTCAGGAACAGGGAGCGGCGCGGGACGGCGGTCGAGGTCCACAATTGTGCAAGACGACCTGCCGCGTCGAGATTAGCTCAACTGCCCGTGTTCCGATTGCATGGAGGCCTACATCAATGCAACTGTCTGTGCGACCTGGATGATCCGGAAAGCAAACCTCGCCCCAGGAAACGAAGTCACCCCAAGTGATCGCCTTCGCGGATTGTGCCCAGACAGCTTGTGCCTGCCAAGATCTTGCCATGGCGGGTCATGTCGCGACTAGATTATCTTGCTTTTGCCGTGCTAGCTTGACGATGGAAAGACAAAACAGTGCATCAATTAGACAGGAGACAGGGTAGAGACCAAGCAGTTCTCACTGCTCAGGTAGCTCCCCAATTGATCGACAGAAGACCAGAGACGCCCTCATCTCCGCCGACGAATCAAGGTGTGCTCAGCTGCCTTATCTGGCAATCGCTTCGGGGCCGACGACCCGCATCGCGCACACACACACCACGCGTACTCCGTACTCCGTACACTCATTCGCCTTGTACAGCACGAGCTCACACCAGTTACTCTGTAGTTCTTGTCAGTAGCCCGCCGCCCCTCGAGCCCTGGCGTCATATATTGCCCTGAACATCCAGCGCCGTGCGCCTGGCCCAGGTAGATATGTTCCCGGAAACCCTTGGGCCCATTCCCAAAATGGCAGGCTGTTTGCTGAGCGTCGGGAGACGAGGCCTTGCATCCTCTCCAATCTCCAATTTCCAATCCACGTCTGAAGCGAGGTGACATGGTCTGTCTCATGCAGCAGCGCGCGTGGCCGGGGCACGAACAAACCGGCCCAGCCATTGGGAATTGGTTGGAGACCTTTCCCCGCAGCTCCTTGTCCACCAAACTTGTCGCATCCCGGCTCATTCTCCCGCCGCCCTGACGACGGAGCTTGGGCGGGTTGCATGCGCATCCCAATTAATCTGCTTCCACGCATATATAGAAGGCATGCTCCTCTGGAGTAGCTTTTTTTTTTACACTTTTAGCCTGCCTTCCCTACCCCCTTGGCGTTCATTCGTTCTTCGCCGGTGCGGTTGATTCTTATTTATCTCTGAGAGCTCTCGTGCACACAGAGGAACCTTTGCTTTGCCTGACAGCAAAGTATAACTTCCTGGTCTGTACGCTGCAGTACTCCTTCCTCCTGTCCAACCAACATCTCGTCCTCGCAGCTACTTCTGAGTGACGTGAGCCATCATGCGTTCGGGCGTCTTCTACGCCGCAATTGCGGCCCTCCAGTCCCTAGCCAGCGCCGATGCCGTCGTGGAATCGCTTCATGGCGTCCCCCAAGGCTGGAGGAAGCTGAAGGATGCCGAGTCTGATCGTGTGCTCAAGCTCAGAATCGCGCTTGAGCAACCCAATACGGCACTGTTCGAGCAGACTTTGTACGAGGTCTCCGACCCGGAGCACCCGCTCTACGGCAAGCACCTTAAGCGGGATGAACTCAAGGAGATGATGAAGCCCCGCGCCGAGTCCACCGACGTGGTGCTCAGGTGGCTGCGGGAGGCTGGTGTCCCGAGCAACATGATTGAGGATGCTGGTGACTGGATCAACTTCAAGACCACTGTTGGTGTCGCCAATGATATGCTCAAGACCACCTTTGGCGTGTACGAGCACGAGGAGACCGAGACCGTCAAGGTCCGCGCGACCAAGTACTCTGTGCCCGACGAGGTCAAGAGCCACATCACTATGGTTGCCCCCATCACTCGCTTCGGCCAGCTTCGAGCCATGCGCAGCCACATTTTCGAGATCATCGACGTCGCTCAGGCCAAGGCCAATATTCAGGCTGTCGACGGTCCTGCCGCGGACTTCGACCTCTCCACTTGCAACGCCACCATCACTCCGCAGTGCCTGCGAGCCCTTTACAAGATTGGGGACTACACGGCCAAGCCAGTCGAAGGCTCCCATATGGGTGTCGCCGGCTACCTTGACCAGTATGCCAAGTACGGCGACTTGGCGCTCTTCAAGCCGGCCTATGCCCCCTACGCCTTGGACGCCACCTTCGATGTCGTTTCCATCAATGGCGGAAAGAACATTGAGAACTCGACCCTCGACAGCGGCGAGGCCAACCTGGACATCCAGTACGCCCTGGCCATCAACTACAAGCAGCCCACCACCTACTACACGACCGGTGGCCGAGGGCCTCTGGTCCCGGACCTTGATCAGCCAGACCCGGACAACAGCTCCAACGAGCCCTACCTCGACTTCCTCGAGCACATGCTCAGCCTCAAGGACGACGAGCTCCCCCAGACGCTCACGACGTCCTACGGCGAGGACGAGCAGTCCGTGCCCCGGCCCTACGTGGAGAAGGTCTGCCAGATGTTCGGCCAGCTCGGCGCCCGTGGCGTCTCCATCCTCTTCTCCTCGGGCGACACGGGCGTCGCGTCCGCCTGCCAGACCAACGACGGCAAGAACACCACCCGCTTCCTGCCCATCTTCCCCGCCGCCTGCCCGCACGTGACCTCCGTCGGCGGCACCCGCTACGTCGAGCCCGAGTACGCCGTCAGCTTCTCCTCCGGCGGCTTCTCCGACGTCTTCCCGCGCCCCAGGTGGCAGGACGCCGCCGTGGGCAAGTACCTCGAGAAGCTCGGCGACCAGTGGAAGGGCCTGTACAACCCCAACGGCCGCGGCTTCCCCGACGTCGCCGCCCAGGGCGTCCGCTACCACGTCTTTGACCACGGCAGGGACGCGCTCATCTCGGGCACGAGCGCCTCGGCGCCCATGTTTGCCGCGCTCGTCTCGCTGCTCAACAACGCGAGGATGGCGGAGGGCAAGCCGCCCCTGGGCTGGCTGAACCCGTGGCTGTACAAGGAGGGCTACAAGGGCCTGACCGAGTAAGTCGCAGAAAAACTTCCCAAGATCTCCCCATCAGCAGTGGACGTGAACAAAAAAACGCTAACCCCTCGATTCTGCAGTATCACCCACGGCGGTTCGACCGGTTGCACTGGTAGGGACATCTATAGCGGGCTGCCCACCCCCTTTGTGCCGTATGCCTCGTGGAACGCCACCGAGGGCTGGGATCCTGTCACCGGCCTCGGCACTCCTCTCTTCGACAAGCTTCTCGAGCTCAGCAAGTCGGCCAAGCCCTGCACCAAGAAGCGCTCCGTGGCTTCGAGGAAGTTCCAAGCCTAGATAGACATCTTGTAGTGTAATCCCTAAATATGCTATCCGGCCCCGGACGCGCGCATTAGACGTACATTAGCCATTGATGTAGAAGCACAATAAAGAAAGAATTAGTTAACGTCTTGTCCGAGAATGGGATTATAGTCGCCATTCTGCCAATCGGCTTTGGGTATGGGTATAATTATCCGTTGGAGGGGGTTTGCATTCCAGTCGCTCTGCCCGCCTCGGTTTGAGTCCTGAGACCATACAGCAGCTTTTTGTGTTCAATACGTGTCAGGCTTGATGAGGACAGGCATCTCCAACATGAAATACGGCCAGAAGTCCTCGGACAAAGAAGACCAGGTCCCCAGTGATAAGGATTTCCTTTAGGTCTGACAAGTCGAAGCTCAGAACCTGAAAGGGAGAAGAAAAGGTGCATGTATCTAGCAGAGGAAATTGACAATAGTCCATACGGCGTTTCGATTTGGTGTGTCGCTAGATAATGGCTATCTTTTCTCACTCATCCGTCCATGCATCCATCATCGATCCCGCCGACATCATCGGCCTATACCCGCCTCCTCGAGAGGCTCCCGGACTCGCCTTTACGACCATAAAACCATAAAACCATAAAACCCTCTCAAGATCTTCCGAGCGCGCACGACCACGATATTATCCCTCTTTCAAGAGTGGAATAGCTGGTTGTCGACCTCGAGCACGCGGCTCGCGTAGACTCTCGCAAGCTCGTCGGGATGATCCCTGAGCTCGGCATACTCCTCCTCCCCCAGCCAGACGTGCTTCATAAGTCTGTAAAACTTCGCGTTCACGGTGGCACGGATAGCAAAGTCCCACTCAAAGTATAACCGGTAATACGGCAAGTCGTGCGCCACGCGGAGTGCCTCCCGGAGCGAGTCTCCAACAGAGGCCATGATCTTGGTGCGCATTTTGTCGAACTCCTCTCCTTTCAAGTCCTCGATGGCACGGGCCCCTTGGCTCTTGAGGATCTCGGTCCTCCATAGCAAGCCCGATACCAGGAGCTCGTTTACCAAGCGCACAGCAGACCGGTAAGAAGAATCAGGATCCGAATCCAGTTCACCGACTGCATACTTGCCATTCAGGCGGAGACGCCCGGCCAGACGTTCCCATTCAGCTTTGGGAATGGGCTCCATCGCCGTAACCTTCTTCAGTCTGTGCATGCGATGCTGGCAGAACGCATCCCAGGGCGTCAAGTAGTCTTTCCAGCCATATTGGACGCCGGTTGGATCGAGCGAGACTTCCACCCCAGAGGGCATTGTGATGTGAATCGCTTGATGCAAGACATCCGCGTTGACATCCTCGAGCCGCGCCGATCCATCGCTGTTGGTACAAGCTCCGTATAAGATTGTACGATGCATGTTCTTGGCCTGAAAGCCGACCACGTGGGCGGACTTGCAGGTGCCTTGATTTTGACTTGACATTAGTATTTCCTCAAAATGTTTGATTTCCCCCGCAGAAGGAACAAGAGACAAGACTTACGTCGAAAGAAAATCTCAAAAAGGGCCCGTGAATCGACCACAGTCGCGGTGCACTGGCCATTCATCAAGGTCTGAAGGGCGAGCTCAGGGGTTTCCGCTTTCTCAAATTCGGCGGGAATCAAGACATGCTTGCCCAGGAAGGCCCGGGACTCGAGGCCCTCGTAGACCGAAACGTTCATTCCATCCTTCTCCGAAATCGTTCGCCATTCTCTCGTCTGTGTGACTTTGAGGAGCTCAACAAGTGTCTCCTGAAACATTGAGCTCGCGCGTCCCAGCCTCTGCCAGTCCCGGCAGGCTGCCCGATGAGTCTTCCGGTGACCAACCTGGCATTCTTTGCTGCAGTAGGCCGTGCTAAAGACAACATGCTTGTCGATAAGCACGAGGCAACCGCCGCACTTTAGAGGTGCGGAGTCCTTGTCACAGTGAGCGCACCGGGTCGAATCTGAGGTTCGGGGAAGAAATTCGTGCGAGACAGGATCGTTGGATGGAGGCCGCGTGAGAGTGCCGTCACTCGAGAACGGATAGTCCTCCTCCTTGCGGCCCCTCGCTATCCAGCGATAGTATGCCAGCTGCCGTTGCTTGGCGAGCGGCCCTTCCTCGAGAGGGTCTTTGAAAAGTGCTAAGCGCCCGAGAAGCGAGCAGAATTGGTAAATCTTGCGACGTCCTTTGACAATGTCGTTTACGTACGCGAGAAGGATTTTCGCATCCGGATCGACCGAGTCCCTGGTCGACATGTCCTCTTTGAAGGAAAGAAATGGCAATAGAAATGCCATCCCGGTGGCCGTCGTATCGATCGAGGCACGAGGGTCGCCCATGGGATCTGGTAGACGCGCAAAAAGCGCCGTGACCGGGTCGTCCATGGTTGTTGATGGATCTCAGATTGCTTTTGGGGAAAGTTGAGCGGGCATTCGAACTGAGTACTGAAGATCGGGGTCAAGAAGTTGATGCAGTTAACCTTTCAACTTTGTCTTGGCCTAAGGCAAAGGTGAGTCGGAGTTGACAGTAATGTCTTTGGGGAAAACACAAAAGATTGATGGTCCAGTTTTAGAGAAAGCCGTACGAAGATTCCACCAACGTGGATTTTTTTTGTGGCTGTGTTCTCTCGTAATAGCTGTGAACGAGTTTCACCTTGAGAAGTTGCAAGAGGCAGCATTATCTCCCCTCCAACTCGATCCAATACTTCCAAGAGATTTGCAATCTACCACTAGAGTCGCTTAGTCCCATAGCTTGAACTAGAAATCAAGATCACGTTGAATACTCGTTCCATCACATGTTTTGGGCAGTGAGGTAACTCTTCTATGTGAGAGTCTCCAAAAGGCTGTCCTACTAACTAAGTACTCATTTCCCTTGAGATATATTCACCTTACTTGATAAACGCATGTCCACTATCAGAGATTCGTAGAGCATTAGAAACGGCCGAAAAATATGGCCACGGATAATGGTGGAAAGTGGTTTGATGGAGGAGTTTTGCTCCATCGAACTTCAGGTTCGTGCTGAGAGCCGGAAAATCGCGTAGCCAAACACTGGAGGCCTCATTCCAGCCTTCCGTCGAATCCTTGAGACTTTGATGTCTCTCGTGTGAAATATTCCCCACATGACACTCTATTTGTTTTGTGACAAGATGTTACCTAATGTTCTCGACCCATGGTTAAATTTGGGAAAGTTGAATACGAGCAAGAGGAGCAAGGCTGAGATACAGTCAGACTTTAATTTGACTTGCCATAAGTTATCTAGGGCATGCTGTCTAATGCGAGCCATAAAGCGTTAATCTACAAGGAATATCAATCCCCCTCTAGGTATGGAGCACTGTATATCTGATATCCTACAACTGGAACTAGCTCGCTAACTATTTACCAACTCCGAAGACCCAACCCCCCTCTCTGCATCAGCCTTGACAAGGGCATGGTCTGCCAGTCTAACCAACTCTGCTACAAAGCTCTCAACCATTTGCAGATTGACAAGTTCGTTTGGCGTCCATTCCCGAGATAACATACGTTCGTGAAGATCCGGTGCTAAGTTGAGCAGTTTCAGGTCCTCCCTAGCCCGAGAGTCGTGCGGGTGCATGAGTATGGACGAGAAGAGCGTGAGCATTGCCGACATTGGGTAGAAGGAGACGAGCCTATTGAGCATTCTTGGTCAGCAATCGCAATCAACCAGAGTCTCACACATCATTCTTGCAAGTGGAGGAGAGGAGGTTTTGTCTTATCTTACCAAAAAGCGTCCTCGAAGAGATAGTGAATTGTTTGTCGGAGGTAGAAGAGGGTGGTGCGGCTCGCCTCGACGGATAGAGAGAGGCTCGATCCGAGGCCGTCAACTGCACAGCTCTCTCCGTCCGTCCAGGCACGGCAACGGCCCACAGCTCGATGGATCGTGGCCACTAGATAGTGGTATTCAAATTGGATCAGGGTGCAGTGCATGATCTGAGGGTGCGGCAGGCTCAGATCGATCGCCTGCTCCTGCGAGTAGAATAACTGCGGCCGGTTGAGCACCGGAAGCGAGATTCGCCATCGCTCCAACTCCTCGTCGAGTTCTCGTATAGTTTTGACGACATCGGCGTCAAGCTTCCTAAGGGCGTTTGCCGAGTAGAGCACCTTGTACGTCTTGGACTTGATGATGGATAGCCGCAGGTCTCCGGGGAGCCAGGGGGCATCGACCTGATCTTGTAGAGCAAAAGGGACCTCTTGAAGGCGGTGTATAGTCTCTAAATACTGGGGTGGGAACGTCAAATCGCAATGTTCATCCTCGATGCATGGCGGCAGGCCGGTCCTGAGCGCCATGTCCTTGTCAAAGGTATAGCAAAGCCAGAAAAGCTTTCGGATGTGGGTTTGAACTCTCCATGCTGAGTCTTGCTCTGAATTTGGCTGCTCTGCACACGGCTGTTGTGTTGGATGCATTTGGCCGCCGAGCATGAAGACCATACGGCATGCGAGCGCATGTGTTTTCAATGCTCCCTCCATTTGCCCGGTGAAGAGGTGGTACAATGTCGTCATAAGAAGTTAGCACTTTATCACGATATAATATGTGCGTCATCATAGACTCACTAGCATTGAGATCGTTTCTAAAGCGTTCAGGTTTGTGACTTGGAGAAGATAGGGCAGGAGATGTTCCGATTTGGAAGCGCATGCGTCGCCATCGATGCTGGGCTTCAGCGTACGGAACTCGATCCGTGCAACAGAAATGAGTGCTAGGAAGGCGAAGATAGCAGCCTTGGCGCAGATGGCTTCGAGCCCAGGCTCGCCCCCAGGTGGCTCGTACGCCGAGTCGATTGTATGCCGGAAGAGGACATGATCGACGACTGGAAACACCAACTTGAAATGGGAATCTCGGAAGGCTTTGAAATAGGTCTCGACTAGATGTCTTGCAGGCAAATCTAGATTTGAACGTGCCAAGGTGAATCCTCGAAGCATCAAGGGTGTGAACTGTCTGCTCTTCTTCAGGGCCTCGGCAATGTCGATCATATGAGGCCTAACATCCTGGCCGGTCCTCGATTTGATCCACTCTAGTCCGTGTACGGAAAAGAGAGGGATACCACGGTATGAGCTGATCTCACCAAGCTGGTAGCCGGCGAAGTGCATCTGTCCGAAAGCGGGACGCGGAGACTGGAGTTGTGCCGTGGGAACGGGGGAGTGATTGGTCAGAGCCGCGTTGGAGGGTGTCTTGGCTGTATCCCTCCCACACACACGCGGGTCCGAAACGTCGGACCCAGAAGGTGGTGTGGCTCCGGATGGACTGTTTGAAACAGAGGAACGGCTCAGATCCTGCTCGCGTCGGCCTCTGCACATTTACCGGGTTTGTTAGTTGTCATCGATCTCTGCGGCATCAAACCGGCTCATATCCGAGAGGCTGGATCGTATGCCAAGATGGATGGGTCCGTAGTACGTACTTTGTGCGTTTGGCTTTGGTAATCTTCTTGCTAGCCCATCTGTACGTACATGCAAGACCGTGATGCTTGCACCAGTTGCACTGAGGGACTGCATTGTCACAATGGATCTTGGTTTGATGTCATCAGGGTCGTATGTCCATGGCGATCAGGGGAGGACATCACATACCTTGTTGTTGTGACAACAATCACAAGCTTTTCTTTTCGCCATAGCTAATACCGGGAGAAAGGTCTCACATATTCGAGTTCAAGCTTGCGGCCTGCATGTGGGTCGTGTCAAACGATGGGAGAGAACGCCAGAATCCCCGGGCCTTTTGTCCAGGACGCCTCACCTCTATGGTAGTAGCGACGGCTAGTCGGGCACCTGAAATTCAAACCGAATTGAGATAAAAGGGCGAAACACCGAGCGGGCGGACATATCGGGACGCGGAGGATGTGAGATTTGAAAGCTGATACTCGAGATGGATAAGCATTGCCGATGACTAATCGCTAAAGTGAGCCTTGCAGACCCAGCTCTCGGTAGTTGCCGGCCTGGCGGTGGGCCGAGTGGGGCCGTTGGATCCGGAGGATGCTCGTCTCATCATTCAGACAGCCGCAATGTGTCTGTGTATGAGCACAAGCAACGCAAAGCCATGGCCAGATAAGTGGACGATCTGTTAGCAGAGGTACTTGACTGTCCATCAAACTCCATTGATTTTAGGTAGTGGAATAGCCCCTGCGAGGTCCAGAGCAAGGATAGCATTGCTAGCATTGAGGTATCGACCTGCTAAGCATTCGTCAGCTATTCTGGCGCTCCGCTTGCGAGGCAATCATTGAAGCTGCGACGGGACGCAGTGCTGCAGATTTCATGGCTCTTTAGGACTGCTGCTCCATAAATAAGGGTGGCTCTTTGATAAGGTTGCTTAAGCTTTGTGTACACAAGGCTCACCCAGGGTCAGAACTCCTGGTTGCCGATGACTAATCGGCCGCCCATCATGTCGAGTCGTGCCTCCGATGGGACTCGGCTTGCAGAAGCAAATGCGATATGGGGCTAGGATTGCGACGGGCTGACGGGTTGTTATGTTTGACCGTTGCTGTCTTATATTTATACCTTCGTCCAGAGCGTGTCATTCATTCAGTTTCAAGATCTTACCGACCTTAGCAGCGAGGCTTCCCTTTTGTCCCAGATATAGACAGTCCTCAGGTTTTTCGTACGTTGCTCGATCTTCTGTCCGGATTTATACTCTCTTATTGTTCTTTAATCACGATTTTTAATATCGTTCTGCACAAGATGCAGTCCGAGAACGCAAGCACGGTGGTACCCGACGGCCCACAGTCCAGCTCCGACGCATCGGACAATACACAGGACGAAAAGACATGGGCACTCGAGTGGAAGGTCAGGCAGAAACGTGAAAGGGAAGAAAGATCTGGCATACCTGCCAGACAGCTAGGTGTCACCTGGGAGAACCTCACGGTCAAGGCCGTGGCCAATGACGCGGCAATTCACGAAAATGTTGCAACTCAATTCAATCTGCCTCGGGTTCTGCGCGATGCCAGACACAAGCCTCCCATGAAAACAATCCTCGATAACAGCCATGGATGCGTAAAGCCTGGAGAGATGCTCCTTGTGCTTGGCCGCCCTGGATCCGGTTGCACAACCCTGCTCAGCGTCCTGGCCAATCGGCGTCGGGGTTATGCGTCTGTTGAGGGCGACGTCTTCTACGGAAGCATGAAAGCCAGCCAGTCCAAAAACTACCGAGGCCAAGTTGTCATGAATACTGAAGAGGAGCTGTTCTTTCCGACCTTGACTGTCGGCCAAACTATGGACTTTGCATCGCGACTCAAAGTCCCTTTTAAGCTCCCAGATGGGTACTCTTCGAAAGAAGAAGTAAGGCAAGAAAACATGGAGTTTCTGTTGGAATCCATGAACATTACCCATACACATGGCACAAAGGTGGGAGATGCCTTTGTGCGTGGCGTCTCTGGTGGTGAGCGCAAACGGGTCAGCATCATCGAGTGCATGGCAGCTCAAGGATCAATCTTCTTCTGGGACAATAGCACTCGAGGCTTGGATGCCAGCACGTGAGTAAACAAGACGACAAGGCATTCTAGAAGATGTATCTGACCTCCTCGCAGGGCTTTAGAGTGGACGAAGGCCATCCGAGCAATGACTGACGTTCTCGGACTGTCCACCGTCGTTACCCTGTACCAGGCCGGCAATGGCATCTACAACCTTTTTGACAAGGTCCTACTTCTAGACGGCGGCAGAGAGGTGTTCTATGGTCCCAGGGAAGAAGCGCGGCCTTTCATGGAAAGGCTCGGCTTTGTTTGCCGCGAAGGGGCCAACGTCGCGGATTTCCTCACCGGCGTGACGGTGCCGACAGAACGAAAGATCAAGCCAGGGCATGAGAGAACATTCCCCCGTCATGCCGCGGCGCTGCGAGACGAATACGAAAAGACGGACATGCATACCCAGATGATCTCTGAATACCACTATCCGACGACAGATGAAGCCAGGGACAACACGAAGGCCTTTAGCGAAGCAATTTCTTCTGAGAAGCATCCTCGCCTGCCTTCGTCAAGCCCCTTCACAGTTGATCTCAAGACCCAGATCAAAGCTTGTGTTACTCGACAGTACCAGATCATCTGGGGTGATAAAGCCACGTTCGTGATCAAGCAGGTTGCCACCATCGTCCAAGCTCTGATCGCGGGTTCGCTTTTCTACAACGCCCCAAACAATTCCGGGGGCTTGTTTTCCAAAAGCGGCGCCCTCTTTTTCGCACTACTGTACAACAGTCTCCTGTCGATGAGTGAAGTGACCGATTCGTTCCGTGGACGACCTGTCCTTCTGAAGCACAAGGCTCTGGCATACTATCATCCGGCCGCTTTCTGCTTTGCGCAGATCACTGCAGATATCCCTATTCTCCTCTTTCAGATCAGTTCCTTCTCGCTTATATTGTATTTCATGGTTGGCCTCACTACGAGTGCCTCGGCATTCTTTACCTTCTGGGCTATGTTGTTAGCCACAACGATGGTGAGTTGCTGATCACGACCAGGTGTGGACCGGAGGAGTTCTGAAGAGCTGACATATTGTAATAGTGTATGACCGCATTGATGCGGGCTATCGGTGCAGCATTCGGCACTTTTGACGCCGCATCAAAAGTGTCGGGCCTGCTCATCAGCGCTGTCGTCATGTACAGCGGCTACATGATCCAGAAGCCGCAGATGCACCCTTGGTTCGTCTGGCTTTTCTGGATCAATCCCCTGGCCTACGCATTCGATGCCTTGCTGGCGAACGAGTTTCATGGCAAGACCATCCCATGTGTCGGCGGCAACCTCATTCCGAACGGCCCTGGCTACACCGATTCTGCCGCCCAATCTTGCGCTGGTGTTCTTGGGGCAATCCAAGGCCAGACTTCTGTTGATGGCGACAACTACCTCTCGGCTCTTCGATATAGCCATGATCATATTTGGAGGAACTTTGGCATCATCTGGGCTTGGTGGGCCTTCTTCGTCGTTATCGTTGTGGTCTGTACTTCTAGGTGGCGATCATCCTCCGAATCCGGACCCTCGCTACTTATCCCCCGCGAGAAGGCCAAGGTTGCCGGACATATCCTTCGGAGTGACGAAGAGGCGCAAGTTGGGGACGAAACAGCTGTATCGAGCAGCGAAGAGCAGCAGAGAGAGAAGAACGGCTTGCGGTCCGAGGGAGGACTTCTGCAAAACACGTCCATTTTCACGTGGAAGAATTTGTCTTATACGGTGAAAACGCCTTCTGGAGACCGTCAATTGTTGAATGATGTGCAAGGATGGGTCAAGCCAGGCATGCTCGGTGCCCTGATGGGAGCTTCCGGTGCCGGCAAGACCACACTGCTCGACGTCCTTGCTCAGCGAAAGACCGAAGGAACTATCCGCGGATCGATCATGGTTGATGGCCGACCTCTTCCGGTTGCCTTCCAGCGTTCGGCTGGCTACTGCGAGCAACTTGACGTGCATGAGCCTTTTTCAACAGTGCGCGAGGCGTTGGAGTTCTCGGCTCTCCTGCGTCAAAGCCGGAGTGTACCACGTGAAGAGAAGCTGCGCTATGTTGACACCATTATTGACCTCCTGGAACTACACGACCTTGCGGACACGCTCATTGGCCAGGTTGGTGCTGGCTTGAGTGTAGAGCAGCGCAAGAGAGTCACAATCGGCGTTGAACTGGTCGCCAAACCAAGCATCTTGATCTTCCTGGACGAGCCCACCTCTGGCCTGGATGGCCAGTCGGCGTTCAATACGGTTCGATTCCTGAGGAAGCTTGCGGAGGCAGGCCAAGCGGTACTTGTGACGATCCACCAACCGTCAGCTCAGCTGTTCGCCGAGTTTGACACGCTGTTGCTTTTGGCCAAGGGTGGTAGGACTGTGTACTTTGGAGACATTGGCGAGAATGCGAAGACGGTCAAGGACTACTTTGGAAGATACGGCGCGCCATGCCCCATGGAGACGAACCCGGCGGAGCACATGATTGATGTTGTCTCTGGCCATCTTTCCCAAGGCAAGGACTGGGCAGAGGTTTGGCTCAGCTCGCCGGAGTACGACGCAGTCACCAAGGAGTTGCACTCCCTCATTGCCGATGCGGCCTCGAAAGCTCCCGCATCGCACGCGGACGATGGCTTTGAGTTTGCTATGCCGTTGTGGGATCAAGTCAAGATCGTGACCCAGCGCATGAACATGTCCTTGTTCCGCAATACCGACTACATCAACAACAAGTTCGCTTTGCACATCTTTTCTGCGCTGTTCAACGGCTTCTCCTTCTGGATGATTGGCGACTCGGTGTCGGATCTTCAGCTCCGGCTCTTCACCATCTTCAACTTCATCTTCGTCGCACCTGGTGTGATCGCCCAGCTGCAGCCCCTATTCATCGAACGGCGGGATATCTTCGAAACCCGCGAGAAGAAGTCCAAGATGTACTCTTGGGTTGCATTCGTTACCGGCCTCATTGTATCCGAGATCCCGTATCTCTGCATCTGCGCCGTATTATATTATGTGTGCTGGTACTACACAGTTGGTTTCCCGAGCAACTCGCATCGTGCAGGAGGTACGTTCTTCGTGATGTGGCTCTATGAATTTCTCTACACGGGAATCGGGCAGGCAATCGCAGCCTACGCGCCGAACGAGGTCTTCGCGTCGCTCATCAACCCTCTTGCTATCGGTATTCTGATATCTTTCTGTGGTGTCCTCGTCCCGTACTCCCAGATCCAGGTCTTCTGGCGGTACTGGCTCTACTACCTGAACCCGTATAACTATCTTATGGGGAGCATGCTCGTATTCGACTTGTGGGGGACCGATGTGACCTGCAAAAACCATGAGTTCGCGCTGTTCGACCCTCCCAACAGCACTACCTGCGGGGAATACCTGTCTGGATACATGGAGGGCATGGGGGCTGGTTCTCGGCTCGTCAACCCGGAGGCCCTCTCCAGTTGCCGAGTCTGCCCTTACCGCGATGGAAGCGACTATCTTCGAACTCTCAACCTGCTGGAGTACTCGTACGGCTGGCGAGATGCTGGGATCCTTGCACTCTTCGTGGCCAGCTCGTACGCCATGGTCTATGGCCTGATGAAGCTCCGTACCAAGGCCTCCAAGACGGCCGAGAGCTAAGGTACTACGTTTTGGTGCCTGCAGTTATCAGTTTGGAAGCCTCCCATTGTTGCTCCCTTAGCGCTCTTTCCCTTGATATGTTGCTGCACCTCCTGGGGCCTGGTCGGGTTCATTTTGCACATAGACATAGACATGGAGTAGAGCTCAGGAAAAATATTTTATTGGGATATGAATAGAGATAGAGAAGGAGAAAGACAGGCAGAGAAAAGGAGACAGCCAGGCAAAGGCACGTGAGGGTCATGGGTCCCATTATCATGTTTGCTCGGCTCTGAATAGCCGAAGTTCTCCCGGTGTCCTGTACCATTAACGCTATTCTTGGGCTGCACCAACCCTCACAGAAGGACAGCAGTCACTGAGAAGACATCTGCAATTTGTTTGCATCTCGCCCTGCAAGTGTCTCTTCTTTTCAATCTCTTCCCTGGGCTTAAGTCTGGGTACTTAGCTCAAAGAGTCCTCAGATTCGTTCCCAACCCCTTTTCAGAACTGGACCTTCTTCTTTTGTTGGCACGCCAGGCATCCAAGTCCCATCCTGGAAGTCACACAGACCAATAACGGAAGCCATCTCCCACAGGTGGCAGCCTGCTCAAGTTCTGTCTGCTTCTGAACGCACAACCCCCCTCTTCACCTCCAACACATCCCCAATCTTCACCTCCAACGCATCCCCAATCTTCACCTCCAACACATCCCCAACCCCTCCCATCTGTCACTTCAAGTTGTATCATCCTCACCGCATCTGCATCAAAATCTGACCTCCTCAAGGTGTGAAGGTGTGATCAGCAAGCATGGATGACCCAATTGAGGTGCTGTTCTCCTCCCTGCCTTCTCCCAGGGAGATGGACTCTGCCTGTCCGGAGGATGCTGTCAACCTCCAGCGAGTCAGCGACGCACTGTCCAAGTTTGTCGCAGATTCTGCCTCTCAAAAGTCCTGTGACCCAGACGCGATGAACCTATTGCGGTACGCGAGACTGGTCACAAGTGGCAAGAAAGACGCCGCATCCTTCATACGCCACCTATCTCGGTTTGCCTTGTTCAAAAAGACGTTCACAGGCTCTGATACGAAGCAGCGCCAGCTGGAATACTACCGCTGGGTTGGAAGAGGCCGCAAGTCGGTTGAATCCCCCTTCAAGGGTGAATCCGAGCCGGCCGTACTGCCGGAGTCAAACAAATCCCTCACAGAGTATGTTGCACCCACCTGCAATTACTGCAACAAGAAGGGCGTCGACTTCTATTGCCAGGGATGCTACATGGCGTTTGCCGAGGGTGCCTTTCATGCTACATACTACTGCAACGAGGAGTGTCAAGTCCAGGACCTCCCCCGTCATCTCTGGGTTTGCCAGGACTGGAACAAGGTCAGGCGAGCCGCATTGCTCTTCCAGGGATTGATCAATTCGTACATCATCAGGGCCAATGACCGTTGGCTCCTCGGATCCAGAGACATAGATGGCGTCACTGTTGCCAACTTCGACACCCAGGACGCCATGAACTTCATGGGCGGACACCTCGTCCATGACTTTGATTGGCCCGTGGCTGAAGACGGGGATCGAGCTATCGAAGCTCTGATGAATGGCCAGGGAGAAACTGTTCTCAAGCGAACCCGGTGTGTCTTCGATCTCGTCTTCAGAGGTTAGTATCGTCCCCCTCTCTCACCCGGACGACTTGCAAGGAAGCTAACAAACAATCTGCAGTCATCTTTCCATGTGACGTAATCGAAGCAGTGACCTTCTATCCCAAGAACCTCGAGCGCCCGGTTCTGTCCGACACGCCTTCCGGCATCACAAAGCGAGCCATGAAGAGCTTGAACTCCCTAAATCTACACACAGCGTTCCGAATCACCATGGCCTCGGGCTTGAAAGTCATGTATGATCCTACATGTCGGCAGTTTGGCTGGATGGACTACCTCACTCCACTCGGCCTCTACCAGGCCGTCCGCATGCACCATGTGCAAAACGTCGTCCGTCTCTCCCCAGTGCCCATAGACCCTGCGGCTCGACAGATGTTCGGCGATCCCGAATGTCCAAACCCACCGACCTGGGCGCCAGCACATTCCGTCGGCTACCTCCAGGATGCCCTGGCTGGCCGTCTCTACGAGTCAATCAGCAAGTCGCTCGTTCACCGGGATGACATGGCTCTGATCACCTCACATTTCATGAACGCCAACTATAAATATTATCATGTAATCTGTCGTCGTATCGTGGACACTGCTAGCCAGTGCCTCGATGAGGCGAACAAGGAGCAGACGGCGCTCCCTTCCTTCAAGGCCTACTACGATCCCGCTGGGCGCCGGGGAGTCACCCGGTCCGTTGGAGAGTACAACCTGATGGTCCCAATCTGGTTCACCGAAGAGGAGTACAACGAGATCGTGCACGATCGTCCCAGGATCGTTGACGAGTGGCTCAACCGCTTCAAGAGGAGCCTCGATGAGACGAGGCATGAGGACGAACAGAAAAAGCGCGAGCGGGAAGAGGCGCGACGGTGTGCAGAGAACAGGGTTCGCTCCGCAAGAGAGGAGCAACTGTCTCAGGACAATAAACACCTCAAAGAGCTCGATAAAGAGATGGGAACGCTCGGGGATGAGCTTGGGGATATGGAGAGCGAGATAGAGGCGAACACACGGACGATGGAAAAGAATGAGAAGCAAATGCAGCTGCTCCGAGAGAAGATCGAGCAGGTCAAACACGAGAGAGCCATGGCCCAGAACATGGTAAAGGCACTCGAGTTCCACATTGCGCGCCTCAACGGCGGAAGAGTCTAAGGGTGCAAGGATGAAGAGGCGATCTGATAGCTGCATGAAGAGGAAGCTGGCTTGCTTGCTTGCTTGAGTTATGCTTTGCATGGAATACGGATATGGTAATGGGAGGGGAGGCCCTGTATGGTATGGTCGATTTGGCAGCTGTGTGAGAGGGAAGCTGATCTGCTTGCTCGACATATGCTTTGCACAGATACGGTAATGGGAGGGGTGGACCGGTATGGTATGGTCGATCTGGTAGCTGTGTGAGAAGGAAGTTGGTCTGCTTGCTCGAGTTATGCTCTGCGCGGATGCGGTAATGGGAGGGGAGGGCCTGTGTGGGATGGCCGTGTATTGGAAGCCTACAGACTAGCAGTGTTACTTTGCGCTGAAATACAAAGCTATCCTCTTCTTCTTTGGCAAACAGTGTAATGGTGGATCAAGAAAATTCCGTGAGTCTTAGCTACCGAGCGATACCATCTCCTTCTCTTCTCCTTCATCGATGTCAGAGGCCATGCTCTCTAACATAGCCCGTAATTGGCAAGGCATCATCGTGAAGTGAAGTGAATCATTCCTTTAATGAATCAATTCTGTCTCTCTGCAAAGCCAAACAAAGTCCAGAACTTGCATCTTCAGTAGGAAACGCGCTGCCCAGTCGTCAGAGGAAGGCAGCACTGCCAAAAGGATAAGCAGGGGAGCCAGGCATATTGTGGTAGAGCCCGGCCTTGTCAAGCAGAGGGAACCACAGGCGGTGCAAGTCGGTCTGCTTGTCCTTGAGCGCCTCATACAATGCCTGGTGCAGCCAGACTTTCTTGAGCCTGTCGGCGTCCTCCGTCGTGCCGCACACCTCGGGAATCAAGAAGCTGTTCATGAAGAATCGGTTGCTGGGATCAGAGTACCAGTTCAGAGCCCGGCTGTCGATGGCATCTTTGCAAGCCTCCAAGAGACGACCCTGGGTGGACAGGAACTCATCGTGGCCGAGATTCGTCATATTGAACATGCCGCCGCCCTTGAAAATCTCCGCGTTGAGGACCGTGGTCAGCTTGATCATCATGATGGTTCGTGTGGTGAGGACCTCCGCCACCTGCTGGCCTTGTGCCGACCCGTACCTCATCAACATATACTGGTGCTTTTCCGGCCTCACGATGTCATTGGGGCCGGTGGCCGAGATGATTTGCTGGACTCGATGGCTTTCGTACGCCTCCCACGGCGTGATGACCTCTGACCAACCAAACTGGGCGCCGGTTGGGTCGAATGCGAGCTCGATCCCTGACTCAGTCGTGAGGCGGATCAGGTCATGGCTCTCCATGGAGATGAAATGCTTCAGTATGCCGGACTTGTCGCCGTCCACGTTGCAGGCCGGGCGCTCGACGTTTTTCGGGAGCACAGAGACGCGCTCAATCGACTTGACCAGGGGGAGTCTAGTTGTGATCGCTCCGCCAAAGAAAATGACAAGGTCGGTGCCAACTCTTCTGAAGAAGGTCTTGAGCATGTTTTCAAAGTTGTCCAGGCACTCGCGGGTCTGGATAGCCAGCAGGGACGCCACGGCCTCCTCGCGAGTGCGAGCCAGATGGGTAGGAAAGCTGTGGAAGGCAATGCCTCCGGTGTAGGCCTTGGGCGCGAGGCTCGCCAGAGTGTTGACGACCAGCCCGTCCTTCTCGGTGATGTCCGTGAGGTCGTGGTAGTTCATCTTGAGGAGGTAGTGCACAAACACCTCTTTGAACATGGATGCTGCGCGGCTGACTCGCTGCATTTCCTCGCAGGCTGTCTTGTGTGCGGCCCCGTGGGCAAGCTTGCAGGCTTTGTTGCAGTAGGCCTGCTTGAAGGCGCTGCGGCCATCGCTCCGGATGAGGCACTTGTCACAGTTGTGGTTAGCACCGCCCTTGCCACAGTTTCCACAGACGCTGGACAGGATGTCGGTCGGGATGTGCTTGTGTGATGGTGCTTTCTTCTTTTTGGGATGATCTTCGAAGGGGTCGTCTTCGTCCTTGGCGCCGAGGGCGAGCCACCTATAGTACGCCAGGTGCTCGAATTTTTTGTTGGTAGAGCCTTCTCCAATGTTTATGTCGGACGTCGAATCGAGGGCCACAGAAGCCAACTCGCCAATGAAGGTGATAACGTTGGTGTTCTTTGCGAACGCCTCGGCAGCCGCGCGGAGGGACTCTGAGACGGGGTCAACCAGGCCTGGCTTCGAGAGAGCGATTGAAAAGCACTGGATGGCGCAGAAGTATCTGAAAGTTGTCTGCTTGGTCGCTTCGGGGATAGTGCTTGGGGCCTCATGTCGCCCGGCGTCGAACGGGAAGGTCTCTTCCGCCACAAGAGAACGATACGGATGGGTTCTGGGCTCCGGCAGACAGTTGAAGAGGATGTCTCCAGGATCTGCCTCTGCCATCAACATCTGCGCTGCATCGCTATTCAAGATCTTTTCCTCGTTAAATAACATAGAGGCGAGCTTTCCGACTCCACCGTCCACGGCTCCCGGCATACCATGCTCCATGTTGAAAAGTAGACGTGAATAAGGGTCACTTGAGCGAATAGTCAGACGGGAAGGACGAGGCTGTCAAAGGTCTGGGCGGGAACGCTCCGGTATCCTGAGCGTGGTATTAGCAGGGGTGGGGAGAAGTAGTCTGCAGGTCGTAATGAACTGACAGAGATGGTGATTTATGAGCCTGAGGAACGTGATGGGCATGTATTCGATGTGAATAGATAGTCACAACGACAACACTCTTGGCTAGTGGAAAGGTATGGAAATGTCTCGCAGGATTGATCAGACGTGGATTTGTGCTCAAGCCGCTTGTCACTTGTTTCTCACGTTGCCCTGAGATCCAAGTCATCCACCAGATGCATTCATGCCTTTCTTGATTTACCCTTCTTTATTTATCGTCACATATGGAGCCCCAAAAAAAAGGAAAAGAAAATCAACAATGATTAGATCATTCACGTGCATATTGAGCAGACAGTCCTTTCCTTGATACGATCCCTACTCCAATACCCCCAAGCTATAGGTTTGGAAAACGTATTGCTGCACTAGTCTGGGGTAGCATGATTGTGTCTGCTTTCTTTGCTATCTTCCCGCAGAGTCTTGTTAGAGAAAACCGTAAAGAAGACAATCATCGGTACATAACAAGGATTCACCGAAGTGAGCAGTGCCTTGAGCAGAACCGGGACTATGTATGAAAGTAGATATGTTTGATAAGCTTTGCTTGAGAGAATTTTGCTTGTACCGATTGATAGCTGAGCAAAGAGGTGTGATCACACCTTCTTCAAGATGTCAATGGATGTTTCATTAGGTAATGAAGGCATAACCATTGTTTGTTCGGGTTTTCAACTGGAATGATTGTCAACAGAGCAAAGGGCGTTGTAGTTTGGTGGATGTTTGCTGTAAAGAGTCATCTCCCCTACTATCTATTTCAAGCCCCTTTTCGCACTTCACCACGGCATCTGTCTTTCCTCCAAAACATTCCACCTTCGCAGATCATGAGACTCTCTCTCTATCTTTAAGAAGATCTGGTCTAAGTTTCTGCATTTGCATAACCCCCTCTCAGTTATTTTCCACCATCGGAACAACGAGAACAACAACAACTGGACGGTGCTTCACACTTGGTATTCGTTCGGGCTTGCTGCCCTTCAGTCCATCACTTACTCTCAGGATCGTCACCTGTATGATCATGGGTTCCCGCGTTCATGTACTTGAGGGTGGTGACCTCGCTCGCTTCCTAGACTTCATGGGCGGCTCTTCGAGAGCCCAAAAGATGGCCGAAGACGGCGTGGCTGCATCTGTAATTCTCTTCAGTTGTCTCCCCGACCCCAAGGACGATCCATATCTGGTCATGTACGCGGCTCAGGACAATGATGCAGCTGGGCAACCAGGCGCGTCCCGCTGTATGATGCTTCAATCCGAACTTCTAGCAGCTCTCAAGGGGTTTGTTAAAGCAATTGACCGCGGCAACCCAACGGATTCGGATGCAAAGTTCCTCGAACAGACTGCCAGGGAGGTGTCCATGGGCCAGCCGCCGAAAGACTTTGTCCTTGCTCTTGCCCGCTTGGGCATGAAGATGGGAGACTCCCTTACGGATGTCAGCAGCGACGACAAGAAGGCACAGCATCTGGCCTACTACCGCTGGCTCGTGCTGGGTAGGAAGGACGAGAATTCGCCCCTCAAGGATGCAAAGCCGACTACAGCGCCTGTTTCGCACGCATATCTTCCCACCGGCAATGCCCATCGCACCTGTGCCAACTGTGGAAAAGACGGAGCAACTCAAGCCTGCACAGGCTGCCTCGTCCAGCATGATGGCCATGCCATCTTCCGCACCGGCTACTGCGGCAAGGCTTGTCAGGCTGCCGACTGGAAGAGCCACAAGTCTGATTGTCGGGACTTGATGCGCCTGGAGCGTGCGACCTCCCTGCTTCAAGAAATCATCGTCTGCTTCTTGAAGAACGTCTACGGCGGAGACGATATCAGCGAGATATCCGAGACCAAGGACTTTGTCGTCGCCAGGTACAAGTCGAAAAACACTGGCTACACTGGCGAGCCCGTCTTACACTCGTTCCCGATGGTCGCCGCCTCGTCAACCGAAGCTGGCCTTGCCACCATGATGACCATGGAATGCGACAACATCATGACCACATTCAAGGATGTGTTTGACATGTTCTTCTCTGGTAATTGAATCACAAGAATGGGCAGGATCACCGTTTGATGAGCTAACAATTGAGTGTCTCAGGTGCCGTGAAGTCGATCAAGATAGTCAACTTCGCCCCGAAGAACATGGAGCGGCCCGTCAAGTCAGGATATGGAGACGGCGAGGTCCTGGAGTCGTTCAATTCGATCCACAACCATACCGTTCTGCTTCTGACCACAACGGGTGGACTCGATATCGCCTTTGACCCCACGGGTGCGCAATTTGGTTGGAAGGAGACTATCACCCCCTGGAAGGTGTATTCAGAGCAGCGAGTTCACCGAGTTGTCACTGTGCAGCCTTTCAAGGATATTCAATCCACGAAGCAGCTCAAGGAGTTCTACAAGTTGCAGGGAGCCTTCATGGGAGTAGCTGGCACCGACGTGGTGTGCAGAGAGGTCGAGAAGGAGGCTAAGGTCACGGAGGACTTGATTGTGAAGATCAAATCCTCGCTCCGAGAATTTCCAAACCAGGGAGAGTTCAATGAGTTGCTCCTCCTGGACGGAAAGGCATTCTCGGACCTTCGCAGGCTTATCATGACTCGAGCCAAGACTGTCATTGTTAGAACTGCCAGTGAGTGGGACAGCAGCCCGTTGGACCGTCTCTACCGCGACCATCACCTTGTGACTCAGTACACGACCTCACAGGAGCAGTACGACAAGCTCAAGAAGGTCTGGTTCAGCAAGGAGCAGTACGAGCGGCTCCAGAACAACCCTGCCGAGCTCAAGTTGCAATGGTTGAAGCGTCTGAGACAAGCCGGCATCCCTACGGGATTCTCTCAACGCTCCTAGGTGACCGGGTGTCCTTTTACACTGTTTTCTTCAGACTTTCACGGATGAGAACGTCCATACCGACATGGAATGTTGCTAGAGAGACTTGTGACAGAGAAGGGAGGTTTTGCTATGGGCATACGGCGGCGTGGACTGTTTGCGAGAGCACTACAACTGCCGGGAACATCCTTTTTCATTTCATTGATGTTGAATCGACATGGTCAGGAGGATGGACAGGGGAATTGTATCAATTGCTTGCAATGACTGGAGTCTCATGATGACGATGGAAAGGACATTCTTACAACCTGTGAAGTATTAGGAGGATTAGCTGAAGAGCAATTGACTAGCTGTTAGTGTGTATGTGATTCTTGGACCCAAAAAAGTCCCATCTGTGGAGCCGAAAGTCTTGCCTTATCTGCTATCAGGACCCTTCCTCCCTCAGAAAAATTTCGTGAAAATATGGTGAAGCATCCTCTCTTACAAGAACCCACCACATTTCCTTTCCCATGTGCGATTGAGCCACTCCATTCCGGCAGACCCAGCTATCTGATACGTAGTAGGACTGTTACATCGACGTGTCTAGGCCTGGTTCGCATTTCTCACACAAGTCACACACCGACCGCAATGGCCGCAGACTCGAGCTCCCCGGCCGCGAGCCCGGAGCCCACCGCCACCACCCCCGCCTCCTCCTCCAAGAAGCGCAAGGTCTCCCTCCCCGAGCTCGAGGTCGACGTCTCCCTGCCCGAGCCCCCCTCCAAGCGCGCCAAGCGCCTCCTGAAGAAGGGCAAGCCCCTCCCGCCCTCCAAGAACGCCGACTCGGACGACGACGCCGCCGCCGGCAAGGACAGGCCGGACGACGACCTCGACCTGCCCGCGCACCCGGCCGACGGCGCGCACCGCAAGCAGAAGAAGGGCGGCAAGAAGAAGAAGGGGTCGAAGGACCAGGACGGGGACGGCGGCGACGACGACGACAAGACGGAGAAGGAAGAGGTGCACGGCGTCTGGATCGGCAACCTGCCCTTCACGCTGACCCGGCCGGAGCTCTTCAAGTGGCTCGTCGACGCCTCGGGCGGCTCCATCCCCGAGGCGAGCATCACGCGCGTCAACCTGCCGACGGCGAAAAAGGCCAGCGACCCCCGCCGCCGCCCGCACAACGAGCACTCGGACAAGCTGGCGCCGCAGAACCGCGGCTTCGCCTACGTCGACTTTGCCACCTACGACGCCTGCATCGCCGCCATCGCCCTGTCCGAGACGGAGCTCGGCAGCCGCCGCCTGCTCATCAAGAACAGCAAGTCCTTCGAGGGCCGCCCCGCCGCCCCGGCCGCCGCAGCAGGTGGCAAGGAGCAAGGCGGTGGTGATGCAGCAGAGACTGCCGCCGCCGCCGCCGCCGCCAACACGAGCCGCAAGATCTTTGTGGGCAACCTGGGCTTCGCTACGACCGAAGACGACCTGTGGTCCCACTTTGAAAAGTGCGGCGAGATCGACTGGGTAAAAGTGGCCACCTTCGAGGACACGGGCAAGTGCAAGGGCTACGGCTGGGTCAAGTTCAAGGAGGCCGACGGCGCCGCCTGGGCCGTCAAGGGCTTCGTGCGGATAAAGGAGGAGATCGAGACCGAGGAGGACTTTATGGACAAGAAGGAAGGGGAAGCAGCTGATGAGGAAGAAGAAGAAGATGATGATGAAGGCGAGGAGGACTCCAAAAAGGCTACGGCAGCCCCGGTGGCGCCCAAGAAGACGAAGATGCGCAAGTGGTGGGTCAACATGCTGAGGGGCAGGCCGCTCAAGATCCAGTTCGCAGAGGACGACCAGACGAGATACAAGAAGAGGTTCGGCAAGGATGCCAAGAAGGAGAGGCCCGCCAACAGCGGTGGTCATCCCAAGAGACGGCAAGATGCAGCTGAGGGACAGGACCAAGAACAGGAGGCGCCACGCGAGGAAAGTAAACCCAAAAAGGAGATCCAGTATCAGGACGACATCAACGTCGCCAGGCTTACGGGTGCTGCGGTGGCTCCCCAGGGCAAGAAAACGACTTTCGAGTGATGCGTTGGATGCTGAGCTGGAGTATACATACATACAACAGCCTTGGGTGCAATTTATTGTGACTCTGTTCTAGTACCCTTGGTAGAAGATACCCTGACGAATTCATGTTATCTACGATCTTCATCACAGTTGTTCTTTACGTGCACAGCACTCTTGATAACACATCAGCAAGAGCCAGCTTGAAAGCGACAGGAGATACATTTCACTAGACTTGGTTTGGCAATCTGAGATACATCAATTGACTGTGTTTGACATGTGAATCATGAAAGGAGAGTGACCGCTTTTTGACTTTCTCTACCCTCAAAGACAGGGCGATGCTGTCTAGTACGGAATCATGTACGAGGTCAACAGAACCTGTTGCCATCATCGCATTGGGCGAGCAGTGTGGATCGTTCGGAGTAGGAAAAGACTAGGAAATGAATACAACGCGGTCCGAGTAATGATCACAGATAGGAAAAGCAAGAGAAAAGCATGTACTCCATCCATCCAGTCCATTATCCTATCCGATTGCCGGAGAAATGAACATCTCAAAAGAAGAAAAACGCATGCGCCATTTGATAGAAAGCAAATCTCTCACACTCCTACTTCTTGAGGAGCTTCTTCTGCTGATCCTCGAGGTATTCCTCATCCGAGGCATCAAGAATGTCGTACTCCTCATCCGTCAGGAAGCCGTCGGCAGAGTCATCCTCAGCCCATTCATCATCATCTTCGAAGTCATCAATCTCCTCGTTGACGTCGACGTCGGCGGCAACAGACTCAATGGCAGCTCCTTCGTGCATGCTCGAAAGGGGAGACTCCTTGTCAAGCTTAGGGAAGATCATCTGGCTAGACTCCTCAGGCTTAGCAGGTGTATCCTCCTCCTGGACGGACTTTGTGGTCTGCTCCATGGGCTCTTCCTTGACGGCGATCTCCTCCTTGGGAGCAATGCTCGTCATGGTCACCTGGGACTGGACGACAATATGGCACCAGAGGCGGTCGCCAAACCGGAAACCGTCAGGAGTAGTCAAGCGCCAGTACGAAGTGCGTTTGCCCAGCACGGCTGGGGACTTCAGCAGCACGTAGAAGGTGTAGGACTCGCCCGGAGCGACCTTTTGCAAGCAAGGCGTGCTCTCCGAGGCATCAGTGAGCTCCTTGTTACCAATAGGTTGAGAATGGTCGACGAGACCCATGAAGTCGCCGCCAACGTACTTGACGCGGGTGCCGGCTGGCCAGGCAACGATGCCGTTGTTTCGAAGGGTCCAGGCCTGCTCAAAACCGCGGTTGGGAGCCATACAAGTGCCATCGGTAATGGTATCCTCAACGAAGACAGCAGCCAGGTCGTTCATGAGGGACTTCTCCTGGACTGGCTCAACGACCTTCTCAGTCTCGAGCTCAGGCTTGGGCTCGGGCTCGGGCTCAGTCGGCTTGACGTCAACCACAGTGCGAACAGAATCAATGGCAATTCCTTGGCCCGTGGGAGAGGTTTCTGTGGCTACAGAAGTAGTCGAAGCCTGAGGAGGAAGTCGGTCGCCCATGACAGGCATGCGCTCGCCGTTCTGATGCTCGCCCTGAGTGCTGACGCTGACATGGCGAACAGGAGTCTTGAATTTGATCAGAGGATGAGTCTTGTTATGCGTGTTGGCCGGGCTAGCCTCGCAGTTCGCGCAGAAATCGGTGTCGTGGCAGACAGCGCACTTGTAACGGTCGCCCACGATGTACGTAGGCCTTCCCTTGCTGCTGACCATGCACAGAGGTCCATCGCAGCAGATACCCATGTGCGTGGGCTTGCTGGGCAGGCGGACACAGTTCGGCTCTTGGATAGGCTCATAGATCGGGACGAAGCGGTGGTTGGGGTGGATGAACCCAGCGTCCTCATGACACTGAGAGCAATAGTCCCAATCAGGGCAGTCCAGACACTTGTAACGGACGCCAACGATGAAGCTGTCACAGCTATCGCAGATGGCGGCGTGAGCGCGATCTCGGCCGGCTGGGAGACGCTTGGAGATGGCGGCACTGAAAGCTGTACCGGGGATGGCCGGGACAAAGGCATGCTTGGGGTGGTGGCCATGCTGGTCCTTCTCAAAGCACGCCTTGCAGAGGTCAAAGTCATAGCAGGTAGTGCAGTGAACAAACTCTTCCTCGGCCATCTCCGAGATGCAGTTGTTGCATGTGCGTACGACATCCGACTGGTAGAGCAGGTGGCTGATGGAGGGTGCAACACGGACAGAGTCGCTGCTGCGATTGTTCGACATGGGGAGCGCTGTGGTCACAGGTGGGACGATCTGCGCAGGCTCAGCTGGGAGCGAGACCTTGGGCTTGGGAGTGATCCTCTCGGTGGTGCTGTTGACGATGCAGCCGTCCTTGATAGCCCGCTTGATCAGCCAGTGGCTTGCATCGTGGCATGTGATGCCCTTGTCAACACAGTCGATGCAGAGATCAAAGTCGCCATCATCACAAGTAGAACAGTGGTAATGGGCTCCAGGAATTGTCTCGTCGCAGCTGTTGCAGCACACGGCGTAGCCAGGTCGAGGAAGGTCGGCCCAGGGAGTGGGGGACTTCAGAGCTGCTGCCGACTCGTCGGTAGTGTCGGGCTGAGCACCACGCTTCTCGGTCAGACGAGCTTCCAGGGCAGCACTACGGCATGCAGGGTTGGAAAGTCGCATAGGCAACGAGCGGAAGCTTGAAGTGGGCTGGATGATAGGCCGTGTCATTCCTGGGCGAGCCATGGCGGGCTTAACGGGCTGCGGGGACTCGGCCGATGCTTGGGGACTATCGACCGTGGTCGAAGACATCTCGCTGGGTCCAGAAGGAGGGGCAAAGGCCTGGGTACCAGTGTTGACCTTGTCAGGGCTGGATGCCTCCGGGACGTCCTCGAGAGACACAGGCTTGGGCACGACCTTGCGAGCCTCAGCCTCGGGCTGCGAGTCTTTGGTCGGGAACGGTGACGGAATAAGAGCAAGGGGCTCTCTCTGGGTGGTGACGGTGGGCACTCGGGCCGTTCGGATCGTGGTCACTCGCAACTTAAGCTTGGACTTGGCCTTAGCAGCCCGATAGAGTTGCTTGTAGACAGAGATGTTACCGGGGGTCAGGGTAACGTATGTCGCGAGGGAGTCGGAATAGCGCTCGATCAAAGCAAAGGTGTCCTGGGGGATGTGAAGCATGGCCCGGAGCTGCATGCGACATATTATCAGTATCCGGACCATGAGCCATCAGAAAAGTGACCACCGAGCTGCATGACGTACCTTGTCTTCCAGAGTGCTGGCACCGAGATCTCGCAGTGGAAGCTTGAACTTCCTGACGACGCCGTCATGGTTGACCTTGAGATTGATCAGGGTATCTGGGGTGGTGGGCGTAGGGGCCGCCATTCTTGCTGCTGGCAGGCGGGTTGCTGTGATGTGATGTAAATGTCAGTGATGGCTCGCGAGGAAGGTGAGGCTATGGTGGGTTTTGAGTGACGCCGGTTCTGGCGGCGCTGCTGCCTCACTAAGTGCGGAGAAGGGGCCAAAGCTTACCACTCTAAAGTCACCGTAGCTGAGGCGGTCGGCGTTAAGAGATAAGGCGGGAGCAGGAGAGGTGCGTCCCTGGCTGGGATTTAAATACCAGTGTTCGAGTGGCTAAAAGATGAATAATGCAGGCATGGAAGACAAGACCTGCTTGATCGCCTCTGGAAATGGATGGAGAGGGAGGATTGAGGCGCTGGAAGAAGAGAGGTCTGAGGTGAAGGTGAGAAGAGGGTGGAAGGCGGAAGGCGAAGAAGAGGAGCAGATAATGGCAAGATGAGTGAAGCTTGCTGTGTCATGCGTCCACGGAGAACAGGGATTTGAGTGGCTGCTCTGGCTCTTGGAAGGGCGGTCGGGGGTGGATGGTGTCCACGGGTGGGTGTGCAGTGGGCGTCGGGCGGACCCAGGCTTTGCTCTGGGTCTCGTTAGTGGGTGCGTTGGATTCATGGGGGTGGGGCCGGGTCTGGTACTTCTTGATCATCGGCTAGAGCCTGGTGAACCTCGCTACTTGGTGAATAGCAGAATGCACTTACTGCTAGGACTCCAAAGAGCGAGCTTTCTGGTGCAGATGAGTTTCACCTTCTTAGATGATGCAATGATAGACTCCTTGAAAAAGGTAAAATTACTGCTGGTGATGTCTGCCCTGTCCGGTCTTTGGGGATCAAAGCGGCAAGACGCAGCAGACAGGCAGCTGTGAGGCCTGCGCAATCAAGGGTCCTTTGGGCGGGCGGCCCTCGGCCGGGGGGTCCTCTTAGTGAGAAACGCCCAGCTTTCGCTGCCTACTTAGCCCGGGATGGCTTGATGAGGTGAGGCGACACGGAAGACAAGAGTCAGTAGTCAGTCAGTCGGCTTCTTCAGTCAGTCAGTCACGTACGCGTGCACATCATCATTGATCCAGATGGCAAACCCCACCCTGTCTTGTCCTCCATGGGCGGTACTTCCAGTCCACCATGCCACCATGCCCACGACGGCAAAAAGGCAGTTAATTATCTCTGATCGCCTTGCGCCTTGTTCCTCTTGACCACAGGGCTTAAATTGGGTAGGCATGCCTGGCCGCGTACTTGGGTTTGCGCTTACGTCGCCCTTGGGATACCTGAAGCACCGAGGCCTGGCAGCCAATCGGCCTGTTCCATATCATGCAGGACAGCCAGTCGGATGGCAACAAATTGACGCCTCCTGTTGTGGAATATGGTGCATTCTACAGAGAGTTCCTGTTGCTCAAGTCATCCTACCTAATACTCACGGACCTTGGCCATCTGTAAACGGTGAACGAGGGCTAATTAACAGTCCTTTTCCATGATATGTCCTGTCTACCTAGCTAGATCCACGGCCAAGAAGGGCACGCTCGGTCCTACGTACTTACACAGATCAACCTGGCCCTGTCCTGCTGTTCAACCCGTTGCGCATGTAGCTCGTCCATCCCTTGCTTCGCAGTGCATACAATACCTACTTGTTCAATACTGAGGGTATCTACCCACACCTTTGGCTCTCTGGGACTGGGAAGGAATAAGGTTCCAGCTCCAAGGGTCAAACTTCATTCCCACCCAGAGCTCGCAGAGCTCCCGGAGCTGCCAGGGAAGCTTCAACGAGTCAAGAAAGACACCCAAAATATGCCTTTATGGCAAAACAAGCCAGGGAGAGCAAGCCACTAATCGTCATCCCACGGCTCGCTGGGTTTGGGTCCCGAGCGACGCCGATCACAAGGCGGGGGGACGGGAGTATTGCAAAAGGTGCTCATCAAATCTAATAAGCCCCGGCAACACCACCACACTTTATTCTGTCACACAGACAGACAGAACGGAGGTGTTTTTTTGCTTTCGCGGCCGCTCAAGGGGTCCGGTGCGATTGATGTATGGTCTGCCGCGGCACGAGAATGCACAGGTCTGTAGTCTGTCATGTCATGTACTGTACACGGTAGTACTGTGTTATGCCCCCAATATATATCTGTGCTCGTACCCAGACGCTGCATCGGTGGGAATGCCGTCAAGACTCTCCAAGTTTGAAGAGCCATTCTGCTGCGTTCAACACTTAGCTTACACACATGTATGTCGTCAGATCTCAAATCAAAGGTGTAACATCTTCGTGGCTGCCTCTTCGTGCGGAGCGAGAGCAGGTATCAGCTTCATCTCGGACCAACCATTCACACTTTCACCGAGCTATGCTATGTGCAACCCCTTGCAGGTCCGAGATCTAAGCTACCAAGATCACACACCTACAACGGCTGATTTTTTTGTCCCCGAGATGCTCGTTTCGGCTCCGTTAGTTTGTCACACACACGCACCGGGTATCTCACAGCCATCCGATTACACTGAATGTTGGGGTTTTGGTGCCTGGCAGAACATACCCCGTTGGCGACCAAGCCATGTCATGTCGGTCCTCGTGGCTCCGCGACTCCTGACGTACCTCTCCAGAGCGTATTTCAAATAGTGACGGGCGAAGAATATTCTAGTCGGAATCCCAAAAAGGCGGTGGCGAGGCGTTCTGGTCAGGCTCCAGCAGTGACACGTACTTGTAGCCACGGTGGTACTGAGTAACCAGCAAGCAAGTCAGAAAAGCAAACACGAGACATCAGCTGGAGTAAAGAACAAGGAATACCTGGCTCGATACTCTAATACTCGTAACAACGCCGTAGCCTAACATCTACATCTATCTTACCAACCCGGCCCTTCGTTCGTCCGGGACGCCCGTTCTCGCCCCCTCGCCCCCCCATGTAAAAGCCGAACGGCCCGTCTCCCCAACGCAATCGAGATTCTCTACTCTTGTATAATCCCATCCAGGGCCTTGGTCAATACCTCCTCCTCATACCTCACGATCTTGCCCTTCTCGTCCCACCGCCCTTCGACCCTCACGCACCTGATCCCCATCCTGCCGAGCGCCTCGCTGTCCACGACCGGCGTCCCCTCTCCGTCGAGGTAGATCAGGTGCGTCACGTACCTCCCGGCCTCCGAATCACCCGCGCCCTCGGTGAAATCCGATTGGCTCTCCCTGGCCGCCCGCGTCAGGGCCCGTACAAAGTCCACCGCCGTCATCGCCTGGCTCTTGGGCCCCGTCTCCCTGTCGATCTTGCTGTTCAGGATCAGGACCTTCTTGCGCCTCGAGCCGGGCTCGTCAGAGGCGATGGCGGCGCCGACGCCGCGCAGGATGAGACTAGGGATGATGCTGGTGTACAGACTGCCGATGCTGTAGACAACGGTGTCCGCCTTGGCCAGCGCTTCGAGGATCTTGGGGTTGGCCACCGGCCAGATCTCGTGCCCGTAAGGGTTGATGTACCAGATCCTATCGATCCGCGCCGGCAGGTCTTCCTCGTCGTCCTTGCTGAAGGTGATATGCTGACGGCGCAGGACTGGCAGGGAGCCAGGCAGATTCGCATCTTCAATGCGATCATGGGCCTCAGTCAGAAGCTCTGCTCGTCTCGGGTGAGCTTTCCCCGGCGCTGCGTGTTGCTGTGCATCTGCAGGTAGTGAGTTGTCCGGAAGGGACGTTGGTGCTGAGGGATGCGAGATGGCAACTTGGCCCGCGATAAGCGTGCCATCGACGAGGCCTGCTGAAATATGGTGGGTGAAGTTGGAGTTGATGGCTGGCAAGACTGCTACGGTAGGTGGGATGGAGCAGATCATCGAGAGCAAGTAGATACCGGCTTCAAAAGATCCAGTGAAGAGACGTGCTCTGTAGTATTTGGGGTCAATGAGGGTAAGCATTGTCAGATCATTGTAGAGACTTACCCGGTCAGAAAGAGGTTTCCCACACTTGCCTCGGCAAAGTTGAAGACGGACGTTGGCCGAGCCCTCTTCACAATCTCGAGGTTCAGTGAGTTCAGTACAGACCGAATCAGCTCACGCTTGGAGCTAGATATGAAGGTCCATAAGAGATGCCTGGCCTCGACAATATCAAGCCACTCGACTCTAGCCTTATTAGGGTCCTTGCACAATCTGTGCTCGAAGAGCGTCTTGAGTGCCGTCATCTCCTCGTTGTCCTCGTGAGCAGGAATCAACCGAACGAGACGACCTTTCCATGCGACAGTATGTCAGTACTCTGACACATATAGTAAGCAAAACAGTGTAGCAATGGCATCAAGACTCACTCCTGATATCGCCAACACCTGTGATCATGTAAGCATGTTTACGTGTGGAGAATGGCGAGGCATCACATACTCGGCCCTCCGAACACTCGGATCAGCTCCGATGAGCTCCCGCCATTGTCGCTGATGGGTATGATGTAATTGAGGTTGCACTCTCGCCTTTCCACGATCTTGTTGAAGACATCGACCAGGAAATTCGCCGCCGTGCCCCCTGAGAAAACACAGATGCCGCGTCCGTTGGTAGCGCCATTGCCGCTGGTGCCGTTCTCCATTGAAGCCGGGTGCGATAACGTCTACCGATGGGAATTGTCTAGAGATCAGATACCGTTGGTATATGGCGAGGGTTATGGCAAGGATTACGGCAAGGGGCTTGTACTTGGGATTGAAAACGAGTGATGAACAGCCAGAATGATTGAATGATGTCGGGAGTCGATGCAACCTGGAGGTTCACCGTGTGAGGAATATTGTCCGTCAATATGTGAACTCAAGATCTCGGTCAAGTGTCGTGGATTCTCATGAGCCAATTCCAACGACGAATTGGGCTCAATGATATAAAACCCCGGTGCAGGCGGAGCACACTGGACAGAAACGCCCGAAGATCTTGCTTCCCCGCGCTGTCGTGTGCGCCTACCCAAACCGGAAGGCGTCCTGTGAACGTGTCCAGATCGTATTAATAGCGAGCTCTAGAGCGAGAGTGTAATTAAACGAACGTAATCAACTCAGCCACGATGGAGTTTTCAGAACAAGGCCCTCGAGTCACCATTCCAGGGGTGGTAGTGATCTCAGGGAGCCTTGTAGACTTGGTCGCACCGAAAGAAGTGTGTCCTTAGCGGAATCGCCTAAAACGTAAACTCCGGTGGAGTAGAGAAAGACGTCACGTCACCGCCACCATCGACCATCACCGCATGCTAATGGGTATGGAATCCTGGAAAGTAGCTAGAATTCAGACATCCACTCGATATCGTATGCTAGCGCTCATTCCATGGCTTGTTCGACGAGGCTTCTCCACAATGTCATGCTCGTCTTCACATGATGGAGAGGACAGGGCCAGCGCAGGTAGGCATACATTCATTGAATTTGGAGGATGCCGTCTAAGTTTTCGTCTGGAGACTTGGCCTCCCAGTACCAAGTACGTCTAGTCAATTTCCAGCTATCCACAAAGAACAATGCATTTCGAGCACTCCCCCCGTACCCGCTTGATGATAACGCAGAGCAAAATCCTGAACTGCGGCAAGCTACTGCAACCATCCAGACACCTCTCGCACTTGGCTTCCAGCCCGCTACCTCAAGCCTTTTCGACGACCAACGCCTTTTTCCCCCCAGCTCAAGCTCCAGCACACAAAGCAATACACACACAGCGACCATCCCACAATCCTAGACACGTGAAAAAAACGTATAAAGCTAGGGGCAGTGGAGGGAGACCGAACCAATGGCAATCCAATCCCTAGGAATAACGAAAAGATGGCTGCACACGGAATAACCCGAACCCTTACTCCATTGATGGCCCAACAACCCGCAAACTCTAGCGAGCTCGAAAATGCGTCTCAACGAAGCACGGCGACTTGAGTAAGTCTTGATGATGTAGTGTTCCCGCCCAATAAGGGTTAGGAGGGGGTAGACAACCCCTTGAAGAATGCAAAAGTGTGTGATTAAAGGTAATAAAGTAGGATAGGGGGTTCAAGAGAGTTAGGAGTGTGACCCTGTAAGAGCCGACATTTTCTCAGTACTACTGGGGATAGTAGTAACTACCAGGCCCAGCTTGAGGGTAGTAGAACGCATCGGGACTGGGAGTCATCATACCGCCCATGCCGACCACGCCGGGGCCATAGGTTTGCGGTGCGGAGTAAGGCGGGTAGTTGATCTGAGCTGCGTCATAGTAATAGACCATGCCGTTTGCCTCTTGGGCAATAAGGTTCTGAGCCGTTCCTGGCTGGCCATGGGCCTGGTTGTTGTTTGCAACCTCAGGCGGGTGCTGTGGCTGAGACCCAGGCACGAAGGCAGGAGCTGCAGCAGACGGCGCGTTGTAGGAGGGTGGATAGTAGAAGCCGGGCTGTTGCTGCGGCTGCTGCACCATCTGGTAAGGTTGGTTGTAGTAGTTCTGCTGCGTGAACTGGTTGGGCTGGAACGGTGCGGCATGGATGGCTCGTTCGGGAATCTGCGATAGCGGTGTGCCAGTCGTGTGGGAAGGGTACGAAGGGTTCCGGCTGTGGCCCTCGTGCATGTAACCATTGGCAACCTGCACGGGAACCTGCTGATGGAAAGCCTGCTGGAAGGATTGAGGTGCTGGGTTCATCGACATGGTTGGTGATTCGATGGAATCAATCTTGAGAGGTGCCTTTTGGGGTTTGGGCTGATGCATCTCGAGGGGCATCGTCCTATTCTCCTGGAAGAGTGGCTTCTGGGGAAGAGGATGTGTTTGAGGTTGAGGGAGCTCGGTGATTGACGTCTCCGGCGCTCCCATCAGTCCCTCGGGCTGGGGCATGAAAGCTTCCGTAGGAGGGAAAGGAGCTTGCGCCAGTCCCTGCTCCAAGGGAAGAGCAGCAGGAGGGAGGCGAACAACAGGTCGGGACGGATCAACGGGCATGGGTGGCCGCGAGATAGCCGAGCCTGCGGGTGATATGAGGAAGTCGCGACCCATGTCTGGCGCAATGGATGAGCGGCGAGACATGGCAACACTGGGAGTGTAGACGCTTCCTCCATAGAAACTGCCTCCAGCGCCGCCGTATATGCTTGTTCTTCGAGAGAAGCCTGACACGGAGCCCAAGGCAGACCTGGGCTTACCCCGAACACGTTGTTGATTCGGACGCATGGCTCGAGGGATGAAGATGAAGGATCGGTCACTGGCAGGGAAGATATAGCGGGGAGGATGATGGGGTAGAGATATCCGGACCGGTTTGTCGCGACGGAGGGGCGGCCGGTGATCGGGCAGCTTGGTGTACTGCTTGCACGGGATGCCAGGGATGATGGTTGGAGCCTTGAGTCCCGGGAAGAACAGCCTAAGCTGGACATTGCCAAGAAGCTTCTCCGTCGACAACGTCCGGTTTATCGGGGTGGGGTTGGACGGGCAGGTGGGTATCATGCCGTTGCCGTTCGGTGGCCCTTCACCATGCATCATATGCCGACCACCTCTGGGGTACGGACCAGCTACGGCTTCGTGCATATCGTGGGCCCAGGGGGCATTCGTCGTAGGATCGGCGGGCGGTTGGAATTGGCTATACCGCGGTCAGACGATGAAGCAAAGTGGAGCAGGATAGAGGAGGACTTACTGAAAAGGTGCAAAGGGGCCTCCGATGCCTCCTCGACCTCCTCGCCCGCCACGGCCACCTCTGCCATACGGGCGGAAGCCATTGGCGGAGGGGCCAGGGGCTCGGTGGTCATGCATGAAGAAGGCCCCTCGGTTTGGGACGAACGCGGGATCCTCGTCCCTCTTACGGCGATACTCGTCATGTTCTCGCCGCGACCGATCGAATCTTGCTTCTTGCTTTGGAGGCTGCGGTGCAGAAGCTGAGCTTACGACGATGGGTGCTGCAGGCTTCGCTGGAACTGTGTCGATATCGTCAAAGTTGATTTCTTGAACAGACTCGGACTTGTCCGCAATCGAGAGCCCGTTTAGCATGATCTCGGTATCCGTCACCGCCGTCTGGGTAGCCTGGCCCGAGGCATCTTCGTTTGTGGGGGTCCAGATTGGCTTTCGAGTCCTTGATCTCTTAGCTTCTTGACTGGCGGTATTTCTTGCCGGGAGCGACTTTGGAGACGCCTCTTCAACATTGCTAGTGTCGCTGTCATCGGCCAGGTCATGATCGTCGCTAGCTATGGACCCTTCCGTAAGTGAGTCGTCGTCGAGCTGGTCGATAGCATCGGGTCCTTCCTCTTCTCCCTCGTCCTCTACCCGTCGGCGTCGACCGATGAGTTTCCTGCGTCTGTGCAGGACTGGTGCTGTGGCCGCAGTGGCCATTATTACGTCGTCGGAAGAATCGACAAATATGCAAGAAAGACCCCGGCGAGAGGGCTGGGCGGAAGGTAACTGCGAGGCAGCGGTCGAAGACTCAACGAGACGATGTCATGCGGTGGATGGCGTCGGTTGTCTTCCTTTGAGCTCGAAGCCGGGAAATATCAACGAGGAACCGCTCTGCGGTACACGACAACTGAGTGAGCGAGAAAGGTCCTTTTTCTTCCTTGATGCTTTTCCTGCTCGTATATAATAGTTCTGGAATGACAAGAACAGGGGAAAGACAGGCAAACTGCAGTTGCGGGCGATAACAAAAAGGCCAAGGTGCAAAGGTGAAGAAGAGCTGTGATGAGAGATGACCTCACAGACCAAGCAGCACCGGGTGCAGGGAACAAGATGCGAATCGGCTCCTTGAATTACGAATCAAACAAAGCAAAGAAGAGGATTAAAGAGTCCTGACCTTGCAGAAACCAAAGTTTCCGGGATGCCAGGAGAAGGAAAGGTGGAAAACGAGGGTCGAGACGGAGGTGATGTTGGCGATTTTGCTAGGATGGGGTTGGGGAGGAAGGCCGAATTAGGCCAGCGAGGATTGTCAAGAGACACCAGGCGTGTTGATTTTTTTGCTGGCCAGTGAGGAGGGAGCAAGTTAGTGCAAAAAGAGGCAAAAGGTGGAGAGAGCGAGAGGAGGAGGTCCACGGATGGATGCAGTGGGAGCGGTAGTGTGTAGTGGTGGTGAGTTAGTGGGGACTGGAGTGTGAGTAGCCGGTACGGAGTCGAGTCTGGTACCTAACGTTGGTAAGACCATCATGAAGACACGGATCAAATGATCCCAGGCATGCACTAACCCGCGCATGCTGGCTGCGTGCCACTACTGCTGTTGCTGCTGCTGCTGCTGTTGTCTTGCTAATGCTGATTACTACTAGGTTAGGTACTGGAGATAATGCTGCCGGGTGCTGGCCTCCAGCTTGCTGGCTGCTTGTTATGCCTCTGCTTGCTTCCCCGAGTGAATGGTTTATGCGGCACCACCTGGCAGCCTGTGTCTTGCCTACTGCGGTCTCGTCTGCCAGTACCCTTCCGGCTAATTTCTCCTCTGATCAGGTCTAGGCTCACGCGCGTGCGGTGCTTTGGGCTCCAGGGCTGGCCACCGGATGGGCTTTTGGGGCTTCCGGAGCGGGACGGTGACTGGGATTTGGCAGCTAAAATGCTCATCCCAGCTGTGATGGAGTGGGGAGGGGAATCTGGAAGATTTGCTGAAGCCAATGGGGCCGGAGCCGTCTCCAGTGCTGGCTGGAACATGCTGACTGGGGCCACTGGGCCAACTTTGTGCATCCATGCATTTACAGTTGGCATAAAACATTTCGGCTCTGAGACAGGATGGGGATGGAGCTACCCCCAGCCCACCACCAAGCATCTCACCCTTCCACAGAGCTATTCCAGATAAGACTCCCCGATGTCATCCCCAAGTCGCACGGAGCTTCGATCGCTCGAGCTTTGCTCCTCCTGCTCCCGCTCTTGCCATTCAGCGGCCCCCCCTCAGTGATGGGTGATATTCGGCCACCCTCTCAGCGGGACGCACGGAGGTGTGATTCCTGAGTATCCGTGGGTCGCTTGGGACTGCACTTTTGATCCATTGTGCTGTCTGTTGAAACACGGTTGCTGCAGGCGAAGCAAGCAACGAGTGGTTCCCGACGTGCATAATCCGACATGCAGCCACGCGCAGTGAAAACAATCCCGCGCAGCAAGCCAGACAGGGCGAGCTCTGTCGTACCGAGGCAGGCCTGCAGAGTACTCACAGCAGTGGCTCAAGTAAGCACATATCGTCCAGCATTGTTTCTACTCTATGGATGTATCTGCGCGTACGCGAATCTGGCGCCTCTCAGACGTCCCCTGTCCATCCACGAACCGCTGTTGCCGGCTGGAAGACCAAAGAGCGCAAAAGCAACACAAACAGCAAGAATTGCAAGTGTAAATCGTTTCAACACATCACATCTAGACAGAAGTGCTCGTCCCCAGATTCTGTGTCTTCTCGATCTTGGGAACGCATCCGAATCGATTGTTTCCTTGATCCCAAATCTGGTAACAGAGTGTTAGTTTCGTCTGTGTGAGTGTTTTCCGATTGGCCTGAAGAGACAACTTACAGCGTAGACGGACTTCAGGAACGTGTCGCCAAGGATGTCAAAGGGATTGTCTCCCCGCGACTGGACTCCGCCATACCAGTGCTGGGCGTCCGCCTGGGCAAATGCCAGGTCTTCCTTCTGTATGACGAACTCATGGGCGCCGATGGCAACAGAGAACTCTGGGAGCTGATCGTTCGTGACGCTCGTGGGGAAGACATATCCCTGTTGCTGGGCATCGTACTTGGCTCCCGGGATCTGCTTGTACAAAGCCTCGCAGACCTCGTCGGAAACAAGAGCAAGAGTGGTGCCAGTGTCTGCAATGGCCTTGTTGCCAGCGAGGGCAATCTTGTCGCCGTTGATAGTGGCAGAGGTGGATGGGAGCATCCAGAAGCCTTGAGAGTTGTCGACGTCAGTCCATACAACATCCTGGCCCGAAGACTTGACGAGATCCTGGTCGATGTAACCAAAGGTATAGAACGACTTGGCATCCTGGTCCCGAGAACTGAAGAACGCGGACGTGAATAGCTCAGCCTCCTTGGGAATGTCCTCTTGCGAGATCATGTTGGCAACCGGTGTGTTCTGTGGGTCTGGCTGTCCATTCTTTTTGATGGTGTTGATCGCCGGGAACGCGAGACCCAAAAGGCCGTCGCCGGTGCCTTGAGCGAACTGGTCGGCAAGCTTGTCGGCCATCTCGACAGCTTGGTTCTGGATCTTGAGGCCACCGATGGTCACGGTATCATACCCAACCTCACCAGAAGCCGAGCTGCCGTCACCATACGATATCTGCCATGTCTGGTCGTCGGAGGTCTTGAACGTGGAGGACTTGCTGGGGTCATAGATGTTGTGGTTCTGCTGGAGTTGAGTGTCAAGCTTGGGGGAGAAGACCCAGAGATCCGATGAGCCGGTATCAAAGTCAAGCCTGACTGTCTGCGCTGGCTCACCGATCTCAACCTCGCAAAGGTACATGGAATCATTCTGGACATCTTCAGCGGTGACCTCGCCCTGATACTCGCCATCAGGTCCGTCCTTCTTGACGAGAACCCTTTTCATGCTCACGCGTCCGCCGACAGCCACTTTCTGGTTGGCAAGTCCTCGCTGGTGGATGCGGTTGACATGGCCATATGGACCGGGCTTGGTGGGCTCGAAGCCGAATCGGTTGAGCAGATAGACATAGGACTTGGTGCCGTGAGGTTTGTAGTTCTTGTTGGGGACTGCGATGACTTTGGTCAGGCCCAAGTCCTGCCTAAGCTTGTTCTGGGCCGAGTAGATGGAATCCATGACTGTTGGCCTTAGTGAATGCGAGATGGGTATCTGGCGAGAAGAGGAGGATCGTATGAAACTGGTCCGAGAGATTTTCCAATGAACCTAAAGGCTTGGATTTGATTTCGAAAAGAAGAGACCTGATCTGAAGGTGTTGACGGGGTGAAATGAGATAAGTCGGAAGGAAGTAGCGGGCTTTGGCAGGGAGGCAACTTCGACTTATAACCTCGTAAACGACACCGTTTTAGGAAGGTTGAGCAGCCTGACGACACCACCTGTATCAAACATGGGCCAGCCTGGTTTTGGTTGTCTTTTTCTTCATAAAAAGTGATTGCGCGTCTCGTGAGCCACAATGATGTAGTTTCAATATGTGCCACGAGATATGGCACACCAACTTGTTTGATACCGGGTTCACAAATCCAGTGCCGGTTGGGATCTCCTAGCCGCCACGAAACGACAGCGCGAGTCCAGCTTCCTCAAACGCCCTAGTCGATATGCTCGGCAGGTGGGAAGATAGGCACAGCGAGAGATGATTGATCCACGAGACAAATCGAACATCATTCTCGGCTCATGGGATAAGGTCGACATGTGGGGGCACTCGGTGCGTGCTCCTCACCTCTTGTGACCGACGACGTGGGGATGGCTGGCCATGAACGAAAGTGACGACTGCCGATCGGCAAGGAAACAAGCTTTCCAGCCTCCATTTCTTGGCTATTCAGTACCTGCATTCTAATACTTCCAGCATCCCTCGACCCATGATCGCAACCGATAACGCTCTTCCTATTGCAATAGTGGCGAGTGCTGCGTTGTATTCTCGTCATGACCACAGCGCACGCGGGATGAAAGGTGCGGTCTACACCTCTTAAGTGATACATACGGAGTCACAAAATGACCAGGGCCGACTGCTTGACATCTAGATTGTATCACCGCAGCTAATGCCTCCAGCTGATCGTCTGCGTCATACAGCATAATTCGGTAGTCAAATCACATCTCCAAAGTTGTCTAAACTGATTTCAGTTGGAAAGCGGCTTTCATTCCGACTTTGCGGATCTGCGCTATGGGACCATTGATTGGGTGTTTTGCAAGCCAACACTTGCACCTTGGAAGGTCATGTTGTATTCTATCCCAACGAAAATGATGCAAGATAAAACAAGGAGATAGTAAAGAAGAAAAGAAAAGAGAGAGATAGAGCGACAGTGAAGAAACTGCATTCAAAGCTTGATCCTCCCGAATATGAAGCCTTTGACGGCGTTGCTTAACCAGCACTCCTCACCATCCACAACGGAGTCTACAGAAACCACCTCTTCTACCGCCACGTTGCTGGACGAATAAGAGAGCAATCAGCATGTAAATAAACCAACCCAAAGATCTGTCAATGCTTACTGTTCGAGTGCCCATCGACGGGTAGTCCCGTCATTGCCTCCGCTATCACTGCCGGCACTGTACCGAGGAGCCACGGGCGGAGTTACCCACCTGCCATTTCTCCAAAAATAAGGTGTGGTAGTACTCCCTTCCATGATGGTATTATTGGCCTCGTTGATCGTAAGCACTTCTTTTGAATCTGGTAGCTGGATGTTGAATCGCTCCCTGGCTGCCTCATACATAGATCGATTGGTGGTTTTGAAGTGCGTGAACTCGGACGACAGGGTTTTGCCTCTGTCGACATAGACTACAAATTCGGGACGCTTCGACGCTTCATTACTTTGTCCTGGCGGTGGGAGGTCGACGGGAAACAAGTTGCTCAGAGCTACATTGTATGTAGGGGCAGTTACATGCTCAAAGCTTCCTTGCTCGTCGACAACAAGCCTCATCCGCATAGGCTTTTCCGCGTCGCCAGCGTGCTGGAGGATGTAGTTCTGGAGTCCGTCTAGCCCAGCATCGCCAGCTAAGGCAGTGATTGCAGCCTCCCACTTCCAGTAAGTAGCAGCTCGTAAGAGGCGGTCCCGGTGGTAGTCCAGCATGTAGATTGGCGATGAGTTGTCATAATTCCATCCAGCATGGCCAAGTCCATCCTTATTGTGGACTTGACTGAGCTCTGGATCGTATCGAAAAGTGGTGAAGATCCTGAAATCAGCTGGATTCATTGTGGGTATGAGTTCAAAGAGACGTGCTGTCGGAGGTGCCCATTCGAGTCTGTCTTGTTATGAAAGCCTCCTCCATGAAGCTCCCATTTACACGCACATGGATGAGTCAATTGGCCCCTCTAGGTGTCTGGACTGAACCTCCAGCTGTTATCGGATGTGTGATTGCTGCGTGAAGCTGGAGCTCTCCAGCGCCCTAGCGAATTATTAAGCTTGGCGTTGGGCGTTAACTCCACTATTTACGTGGGCTGTGGGGCCCCTTTTTGGTGGTGGTCGGAAAAACAAGGGCCACTGGAAGCTTCCAGGTTCAGCCTAGCATCAATCACGCCCCCAGTACCAGAACGGCCTAGCAATAATTTTTTTTGCCAATCGACTGGTGGTTCGTGGTAATCTCCATCTGATCGGGAGCTGATGTGAACCGACATCATCGAAAGACAATAGCGCTCGCGTCTTTCCAACAGACCTCCCTCCATCCACCTTTTTTCTTTTCATCTCCTGCCTCGTGCAATTGGCTCTACATCATATAGACCCCCTCATCGCGGCCAACATGTCTGTCAAGGCACCCTCAGTTCCTGCTGTCAAGGCAGTTCCAGTTCCCGCAGACTCGTCTGTCTGGGATCGGATATCCAACTGGGCATCCGAGAACAAGGCCGTTGTCTATACCATTGCCGGCGTCGCCATCGTCGCTACCGGTGCCGGTGTTGTCTACTACGTCCAGAGCAACTCTGTAAGCGAACCCCGATCTGTCATTCAACCCTCTTTCCCGGCTGGCCCTGGTTCCAGGGGCTGTTTAGGCGCCGATTTGGTGTTCTCGGCTTCCTCAGGCTGCACTGCGCTCTCCATTTCAATCTGAAAAAAATGCTAATCATATATGTCAGGGATCCTCACAGAATGCCGATGCCGCGCCGAGGTTGAGTAAAAAGGAGCGAAGGAAACGGAAGGAGGAGGAGAGAAAGAAGGCCGAGGCCGAGAAATCCGCGACCTCTCCTCGCGAAGCTGGCGACTCCAAGCCACAAGTCGCGTCAGTCACCAGCGAAGACGAGATCCCAGACATTGATGAGGACACTGTCCAGGCACTGAGTGCAGACCAGCGCAAGGAGTTCGCTCAAAAGCTGAAGGAGGCGGGCAACAAAGCCTATGGCGCCAAGAACTTCGACCGGGCTATTGAGCTGTACTCCAAGGCCATCCTCTGCAAACCGGATCCTGTCTACTACTCCAACCGCGCTGCATGCCACAATGCCAAACTTGAGTGGCAGAAGGTTGTCGACGATACTACTGCCGCCATTGGTCTCGACCCTGAGTACGTCAAGGCGCTCAACCGCCGCGCCAACGCCTACGACCATCTTGGCAAATACAGCGAGGCTCTTCTCGACTTCACAGCCAGCTGCATCATTGATGGCTTCAAGAACGAGGCAAGCGCCCAGTCGGTCGAGCGCCTGCTTAAGAAATTCGCCGAGTCCAAGGCCAAGGAGATGATGGAGGGTCGAGTTGCCAAGCTGCCGAGCCCCACGTTCGTTGGTAACTACCTCCAGAGCTTCAGAATCAAGCCTCGCCCTGCTGGCTTGGAGGACTCGGTCGAGCTGTCAGAGACTACTGGAAAGGGACAGCTCCAGCTTGGTCTGCAGGCTATGGAGAAGAAGACTGGCGAGGGTTACGAGGAGGCGGCTGCGGCGTTCGACAAGGCTCTTGAGCTCGGCGACCTCGGCGAGTATGAAGCCTTTGCCTACAACATGCGAGGTACCTTCCGGTGCCTCCGTGGTAAGCACGAGGAGGCTCTTGCCGACCTCAGCAAGAGCATTGAGCTGGACCCATCCCTTACCCAGAGCTACATCAAGCGTGCCAGCATGAACCTTGAGCTTGGTAGGTCTCTCCCGCAAAGACGAAAACTTTGTACTACGTTGCATGTGCTAATAAGGCCTGTGCAGGTGCACCGGACAAGGCCGAAGAGGACTTTGAGAAGGCGCTGAAGCAGAACAGCACGGACGCCGATATCTACTACCACCGTGCTCAGCTTCACTTCATCAAGGGCGAGTTCTCCGAGGCTGCCAAGGACTACCAGAAGTCGATTGACCTCGATCGCGACTTCATCTTCTCTCACATCCAGCTTGGTGTGACGCAGTACAAGATGGGCTCCATCGCTTCATCGATGGCCACCTTCCGCCGCTGCACCAAGAATTTCGAGAAGGTTCCCGACGTTTACAACTATTATGGAGAGCTGCTCTTGGACCAGAGCCGGTTCCCGGAGGCCATCGAGAGGTTCGACACTGCCATTGAGATGGAGGCCGCCAAGCCTATGAGCATGAATGTCTTGCCTCTCATCAACAAGGCCCTCACTCTCTTCCAGTGGAAGCAGGATTTCGCGGAGGCGGAGAAGCTTTGCCAGAAGGCTTTGATCAGTATGTCCTCGTCTGCATGTCTGCATTGACTTCATGTCGCTAACCTTGAACCCAACAGTCGACCCTGAGTGTGATATCGCCGTGGCTACCATGGCTCAGCTTCTGCTCCAGCAGGGCAAGGTGACCGAGGCCCTCAGGTACTTTGAGCGCGCTGCCGAGCTTGCCAGGACGGAGGGCGAGCTTGTCAACGCCTTGTCCTATGCCGAGGCTACGCGGACACAGATCCACGTCCAGGAGAAGTACCCGCAGCTGGCCTCGAAGCTCTCCGGCATGGGGGCCGTGCTCAAATAAGCTCTTCCATTGTACAACTTCACTCACGATCGCCTCTTGATGAGGCTGAGACACCACCTTTTTCCCTTTGGCACATCTGAGGGGTCGTTATTCACTCTTCATGACAGGCATGTGAAATTTAGAAACAAAGAACCAAGAGGGAAGTGTCTCGATTGTATTTCCCTCATTTTCCCTCGCATTTGGATGGGTACGGCTGGATTGATCATTGACGCGGGCATCAAAGGACAAAATGGGGGCGGAATCTTTTTGTGAGAGGCATTCCGCAGCTGTGTGGAGAGGATGGAAGGGCAAAGCCTGCTGATGCAAACATATCATCCGAGGCTATCCTTTCCGCGTCTTGGCCGTATCTTTTTCCTCTTTCTATATCCGACCACGCATGCAACAAAAATTGTTCTGCTGTACATAATCACCTCTTCTCAACTTTTTTACTGTCTTGCTAGTACATAACCCGGGAGCAATGGGGTTCCTGGGCTGTAGAATTAAATGATAATTGAACTGTACGAGTGGATTAAGAGGTGCTGAAGATCTTCCTTGGACCGTTAGGTGATTCGAAATATGCGGGCATATAACAAGTCATCGAATACATTCAGGCAGGGAAATACTGGGTACGAAAGGATTCATGCAGTACTATCATCTATAACAACATGAAGCCACAAGCTCTACTTCTACAAAAGAAACATGCCGCTCCATTAATTATAATTAAAACAGGTGGTCCGTCGCCGCCGTGGCTGTGACGGGACTGGCTCACCCCAGATATACATCTGGAGAATATGTCCGCTCTAAGACCTTCCGCGTTGAACACCACTCGAAATGCTCATCGTCGTCTTCGCGTATCTTTGTTTCCCTTGCTTTGGAAACCACAGAGCTGACACAGCTAATTCTCCACACCCACTTCTCCAAAGCCAAGCTCCCGTCTTCTACACACAGTCATGTTAAGGTGGTACACAGGCGCGAGCGTATCGATCTCTCGGACACCAAAACAGGAAAGACATCGGCCCTCTTTTTTCCTAGCCACGACCCTACTCTTCATCTTTCTTATTTCTTCGTCAGAGCGACGCCCAGACCGACGCCGAGCGCGATGGCGAGGATGATGAGGAGGACGACGAGGGCGCACCACCACTTGAGCTTGCGGCGGTTGCGGGCGTGCTTGTTGGCCTGGTCGACCTGCTCGTTGCCCTTTTGCAGGTGCTGGTTGGTCTGCTCGGTCTGCTCCTCGGCGCGGACGACGGCGGGCTCCTGCATGACGACCAGGGTGTCGAGGTCCTGGAAGAGGCCGCTCAGCTCGGTGATGGACTGCTCGATGCGCTGCAGCTCGTTGTGGCGGGCGCGGACGGCGCCGAGCACGGCGGAGGCCTGGCCGGTGCGGTTGGTCCGGAGCTAAAGTGCCTGGGTCAGCATATCTATACTCTACACACACATACACAACCGCATAGCGGACCCGGATGTGCCGGGACGGCATCAAGGAAGACATACAGCCGTCTGGAAGATACCCTCGTTGCCCCAGTCCTGCTGCGCGGCCTGCCTGACCTCCTCCTCGGAAGCATCGGGGTTGACGATGCGGTACTGGCGGGAGATTTGGTCGCGGTAGCGCTGCTGGAACTGCGACTCCTCGCTCAGGAAGCCCTGCAGCTCGCGGCGGAACTCGCCGCTGAGGGCGTCGAACTGGCGCTTCTTGAGGCCGTGCGAGGCCGGGTCGCTGGTGCGGTTGGCGTCGCGCTCGAGCGAGCGCAGCTGGTCGCGGATGCTCGTGTTGCGCAGCTGCGTCTGCGACACGAGGTTCTCGAGCTGCGACGACGACGAGCCGGCGTCCTCGGCCAGCGAGCGCTGGTGCAGCTGCCCGATGCTCTGGATGTCGCTCGTCATGGTGCGGATCTCGCTGCGGACGTGCGACACGCGCGCGAGGAAGTCCTGCTGCGACATGACCGAGGCGCCCGCGCTGGCCGCGGGAGCCTGCTGCTGCTGGCCGTAGGGCTGCATCTCGTGAGACTCCTGCTGCCGCGCCCATCAATCGCTCGAGGTTAGCCATCAATCGCCCCGAATTTCGCGTCCGCGACGAAACGTCTCGTAGGGGCCCGCCCGGTGCTTACCTGGCCGTAGCCAGCGTTACCGCCGTAGCCGTAGCCCGCCTCGGCCGCGGGGGCCTGGCTGTAGGGCTGGCTGTAGGGGTTGCTCTGGTACTGGTTTTGCGACATGTTTTCTTGTCTTGTCAATTGGGCACGTCGGGCGCTTGCTGTCGGGCGTGTCGGAATCGATAAACCAAGAGATCTCGATGGGAACAATGGAGGCCTCGGGTCGGGTTTACGTGCGTTTCGTTATTTTTTTCCTTCGACCCCGGTGACCAGACGAAGGTTTTAGTGTTTATGGCTGGTGGTCGTCGTAAGGTTTGGGGCGGCGGCGTGGGCGGATGGGAAAAAAAGGCGACCAGGGGGAATGTTAAGATGACGTTGGCAGCCTAGCGGGCGGCGGCGGCGCAAGGCAGGGAGGGAGGATACTGGTAGGGGTAGGACTTTTGATTCTGCCAGGCACGGAGAAATCGAACACACGAACTCGTCAAGCTCTGTTCGTCTTACCAAGACGGGGCGGGCGAAGAAAAACAGCCAGGGGTCTGGGCCCGGCTCAGCACCCCAGAAATAGAAATGCTCAGCCTCCTGGGATCAAAAATGGGTTAGATCATCCCGATTCGCCGTCTGTTCTGTGCTGCGGATTGGGGAGGGTTGGATTAAGAGCTCCCCACACTGGATTGGCATAGTTACATGTGATTGTTTCGTTCCGTTTCCCGCAAATGCTTGATCCATCTTGAGACATGAAACATATCTCTCTATTTCGCGAATACCATCATCTCTGGGCTATGATTCATGCCAATCGAGCATACGTGCTTTTCCACCGGGTCTGCACAGCAAGGCACTCCGTCTCGTCCACAGCAGATCAGATGGCATAGCTCACCAATCAGAAATGCCCCTGCAGCTCCGGTGACCTGCTTCTATAAAGCGGTAGCCTATTTCACACCAGCCCAACAGTCTCTCGCCCCGCCGCTTCAGTGGCTCGTACTCCGTACAGGTGATGCTGAGGTGCGGTTGGTGCCAATTGACCAGGCTGCAATTGGGCCATTTCATTCGTTCTTGTCTTTCCCACTTTGCTTCAATAGCTTGGTTGTGAAAAGCCGTTGCCTTGCTTTCATTTCATATCACTGGCGCATCATGTCACCAGCACATCATGGCATTGAACCTCAATGGCTGATATACCTCGTTCCAGCACGGTTGATCATAGCAGGCTGTTCGAACCGGTCGAATCTACATCTATCGGAACCTTCCCAAGAAAGAATCCTGAGATAATTTCCCAAATACAGGTATCTTTCAATTTCCCACAAAGTTCGATGACACCATAAATCATGTGCCCGTAACAGGCAGACGTGTTGCAACTTCCTTGCCACCCGAAATGTTGGGAGCCTAGTGTCGACACGTGTAGTGGAGAGCTGTTGGATCTTCTGCATTGGATAATGGGCCATCCTCGATATGCTGATCAGTCGATGCAAACACAGGAGCCTTTCCTGTTGTGTTGCCTCTGTCTCCATCTGACCAGTTCATAGTTGCAATGACCGTGGTTCCATAGCTCAGCAGCCAGCCAGCATCGAGTGGGGCGAGACACAGGGCGTCTTAGGAGGTGATGTCGAGTGCCCCTTTGGCCCATTCCTTCTCGAGGCCCTCATGAAAGAGAGTTCCGAGGCTGTGGCCTGAATCCTCGCGTTCCTAGTCATTCGTTCGCCTAATTTCGGGTACGAGTCTGGATTGCTAGTCTCTGAGCTCAGAGGTAGTTCTTCTTCCGGCTGGTCCTGGTGTAGGAGCTGATATGCCACTCGACATCTCCGTCCTTGTTGTCAAGCGTACCACCCCTGATTTCAAACAAACGCATCGTCATCCGAGGTCCTACCTCTGAGAGTTCCACGCTATCGTAGCCCGTTCTTACGTAGACGTGATGTCTGACCTCAATGTTGTCATCATTGTTTTTGAACGTGATGACGCGGTTGCCAACCTTGCTCTTGTTGGTGATGGGGTCCATCGGAGGGAACAGATGCTTCAGGGCCTTGCAAACCCTCTCGCCAAGTCTGGTAGTAAACGAGTCGAAGATTAGGTGAGGGTAGGCTTCGGATACTGTGCCCTTGATGCTGTTGGGTATTTGGCTTCGCTCAACGACGTTCTACTCGACCATTAGTACCGAGCATCAAGACGGGGGGTCCACCAAACGTACGTGAAGAGAGAAGCTAAGAACAGGTCCGTGAGGAAGATGAGAAATTTGTAGCGAGGTGGGCACTCCTCTGTGTTCGTGAACCATGACAATGTCGGTCAAGCCAGCACTCTCTGCTGAGCGAACCAGGTCGCTGACGATCAAATTGCCACGGTTGAGACGGATCGCGGTCGGAAACAACAACCGAATCTCCTTTGAGAATGATGCCAATCTTGTCGAGGGGTCGCGACTTGTTGTAACCAGCACTCTGGGTTCAACAAGACCTGACAGCGCAGCATACTCGTCGTCGATATCAAGCTGTTCTTCCGCAGTCAGGTCGGGTCGTGATTCGTCGTATTGGAAGTCTTTCCTCAGAGCGCTATCGTTGGCAATGTTGCGGTCTAGTGGTTTGCCCTGGGCCAGGGAAGCTCTCAGCTTGGCCCTCTTCTCGCTGATCTCGGCATCTCGAAGTGTCAAGGCCTTGCGGTAGAGATAGTCTCTCCGTTGGCGGGCTTGCTTGCGCTATAGCAAGAGATCGATTAGCCAACGCTCGCTCTGGTTGCATTGCTATGGGGGTCTTGAAGAAACTCACAATCATTGTCACGAAGGTCTTCGGCGCTCTTGGTGAAAGGGCAAGCAAAGGCGCAAGCTGGGTTGATGCAGCCAACACAGTCGGTGATAGTTGAAGTTCTCGTTCTTTATCGATGTTCTTATCGAGCGGCCTGCCTCAGAAAAAAAAAACCAGGGACCCTGTTTGTTCTCCACCAGGCTTGTGTCCGCCAATGCGGGACCTTCAATGCGCCTGGAAAAAGGTACAGGGACTGGGGGCGATCTTTATCTCCACGTGATGCCACTAAAAGCTCAATGTCCCGCCCGCCACGCCAGCCCTGAACCACGGTTTCGCAGCGCAAGTTAGAGAGGACTTTGATGGCAACCTTTGAAAAGATCGGCTCTGCACCACAATTACCAGCGAACCTTTGAGGAGCAAAACCCACCTTTTTATCGAGAAGTCAATCCTACCTTCTCACCAACCGCAACTCACCTCTCCCTTGTCTTCTTCCCTTCTCTCTCCCGTCCAGGGTCGCAAGACTGTGGAAACTCGTTATCTACCTCGCGATGATGTGACGGCTGCTTCAAATCGACACAGAACCCCTCCCAACATACTTGTTCCCCCCTCGAGCCGATCCGCCTGTTCTGAGAAGCTTGTGAGTCCGATATTGAGCTGTCGGCGAACTATCTCGCACGAGCCGACCTTCTCTAGTCTGCTTTGCTAACCTCGGTCATTCGTCAGGCTCGTCAAGGAACCCAAGCTCACCCTTTCATTTGCCCTTCCAGCCTTCGACCATGGAAGGCGCTTTCACCCATCTCGGCAACCATCTGATCTCCGATTCTGCTGCAGCTATCAAGGCCGGCGACAACGATGACCTCTCCAACATCGACCCAGACGAGAGCCTCCTCTATGGAAAATTCGGTGGTCGGGCAGGCCTAGGCAATGCCCGGCGACGTGCAGACGACGATGACAACGAGACTGAGGTTTACGATGACGAAGATGACGAGAGCGTAGCCAACGTCCCTGTCGATGGCATGCGGGGGCTAAAACTCAAGGACGCCGAGGAAGAGCGAGAGCTCCCAGCTCATGCATGCGCATACTGCGGTATCCATTCGCCTGCTTCTGTTGTTAAGTGCTTGTCCTGCAGCAAATGGTTCTGCAGCGCGCGTGGCAACGCCACTTCCTCCCACATCGTCAACCATCTTGTGCGCGCAAGGCACAAGGAAGTCCAACTCCACCCCGACTCCGCCCTCGGTGACACCGTCCTCGAATGCTACAACTGCGGAACCAAGAATGTCTTCCTGCTTGGTTTCATTCCGGCCAAATCGGACACTGTTGTCGTCCTCCTCTGCCGCCAGCCTTGTGCCGCCAACACCTCTTCCAAGGACATGAGCTGGGATATTTCTCGCTGGCAGCCTCTAATCGAAGACCGCTCGTTTCTTAACTGGCTCGTCGCGACACCCACGGATGCTGAACAGCTGCGCGCGCGCCACCTGACTCCTCCGATGATTGCCAAGTTGGAAGAGATGTGGAAGGAGAACGGCAACGCTACTGTGCAAGATCTCGAGAAGGCTGCTAGCATCGATGACGATCCCCATCCCGTCCTTCTGAAGTACGACGATCCCTATCATTACCAGAACATCTTTGGTCCTCTGGTCAAAATGGAGTCAGATTACGACAAGAAGCTCAAGGAGGCTCAGTCGGAGGATGGCCTCGTCATCCGCTGGGACTACGGCCTCAACAACAAACACCTCGCTAGTTTCATTCTTCCAAAGATTGAGTCAGGCGATGTCAAGCTGGCTGTTGGAGATGAGATGCGCTTGAAGTACAAGGGCGAGCTCCGGCCGGCCTGGGAAGGAGTGGGATATGTCATCAAGATCCCCAACAACCAGTCGGATGAAGTTACGCTCGAGCTACGCAAGACAGGCAACGACAAGTCTGTGCCTACGGAATGCACTCATAACTTCTCAGCCGACTATGTTTGGAAGGCTACCTCATACGACCGCATGCAGATCGCCATGAAGACCTTTGCTGTCGATGAAATGAGTGTGTCTGGCTACATCTTTCACAAGCTCCTCGGTCACGAAGTCGCCGTCGCGCCAATGAAGACCACCATGCCTAAGAAGTTCACTGCACCTGGCTTGCCTGACCTCAATGGCAGTCAGATCAGCGCCATCAAGGCTGTCCTGTCTACACCTCTCAGTCTCATTCAGGGTCCCCCGGGAACCGGAAAGACTGTGACCTCGGCCACGATCATCTATCATCTAGCCAAGATGAACAACAGCCAAGTTCTGGTTTGCGCCCCGTCCAATGTCGCCGTAGATCAACTCTGCGAACGCATTCACCGGACGGGCCTCAAGGTGGTTCGACTGACAGCGAAGTCAAGGGAAGATGTCGAGTCGTCTGTCAGCTTCCTGGCCCTGCATGAGCAAGTTCGAATGAACGACACCAATCCTGAACTGGCCAAACTTTTGACGCTAAAGGGCGAGGTGAACGAGCTGTCCAGCTCTGACGAGAAGAAGTTCAAGCAGCTCACCAAAGCCGCCGAGCGCGAAATTCTAAACAATGCCGATGTGGTCTGCTGTACCTGTGTCGGTGCCGGTGACCCGCGCCTATCGAAGATCAAGTTCCGCAATGTCCTCATCGATGAGTCTACACAGTCTGCTGAGCCCGAGTGTATGATCCCCCTTGTCCTCGGTTGCAAGCAAGTCGTGCTCGTCGGAGATCACAAGCAGCTCGGCCCGGTTATTATGAACAAGAAGGCAGCCAAGGCAGGCCTCAACCAGTCCCTGTTTGAGCGGCTCGTCAAGCTCGGCTTCGCTCCCATCCGACTTAACGTGCAGTATCGTATGCACCCCTGCCTCTCTCGGTTCCCGTCCAACATGTTCTACGAAGGCTCTCTGCAAAACGGCGTCACTCACCAAGAGCGCATTCGACGCGATGTGGATTTCCCGTGGCCTGTCGCTGATATGCCCATGATGTTCTGGTCCAACTTGGGCAACGAAGAGATTTCCGCCTCCGGCACCTCGTATCTCAACCGTACGGAAGCCTCCAATGTCGAGAAGCTCGTCACTCGCTTCTTCAAGGCCGGTGTCAAGCCCGCCGACATCGGAGTCATCACCCCCTACGAAGGCCAGAGAAGTTATATCGTTAGCACCATGCAGAACACCGGGACCTTCAAGAAGGAGAGCTACAAGGAAGTCGAGGTTGCTTCTGTGGATGCCTTCCAGGGCAGAGAGAAGGACTTTATCGTTCTTTCTTGCGTGCGTTCCAACGACAATCAGGGCATCGGCTTCTTGTCGGACCCCCGACGTCTCAATGTCGCTCTGACCCGTGCCAAGTACGGACTTGTGATCATCGGCAACCCGAAGGTTCTGTCCAAACACGAGCTTTGGCACCATCTTCTTGTACACTTCAAGGAGAACAAGTGTTTGGTTGAGGGCCCCTTGACCAACCTGCAGACGTCGCTCCTTCAGTTCAGCCGACCGAAGCACAGCTACCGTCCTCCCAAGAACACCCAGCAATCCCATTTCCCTACCAGCGGGTTTTCCAATGGTCGCTTCGGTGGCGGCATGAACGGCTCGACCCGTGACTTCGACTCTGGCTCCATGATGTCTTATATCCCGGACGATGTATCATCGATTCACAGCTCCGCCCTTGGAGGGGCTGGCATCAGCTCCGCTTTCCCTGCCATGTTCTCAAGCTTCAGCCCAGACCAGTGGCCTGGTCTCCCCGGCGCTCAACCAGTTGGTCGCTCCAGCGCCCGAAACCGCGGAAGGGTCACCGAGAGCATCGCCGGCGAGAGTGTGGCGAACTCTGAGTTCACCGATGCTAGCGCAAGTGTTATTGGCGGACGTGGCATCGGACAGGGTGGCGTCAGCCTCGGTGCTGGTCTGCATGACGCTATCGGCACTGGACGGCCTACTTCGTACAGTCAAAGTGATCGTCTTAAGCAGTATGTGGAGAGCAGCGGCCGTATGAACCAAGGCTACCCATATCGTCGCTACGACGATGACCAGCAGAGCATTAGCACTGGTTTCGCCAGCCAGATCGGCGGCACCGGCTACGACTGATTGAAATGCCTTGGACTATGTTTGGAATCTCGATTCTTCATCAGGCATCAAACACTCGAAAGCTTGGAAGCCACCAGCACCGCGTCCGGTCAGAGCCCAGCTCGGCTGAAAGCTCATGCGACCCAAGGCCCTCTACAAAGCAGGCTCTAGCCGCCAGGCCGACAGTCACAGCCACATCAAAGTGCGTACGTTGAGCGAGAGATGTTAACTTGTCCTACTGGCTCAACAAAGCGACGGTGGGCAGGCGGCGGCACATCGCATCCAGAAGCGAAGCCTGAGATCTCTCGGGTCAATCATTCAGAACACAGGTCTGTCTGTCTGGCTATCAGCGGCATTGCAACGCTACCCTTGTGACCTACGAAAAAACGACTTGACAGGGAAAAGAGATAAGTGCTAGAGTGACTCTATAGGCTGTGGAAATGTTGAAAACGCGTGTTGGCGGATTCAACTAGCAACAGAGCCTCGTCAACCAGCCTGTAGCAGACGGGCTGGACTAGACTTGCCGTTAGTGTTCCCTCGGGGTCGGAACGCACTTGTTGTAACTTGTTTTCTGGCGAGGGGTTTTGATGTCCCTTGCGTCCATTCCCTTCGATGTATCCCTGGAGGCATGTTTGATGCGAGCCTTGGAAGCCTCGTGCTGACGAGCTTCTCATCGACTTTGTCCCCTAGTCACTCCTTAGATAATAAATATTGCACTTTACACTGAGAGACCCCGGTATCGTTGACTGGTTATTTATGGTCAGGGCGTTGCAAGCGTGGTTGATTGTGTCTTCGTATACTCGACCTGAAGCGGGTGCGCGCGCGAGTGGCCCAACGGCTGTTGGTGGGCCCAGTGGGCTGGAACGCGGGGCGGCGGGAGGTCCACTTGAAGCTCTGAAACCCTGAAACAGGGTGGATGGTGATTCAGGTGGGTGTCCTTAACCTTGTGACACGATGTCTGAAATTCCTCTTCTTCTCCCCCCGCCCCCAGCGTTCATTGTTCTGTTTTCTCACCTCTGAGACATGCCTCCATCGCATTTGCCTTCGTCTTCTTTTCGGTGACATTTCCACTGCTTGCAAGCGATATACCCCTTTCGTAGTCAACATCTACTCTTCGGCTCCAGTCCTTCACCACTGTGACATCATAGCCCCCCTCCCGCAGTCGCATCCTGAACCTTGGCACTGCACAACCTTATCACCGCCCGATAGCCCGTGCAATCATCGCGCATATGACGTCCACTACGGAACCAGCCGTTGCTCCTGCAGCGGTAGCGGCTGAAAAGAACGGCGCTCCTCCCAAACTCGACGTCGCGGCGGTCGGCGCCAAGAAGGAAGAGAGCCCCGTCAACGATGGGATCGACGAGGTCAACCCGGCCGACTTCGCCGGCGAGGTCGCGACCAGCAACGAGCTGCCGTCCGATGCGACACTGAAGCGAGTCGAAGACTACGTCCTGCTGGACAAGCACGGCAAGTCGCACACGTTCAAGAGCCTGTACAGCGGCAAGGGCGTGGCCAGACGGGTCATGATCATCTTTGTGCGGCACTTCCTGTGCGGTGTGCGTATTCCCCCCCTACCCTTCGCGCTTCATCTCCGTCTTGTTCTTCTTCTTCTTCTACCAAATACCCGGGAGGACCCCTCATGCTGACGAGGGCATCCTGCCACAGAACTGCCGCGAGTACCTGCGCCTGCTCTCCGAGACCATCTCCACCGACGCCCTGCTGCGCCTGCCCGTGTCGACCTTCATCGCCGTCGTCGGCTGCGGCGACCCCAACGCCATCGACTTCTACGCCCGGTCGACGGGCTGCCCGTTCCCCATCTACACGGACCCGTCGCGCAAGCTGTACGCCGAGCTGGGCATGGTCAGCACGCTCGACCTCGGCAGGCGGCCGGCCTACACGCGCAAGGGCCTGCTGATGAACTCGCTCGAGTCGGTGGCGCAGGGCCTCTTGAACATCGGCAGCGGGCTCATCGCCGGCACGGCCGCGGCGCGCCAGGTCGGCGGCGAGTTCCTGTTCGAGCCGCTGACCGTCTCGACGCCGACGGACGAGGAGGACCGGACGATCGGGGCGCGCAGCCTGACGGGCATGTCGGCCGCCGGGGCCGAGGAGGAGCACGCTGCCGCCGCCGCCGCCGACGGCAGGGGCGGCGGCGGCGCGACGGAGGAGAAGAAGGTTACGTGGTGCCACCGGATGAGGACGACGAGGGGCCACGCCGAGATCCCTGAGCTGATGAAGGTGCTGGGCCTGGACGAGAAGGGGCAGCCGATCGAGGGGCGGCAGCTTTGGTCGGAGGTGGTATGACGAGCAAGAGATGCTTGGGTGTAGTTGTCTTGTGTGTCGTGGATTGCGGGAGTGATAACGAATTTGCCACCTTTTTGATATGAGATTATTAGCATGAGCGAGAATGATATTGCCAGTTTGTCTTTTGATGTTGGTAGCGACGGGGCTCCTCTGTCCAATACGAAGAGGTTGGGGGCGGTGAACTGTGTGATAATTACAGGATGCCCTGCCCCTTTTGAATATCATCTTCAATCCGTCACAATCGTGGGTGATTTTGATTTTAATGATGCTAGGTACCCTGGTGCGATTGGACTCTCGAGCAACAGCCCGTGTTTTCTTCTCTTCTTGGTTCATGGATTCATGTCCATCGCATCAAACTAGGATATCGGTCTTTCATTGTTAGCTCCTAAAACATGGTTGCTGATACTAAAGGCTGTCAATACCAGGCTTGCGGTGGTTGCAAGCTCTGGCTTCTCGAATCGACCTGCACCCATGTGTCACTCCCTACTGGCCCAGACCTCATCTTCATCCAAGCAAAGCGTGAGGAGGAAAAGGAGGAAAAGGCTAAGAAATAAAAAAAATAACAACAGTGGTATCATCGGGAATCGAACGCAGACTAGGTGCACCAGTGGATTGCTGAAATGCAGCAGTTTCTACTACCCGAATCCCTAACCACTATGGCATATTGCCACCTGTTGTTATTGTTTTGGGTAGTGTTGTTCTTCGTTATAAAGCACCGGCGGTGGGAAGATCCAAGAAACCAGTGTGGCACCGGGGTGTGCACGGCGCGCAAGTATTCGCCGAGATCTAATCCAGGTTCATATCCATGGAGCCAAAAGAGCAGCAGCTCATCAAAACCGAACGCCATCACACAAGAGATCTGATGATCCATGATCAGGCCGAATGACACAACGTTCGTTGTCTTTAGCGGTAGAGTCCCGAGTCCTCGAATAAGAAATGCTGTGGATACTCGTCCTGGTAACGTCTCATCGAGTATGGTTTTATGGCTTGTTGTTCAACGGACAATACTACAGTCCTATATTCTTGCTGGCCGTTCCCGAGCAGCTTTGCCAGAGGCCGGCCACAATGACCTCGAGCATACAGTGCTGCAATATTGCTTTGCTATCCGGTGGAAGCGAGGGTAGAGGTATGGCTTGTATAGAAGACAATGTGAACAGTCCGTCTTCGAGAAACCAAGGGCACTCTACGTGAACAGAAACCTAGCAAGATGCTAGTCGCAAATCACAAGAGAAGCGAGTGAGGATAGAGGCACAGATGGCCCGAGTAGCTGAGATCATGTAGGAGCTCGTCCAGGACAGGTGGCTCTTACTTGTCGTTACCTTACAAGACTCACTTACATGTGTTTTCTCCATAAAGCCCTGTCGGATTATAACGCTTCATTGTTCTCTTTATTTCTACACAAGGTGGGTATAGGAAGAGTTTGAAGGCTAATGCATGGAACGAGCAAAACCGATAAGAGGGAGACATGGAAGAAGAGGCAGAGAAGGGACAACTCGGGGGAAATGAGTCAAAAGGTTTGTTTCTTGTATGGGCCCGATCTTTGTGAGTTGAGGTGTCATCTGCTAGCGGCAGTGGTGATACATCTCACCGAATGACGAACCCTGAGGTGGCTTACGTGGAGGAGTCAAGGCCTCTGTTTTATAACGCATGCCTGGTCAAAGCTTTATAATATTATCATTTATAAAGCAAAGACGACAAAAAAAAAAAGCTATGGCTACCTCGAGTCGGTTTCTTTGAGATTGTGCTGTTTCATTTGTGTACCAGCAATCAATGTCAAATGGAACCATGCCTTTAGTCTCGTGTGTCTCGTGTGTCTCGTGTGCCATTACTTGAAAGAGGTGTGTCAGCATATCTGTTTTTGTGCATTGCCGGATCTCGTCCGTGATAGGCGGCACCTTGAGGAATGCGACAACATTGAAAGAGCCAGCCTGCCGCTGGTGCCACATGGCCTGGCTGACGTTGCCAAGGCCGTTGCCTCGCCTCGGAGCCATTCTGCAACGTGGGGTTGGCAGCGCTGGAAATTGGAATGATTGGCAACGAGGATGACGGCCCTAAAAGGCAGAGGCAACCGGGTGCTTGAGTCGTGGCCCCGAGGTTGGGTCACTTTATGTTGCTTTCTCATTTGGGTCCGCTTGGCCTCTGGACCTATCATTACCTGGTTGCTGTGATCATTATGAATCCGACCGTCAGATCCCATCAGTCAATCAGGTATTGACTCTCCAGACAAAACCCGCTTGCTACTCCTCACCGCCTTCGTTAGCATCTGCTGCCGTGAATGCAAGATCCTGGATCGGGCGACGGGCGAGAGTTTACAGAGGGCCGGTACGGGCGCTGATTGGGTTTCTTTCAAGGGATGGGGAACTTCACCTAAGATCGAGTTCAGGCTGGCGGCCCCCCTCCCCGCACCACCCACCTCAAGCTTGCCTACCTCCCTGTAGTTAGTTAGCTCACAACAAGCCTTAGTTAAAAAGTCAGGAAAAGGACCCAGTGACCCTCCCGACACTCGGTGGCCCTTGACGACCCAAAACAACGCCCACCTCGGTCGGCGACCTAAATTCCACTCCACCAAAACCCAACCCTGAACAAACTCTCCTTCCGCCTCCCTCCGTCCTCATTCCCCTCTCTTCCTCCCAAAAAAAAAAAAAAAAAGACCGCAACACGCATCATGTCTTCAAAAAAGCGGAAGGCCGATCAAGACGGCGACGAGATGTCGGTCTCGCCGCTGGTGTCTCCGGCCATCGGCTCCCGCCAGCTCTCCCGCCCATCCAAAAAAGTCCGACCGACCGAGGTCACAGGCCGACCGCTTTCTCTCCCGCGTCTCCTCGAGACCCTCGACACCTCTCAGCTCCGCATCGTCCTGCAGACCATCTGCGAGCGCCATCCCGACCTTGGCCAGGAGATCGTCAACGGCGCTCCTCGCCCGACCGTCGCCTCTGCCCTCCACGTCCTGGAAGATTATCAAGAGAAACTGCGTGCCGCTGTACCCTACGGCCAATCCAGCTCAGACTACACCTACTACCGAGTCAAGCAGCCCTTGATCGCCCTCGTCGACGCCATCTCCGATTTCACGCCTCAATATCTTCCTCCGACCGAAACCCAGACCAGCACTTCATTACAGTACCTCGACGGTGCCACAAAGATCATCCACATCCTCCCCGACTGGGACAGCCCTTCATATCGGCAGCACAAGGAAAACGCTTACGATGAGATCTCGAGGGCCTGGGCTCTGGTGATCCAGGAGGCAGCCAAACGCGGCGGTGGCTTCGTCCTGCATACGGGTGGATGGGACCAGACGCTCGCAAAACACAACCAGCAGGCCGGCGGTCGGTTAGAAGCTGCGATCCGGGCCATGGCCGACCTTGGTTGGACTGGCCCCAGCGTCGGTGTTCCCCAGACCCAGAGCAGCGCTTCAGATCAGAACTCGATCCGCAACCAGCTGCTCAACGGCACCTATGGCTCCCCGGTTCGCGTTGGACCCTGGTGAGACCGTTGGAGGCATTTCTCCCCCCGTTGGTGCCCGCAGCCAGCATCTGGCTGGTTGTGTCCATCCTCTCTTCACGGCCGCATTGCACCTTTTTCACGATGATCACGATGGTTACCTTTGATTTTCTTGCACACGAGGGCATTCGCAAGCAGCACAGGCATAGACTTTTGGGAACACGGTTCACATGTCACGGCGTTATACCATAGCACTACTTTTTGATATCCCCGATTTCTTTACGCTTTTTTTCTTTCTCCAGAGTTGGGTGGTGGATGGGTGGAAATGTCTACGAAGTACATACGGACTACCATACGGTTTTCCTTGCTTCCCCAAGGTGGTCAGCGGTCTTCCCAGCAAAATATAGTACATTCCTTCATCACTGTAATTAGCCGCCAGTGTCGCGTCGTGATATATGATGGACAGGCATGCATCATATCCAGAGAGTCAATTTTTTCCCCTTTGATAACCTACTTGAGGTCGGGTGTTCTGTAAAAGGATCGCCGGTTCGCTGATGCTGCGCGGTTCATGTACATTTTCCTTGATTTACCCGCAGCAATCTCTCATGGGCCCCCCCAGTGACTTGGGATGAAGCCGGATCGGGTTCGCATGAAGCAACCACAGTTTAGAGTTCATCAATCCAGTGATTTTACCCCTGATCTGCGTCTTGTGACCGAGAACCGAGAATTTCTGGGGGGATGATCTGCGGGACATAACCGAGCCGCGCGGACCTTCTCGTAATCATCGTAGGTCTTGCTCACTTTCTTTCGAGGTTGAGCGGAGCGTGGGCCGGGATATAGAGCCAAGCCTTGCCATGGTTAATATGTCGAAGATCAACTCTGAACGCCTACCTGGTGTCGACTACTCATCCTGTGCCCTCATACACTACCATGTCAAGTACGTCTACTATAATCATTTGACTACGTCGATGGTCAAATTCGAGTAGATCAAGCTCTATAGCCTTGTTGTACGCCTTGGAGCTGAAGGTCTTAGTCCTTGTGTTAATCTTGATTTGATTCATTAGACTATATGCATTAGTCCTATGCAAAGTCATATATATTTCGTTCTCGTGTCATCCTCATAGCAGCAGAATGATGGACATAGTAGAGTATGAACAGAGACACGAAAACAACGACTCCCAGAGTATGATACAGCTTATATGAGGTTAAAACACCAGGTCAAGGAACCCAAACGCTATGCTCGCTACAAGTACGCCCGGCACCGATGCCGTCACCACCAAAGACCCTGCGCTCCGCGGGGTGAGATCCCTCACGCACTAGTCGGCGCAGTCGTCCGCCTCCTTCTCGCTGGCGTCGTCGGCGCTGTACCGCGACCGGTCGCCCGTGTAGTACCGCTCGTAGCATCCCCGCGCGCACCCGAGCGCCCGGCACGGCATCTCCTCGGCGTCGCCGACGGTCCACCCGTCCAGCTCCCGCCGGCTCCAGGTCCCGTTGGCGCCGACCAGCGTCGCGCCGGGCCCGTAGCTGTAGCCGCTGGTCCGCGCGGCGGCGCCGCCCTTGGCGAAGAGGCCCGTCGAGATGCGGACCTGGGACCGGTCCGGCGCCGCGTCGGCGGGGATGGCGACGGCGACCTGCGTCGTGGCGAGGCGCTGGCGCCCCGAGAGCCAGCACGCGGCGCCCGTGCCGCGGCCCGGCGGGGTCAGGGCCAGGAAGACCCGGTACGAGTCGAACCTCGTGCGCAGGGCGTCGTCGGGCTTGTAGTCGATCGTGAGCTGGATCTCCTGGTTGGCCCTGAGGGGGTTAGGTGTGGTGATGCTGGGCGTGGCATGTGTGATGCTGCATGTGAGCGTCAGGCAGAGGAGGAGGATGGCGAGTGCCCGTAGGAAGACGGATTTGAGTGCCATGACATCCTGATCCAGGGAACAGAGCACAATAGCCAGGTTCTGGTCAGACCAAAGGGTTTACACCGATTTTGGGTTGTTAGACGGTCAAGTGCCGATATCAGATACTGCCCTTGTCACATCTGGGGAAAGGAGATGGACTTTTGGTTCATAAAGTGGGTTGGAGGATACAGGGTTCAGCTGGTAGTAATTACAATTGGGAAATCGTTTCTTAAACTGCAGACAACAAAGAAGCAAAATAACAACTACTTCTGTTTTGAATTCATTACGCACGATAACTATGATTGTATAAATATATATGCACTGAAGGTCTCGTGAGTTTTGAAGCTGTTCAGCCGCCTGTTCTGTTGTTGCTGCGACTACTTTGGGTGGCGCTAGATAGTAGGCATTCAGCTTCAAGTGTTGACAGAGGTAACTAGACGCAACATGAGAAAGGGCAAACCGCAACTAAAAGAGATGACTCGTTTCTCTCAAGACCGATGTCATTCTTGCCTGTGGCCTGTGAGTGTATGCAGGCTCAATGGCTGCCTGGATGGGTTGCTGCAAGCTGGGCTATCACGTGACCTCGAGACTCCGACGCGTAGTGCGGATTTCCAGGCGCGTCTCACTGCATCCAGCTCCAGCACAACACCAGCAGCTGTGACTAGGCACGCACTGGGTCAAGGTGCGCCCAACACACCGTCAATCGCCCCAAACAGCCAGTGCAGCTGTCGAGAACCGATGATATAGTGACACCATACATCGCTCTCGTCAAGATGCCTGCGTAAGTTTTCTGTCTTCACTGACCGGTTTGCCATTCGCTTGCGCTAACAGGGTGCACACCTCCAGTCCGGGCGATCAACACAGCACCATCACCAATCCTTTCGAGGAGAAGCAGCCGCGCATGTCGGAATATACGGCCCAGGAAATTGCCACCCTGCAGAGCCGGCTCGAGAAACAGCTCGGCCCCGAGTATCTGTCGTCCCGATCAGGTCCGTCCGGCCAGAAGGTGCACTACATCGCCGCCGAGAAATGCATCACCCTCGCCAACGAGATCTTTGGCTTCAACGGCTGGTCCTCGGCCATCCAGAACATCCAGATCGACTTTGTCGACGAGAACGCGCAGACGCAGCGCGTGTCGCTGGGCCTTTCCGTCATCGTGCGCGTGACGCTCCGCGACGGCACTTTCCACGAGGATATCGGGTACGGACACATTGAGAACTGCAAGGGCAAGGCGGCGGCCTTTGAGAAGGCCAAGAAGGAAGGGACCACGGATGCGCTGAAGAGGGCGCTGCGGAACTTTGGCAATGTGCTGGGCAACTGCATCTACGACAAGGCGTACCTGCAGAAGGTGACCAAGATGAAGAGCGAGCCCGTTCGGTTCAACGAGAAGAGTCTGCACCGCCATGCGGACTTTACGCCGAAGGAGGTCAAGCAAGAAAAGATGGAGGCGTCTGGTGCGAGTGCTACAGCCCCCGCTGGTATGGGAGCTGCCGATGTGGGCTTGGGTGGGTGCAAAGTCCCAATGATCACCGTGAAAGTTGTCGCCGCTAACTTGATGTCAAGGAGACGACGCTTTCGAGGATCTTTTGGGAGGTATGTAACCCGTATGCAGACCAGATGGCGGTCGCGCCCTGAGCTAATGTTTGGACAGAATTCGACGAGGTCGACTTTTGTGTAGTCGAGGAAGGCCACCCGGACGAGGTGGGAGTCTCGGAGCCGGCTCAGAAGAATGCAGCCGCAGGCAAGCCGAACCAGCCGCCGGCCCCAGGCGCGGCAGGCGCACATCATATGCAGCCACCTTCTCGGCCTCTGGGTCGGTCTACATCCGCCGCAGGTAACTATGCCCGCCCGCCGCAGACACCGAACCAGGCACAGTCGCGGCCAGGTCCACCTCCCCAAAACAATCAGAACAACCAGACCAGGCCGAACCCCCAACAGCAGCCTCCCAATGGCGGTCAGCGGCCAAATGCGAATGCGGCTTCAAACCAAAACGCACCGCAGCCGGCCCAGAACCAAGGTCAAGGCGCGGCGGCCCCGCCTACCGGCTCGGAGCCTGTGGCCTTCTTCTCGGCTCGCGCCGTCGCAAAGACTGGCGAGGCTGCACCCCCCACCCCTCAGCCCGGTCTCCTGTTCAACCCCAAGGCGGAGAGCCCGTCCATCAGGAAGACGCCCGGCATCGACCACACGACGTCCAAGCCCGTCAACCGCAGCGGCCAGCACGTTCCTCCTAGTCAGTCCGGCGAAAAGCCGTCGGGTCCGGGCGCGAATGCCGCTGGCAGGCCAGCAGGTCCTGGCATGGGCAGGGGCAACATCTTGAACCCGCAGCTGGACACTGCGCGGCGTGTCGGCTTCCCCGGCGGCCCGGCGAGCCCGCTTGCGAACCGGGGTCAGTATAAGCCCCCGACGATCAAGCGACCGCTCCCGGCCGAGGGCGCAGCGGGACGGCCGCCGTTGGCCGATGTGTCGACCAATGCGCCGGGCGCTGGTGGCCCTCCAGCAGGTGGTGCCGCAAAGGGCGCCGGTGTCGTGAATGGGGAGGCGAAGAGGCAGAAGATTGGCTGAAAGGCCAATCTTGGGCTCAGGATGCTCTTTTGTTTGCAGTTTGGCTTCATAAGGTTGGGCGCCTGGAGTTATGGTATGATGGGCTCAGATTGGGACAGAACTGTGGGCTATGGGAATCTTGTATCAGACAATTATTCCATGTGAGCGTTTGTACACTTTGCTCTGAACACGTCAACGAGGGATGCTTGGCAGGGTTTTGTTCAGCTACGAGCTTGGTCACTTTGTAGCAAGACATGATTGATTGCGTGCCGCGAATGGCTTCAGGAAAAGGGCATTTTTGATGACCGACAGAGAATAAGAATGTCGGATTGATCGTGGAAAGGATAGCTGAGGGAACATTATATTCCGGCTTTGCTCACGCGACCACTGCACCACAAATGGTACTCGATAGATATACCCGGTTACTCTTCCCTGGGAATGGCTAGTTTTATCCTTAGACAATTACAGAATGTCTATTAAATGTGTGTTTGCTCGGCGTGCCCAATCTTCACAATGTTGTTTCCCATTTCTCCAAAACCTGGCCCAAAAAGTACCTGGATCGACTGGCGATGTTGGCACCGCCCGATTCCGGGGCAAGAAAAGGGTGGAACATCGGCTGGAATTGAATTAAGTGCGTCGTGATTGGCTCAATTCTGCGTCTTCCCCGGCTGGCTGGAACCGACGCTTCGCACCAGTCTTGGGAAATTTTTCTGGGGACCCCTCTGAATAGTGCAGGCCGGAAAAAAAAAGACACTGAAGAAAGAGTCACAGCCCTCGACAAGACGGCGACTCGGCCATTGACTGCAAGCATGAGGTCGATCCAGATCGCAAGTCGCTCGGGAGCAGCGCTGAGGGTAAGAAGACCCTCCAATTCCCCTCAAAGTCACCCGTTAACCGCCTTGAATACAGCGCGTTCTGCACCCGCAGCAGCTCCGATGCCTCTCCGGCAACACGGCCGCCCGCCGACAGTACTCGCAGAGCTCCGACAGCACCCTCCCTCCGAACTACGAGACGCTCTACAGCAAGTACACCGAGGTCCGCCGCGTGCTGGGCAAGCAGCGCCTCACCCTGGCCGAGAAGATCCTCTACAGCCATCTCGACAAGCCCGAGGCCAACCTGCTCAACAACACCAACAATGGCCGCGACATCCGCGGCAAGGCCAACCTCCAGCTCAAGCCCGACCGCGTCAACATGCAGGACGCCTCGGCCCAGATGGCCCTGCTGCAGTTCATGTCGTGCAACCTGCCGCGCACCGCCATCCCCGCCAGCATCCACTGCGACCATCTCATCGTCGGCGAGCACGGCGCCAAGGAGGACCTGTCCTCTGGCATCAAGATGAACCAGGAGGTCTTTGACTTCCTCGAGTCCGCCGGCAAGAAGTACGGCCTCGACTTCTGGCCCCCCGGTGCCGGCATCATCCACCAGACCGTCCTCGAGAACTACGCCGTCCCGGGCCTCATGATGCTCGGCACCGACTCCCACAGCCCCAACGCCGGCGGCCTCTGCACCATCACCATCGGCGTCGGCGGTGCCGATGCCGTCGAGGCCCTTGTCGGCGCGCCCTGGGAGCTCAAGGCCCCCAAGATTCTCGGCGTGCACCTGACCGGCAAGCTGAACGACTGGGTTGCCCCCAAGGACCTGATTCTCCACCTCGCCGGCCTGCTCACCGTCCGTGGCGGTACCGGCTTCATCATCGAGTACTTCGGCCCCGGTGTGGAGACCCTCAGCTGCACAGGTATGGCCACGGCTTGTAATATGGGCGCTGAGGTGGGTGCGACTTCGTCCATCTTTCCCTACACCGATGCGTCGGCGAGGTATCTCAAGTCGACCCGGCGGGAGGCTGCTGCGAATGCTGCTGCTGCGCTCCAGGGTTTCCCCGGCGGCGGCGCCTCGGAGGACGCGTTCTTCAGGTTCAAGGCCGACGAGGGTGCCGAGTACGACCAGGTCATCAACATCGACCTGTCCACGCTCGAGCCGCACATCAACGGCCCCTTCACTCCCGATCTGTCGATCCCGCTGTCCGAGTTCAAGGATACCGTCAAGGAGCAGCAGTGGCCCGAGAAGCTGTCCGCCGGCCTTATTGGCAGCTGCACCAACAGCTCTTACGAGGACATGACGCGCGTGGAGAGTATGATGAAGGCGGCAGGCGAGGCAGGCCTCAAGCCGGCTGCCGATTTCTACATCACCCCTGGCAGTGAGCAGATTCGAGCCACTCTGGAGCGTGACGGCACCCTGGAGACGTTCACCGATGCTGGTGGTATCGTGCTGTCCAACGCTTGCGGTCCCTGCATCGGACAGTGGAAGCGACACGACGGTATTGAGAAGGGCACGCCGAACGCCATTCTTACCTCGTACAACCGAAACTTCCGTGGCCGCAACGATGGCAACCCCGAGACGCTCAACTTCCTGGCCTCGCCCGAGGTCGTCACCGCCATGGCGTTCGCCGGCTCTACGACGTTCAACCCCATCACCGACACCCTCACGACGCCCGACGGCAAGGAGTTCCGCTTCCCCGCGCCCAAGGGCCTCGAGGGCCCGCAGGTCCCCTTCGACTCCGGCCTCGCCGAGCTGGCGGCCCAGAAGCAGGAGCCCGACGCGAGCGTGCCCATCGCCATCTCCCCCACCTCGGAGCGCCTGGCGCTCCTCGAGCCCTTCGACGCCTTCCCCGAGGGCGAGCTGACGGGCCTGCGCGTGCTGGTCAAGGTGACGGGCAAGTGCACGACCGACACCATCTCGGCGGCGGGCCCCTGGCTCAAGTACAAGGGCCACCTGCCCAACATCAGCAACAACACGCTCAACACGGCCGTCAACGCCGAGACGGGCGAGGTCAACGCCGCCTACGACCTCGACGGCAGCCGGCACACGATCCCGGAGCTGGCCCGGCGGTGGCGCGACGCCGGCCGGCCCTGGCTCGTGGTCGCCGAGCACAACTACGGCGAGGGCAGCGCGCGCGAGCACGCGGCGCTGCAGCCGCGGTACCTGGGCGCGCGCGTCATCGTGACCAAGTCCTTTGCGCGCATCCACGAGACCAACCTCAAGAAGCAAGGGGTCGTGCCGCTGACGCTGGCCGACGAGGCCGACTACGACCGCATCGGCGCCGGTGACGAGGTCGACACCGTGGGCCTGTACGACATGCTGCGCAACGGCGGCCGGGGCGAGGTGCGCCTCCGCGTGACCAAGAAGGACGGCGGGGAGACGTTCGAGGTCGCGACCAGGCACGCTGTCAGCGAGGACCAGGCTGGCTTCATCCTCGCGGGCAGCGCGCTGAATCTGCTGTCCAAGGGTGTGTAAAAAAAGACGAAAGTTTCTTTTGGTGGTCTGGGAGGGAGAGGGTGTGAAAGAGAGAAAGTCGTCGTGCGTCCGCATTTGCATAGAGAGAGAGAGAAAGAGAAGGAGAGAAAAAAGGGAGTTAGTTTGTATTTGAACTGAGAGCATGGAGCTGCTGGGCTATTATTGCTTTGGCTCTTTGGGGAGAAACATGGCGTTTTGCGACACAATCTTAGAGAGAGTGAGAAGGATCATGTTAGTCGTACGTTCATACTGCGCATATCCGTCCATAGGATGTTGGTTTGAACGACATTGAATACCATTGAGAAGTTAAATCGGGTAGAGGTGAATACTACAGCCGTGTCTCGTGTGCTTCCCGAGTTTTCTAGTCGCGATTTCTTACATTCCACGTAGAAATGCTCTCATGGACGATAGCTGAACCCTGTCAATGTGTGGCTTGTCTCTTCTGACCCATCTGCCATCGGCCCTCTCTACCTCGTCTGTTGGTTTTCTTTTCCCCTTTGCGGAGGTCCGGTCTTCTTTCCACAAGTCATGTCCTCTCGATATCAGGAAAAGCAGAGGTGCCTTGCGGGCATTATTGATTACTGGCGATCGGGCGGGCTGGTCTGCGCACTGTGGGAGGCCCACGACTAACCTGAAGCAGCATTGCATGCACCTTTGCACTGCGCCTCCGCTGCTAAGGGTTTTCCTCTCGTGTCTTGAGCTGCTCGCAGACCGCCAACGCAGCAGCATCTTGATGTGTCATTGCAGCTCCATGTGTTGCTCTCCCTACGTCTGGCTGCACGCAAGGCTAGACTGGACTGGACTGGAGAGCTAGAGCTGGGCATTCTTTCTAGCCGTGCTAGTAAACCGCCTGTCGGAGTGAGTGCCTTGAGAGAACTTTTGAGACGCTGTGCTACCCTCCACCAGGCCCGGAGGCGCTTTTCTTTCGAGTCGCATGTGGTTCAATGATTAGGAATAGAGCAATGACTTGATGCACGGGTGCGGATGGGAGAGGAGGTTCCCCTTTGACCATCCACTTGTACAAAAAGTACGCATGACACCAGAACAGGTGAAGCCTTGATAGTTGCAAGGTTGGCTTTAGGAAATATTCATTTCCATGTAAATTCACACGAGTTCCAACTACGAGACTCTTCGTCGCATCACTTCAAGCCGCGCATTCAATGAAGTCTCATCGGAATGACCAGTGGGATAATCGTAAAGAACCATGGCACCGCCACACACCAGGTCAACCTCGCACCTCTCCATCTCGACGAGAAAGAAACGGCCCCAACTGTCGGCCCCTTTGTGAAGCTGCCGCAAGACCGAGTCCCTCTCAAATCACGTCCCAAACTCCTCAATCGCGTCTATGAAGCCGTCACCGTGCTCGACGCAGCGAGGGAACTTTGCTGGAGGCAGCCGCTGCCCATGCCCCGGGACAACAGGTACGACCGGAGGGACTGCCCAGAGATTGATTTTCAGAGCTATGACAATGGAGTATGCCGGATCGTTACCACCGAGGCTCACCATGGGGAAACGATCACCTCGAGTGTGGTGCTACCGGCCTGCGTCTAATAGACGACACAACGATGAGATCGTAATACAACCAGGGATTTCCCAGATAGAACGCTTAGGACTCTGAGGCATGTAGAGCAAGAGGCACTCAGAGGTGAATCCTTCTTCTGGACTATCATGGGAGACGTTTTGGTGTTTTGTAAGCCTCGGACCAATAGTTGGCAATGCTGGTTGAAAACATTCCCTATGGCGGAGAGAGGCTCATGATAGTAGTGCAGAAGTTGAACCCTTTCTTCCTCGCTGATACACTCAAGAGGCGTGCGTGCCTGGCTGTGCCACAGCAAGGGGGGTCGCCGCAAGGATTGAAGCCATGGAGTCACCTTGGGTCTCTAGCCAAGATTAAAATACACCAACATGTAAACAACTGCGCTTATAATCAGGACGTCAATCTTAAACACACTGGTAGGATTAACGACCGCATACGACCTCAACAGCTGTAAGAAACTCCTTATTTTTCTGTGCGACATTGCAAAGTCTCTTCTCCATGAAGTCATATACATCTACGTCATTAGTATCATCTGTTCTGAGTCACAAACTTGCAAACAAGATTGAAGATCAAAATAGCTGCTGTTTACTAATATTGTGGAATGTGGCATCAATAATTCCGAACCTAAGTTTTCAAGAGAGAATGTCTTTTTAATTCACTACCAAACAGGATGCCAGACACACAAGCCAGTATTGCCTGATATCTCTACGGAAACAATGAACACTGTCTTGAACTTCTTGTAATGTGTGTGGAACGGACCCGGCTTCAGCCTGAACAACACCTATTCAGGCCTTGAAAGTACTGATCTTGTAGGGGAGAATCTGTCTCTCCTCATTCTCGCGAGCCTCAACTTCATCGCGCTTGAACGTGGAGATCTTGTAAGGGAGAATCTGTCTCTCCTCGTTGTCCCGCGACTCAACCTCGTCTCTCTTAAAGGTAGAGATCTTGTAGGGAAGGATCTGCCGTTCCTCATTGTCGCGAGCCTCGACCTCATCGCGCTTGAAGGTCGAGATCTTGTAGGGAAGGATTTGCCTCTCCTCGTTGTCTCGAGCTTCCATCTCATCCCTCTTGAAGGTGGAGATCTTGTAGGGCAGGATCTGTCTTTCCTCGTTGTCCCGCGACTCTACATTGTCGCGCTTGAAAGTGGTGATCTTGTAAGGGAGGATTTGTCTCTCTTCCTTTTGGATGGACTGTCGAATGCGAGTAAGCCTAGTGAAGAGCATGTATGCAGACTCAAAATGAGGAGATGCCTACCTCGACTGGTGCTGCAGAGACCAGAGCAGTGAGGGAAGCAAGTCCCAGAACGAAGAGATCGGAACGCATGGTAGGAGTTTTAGATCAGAGATGCAGTAGGTTTACTGGTGGCAAGCAAGTTTGCTGTCTCGTAAGCATGCATGCAAAAGGATAAGATGGAGGCTATATTTATAGTTCGCCCCGAGTATGAATTACCAACCTTCTCCCGGCTCACTCATTACTAGATATCGCCTTTTCAGGAAGCAAGAACCCATGGACTGTGCCGCTGAACCTCAGTCTCCGACGCAACCCGCTCCCTTTCGTCTCCTCTCTCGCCACCCGAGGCTCGACCTCGATAACGATCATAGCCGGCGGATCCTTCAGATATCTATCGACTCAACTGCCAATTTCGACATCGCGAGATGTGTTGCGGCGTTCTTGGCACCGGGTGGACGTTTCATCGCTCTGTCGTGCGGTGCGCTCGCCTGCCCGATGCGGAAAGTGGTTTGTGCACGACAGCGGCGCGAACACAAGCTTCGCCGATCGGGATACGTGCGCCCTCTCTCTCTCTCTCTCGGCCCTAATATGGCGACAATTCTCGAGGCTTCCGCTCCGTGGCTAGCCCGCCTATGTAGAAAAAACAGGCTCGCCCGGTTAGGAAGTGTCAGAACGACTTGCCGGGAGAAGAACTCGACTTTGTTTCCCGGATTGCTGTCACGAAGCGCCAATGAATGGGGCAGGGAGAATCTCGCTTCCACCACTTACACGCCATAGTTGATCCGCAAAGAATCTCAACATCCTCCCGAGCACGGAGGTTCCTGTTCGAACAAGCTGATTTTACCGAGTATTTTCTTTCAACTTGAGGCTTCCCAAGATCCAGGATCTCGTCTTGTGAACTTGACAAAGAGCCCCCCATCATGGCCGTCTTCGCGTCGCTCGATGAGCGCTCGAAGAATTCCTCGTCAGAGTACGAGGACGACGAACGGGCCGGCTTCCTGAACGAAAAGACCATCAAGCTTCAGATCCGGAGACCACGGCGGCTCTCCCTCTTCGTCACGATGGCCAACCTGCTCCTCTTCGTCGTGACCATCGCGCTATGGGCCAGCTGGTACTACAAGACATACCTCGTCCTGAACCCGGAGCTGCGCAGGACATCAACGTATAGTAAGGACATTTTTTCCCCAGAACCCCCTTCTCTCCACTCTCTCTTTACTCACGCAGAAGGAACAACAGGCCCCATCCACGACCTCTTCGACCTAAAGATGCACAAGGAGCTCGTCAACGGCACCCTCTTCCCAGACCGCGAGCACCCCTCCATCGCGCGCCTGCCCCCGCGCACCCCGGAGGCCGACGCCCTCTGGGACGAGTGGGAGCTCACGCGGCCCTTCCCCGTGACGGCGGCCCAGATCCGCGCCATGGGCAAGGACCCCTCCACGGCGGCCAAGCTCGAGGACGCGGACTGGGGGCTCGGCGACGACGCCTACGCGGCGGTGCTCGACGTCTACCACCAGCTGCACTGCCTCAACAGCCTGCGCAAGGCCGTCTACCGCGCCGAGTACGGCGCGCCCGAGCTGGCCGAGGTCTCGGAGGCCATGATGCGCGTGCACGTCGACCACTGCGTCGACATCCTGATGCAGGCGCTGCAGTGCTCCGGCAACGTCAACCTCGTCACCATGCACTGGCTCGACACGCAGGACTATCCCTTCCCGGACATGAGCATCGAGCGGCAGTGCGTCGACTTCGAGGGCCTCACGGCCTGGCGCCGGCGCAGCACGCTCGACATGGACAAGTGGGCGCGCGTCATGGCCCGGAAGCCGCCCGGCGTCAAGGAGGAGAAGGCGCCCGAGGAGTTCCACACGTACTTTGGCGGCGGCGGCGGCGGGCCGGGAGGGGACGGAGCGGCGGCGCACGGGGGCCACGTTCATGGGCCGTAGGGTAGGGGGCTTGGTGGAATTTCATCTTACTAGAATTCAAGATGGAGAAGAGGTCATCTGAGATTGAATTGTTGTACGATGATTCCCGCCATGCTGTCTTGGTAGATCTGTGCGAGCCTACAACACCCGTAATAGCCCGTAATTATGTGTGTGTTCTCCGTAGGGTGGCAGGGTTGGAGGTATCCCCCTTCAGCCTCATCGCGCGGCTGACATGTCTCTTGGACTTATAAGGTCGGGCCATCTTTAGAAGGTAATTATTCTTTTCAGCTCTATCAAGCCAGGCAGACATGTTGGTTGCAAGCGCCAGTCCGACCTGAGCCTGCAATGCTGCTTTCATGAGAATCATAGCAATGTGGGACGAGGACAATGAATCCATGGCTGCAATTCCACTCAGTCACGTACACGCCCTTTCAATTCCCATACTTGCATTAAGAACTAAACATGCTCTTACAAATCACACTTTCTCCAGGTCCGCACGACTGGACATATGCAGCCAGAGATCATGCAATAAACTCCATTGCAACCCGGTCCAAACAAAGGCGCATGGTCAATGATGGCCCAGGAAAAAAAAGAGATGGAAACGCCTGTGCTAATGCAGTAAAATCCCCCACCGGAGCGTCGTCCGTCCACTTTGCCTCTCGACGGCAGGCGTCCCTCTCCAAAAGATCCCACGTCCAGACCCAACGAGGGTATCAAATAATGGCGACCAAACGCCCCGGTATTCAAATCAGTACCAAGCCGCGACATTTCCCCAGCACCCACATCTGTGCCAAGCAAATACCCGCCGCCGTCTGCAAAAAGGAGATTGCAACGCCGTTGGACCACTCCAGCATGCTGTTACCGCCGCTTGTTCCGCGCGGCCGTCGCAGCGCCACTCCTCCCCGCTGCATCGGCCTCAAGTTGCTCCTGGATTTCCCTTTGCCTCGACGCTTCCTTGTCCTTTTCCCAGTCTTGCTTGTCGCACTTCTCGACCCACTGCAGCGCGCGGAGCCATAGCTCATTCTCGCGCACCTCTTCGCGTGCCGTATCTTCCTCCTTTTCTCCGCTTGTCTTCCTCTGCTTGGCCAGTCGCTCGGCCGCCTTTCCGCAGTTAGCTTTGCGCCCGCCCCTCTCCTTGATCTCCTTTTGTTTGGCAGCATGCCACGCCTGCGACCGTTCTCTGCTCCAGTGTGTCCGCGGATCGATGTGACCGTAATGCGGGTCTGCGTGAGGGGCAGGCATCTCCTTCTTGGGCACCAACGAGAGGCCCGGTGGAGGGGCAGAAGCGCCCTCCTGATTGTAGATCCATGAATCGAGATCAATGTCATCAAGATCTTGCCCTTTCCTGGACTGAGAATCCGCCTGCGGTGCTACCTTAGTCTGCCCAGTGATTGCAGCCGGGTGTTCCGAGAGCGGACCTGCTGGTGTTCTGGCCTGCTGTGCCTCGCCAGAAGTAGACTGAGGCTGCACCGACGGCATCGTGGAGCTGGCCGACGCTTTAGGCTCTAACGATTGTGGTCTTTGCAGCCCATTCTGTGTCCGATGCGGCTCAGCATGGGGCTTTGAGAACGTCGCCGACGAGTACGACACGCCTCTGATCTGCACAAGGCCATCCTTGGTCTTCTCTGCCGATACATATGCTTGCCTTGTAGGCGGTTCAGCACGGTCAGACACTTGATGTGTACCGTTTGCCTTCAATGGCCATCCTGGGAGACCGCTTGGATTCGCCTTGTCCCACTGCGACGCGAACCAGAAACCACTGCGATGTTCCCCCGCGTGCTGATTAGTCTGACCAGGTGCTGAGTTCATTGACGTCGATCCTGCCGCTCCTTGAGGTCTCTGACCAACGGTGTGCCCCACGGACGCACTCCGGTATCCATTGGCCATGGCTCCTGCCCCCGGGACATATCCGTTCGTCCCACTGAAGCTTCGAGTGGGTTCAGGCCTTGACGGAGGATCTGCAGACCGCGCTTGGTATGGTCTTCCTGCGAAATTAACAGGGAACGGTTGGTGGTGAGCGCCGTTGATACCGTTGACACCATTGTGAAGCCTTTGCAACGGTTGACCAGGCGTCGTCTTGTTGTCCAGTTGGGACGAATAGTGGCCGTTAAGCCTGAAGTCAGGCTCAGTCCCATTCAGTCGCACCTTTTTATTAGCATGCTCCTGAGTTGTGGTCGCAGAGCCGGGTGTGGTCTGGACTATGGGCCCGTTGCTGTTGATGCCTTGTTGTGTCTGTTGGGGGGAATAGACCCTAGAACTCTGAGCTGGAGATTGTGCTATCGGGGTAGCACTGGACCGAGCTGCTTTGGATGCAGTGGGTGCGGTCTTCCGCCGCAGAATGGGCAGCACTCTGGTATTGGTTTCATGATGCGGCGCGGGTTCCTGAGCCTCACCGATGGGTGGTGAGGCTGTTTGGCCCGGTGCGCGATCTAAAAGTTTGATATGATAGTCACAGATGATTTGCAACCCACTACTAGTCATTGCTTTGCATCCGCTGTAGGCGCACGGCAGGCTCGGTAGCACATAGTCAACCGAGTCTGCGCTGCCGGTGCTAGGGATGGGCCCGTTTCGCGCCATGCTGTGAGCTGTGTGAGCTGGAGCTGGAGGCTGCTGTAGCGTGGGCGTGCTGTTCCTGGTCGAGAGGGAAGATGAAGTCGAGCCGGCCTCATGGTAGCGGCTCTTGGGCTCCTTGGAGTGGCACTTTTTGCAGGTCCAGTCTCTACAACAGTCGGTTAATACATTACTGTGTCCGGGAGAGAAGGAAAGCAGCATGCGTGCGGCGCGCGCGCGCCAGAGACTATCGGAGGCGATAAACAAGGAGATGCAAAAGGCGCACGCGCGTGGTATGTTGATGGGTTGATGGGAGAAAGAGGGATTGGTAAAAATAAGGTATCGGGTCTGAGTTGATGAAATGCGGAGGCAAGTGTGAAAGAAAGTCGGAGAAAATTATAAAGAAATGAATAGATTGATTTATAGGGAATGTGGGGGCATCTCTAGAAAGAGCTGAGGAACGCGGACAATATGACCATAGCCGGGCTCAAGGTTTTTGCTATACGTGTTGCGAATTGGGGGGGGAAGGCTGGCGGGAGGCTAATGCGACAGACGGGATTGATTGATGGCAGAGAGTGAAAGGGTGAGTGAGAGAGAGAAAAGGGAAAAGGCGGGCGGGGAAATATACATTGTTAGGTAAGATACGGCCAAGGGTGTGCGTTCGTGCATTGCGGGTTGTTTATTGCGCATTGTGGGCGATGACACAATAAGCAAGGTCAATTCGAGTCCAGTCGAGTCCAGTCGAGTCGACTAAGCGACGACGACTCCGACTAGGAAGAGAGGAGGAAACAAGACGGAAATGGGAAAAGCCTCACTGACCTCGAGTCCTTGGGCAGCGGCCGGTGGCAGGCGCTGTGGAAATGCTTGCCGCATTTGGAACAAGCAAATAGAGGCTTGTCGATGCGCTTGCCTTGCTTGCAGTTGTAGCAAGTCGGCGGCATCGATGAGGCTTGGAGACGGCCAGTGTTTTGCTGTTTTTGTTCTGGTGCTGCGCTGCCAGGCCGGCGATCCTCTAGTTGCCGCTGCAGGGAGGAGCCAGGCAGGCCGCGATAGGATGGGGCGCCTCGATGGTGCTGCTGTGGATCCATCTTGACTTTAGTATGCGGCTTGACTTTGTATAGTCGGATCAACCAGGCCCAGATATCACGGACCGGGGGGGCCCGACCGCAGGAAAAGAAGGACTAGCAAGACGTTATAGCGCAAAGAGAAAGAAAATGGACTCAGCCGGGCATGTACGTGGTGTCCCGGCGGGTAGACGAGATCGCAACTCTCGAACACCCACCGACTTGGGGAAAGTGATGCAATATCAAAGATGGGGGGTGCAACATGTTGTATGTGTGGTGTGTTGTCTCAGATCTTTTCAGTTTTGAATATGCTCAGCAATTCGCAAGGACGCGGCTTCGTAAGGATCCCCTCTCACTCACAGACCCCATTGCTCAGAAAAATGGGTCAGGTGCAATCACACCCAGTCGTGGAGGACCAGGAAGCAAACCGCACCTTTTGTGCACCGCAGACTTTGGCCTCAACCCCGTGGAAGAAGTTGCGAGAGCTGAGGCTCCATAGAGCGGTGTCCCGCCAGCCAAGCACCGAGGCGCTGGGCTGGGCGGGATGATATACTCAAGCCCCTGCGATCCGACTAGACTGAACCTGAGGACAGTCGGGTGCGTGCAGGGAACGAGAGCGGCGGCTCGGACGAGCACGCGCTTGGAGCAGACAGGCGTGAGGAGAGAGGACAGACAATGCCAGCAGGTCCCAGGCGCGATCTGATCTTTTACCATATGGTCATCATAGACAACGTTATGAAGGGAGAGAGGCAAGGCAACAGACAAGAGCCACCATACCCATACGCGGACAGCAAGAGTATGGAAGGGAAGCGAGGTGATTGGATGGGTTGGGAGATTCAAGAAGAAAATGAATAGACATACCTCGAGACGAGAATGATGAATTGTACCTGTATGTATATTCACCAGCCTCAAACTCCAACACACGAGCAGTCAAGGATCTCGGTCCGGCGGTGCAAGCCGGGCGGATGCCCACAGCAAAAGCTGGCCCGCCGCCCCGGGACCCGATAAGCTAGCCCTAGAGAGTCTAAGACCGGAGACGATGGATGACCAGAGAGTAGACGCGGCGGCGCACACAGCACGAGGGCGCCGGCTGGGCGTCGTGTGCCTTGTGAGAGAAGACGGGGGGGTGCAAGAGGAGACGAGATTGGACGATGGGAAAGGCGGCTGCTGAGAGGACGAGTATATCCTGCTTTGCCTGGTCACACTGACTAGAGACTTTTGGGCGTTCTGTACAGCCCTGGACTGGAGGGGAGAACCCGACCAGGTGCTGCTGTAGCGCGTGTTGTGATCAAATTTGCCTGAGTAGACCAAGCGGACGACGCGGGTAAAAATGAGATATCGCAATGCTGCTTCAGACCGGCTGGTTGTATAAGGTAGGTAAGTATCAAGCTGAGAAGGGAAAAGGGGAACAGGAGAGAAAAAGAGGCACAAAGAACAAGAATGCTAGGCGCAGACGCAGAAATCCAGACCCCGGAGCAGAGCAGCGCCGCTATGACAAGGCAAGAGCTTGAGGTGCCCTGCCGAAGAAGGAGAAGAAGAAGCAAACATCAATTGATCAAAAAGGTAACTAAACCTTGAACCCCAGTCATCAACAATGGCCCTAACCACAGCGACTGAACAGGTCTGGTCTTCAGGGCTCAGTGCTACAAAGAAACGCCCGGATCAACCCCGGCCCCGCCTACCGCCTTCAGCACTGAGGTGATTGGCCCCCAAACTCAGCCTCAGTCGCATCCAACAGCTCTGCCAATTTAGTGCTCAGCGTCACCCAAAACCCTTGTTCGACCACATGTCATTCCCGCTGGCTCGATAGCCGATGCGGCCTAGCGCGGGGGACCATCCAAGACGAGCCCCGTTGCATCTTTCGTGATAACAGCTTTCATGCTTGGGCGATTAGTTAGGTGATTAGCATATCGTGTCCCCTTCCCAGGCGCCTGATCGCCGTCGCAACGACGCTCGTGAACCTCTCGCTCTCCTTCTCTACGGCCTGCTGTGCAAGCGTCTCTCCCGATCTGCAGGCATGGACTTCCTCAAGTCGGCCGTCGCGTCGGCCATTGCCAAGGGACCGCCATTCCCCTATACGTTTGGCGATCGCGTTGACTTGGACCAGTCTATCTGGACGCTGTACAATGGCACAAAGCGCGTAAGAATACTGGCCTCTGTTGGCCCTTTCAATCCAGGCATGCGCTAAATTACTCTCTGTAGGAGGACGGCTCAAACTGTAGTATATTCTCCTTTGACATCACGGCCAACAAGTCGCGACTGCCCCTCGCCAAGAATGCCGTCAAGAAGCTCCGGACCCTGCGCCACCCCGGCGTCATCAAGGTGCTGGACACAGTCGAGGTACGGCACCCACAGGGCACAGATGCCAGCGATCCATTCTCTTGGCTGACCAGCCTCCTTTCGAACAGACAGACACATACATCTACATAGCGACCGAGCGACTCGTCCCTTTGCGATGGCACATCAAGCGCAAGAGCTTAAGCCCGGAGACCTTGAAATGGGGACTCTACAGCGTCGGAGTATGTGACTGCCTTTGCGCAAGGATTCAGCGGGGGCTCATGACTGACGGGAAGCAACAGCGCACGCTCAAATTCATCAACGACGAGGCCTCTTCGATCCACGGCAACCTCAAGGTCGCCTCCATATACACATCCGAGAGCGGGGAGTGGAAACTGGGTGGCTTTGAGGTCCTCAGTAACGTCAAGGACGACGATGCTGTCATATATGTACGGATAGCAAGGAACACTCGCGTGCAAGACGGGCAGGCTAATGTGTCACCAGACCTACGGGAGTCTCGTACCAGACTCTGGGCGTTACACCCCTCCCGAACTGGCCAAATCTGGCTGGGATGCCATAAAACGTAGCCCTCACTCGGCCGTGGACTCATTCAACTATGGCACACTCATCTTCGAGGTCTTCAACGGAGACTTCATGGGTACAGAACAAGCCGGCCAGACGAAAAACATCCCCCCGACTATGCATGCCAGCTACAAGCGGTTGGTCAATGCCAACCCCAAGGCCAGGCTGACCCTTAGTCACTTCCTTGACCAAGGCTCACGCAATGGAGGCTTCTTTGATTCGCCTTTGATCAAATTGACTGACGGTGTGGAGAGTTTGGGCGTCAAGTCCCCAGAGGAGCGTGAGGAATTCCTAGAGTACGTGCCACTACCCAGCTCTGTCCAGCTTTAAAGCATCGCTAATGTTTGCATCAGTGACTTGGATCAACTCACAGACGACTTTCCGGAAGATTTCTTCAAGATGAAGGTCCTTCCCGAGCTGCTCAAGTCAGTCGAGTTTGGTGGTGGAGGCCCAAAGGCCTTTGGCGTGGTTATGAAAATCGCGACCAAACTTTCAAACGATGACTTCGACAGCAGAGTAACGCCTGTGGTGATCAGACTCTTTGGGAACCCTGACCGGGCGATACGGGTGTGCCTGCTGGACAGTCTCCCCATGATGATCGACAGGTTACCGCAGAAAACGGTCAATGATAAGATCTTCCCTCAAATCGTGAGTGGTCTGGCTCCAGCCTACCCAAACTTACCCATCTGACCGGCAATTACTACAGGTTACGGGCTTCACAGATTTGGCGCCCGTGGTGAGGGAGCAGACCCTCAAGTCAGTCCTCACACTTATAACCAAACTATCTGACCGGACTATAAATGGTGAGCTACTCAAGTACCTCGCAAAGACGGCCAACGACGAGCAACCGGGAATCCGTACCAACACCACCATCTGCCTGGGCAAGATCGCCAAATACCTCGGCACCTCGTCCAGAGCCAAGGTCCTGATCGCTGCCTTCAGCCGCTCCCTGCGGGACCCCTTCGTCCACGCCCGGAACGCCTCGCTCCTGGCGCTCGGCGCCACCGCAGAGTACTTTAGCGACGAGGACTGCGCCGCGAGGCTCCTCCCCGCGATATGTCCCGCGCTCATCGACAAGGAGAAGCTCGTGCGGGACCAGGCCAGCAAGGCCATGGACATCTACCTCGCGAGGATCCGCAAGGCCCAGGCCAGCATGCCGGACTCGGTCCTGCCGCCCCCCGCATCGGGCGACTCGGTCGCGCCGCGCATGGGCACGCCCCAGCCCGCCGGCGAGTCGGCCGCCGCCTCGTGGACCGGCTGGGCCATCTCCTCCTTCACCAACAAGCTCTCCGCCGCGGCCGGCGAGATCGAGCCCTCGGCGTCGACCAACGGCTCCCCGCGACCCTCGCCGTCAGGCACGCCGACGATGGCAGACGGCGGCCGCAGACCGCCCGCTCAGACCACGTCCTCCGCCTCGGCGCTGCACCGCCAGGCCCTCAAGTCCCCGCCGCTGAGCACCTCCCACTCCGTGGCCAGCCTCCCCGCCGCCGCCGCAGCTGCCGCTTCCGCCGCCGATGACGACTTTGCCGACGGCTGGGGCGAAACGGACGACTCGGGCGCCGCGGCCGCCGACGCCTTCTGGGACAACGACTTTGACGACAACGCGGCGGCGGCGACGACGACGACGACGACGACGACGACGACGACGACGACGAGCAAGCCCGGCAGCCGCAACGTCAGCAGCGGCAGCGGCACGGCGCAGCCGTTCGCCTCGGGCGCGGACGGCGACGGCGGCGAGCCCGACTTTGCGGGCTGGCTGGCGGCGCAGCAGCAGAAGAAGGCCGGGGCCGTGATGGGGGCCAAGAAGGCGCTGCCCAAGGGCCTGGCTAAGAAGCCGGCGGCCAAGACAACGGCGGCGGCGAGCAGGCCCGCCGTGGCAGCCAAGAAGTTGGACATGAAGCCTAAGGAGACGGACGACGATGACGGGTGGGGAGATGGGTGGTAAAAGAAAGGGGGTAGGAAGGGGGGAAAGGCTTGGATTGGATTGGATTGGAGTGAAGGACAGCATGGAATGAAATGGAAAGAAGGGAAAGGGAGACATGAGTGAAAGATGCGAGAGAAAGGCACACAAGTCGTAATGATGATGCTGGGCATATGAAAATGGCGTTTTTGTTGATCTCTTCTATGTGGATAGAGAACGAGAACCACGAGAAGTGAGAGATTCATTGTGCGTGCAGAAACTTAGAAGTTTCGATATCTAGGACAAGAACCCCATTAGGATACCATCATTTGAAATGGAGCGAATATAAATGAGGTAATGCATGTCACAGGCCCGTAAATTGGGCCATATCACGATGCTACGGTCAGAGTGCGAGAACCCGGCCATGAGTTGAATGATATAGCAATTTCTTCTGAAGATGTCCGCTGTGAAACGGCGGGAAAAGTTGTCTTGCTGCCCTTTGCCAGACATACAAAGAAAATACCGATAAAAAGCAAAACCCTAAGATTTGAGTCCGTCGTTCCACCTTTAAACGCCTTGCTCGTTGACATAAATGCTCCCTACCCTTCAATACAAGCTCACAAGGCACCTTGGGTCCATTCCAAGTATATATCGTATACTTTTCAAACGTTTCCCAGCCCCCCCTTCTTCCCCGTGCCTTACCTGGCCTCCGAGTAATCGTTCAGAGCCACGCAGACAGCACCGCGGTGGTGTCCGTTATACTGCCTGATGATCTGCTGGCTGTGCAGCTCCCACAGACGGGCGTAGTGATCTGAGCAGGCCGTGACCAAGTAGGCCGAGTCGGCGCTGAAGGCGCAGTCCCATACCCAGCGCTGATGGCCCGTCAGGGTCGCCTCGAGCGGGAAGGGCTTGGGCTCGGCCAGCGGCGGCGGCGGCGGGTGGATGGGATCGCTGCCGCTACCGCTGCCGTTGAGGAGATGGCCGTTGGCACGGTACTCGTTGCCATTGACACCCTTCTGTACCTGCGTCGCGGCGGCAGACGATACTGCCGAGGCGGAAGCCTGGTCGATGTCGACCTCCCAGATCTTGGCCGTGTGGTCGGCGCTGCACGTGGCGAGCTTCTTGACGTCGGGCGAGAGGAGGATGCGGGTGATGTACTCCTTGTGGGCGGAGAAGTGGGTGACGGGGAGGAGTTGGGTGCGGTCGAAGTTCTGGATCAGGGACCAGACGAAGACATTGCCCTGCAAGAATTAGTCTTGCTGAAAGGGACATGGTAGCAGGGGAAGGGGATGCGACATACATTGTTATTGGCGGCGCATAGCAAGCTTCCATCGCTGGCGACGGTGACGCTGCTCACAGAGATGTCATCCTCGGGAATCAGCTCGTGCGAGCAGTTGTTCTCGGCCAGATCCCATATGCGAATGCTGCCTCCGCGGTCGCAGCTGATGATCTCGCCCTGGTTGGGATGTATGACGACATCATTGGCCGGGCTGCCGTGGTCGTAGCTGCGCTGTATCGTGCCGCTGCGCGTCTCCCAGATCTTTACTGTGCCATCTTCTGAGCTCGTCACCATCCACTTGCCCTCGCAGTGGAAGGCAACGCCTGTGATGTTGCCCGTGTGGCCCTCGAAGACGAGCAATGGGTTCGGGTTCGTCGACTTGATGTCGAATAGCTTGACGGTATGGTGGCCGGCAGCGGCGAGGAAGCGTTTATCGGGAGAGATGCATAGTCGGTTGACCTGAGAGTCTGGGTGTTGGATGGTGCGGGAGCAGATTCCAGACAGCGCCTCCCAGAATCTGTGCTCGTCTTGTCAGTGAATCCCTCTCTTTTGGCCCAAAAATCCTGTACCCGTATTGCAGCAAGCCGACAAACAGAAGCAATGGTAAGGGCGAGAGAAGTACCTGATGGTGTGGTCGTAACCAGCTGTCGGGACAATCCGAGTTAGCAATCGCCTGCGTCGCAAAGCTCACCATTCAAGCCACACTGGGAGGTATGATTCAAGGAGCGCACCTGTACAGAGAATGACAGACATGACGTCTCGGCGCTATCAATGTGAATAATGGCAACCGATCATAGTGTATACTGCTCTCGAAGGGTATCGGGGTCTGTGTGGTCAGGAAAGCTGCTTTGGGTGAGTCGAGGAATTGAAGTCGTCTCGCGATTAGGATAAGGTCTGGGCATTGGCGATTTGAGCTAGCAACTATAAGTGGGGTAGCTGGCCAAAGCATGCCAGCCCGAACAAGATCCATCCATGGATGGGCTAATACTAATTTAGTGGTGGGTTTCAGCGCCTTCGCTCGGGGGAAGGAAGAGCTAAAGCACCTGTGGTCACTCTCTGTGGCATCTGATCACCAGCTACAAAGCCAACCAAGGAAAGGCTGCGCCAATCTCACAAGTCCAATCTTGTGTGTTTGAAGCATCTTGGCTTTAAACATGACTTGCCTTAGCGGTTGGCACCTCAATATCCATGAATGCTAAGTCAGCCTGTTGTATCTGAATTGGGCGTATGATTTGGTACATTCTTTGCAAGAGCACATTTCAATCAATGTGTGGCGTCCATCAGATCCAATTGAAGTTGATTCTTCTTAGCAAGTTGAGCCGGTTTCTATAGTCAGAAAGTTGAGAAACATCAGCTCCTGTTTTTGGAGCGCTTTTGAGCGTCTAGGTTCCAGGCATGTTTTCGCAAATACGAGGTGTTCATCTGCTATGTATTGCTTGTAAATAAACACTTCCTTTCACTGTAGTAACGACCAGATAGATCGCAGCAGAAAGTAATCATTCATTCTGGCTTATTCTGCTTTACGATCAGTAAGAAGGGTCGCACAGTAGTATCGGTCGGTGAGATCGCACCAATCCACCAAGCTACTGCTTTGGTATCCAGGTCAAGGTCAGCCTTTCTGCCAGAACACTGCCTCTCTAATAATGAGTTTTCTTCAACGGCAATCGATCAGTTCTCTTGTCCCCTTTCCACAAGAGTTCAGTGTGAACTGATGGTAATTAAGCCATTGTAGCATTCACAGGTTCCTCAGTATATAGATCTAATTAACTTGGTCTTCCAACATAATTACAACCCAAGCAAGCAGTTCGTTTACACCAAAACCCCAAGAAGTCACATAGCTGAAAGAGATAGCTCAACAGGCCAGCCTGTATTGAATTGCAAACAAAGTATCATGTATCATCATATAGCAAAATATTCATCAGGTGTGTAACCAGCATCGGAAAAGAACCCGAGTTCCGCAACAGTGAGCATATAGAAACCTAGTGTCTTCTCCAACCATCGATCCATGCAGACATCAACGTCACAACCACCACATCAAATGGCCACTTTCAAAGGCCCACTGTGTAGAGTTGATCTAGGACGAGGACCTGGATGCAGATTGAGACGCAGGCCGCGATGCAGACCGGTTCGATCGGCTGCTGCCTTGTCCCGCAGCCGGCGCGCGCGAGGCGGCCGAGTATGGACAAGAGGGATAGGTGCATGGCGTGACCAGATACTTGGTGTTCTGGCACCACCTGCAGTTCCTGTCCGCGGAATCATGCTATCAGACTCTCTGTGGCTTCTGGAACAGACCGAGCTTGTGAGGTACTCACTCGCCGAACGAGGCTGCGCAGTAGGTGCAGCTGATGACCAAGTTGCCGCCCATGCAGGCGCACACAAAGTCATCGCCAACCATGTCATATGAGATAGACATAGTTCGAGGGAACTGCAAGGTTTGACTCTTGACTTTGGAGGGGAGAAGAGAGAGATGGGCAGGGATGTGCAATCCAAAGAGAAGGCTCTGGTGTCTTGAGTAACAGGTGTAGTTTTGTGGGCGGGATGGATAGAGATCGCGGCTGTCTGTCAACTCCTATACCCATCACACTTGGCGCGAGAGAACGCGCACTTTTATAACCGTTCAAGCCAGCGCACGTCAACGCCACCTCGCTCTCCTCCGGACAATCTTGCAATCTATCGGAGCTCACCGCCATGTCGTAAAAGTCGCATGAGATCTTCTGATATTGTGATCCCCTCCTCGTTGCACGAAAGAGCAAGATGGCGCAGTACAATAAGAGAAACCGGAGAGGATCTGATGGCCGTTCGTCGGTCGTTGATACCCGATGCTAAACCCAAGTCCGAGCGAACCGCCCGCTCTTGGGATTCGCGACGGACCAGACGAGCCCGACTATTCGCCTCCAACGGATATCGATGAGTAGCGTCAGATGTCCCGGGATTGGTCGATACCGGTCAGCTTGCGACACCATGGGTTGGGTGAGAAGATCCTAGGCCAGAACAGGCCCGTCATCGAACGCCGTCCCACGTTCACCGAGGAAACTATTTGGGGAAACACACGGAGTGAGAAGGCATGAAACATGGGGGGGCAAAACGTGGTCCACTCCGCCCTCTCCATTCCCTCGGGTCCCCATGTCGAGCATGTGTATTGACTTGTGCTGACCGGTGACGAGAACGCAGGGTGAGGGCGCCCCGATAACAGACGCCTCACGTCCTCCGACCTTGCCTGACCCACTGAGAGAAAGGCGACCTGCGTCCAGAACAGCTTGGAGCAAAAGACCTCCTCCCATTGCCCCCCTTGCGCTCTCCGAGTATCGTCGTATAGACAGATCGATGAGGCAGTCATCCTTCGGAGATCCATGCATCTTCCCGATGGTAACGTGTCAACGACCGACGGCGGCGGGGAAAGAAAGCTGGCGGGTGGGCGTGCGGGCGGGCCCCCTTCAATGTCGGAAAGAAATGGTTGTGACGAACCAGACTCGAGATTCCCTTCCGCGATATTTCCTTGGACACGAGTTTGCTGCTGTGCTTGTGTCTGCAGATCATGGGGCACGAGAGTCGAGGCCGCAGTAACGGCGGCCGGAGCCTCGATGAGCTGTATGCTGCAGGTATCCGCTCGATGAGCGAGATGGATGGCATCGACACTCGGCTTTGGCCCAATCGCAGCGTCAGCCCGTCCGATGCTGAGGGGAACTCATATTGCATCAGTAGGTAGGAACTCTCCGGGTTGATCTACTTCCAGTGCCAGGTCGCCTTCGAGATCTCACAATGGGGCGATATTCTCGATGCTCGACCTCGCTGTCCGAGAATGCTTCGGTTCCAGAGCCAGCATAAGGTTATCGCTCGAGCGTCTTCTAGCCGAGTCTACTCTGGCCTGACGAATTTCAGGTCTCCACCACCCAAGTGACATCTGAACATCACGGGGGGACAGTGCATTCTTCACCGCTAGATCTGTACCCTCCTGCTCATAACGAGATCATATTATCTGGTATCGGACTGCAGGGATAGGATCTGCCCGCTTATATTCCCAGGCTGGTGATGCCATGTCTCGCCAACCCAACAAGATAATGATTCGTCCTCGTATCCGAAGAGATGTCGATGAGCAAGGGCATGCAGCAACTCGTCTACGGTGGCTCGCTCATCTACAATTATACAACAGCATCTGGTCGGGTCACTTGAGTGTGTTGGGCCGAGAGGTATACAGATCGGTCGATTTGTTTTCAATTCTGATTGTCGCGCTAAGATGAAAGAGCAGCGCGGAAATTATCACTACCTACCCTGCCAAAGAAGAGTATCAATACCAGACGCCGCCGTAGTCAGAGAATTCGTCAGATGAGCAACAGTCATAGAAAAGCAAAGCAAGCAGATGCTGTACGCCCTTGTCCGACCATCCTAGTCCCAGTATCCCTACCGACCCTGAGCAAATTCAATTCAAGTGCAAGACACCTTCCAACTGAATACAACAGAAGGCAGAAAGAAATGAAAGAAAAACAGAGAAAAAGTAACAGTGAGGAAGGTCGATGATGCCTGCGTAAAGCTGCGGGCGACAGACTTGGTAGCACCCTAGTTGAAAGAGGGTGCTGTGTAGATGAGCGACGACAGTACCACAACACCACCTAGAGCAGCAAATCCCACCTTTTCTGCGATTGCCCATGCCTTGTGGGAGGCGCCGAGACTCGTTCTCATGCGTTTAGCTGCTCGATCTGGAGTCATCACCTCACTGGAGCCCGGGGAGACATCTGACTGGGCTGCAGGAACCTCGCCGGCGCCGGACATCTCATCAGCCTTGCGTTTCGTAGAAGCCCTCGCAGAATTGGTGGCCTCCATGAGTTTGTGTTCGTTGAAGATATTGGCACTCATCATGGCGAGTTCGTCATCGAGGGTCGACGCGCCGGTCGTTGGCTCATGCGAAGGAGGGCTGCTCAAGAATCTCTGTCCGGAGGCCAGTAGTGGGGATGTAACAGTAGCAGTAGCTGCACCATCGAACTGAGTGTCTTCCTGGACTGAAGGGACTGGCTGGTCAGAGGGGACTTCAGGTGTAGAAGCAACAGGGTCCTCCGTTTGGTCATTGGTGGCATTGGTGGCTTCGGCTGATTGACTAGCAAGTAAAGCCTTGTTTTCTTCGCGAGCAGCGAAATAGGCTACCTTGCCAGCCTTGAGGCCGAGCGTCTCACTGGTGATCATAGTCACGTCGCCGTTCAGAGGCTGATTTACCGGCACCGACGGATCTTGAGCGGGGTTCAAAATGGCAGCCAAGGTGATATTGCCAGACTTCTCGGAGTATCGAGGCTCGTCTGGCACATGTACCTCGAAGCCTGCCGGTGCAAATCCTCCGATATGTGGCGGGAAGTAAGGCGGAGTCGTCAAAGGTCGACTCCACGGACCCACGTCGTCTGCGGCTTCCTCCTCGTCTACGGCTTCCTCCTCGTCTGCGGCTGCCTCCTCGTCTGCGGCTTCCTCCTCGAACTCATCATCGTCCGAGCTGAATGGATCGTCGAAGCCGAAGCCATCGCTACAAGAGTCTTGGTCGCTCTCCACCTCGTCGTCGAGATCGCTATCGGTCAGACTGATAGAATAGGAGTCATCAACGCCGGATGAGGCGGACAGGTGCGGGGATGCAAACGATGGAGATTCCGGGGAGTATGTCGGTGACTCTGGTTCATAAACCGGTGAATCGGCCTCGGGTATTGACATGGGTTCTTCGTCATAATCGCCCGTATGGTGAGGTTCATCAGGGTCGACCTCTTCAAGTTCAACCTCGTCCTCAGCGGTCAAATCCACAAGTGCTGCAGCACCCGCAGCCGAGACGACCGGGACAGCGACTTCAACTGGCTCATCGTCATCATCTGGTCTGGCAGGTGTCGAGGACAGCAGGTTCTTCTCCATAGCCAACAGATCCTCGTCCAACACTGACTCGTCCTCGGACTCATCAATGTCATCCACGCAATAGATGATCGCGCCTGGCGGGTTGCTACTACGGGCGTTAGCGGTACTGAGCCAAATGTTGGGGGAAGGGGATGCTGCGTACGCATCGGCGAAGTGGGAGGTAAAGGTCACCGAGGCAGGCTCAAAGGTCTCACTGCCCCTCAAAATTGTCGTCCCAAAGGTGATCAAATCTCCATTCTGTAGCAAGTGCAGCTTGTCCTTCTCAATAGGTTCGTGCTCCTGGTTGAGGAAGGTCCCATGCAGAGACTTCAAGTCCCTAATCTTCACCGCCTATCCAAGCCATTAGTAAATGCCTTGTGTGTTCTGCAAAAGGAAGATGGGTTGCTCTGACCTTGGCATCCAAATCCGCAACGATTTCCGCGTGGTTTCGTGACATGACTGCTCCGGTAAACCAGCCGTTCTTAGTACCTGGAGTGTAAGGCTTGCTCTCCGATTTGGAGGCGCGGCCGAGGGGGAGGATGTTGTTCTCCCGAGTGAGCTTGACTCGTCGATTCGGGCAGGGAAAATCGACAGTGCCACGTCGTCCGAGGGCAGTAAGATTGATGATCACTAGAAGGAGAGAAGAGGGATGTTAGCACTGATGAGATCTGAAACATAACCAGAGACTCACCATGATCAGCACGCCTCTCGGACATTACTGGCAGAGACAGGGTGTCCATAGTGAACTTGTCCACGGGTCGGGGGGGGGAAAGGTACGAAAGGTACAATGATGCGCAGATATGAGGTTTTTGTGGTACAATCTGGAGAGGCGAAACCCGGATAAGAACGAGTAGATGGGCGCGTGGGGGGAGAGCTCCGGCCCGGCGACACGATCAAGAGGCGAGTCGGTGGAGTAGACAAGTAGAACCCAAGAGGAGTGAACCTGATTTTGAGGACGAGGTCTAAAGAGTCTATGATGAGGACAAGGTGGTTGAGAGATGGCAAAAGTGAAGCCCAGGCAGGCGGGGTTAAGGAAGTTGGTATCAAGGCAACCAGGCAGGAGCGGACGGAGCTGCCTAGACAGCCTAAGGTTGTCGGATATCCTGGTCTACAGGCCTGACGAAAAGTAAAGAGTCGCTCGGAAGTCTTGGGCCAAGTTGCCTGGCGAGTTCATCGAGAAATCCGAACGAACCATGGATGCAAAAGTGAGGTAGGCACCTAGTCTTTTGGGGGCGCGTCCGGACCTGAAGAGAAGGATAAGAAGGTCGAGTGCCCTCACCAGTGACGGGCTATCGAGAATACCTAGGTTGTACGGATTGCAGCTCCGAGCTAAGCGATAAGCTGCGACAACAACGAGGTGCGAGGGACGCTCCAGGCTGTGGTTGCGTGAGATGGTGGACGGATGCTGGAACTAATCATGACGGGAGTGAAGTGGGCTGGCTGATGGGCTGGTGGGGCAGCAGTCGTAGCTCCAGTCACTGATGCGTGAGCTGCTGAGGTCACCTGGTATCAGGATGGGTAAGCGGGGGGTGATGCTATCTGGTGTCGAGTCACTGGTGGGCTAGCTTGAGATTGCATGTATGGGCTAGAGGAGTTGCTACGAGGGAGGCAGGATGGCCTGATTCAAAAGAGAAGACAACCTCGAACTTCTCTCTTCAAAAAGGCTACCTCACTAGGTCAAGCAGGAGATAGGCTCGATACCTTAGGCTCTGTACTTGCGTCGGGCGAGACGTTCAAAGTGAGATCAGCTTCGCAACCTGCCTGGAAGGGCATGATAGGCCGACGTGAACGGCTCCAGAGAGGGGTTGCCTCGAAACACACAGCCAGGCAGACAGCCGTCTGGGAAAGAGGGGTTCTCAGTACCACTGGTGTCTTCTGTGCTCAAGTGCCTGTTGCGAGTGCAATACCATCCTCTCATCAAGTCCCTACCCACTTCTAGTAATATGATTACATGATTACATATACTACAACCCTTGTGCTTTTCTCAACATTGCGTTTCTAGTATTCGATGTTCCGAAGCCCGTGATGGAGCTTTCTTATCAGCGAGGAGCCTAATTCCGCATCAGGACAAGGGCGCCATGCAAGCACTCTAAGAATACACGATGGAGCGATGGAGCGGGGAGGATCACAGGGATAACAGTGGGACAGATTGGTACGCTTGGGCGGCAATCACAGCGGTGAAGAGGGCCTTGGAGGGCCTTGTGAGTCTCTTTAGCGGCGAGCCTGTGCGGGGGGCTAGGGCACTTTGGGCGCATCCCCACACACTAGGCCGTCTTGGTACCGGAGCCTGGCCCAGATGTTGCATCATTATCAGCCATTTGCCTGTCTTACCTGTACTCGAGGGGGCGCATTTTGCCGTCGCGCGCAGGCGGGCGTGTCAGTCCACCCACTCATAACCTGCCCATTTGACGTATTGGCGTTCCCCTAACCCATTCCGCAGGCGCACAAGATAAATTCCAGCCAGGTCAGTTGCGCGCGCACATATTCCTGCTCCCGAACAAACAATTCTCGTCCTTCCCATTCTCCCTGACTGAGAAAGATACTGCCCGACCGGCGACAAGACGAGCGAGTACCATACTTCCTCGCACAAAAACTCTCGCAGAGCGCCATACTATCAACATTTGCGATTTCCCCCCGTCTCCTCATGGATTTCATCCCCAAGCAAGGTCCCAAACAGAGAAGCATCGACCTCACCAGACACAAGCAATCATTTACCTACCGGCCACCCATATATCACGCCAGCTATTCTTGAACCGCCAGATAGATTAAAGCCACGGGGACTCTCCCTGACCCTTCTCCTCCTGGCCCGGCTCGACACTACGCAAACGCTACACTTGTCTGGCCCTAAACTTGATCCCATCTTTACGCACACAATCGAGGATCGACCAGGCCTACACCTAACTAGACCACGTCATCGTTCACTAGCTCAGCCCGGGAACCGAGCACGATCCGTCAACCATGCACGATCTCAGAAAGAAGGCGCTGCTCGAGAGCGGCAAGACCACATCCAGAAAGGCACGGTCGCGCCCCGAATCGACTCGCGGGTCTACGACGCATTCGCCCGTCACGTCGCCTGGTCACTCGAGACCTGGTTCCCGTGCGAACTCACGGCCTGGTAGCCGCTACGCCTCTGAAGATGAAGGCTTTTCGGATTCCGAGTACGACGAGACCATGACGATGAGCACCAATTCAGCCTCGGACGACGCAGCTGACGGCGAGCCCCGCCAATCATGGGTCGAGCGCTTACAAGACCGCATCGCCGAGCTGGATGACCGCAAGCGGAGCAGCGTGCAGGGTCGCACTGGGCTTTTGGCTGGCTACCTGCACCTCATACGCCACCACTTCGCCGGCCCGCAGATCGAGGGCTCGGTGTCGGAGATCGTCGACACGCTGCTCAAGAGCATTAAAGGTGGAGGCAGTGCCGAGGAGCGATCACTGGCACTCAAGTCGCTGACGGTCACGGCCCTGAACTGTCCTGCCGAGTCCATCTTTGAACAAGCGTTTGAGCCGCTCAAGGTGGTGTGCCACGATGCACAGGACGAGGAAGTCAAAGTGGACGCAATCTACGCCATGGCAGTGGCTGCCATCTACTGCAGCGGCTTCGTGGCCGCCGCCGAGGATCTACTCGAGTTTTTGATGGACATCATCGAGAGCGACGGCAACGTCGTCGAGGCCGAGGACAGCGGCCCCGTCGTTGCTGCCGCTCTCCAAGCGTGGGGTTTCGTCGCTGGCCAGATCGAAGACCTGAGCGACTGGTCCGAGGAAGCAATGGATGCCTTCATAGAGCAGCTCCAAAGCACGGACATCGACGTCCAGACCAGTGCCGGCTCCAACGTCGCCTTCCTTCTCGAAGTCTCTCGTGATCAAGAGGAGGAGACGGGAGAGGCCCTGAACTTCTCCTACAACTCGCACGGGCTTATGCAACGCCTGAACGAACTGGCGCGGGGCTCAAAGTCCATTTCCAAAAAGGACCGCAGGCATGTCAGGACGGAGCTCAAAGACGTGATCCAGTCGATCGAAGAGGGCGTTGGCCCTGGGTACTCGACAGTCTTGTACGACGAGGTCAATCCGAGAACCCCCGGGAACAAGGCAGACGGCAGGGGCGGCAAGCATCTAGGCTACCGCAAGAAGTTGCGAGTGCGGGACGACCTTATGCTCATCGATACGTGGTCGCTGAACTCGCGGGCAGAGACGCTGAGGCTCCTCTTGGGAGGTGGCTTTGGCACACACTGCGTTGACAACCCTCACATCATCAACATTTTTGGCGATGCCGAGGTTGAGACTCTGACCAAGGAAGCTCTACCCAAGAAGAGTCCACGAAAGGCATCCAAGAAGAAGGGGGGCCGAATCCAGGACTATTAATAAGTCCTCGACACAATCGTGCTGTAACGTTTTGCTTTCTCTCATTCGATAGCGTAGAGCTTCAGACGCTTCTTCATTCGCACGCATCATACGCGCTGGTGCTGACTAGGAGCTATCTCCGTGGTCCTTGGCAGACACCGACCATTTGCTTTTCTTACCGGTTCTGTACTGTAGATAACTGCGTTCACTCACTGGAGTCGCAGAGGGGATACACGGCAAGGCGACAGAAATGCGAAACACGAGCATTATTCATAGAGGTCATTCTTATCAAATATCAGAGGTTACCTAGATCCTATACAGCGATGCAGCCAACGTATATACTTGTCTCCCTTGTTGTGCATTTGTAAAGATAGGACATGGACAATTCGCCGGAACTCATCGCCAGTATGATCGCAGTCGTCAGTGGCACTGCCACGTTCAAGAGCATACTCCGTAAGCACTTCATCCCCAGATCAGTCGGTCTGTGGAGGGATTACTGGAAGCGCGGTGGCACAGGACATTCGTTGCTTTTTCGCCACCGTCTTCAGCGGCGGGGGGGAAGATGGTGGTGTCCCCTCCTCGTTGACCTCCCGTCCTCGGGCCGCGTGTCGCCGGCTCAACACTAGAAGTCATCGTCCAAATGGTGAAGGAGAGGCATTGTTTGCAACAGAGACTCATGAGATCAGGGATGACGCTGCAATCGTTTTCCCACTAGTCCTCGGCTGGAATGGAAGGTCTAGTTCACATGTGCAAGAACTATTCGGTATCACGCGCTAAATTCACAAGCGAAGTGAGAGCTCGGAGGCGACGGGCGGCGGGCGTGGGCGGCGAGGACAGTGGGGGCGGGCCCGAGGCCTCAACATTCCAGTTGCTCTTCAGCCCGCCCTCAGAAGGCGGCGGGAAAGACTGGAGAAGATGGAAGGGCAAAGGAATGAAAGCTAAGTTAATTTAACGACATCAAGGGGGGTTTGAAAACGGTTTCTTGCACACTCTCCCGCGGAAACGTGTTTCGTGCAAAGGATGCAAAGAAGGAAACCCACATCCCACGGCGCAGATCGGTTCGTCACACTGTTGTTCATTTCTTGCTTCTTATTACGGAGTACGCCATCATCGTATCGACGGTAGCACGGGCGCTAGTTAGCTGGTTGCGCAGGGCGACGGATGACGCCGGGCCTGGTGGGTGGGTTTCTTTAGTGAACGGCTGTCACGCTGTTTTCGTGCTCAGGCAGGCCAGGCAAGCCCGGCTAGGCTGCTGCTAGCCCGTCCATCGTCCCGGCCCTTGCTGCTGAGGTGGGCTGTCCTCCACCAAGAAGGGCGCCAAGAGCACCAGCTCTGGTCTCAATCGGTCTCGCTGTGCTGCTTTTGATGTCCAAAGCGTGCCATCCCGCTGTGCCCCGTCGTGTCAACCCGTCGCCCGGTCAAGCCAGCAATCTGGAGCCACCAGGGTGCAAAAGGTGGACACTGCTCCCCAGTTTCAACTCCACTGCCACCCAGTCGGGATGATATAACTCGACGTTAGTTACAAGTTGAGTTAGAGCAGAAACCGAGTCGATCAGCAGCCAATGTCAACAAACGCAGAGAGAGGGGAGAGAGCACAGACCGACTTTCTCTTTGGGCTCTCGCTCTCCCACTCTGGGCCTGTGGGTTTCCATTTTCGACTCGACGTTTGCTTGCTTCCAGGTCAACCGTCCGTCGCGGCGGCTGTTCGCATCCTCCTTTTGGGACAAACTACATCTGTAATACGACATCAATGTCGCGGAGAAAGTGAGATATCCTCGATATAGATATTTCCCGCCGTGGGACAAAGATTCCCCTCAGTCGGCAGCCCGGATATACCGTCGAGCCAGAAAAAGTGATTGATTTCACCCAAAGTGATCACACATCACTGCGGGCGCATACGAAGCAGCCTCGAGCAGCCAGAAAAAGCGCAGCAGCCCCTGCGGTCGGTTCCTCCAGTCTCCTGCAGAGCTCCTGCAGACTGCAGCCCAAAGGTCCCAGAGACAGCCGTTCTGCATCGCCATTGGCTCGGCCCCAGAAGCATTGCCAGCGCAGCAGTGAGATCCCAGCTGCTTCTGGACAATAACAAGTCTCGAAGCCACCACTGCATGCTCGCCGCTCGCTCGAAACCATTCGATCCAGCCCCCTGCTCGACGACGACGCAGGTTTTCCCTCCTCGCTCACTTCCCTCTCGACTGTCACCGTCACCATCAACGTCGCCGCCGTCGCAACGGCACTGACTGCTGGGTAGCAACAAGCAGAGGACCAGTCGCCTCCAGCCCCCCCGGCCATCTGCGCTCACTGCCTCATCGCACAACTACTCACACCTCCACACCCAAAAACATTCTCCCCTCGCACTTCCTCACACACGTCACCGTCACTTCGGCCGGCCTCTCAGCTGTGCCTTTGCCTTTTTTTTCCCTGCATTTTATTCCATCTTTTCTTATTTCATTCTTCGGACTGGACTCGCACGCCTCAGATCTGGTTCGCCGCAGCCCGTTTGTCCTGCAGTCTTGCTGCGCATCGAGCCAGGCCCACCCGCCGCCGCCTTCGACATCGTCCCATTGGAGCATCAGAACTGCAGTTCTGTCCCAAGAATTTGCCGCAGCAACAGGTTTTGCACCCTCTCCTCCCCTACAGTATTCGGTAAGCAGTCAATTGTTTTTGTGTGCCGCCCTGCGCATGCGATCTGCTTGCTGCATGCACTCCTGAGTTCCGTGACGACTGGTCGCTCACGCATCTGTTGCCGTTCTTAGGTCGGCCTTGCTTGCACCTAATGTCTTGATCAACGCAAGTCCTCCAATACTCGATCAGCCACCGCCGCCCTTTCCGCCGACCCTTCTCTCCTCTCGCTGCAGGGTGCAGAGGAAGAAGTGACCTGGGCTAGGAACTAACAGGGACCTGGTGACAACTGGGAGTCGACCGGTGCCTCCCCCCATCAACGCCATGGGTGTTGAGACGAAGAAGGCCTCCGCTCCACCGCTCCCCGCGCCGACCGAAACCGAGTCGACCACAACACCCACCGAGCTGCAGACAGATGTGTCCAGGCCCGGTGACGAAAAGTCGTCGTATTCTTTGCCCGAGGACGGCACGCCCGTGACCATCAAGACCCGCGGTCACAAACACAACAAGTCGCAGACCTCTCTGCTCATCGAGTACTTCGAAGGCGGCAAAACGGCCACCTCTGGAGGCGGCTCCGACCGCAAGCCAAGCGTGCGAGTGCGCTTGACACCCTCCAAAAACCGGAGAAACGACCACATACAGATCACAGAGACCAAGTCGTCCTCGCGAAAGGCCTCTCTGTCAAGACGCTCCGCCCCGGCAACCCCGACCGGCCACCACTTGGAGGGTGAGGCCTTGTCAGCAATCAGTGGCAACTCTGTAGATACTGGCGACGCCCATAGTATGAACTCGTACGCCTCTGCCACCGAGGAGTCCAATGTCTCCCGCAACCCGATCGAGGTCGATATAGACCGCAGCGGGCACCACCGCCGGCGACGCCCCGCCAGCCCACTCATACCCGCTGCCGATGAGAACCGGGCATCCTATCTTCCCGGCACGGCTTCAGAAATCTCGGCTATTCCTACCGACAGCTTTCTTGACGGGTCTGGGCCCACCACGCGCAGCCCCGAAGACCACCGGAGTAGGAGCCCGTCGCGAGGCGCAGACCTCCTGACTGGCGCGGTCGCGGGCCTCGCTGCCGGCGCCGCAGCCGACAAGTTGCGCTCCAAGAGCCGCGGCGACGATAGGGAGCGGATTGTGGTCCCCAAGTCCCGAGACAAGGACCGATCCGAGCGCAAGCACAAGTCCAAGAGTCGGACCAGCAGCCTCAGCGAAAAGGAGAGGGACGGTACGAGGTCGCCCCGCCGGCGATCCAGCCGGAGCCAACAGGACTCGTTGGTGTCGGCAGCCGACTCCAGCGTCGTGTCCTCCGCGCTCACACCAAGCCACCGCTCATACGATCAGCAGTCGGTCCGCTCAGGCGCCTCCAAGTCCTCGATCAATAACCCAAAGCTCCTCGAGACCGTCGAGGATGCCATTCGGAGGCTGATTCTCCCCGAGCTAAACGCTCTAAAACGAGAGCAGAGTCGCCATAAGGACCGTCGGGGGTCGGCAACTTCTAGTGCAACTTCCGTCTCCAGAGAGGACTATGGCAGCGAGCGCCGGAGATCCGGGACGAGTGATAAGCAGAGCGTGGGCGTCAAGGGCGAATCGAAAGTCAAGGAACGTAGGGATCGCGAGGCCCGTCACGACTTTGACCACGAGAGCCCCGCCCCAAGCATTACTCACGAATCCGTCGACGAGGCTACGCGAGATATTGAAAACACCCCTGTACGAAGCACGGGCAACCTGAAAGCAGCAGCTGCCGGAGCGGCTTTGGGTGGATTGGCTGCTGCTGCGATGCATGATAGTTCGATGCCCTTCGCCAGGGAGCAGCGCCGCCGCCGACGTGCAGAACTCAACAAGCGCATCTCCGACCGGTACGACGAGTACGATGATATGGAGCGTGAACCAGAGCCGCCCATGCCCTTGATGAGCGAGATCAACCCGTCTGAAGTCACAAGGACGTCGATCCTATCCGCCGCTACTGATCGCCCGCATTCGGCTAGTGAGGAAATGACGCCTGTTCATGAGGTGACTCGCGGTGTGCCCTCTGTCGAGTCGGACAGCACAACTCCCACGCGAACTCCCACAACGCTTCAAGCCCTGGGCACACAGCACGCGAACATCTCACATGGCGATCTCAAGGCACTTCCACGGCAGAGCACCGGGGAGTTCATTGAGCACGAGTATGAGATTGACGAGTTCGGTCACAAGGTTCCTGTCAGCCCTCACGAAGAGTTCGATGAGGAACGATATGAAGAAGAGGCACCTGTGCCGGAGGGTGCCTATGACTACTACAACACTCAAGACGTGCCACCGCCCTTGCGCTATGTCCCGTATCAGCCTGAGCGGAGGGGCCTCAGTCCCATTCCGAGTGTCTCGGGCTACACTGAGGGAGGCAGTGACGTCCACCACCGTGATTCGAGAGTTACACAGACCACCGACGGAGCCCCTTCCCCAGGCAAGTCACCACATGTGGATCGATATGCCCGCTCGCCGGGATCCATTCCCAGCAACATGCGAAGTCGCGAGTTTGATCACGATGATCAGTCGGTCCGAAGCTCTGTCGCGGACTACAGGAATACCATGTACACTGAAGACAGCGAGGTCGCTTCCTCGGCCCCCGGCGGGCAGGCGGTACGAGGTGTTGGCGCGAACCCCAACTTCGTCCACACGCCTCTTGGTGTGGAGTCGGCTGTGGCCTCCTTGGTTGACGGGTCGATGGTCACGGATACGGTACTTACTGGGGAGTCTGGTCAAGGGACAAGAGACATCTACGGTGGTGGGGCTGCCATGGCGCCTCTGGAAGAGGAGCTCTCGCACGGCCATGCCACACCCAGCAAGCGTTCGGTCGAGAGTCACCGGGATCTAGTCGAAGAGCAAGAGGTTGCGCGCGCCTCGCCCACGACAACCAGGACAAACCCCTCCGAGTTCGCTGAGGAGTATGAGATTGACCAGTACGGACGCAAGGTCCCCAGGACGAGGTACCGCCACTCGCCAACTGCTTCCGAGGTGGCGATCACATCCGGTGCTGTCGATGCCGCTGCCGCTGCGATCAGGGCTGCTAAGGATAGAAAGAACCAGCCGGCTGTGGAAGAGTACCAGGATGAAGAATTCGTGCCGGAGGGTGTTCAGAGGAACAAGTCCTTCAAGGAGCGGACCATGAGCGGTCGTCGGCCAGCAAACACCCCTTCGCATAGCGTTGACCGTCTAGACGACTACGCTCAGCCAAAGATGGGCGTCAGCGGTATCCCGGATGCCCATGACCCGATCCCGGAGATCGGGTACGGCTATGGCGATGGTCCTGAGCTGGAGACAAACCCATCTGTTGTGGAAGGTCGGCTAGACGGTGATCATCACGACGAGCCAGAGCACTGGCGTGGAGACATCACGCCGACCCAAGAGCACATTGATCAGCAGGCTAAGGATATCTCCCATCACGACCCCAGCGCGCGCGACTTGGGCTTGGCCGGCGCTGCTGCCGTTGCTACAGCTGCCGCGCTGGCCTCTGCTCACAACACTCACAGCCGACAGCCCAGCCAGGAGCAAGATGACGAGTGGCATCGCACATCGGAAGACAAGAAACGGGACACCCTCATCACGAATCCCTACGAGGGTGCCAGCCCGGTCGCCAACCTGCCCGACCTAGGCGAGAAGCTGTTCGTCCCTCCTGCCTTGGCCAAGGCGGGCTTTGCGCCCGGATTTACAACCCGCAGCCCCTTGGGTCCCAACGATGAAGGATACATCTCCCAGGGACCTGTCAAGACGCCCGACATCAAGGGCAAGGCTGGCGAGTTCACGGAGCAGCCTGCCACGGGCGGTGCAGAGGATCCGTTCTTCACCCCGACGCATGCAAGACACATGAGCGGCATGTCTCAGGGCATGGGCTCGCCGTTTTACGATGCCGCGACCGGTGCGGGTATTGACCGGATCGAGTCTAAGGATATCATCGCATTGATGCAACATTTGATGGTTCGTGACGCACAGAGGAGTGCCCGCGATACGGAGATCCTCGTCACCCTGGTGCGCTCCGCCTCCGAGATGAGGGAGTCGTTTGACAACATGAAGAAGATGCTCGCACAGCAGGAGAAGGGGCTTGTGACCGAGATTAGGGAGAGAGTTGCCGACACCGAGGACGTCATCATCACCGAGGTCAAGGAGAACACAGAGAAGACGGTCCGACACCACATCGGCGGCCCTCGGCCCTTCCCTGGCAGTGCTGCCAGGTCGCTCCAGATGTCGCAGGCCGAGACCGACGATCTCCCCGCCAAGAAGCGCAACCTCTTCCGACGAGCGCTCAAGGGTCTCAGCGCCAAAGGCAACAATGATCTGGGTAGGATCGAGGACATGCTGATGCAGCTACTGACCGAAGTCGACGTCCTCAAGGCTCAGACTGCTCAGACTGGCAGTGGCAGCACTCATGATCAGTCTTTCGAGCACATGGACGAGCCCGAGATACCATTCGAGCAGGATCGTGGCTATGAGCCCGAAGGAAATGCCGGTACCTCGACTGCCAGCCACGCCAGCCAATCCGGGCATCTGTCGCTGAACTCTCGGGGACAGCCATCGAAGCTCGGATACGAGCGGAAGTTCTCAGATCATCGGATAAGCACGGTCCCTGAGGCAAACGAGGATGAGTCCAGTCATCAGCAGCAGCAGCCAGGCATGGGTCCACAATACCAAATGTCGGGTCCGCTCCTCAACACACCTCCTCCCGATCACCAGCGTGGCAACTCGGTGCCTCTGAACACCCCCCCACAGCCAATGACCTCCCAGCAGGCCTCGCTAAGCAATGAGAATGCATCGCGCTCGGAGAAGGGCAAGAAACACAAGTCGGGCGGCTCGACGAGCTGGCTTCCTAAGATCTCCCGCTGGTCTGGGACGACGACGTCCAGCATGGGCAAGGTCTTCCGGGGAAGTAAGGATTCCAAGAAAGACGACGAAATGGATGACTTCCTCGGCGGTGCATCGCGCTCTGGTTCGAACCTAGCGAACTATGACGAGTATGGGCACACCGATCCCTACGGCGAGGACAAACTCCACACGGGTTTCTCTCAGCCCGACCTGCTTCATACGGGCCAACACCCGCAGACACCTGGCGGCCAGCAGCAGCAGATGCCCCCTCAGGCGTACATGACACCGGAGGATCCCAAGTACAAGGCGCACCGCAACTCGCTGCTCTTGCAGCACCCACAGCCGAGGTCGGGACAGCCCATCAAGGCGGCGCTCGAGTACCGCGCCGAGGACTACGACGATCCCATGAGCCCCCGTTCCGCCGAGTGGGCTGGCTCGGCCACTTCGCTCCACCGCTTCCCGGGCCAGAACCCCAACCGTTACAGCGGCGGTTCCGCGTCCCAGGAGGCTACGGGCCAGCAGCAGCAGCAGCAGCAGCAGCAGCAGTATTGGGGTTCGTCCCCGGCGGGCCAGGGCCCGCCCCGCCCGCCGAAGGAGCCGCTCGACGACGGCAGCGGCCGCGCCATCCGGCAGACGCCGCCCAAGAGCAACCGCATCTCCAAGCTGGCGTCCAAGACGAGCCCGCTGCCGTACCACAGCGTGGAGAGCGGGTACGGCACGGCCACGCACGGCGCGCCGACGGTCAGCTACGCGGGCAGCAGCCCGCGGCTGGAGAACCGCAACCTCAGCGGGGCGCTGGGCGTGCCGACGCGGCGGCCTAGCGGGCCGAGGGCCATGACGCCCAAGAGCGCGGGCAGCGTGGACGAGGATGCCGAGGCGAGGCGGCGCAAGAGAGGTTAGTTGCACTTGCTATATTTGTTGAAGGGTAGTGTACTGAAATAGCCGGCACAGATACATTTGGCACCGTCGCGTCGAACGAGACTGATACCTTTTAGAGAAAGGGGTCGCCTTTGGGGTACTCCTGGCTCGAGCCCCTGATTGTCGATACCTCGGAGAACAACACCCTCACGTAATTTTATACAATTATCTCTGGATGGGGGGTTTTCACGGCCTTGATTTTGTTATCTTTTTTTTTTTTGCGAAAGCACACAGCATTATAGAACGCCGACATACCGTCTTTTGCTTCTCGCACACCCCTTATTTGCAAGGTTAGGAGAAAGGATTTTGACTGCCACGTGCGAGAGAGCAAAGCAAAGGGCGACGCAAGTGCCCTTTTGGTCTCTTGGGTGGTGGGTGGATTGGATGGATGGACGGAACTCAGGATGGTGGTTTTGATGATTATGAGGATGTCTTCCCTTTTTTTTGCCTTTTCGTGGCGGTTCAAGAGAAAAGCGACATTGCAGCAAAACAAGAAAAAAGCACACGCATGGAGAGTGAGGAGGTGTGAGCAGGAAGTTGCTTGATACGGGCGACGTTTTCTTTCTCCCTACACTACTACACGCACCCCATTCTTCTCCGCGGATAATCATACTTTTCACGACGATACGAAACCCCTCCCCATCCGTTTCACAACAATGAGACGTTTGTCATGATGAGATTAGTTTTTGAGCTTTCTGTTTCCGGTTCTGCTCTTCTGCTCTTTACCCAACGAAGAAAACCTGATCGTGAGAGAGGGTGAATAAAAGATGTGGACTGTGGACTCCTCGCCCTTTGCTTGTCGCGAGCTACATGTAGGCAAGCAGAGGAAGGAGGGGGTTTGTGGTTGAGGGTTAGCATAGCTAGTTGGAGGTGTGCGGTATGAGGGCGGAGACGGATTGTAATATAAGATCTCTTTTCTTTTTTTCCCCTCTTCGAAATGCAACTTGTTGCTGGTATCTGTCGTGGATGCGATGTATGTATGGGTTGGTCGCAAGGCACACATACCTATGTTTCCAGTTGCGAGACTTGTGTTCCTAGGCGACGAGACGGAAGGAGTTGGCTTGGTTCCCGAGAGGCAGGTTAGAGACTGGTGCCGTAGTACTTGGAGTATGCCTATCCCCTCTGGTCCCGGAACAACACCACCTGTTGCCCTCTAATGATCTATTAGTACTTGCCAAAATCCCTGTGTCTCCAACATGGCTGGATAATCATCAGTGAAGATGCTGTTCCGACACTAAAGGGGATAGAGCCCAGCTTCATGGTCAGTCAGAGTCACTTGCTTACTTCTCCTCCTTGTGGTCTGGATGTTGCGTAGATGCAGAGAAGTACTAGTCCCGTTCTCCGTCTTTTCACCTGCATAGAACGACAGTTGGCATAGGTAACGGCCATCTTGCCACGAGAGATAGTACGCTCAGGGTATACACGTCGGAGAACTATGCGAATCGGGACAAGAAGCATTTGCAAGGGTTGCCATAGGGCTGCTAGGTCGGCTTGGGATTCTGCTTGGCTTGGCCTTCGCTTGTTTTGATTGTGGCGGGCCAGAGAGAAAAGTCGACCTCGGAAACTCCAACGAATTCAATTTCAACGAGAAAGTTTCGTAAAAGGAGGCATTGCGGTAAAGCCAAAACATCATGTTGCAATATGTATATAAACATACAAAACACAAAACACAAAACACTGGTTTTGTGTAGTTCTGCAGGAAATCGACGAAGCAGCATTGTATCTGAACATGCAAGCAAAGAGGTCGGGGTCCAAAGAGGTTCTCGAACTGTTGTAGGCTACTTGTACTTACTTGGACTAGGTATGTGCGTGAACGGCATGGGCTTGTATCAATCTTGATCAGCAATACAAATCTTATCATAGGAGATGATATGAGATGCACTTGTCATTTTTTGGATCTCAGACACACTCACACACTTTCGTTGCATTGAGTTCGTGGTAATAATGGTAGGGTTCTCAATGAAGGTCTCAGTCAGCACGCGGTGGAAATGTAAACAGCTGATTGGCTAGGAGGATGAGCTGATGAGGTGTCGTTGACGTTGGTACCTTGCATGGCACGTTACTCGGTTTTTCTGCTCTTTCGTGGCAGATCTGACTCCCCAGAAAGTACCGACGGCAGCGGATGAGTATGGCGCAGATACAAGGGCGGGAGCCAAGGGAGCTAGCAGGGGTGGGATGGGGGGCTAGAGCAAACTATGGGGTAAGAATTAGGTACGAGAAATTCCCCTGACTGGCTAGGTATTGAGCCTCGTGATGGAGAACGTCGCAAATTTCGCATCACGCGGCGCTTTCTCCTCTCCTCCTCCTGCTGCGACCTTTTGCTGTCCTTCTTGGCGGGAGAGTGCCACGGCAGAGGAGAGAGAGGAGAAGGAGTACCTACCCAGGGAGGAGAATCATGAACTGGCTCACTGGGTAATTCCATGACACGGCCCCAAGCACCACCGTCTCGAGAGCTCACAGCTTTGGGCGCGCGCGGACATCTCCACATTCTTTAGAGTTGGTCATGAGGCTGTTTTGGTGCTGGTGGTGCTGGTGCAATAGCCGACCAGACCAGAGCCAGTCAACCCATGGAACACGTTCAGGTTCGCTCAGTTGCACTGGTCTGGTCTGACTGTGACTGACCGACCGAGTGGCTGGCGGCACGGCGGTAAAGGGCGAAGCTTCAAGCCAGGGGGGACATGCCGCCCCAGGCGAGCTGCTGTACCGCGTGGCCAGTTTCTGCGTTGGTCAGGTCTCGTCATGCGGACACAATATGCGGTGCGATGGCGTCTTTTTTTTCGCCCTTCTCCTCGGAGAGAGCACACTTTGTCATCGTCATTCCAATCACCATGTTCAGGCACTGGGAGGGGAGGCACGCAATGCTTGTGCAGCTTCAGCTCTGCCGGAGCATGCATCGACAGGGGGAAAGCAGAAGAGGAAAAAAACCCATGTGGTCACACTGCATTTTTTTCACACGCTAAGGAATGGAGAACGGCTAGCGAAGGGGGAAAAAGAAAGCCTGAGAAAGATGGACGGTAGCTTGGCTAGCTCCCGTCAGATCGGTCATTCGGTGGTGGTCATTTGGTCTCCTTTGGTCTCCTCCTGGTCTCCCTCGAGCTCGTTTCGCACCCATCGTGCCGCCGGGCCAACACAACGAGTACCTGATCAGATACATGGCCAGACAGCCAGACGGCGCAATTGCGTTACCCTTGGCATTTGCTCGTTCTCCATCCCTCTCCTCCCATTGACTCTTTGTCTTGGTTTTTTTTTTCATGCTTTCCCCGCTTGTAACATCGATCGTGGACCGCCCCATCCCATCCGCGCCATCCTACACATCCCCGACACCACACACACCACACACACCACACACACAGACACACAAGTTTTATATAAGCCCTCCTCTCTCTCATCCCCACCTCTCTGCCCACTCCCGCTGTCTCTGACTGACTGACTTTACATCTCGTCTCGAAAACATCTGCTTTGAATCGCCAATATCTCACGGCATTATTGCCTTGAAAGTGTTCTTCTGCTACACCAACAGACAGACAACGAGCCAGCTACTCCATCTCGCTCTCGCGCAGCTGACATAATCGCCCACTTACACGGGACGGAAACACGCACTCGATCACTTTGAGTTGCTCAACCACACCACACATACATACAACGAACCACCTGCACTACACGCAGCAAACAAAAATGCCCTCCTACACCTTCACGGAGCCGCACCCGACCGTGCCCGCAAACTCCATCACCCACTCGGGCCGCGGCGGCGCGGGCAACCACTTCCGCGCGCCCTCCCAGACCACCCCCTCCGCCGGCGTCCCCTCCCACGAGCTCTGCACCGTCCGCACCTCGGCCTCCTCCGTCAAGGCCACCCCGGCCCGGCGCTTCTACTCGGGCCGCGGCGGCGCCGGCAACGCCCACGCCGCCTGCGAGAAGCCCGTCCTGAGCTTCGACGACGAGTACGCCGCCGCCGCCGCCCGCGACAGGGCCAGCTCGGGCTTCGTCGGCCGCGGCGGCGCCGGCAACGCCGTCTACTCGGCCTCGCGGTCGGCCGCGTACGTCGAGATCGGCGGCAGCGACGGCAAGAGCAAGAGCCACCGCGGCGGCGATGATGCCGGCAGCGTCGCGAGCTCGCGCCGGGACAGCAGCAGCACCGACGGCGGGGAGAGCGTGCGCAGCGGCGGCTTCTGGCGGACGCTGAGCCGGGTTGCTTCGCACCGGCACTGAGTCTCTCGTCTCTCTCTCTCTCTGTCTTGGTTTTGAAATTGAAAAAGTACGGCGAGGCGTTTTATGTCGGGTTGTTTCTGTCTTTTTAACACGCACCAAACTTCACGAAGTCACGGCAAACGGAAAAAAAGTTCTCATTTTGGCATTTATCTGATTTCTGTTTCCTTTTTTACAACAACAACAATGGGAGGAATTGGGGCCTCAGAGCAAACACACCGGGTATCAATGCTCAAATAATCAACGACCTCAGGGTTGGGAAACGGGGAAACCACCACAATACCTAATACTCCTGCCTTTCCCAACCCGAGGACATACCTAACACAACCCCCGCATCCTTTTCGCTTCTGGCTGGCAGATTCCAGAGATTATGAAAAGAAAAAAAAAGGGGGCACAAGGGAGGAACATAACATAGCATTACTTAGCGAAGCGGCGTTTGTTTCTGGTGAACGATGGGACTTTTGAAAGGAGAGAGCTTTCAAATAGGATATACCCCCCTCAAGCAGGCGAACAACAAAAAGCAACACTTGTATTCTGCATTTCAGTGTATCACATTTAGCGTCAAGCAAGGTCTCTGGGCCTTGGAAATCAAGACAATGATTTTCACACTTGTGTGTCAACATGACCCATTTCTTTACCCTCTCTGTTGAACTGATTCGCAGTGACTGTGCTTCTGAGGTATTCAACTGTGCCATTCAATTCACTCGCGCACACACGCACGGGGCATCTTGATAAACCAGCCTCTGGGTATCATTCGAATTCTCTTTCTAAATACATCTCGGGAACAAACAGTGCTTGCTCTCAAAAAAAACTCCATCCTGGATGCACGCGCACCATCAAACCTGGCTCCCCTTTCTGGTACTCGCCAGCTTCCATGAATCTTGCTCTTTCTTTCCCCCCTCTGTGAAACCTCCTCTGTCGGCACCGTCTCCTTTCCCCTGGCGGTGATAGACTCGTGTTGTACGAGCAGGGGCATCACCCGGCCCTTTCCATCTGGGGGGGAAAAAAGGGTCATTCTTAAGAGTTCCTTAGTAGTCCGATCCAATCCCTTGATGTCTGGCCCAGCCCACAGGCAGAGCCTGCAGGTGTGCCGGACGGGGAGTGTGTGAGAAATCTCTTTAGTTGAACTTGGTATGGATAATGTCCGGGTTCTCGTGCCAGTCGTCAATGCTGACCCACATCTAGAAGAAGAGCATCGCACAATGATCAGCAACCACAAAATTTCTCGTCTGGTTCGAGTCCATTTCCACGCGGGGTTTGTGAAAAAAACTTCCTTCTTTGACGATATGCCTTGCCCTCGGAAGGAACAACTCACCTTTCTGAACGTGCTCAGCCCCGCCAGGATGCTCCCGCCGATCCAGGTCGAGTACTTGCGCTCGGGCGGCGCAAAGATCTTGATGCGCATGTCCTTGGCCGCCAGCTTGCGCACCTCGTTGAGCAGCCGGTCGCCGAAGCCCCGCGTCAGCGTGCTGCCCCCGGACAGCACGATGTTGGAGTAGAGCGACTTGCGCAGGTCCATGTCGGCCTTGCTGATCGAGTCGACGACCACCTGGTGCACCCCCGAGTACTCGAGGCCGATGATCTCCGGGTCGAAGAGGAGCTCGGGCGCGCGAAAGCGCTCTGGGCCGATCTTTTTATCAAAAGTTGTCACTTGTTAGTCGAAGCAGAACTTGGATAGCAGAGAGAGAGAGAGAGAGAGAGAGAGAGAGAGAGAGAGAGAGAGAGAGTGTGTGTGTGTTTTGTTTGCCAAAAAAGCATACCTGTAGCTTGTTCCCATCCGGCAAGACGTACTCTGCCGTCTTCTTGGGGTCCAGTTTTGAGGCCCCCGTCCACTCCTTCTCCTCCTTCCTGGGGTCGAGCGCGACGTAGCTGGTGCTCTCCTTGATCAGACGCACGACCTCCTTCTCGGCGCTCGTGTGGAAGACGTAGCCCTTCCTGCGCAGCAGTGTCTGCAGGTGCTCGGTCACGTCCCGCCCAGCGACGTCTATCCGCCTGATCGAGTTGGTGATGGCGAAGCCTTCGTATACCGGCACGGCGTGGGACACGCCGTCGCCCGAGTCGAGCACGATACCGGTCGTCCGGCCGCTGGCGTAGAGGGAGAGGACGGCTTGTACCGAGGTGTAGAGGGCAGGGACGTTGAAGGTCTCGAAGAGGACCTGGGCGGCGGTGTCGCGGTTGCTGCGCGGGTTGAGGGGCGGCTCGGTCAGGAGCACGGGATGCTGCGTCGAGTATTAGAACCTGGGCGTGGCCAGATGATCGACCCCCGACAATTGGGAAAACCCCAAGCTGCTTACCTCTTCGCTCAAGGTCTTGAGCCCCTCGTCGTAGACGTACGTCCAGATCTTCTCCATGTCGTCCCAGTCCGTCACCACGCCGTGCTCGAGGGGGTACCGGATCTTGAGCAGGCCCCTGTACTCGTTGGCCGCCTTCTGGCCGATGAAGACCTCCCCCTCCAGGGCGCCCGCCAGGACCCTCGGGTGCTTCGGCCTGCCGACAAAGGCCGGGAAGTTGCACTTTGGCGTGTCGTCCCCGGCGAAACCCGCGCGGATGGTGCCCGACCCATTGTCGATGACGATGGGCGCGTTGTGCAGTAGCTCCGCCATCTTCTGTTCCGCAGCTATTCCTGCTCGAGGGTGGTGTGTGTTCCGGCCCGAAAGCCTTCCCTTTTTTTTTATATATCACAGGGTTGTCTCAGACCGTTTTCTGCGCGGGGTCCAGGGTCCAGATGAGAAGGAAGAAAGGGGTTCCGAACGAGGGTCAAGTTCGGTGTGTCACTCCCGGCCGACCGTTTGTGCGAATCAGGAGGTGAATGCGCCACCAAGGGGAAAGATGTACCGCCGTCTTCGAGTCTCTACAAAGCCATTTCCTGGTCCTGGGGAACAAGCAGTATCGTTGGAGAGCTTGGCGGAACCAGGCTCCTGATCCGGATCGAGATACGCTGTTGTGTGAGAGGTCGGCGTCGAAACATTCACATTAAATTGCTTGTACGTTGCACGACGCGCTTGACAAGGCGGACGGGACAGTAAAAGGGAGCTACAGGGGGCGTGTTCCTGAGCTATGCCCGCTTGGGAAGACGCTGGGGCTGGTGCAGATTGAGGAGAGGGCTGCCTGTGGCTTGCGCGCAAATGGATGGAGAACTGATTGCGGGGATGATGTGGCGCATGCTTGAAAGCCCGTTGCCAGCTCAGGGAGCTCCCCGCAGCTCTAGCGCGCCAAAGCTGCAGCATTGATGCTTCTGGGGCCTCGGCCATGATAGCACCATTGCTCTGTGCTGACTTTCTTCATGCAGGATTGTGAATGATGTCAAAGGGAGAGACTATCGTCATCTTGAACAGCAGGCCAAGACATTGGATTGGCTCCATTGCTCGAAGCGACGGATACTCCCTTGTAACATGTACCTTTCCATAAGAGAGGTAGTGAGACTGGATCATAACCATCACTCACAATCCGGAAATCATACACGTCCTTGGAGAGAACAGGCTCATATCGAGACCTTTTCTCTCAATTGCACACGTCTATCAATCCTTCACAAGTAAATTTTGCCATGGCATCAACACCATCAGTCTATTGGTCCTTGTACGGCCCTGCCAAGTCGAGGAAGAACGTGCCGCAATTCCGCCTCGAGGCAGTCGGAATTGGCAAGACGGCGACATACCCAATTGAGCCTGCTGCATCATGACTCAATGAGGCGCTCTGCCCAGAACCAACAGCACTGCTGACCGGCAAATGCTGATCACTTTTGATGTTTGCTTCGAGCCATCGTGCATGATCCCCCCGTTCCGCCCAGTCCTGACTTGCTGTGCTGGACTTGCCTGCAGGCCTCCAAAGGCAGTTTGCAGCAAGTCAGTGTGCCGACTATCCTCTTTCCAGCACTCACTTAGGCGGATCGCATGCCCGCGAGAATCGATGATCCGCGTGCCTCAAGCCACGCTTCAAGCATCGACCACGAGCGGTCCTTTCGGCGACGATCCCCGCCCACGAACGCACCGGCTTATCTCCAGGCCAGGCGGTCTGACAATAGACGGGCCAAGTCGTCCTAGGTCTAGATTAGCAGCAAGAAGCAAGACACCACGACCCGAGACCGGCCAACCATCAGGCATCGCGTCTGTCTGGTCAATGTAACACGCTGCCCCTCTAGCTATGTCTCAGAGCCTCTTTAGCTTTCAGCTCTTTCCCCGGCCTCTCAGCGAGGTGAGCAGAGCTTGGATACTGCACTGGCCGGCCTCGTTTGCTAGATCTGAGCGCGCTGCAGTACCTTGATGGTCACCGGGCTCGAGATATTGGTGCGATTGTCGGTCAGCGTGTGCACCCGGATAACTGAGGCACAGACGCATGTTCCCGCATGTTCCCGCATTGCCCTTGTCTCGCTTGTTTGCTTTCATATACAAGTATTACGCCATCAGGACAGCCACTTTATGCTGGTGAGCTATCTGTCTCCTGGGACTGGACCTTGCACCAAGGGATTACTCATGCCAAATAAGCTCGGCTCCATCACTCCTAACAGGTCTCCGCCGAGATTGTAAGTCGCCCATGCCTGGTCAATGATCGAGCAGACTGGTTACCGACCGGGCCACGACAGCCCTGTCCTGTCCAACAGCGGCACAACTACATGGGCCAGGGCAAGCAACCAATTCCAGACTGGAAGGATACTTGCAGCCGCCACCGGATGCACGCGCACCCATTTACAGAAAGACTTGCCTCTCCTCGTTGCTCAAGAGGAAACAATCCTGCACGGGATACCCCCGCTCCCTGGCAGACGCTGTAACCCTACCCCCCCCCTTCTCTAGTAATAAGCTCTGCCCTGGCTTTCCCAGCTCTCTGGTCAGACTTTCACCGCGACCCAAATTCTCGGGACAGACTCCTGGACCTGCCGCCCTGGATTGGAAGGGAATATCTGCCAAAAGGATTGAAGTGTCGCTCGCCAATCTTTGATCTCGGGAGGGATCGCTGCTCCCTTCCTTTCTTTCTTTATTTGCTGCCCTGCTGTTGTCGCTCGTTTCCTCATGCTCAGTAATAATATCGCAACCCCTCAACCCCTTTCTCCGGATTCCTCTGGAACCATCCCAGCGCAGCCGCTTTCATGGAGGGCCTAGATGACCAATACATCCAGCCCGAGACGGTAAGCTCACACAGTTCTCATGTTCTTTCGTCTTTCCGGGCCATATTCCGGCATTCGCCTCATTCTCAGCTTCATGAATTCCTTCATTCAACACAAGTCGGTGCCAGGGCCTCCGGGGTAGACCGCTCTTGCTCATGAGTGGTTCCCGCAAGCCCGCATTTCCGGATCAGGATATACGAGCTATTGCTGCTGTATCAAAGACCAAAACGCTTCCAATTCATTTCCTCTGACAGCGATTTAGCATCCGTATGGGAAAACTGACAATTCAGCTCAGAATATGACGGATGAGGACGATGGGTCCGTACAGGTATGCCAGCGCTTTCCGGCTCGCACGATCCGTTCGTCCGCATCGGCGCGCGCGCTAACATGCTGTCCCTTTACACCAGAGTGAGAGGACAGCGGGTTCCATACTGAGCTTAGCCATGTTCAGGGGCCGTGTCCAAGATGGGCGTCTCTACACTGTCTATGGCAAGGAAGGTGTGTCTATCTGCTATGGCTTCATGAGTGCTGCCGTTCTTCGCTACAAACTAACTCCTGCCAGAATATGGCTTCCCCATGGACGACCAGGAATTAGACAGGATAGATCTCTGCCATGCCAAATACTACGCGCTGCTAGATAAGAAACGTTTCCTGGCACCGATACCATCACATCCTCAGAAGGTACTCGATCTCGGCTGCGGCACTGGTGAGCGCCCTCACTGGCAACCTCCTGGCCTCTGGTGGTCGGCTAACACTGCAGCTCGTATGCTTTAGGGGCATGGGCCGTGGACTTTGCGGATAACTACCCGTCAGCTGAGGTAGGCCAGAGACTTGCGATATAGTCTCGCGAACAAATGAACCATGCATAAATGCTGACCCTCTCTCCGTGATAGGTGATAGGAATCGACATTGCGCCGACCCAGCCGGAGTGGGTGCCGCCCAACTGCCGGTTCGAGCTCAACGACATGGAGCAGCCCTGGACGTGGCCCGAGAACCACTTTGACTTTATCTTTGCGCGCGACCTGATCCTGTCCGTGCGGGACTACCCCAAGCTGATAGATGAGATCTACAGGTAATCACGCCCCCTTGTTCTATTTTGCTTTTTTCTTTTCCCCACCCAACCTCTCTCCAATCCCCTTACGACAAGACTAAACACTTACCGGGAGGTTTTCAATAAAACCAGACACCTCAAGCCCGGCGGCTACGTCGAGTTCCAGTCCGTCACAGGCACGATCCAGTGCGACGACGGCACCCTGCCCCCGGACCCCACCGGCAGCGCCCTGCGCAGCCTCAGCGAGCACCTGCGCGTCGCGGCCGCCAAGTTCGGCGCGCCCGTCGACGACCCGGCCCGCTGGCGCGCCTGGCTCGCGGGCCGCGGGTTCGAGTGCCCCGCGGCGCAGGAGCACGTCTACAAGGTGCCCGTGAACCCGTGGCCGCGCGACCAGCGGCTCAAGCTCGTGGGCGCCTTCGAGCAGGAGAACCTGCTGTCGAACCTCACGGGCATGACGCTGCGGCTGTTCCGGCGCGCGCTGGGCTGGTCCGCGGCCGAGGTGGACGCGTTCAACGCCGGGGTGCGCAGGGAGGTGAGGGACTGGCGCTATCATGCCTATTGGCCTTTGTGAGTTGGTTTCTTTCCCCCCTTTCCCCCCCCCCCCCCCTGGTCTCTATTGTGTGTGTGTGTGCTTTACATGCCACCTGGGCCAGGAGAGACGAGGTTGGGATGAAGACTTTTCCCTTGTACTGACACATAAGTACACTCCTTACAGCTACGTGGTATACGCGAGGAAACCTCTTGCGCCGCAGAGGCCGGACAGTTGAAGTTAAAAGCTGATAATGTCAGCGGGTTCAAGTTTGGTCGGACTACCCTGCCCCGGCCAAGTATGATTTTGATGCATTGCCAACGATCAGGGAGGCTATATAGACGCATGTTGATGAGTTATGAGAAGAAACGAAACAAACCAAAAATAAATGACTAATTTTGACATCTTGTCTCTGTCTGCATCTTGCGCTGATATCATGATAAGTCGTGCTGACTCGGAGGGTGTCTTAGATGTGTCTAGACTTACAAGTATCCCTCGAGATATTCAGGGGCTATCTTAGACAAGGTGAGTAGGTTGGATCTACTTCGGTATGCTTAGTGAACATTATCATTAATAAGTCATGTTGCTGTCAGGCATGCGACCGAGTTACGGATACTAGCTACCAAGTCAAAGCTAAGCCAAGGGATACTTCATACCCCTTGATGATCTTAGGATCAGGGATACTAGACGGAGATTGAGGCATGTACAAGTAGTCACTGATTCGAAAATGAAGACCAAGGTTTTATGATGTTTGAACAAAGTAGATTTGATCGTTTTGACTGATCGTAGCTAGCCAGAAGGGCCCCCTATTCCGCTAAATCTGCAACAAAATGCGACTTGAGTGATATCTTGAGCCACCTTTATCTGTCTGGCCATGCGTAGAAACAGAAAAACGCCCCCAACTCCAGTCCCATGATGCGGTATATACAAGTAAAGTAAAAAGATGCGTTGTGTTCTCGTAGAGAGAAGGCTGGGGGCCACCAAGCCGCGTCCGGCTGTGTCCCCCAAGCCTCCTGAGCCACCCACCACCCACCCAGAGGTGTTTCCAGTCCCCAGTCTATATCCTCTCTCCGTGATATTAAAAAAAGATGTAGTTTGCTTCTCATTGATCCCCGAGGCAGCAAAAGTGTTTTTTTTAGATGTGGCCGTCGAGGCCGACGGCGGCGAGGTAGGGCCAGCCGAGGACGAGCGCGACGCCGGGCACGTAGATGACGGCCTGGCCGGCGACCCGCTTGGCCATCTTGCCGACGTCGGCGCCCTGCGCGGTCTGGGTGGTGGGCAGGCGCTCGAAGGGGTGGGGCTCAAAGGAGCGCATGGCGTTGCGGACGGAGCGCATGACGGAGAAGTTGCGGCGGCCGGCGGCGCGGATGGCGGCACGAGCGACGATGGGAGACATTTTTGTTTTTTTGTTTGGGGGGTTGTTTGTTTGTTTGGTTGAGTGAGGTGTTGTGTAATAAAAGTCTTACGAGACTTTTGTGTGAGGAGAGGAGAGGAGAGTAGGTTGTTGGTTGGTTGAGTAGTGAGTTAAGTTGAGGCTTGTGAAGCTCTTGATGATGCTGCTTGTGCGATGGAGACAGGAACACAACATCAATGACACGAGGACGGGGGGCAAGGCTCTTATACTTCACGGGGGCACAGGGCAACGGTCAACGATCATGAATAATATTCGATTCACAGTCTAATCCCGACAGAAAACCTTACGGGCCTGATGCGGCGAACTGCGGATCGTCGCATGGCCTCATGTTCCCACCCCAGAGTACGGTCCTGCCGTGCCGTGCGTGTGCCTGGTTGGAAAGGAAAAGGGCAATTAGACAAGCTTGCAGAGTGTGCCCAGGGGGGTCTGGCATGGCATCCAGGCTTTGCCAGGTCGCCGGGCCACCGTACGAGTCGGGAGGCCGAAAGAGTGGGCAATGGCCAAATGGGCGAGCTGCTGGCGGGCGCGGTGGTGCGATTCTGACCTGCGAACACCAGATGCGGCGAGAAAGAAGCGGGCGGGTAGGGAGGAGAGAGAGCTGGGCCAGCGACCTGGTTACTGGCAGGCCTGCGCTGTGTCCAGAAGCCCGGGGCTGACTCTGCTGTGAGAGGAATGATTTGGGGGCATGGCGTGGGGTGATTGATGGTCTGGATGACTCGCTTGTGGGCTGATCGGTGGCCGCCGAGAGAAGTAGACTCGTGTCGGGGAGTGGGCGGGGGGCCGAAAGATATGACACCCGGCAACTATCGGATCACTAACATGGAATCCGGCCAGATACTCGCAAGACTGTTAGTAAGTCTCACACTTCCTGCTAAGAGCTCATGACAGCAACTTCCGCCCATCTTCATGCGAGGTACTTCAGGTCCCCCAAAAAGACTTCTCCCCCATCGGATCATGCAAATCTCGGCCGCCCAATCACAGCCGCGCCAAATGGCACAGCTCCCTCCGACCTGCTTCTCCCGAACAATCGCACCACGCGCAAACCCCGACTGCGCCGCCTGCAAATGCCTTTCCCTGCGGCTCCCGGCGCGTAGGTAATTACACACACACACACACACACACGGACGGAACAACCTCTCAGCTGGGTTGAGGACCGCAATTGTGGCCTTTCCCATACCGGTCCATGATGGCATTTTGTCGATCCACTGCATCTGGCCGCTGTGTGTGTGTGTGTGTATGTGTGTGTCTCTTGCGTGTCTGGTTATCTCTTCCGCATGCGGTACTTCTGTTTCTGATACACTTATCTTCCTGACCTTGTTCATGATCCTTGGAGAGGCGCATACTTCGATTGCGGGGGGTTCCTGGAGGCGGCTCGCTCTGAGTCGCTCAACACTTAGCAGCCATGCCATGACGAGATGCGCGATACCCCCGTCATGCTTAGTCACCCGTGAACTGACTCCCTATCTGGCCTCCTTTCGACGAGCTTACTATCTCCCTACCTGCGAGGTTATGTCAACAAGAGATGGTCGATTCTGGCATGCGTAGGGTATCATTCTATTCTTTATTCTTGTCATCTCCTGATGTCTAGGTAGAAAGCTGTCTATGTTCTAATGACCTGTGCCCCATCTGCCGGCTCCAACAGCTGCCACCGGCAGGTGATGTCCTGCTGCTTGAACCGGTCCATGATGCGCTGCGCAATCTCCTCAAAGTTGCTCGTCGCCAGCGCCAGGATGGTGGGCCCGGCGCCGGACAGGCACACGCCGAGCAGGCCCGGTTGCGTGCTCGGCGTGATCGACTTGACGATGTCGGTGAGCCCCGGGATGAGCGTCTGCCTGTAGGGCTGGTGCAGCTTGTCCTGCATGGCCAGGTAGATCAGGTTGGGGTCCGGCGGTGATTGGCCCAGGGCGACGGGGAGCAGGGCTATCCGCTGCAGGTTGAAGGTCTGTTTTTGTTTGTCCGTCTTGTTAGCCACACAGTCCTTTGTTTTTTTTTGTTTTTTTCCCCCCGTCTTCAGACATTGAAACCCCGGTTTACACTTACCACGTCGGCGCGGGCATACTCGGCCGGCAGGACCTGGCGGGCCTTGGCCGTAGAGACTTCGAAATCGGGGATGATGGCAACGGCCTTGATCTCGGGCGCCCACGGGAACTTGATGTGGTGGCCGATGCCGTGGGGAGGCGACGGCGGGTCGACGCCCGTGTCGACCCCGCCGGCCGGCGCCGGGAGCACCTCGCTGAGCGGGATCTCTTTCCGCGCCAGGTCCTCGGGGGCCAGGGGCATCAGGTAGGTGCCGATGAAGCCGCCAAACAGCGCCGCGCCCACGTTGTCGGGATGGCGCTCTGGTTGTGTCTCGAAGATTAGCCAATTGTTCTCCCCTTGTCACACGTGGGTGGGTGAAAACGTGTGCTCAAGTAAAACCATTTGCCGATGCCATTGTCTGCCACACACACACACACACTTTTTCATCAGAACTTACCGATCATGAGGCAGAAATCAAGGATGCGGTCGTTGTCGAGGTCGAGCTGCCCCGCCTCCTTGCCCAGGATGACGCCGGCGACGACCGCGGCGCCGGAGGACCCCAGGCCCCGGCCGAGGGGGATGGGGTTCTTGATGTGCACGTGCGTCTCGACGGGGAAGCTCCGCTGGCCGTGGCACCTCAGCACGTAGAGGGCGACGCGGGTGATGAGGTTGGCGTCCGGGTCCAGGGGCACCTCGCCCGACTCGGCGCCGTCCCCCTCGTAGGTGATGCGGCAGTTGAGCGGGTGCTCCGACTTGGGCTGGGAGCGGTCGATGGTGACGTGCAGCTCCAGGAACATGGACAGGGCCAGGCCGATGACGTCGAAGCCCGGGCCGATGTTGGCGGAGGAGCAGGGCGCCTTGATGACGAAGGAGTCGGACGCCATGGTTGCTGCTGGCGTCGAGGCGGCGGCGGCTTGGTCTATGACGGTCTGATGCTGGTGCGCGGCCTGGCAGGCGGACATGGATGTGAGGTGAGGTCCTCCTGATGGCGGGGTGTGCTGGGGTGCTGGACTGCTGCTCGGGGAGTGGGTGTGCTCGCCCCAGAACAAGCTTGGATGAGAGTGCTGCCGTCAATTGGTCGATCGCCGTCGAGGAGCCGTAGCTGGCGGCGCTGCAATGCCAACTGGGACTGAATATCAGTTTCTGGCCGTCCGTGTGTGACTGATGTTTGACACGAGCTGAGGTGACTCAAATTTTTAATGTGTCCCGACGGCGGAGGTTAGCGGCGCATGGTGGGGTTGGCAAGTCCGTTCCTGGCCCACCACCACACCACCCAACTCCCGGGGCCAGACCTCAGGAGCCCCGACGCGGATGTGGCATCACAAGCTCAACTCGGAGCATTGCATTTCCGGAAGAGTTGGTGGTTGGCATGTCAGATATACCCATAATAATGCAACTTCTTATACATGCGAGCTCACAGTGGCTTTCCTTTACAAAACATGAAACCCAGTCTAGGTATTATTCCTTGTTTCATTCTCTAGATCTGGAGAGGACGATCAGCAACTAGGAATTAAGGCTATGGGAATTGTATGAAATGGCCTATACTATGGCCGACGATTTTTCGAAATCTTTCTTTTGTCTTGACTTTTATCAAGAAATAATCACAACCTTTGGGTGGGCAACACGGGGAGGATTCAAAGCCCTGCCATGGCCACAGTAATGATGAAACTTACTCAATTGAAGCAGCTTCATGGTGTTCAAGTGTAATAATGAAGAGAGTACGGGATAAATGAATATTTCCTGCTCTAGCCGAAAGCAGTAGCATCACCAAGAGACATTGGCTGATTGTCTGTCTCTGCTTCTTGTTGTCCGTGGTTCTGGCAAGCGAATAATCATCGATGGCCCTCAAAACACGAGCGGGTGGCCTCAACAACGTCAGATTATGCAATAGTTTGCCCGAGCAATGGGCACAGCAATTGGCATAGCCTGGCCAACATCTTTTGTGGTGAACAGTGGCAGTCTCTTACGCAGGCGAGGCAGGGTTCGCTCGCTCTATTGTTTCCCTATCCGGCAGCTTAGACCACGGTAGGGACTCGTATCATCGTATGGCATGTACACAGCGGAGACGGCTTCGTCATGGGATCATTAAGCTGGGGCTCTTCCCACGCGATCGTATTCCCTGGCGGCCGCGTGGAAGAGCCTGTGAGATGGTGTGAGTGGGCGAATATGCTCAGCCAATGGAGGAGGACGACGCCATGGCCAAGAGAGTGTGGCGATCCGTGGGGGAAGCCCAGTTGTGGCTGAGAGTGCCACCGTCCTTCTTCCACCGTTTCTATTCTTGGTTGTCCCGAGCTCTCGGCCCTCGCTCTGGTCAGTGCCGTAAACTTAAACTTCTCCGTACCTCGATTAGGTACAGTGGATCATTCTCTCGGGTTGGGCGGCACCATTCTGCAGATTGGCGGCTGCCTAGGGGAGGCTGCAACTTTTGCACTCTCTTTGAGGCACTAGACTAAATTACAGGGACCGCCAGACAACTGCAGCTACCCGCCGAGCAAACAGCAAGATATGACGATCAGCAGCGCTTGGCCGAGGGGCTGGTGTGGTAAGAAACCAACGGTGGCCTCTCTCTCGGCTTGTCTGATTGCATCATCAAGAGACACATGGCCTATGCATGTCTAAGGTAGCATAACTATGGCTGGTCCAGATGATGTTTTCACTGAGGCTGTGAAGAAAGCAATATCGATAAAGAGCAGAATAAAGACAAAAGAAACAGGGTTTTGGTGGCGGTTTGCTGGTCAACCTTGTGGAATGCCAAGATTCCGCATGGCTTGCGCACTACTGAATCTTGCGAGCTCCCCAAGTCTCCTTAGCAACCTTGGACGGGGGCTCTGGCCCAATCACAAGAGCCAGAGCAGTCCCCCCGAAAAGGGCGACGTCAACGCTGCTGCGCCCGCTGGCTGGATCTGAAACGCGACAGCTAGTGGAGGGAGCCGGGAGGGGGCTGATCCCTTGTGTTAGCAGCGAATTAAGGCCTGACCCACGCTGCGGGCAACCTTGGAAGCTCCAGCTGCTCCCTCTCTCGCGGCCTCCTCCAGCCTGTGAAGTGCTGTATCGGCACGCCAGCGCCCGCACCCCTTGTCGCTTGGCTGTAGGCCTGCCGTCATCTGCAACGGAATCATCACTTTGAAACTCCAGCCCTCCAAACGAACCCTGTCTTTCCCATCTCCCTCACCTTAACCCCCCTACTCCACGCTCTCCGCTTGCTCCCACAGTCCATTTTCTACTCGAAGGAGGGAACGGAGCACCCAGAGCATTGCGATCCCTTTTGCGCGCCGCGACGACAGGTACTTACCTCTCCGTATCGACTAGTCGGCCATAGGCGCAGAGCTATCTCGACATTCAGCCTGCGTGCGGCTGCACCACCACCACCACCATCAGCAGCCAAAAACACCAAAACCTCGGCTTGGACCTTGCTCCCTTCGCCTACGTTCGAGACGATTTCATCCTCCCGCCGCGGCCGGGAGTAATTCGTCTTCCCGGAACAGTCGAGCCTTGGCCTCGACTGACCTGCCCGCAGTGACGACAGTGCACCGTGCAGCATTCCAAACAAGAAACAAATCGCAAACCCCTGAGCTCCAGTCTCAACCCTCCACCACCGCTCTGCTTCGAAACCCCTGCTTTGTACACCATAATCGACAGTCAATATGTCGTATAATCGATTAGGCAAGTGAAAAACGCCGTCCAGGCATTGCTCGCCCTTCCATACCCCCTTTGCCAGACACCACCAGGCTGTGGTTCAAACCCTCCACCATCTTGCATCACGACCTTCCCTTGGGTCATCGCTCTCCTTCCTATTCACTGCCCTTCTGTGTCTCTTGTTCGAAGCCAATTGCTGCGCAAGGGCTACGTCGCGCACCCCTGCCCCTTCTGCATAGCCTCTTTCTTTCTTGCCTGGCGCAAAGTGCCCAATTCTTGTCACAAGAGTCGGCGTACCCCTCGCGGCGCAAGTTGCCCTTTGCATTTCTCAGCTTCTTTCTCGGCCGTCCTCTATACTTATGCGCTGGATCCACTCGCACTTGACATCTTCGCTTCTCTAACACCGCAGCTTACTAGACGACGACTATTTCGACCGTCCTCGACCGATGGATAATCGAGGAAACTACCGAACCCCCTCCCCGGGGCACCCTATACAGCAGGGTTACCAGCTCGAGGACAATCCCTATGGCAGCCGGCAGAACCTCGATATTCCCATGGGACCCCAGGCTGGTAGATACAGCCCTGGCGACTCATTACAGATGCAGACAGCGGTATGTTGTTGTTGTTGCTGGCTGAGGGTACAGAAACCCCTCTTGAATGAGGACGCTGACAGAAGGGCCATATAGCACTCCGTCGACAACCTGAGCGAGAATCCCTTCCACAGCCAGGGCGACTTTGGCGTTCACCCGGAGCAGCACCACCAAGATTACTACAACCAGCCCTACCAACCATCCCCGCATGGTGGCCACCCGGACTACGACCACGAACAGGGCTACGGCCATGATGGCCAAGCTCTTTTGAACTCGGGCGACAACTACGGCCCGGACCCGTACCAAGATGTACCAACGCCGCAGCCGCAACAGCCCGCCGCGCCGATCAAGAGATGGAAGACAGTCAAGCAGGTTCTGCTCTACCGCGGCAACCTGGTTCTTGACTGCCCTGTTCCCCCGCGGCTGCTCAACCAGGTGCCCCACGGCGAGCGTGACGAGTTCACCCACATGAGGTACACTGCGGCAACCTGCGACCCCAACGACTTTTACGAGGAGAATTTCACCTTGCGACAGAGGCTCTTCAGCAAGCCTAGGCACACCGAGCTCTTCATTGTCATTACCATGTACAATGAAGACGATATCCTCTTCGCGCGCACCATGATCGGTGTGATCAAGAATATCGAGTACATGTGCCGCCGCACCGAGAGCAAGACCTGGGGCAAGGATGCCTGGAAGAAGATTGTGGTCTGTGTCGTCAGCGATGGCCGTTCCAAGATCAACCCCAGGACAAAGGCTCTGCTCGCTGGTATGGGCGTCTACCAGGAGGGTATCGCCAAGCAGCAGGTGAACAACAAGGATGTGACGGCGCACATCTACGAGTACACCACTCAAGTTGGTCTGGCCATCAAGAACGACGTGGTGCAGCTTATTCCCAAGCAACAGCCCGTCCAAGTGCTTTTCTGCTTGAAGGAGAAGAACCAGAAGAAGATCAACTCTCACCGTTGGTTCTTCTCGGCGTTCGGCCGCGTGTTGGACCCCAACATTTGCGTGCTCATCGACGCTGGTACGAAACCTGGCGGCAACTCTATCTACCACCTCTGGAAGGCCTTTGATCTCGAGCCCATGTGCGCCGGCGCTTGTGGTGAGATCAAGGCCATGTTGGGAACCGGCGGCAAGCATCTCCTCAACCCGCTCGTGGCGGCACAAAACTTTGAGTACAAGATGAGCAACATCCTTGACAAGCCGCTCGAGTCGGCCTTCGGCTTCATTTCTGTGTTGCCCGGTGCCTTCTCGGCGTACCGCTACGTCGCGCTGCAGAACGACAAGAATGGCCAGGGCCCGCTCGAGAAGTACTTTGCAGGCGAGAAGCTCCACGGCGCAGGAGCCGGCATCTTCACGGCCAACATGTACTTGGCCGAGGACCGTATCCTCTGCTTCGAGCTGGTCACCAAGCGCAACTGTCACTGGATTCTCCAGTACGTCAAGTCGGCTACTGGCGAGACCGATGTACCGGACGAGATTGCCGAGTTGATTCTGCAGCGTCGTCGCTGGCTGAACGGTTCTTTCTTCGCCGCCATCTACGCCATTGCCCACTTCTACCAGTTCTTCCGCTCTGACCACTCTTTCTTCCGGAAGATCGCCTTCTTCATCGAGTTCACCTTCAACACTATCAACATGATCTTCGCCTGGTTTGCTATTGGCAACTTCTTCCTGGTTTTCAAGATCTTGACGTCTAGTTTGAGCGACCCGAAACTGCTTGGCAACGTGGGTAACATCCTCAGCGTGGTCTTCGAATGGCTCTACGGTATCTCACTCATCACCTGCTTTGTCCTGTCCATGGGTAACCGTCCAGCGGGTTCCGGGCCTTACTATATGGCCATGGTGATCTTCTGGGCAGTCATCTTTATGTAAGCACCTCCCATCCGTCCTATGTGCTGGTGGTTCTTGCGTGTGAAACTAACTCATCACCTCAGCTACCTCATGTTCGCCGCGATCTTCATCTCAGTCCGTGCCATCCAAGAAGATGTTGCAGACGGCTTCCAGGTCTCGGAGCTGGTGCAGAACAAAGTGTTTATCACGCTCATCCTGTCCGTCTTGTCCACGTACGGCATCTGGCTCATCGCCTCGGTGCTCATGTTCGACCCCTGGCACATGTTCACCTCGCTGGTCCAGTACATGCTCCTGACGCCGACCTTTACCAACGTGCTCAACGTGTACGCCTTTTGCAACACGCACGACATCTCGTGGGGCACCAAGGGCGACGACAAGCCCGACAAGCTGCCCTCGGTCAACACCAAGGACGGCCAGGGCAAGACGGACCTGCCGGACGAGGGCGACCTCAACGCCCAGTACGAGCGCGAGCTGCAGGTCTTTGGCCGCAAGGAGGTCGTGGTCAAGAAGGCGCCGACCCCGTCGCAGCTCGAGGAGAAGCAGATGGACTACTACCGCGGCGTGCGCACCATCGTCGTGCTGAGCTGGATGATCACCAATTTCGCGCTCGCGGCCCTGGTCCTTAGCACGGCCGGGCTCGAGAAGATCACGCCCAAGGACTCGGGCGCCGACGCGCGCGCCAGCGCCTACATGGCCGCCGTGCTGTACAGCGTCGCGGCGCTGTCGGCGTTCAAGTTTATCGGCGCCTGCTGGTTCCTGATTGTGCGGATGTTTAGGGGCGTGTAGGACAGTCTTGCTTTCCGGTGGTGACGTTCGACGAGGAGGAGGAGGATCGAAGGGAGGGGAGAAGGAGCCGCTTTTTTGTAATACGAGGGAAAAACGACAACAGGGAAGATGATGATGAGGGAGGACAAGGACTTCGTTTTGCGCTGCGGTGTGGGCTTGATGCTCTTGACGCAAGGGAGTTTCCCCTCTTCTTCTTCTTGCAGGAGTCACATTGTTTTTTATTATGTCTTGTCTTGCCGAAAGAGATTCGAATACCCGTTCTATTTTGCAGTTTTCTTGTTTCATCATGCTGTCTGTCCCCTTTACGCTAGTATGCATGGAAAGAAGAGTTTCAGCTCGTATCGAAGATTTAGTTTCTGTGCTGCTACCTACGCTGCTTTTTTTCCCCAGCATATAACGTTTTTCATGAGGAGTACAAGGATTGAAACCATTAAGATAGCTAGCTTTAAAAACAATACTATGCCATGCAGAGAGTATAAGTGTCTCTCTGATGTGACACACCTTGAAATTGTTGCATACTGTCTATAATGAGAAAAGCCTTTGAAAGTAATTCTTGTATCACATTCTACGACGCAACACGACAAGACAGTACCATCGAGATCGTATAGTATTAAGACGGCCCGCAACAAGGACTGCTAGCATGGCGGCGCTCTTTAATTTGACAATCAAACTGTTGTTGCAAAATGGCAAGTTGTCATTTTCCCTTTCCGTCTTGTTCTTTGCCCCCGGTCTTTTGCCCGAGGATTCATTCCCCCCTTTTCCTTCCCGAGCAGAGCTTCCAACAGCAGTCCATCCTGACTTGAGAACCACTTCTGCTCCACTCCTTATCTCCCCCGAGCCCGAGCCTCCAATCCCCTTACGAGATCTCGCGCCCCAGCTTCTCGAGCTCCTCGGCGATGAACTCGCCGGCGTTGACCATCTCGGTGCTGCCGTACACGACCCTCCTCTTGGGCGCCCTGTCGCCCGAGGCGCCGCCGCCGCCGCCGCCGCCGCCGCCGCTCGTCCTCGCCACCCACTCCTGCAGGTTGCCGTACTCGTCCATGCTGCCGCCGCCGACGGTGAACACGACGGCCTCGGAGAACCCCTGCCGCCGCTGGCCGAAGCTGGCGCCCGTGCCGCCGCCGCCGGCGCCACCACCGCCACCCGCGCCGATCCCGCCCGCGGCAGACCCTCCCGACCCGGCCATGGCTCCCGGGGCGGGCGAGCCCGCTCCGGCGGCGCGGAGGGCGCTGGGCGGGGGCATGGTGCCCCGCGCGTTGGCGGAGCGCGGGTCGAAGTAGAGGTAGTGCTCCGTCTTGGCGATGGCGGAGCTCGAGGCGGCCGAGGGGTCCATGATGGACTCGACGATCTTGGTGATGGTCAGGTCGCGGTTCGCGGGCAAAAAGTTCTTGATGCCGCCGATGAGCGAGTCGAGGTTGGCCGAGAGGGCGCCCGTGGGCACCCCGGACTCCTTGAGGCGGTCCGTGAGCCGCGACGAGATGTTGGAGAAACGGTGGAAGATGTCGCCCGTCGGCTGCTGCGGGTTGGCGGCCGAGATGGTGGTGAGCTGCGTCATCTTGGTGGTGGCGCGGACTCTTATTCATGCGCATTAGTTCGGGCCGTTCAAAGAACAAGTTTACTTTTGAGGGGTAGGATGATTTCTTACTGTCTGATGTACGAGAGGCAGGTGCTGTCCACGCCAGCCGCCGTGAGCGCCTCCTCAAAGCTGGTCCACTCCGCTTTGGACACATCTTGCTCTGTGCTCAGGAACCAGATGATAAACAGCCGGAGCTTGTCCAAGGGCTGGTTGCCCTTTGTCTGGTCCTTGAGTAGTTCGAGCATCTGGGCCTTTGTCTGCTTGGCGACATTCTCCTCGAGCTGAAAGTAGTTGTCCAATTGCCGGTTCTTGATGCCGTTGAGCAGGGCAGCTAGAATGTTCATGTGCATGTCCAAGGTTGCCTTGCGCTCCCTCAGCTCCGGCAGCAATGTTATCGCTGCCTTGAGATGTTGGGCGCTGGCGCTGGTATCGTTTTGCAGGTCTTCAATATCTGATACTCCAGTTTTCTTGGTAATTGCTGACGCCTCTTCCTTGTACTTTGATAATTCGGCGTCGATGTCTTCAGCCACCTGAGGGAAGGGAAGTCCAGCGTTGCGCTGCCAGAAGAAGTCGTGGCTCGTCAGGTCATAGGCCTTCTTGGTAGTGCCCCTGGCGGGATTGGTCTCGTCTACGGGGGTCTCAATGGTGATGCGATTCAGCTTCATGTTGAGAACATCGTGCACGAGGGATTGGTAAGTCCACGAGTGTGACAGCATGGGAATCAGATCCACGTTGCGGTCCAAGATGACCAGGACCGGCCGGGATTGAGGCGCGCCTGCCGCAGATGACGCGGGCCGATTGCTTGATGAGGAGAAGAGGTTGTCTTTGGAGTTGAGGATATGATCTCGAAGCTTGCGATCAAGCTTGGCCGAGATCATCTCTGCGGCAGCACCTTTGGGACACCGGATAATAGGGATGACACCTGCACAGCAAGTTAGCTGGCCTGTCACATAGATGACGATCGGTGTCAGGAGCGCCTACCCATAGTGACAATGACACTGAACAAGCCGCTGACAATGCGGTCAATCACATGGTCCAGCTCCTCATCGTTTGTCTTGGCACTGTTGAGTGCCCAGTAGGTGTGCTCCTTCTGCATGCCCAAGTTGAACAAATCAGGTTCAGCGACGACAAAGTTCAGGTACTGGTCGAATAGCTGGGCTATCTGCTCCGAGGTGCCGGCTGCAGCAGTCTCTGTGGCAAAGTCCTCGAGAAGCGGTCGAGGGATTGAAGAGAGGAAGTTGATGTAGGCGGGTGAGTAGAGACCCTTTTGCAGATCGGCCGTGATTCCTTGAAGGTTCTTGGCCGTGGGCTCCAAGAGATACACGACAGGGACATCTGAGATGGGGTGCCGGGCAGAGTTGATGTGCCTATCCACAGCCACCAGAGTCAGCGATCCCGGCCGAGTAAGTTGGATCTGGGCAAGCGCAAGGTGGCAGATACTCACATGTGCATAGTCACACCCATTGACCGCAGATCACTCACCCGCAGAACACTGCTGATGACATCTCGACCCAGGTCGTCGAAGACCAAGACCTTCCATATGGGATCCCCATTACTGTTCAGGATTGGGGCTGATGATGGCAAGAATCCGTTGCTCTGGGAGTCGTCATTCTCGGCTTGATCGTTGGTCGCGTTCAAGTTCAGTATCTTCTTCAGGGAATCTATGCAGTACTCCTTCGTCAGTGGCAGGTCCCAAGGATGGTAGAGGCACTACGATGGTGCAGACTGACGGATCTGGCGATCGCGCAGGGAGTTCCCCCGTGTCGCCATGGTTCAAAGATCAACCCGGGCGCCCCAGGAACCTTTTAGACTTGACTATCGGCTTTCGTGATGGCTACTACCCTACGGTTGGTATAGTTGTTGGGGTTCGCTCAGAGGGGGGACGAAGGCACAGTCCACCGGTTGGATGAGGAAGCTTGATGATGTCTGAGAAGACGTGCTGAAAGCTTGAGTGAATCGCCGGGCGTTAGAGCTATAGCACCAGCAGTGCGACGAGGTGTATGTGCACAAGAGATGTCGACACTTGGCGTAAAGGCCCAGGCAAGCAAGCGAGTTGAGGTCTGGCGGAAGCTCTGCGACAGGAACACCTATCCACCATGACACCTTGGTTGGTCTAGCAATCGCGGTACGTATCTTGCAGAGCTATCGACGCAGGTGCTCTGTAAAAGACACGTCAGACCCACTGTAGGTAGGTACCTCCTATGTAGTGTTCAGGTGCCACACGCCTGGAGTGCCACAGTGGGATTAGGGGGATTCCAGGCCATTTACAGCGCGGCTTCGAGGTCGGCCTCCCTGCACACCCCCACGGCTGGCTGACTTCCAACCAGAGCTGAGACGCTAAGCCTATTGCGGCGGTAAGCTTCTGTGTGATAGTTCCAAGGTTGCCAGCAGCCCTTGCCACCAAAGCGCAAAGTCGCTGTGGCGCTTGTTGCTTTTAGTGCAGTCTGCACCTGCTAGACCACCAATTTGCAGGCAGCTGATTCACGAAACAAGAGCCACCAAGCACACCAACCTTCCCTCTTTTCTTGCGGCTTCCCGTGACCAGCAGTGTCGTGTCTCCCTCCTCTCCACACCTCCAGTCCGCATTATCTTTCCTCTTTTCCACCACCTCACTTTCCATTCAACTTGATCAACAACATAGAACAGCCTTATCTCAATTCTGCGCGCATCTCCGAGCCTTTTCTTTGACATAGACGAGGGTCCTAATCGTTCTAATTGTGATCGTGTCTCCTTCATCCTCGACACGGAGAGCGGTCAATCTCTTTGTCACGAGTCATCATCCCTCGTCGCGTTCGACCAGCAAACATCGACTCCCCCCTTCTCCTTCGAACCAGGCCTGCTCTTTTCCGTAACATATCATGAATTCGGGCTGTTAGTCAAGGGAATGGGATCATGAAGGTTCCCCTGCACCGCCAGACGAAGGATAGGTTGACGAGGGCACACATTTGGGCCTGAGGGTATGTATGCAAAACCTCGCTCCCCCTTCCCACGCCCCTTCCCACACCCCCGTTCACATACTTGACATACACATACACATACACACATGAACATCTAAGAGCCATGTTGCAATCCTCTGTATCTTGGTGGTCCCGTTGCAGCCAGCAGGCCACCTTGTGTGGATCGACCCGGAGATGCCATCCATAAATTGGCAAGGTTGATACCAGAAGGGGATGGCGAGCCATCTTCCATGGCAAGACAAGTCACGCATGCACAACAGCAAATCTCAGCGCATATCCATCATCTTCAGGCCTGGCCTAGCCCCAGCGTCGGGGGTAAATGCATCCTCCCGAATAAGGGAAGCAAATGACACCAAAGGGTCACCTAAAACCCGCCCTGATAATTGGTTACTGGTCGCATTCGTTTGTATGATCGCTGATGCTGTCGCTTGGAACCTTGCATGGCTTTGCTGTGTCTTTACGCAGCAGCTCCCGCCATAAAAAAGGGAATGCGATGGGCGATCGATCTTGGGTCAGCGGGGTGGGTGCAGACCTGGACATGGCCTATCTGGAACTACAACAGGTGTGCGGCCTTGGTTGCCAAGGCACATTGAGCATTCGGGCGTCCCCATTCTCCGAAGGCTTTCTTTCTTGAGAAATCATTGATTGAAAGCATGCGTGTTGGGAAGTTGGGCGACTGACTGTCGGAGACCTGTCTGTTGCCACCATTTGCTTTGCCTGGTTGAGCCAGCAGCTTCAAACCCAAACCCCAAACAAAACCCAGCACCCACTGCCACTCGATGGATGCACCTCGACGACTCGCCAACGTCCAATTCAATTCGCAGACGGGACACATCAACTCCAAAGCTTTGTCAATAGCCACGAGTTGCAGCAGAGACATCTTCAAGCTGCCAGGGCTTGGCTCGACTTTTCCACCAGGATGCCTTTGTTACTGTGATGCCGGCTCTTCACTCTTCCTTCCTTTTGGACGGTCCTGCTGTCCACCCACACCAGACACCACCATGGCATTACACACTTTTTCTTGCATCTGTTCTGACAACTGATTGGCTTGTTTTTTTAGGTTCAAGCAGCTCTTTCTCACCTCGGACTAGTGCCTTTCTGATGCACAAAGCGGGGCAGCACCACGCCTAAATTCATACTTGTGCCTGTCTCTCCTTTCGACTTGCAACAACCGGGGTCATCGCTGTTATCTTGTGCAGACAGCCGCAGAGGCGTCAGGCACCTGGTCATCTGTATTTCGGGTGAGAGACCAATCACAGTATCGTGCTCGAGTCCAAGGACGACTTCCGGTTCTGTCAGCCCCTGAGGCTGTACTGGTCTTTCCAGCGTTGACTTGATGAAGAGGTACAGGAGCCTTCTTCAATCCTGACCTTCATTAATTGCATCGCGCTAAGTCTGCACGAAGCTGTACCTACCAGGACCGAGCCAACCAAGAGTGCATATCACGTGACACCCATCGTGGCCTACCAGCCAGCACAGCAAGATGGACCAACACAATAATCAGGGCTTCGGCCAGTTCTATGTCGAGGACTATGGTGCAGCTGCCGGCACCAACGAGACCCTGCAAGGACATGCGCACGGCGAGGAGAACTTCTCCAACTTTACTCAGGCGAACCTCTGGGAGTCCACGAACCCGGCCTTCCAACCCCAATACACCACCTCCGGCGTGAACCATGGCTTCACAAACGACTATGCCAATGCTGGCTATGAGCAGCAAGCGGCGTTTCAGAATCAGGCACCCGGTCAATCGCCGCCTCAGTTTCAAAACTCACAATATGGCGGCATGTTCAACGATATGGGTCAGCCAGCTCAATTCCACGACTATAGCAACAACTTCAGCGCCCAGCCCCCTCAGGCACAACACCCCAACCCCAGTCATCAGACCACGATCAGTCAAGTCAACCCAGCAGGCTTGAGTTTCGTGGGACAACAGCAACCATCCCAACCGTATCAGCAATCTCATCCTCAGCAAGCTGGTCAGCCGGACCAATTCCTCCAACACCAATTTGTGGCTTACGAACACGGCGACCACCGCATGTCCCACTCCATTCCTCAGAACCAACACGGCAAGATGAATGCGCAGCCACAAATCGCTCCTGCATTGCAACAACCCCAGGGCGTGCCATACGACACGTACCATCAGACCAGCCAGCCAGCCCAGTATTCCCACCAGCCTGACCAAGGCCACTTCGGGGCTCCGTTCCATTCCTTTGGAATCCAAGAGGCTCGAGTTCAGTCTTCGGCTTCTCCGAGTAATGCTCAGCCTCTGGCACCGGCCTCGAATCGAACCCCGCAACAGGTGAGCTCACTGCCACCCCAGCAGATGGCACAAGCCCAGGGACATCCCCAGCAGCCTCTTGTTTCCGCACAGCAGGTCATAGGAGCAGCCTCAAATGGGATGCCACTTCAGCCCAGCGCCAAGCCATCGGCCCGGGCAGCACAAGTCATCGACGGTCCACCTCGGGTAGTCGAAGATTTGGTCAAGTCGCGGTCTAGGGCTCAGGAAGAAGAGCTGTTTCCTGGTGTCCCGTATCTTGTCGTCGGCTCTCCAAGGATGGCAGAGCCTGTCAAGGTTCCTGACATGCCCATGGTTCAACTCGATATGTCTCGAAATCTGGGACGTGCCCATCTCGGCCAGAAACAGCCTCTGGCTTGCGAATTGATCAAGACTTATACAGACGAGGCGACCGAACACCCCGAAAACCGAGACGCCCTGAAGGCGCAATTGATTCAACAGTTTAAGCAACAAGGCAAGACCGTGCCTTGGAAAGCGTATGGTTTGAAGGGCTGGGGTCAAGCTGGCAAAGACGCATCGCCAGAGGCCGATGAGTCCGATTATGAATCCGAAGTTGAAGAAGTTCGCAGCGCCACCCGTCCTAGTGACCCAGTCGAGGCAGCCGCCTGGGATGCGATTGGTATAGTGTATCTCGATGCAGAGGCTGCCAAGGACAAGAAGAGTGTCGGCGCAGCCGTCAAAGCCTTTGGCGATTTCATCAAGAAGATTCGCGAAGATATCAAAGCTGAGCCTGAGACCAAGGATCCGAATGTATTGAGTCCAAATCAACAGCGGTTGTTAAGAGCAGTCGAGGCGGCGGAGGAGAAAGGCGACGACCAAGTGCTGGTCAATCTTGGAGGAAACAACCCTCTGATTTCCAACTTGGTTTTCAGCCTCCATAATCTGCCCAAAACCGCCGATCTCTCGGGGGAGTTGCCGAAAGCTGTACTGCGGTTGTTGTCCCGATGCTCTTTGCACCAAGACATTCTGGAGAAGGTCAAGTTTCCTCGGCTTGAGAAGCGGCTGATGGAAAAGGGGGATGACGAGGTCAAGAGGCTGGTCAAGAGTGTCCATAAGGCAGTCAAAAGGGACGACAAGACCGACATGGCCCGCAGCTCCTCCCAGCAAGGCGCCACTCATCCCGCATCTAAGTCATCTGTAGCTAGCTCCGACACGTCTACGGAGAACGGGACAGCTTCCAAGGCTGCCAGGCCGGCTTCACGGATACCCTCCGACACTGCGTCATCCAAGCGGCCCCGCGAGGACGAGCCTGACGCCCGAGCCTCAAAGAAGTTCGCTGCGGATCCTGCAAATGGCGCAGCGCAAGCGCCTTCGAAGGCCTCACCTACAAAGAATGCGTCTACCGTGACCCAACACACAGTCGCCCCCGCCAAGCCCTGGAGTGGAAGCGCGCTTCTTCCCGGGAAGACCAGGCCTGCAGTCAAACCGGCAGCTAAGACTGACGGGCTAAAAACCGAAAAGGCCGAGCCTTCAAAGACCGCAGCACCCAAGTCCGGAGTTCTTTCCAAGACTGACGTGTCCAAGTTGGTCGCCACCAAACGCGACCCGCTCAAGGCTGAGGCGACAAAGGTCAAGAAACCGGTAGTGTCTAGAGCAGAGCCGTCTTCATCCTCGAAGTTGGGCGCCCTCCTTCAAGAGATCTCCATGCCCAAGAAGCAACCAGCTGCTTCAACGACACCCGAGGCAGTGCCCGAGAAATTCGAGACGCCTGAGGAGAAAGAGAAGCGGCTCCGCAAGGAGAAGCGGCGCCATTTGCGAGTCAGCTGGAAAGAAGGCGACGAGTTGACACAGGTCCGTGTCTTCCAGAAGGACATCGAGGAGGACGAAGGCAGAGAGGACAACATGATCCGTGACGCTCGCGACGACCGGTCCGAGGGCATGGTGCTCAAGCAGAGCCTGAAACAGGGAGGCATGGACGTGGACGACGATGAGGAGGAGGATGACGACATTCTATATACGCCTTGGGTCGCCCCCACTCCTTTTGATCTATCATCATTGCCTGCAGAGAAGCGCGAGAAGAACTACATCACGCGCGGCGGTACTTTGCCAATTCGAACTCAGCAGCAGAAGGAAATGCAGGATCGCGAGAACAATGTTCTCATGGTCGTCTACACAGCAGCTTCGGACATCCCGCCCACTCCTAAATCGCCGGCCCAATCCTACAACGACCCTCAGCAGCCGAAGCCTCCACCCGGCGTGCATCTACCGACAAACGACCCCAGGTATTACGAATTCCATCAACGGTGGACGGAGAACCAAAGGTTGGGCAGCTCCTGGGCATCACACAACGCGCTCCAGCGAGCAGAGAGCCGACAGATGGGTGGAGCTGCGAGAGGACTCGGCACTGGTCCTCAGGGGTCTACTGGCCATAGCGGCAAGCCCTTCTTCCCATGGCCATCCGCCAAGAGATCCGAAGAGGTCTTGTCGCTTCTGCAGTCTGATAGAGTCAAGAAGTGGACCACCTCTAAGCCGTACGACCCTAACAATTCCAGAACGATCCGTCGTCACGATTATCCCGACCCAGCCGTTCAGGCTGCTGCGGATGGTGTAGAGACTGTTGCTGCCCAGTTGAAGGGCCAGCCATTCCCTGCCACGGAGCCACCCTCTTATATCACCGACCCGGCGCGTGTCAAGGAGTGGTACGAAGGATACAATCGTGAACAGGAGCGCAAGCAGGCCCTGCATGCTCCGTCAGCCGTTCCGGCGGCTGCTTCGCCAGCTGATTATGCGGCTATGGTCGAGTACTATTCCAAGCTCGGCTACGCAATCCCACAGCCTCCGACGACTCAGGTACAGCTGCCTTATGATCAGGCCTATGCCCCGTACTACAACCAGCAAGCCCAGGCTGCACAGGTATCCGCGGCTCAGCAGCAAGCCGGAGGCGATGCCAATGCTCAGCTTCAGGCACTTATGGCGACACTCGCTGGAACGGGCGCTCAGAATGCATATGCTGCTCCAGCAGCTCTGGCTCCACCGCAGCCAGACCCCAGCAACGATCCTCAGGTTCAGGCTCTTTTGGCTAGTCTGGGTTCGGGTGTCCCGCAAGGCCAAATCCAGTATCCCGGTCAGCCAGCGATGCCCGTACCGAACACCAATGATCCTGCCCAGCAAGCCTACTTGGCCGCTTTTGCCCAATGGGCCGCCGGCCAGCATGCTGCTGGCACTCCTACGCAGCAGCAGGCCGTCGCACCGCCTCCAGATGGTCCCATTCCAGGCCAGCAGCAGCAGCAGTCCAAGAACTTTGGCAACGAGTACAAGCAGCAACGCGAGCAGCCAGACTCGCGCGACTCGGGCAGCGGCGGCCGCGGCCAGGGCCAGCAGGGCAAGCACCACGCCCGGGAGGCTCGAGAGGCCAAGCAGGCGCGCGAGGCCAGGGACTCGCAGGACCCCTCGATCCCGAGCCACCTCCGCGGCATCAACCGGAACCTGATCGGCACGAAGCCGTGCACTTTCTGGAGGCAGAACAAGTGCGCCAAGGGAGACAAGTGCACGTTTCGCCACGACTGAGCCGTTTGCATCTTTTGAGCCCTCCCCCTTCTTGCTCCCTAGCAGAAGGCGGCGGCGGCGTTACGGGCTATGGGAATGCGATTAGAACCTTTGGACCTGCCTGCAGAGACCGTGGTTACGGCTGTCTAGGTTTGGGGGTTCACTTGAGTTGTTTTGATTTGTCTGGGTGACTACCATGAACGGATTTTATGATATGACGGGTATGAAGAGAGGAAAAAGGTGTTTGCCGTGTAACAGTAGTGCTTTGCGTGAAGAGAGCACCAGGACAGTGCAGGGGTGGATAGGGAGAATTGTCATATTCTCCTCGTCAGTAAAGGATTTCCGAGTGTACTATAATACTAAATGTAATAAAACCAAAACATTGTATCACTTGATGGATTGCCAAGCTGAATTGAGGGCTACTGATATCAAATTTCTTTGCTCCCCTCAATACATAAACACATGGGTCATTCGTGACCATACGTGTGGCCTTGTGGCTGTTCTTACTCTCTACAATAGGCGTGTTGTACTATCTGGCATTCATTTCTGAAACGCCATCACAGCATACCTGAAACTCCCGTTGGCATAGCCTCTCCTCATGGCCCTGAAGGCCTGCAGGAAGGCAATGCCGTCGCGGCCCTGGCTGAAGGCAAACGCCCACAATGACGGGTTCTGCACCAGAGACCAGGAGATGTCCCTAGTGTTTGTTGTTAGTCCAGAGGTCAGATGTCATGATCTGCTCCGGCAGAAGCCGTATAGAAAGTAGATAGTCAACTCACCACGTCTTGCTGACATCCTTGCTGATGTCCTTGGGCTCGGCCAGGGGTTCGAGACCGGCGTCTCTGGCCATCTGGACGTACTGCGCCTGCGTGCACAGCGGCGGGAGGAGCATGCCATCTTTTGCATGAGCCATTAGCAACCAATCAACAAGTCTTTTTCTCCTTCGAACTCCATTTCGATCTAGAGACTGCCAGCTCGTCTCCTCCCCCCTTCACTCACCTTCAATAGGCTTGATGTCGTCGGCAAACTCCTTGTCCCCGAGCCCCTCGGCCTTGAACCAGTCGGCCAGCACGAGCCTGCCGCCGTCGCGGAGGACGGCCCGGGCGTTGCGGAAGAAGAGGGCCTTGTCGGGGAAGTGGCTCAGGGCCTCGCTGATCCACACGGCGTCGAACTTGCTGCCGACGTCGCCGTCGCCGTCGCCGTCGCCGAAGTACTCGCCCATCTTCTCGGCGTCGAGCTCGACGAACTTGACCCTGCCCTTGCCGAGGGCGTAGAAGCCCTCGGCGTCCGGGGCGACCTCTTGGGCGGCGGAAGGAGTAGTAGTGGCGGAGGCGGAGGCGGAGGCGGCGGCGGTCTTGGTCAGGCGCGTCGCGATCTCGACCTGGCGGGAGGAGATGGTGATGCCCGTGACGGCGCAGCCGAGGGCCGAGGCCAGGTGGCGCGAGGTGCCGCCGACGCCGCAGCCGACGTCGAGCACGCGGCTGCCCTCGCCGAGCTCGGCGCGAGAGACGTCGAGGAGCAGGCGGATGAGGTTGAGCTGGGCCTGCTCCTTGGACTCGGCGGCCTTGGACTCGTCGGTGGGCCAGTAGCCGTGGTGGATGTGCTCGCCCCTGGGGTTTGGTGTTTTTGTCAGTTTGGGTATCTGGGCCGTTGGTAGTAGGTTGGTTTGGTAGGGTTGCTTGGATGGATGGACGGATGAGTGGATGGATGGGGAAGGGAAGAAGCAAAGGGGCATGACGTTACCACAGGCTCAGGTAGTAGTCGCTGGCGAGGTCGTAGTGCAGCTTGATGCGGTCCTTGAGGGCCTGCATCGTGGTGTGGGCGAGGCCCATGGGCGTGTCATACTGCTTGCTGAGGTCGGTCGTCTCCTGGACTGAGGCGGCCATTGTCCGGGAGGCGCGGGATGGGCAACTGGGGGTGTCAGTTTGGGTACTGGCGACTGCGTAGGACTTGCAAGGCTCTCGTGGACTCGCAGTCTTCGAAAAACAAAGCGGTTCGCAAATCAATTGCTACTGCTGCCGGGCCTTGTGGTATGGATTTGGAGTTCTTTGAGGTTTTGCGCCTACCTCAACTCACCAGCAGACGTCATTGAAGTTATCGGCATCGTCCCGTCCCGTCGCCCGTCACATGTGAAACCCCGCAATTTGGCAATTGGGATACTACGCATTTGGAAGACTTGGCGAACACAAAAAGCAGCATCACTTTCTGTGCCCTTGAGGGAGTGGTTTGAAGAATGAAGATGTATTAGGGGACCAATATACTTGAACCAATCTCACGATAGGATCTTGTATACATATCAGTGTGCAGAGGATGAGGAGGAGTGGTGTATAGCGAGTCCCTGAGTGTGCAATGAGTGTGTGGTGGTGCACAACTCATACTGAAAGCTTGTCATGTGTGTGGCTCTTTGCTCTTTGCTCTCGAATCACCACCACACCACACACCACACCACACCACACCACCTTTGACCACTCTGCCTGCCACTTCAAGTAGCCTTGGTAGCCTTCTCCCCTCGCTAGATGGCACCCGTGCAGCCTCGCGATGATCACAATAGGTAGCCGAGCTTGCTCCGACTGCTCGGGGCTTGGCACGGCGAATAAGCCCCCTCTTTTTTTTTTCCTTCTCTCGGCGACGCGTACTGTACGGTCGCCAGGAGTGTGAACCTGCTGCCGATTTTCCGTCGAGATTGGGTCGAACGGTCTCGCCGACGAATGATGGACGGGGCGACCCCGCTAGGTACCGCGCTTGATGCAACCCGCATGGGCAGCAGGCATTTCTCTCCAGATCTGATCCACTGCTTGCTTCATCCAGCTGCCGAGGCACTGTGAGGGTCAGACGTCTTGTCACAAGTTCTGCGTGGAGGGAAAACACGCAAACACGACAGCGATCAGGTTGCGTGCCTCGAGCGTGCCCTGATCACCGCTCCTCACTGGGTGGTTCGAGTTGAGCATCCACGCACCGAGGAGGCACTCCTGCTGAGTAACGGCGGAATCCTCCATCATTACCTACTCCGTACAGTTACTGCGTCAGCATCAGCTTGGGTGTGACTCCCCAAAGGTGGTGTCCGTCTCCCGATCCTCCTCACGCAGCCACAGAACACCTTGCGCTTGCGTCACTGGCACGCCAGGTCAGTCACAGGTGGCTTCAGTGCCCACGAGCCGGTTTGCCGGGAGGCATTCTTGGCATCCCGTCCCCCCCTTTTAAGCCACTGTGTCACTGTACGAGACGGCACTTAGAACTACACTAACTAGTCAACTCCAAGGCCGAACCCGCTTTCGCCCGTCCGTCTGGGATTTTCCCCTGTTTTAGGGCCACGGGACTTTGCCTGTTCTTTGCTTGAGAGCAGAGGTGTCGATCCTGGGCGGAAATGGGAAAAGCTCTGGAAGAATTTCAGCTCTAGGGGTCCTTTGGGGTTTCCATCTGGCAGGGACTGGCGGGCGGGGCAGTGGCCCGGCTTCGTCCCCGTGGAGAGTCACTGACGTCGACTTGTGCCCCCGATCGTCGTGTGGTTGGGGTTGGGGCTGGCCTCTGACTGGTCAGTCCGTACACCCATGCTCCGGTGCCAAAACGTACGAATAATAGTGCTCCGAATAGTGTGCCCCTAGAAAAAAACCGAAGAACGGGGAAGAGGCAACAGGATACTGACGCAGTTGATCTGGCCACCGCCACTGACGCTACTACACGCTCAAAGCTGCTACTACTTGTATTGTCCAGGCGGCCGCGTCACTAATACTACTCCGTAACTTGGTGCGAGTGTGGCTAATAAACGAGGCAGGGGTGCTGACAGGACTTGGGCCTTTTCGACGTAATAACTCACCACCACCCATCCACCGTCGACCTGCCAAAGATCCCCAGATCCTGCTGCTGCAGGCAATCATCCATCCTTCTAGCTACCTACTCCGTAGGCGCTTGCCGGAGGCTACTGTAGCGCAGGCCCGTCCGTACCTGCAAGACCCCTCTCTGCCCAACTCGGCCAACCCTGTCCGTCCGTGAATGGCCAGATCGTACGGAGAGGGGGGAGACTGTAAGGTCGGGCCTGGAAGACACTTGATCCGGCTGACGCTGACCAACCAGTGGTGCAGGTCTGTCTGGCCTCTGATACACCTGCATGACTGCATACGGCACCGGCAGAAGTACCATACTCGAGGGAGCGGAGCACAAAAGGCCTCACTCACCTGCCGGTCTCTGCCTTGAGGCCCCCGGAATTAGAAAAAGGAAAAGCCAATCTTTAAATAGGGTCTTGACCGCCCTCTTGCTTGATCGGAGATCTACGGCTTCTTCCTTGACAACTCGTCCAACTTAGACCAAACCAACATCAAACACCAACAGTCCAACACACACACGATTAACTACGCATCCGGCAAACCCTGAGCCATAGTTACTCTCAGCCTGGCTGCCCGCACCGGTTTCGACCATCCCATAAATAATCTTCCCAAGAACGAGACATCGTGCTCGTCCCGTTCCTTCGGCCATACCGCGCGCTTGTCTGTAACTTGCTCTCGAATCCCGCCCCGGCCTGCCAGAGCCCCCATCCACACAAACCCCGGCCCTGGTCCACCCTCAGCCCAGCCAAGACAGCAAAGCTCTGGCCTCTCCCCACCGGAACTCAGTGCAGGTAAGCCCAAAGTCCAAAAGTCCACGCAACGCATCTCAGCTCCGCCCGACGCCTCAACAATTCGCCCTCGTCCACTCGTCACCTCTCGGCGCAGCATTTCGGAGACACAAGGCTCTCCTCCAGCCTAAACCACCCGCACTCTCAAACCCGGATACAAGTTGCCGGGACGGAAGAGAAGCATTGACAGTTCAGTGCCCCCCCCCCCATCAGATAGTTCTATTTGGGGGTATTTGTTTCTTTATTTATTTAGTCTTTGCAAGAGACTAAACTCCTCAGTCCGCTGGGGACTGCCCCGGCCGAAAAGTCTCGGTCCAAATACTCTCTCATCTCGCTTCACAAACACTCGCCGTTTGCCGTATATGCACGCACATCGGCAAGGGGGGCTGCCCCAGAAGCTTTGGTCTCTTTTTATTCTTCTATCTCGCAGATCCTCCTTATCGGGTTGCGTCTCCTCGCCAGCTATTCAAAACCCTCGTGTGTCTCCTTCCATCCTGCTGTTTACTACTTTTTCTCTTCTTCTTCTCCTTCCAGTTCCTATTTCACGCCCGTCCGTCCACACAGATCGTCTCTCTCCGCAGCGTGCCACCTCCTCAGCCCCCCCGTCGGCCTTGCCGATTTCCGAGTGGGAACCTCTTGGCATCAACGTCAGTGAGCGCGGCACGGAACCGTTGCGTTGCGGAGAAAGGGAGCCAAGGGACGCTATACATACTTGGCTACTTTGTGTGATTTCAGCTGAAGAGAAAAAAAAGACCGAATGGCGGTACTAAACTTCGCAATGCGCAGACCTCGCTTCCTCAGCCCTTCCCAGAGCTGGTCCAGCAGCGAACAGCAGCAGCAGCAGCAGAACAGCGACCACGCCATCGTCATGACCACCTCGTTCCCCCAGTCCCCGACGTCGACGGTGAGCAGCCGTCCTGGGAGCCGGGATACCGGCTTCCCAGAGCCCTTCAACGGCGGTAAGCATCCAAAAAGTTCCGTTGGTAATTTTTCCCGGTGTGGGAGAGCCGTCCGGGCTGACATTGTTGCTTGTGTTTTGAAACAAAGACCGGAACACCACGCTCCCCCACCCGGAGGCGAACCTGTCGCCAGACGCCTGCATCACGGCCGACGACATCTCCGTGGCCAAGGTCTTCCACCGGTCGAGGCGGTCCTTCCTCTCCAAGAGCAGCAGGAGGGCGGTCGTCAGCCACGGCAAGATCGCCCCGGGCGTCGCGCAGATGTACAGCGGCTCCACGGCCGCCCTGGTCGAGAGCGAGGAGGGCGAGTCGCCGCCGCCGGCCCTCGACAAGAGCGACCCCTTGCTCGGCCAGGTCGTGACCCAGGACGGGAGCGTCGGCCGCGCCTCGTCGTCGCTCAACGGCGACGACGACTACCCGCCCGCGGCGAAGCAGGTGCGGACCTCGGAGGACTCGCCCGGCTCGCCGAAGCGGAGGGGCGTGCTCGGCAAGCTCAAGATGAGCTCAAAATAAAACAGGTGCTGCTCTCCCCCATCGAGCCTCCTGCGTCTTAAAAAGAGGTCCGGGTTTGCAGGCCTGCATGGTTTCCTAGCGGTGCAGATCTACGACAGGGACTCTTTTTTTTTCTGTAACAACAACACCTCCCCATCCCTCCAGATGGGATGTTTACGGTCTTTTTTTGTTCTTTTTTGCTTTTTGCTTTTGGTTCTGGGATACAAGATGGGAATCATCACCAGCGATGGGAAATACGCGAAACACGACGGTTCGAACTGTTTTATTAATTATCCAGCAAGGAGTTTTCAAGGGAGGGACATTCACTATTACGACTTTAACGAATTCCCCAAGACAATAGCACGTCGGTGGCAGCAATGATTGCTGTTCACCTTTTGCTCAGGAAAAGTGTTGGCAACCTTAACCCCCGTCTGGATCGATCAGGCAGAGGGGGAAGGCCAGTCCTGCTGGACGGGACGTGTTTTTCGCGACCCGGCATTCTAGAGAGCTTTCCTTTTATTTTTAAGGAGAATGTAGAAGAACAAAAAGGAAATATGAAGAGAAAAAGAAGTTTCAGAAACGGATCTTGTTTGATTTTCATTCTGCTAGAGTTTCCGCTCCATGTCTGTCTTGTAGTGCGCGAATCCGTCGTATGTGAAATGCTGCACACATGCCACAATGAAATAAATTATATGCATGGCCGTGAGACGTTGATAAGAGTCCTCCCCACAACCAACTCCCCAAGTTCATCCGCCTGCCATGCCTCTCTCTCTCTCTCCCAACCGGGTCCCTCTCGTCATCTCTCATCAATCCCTTCCCACCAGTGCACACATGCAACCCCTCAGCTCCCACGGTAGGTAGTGTAGCTGTACGGACTCAGCAGCAGCGGGACATGGTAGTGCTGGCCCGGCGCGACGCGGAAGGTGACGGCCGCCTCGGGGAAGAAGGTCTCGTCCGGCCCGCCAAAGTAGCCCTCGGTGTCGAAGCGCAGGGTCCACGTCGTTGTGGTCGTCGTCGTGGTCGACGACCCCTCGGCGGCGGCGCCGGCCTCGCCCTCGGCGGTGCCCAGCACGTCCTCGAGCGTGTAGACGGGCACCTCGCCCGACGCGTTGGACGACGAGTAAGGGAGCCAGGTGCGCACGCGGCCGTCGTCGTCGGTCTGCGACTCGAAGGTGCGGCTGGGCTGGGCGGACTGGCCGTGGTGCGAGGCCGCGGTGGTGGTGCCGGCGGCGGCGGGGGCCTGCAGCTCGAGGCGGACGCGGAGGCCGCGGGCGGGGCGGCCTGCGGTCGTGTCGAGGACGTGGCAGGTGATGCGGTCTTGGGCTGCTGGGGCGGACATTTTTTCTTTTTTTGGGAGGGTTGAGGGTGTCTTAAGGGTGGTAGTGGTGGTGGTGGTGGTGGTGGTGGTGGTTCAAGAGTTGCGGATTGGGAGGAGAGTGTACTGAGAAGGCGATCAGGGTGAGAAGTTGAATGAGCGGGGAATGAGTGAGTGAGTGAGTGGGGGAAGATGAGATAGTTGGTAGAAAAGTCCCCAGAGTTGAGTGAGGTCCTAGAAGTTCTGAGATAGGTATCCTCAGGATCGAAGGCCCGCTACAGCTTGTGCTTGTAAAAGTCCTAGCAAGGCAAGCTTGGCACAAACAAAGGAGGGAAGAAAGCAAGTGAGATTCGCAAGCGTCCCTTTTTTTTGTTGCGGCTGATGCCTCTTTTGAGCAAGCGAGCTGGGAGATCGGCAGCAGAGCTACCAGGTAGCTATCATAGGTAGGGCGTGACAGGATTTGGGGGCCGACCAACAGACCGGGTTAACAGACTGCTGCACAACAACAGCACTGCCTCGTCTTGTCAGGCTGGTGGATGGGGTGTGCAACCTAAAGGGGGCTGAGAAGGGTTGCTTGTCCAAGGCTGTCTATAAGTAGCTCTCCCACCTCTCCCAAGGCAGGCAAACCTTGATAGGACAAGGACGGGCGTGATGCTCGTCTGCCCCGCCCCCGCTCTTCCTATTCCTCACGAGGGACGTAACTACTACAGCTGAGCGATGAGGCACAGCCAGCTGCGTACGCAAGAGCTGGGAAGTTCGTGACAAGCTGGAGCTTTGTCGGAGTTTTACAGCTAGCTGGTCTCACTTGGAAGCTGTAAACTACCTACCTTAGGTACTTAGGTAGAACAGTCATGCATGTACAAGACGAAAAAGAGGCAAGAGTCTCAGCCGCTGATCTAGACCCTGTAACTCGGCCTGGCTCGAGTCGAATACCCCGCCTGAGCCCGCCAAGAGTGGCCACCAAAAGTCCCCTGGGCCGGTGACGTCTCTCTGTCTCGCTCTCTGGCTGATACTGGCGGCGGGCCACTAAGATAACGCTCCTGCGACCACATTCGAAAAGCTTCCAGAAGCTGCCGCCACACGGGCCGAACACGTTTTGGATCGCGACAAAGGACAATCGTTCAACATTCCACTCTCTACGGCGCCTCGACAGTCCTCTCCTTGTACGGGTTCGCATCATCTCAACCCTCTGTCCTCCCCTCCACCAGAAAGTGTCGGAAGAAACCCGCACCGCACCGCACCGCATCCCACCGCCGCACCACCATCCATCCAACCACAACCACCCACCCCCATCCAGATCAAACAAAACACACATAATGTCGTCCGCCGTCATCAACGCCGACGACCCGGACGCCCTCGAGCCCACCCTGCAGTCCATCCTCGACCAGCGCTCCCTGCGCTGGATCTTCGTCGGCGGCAAGGGCGGCGTCGGCAAGACCACCACCTCGTGCTCCCTCGCCATCCAGCTGGCCAGGGTCCGCCGCTCCGTCCTGCTCATCTCCACCGACCCGGCCCACAACCTCTCCGACGCCTTCTCGCAAAAGTTCGGCAAGGAGGCCCGCCTCGTCGAGGGGTTCGACAACCTCAGCGCCATGGAGATCGACCCTAACGGCTCCATCCAGGACCTGCTGGCCGGCCAGGGCGGCGACGAGGGCGGCGGCGGCGGCGGCGGCGGCCAGGACCCCATGGCCGGCATGGGCAGCATGATGCAGGACCTCGCCTTTGCCATCCCGGGCATCGACGAGGCCATGTCCTTCGCCGAGGTGCTCAAGCAGGTCAAGTCCCTGTCCTACGAGACCATCATCTTCGACACGGCGCCCACGGGCCACACCCTGCGCTTCCTGCAGTTCCCCTCGGTGCTCGAGAAGGCCCTCGCCAAGGTCTCGCAGCTGTCGTCCCAGTACGGCCCCCTGCTCAACGGCGTCCTCGGCTCCTCGGGCGCCCTGCCCAACGGCCAGAACCTCGGCGAGATGATGGAGAAGCTCGAGTCGCTGCGCGAGACCATCGCCGACGTCAACGCCCAGTTCAAGGACGAGAGCCTGACCACCTTCGTCTGCGTCTGCATCCCCGAGTTCCTGTCGCTCTACGAGACGGAGCGCATGATCCAGGAGCTCGCGAGCTACGGCATCGACACGCACTGCATCGTCGTCAACCAGCTGCTCTACCCGGGCGCCGGCAGCGCCTGCGAGCAGTGCAACGCCCGCCGCAAGATGCAGAAGAAGTACCTCGACCAGATCGAGGAGCTCTACGACGAGTTCAACGTCGTCAAGATGCCCCTGCTCGTCGAGGAGGTGCGCGGCAAGGAGAGGCTCGAGAAGTTCAGCGAGATGCTCGTCAAGCCGTTTGTGCCGCCGGCGTGAAGGGACGTTGGAGGTTGTAAAAGGTTGGTGGTGCCTGTGGATATGGGGTGGGGAGGAAGTTTATAAAGATGAAAGGGGGACAAGAGGGGGACAACCTACTTTGCGAGGCTTTGAAGAAGATTGGGGATGACGGTATACATTTTCTTTGGGAGTTGAGGAGCCGAGACCCTTGAAGAACAGAAGAGCATTGGCGCTCTTCGTTTAGTTAGAGCCTAGCTAGATATCACACTGGGTGCATGATGCATGTGGTTTTCACGGGATATCACGTTGTCATAGATGAATGCAATAAAAAGAGAATAATTTCATCAGACCAGTAAAAAAAGGCCTTGTTGTATTGTATTTCTGGAGTAAAATATGCTTGCTTGGCGATCGGTACGCCGGTATAAACATGGGCAATCACCAGGAAGGGAACACGATGCCATTCCGCTGTTCCCTTGTCTGTCTGTTGTAGATAATGCTCCAACCGCTGAGCTGTCCGTCCACTCGACGACGTTCCATCCCCGAAGTGTGTCGTCAGCAAAAAAAAAAAAAAAAAGTCCAACCAGATGACCAGTCATTCAACGCCTCCATGCCACAGGCCAACGGCCTCGTGTAATCTCAAAACGCCTAATCCGATGCTACGTCCCTCCCTCCCTCAAAGGAGAAAGGACGGATATGATCCCGACGACCAGGATGGAAAAAAAAAAAAAAGAAGAAAACAGCCGCAACGCCTCGTAATGTTGCCAACATATCCCCCCCCCCTTTCCTCCCTGCTCTTCCCATAATTTCTCGTGAAGAGCGGAAAAACGAAATCACAGCCCCTACAGCTCCCGGTAGTCGCTGGGCCGGACGCGCTTCTGGCGGTTCTGGTGACGGTGCGGGTTGACCGGCTTGCGGAAGTAGGCCTCCTCGTCGGCGCCACCACCGCCTCCCTGCTGGCCAAAGTTGCCGCCCATCATCTTGTTGCCGCCGCCGCCGTTGTTGTTGTTGAACTGCTGGTTGTACCCGCCGTTCATGGGGCCGCCGTTCATAGGGGGACCGCCGCCGCTCATGCCCCAGCCACCACCCATGCCGTTGTTGTTTCCTGGGCCGAAGCCGCCGCCGCCGTTCATGCCGTTGTTGCCAAAGTTGGGCATGCCCATCATCGGGTTCATCATGGGGTTCATCATGCCCATGTTCATGTTCATGTTGGGCATGCCCATGGGCGGGAAGTTGTTCATCATGGGCATGCCGCCAAAGGGCATCATGGGCATTCCGGGCATGCCGGGCATTCCGCCCATCCCGTTCATGCCGGGCATCATGCTGTTCATCATATGCTGCATCATCTGCTGCTGCTGGGCCTCCTGCTGCTGCTGCTGCATGGCCTTGGGCGCCTTGGGCACTTTGGGGTTCTCGGCGGGCTCTTCCGCAGGCCTCTTCTTTGATGATTGCGAGTCGCCGTCGGTGGCTGCTGGGGTGCCCGTAGCGTTGTTGGCAGCGGGCTTTGCTGATGGTTCTGCGGACGGTGACTTGGCCGATGCCGCTGCCGATGCCGGTGGAGGTGTGGGTGATTTGGACGACTTTGCCGACTCCCTCTTCTCCTGCTGGCCGTTGGACTTGGTGTCCGTCTCGGCTACAGGGGATGCCTTATCTGCGACGGGGCTCTTGGGCTTCTCCTGCTCGGCTTTCCTGGCCTCCTCTTTCTCCTTCTGGTACTCCTCGATCTTCTTTACGACGTCATCGTCGGCCTTGAGGTCATCTATTAGCACGCCGTCGGTCTGGCAACCGGGGCAGACGAAGTCGCTCTCGATGAGCGCGTTGGTGATGCAATCATTGCAATACGTCTTCTCACAACAAGGGGTCTTCATTGGATCTATAAACAATTTCTTGTCGATGGGGCACTCTAGTCCCCTATCGCGCAATTCCTTGTCTGCAAGCGCCGCCGACTCTTGCGCGTCAGCCGAGGTCTTGGTCTTGGCCTGGAACTTTTCCCACGCCGCCTTGTCGGGCTCGGCGATAACAAAGTCACCATCCGCGTTGACCATGATGCCGGAGGGAGCCTTGGTGTCGTCCTCGGCCGCTTGCGCCAGCACCGTGGCCTTGTCCACGGTCTTCAGGAAGGACTTGGGGATGCCAGTGGTCCTTTTGACTCGGGGCCGGTTGTCAAATTCCGGGTTGTCATTGGTCGGGCACAGCTGGATCCAATGTCCCTTCTCACCACACCTGTAGCAGATGTATCCGTTTGGCGGCTCATGGTCCGGGACGTTGGCGGGGCGCTTTGCGCCGGGCTTGAAGACCGGCGTTTGACTGGGGAGGAGAAGGTTAGTCTTGCGGATCTTGTTTGTGCCGGGGTAGGGAACATACTGAGCCATCTCTTCCTGCTGGGCAGACCACTGCTCCGACTGCGCAGCGAACATGGCCGCGAGCTTCTCTTCCTCGGTCATGGCATTGTTCATCTGGGCGATGGCATTCGAGGTCGTCTTCGCGGTCGCCTTGGTGGCTGCCTCTCTCCGCGACGAGTTCTTGGCGTTGACGGGCATCTTTCCCGAGACATAGCGAGCAGCTCGACCGGCTCCGGGTTTCATGGGCGGTAGCCGCCTGGCGATGACGGTCGTGGATCTTGGGATGATGGTCGTGTCATCGTCGTACTCTACAGGCGGTGTCAGCAAAGCGTCGCCACGCCCGGGTGTTGTCTGTGCGAACTGACCTTCTTTGCCGTCATCGGTGTAGATGGCCAGATCAAAGTCGGTGCCATCTCCGAGACCGCTCTTGGTGATGATGTCGCGCTTGAGCTCGAATACTGATATGCCCGTGCCGTCAAACTCGACTCGCGTCGGCTCCTTCTGGGACTTGAACTTGAAGTATACGGAGGAAGTCATCTTGAATCAGATGATCGGGGCTTCTTGGTTGGAATGACAGGTGATGACGCTTGTTGCAGCAAAAGAGGAAGGCACGGGGCAGATCGACTCAAGAGTAGATTCACTGCCAGGTTAGGCTCAAGTCTTTCTTCGTTTCTTCTTTTGTTTGATTCTTTTCTTTCAACAACAGGCAAGGAAGGAGTGATCAATTCTGTGGATTGTACTCGAAAGGACAATAACAGAGATTCTGCAAGAACAGGGAAGACAGTACAAAGGCCCAGCGAAGCCGGGAGGCCTGTTCAAACGAAACAGGCCCGACAAAGAGTGACCTCCTCCACAATCTTCTCAGAGCCAGCACCAGAGTCCGCCGGGGCGGTTTGCGATAGCCAGGCAGGCAAACCCGCGCCCTTGCAGTAGTTTTCACGAGGAAGACGAGGCGGATCGACTCTGTTTGTTCGGATGACCTAGGCGATGTCGAAGACGTCTACGCGATGGAGATGTTGGACGGTGTCTCCTGATGGAGGCGTCAAGGTTAAGGGCGGGTGAAGGATGTTGGAAGAGGGAAAACGGAAATGGGGAAATGGGGGAGAAGTCAGGGCTCTTTGTAGGGCGGGTGCTGGGGAGTAGCGCAGGTTTTAGAGGCAGAGCGATTAGTCAGATAGAGGAGGGGACAGATTTTGACGAGCAGGCGGGCAGGCAGTGATTTGGACCGGAGATCACGTGCAGAAACCTCGAACGCCATCAACGCTGTCGCACGTGACTGCTCCCTTTTCTTGAGAGCTATTCAGCTTACATAAGTACGGCCCGGCCAATCACAAAGCAGACTGCTTTCTCCGCTTCACGTGAACAGCTTCCCGCAAAGGCAAATTGCCCTCGTGCGCCGATTGGCGGATAAAGTCGATCTTTACTATAACAGGCTTAGCGCCAAGAGTGCTGGAGCCATTCAGAGGTCCGAGTGCTGAGGGAAGGTCACAGAATCAGGCCAGTGCCATTGGCCCATGGACTGATCAACCGTTCGACAACTCAAAATTCGTCCTGACCCTCCATCGACGCTCGCGACCACTGCTAAACTCCGTGGCTCTCTTTTCCCGTACAATCCGCCCCCCCTTCTCCCTCTCGCCTCCCACCAAAAGCAGTCCTCCAAAAGGGCAGCCTGACGACATCCATTTCTTTCAAGCGACCTGTACTTTTGTTTTTCCTCGGACGCCTTCACGATACTCCTTTGCTTGATCCCGCTGTTCGAATTCCATCCTCTCCCAATCGGCTTTTTCGGCTACTGTCGTTTTTCTCCACGACTCGATCCCAAAGACTGCCATCAGAGCACACTGCAAGCAGCCTAGGACCAATGCCCAAACCTTAGCCTTTGGGTCGTGAGAGTCGTCTTCTCACTATCCAAACGGTTAACAAGCTCGAGAAAGCTCATATCTTTCGTCATCCACACCTCCAAGTCCCATCGTCGCTACTCCCAAGTCCTCCGACGCAATGGTCTTGACACACACGACAAACTTCAACTACTCCCACCCTTTCCCGACAGTAACGCTCGCCTACTTCCTCCGTTACTGCTCCCCGCAGCTCAATCCCTTCGCAAACCATGTCTTGAGCACCGATACCCTCTCAAGCCATGTCGACCCCGACACTGGCCGGTTGCACACCACCCGCATACACCTCAAGAAGTCTCGTCTTCCGGCTGCTGTCATCAAGCTTCTCCCTACCAGCGTGACGGGTGGCATTGCGGACAAGTCATCCTACATCTTGGAGACCAGCGTGGTGGACATGCGGGAGGGTTGGATGAAAACAGAGAGCAAGAACCTCAACTTTGCCGGCATCCTGTCCGTCGTAGAGAAGCAGCTGTACACGGCGCCTTCATCCACGATGGCCCCGTCCCAGCTCCAGGATGCACAGTCCTCCACCACCGGCGTCGAGACCACGGTCATCTTCCGATCACGCCTGGGCGAGCGGATTAGGGATCGCATCGGCCAGGGACAGCAGCACGCCCACCAACACCTGGACGACCAGAAGCCAGGCTGGTTTGCCAAGGGCTGGGTCCACAACCTGGGTGCCAAGGGTGTGCAGCGGAGCATCGAGACCATCGCCTCGACCAAGACCCAGGACCAGCTGGGCAAGAGTCGCGAGGGCATGCGAGCCGTCCTCGAGCGCCTGCGCATGAGTGGCATTATCGGCGTTCTCGAACTCAGGCGCAGGGCTGCCGAGGGCAAGCTCGAGACAGCTTGAACTCGGCTGACTCGTTCATCGCCCGTCGACATCCCCCGGTTGCATCTCGGGCGAGCGTCACTTTTTCCCATATTCTCAACTTGTCCTGAGTGTACATTTACTATCATATTTTGGTTTTCTTCTCCCACAGCATGGCGTTGGATTGGATGGCAAACCCGGAAGTCAAGAACAGACTGACAAAGCGGTTTACGACAAATGTCTCGAGCAGATCACTTCGTTTTTTGATTGATCTCGAGCGATGGACTGGCGTTCTATTTTATTGATTCCCCTCTCTCACCCAGAGTATACGACTGTACATCTATCACTGTAGTAGGACAAGCAGGCGTATGAAAACTCAATGGATTTTCAACTTGTAAAAGTGTGCTTTACTGATGCCCGTATGCTATTCTGATTGTGAAATTGGTGCGTGGCGTCTAGATGGCGATATACTGGTCGTATTTGAGTTCGAGAACTTGAGGTTGGTAGGGTTGTCACGCTCAACAAAGTCGTCCACATGGCCGAAGGCTCATATAAGATCTCTAGAGGCTAGAAAGGCTGGACCTACGTGTCGTAGATGCATTGGAGCAGGATTTTGACGACGACGACCAAAACTGAGCTCGGATCAGAACTCTGCCGATATAGATGGAGGGCTGAGTCTGCTTTTGGAGATGCTCTGAAGCACCTTGAGCCGGAGACAAGAAGCCAACGGCGTCTTCTAATAAGTCAACCTGGAGAGTCTGGCAGCCTTGCATATTCACAAACTGTGGTGGATGAGAGGTAAACTACATTGGCCTTGACATGAGGCAGGAAGAAACCGAGGTATAGACTCAAAAGTCGCTCCACATCTGAGAACACAGCCTGCTAGTCTCCCTGGTCCAAGCCGTCTTCCTTATGGAGACCAGGGGCTGTGAGAGGGGCAATTCACTACTGATAATCCACCAGCAGGCAGCCCTTCCAGGAACACGCCGGACTCCGCACTGTACTGCGAAACATTTTCACGGCATTGTTGCAACTGGTGACTGACGGATTGGACAATCAAGCCGATGTGCCTTGATGCATGTTGAGTTGCCAGCGAGCCTCTTCCGGGATGGCCCACAACCAAAATATGAAGTCGAAACAAGTAGCATAGTGCAGTCCAGACCTACATGACTGGGTTGGGAAGGGCTGGAACTAGGATGTTACCTCTTAAGGGTTGAGCGTAATGGAAATCGAATGCTAGACTTGGTTTAGGTTGTAAGTTTATATGCCACGAAGATTCTCATCTGACACTCGACCAAGACTTGAGATGGTAGCCCAGGATGGTTATGCAGAACCGCTACTGGGCCGTGGGAAGATGAGAAACGCCATTGATAACCACAAGACGAGGAAATAAGACTTACAGTTGGTATCTACTAAGGTGAATCCACAGTGCAAGTGGTTGTTGGTAGTCGAAGATACACAGTGCCACAACGCACTTAGAAAATTAAGAATACAACCATCTGACACATTGGGCCTTCATTTGCCTCTGCTGTCCTACCGCGGCCTGCTTCATTCTTGAGTGTTGCATCATTGCGCCTCTTATTTCACGAGACTAGAGTTGCAGTAAAGATTCGAGCTCGGATGGACGCTTATTAAGGAGATGGTAGCCGATATGATGGAACAAGTAATCACGACTTTGTGCTCCCTCATTTCGCACCTTTGAAACTTCAACTTCGTATCGGTCAACCGATGTGGCTTTCTTCCAGATCGTTGCTAGTATACGTAGATTTTATAACATCCTTTCCGGAGAAGCTATACGATTCATTGAAAGACTTTGACTAGTTACAGGGTTTTGGTGATCCTTTCGATTTTGCTTGTCTATCGTTGTTAATTGGGTATTCTTGGGCAGCCTTGTATCACTCGAGGCTATGTGAATCTGAAAGAGCCTTTATTCATCGCACTATTCTATACTCTCATTCCCGGGGGTCCCACGAGTGTGATTGGATGGACAGACCCACTCGCTAATTTGGTCCTGGGGTCGTTTCAGTTGAGCTGTCCAACTGTGACGATAGTCGCAGGAGATCAGAGGCGTGCATGTGTGCTCTGGGGCATTCTGGGGTTGAACCCGGAACATCTTGTCTATTTGGCAAAACCCTGGAGAAGTGGCTCTGGGAGAGTTCCACTGAATACTAGCCCCGGCTTTGTCGACGATAATTTCGGGTAGACTGCTTGCAGCAAAGAGCATCACGGCTTCCACATCATCAGAATAACACTGAAGTTTTCTTTCTCCTTTTGTGCTTTCAAGCTAGACAGTCCATGGCTCAAGCCGGGATCTCGGCCACGAGTATAACTTAGAGACCTGTATTCTGATCATACAGACTTGTGATAGTACACATGGCTCACTGGCTCTCGTATATTTACATCTAATGTACAGGTCGTTCACGACTGAACCTACTTCTTTCCCTTCTTCGGCGCGGCGTCTCCACTACCCGCTGCAGCGGCGGCAGCGGCGGCCTCCTCCTCGGCGATGACGGCCTGCACGTCGCGCTCGGCGAGCCACTCGCGCACGCTGGCGACGACGCGGTCGAGCGTCTCGCCGCCCTCGAGCACGTCGGGCAGGTTGTGGACGTCGAGGCCGCTGCGGTGGTCGGTGCAGCGGTCCTGGTTGTAGTTGTAGGTGCGGATCTTGTCGGCGCGCGTGATGCGGTCCTTGGACAGCACGCTGTTGCGCATGCTGTGCGCGAGCTCCTCGCGCTGCTCGCGGCGCTGCTGCGCGACGCGCGAGCGCAGCAGGCGCCAGGCCTCCTCGCGGTTGCGGTGCTGCGAGCGCGAGTCCTGCATGCTGACCACCGTGCCGGTCGGCACGTGCGTCAGCCGGATCGCCGACTCGGTCTTGTTGACGTGCTGCCCGCCGGCGCCGCGCGCGCGCATCGTCTCGGTGCGCACCTCGTCCGGGTTGACGTAGAAGTCGCTCTCCGGGTCGTTGACGTCGGCGGCCGTCTCGTCGGCCCCGGCCTCGGGGAAGGAGGGCAGCACCCAGACGGCGACGGCGCTGGTGTGCGTGCGGCCCTTGCTCTCGGTGGCGGGGATGCGCTGCACGCGGTGCATGCCCGCCTCGCCCCTGAAGACGTCGTAGGACCCCGGGTCCTGCACCTCGAGGATGGCCTCCTGGATGGGACTCTCGCCGCTCGAGCCCGTGGCGTCTCCGGCGCCGTCCGACACCTCGTACTTGACCACCCGCGCCTTGTACCCCTTGTGCGAGCAGTAGCCCTGGTACATCTTGAACAGGGAGTCGGTGAAGAAGCGGCCCTCCATGCCTCCCGGCCCCGGCCTGAACTCGAGCAGGCAGGGCATGTCGGCGAAGGGATGCTTCGGCGTCAGGGCTGTCGATAGCCTCCGGCCCAGCTCTTGTATCTGCTCCTTTGTAGATTCCAGCTCATCGGTGGCGAGCTCTCGCAGTTCGGCATCTTTAGAGCCGAGCATGCCCTGTAGCTCGGCGACGGAGGAGTTGGCAGCCTCCCAGTCCTTCAGTGCCGTAGCGACGCTGGCAATCTCGCCGGCACGCTTCGCTGTCTTGGCGTCGAAGCCGGTCGCAAGAGTCGCGCTTAGCTGCTCGTGCTCAGCAGCGAGCTTCTTTGCCCTCTGGAGCAGGACGGGAGGGAGGGAGCCATCGCCGGTAGCTGTATGTGTCGCATGGGTCAGGATCGTCTAGAGCAAGACTTCAAGGCGACATGGGGGGGCAAATTGTGCATACCACTGCTCGCTTTGCGCAAGAATTGGAGGGCATTCGGGCGGCCTGCAGATCTCAAACACCGTCTGCATACCCACGGAACACCCAACATGTTCGCGAGTTGAGTTTGGGGCTTGTCGAGTCGAGGAGGAAGTGGGAATGTCGCAGAGCAATTGAGCTTTGATTGCCTCCGTAGGTACATTCATTGTTCCCCGATTTTTTATGGGTCGTGTTCCAGGGACCTCAATTGGTACAGCGGGCTTGAGCGACGTCCATTTCTCCCTGACACCGATGAGGCATCAGACAGGCAGCTTTGTCTTTCAAAATCTTGATACATAAGGTAGGAAATAATTTGAGAGAGCCATTGTTTATAGGGACACGGGATGTGATCACTCGGAATTCATGGTATTTTTCGAGCCGCTTATCGCCCTTGTATTTACCATTCTCTGTCGGACTATCGCTCTTTTTTGGAGTTGCTCATTCTTTCAAAAGGAGACATTTGGAAAGTATATGCAAAAGGGGATTATTCTTTTTCTTCTTCATAAAATGGCTTGATTTACGTATCAGTACTCAGAAAGTGAGCAAGAAGGAGAGCACGGAAACCAAGTGAGAGCAAGATACTTGTCCCAGAAATCAAACCCGACGCTGTGACTGGCAGCCACTAAACCGGCCATCTTCCCGGCGCGGGGTTGCCGAGGCGCTCAACCGACCTCAGTGCTGGCCGCCCACAACCCTCGCACTTACTTACACTGCCTCCCCGACCACTTCATGTGCGTGACAATCACAAATCTTGAAACGCACACAGCTAGAGGATTGTTTGCACTTCTCCCACTAAGACCCTCCTTTTCTGCTTCCATTGACGATCTCCTCGCCTTCTCAAAACCCCTCTCCCGCCGGTGCGGAGCATACATACGGATAGAGCAAACCACTTCTTTGCACACCCTCTGACCACAACAACAACAGAAACATCATCATCATCATGCCGCTGACGACCAGCTCGATCACTCCCTTGGAATTCGAACCTTCGCGGTTTGCCAGTAGACGAAGCGTGGTACACAGCACCAAGGGCATAGTATCATGCACGCAGCCTCTAGCCGCCAAGTGCGGCATCGACATTCTCAACGCCGGTGGGAACGCAGCTGTATGTCATTGTAAATGTGTCTCTCCTTTTACACCAATGTTCTTAGTGATTAACGTCTTGGGATGTTGACAACAGGATGCCGCTGTCGCAGTTGGTAAGTCAAGATCACGAGTGGCTTCCCTTGCGCAAGCACCGCAATTCCCAGGTACTAACAAGGGTTGGCCACGCAGCCGCTGGTTTGAACATGACGGAGCCCTGCTCTACCGGCATCGGCGGCGACATGTTCTGCCTGTACTACGATGCAGCAACCGGAAAGGTCTCGGCTCTGAACGGATCGGGACGGTCTGCCAAGAACGCCACCCTTGAGAGCGTCCGTAGCGATCTCGGGCTCAAGGACGGCGACAAAGGGAGCATCCCCATTGCCAGCCCCCTCGCCGTGACCGTTCCTGGAGCCGCTGCCGGATGGGTCGACACAGTCGAGAGGTTTGGCAGCGGCAAGCTGAGCCTGGAGCAGATCCTTGCGCCCGCCATCGCGCTCGGGGAAGCGGGCTTCCCCGTCTCCGAGATAGCATCCTACATGGTGAGTTTATCCCGTCGGGAACCGTGCCGCCTCTTGCCGCATTATGCTTCCCAAAACGCGTGCTGACCGACCTGGACACCTGTAGTGGAACCGGTCGGAACAATTGCTCCGTGATGCCTCTCCCAACTTCCGGGAGCTGCTCAAGGTGGACCCACAGGCCAAGGACGGCTGCCGCGCCCCCAAGCCCGCCGAGATCATGAGGAACCCGAACCTGGCCAAGACCTTCCGCACCCTCGCCGCCGAGGGCAAGAAGGGCTTCTACACGGGCCGCATCGCCGAGGAGATCGTCAAGGTCTGCAAGGACCGCGGCGGCCGCCTTGAGCTCGACGACCTCGCCCACCACGGCGAGACCGGCAGCGAGCCGGTCGAGCCCATCTCGGTCAAGTTCAGGGCGCAGGGCGTCGGCAGGATCCTCGCCCAGAGCTCGTCGGACCCGCAGACCAAGGAGGCCGACGCTGGCGTCGAGCTCTGGGAGCACCCGCCCAACGGCCAGGGCATCGTGGCCCTCATGGCCCTCGGCATCATCCAGGAGCTCGAGAGGGCGGGAACGATCCCCGTTTTCGGCCCGGAGGACTTCAACACGGCGCCGTACCTGCACGTCGTCATCGAGGCCCTGCGCATCGCCTTCGCCGATGGGTCCTGGTACGTCACCGACCCCAACACGACCAAGGTCCCCGCCGCCGAGCTCGTCTCGCCGGCCTACCTGGCCGAGCGCGCCAAGCTGTTCGACCCGGCGCGTGCCTCCGACGTCCTGCACCACGGCGACCCCTACCGCTCCCCGGCGCTGCAGTCGAGCGACACGGTCTACTTTGCCTGCTCCGACAGCCGCGGCAACGCCATCTCCTTCATCAACTCCAACTACACCGGGTTCGGCTCGAGCATCGTGCCCCGCGGGTGCGGCTTCACGCTGCAGAACCGCGGCGCCAACTTCAGCCTCGACCCGGAGCACCCGAACCGGCTCGAGCCCGGGAAGCGGCCCTACCACACCATCATCCCGGGCCTCGTGACCAACCTGCCCGACCGCTCGCTGCACTCCGTCTTCGGCGTCATGGGCGCCTTCATGCAGCCCCAGGGCCACGTGCAGACGCTGCTGGGCCAGCTCGTCGGCGCGCTGACGCCGCAGGAGGCGCTCGACGCGCCGCGCGTGTGCATCGGCGCCGGCTCGCCCGAGGAGGGCGACGTGTACGACCGCACCGTCTACTGCGAGGAGGGCATGCCCGCCGAGGCCGTGGCCGGGCTGCGCGCGCTCGGCCACGAGGTCCGCGTGGTGGCGGGCGTGGCGCGGGGCATGTTTGGCCGCGGCCAGATCATCCGCTGGTCCGTCGACCCCGTCGACGGCACCGGCGTGTGGTCTGCCGGCAGCGACGCCAAGGGCGACGGCGCGGCGTTTCCTGCGTAGAGAGATAGACAGATAGAGAGAGAGAGAGTGAGAGATAAAGAAGTTGATGAAATGAATACAGTTGAAAGGGATACGAAATATATATGTGGCAAGGCTATCGTGACGGGAACGTAGCCTCTTTCGGGTGACGTGCTGGTAGATCGAGAGAAGGTTGGTATATTTTCGTCGATGTGTTTGATATACAGATATACATATTACATGATGCTCCGGTGTGCAGGGCATGGCGTCCTCCCCCTTCCCCTCCAAAGTCTACACAGTGTAATGTACACGCGGTGAAAATGGCATGTCTATACCGGCCACGCATGTTTCCTCGCCGTTTGCTCCGATGCAGGGTTTCGCTTTCTTCACTCCTTCTTCTCGCCCTCGGCCTCGGCGGACTCGGCGGCCAAGAGCACCTTCTTCTCCTCGAGCATCTTGGCCAGCTCGCCGTTCTGGTGCATCGAGACGAGGATGTCGCAGCCGCCGACGAACTCCTTGTCGATGTAGAGCTGCGGGATCGTGGGCCAGTCCGAGTACTCCTTGATGCCTAGATCTCCCAAGTGTCCGGGTCAGCATTGTTGGTCTCTCTCCCCGTCCCATCCCGTCCACGTTCCGTCCGTCCTGCCCAGATCCCAGAACCCCATCTAGCAGAAAAGAAAGAAAGAAAAAAAAAGAGAGAGGAGGGGAAGAGGAAGGGCATGCTTGACAAGAGAGATGATGTGTTTGGCGTCCACGCACCTGCCCGCAGCTCGGCGTCCTCGAGGACGTTGAAGGCGGCAAACTTGTCCGGGTCGACGCCCTGCAGGCCGAGGATCTGGATGCTGGCGCGCGAGAAGCCGCACTGGGGGGTCTCGGGCGTGCCCTTCATGAAGAGCACGACGGGGGCCGAGGCGACGGCGCGGTCGATGGCCTGGCGCGTTGCGTCGGAGAGCAGCCGCGCCTGGGAGGCGCTGAGCATGGGCGGGACCCTCCATCGCGCCCGCGCCGCCGCCGGTGCTCGGGGAGCGCAAGCCGCGGTGGCGGAGGCGGCGGCGGCGGTGGGCCGGAGCAGTGTCTGTGTAGGCGGGCGCACGCGGCTGTCAGCGCATCATGCCAGGGAACGGGGTGCGGTGTCGGCGCGCAGGTATCCTCCGCGGCTGGTTTCCGTCTCGGAGAGGTCGCGTACCCTGGTGAATAGACTTCTTGAGAGCATCTTGAAGGACTGTGTGTGGTGGTGTCACGGCTTCTTGTGGCGTGTGAATAGTGAGGTGGTGGTCGAGAGAGAGGTAGACAGACCAGCAGACAGAATTGGTAATCCGTCGTTTTTCAGTTGTGGCTCTCTGGACTTCGTACTCACTCGGTAGTGTGAGGTGTGGCTGCGCGACCCACCCAAAAAGTAGCCTTAGCACCATTAATTTCGCCTTCGGGCCCGGCTCCTCTTCTTCTTCTCTTAGGCCACAATAAACCACCATTTTTGACCCTACATTTCTGGGCGTCTTTTTCATGGTCCCTTGAGCCGGAAATATCTCGTCTTTCACATCAGGATCTCCTCTCTCATGATCTCCCTAGCAAGCCGGGTTTTTCCTTATTGTTTTGCGGTCTCACACAATCAAGATCTGCCTGCTTCTCCTTCATAAGCTGAAGCTAAGTTCATCTAATTCTTACAGTACCTAAGTAACACTGTGCTGCCTGCTTGAAGTCGCTAGTGATAGATATGATTCTGCTATTACTGAATTCTATAGATTAGGAGCTTTCTGATAACCCTCTTTTTACTGCATCTTAATAGGATCTATAAGGATAAGATGCTAGTACTTAGAGAAGACTTAGAGTATCTAGCTGATATAGATAAGATGTGGTCTTACTGGCTGAAGACAGACTAGATGTATTAAGATACTCTATGATATGCTTATAATATTTCCTATACTTCTAATACTATTAGATATAATATAGTAGAAAAGATATATCTTAATAAGCCTTAATAGATATTAGATAATGCTATATAATATGACATTATTATTATATCCTCTTATATCTATATATTAATTAATATAACTATATAGTAAAGTATAAGAAGATAGTTAGGATAGCTAAGATATAGTACTGTATAACACTACCTATAGAGAAGAATAGAAAAGCTAAATATCTTATATTACTGCCAGTATTACTAATATATTTTAATTGCCTTATATATATCACTAGAAGTTGTCTAGGGCGTTTCTAACTGGCTATAGATCGGCTGGACATAAGAATATAGAGAAAGCATACTAAAGAGCATAGTATGAACCTATATACTGGCTATATATATTTCTTAAGATTAATATATAGTAAGCCAAGTTATCAGTAAGTATTATAGCTATATAGCCTGATATATAGTTACTAAGGAAGGACACTCTAGTTTTCTTAAAGATTAAAAAATCAAAATCTTTTAGTAAGAGAAAGCTAAAGAGCAAGTAAGGAACAGGCAGTAAAAAACATATAGTAAAAGAAGAAAGGTAGTAGTTATAGAATAAGCTAGTATTATTTAGTTAGATATAATAAGTAAAGAAAGTAGTAGATAGCTTCTAGCTCCTCTAACCCTAGTAGTTATCACCTAAGACTACTAAATCTAAAAAGCCAGACAACCTTCTGCTCCTTCCCTAATCCTAGTAAAGTAGAGTATTAGTAGGGCCAGACTTCTCTACCTATAGACCCTAGTAGGCCTATTATTAATGCCTCTGCCTCCTAAGTCTTTAGAACTGATTTCTATAGGCCATAAGGACTAGGCCTTCTTTCTTACACACCTATATATCAGAACTTACTCTCTTAAACTCTAAATTACTATAGCTAAGTCCTAATAACCAGCAGAAGAGCTCTAGAGGGAGGGAGTTAGAGTTCTTCTATCTTGCCTACCTCCTAGGATAACTTATCCTCTTCTCTTTCTTAAGATATATATTTATAAATCTTATAAGTTTACTATTCTTCATAATAATTCTTATTCTGGCTGTAATATATCTAGTTGACTATATAGCCTTATTTTCTTTAGTTCTAGGCTTTTATATCTAGTCTGCTAAAGTTCTCTTTTCCCCCCCTATTTAATATATATACTGCCTCTAGTAGGTTATATTAAATTATCCTAGCTTACCTCTAATCTCTAAAGTAGATTAAGATCAATCTACTTAGAAGTTATCATCCTACTATTTAATTCCTAGTATAGATAAAGGACCTTTTAGCTATAATAAAGCTGTCCTTCTTATATTTAACTTTACTAGGCTTACTCTTTAGAGTTTATCTATCTAGGCTAAGTCTGCTTCTTATTCTTAGACCCTGGCTTTTAAGATCCCTACTACTCTTAGGTTGATTCCCCCTAGCCTGCCTACTTAGTAAGATTTATCTCCTTTATTATCCCCTACCTATATCTATACTCTATCTTCACTTTAGAGAGTTATAAGACCCTCTTAAACTATAGGTGATTTTAAGTAGAAGTTCTTAGGTAATAGTTATTTAACTGCTTAAGAATACCTAGATAATATTAAAGCTTATATCCTTTTTACTGGTCTTTCTAGTAAGAAAGATCATAAGAAATACTCTTATATCATTTTCTATAATAGACTTATTAAGGATGCTGCTGCTTGGTTTTATGCTAAGCTGAGCTCTAAGAAGAAATCCTCTTTTATAAAGATGAGTGTAGTATTCCTTAAACAGTTTCTAGAGCTAGATACTAAAGACCTTAATTATAAGATCCTCTCTATAGTGAATAATTTCAAGTGACATAATAGGGAGTCTATCTCTAACTACTTAGAGTAAGTGATCATACTCTTACTAAGAATCTTAAAGTATAAAGTCAGTAATCTCCTATATGATAAATTACTAAGCTAAATCTTAGATGGTGAAAATAGCTGTAATATTAAGGCCTATATTAAAGACTGTCTGGTTGCTAAAGGTCTTATAGCAGATAACTATATATCCTTTAAATATAAATATACTTTTAAAGATATGTATGACAATATCTAGAGGTGCCTCTCTAGTTATAGTAGAATTCCTATCTATAAGAATGATGTTTTCACTATAGAAACTAAGTCTGCTCTAGTAGATCTCTACTTAAGCATTAAAAATCTAGTCAAAGAGATGTATAAAGACTGTAATAAGCAGTAAAAATTCAACTCTAACCTTGTCAGTGCAGTTTATATAGCTGAGATCTCTAGTAATTCCTATAGAGGAAACAGAGGCTAAAACACTTCTTAGCAAGCTCTTTATAATCCTAATACTCCTATATCTAGTGATCCTAGAAGATCATCCTACTCTCCTTAGGATGCTTATGGCTTATATAGTAGATTATACATTTAGTACTAGGGCTATAGAGAATTTAGACATATAAAAAACCAATATACTAATCCTATTAAGTTCTCTTAGAAGGAGTAAGAGAATCTATATCTCTAGTATATCTAGTGAAATAATCTTAATTACTAGCAGCCTTAGACAACTTAGAAGACTTAGTTACTGACTGTTAAGGATATTACTGATATTAAGAATCAGCCAGTATCTAGGAGGGCTGTTATATGTTTTATTACTAGTCCTAACCTTATTAAGCAAAAGGATATAGAGGCTATTAAGATTTATATATAAGTTGCTACTACTTAAGTCAATACTGTCTCTAATAAAGACTGTCTAATCAGCGCTAAGAAATCAGTATAGGATAAGAGAAAGAAAGTTCAGTTTATAAACCCGCCAGTCAATTCTTCTCCCTATAAAGCTTTAAAGCCTGTTGTCACTCCACCTCCTATTCTATTGCTAGATATTGGTTTAGACAAGCCCTATAACCTAGCATCTCCTAGTCTCTCTAACTTAATAGAGATTGAGGATGATAATAAGCAGCTTAAGGAGCAGCTTGAGGGTAATGATTATATTGCTATACTGCCTAAATTACTTAAAGCCATAAAGAAGCCTCTCTCTTATAACAACATCATATACATCTAGAAAATCCTTCACTAAGCCATAAAGAACTTAAAGAAGGATACTCTATATTCTAGGCTTTATATATCAGGTCTAGCTAATTGTAGAATACTGTCACTTAATATTAGTAATATTATATCTAAGATTCCTATTTTAATCAACCTTCTTACTCTCTATAATTACTCTCTATAGATTTAAGCTAAGATTTATCAGGTTCTTAAACCTAAAGCATACAAGAAGAGTTCTAAGACTTAGAATGCTAATTCAGTTTTAATAGTCTTAGCATCTCAGCCAGACAGAAATATCAATATCTTATATTCTACTTATAAGTCAGATTTTATAGAAATTACTCTCTTAATAGATAAAGCTCTGGCTAGGCAAGTCTAGTATACCTCTAGAACTATAGATAGGGTCTTTATTAGGCATATCATACTTAATAATAGAGTAGATATAGATCTTATTAATCTATATTTCTATTCAGCAATCAGTCTAATTCCCTATAAGGCAAGATTTAAATAATATATTCAACTGACTAATAGGTTTATTATATCTACTAAGGAGTATGTTATAATTAAAGTTGTTATTAGCAATATTTTATGTATTATGACCGCTTTTATCTTTAGTATAGGAGATTAGTTCAACCTTCTACTGTCATAAAGCTAGTATAATTATATACAGGCAAAGCAGGATTAGAGATCAAGCACTCTATAAGTCTATGATTATTATAGAGTGAAGGGGCAGCTTATAAAACTCATCTCCTATAAGAGTCTGCCCTTAATTATAGAGTCTGACCCCTAGGTTAATGTGACGATCCTTGATCCCAAGAGGCAAGACTACTTCGTAGGATCGGAAGCGTGTGGGTTTATGTAAGCAGTAAGTGATGGGCGCTGCTGAGCAATGGTGGTTGACTTGATCGTAGCTAAGATAGC